TACGATCCAAGAGCAGGAGGAGGCAGCGAGAGAGCGAGAGAGAGAGCGAGGAAGAGAGAGCGACAGTGCAGCTTTCCTTTCGGATGAGAAAACAAGTGCGTGCAATGCTTTCAAATATCACATAAGAATAAAATAATAATAATAATAGGGTCAGCAGCGGGGAGGAATGAATGATCCACAAAATAAAATAAGCCAGACAACAGAGGTGCGGATGAATGATTGGAAAGAGCAGTGCACTATCGAGAGTGATACCCAGGGATTCAGGCGGGAGAGGAGCGAGGGATAGGGACAGGGAGGACTCGGACCCGAGAGAGTCGGGGTGCGAGCCGAGCTCAGGGAGTCGGAGCTCACGAAAGGGAAGGTCGGAGAATGGATGTGCCGTGGTGCAGGCACCATCTATGCGCCGGTGTTTTCATCGTTGCCGGGAGACACACGGCTACCGATCCATATGCTGGGCAACCTCCTCGAGCTTCAAGCTGAGGACGCTGGGGTTGAGGGCGTTGGAGTGATCCGAAACCACGAGCACAGGCATGTTGGAGGGATGGTCCATCCCGGCCAGGCGGACGCTCGAGTTGCGCGAGTGTCCTCTGCCCTTGGGTCTCGCACGGACGGATGCGTCGCGCGAGGCGATCGAGTCGACGGGGAGGAAGGGAGTCGTGGCAGGATGATTCAGGGGCGGCAACTTGGGCGAGGCAGGCAAGCGGTTGGCCTGGTCCAAAGAGTGGCGGGGCAGCGGGCGCAACAGGCTGTCGCGCGAGCCAGAGGTGTCGATGGAGGCCATCGTGAGGTCCGATGGTGCGGGACTGATGCTGCGACCAATGGCCGAGACAGGCGGAGCAGACGGCGATCTGGGAAGAGACCAGCTCATTTTGGTGAAGGCCAGGGTGGGGATGCCGTTGTCGTTGTCGCTGCGGCCGGCGCTGCTGTGACCGTACGAGTAGTTGCCAGAGGACCGCGAGGGGCGCTCGGGCTCCTCCAGGCTGAAGCGCACCATGTTGGCCTTGTGTGGTCGTGGCTGGAGGGTCTTGTCGTTGTGGGAGGCGGCGACGACGACGGGAGAGGCGCTCGACGAGGCCGGGGGCTGAATCATGATGGATCGCACGGTCGGGGCGCTCCTTTGGTTGTCCAGCGACCGGATCGACTGCTTTGTCGCAGAGAGCTTGCCCATCTCGATGTCGGTGCTGGCTCGATAGGCCTTGGAGGGAGGTGTGAGGGAGGCAGCCGAAGGGGAAGACCGACTCGAGGGTCGACGAGAAGAGTCGTGGATTGAGGGGGGTGGGGATGCTGAGCTCTGGACCCAGAAGGGCTCGGTGGACTGGAAGCGCTTGCCCATGATCAGGGCCACACCCAGGAAGATGCACGAAGCCACGACGCCGAGGGCAATCTTGATATAGACTGTCGAGGAGTCAGCCTCGCTCTCGGCCGAGGGAGCCGTGTTCTTTTGCGTGTGGGGCACCTGTGCCGGTGCGGAGGACGAGTCGTTGAGGGGTGAGGTGCTGGCGGGGGTCGGTGGTTTGGCTGTCGGAGCAAGAATGGCTTGGCTCTGGGCCGAGCGTTGAGAGAAGGTGGGGACGGGGGAAGAGGAGGTGGTGGTAGTGGGCACGGGGCCAGGTGAGCTGTTGTCTTGGATGTGCTCGAGGCCGAGGCCGACGGTTGTGGTGGGGGACACGGACGAGGGGGAGGTCGTCGGCGCAAGGTCGCGGACGAGGACGGTGGTGGTGGTGGTGGCGGTGGGAGCGGGGGCGGGAACGAGCGGGCCGTCCGAAGTGGTGATGGACGAGTGTCTCGTGATGAGTCTACGGAGGATCGGCACAGAGGTGGGTGGCAGAGCATCAGTCGGGGAGGCGAGCAAGGTGTAGGCGACAGAGAGGGAGGTTGGGGAAGGGAGATTAGCAGAGTCTGTAAGAAGCAGGGAGGGATTGGATGGCGACACGGCCGAAGACATGATCGAAGACATGGATGCGGACATGGTCGTGGACACCGAAGGGTCAGGGACAGGCGATGAGGTGAAGGCAGCAGAATTAGGCAAGAGCAGGGTCGAGGCTTCAGTTGGCAGGAACGGGGAGACAGTGCTGGATTGAGGGAGATCGGGAAGGGCAGCGCCGAGGGCGGCGGGAGCAGGCAGCAGAGAGAGCAGCAGAACCAGGCACGAGCGTAGCGACGGCGAAGGGGCGGGGTCGGCAGCAGGGCGGCCAAAGGACATGGCGGCAGAGCTGGGCGGCAGCGAGGCTATGTCGTCCAGCATGGCTCGGCTCGGCGGTTGAGGGGGCGGCAGCAGGAAGGACGACAGAGCTCAGGGGGAGACCGACAGAGGCGGGGGCGCGGCAGGCGTAAGCAACATATACGGGGGGGGGAGGCAAAGGACAGAGGGCGGGAGGAAGAAGGGGAGGGAGGATGGACCGATGGACTGGCGATGGATGATCGATCGGCGGATGGATCGGCGGATGATGGACTTGATGATGGACTTGGGTGACGGACTTGGATGATGCAGATCAAAGGCAAAAGTTGGAAGAAGCCCGAGGAGGCCAGAAAAGGGCTTGCAAGGGCGCCCGGGGCCCGCGCGGAATATATAGCGCTGGGGAGTTCTCGCCGGGAAGTTCTCGCTGGGGTGAGCTGTCCGTGAGCTGTCCGTGTGAGCTGTCAGGGTATCACTGTGTCTGCACACACACACGCGCCTCTCTCCGTCCCCTCTCTCGCTGTCCGGCCCTCGCTCTCGCTCTCGCCGTCCATGGTCCTTGACGGGCACTGTGCTTTTCTTCTTGCGTGTTTGTGGTCCTTGTCCCTCCTCTGGGCGCGTCAAACATGGACGCCTGCCTTGCCGGCACGCTCCCGCCCGTGTTTCGTCTGCCCCAACGTTTGTCTTCCTGGACACAGCCTCACGCTTGGGAGGGGCAGTGGGGGCCCGTGTATGGCGTCACAGGAATCCGCCTTTCTCGTCTTGCCCATCGTGGCCTGTCGCCATGGGTCGCAAGTCCTGTGCGTTGCTTGGCCTCGCCACCACGGGGCAAGGAACAGTAAGCGGCTTGGCAAGCAGCCCAAGGCGGCCGAGACAGCCGCCAGGACGACAGACTCGTCGGCATGAGCTGGCGGTGACTCCAGGCACAGGCCCGCAGCCATGTGCAGAACCGGCTCCGATGGCGGCAGCCCATCGGAGGATCAGGCCGGACCCGGCCGGTCTGCGCAGCCGGGCGGACAGAGGCACAGGCACAGAGCACAAGCTATGCTGTGCTGTGTGCTGTTTGTTGCTGTCGCGCAATGCCATCCACTGTGCTGTGCGAGTCGCCAAGTCGCCAAGCAACCATGTCCCTTTGCTTTGATCCCGCCGTTGTGCAGTGTGTCGACGGCTCGTCTGCGACTGCGCATCTCAGAATGCATTATCGCTGCGCGCACCTGCGTGCCACACAACCACTCGCAGGGGCACACAGACGCGTCGGCCGGAATATCCCTTTTTTCCCTTGCGCTGGCGCCAACAAGGCCTCCGCCGCTGTGCCGCCGGGCTTGCCGCCGCGGCCAATCGCCAGCGGTGTCCCCACCGGCCAGCTGCGGACCCAGCCGGCCACTCAGAGCTCTCGGCTTGCCTCTTGTGCGTGGGTGGTCGTCCTGTGGCCGCGTCACTCCGTCGCATGAGCGCGTTTCCCCCGCGCGCGTCGGCCATGGCTCTCCGCCAGCCCGTGCGCCACCGTTGCGCATGGCCACAAGCTCCGCCTGTGCCCCCGCCTCTCGGACGCCGCAGCACAAGCACAGCACAGCCCATTTGCGCGCCCTTGCAGCAAGGCGTGGAGAGCGCCAGGTGCTTGTTGTGTTGCTCCCCGCAAGCGCAATTTCATCTGGAGCTTGGCTCGACTTGCCCACCGGTCCCTGCAAGCGCACTCGCTCCGATGGCGAAGCCTGCTCCAAAGACAGGCCCCGGCCCGACCCACTCCCGCATCCCAGAACAAACTCTCTTCAGCAGTCAGTACCGTTGGCGGCAGTCACGCCCACCGCCGCCGCCGACGCCGCACTGCGCGCACTGGCGCGGGCGGCGCGCTCTGTTCCGCCACAGTCTCTGTGGCCGCCCAGAGCAGTGCCAGCCGTGCGGGGGCGTGGTGCGCTGCTGCGCCTTGTCGCCGCGCGCTTCGTTGCCCGCCCGCCTCCCCGCATCCGGCACACACAGCTCTCTGTGCCCATTACGCGGCCTTGTCCCCACGCGTTGCACCCACGCGCAGCCCTGCCCTCTGTATCCAGCATCCTGTCACGCGCCAAGCACCGACCCCACGCCACTTTTTCCATCGGGTCCATCGGTCCATCCCCGTCTGTTCCTTCGATCTGCCCCGACCCTGGTCGTGTTCTTCGGCAAATGTCCCTCCAGATGTCCCCTCCGTCTCGATTCCTGCATGTTGCCCCCACCACCACCACCACCACCACCACCACCACCACCACCACCACCACCACCACCCAATGTCGCGCCGCTTTTCGCCACAGCATCTTCACCCTCGTCGTGCACCGTTATATTCGCCGGCTTCCGTGCCGCTGAACCAGCACGGTGATTTTGTGCTGCTCTTCCATTGGGTTTTGCCCTGGCTCGCCATGTGTGCTGCGTGTCTCTCCCGATCCGGTCCGGAGTGCTGCGTCCGGCATGCATGTGCTGCATGGCATCGTGTCACGGCGACGGCCTCGCCCGTGGATGTTCGGATGTGCTCCGATGCGATTCGGTGTGATTCGGTGTGGTCCAACGCAAGCGATGCGGTTGAATGTCTTGCCCGATGTTGCTGCTCGGTCAGCACATGCATGGTTCTGATCCTTTCACAGCAATGAAGCGCCTCAGCCTCTTCACGTCCCCAGATGCATCAGACCCCGTTGAATCCCGTCGTCTGCATCGCTCGCCATCTCGGCGGCGTGGGGTCCGCTTGCCCAGCCCAAGCCAACACCATCCAACACCATCCATCCAACACCATCCAACACCATCCATCCAACACCATCCAACACCATCCATCCAACACCACTCGCCGCCCTTCGATTTGTTTGTCGGTGCTCTCGCCGCTGCCGCTGTCTGTCCTTGCCTCTCCCAGGAATGCCACTCTTGTTCTTGACGGCCGGTCGGTGCCCTGTCGCTTGTCTCTGCCTCACCAGGCGGTCATGCTGGCCGCTTTCGTGGCAAGGCGCATGTTGACGAACCATGTTGACGAGCCATGTTGACGAACCATGTTGATGAACCATGTTGATGAACCATGTTGACGAGCCATGCTGCTCGTCCTCCGTCCTCGACAACCGATTCCTCGCAGGAGATGCCCCTCCGAGAGCCCCGGTCGTCTGGAGGAAGGGGATGCGTCACCGATGCAGTGCCGGCCGAATCATGCATCCGTCTCGACGCATTGCCCTGCGATGAATATTCCCGATCCCAAATCCGATCCCACACCCGCATTGATTCTCCCACCACATCGATTCCGCTCCCACACCTCGCATCTACATTCCCGCTGGCCTCGACCATGGATTATCTCCTCGTCCTGCTCCTGTTGGTCGTGCTATGGATGCTCCAGCGTTGCCACACCCAGACCTGCCTCAACCATCGCTATCTGCGCCAGATTGACCAGCGGCTTGCCATTCTTTCTTCGCGCTGGAATAGTCCCACCGCCGCCGGCTCGCATCCTGCCCATGACCCAGAACCCTCGACCCCAGCAGCGTCGTCTCCTCTGGAGCATATCCGATCGCACGCCGTCGACTCGGACAATACCCTCTCGCTCTGCGCTGGAGCCGAGCGAGACATCCAGTTCCTGCGCTCGCACTTTGTCCATCTCGGCCGTCTACTCGACCTCTTTTCGCGCTGCGCCGTTCTGCTTTCCGAGTCCGCCACCATCCGCCTCGAGGTCCAGTTGTCTCGTTGCTGGGCTCCTCTCCGCTGCCACGACTCTGTCGGCCGCAGGTCGTCTGCAGGCCAGCCGGCATCCACGTCGCCTCTGCGCGAAAGCCCATGCAACTCGGACCTCTCGGAGGATCGGTGCTCGGCCGCGGCTGCTGCATCGCAGGCATCCCAAGCATCGCAGGCATCCCAAGCATCGCAACCATCGCAACCACCATCACAGCGGGAAGAGTGCCTGGTCGAGCTCGCCAGTACGCTGCATCCCCAGATTCAGGATGCGCTGACACAAGCAAAGTCCCGCATCACCCGCATCAGCGTCCAGACGTCGTCGCTCGTGCAGATCCTATCATCATCACCATCATCATCATCGTCGTCGCCATTTCAGAGTTTCCTGCCTGGTGCTTCGATCATGCAGGACATCTGGCGGACCCTTGCCAAGGAAGTTCCTGGCGCTCGTCAATGCTGGGCCTCCATATCGACTCGACTGCCCTGGCCGTTTCAGCTCGCAGCAAGTGTGCTCGAGCCCGAGACGGCGTCGGACGGCTCTCTACTCGAGCCCCGCGTCCTCCTGGAGCAGTATGAGCTCGCAGCCGACGAAGCCACTGCCAAGTTTGAGGAGTTTCTCGCCCAGTACGAAGTGGCGGATTCAGTCATCACAAGAGCCATGCGACTGAGGACCCGATACACTCGGTCCAAAGCCGGCAGCAACAGAGTGGATGCGCAAGACTGAGTTCAGTGCACGCAATCCAATGGCACACCATGTTTTCCTGGATGCGAATACACAACCATCCATCCATCCTATCGCCAGAAACAACACCCAAGGCCCAGAACACAACGGCACTCCCTCAGGACCCACATGGAGGCCCAGCGGCCGGTTCGGCACGAGTCTCTCGACGTTCAGAAATCACGGCATTGTCTAAATGGTCGAATGCATGCACCCACTCTCCCACATCGCAACATCAGCTGTGGGCCATTGATTGAGCAGCTCTCGCTCACAGACCTGTTCCGATAGCCCTTGACTGCAAAGGGCGATAATAGCAATAACTGCCACCGACACATATCCAAGCTATCCGTTTCGATGCCTCCCGAGTCCACTGCTTGCCGCACATTGCGAGCCAACAGGCATCTTCCGTGGGCCTACTGGCGATTGGGCTGCTGCGTTCTCAATCACTGTCTTCGGCCATATGACGCCGGCGTCGGCAGGGCGTTTCCTCGTATTCGCTCAAGATAGAGTCGATAATGAACCTGCTGCTGCTGCCGCTGCCGCCGACCTGTCCCAGCATGGCACTGGCCCCATAGGCTTGCTGCTGCTGGCGTCCAGGTCCCTCTCTGGCCCTTGCTACGGCCGTTGATATGGCTGCGATGCGTGCCGACCGTGCGGCGGTGGGAGAGAGCCTTTCTTTCTGAGGGATAGCCATTCTGCTGGCAAGTCCAAGCTTCTCCTGGGCGTCCGCAGAAACCATCCCGAACGGCCCGCGGGGATGGTCGCGATGATCGTCAAGGCCGACATCGGCGGGCATGAACAGGGACTTGCGAACCTTCTTGGCGGCCTTGCGGGTGGCAAGCCGCTCTGCTTTGGCCAGCTCCCGCTCACGCTCTTGTTGGAGAAGGCTGGAACGGATGGATCCAGGCGACATGCGAGCGTCCTGCGACTCGGATGGCTGCTCGAGCTGCCGGTTGCCTTGCCTTGCCTCTTGCTTCGGATCGGATTCGTCCGGGCTGTGCTTGTGCTTTACCGATTCGTCGTGAGACACTGGCGGGTCTTGGAACACCAGGGTCTCCGCCGAAGCCCGGCCATCGACTGAGCCAACGGGCATGATGGGCGTTGGAATGGGCACCGCTACCGACTGCGACGGCTGCTCGGCGCTGGGCGGAAGCCGCACCTCGGTATCCGGCTCGAGGTGTGAGATTTGGATCGGCACTTGGTCCGGGCCCAGATGGCGGGCAAGCGAGTGCGACCGGACGAGCGAGCCGGCATCGATGCCGTCTGGAAAGCGGGTCACGATGATTGGGATCTGGACCTCGGTGGTGTACGGAGCGATCTTGACGACGAGGAAGTGGCTTACTTGCATGATTTCATCCTGTGTGGGGAGGTCAGGGAAGAGAACCCGAAAGGGAGAGAACGAGAGGGTAGAATACGGTCAGCACATTGATATAAGGGGAAGATGAGATGCAAGTACTGAGTGATGGCCCCCCGAGAACCCCAACTTTCGAATGCAACTTGTTCCCACACGACCAACACGGCTTACATTCGTGTCCGGGACGTATTCGACACCCTTCTCGCGCGGATCCAGCAGCGAAAAGTCGATATCCATGGTGCCCGAGATGCTGAAGAACCGGAAGGGCACGATGCACTCTTCGGCATCGTGGTGGCAGGTGCCGATGGACTCGGTCGAAGGGTTGGTGGGAAAGATGATTGGAACCCGGTGGCTGCATCCAAGGCACAGAGACATGTCCACGGCAGGGTCGTCCACGACAGAGGACGACCAGTACAGAGTGAGCAAAGGCATTAAAAAGCGAGCAGGATCAGTCACAGCTTGACACACAGCGGCATATGGGTTGTGTGGAGCATACCCGCTCACACTCACTCACTCACTCACTCACTCACTCACTCACTCACTCACTCACTCACTCACTCACTCACGGATCGCCTACCTGAATGTATATCGCGATCTCTGCACCAGACAGATGCCAATCTCATCAACGCCCCGGAACCCGCGAACCCACTCGCGATCCACCTCCAGGCGGATCTGCAGACGGGCATCCTCCAGATCCGTGACTCGGGGGCAGTACACCTCAAACCCGCTCAGCGGCCGCCACACCGAGTGCAGCCCGTCGGCCGTGACCTCCCAGGCCTCGACCGACAGGGGCCACTCGAGCGCCGCGAGTTTGTAGACATCAATCTCGGTGGTCAGTACCGACGACGTTGGCGTCAGCAGCGGCAGCCCGCAAAAGCGCGACGAGTACGAGAGCGTTGCGATGAGCAGGTATTGGATCTGTCCGTGTCGCGAGAGGAAGGATGCAGGACAGTGCGACGGAATCCGCAGGCCGAACGCAAACTGAATTTCGTTGCTGTCGTTGCTGCTTTCGTCGTGGTCAGTGTCATTGCCATTGGGGGCTTTGCCGTCCGGGCCCGAAGATGTCTTGGGGTCGCTGGCGCCGGAGAAGGTGCGACCAGCGCTGCCGCTGGCGTTGCCGTCGCTGTTCTTGACGCCGGGCTGGGATATGAGCTTGCCGGGGGCCATCACGCTGTCCCAAAGATCGAGGGTCGTCTGCCAGAGAGTTTTGGCTGGCTGGTTGGACTGGAATGACGAGTCATGGAGGACGATGCAGCGGTCAAAGAGACAGTGCGTGCCCCTGAGATTGGTGGGTGTCTGCACGAGAGAGTCGGATGGTCGCATGAGGCGATGGCGAATACGCGAGCGAGCGAATGACAAGTCAGAGACATGTCAATGCTTAAAGACATGACAACGCTCACAGACATGCCAATGCACCAACATTCGCGTCGGGAACACTTCTGTCCCCTGCTCGCCCTTGCAGCTCCCTTCCAACCCACCTGCGGCTCCTCATAACGCGTTACAGAAGCCCCCAGAAACCGGATCTGCAGCTTGCGCGGAACTCCAGGGCACCGGTCGGTCCGGACCCGAACATGCCCCGAGAATGCAGAGAACGGCTCGTGTGGATCCAGGAAGACATAGGGCTGGTCGAGGCCGAGCTGGATTGCGCTGGTCGGGGTCGCATGGACTCGGGGCTGCTCCTTGCCGGTCCCGTCGGCGGCGCTTGAGGCCAGGGACTCGCTCGAGGCCTGCGGCTGCAGCAGAGGCTGCGCTGCGTCGTCGTCTTCGCCGGAGACTGTTGTGGCTGCAGAAGGACAAGTCATGGTGGAGTTTCTCTCAGAATACGGGTGCGTGAGCGCCGGGTGCCCAAGACAGAGGGTGGTGGTAAGCCAAGGGGGCCTCTCCTGGACAAACGGGGGGCTTGCACCAGCATCGGCCCAGGGTCGACAAAAGGGCGGGCTACTAAGGACCAGCAGTCGGTTTTGGCGGGCTCGGTCATCAGCCGATCGCTATGCCTGTCGATGGATGGGTTCCTCCGAACATTCGCCGGCAAAGGCAAAGATCGACTTGCTTGGTCAAGCCATCAACCTGCATCCAACAATCCAACTATCCAACTACCCAACCACCTAACCACCTAACCATTCAACCACCTAACCATCCAACCGCTCGTCCGTCTCGCCAGGCCATCCCGCCCGCCCCTATCTCTGTCTGCGGTGATTGGTGCATGTCCATGTCTCGCCTCCGCTGCAGCATCGGTGCAGCATTAGATTTCAGGTCCATTTTTTTCTTTGTCGCCAGCTCATGCCCAGGCCCGCCCGCTCAAATTTGCCCATCACCAGCCGCTGCTCCCCCTCTGCCACTCAGCATCGCTGCTCCCACCACCCCAAACCGCCCCGGCGACACAGCCGCAGCCAAGGGCCACTCGCGCAAGTGCCCTGGCGGCTTGTCCAAGCACATGTCGCCTGTCTGCTTGGTGCTATCGCCTGCCAATCGCACGGCCTGGGTGCACCGATGACGCCGCAGATCGCCCACTGGTTCGCCGACATGTCCGGCCTTTTGGCGTGCGCTGTGTTCCTTCGGCATGATGGGGTTGTGTTCCCCGGGCGTCATGGTTGTGTCTCTCGGGCGAAATGGGTGTATCTCTCAGACATGGCAGGGTTTTGCTGCGATGCATTGGACAGCTCAAGCACCACACAACCCGTGCCGACCCGGGCGGAGGGCGGAGGGCAAGGAGAGAAGAAGACCCAACTCCAGTTTGCATGGAGTCCCCATCGTCATGCAGGCGTCGAGTGATAAGCCGGTCCTGTAGAATGCCATCCTTGCCGACACTGGCCGCCCAGTTGCAACTGCACAGCGACGATCTCATCGCCGCCCCGCTTGCCAGCGGATCGAAAATGAGGCGTTGAGCGATACGCTATCGCACTCGAAACCGACACAGCGCGCCTGGATCCTGGTGGATACAGAAGCAGGAGTATGAGCAGCAGTCGCCGCTGCACATGCGAGCTGACAAGATTGCATGTTCCTGCCGCTCCCCCTTGAGCCTTGGGCCGTCGCCGCGGTTGCACCGAAGACCGCCTCCTGGGGTGCTGGCGAGCCGCTGCACCAATCGCCAGGACGGTCGCTGGATTGTCGGTCGTTGGTATCCGATGGTGGGGCGCTCTCGCAACTCGAAGGGGGCAATGGACCGGCGATTGCGATCGCCCACACGTTTCCGGGTTGGCGCAAACACCCGCAAGTCGCAGGCGGCATCAAGAAAGCCGGGCTGCGACACCAAGGCCGCCCAGTGCCAATCGGCGATCGCCAGGCCGATCAACTCTTGTCGCCCGCTCTCGCCCCGCCAGCACAAGGCCCACCAAGCCAGGCAGGCACACCAATCGCGCCGGTGGATGGCTGCTGCTGGGGGGAGCAGTGCAACCCGACCCGTTATCTCCCGTCGCAGCCCGAAAAAAAATTTTTTCTTCACCACATAGCAGCCGCCTTTGCTTGCGCCAGAATCTTTGCTCGACCCTTGCGTTTTTGCCTTGTCTCTGTGAATGTCGGTGTGCCTTCGCGGCTTGACGGCCGAGAGGGGACGAGGGGCGTGCGTTGCTGGTAAACTGTGTGGCGGTAACGGGGACAGGCGCCATCGCCGACCCCCGGCAGCCCGCATGTTACTTCCATAGCCCGGCATCCACAGCGGCCGTGTGCATCCGCCGCGGCCCTTGATGGCGACATGTGCGCCCCTCTGTATCGGCAACACCGGCAGTGTCCCCCCTCTCCCCCCAGTCTCGTCCGGCCCAGCAGCACGGCCTCTGCGGGTGGATTTGTCCCTCCGCCACCATTACGCAAGCTTGCGCTGCAAATTCGCAGCCTCCTTGCGGCCAACAGCTTCGCCAGCCTCGCCAAGCTCGCCTCCAGCCCAGGGCGATCGCATAAAAGCCCGCGCCAGGTCGCCGACGATTCCCCTCATCCCCGCCTGCTGCTGGTGCATCTCCCATAGCGTCCCAGTCTCTGGTGACCACCCATCTCCGCTCCCCTCCCGCACCCCATCCTCCTTCTCCCCTTTCCCACAGCCATTGGCTCCACCTGCCTCCATCGCTGCTCCCTTCCTTCCGCATACTCCTGTCAGCATGACCTCTGCCTCCAAGTTGGTGCCCACGCTGGCACTCCTGGCCCTGCTCGCCGTCTCGGCCAATGCCCAGGGCCAGAATGTCTCCACCACCATCAATACCTTTAGCGACTCGGTGAACGCCGGCATCTGGGACCTGCCCGTGTGGGTCCGCTACGTCCAGGGCGCCCTCACTCTCGTGGCCTTCCTTGACTTTGCCATCTTTACCGGCTGCTTCCTCTATGGCATGTGTCTCGCCGGGATTGCGTCCAAGGGGTTCTTCAACAAGGTCGGTATCTGCATCCACGACCCCCATGCTATCTGCCATCTGCTTCATGCACATAGTTCATGCACTTAGTTCACGCACATACTTGATGCCACATGCACATGACATACTTGATGCCACATGCACATGACACTTCGCGTCTGCTGACCATGAATACCCTGCCGCCCTGTCCCCTGCAGACCATGCCTTTCTTGTCCTCGATCTTGTTCCTGGTCCTGCGCTTCTGCTACTTCCCGTTCCTCTATGTCCTCATCCCCGTCGCCGGTCTGCCAAAGTTCCCCATGTGGGTCAACCAACTGGTCTTTGTCGGCTTGGTGTTCATGTACATCACCCTGCTGATCGCCCCAGTCACCTTCGGCATCATCTATGCCGTCAAGTACCGCAGCTGGGCCAACGCCAAGCGCGGCGACCCCAGTGTCCTCGAAAACGCCCGCCAAAAGGTCGACCAGCTCAAGCAAGTTCCCAAGATGGTCGTCGTCATGCCCATCTACAACGAGGAACCCGATGCCCTCATCACGGCCGTCAACTCGATCGTCACCTGCGAGTACCCCTGTGCTCAGATCACCGTTTTCCTGAGCTTCGACAGCTCCGAGGAGTCGGAGCTCTTCCTGGCCCTCATGAAGGTCCTGACCCACGGCGGCGAGCGGCCCGAGGGCGGCTATGGTGCCCAGGTCCGCCTCATCTACCGCGGCGTCTACTTTATTGTCAACCGCTTCCCACACGGCGGCAAGCGCCACGTCCAGGCCCTCACCTTTGACCAGATCCGCTACGACCCTTACTTCCAGAAGGACGAGACCCTGATCCTCTTTATCGACTCGGACATTGTGCTGTACGAGGACGCCATGGTCGAGTTTGCCACCGCCCTCGACAAGAACCCCAAGCTCGTCGGCATGACCGGCTTCATCTCGGTTCTCGCCAAGAAACCCAAGTTCTGGTGGTGGTTCCAGGACGTTGAGTATGTCACCGGCCAGGTCTTCAACCGAGCCCTCGAGTCTGGCCTGGGTGGCGTCACCTGCCTTCCCGGTGCTCTGGTAAGCGAACGAATGCCTTGCCTGCTGCACCATCCATCGGCACATTGCCTGCTGCACCATCCATCGGCACATTGCTTGTGCAGCCAAACTCACCGCTCTCGTCTCGTCGTTGCTGCCTTTCCGCCATCCAGACCATGATCCGCCTCAAGCAGCTCACCGTCGCCGCCGAGACCTACTTCTCCGAGCTCGACACCAAGAATATCTTCAACTACCACCGCTACTACCTCGGCGAAGACCGCTACCTGACCCATCTTCTGATGGAGCAGGAAAAGAGCTATGCCATCGGATTCTGCCCCACGGCCCGTGCCAAGACCGAGGCCCCTGCCACCTGGAAGCAGTTCCTCAAGCAGCGCCGCCGCTGGCTGCTCGGTGCCTTTGCCAACGAAGTCTACTTCCTGTCGAGTGCCAAGCTGTGGGCCCGTGCGCCGCTCCTGCTCACCTACGTGACCGCCAACTTTTCGTGCCGCTCGACAGGCTTCTTCTTCTTCATCATTCTCTTCCAGATGGCGGCCGGATCCAAGTTTGACCCGACGGTCATGTACATGATCTGGGTGCCGCTGCTGTTCTTCTGGATCCTCGTCTCGATCTTTGCCATCATTCTCAAGCGCTCCAAGGTCGCGCTGATGTACCCGCTCATGCTCATCCTCAACCCCTGGGTCAACTTCTTCATCAACATCTACTCGATTCGAACCTGGAACCTGCGCTCGTGGGGCGGACCCCGTACCGATGTCGCCTCCCCCGTCGTCGATGTCTGCATCGTCACCGACCTCGTTCCTGACCCGGAGACCCAGACCCTGCGCGACTACGAAGTCGAGGACCCTGCCCTGGGCAAGAAGGTCGTTGTCCAGAAGAAGAACGACACTGCCGACGGCGCCTTCTCCGAGTCTGCCAAGGCCGACACCAAGACCGACCTCGACGAGATTGTCGTCATCCGCGAGCGCGACGATGATGCCTCGACCCTCAATGGAGATGCCACCCGCCGCAACTCCATTGCCTCGGAGCCCGAGTCGTCCGCGCCGACGATGGCTCCCTCGTCCAGCGTGTCTCCCTTCTTCACTCCGGAACCAAGATCGGACGCGCAGTGAAAACCTCATAGCCAACTCCGCCGCCAAAGCCAGCCGCCGTTCGCACGACTTGGATGTGTGTATATTATGTGTATCCCGCGAACACCATGCTTCGTTGTTGGTTTGTTTTTTGCCTCACGTTCTGTGGATCACACAGATCCAACAGCTTCGCATTCCATGCTCTACCGAGCTTCGATCCAGCTATCGACATTGCCACCACCACCGCCATCTCAACCACCACCGCCATCTCAACCACCACCGCCATCTCAACCACCACCACACATCGCACACCGCACCTGGTTCGAAGCTCCATGCTTTAGTCTTGTATCGTTTCCATCTCTCTCTCTCTCTTGCGCTCTTCCTCTCTCTCTCTTTCTCTCTCTCTCTCTGCGAACCGATGCGTCGCAATCTATGTCCTTTTCTATCTCTCTCGCTCGCTTGTTGCTCCTATGAAATTCCAGTTGGTCGATGTGGCTTACAATTAGCCCGAGCACCACTATTGCTACCGTACTCTATCCCTGGCTGCTACCATAAGCAAAAATACATCTCCGATAAGCTCGGGATATCATACCCAAAACCAAAAGCAAACAGGGGAAATCCTAGATATTGTGCAGTCCTGCATGGAGCGAGAGGCGGTGGGGGGAAACCCGTTTTCTGCTGTGGGGAGATGCATGGAGCAAAGCATTATACACTCGCTCCAACATCATTGCATTCCCCCCCCCGCCCACCAAGAGCGTCATTGTGTTGTCTCATGCGGCTTTATTGGAATGGTATCGTATCGTATCGTATCGTTGTCTGCTCCTGAACTTGATCCTATACTTCAGCAACAAGCTATTCGGAAACAAGCAAAAAGGCAAAAAAAAAAAAGGGCGAGACAGAGAGATTGAGGGGATGGCGAAACTAGACGAGCTATAAAACAGACTATTCACACAGTAGAAGCGGCAAATCGTCAACTACATGTTTCCCGAGTGCAGCGTTCACCTCCAAACAAGGTGTGGTGTCAAAGTGACTCTGACCCGCTGCAACAACGAGAACAACAGTCTAAAGACCTTGCAAACGTATGACAATGAAGGCTAGCAACCGACACAAGAACGGTGATCGGGTGTGTGGGAAGAGGAGAGGTAGTGGTGGCAGGAGGTAGTGGTGGTGGTGGTGGCAACAGAGGCATGTCTACGCTCGTCCTTGATTCATCCAGAGGCTGGATGAGCCAGCGACGGGAGGCTGCTTATTGAACCTTGGGAGCGACGCACTTGTCGCCGAGCAGCCGGATGGCATTCTTGGCCGACGACTCGTCGCGACAGTGCTGAATGTTGGGGCAGGCATGAGCTTCAGGCAGGCGGTGTCGCGAGCAAAACTTGGAGTTGCAGTAGCGGCAGTCGCCTGGGAACCAAAGCCAAGCGGGTGAGAAAGGCAGTGTATCAGCATGGATGTGTCGTGCATCCGACTAGTGGCATCCGACTAATGGCATCCGACTAATGGCATCCGACTAGTGGCATCCGACTAGTGGCATCCGACTAGTGGCATCCGACTAGTGGCATCCGACTAGTGGCATCCGACTAGCCCGCCTCCCCTCTCAAATGCGCCGCTTACCAACGATCTTGACAGCTCGGTCGGTGCAACCATCGCATCCACACTTGGGAGCGTTGCCCTTGCGAGTGCCAGATGGGGTACTGGCACCGGAGCCGGCAGGGGAAGCATTCAGCGAGCTGTGAGAAGCGTTCATTGCGGAGGGGTTCTGGTGGCGAGGGTGCAGGTTCACTCCAGAGAAAGAGAATCGGGAGACGATCACCGGGAGACGATCGGATCGATTAGTGATGGATGGAAGCGTAGGCGAAGCGAGGCACCAGGTCTGAAGCGAGTCGGGCCCTGAACGAAGATCAGAGGGCGGGAGGGGCTTGGAAGCCTGGGAACAGGAAAGCGGAGTGACCGAGGAACCGACCGGGGGGTTACGATTCCCAGCCGAGATTTATAGTTCTGGGATGCGATCCGTCGCCCACGGGGTATTTGTTGCCGCCGGGGTCTGCTGCCTCTTGCTGCCGGTCCAGCCCATATTTGTGTGTTGGCGACAGCGAAGCGAGGAGGTCGCAGCGACCGATGCCTCTTGGATGCCGTCCATATCGTCGATGGCCCTGGTGACTCGCTGTTGCCTGCCCCAGAGACAACCCTGGCCTGCACCCCTTTGCCGATGACGGTCTGCGGCTTTACCCTGCAAGCCACCGTCGGCATCACAGCCGGCATCAGCAGATGGCAACAGGCGTCGACAACAGCCGTGGAGATGCATCCACAGTCCGCGGCGAGCAACAACGGCAGCCACACCCGCAGCGACAACCAACGCCCAAAGGTCTGCTGGGCTTGACCAGCCACAGAGCGCAACCTTCGCCACCCCAAGCCGCACAACAAGTCTCGCCATTCGTCAGGTATGGTCTGGCAGCATCAATGGTGTATGGGGGAGGCAATAGCCACCGCATCTAGTTTTAGCGATATCCGAGTTGCGAGGAATCGGAGCGGCTGTCTGCATCAGGCCAAGCCAGGTCGCTTGGCGACAATGACGCTGTTGACCACATCGCCGTGCGGAATGAACGTCCCGAGCAGCACCAACCCGGCCTCGCGGACCATGTCGGCATCGACCGTCGGATAGAGAATGCGTCTCAGCCCATCGGCACTCCGGATGACGACGATGGTGTCTGGGCCGGCGTCAACGGCGATCCTGTTCAGGACCTGGACTTTGGCCTTGCGGTTATCGCCTGCAGCAGCATATCGGGGGCAGTGAGTTCAGCAGGCGGCAAGAGCCATTCGACAAACACAGTCGACAAAGACCACACCACCGATAGTGGTATGATGCACCAGCAGCCGGTTCGTGCATCGCACTGGTGCCGTCACAGCCCTCGGCACAGATTCAGCCGCCAGCAGACACCCGCCTCCCCCCCCCAAATCACCGTCGCCAGCCTGCTTACCGACGAGAGCAGCGACGTGGATGAGGTCGTATCCATCGAGGGGAACCTTGGTGGCGCACGCATTGACGGCCTGGACCAGGGGGCTGTCCGCCGAGCCGTCGTCCGAGCATGGACAGGTCTGGTCGATGATGCGCGAGGCGAGCTCGGTGGCCTCCGGACTAATGTCGACGCAGTCGACGACAAGACCTGGGCTGAACAGAAAGGGGAAGCGACCGGCCATGCCGGCCAGAACGATGGCGGAGAGCGGCAGCGGACCCGAACCCAGGAAGGCGATCCGGGAGATGGGCTCGCACTCGGAGGCGGCGCAGGCGGCCACGGCATGGAGCTCCATCCTGGTTAGATCGACATAGTTCTGGTAGTAAGGAAAGGCGCGGACGGCCTCGGAGGTTGGCTCGGAGGGCTCGGAGGTCGGCTCGGAGGGCCGGGTGAGGCGGGCTGTCCAGTACTGCTCCATGCAGAATTCGCCGTTCGAGGCGATCTTGCGGAGAGCCTGGAGGACGTCGCGCAGCTCGGGCGACTCCAGGAGCTCGTTGGTCAGGGCAGCGGGGTGCGGCTGGATGCAGAGGCCGACGAGCTCCGAGAACAGGGCGTTGATCTCGGGCGACGGATGCAGCTCATCGGGGCGGTACTTTGCGAGCTGCTGGTGGAGGAAGATCAGGCGACGGCGCAGGTGGGAGTCTTGCTCGACGGCATCTGGGCAGTTGGTTCCGAGGCCTTGTCGACGGAGACTTGGTCTGGACGCGATAGGCGACATGTTCCAAGGCCGGGCGAGTGGTGGGAGATTGGACAGCTGCAGAGCAAGAAGAGAGCAAGGCGACGGGTGTGATTGGCGAGGCCTCCGGAGGTTGCTGGATCGCGGGCGGTGCGAGATGTCGCAAGCACGAGCAAGCGGGTATAGAGTGCCAGGGAGACGCGGCGACTTTGAACGGCCAATGGCCCCGGCGGTTGCAGAAGAGCAGAGGAGGAGCAAGAGCGGCCCAGACGAGGTGCGGACGGATAAGTCGGCCGAGCGACTGTGCGGACGATCGCGGCCCAACACCGGGGGACCATGATGCGATGGAGTCCGATGCCGTTATTTTGACTGATGGGCTGATGGGCGAGTGCGATACAGGCGTGCAACAGTCTTCCCCCGCATTGCCGGCTGATGGACCAGGGCCTGTCTGACCTCCGTGCACTCTGGCCTATGCCTGCAAAGGGAAATGTCCCCAGTCGCTATCAATGGATCTGTCAATGGCAGACTTGTTGGCGGACGCAAGAGCGACCCTTGGCCAATCGCAGGCCCGAGAATTGGCCCAGCCACGACCGCGCGCCAGGCATGTCGGCAGCAGCAGCCAATGGCCGGCGGGAGAACGAGGGGAGCCGCTCCGGACACGGCGGGGGCGACGGTGCTGCTTGTCTCGAGACCGAACAGCGATATCGGCAGCAGCGCCCGACTGATGGCGGTGGTGTCGCCCGGCTGATGATGTCGGTGGTATTGCTCGGCCAGTATCGATCCGATGGCTTTGTTGCTTTGGCTGCTCTGTGGCAGTGCAGCCGCCTGGATCGACCCGCACTCGAGCCAATCGCGCCAGCCAATCGCCTCCGCCCCCGTCGTTTGGTCGTTTTGGTCGTTTCGTTGCGCTTCACCGCGTCGGTTCTTTCTGGAATTGATCGTGCAGCCCAAGCCCAGGCACAAGCACAAGCCCAAGCCCAAGCCCAAGTTCAAGCCCAGGCTCAAGCCCATCAGCAGCGATGGACATCCTCAACGCCCCCGGCACCTGCTCGCATCCTCCCGCCGGTCATGACCACGACCACGATCACAACCACGGCTCGTGCTCCTCCGGGTCAAGCGGCCTGCCCTCCTTCCTCAGCATCTTCGTCACCGACCCGCACTACAGAGCCTTTGCCCTCGCTTTCCTGGCCAGTCTCGGCACCTTTGTCGGTGGCATCGTCGCCGTCGTCCTCGGCGCCTGCATCGGCGTCTCCGGAACAGCAAAGTCGACCTCGACCCTGCTCGGCGTTCTGCAGTCCTTCTCGGCCGGCGTGATGCTCTACATGACCTTTGTCGATCTTGTTCCCGAGTCGGTCGAGGCCCTGGGTGCCCGCACAACGATGATCTGGTTCTTTGTTGGCGTTGGACTGTTCCTGTTCTTGGAGATGTATCTTTTCCCCGAAGACGCCCACGACCACGCCCACGACCACGGACCCGACCACGGACCCGACCACACCGATGCCAAGACCCGCACCGACCACTCAAAGAAATCATCTGCTGCTCCATCCCAGCCGGGCCATGTCGACATCAGTTCCGCCAAGGGCCGCAAGGAGCTCTTCCGAACCTCGTTTGTCACCTTTGCGGCCCTCGCCCTGCATAACCTGCCCGAGGGCCTGGGCGTCTACCTCTCGACCCTCTCTGACATCCGCCTGGGCATCCAACTGGCCCTCGCCATCATGCTGCACAACATTCCCGAGGGCATGGCCGTCGCCATCCCGCTGTATGTTGCGACGGGCTCCGTCTGGATGGTTCTGGTCATGACGCTGCTCAACGGCCTGGCCGAGCCTCTGGGCGTCGTCGTCGGGGGATACCTCCTCAAGGACTTGCTTTCGCCCGAGGTGCTGAGCTGCTGCCTGGCGGCGGTAGGTGGCATCATGGCCTGCATCTCTCTGCACGAGCTGCTCCCGACGGCCCTCCGCTATGCTGGCAAGGAGCGGACGACCATCTCTCTCTTTGTCGGCATGCTCGTCTGCTTCGTTGCCCTCGAATCCGTCAGCGTGCTGATGGAGGGCGGCCACCTGCACTTCCACGGCGACCACCACCACGACCACCACCACGATCACCACCATCACCACGGTCACAGCGAGCTCTGAGCGTCTGCATCGGCTGTATCTGATAGACCCCGCACATCCCGATGTGGAATACAGGCTTTTGTTGCAGACCATCTGGGCATCTCTTTCTAGTGCACCATCGCGGCTTTGTCGCAGCTACGTCGTGGCTGCTGTCATCCAGCGCTCGCTGAGGGGTGCATTGGTACCATGCATTCCCGCCTGCGTGCCGAAAGCCCGAGGCCGCGAATGCAGTCTCCTGGCTTGGGATCCTGCTTGTCTGCGGTCAGGTTTGCACAGCAGCGGCGGTTCCTTGGCATCGCCGCCGCTTTGGTCGCGCCTTTCGGTCTTGGCCTTCCCATCCTTCCCACCGATACATCTGCCCCTCGACGGAACCCATACTCCCTCCCTTCATCGCCGTGCTTGCTGGCATCTCCTGCACTACCCCCTCGCATTCGATACTCTCACTTCCGGCCCTCGACCCCCCCCATGTCTGACCCTGGATTCCTCACCGAAGAGATCGCGCAGTCGCTCTCGGACAGTGAGAAGGCCTATCGCAGCTATCTGCTCGATACGCTGATCACCAACCTGGTCGTGCTGCGAGAGCAGACGTGGATCGGCAACGACGACTTTGGTAGGGCACTGTTTTGCTGATGGTCGCTAGGAGTCTGCTTGCACTGACCATCGTCCCCGAAGGGTCTATCCGTCGCCTGCTCCTGGCCGAGTTCGGCCTTCCCCCTGGGTCTATTCCGCCCATTATCTTGTCTGTCCTGGGGTGGCGAGCAGGAAGCCGGTGCACGACGACGCCCAGAGTCCCCATCCCGTTATCCCCTCGCATACCTTTTGTCTCTGTGCCATATACCGCATCAAATACTGCGTCGCCGTCGCTGTTGCCACCGATCGACCGCAGCATCGTCCACCCCATGCCCCTGTTGCTCAAATGCCCCATTCTCTTCCTCCCCACAACCAGATACCATCAGCAATGCCCTGAATCTCGAAAAGTTCGACCCGGTGTCAGCTGCCCTCGGGCCCAATCTCGAGTCTGCCGCCCGCGGCATCGGCAACACCTACTACGACGATCCAACCCGCAAGAACGGTATCCGCGGCCTGCTCAAGGGCACCAACTATGGCCGAGGCCACCGGCCCCCGAACAGCGCCAACGACGAGGACGACCAAGCCGACGACTACCAGCAGCAGCAGCAACAGCGGTCGCGCCAGGGCTCGTCGGCCTCAACCTCGTCCGGCGGCAAGCTGGGTGCCTTTGGATCGCAGGTCGGCGGTGCAGCCACTCGCGGCCTCAAAAAGCTGGGCACAATGACGAGCGGGGCTGCCAGCAGCATCACCCGCAAGAACAGCGAGCCCAGCCCCGTTCGCCGCTCGTCGACCCTGACCAGCCCAACCACCATCAGCCGGCCCAGCATCGAGCCCGAATCGTCCAAGTTTGACTTTTACTATGTCGGCATCAGTGAGTTTATCTCGGACGAGCCGGGCGATCTGTCGTTCCGGGAGGGCGATGTGATCGAAGTGATCGAAGAAGGTAGGCGCTCACGGCCATATGCGTTCCGTTGCACCGCGCTCTATGGTCTTGGTCTGCGAACGAGCGACATGCGACATGCGACATGCGACATGAGGATTTGCTCTCCCTGTGCATGGCGCCGATTGCATCGATTGCATCGATTGCGAGTCTTCTTCGACTGACGACGGAATGCTATTCTTGCCCTCACATTCACATCCATTCTGCTGTCTTTGAAATGTAGTCGACGAAAACTGGTGTGAAGGACGCTGCCGAGGCAAAGAGGGGCTCTTCCCGGTGACGTACTGCCGCAAGGAGCATCGCGGCAGTTCGGGTCCTCCCAAGCTCCCATATCGTCGCTGAACAACCCCACACCCGGCAGCCACGATAACATTACTGCTGCCTCGTCCAGTCCAGTCCAGTCCAGCCCAGTCCAGTCCAGCCCTCGATGCAGCACAGTCGCTGGTCATTGATGTGGGCTTTATCGAGTACTTACTTCCACCCCCACTCTCTCGCGCTCGCGACCCTGTGACTATACAAACATGGTCGGTCTCGGCAGAAGTACGCCGGCTCGCATTCGGCCACCACCGGGCCGCTTATCCTCTGGTTGTATTGCAGTCATCCGAGAGCTCTCAATAGACCGAACCGTCTACACCATTTGATGATGCTCTTGTCATTGCTGTCTCCCTCACATTCTCACTGGCACTAGAAGGCACACATGCGCAGCGATGATGGAGATCCCACTGAGCACCATTGGTTCCAGAACTTTATTTCTTGCGAAACAACGGTGCGATCCTCGATATGCAAGCTGCGGCGTATCCCGTGAGGACACCGACAACGACCACAACGGCTTGGGTATTGTCGCATTCACCACAATTTCCACCATCGCCACAGTCATGCAAACTCGGCTGTCCGACGACGATGCCAATTTGGAGCGCGCACTCGATTTGATTTTGGTGTCTTCGGCTGTTTGGGAAACTCGACTCAATACTTTGGGGGCACGGAGCCAGGATCGGACTGTGGCTCTACGTATTCACATTCACATGGGCGCCACTTGCGTTGTCCGCCCAGTCAATGATTCTGCCGTCGATGGCCGCACGGATGACTGTCTCATCCGGTCTCGAGCTTCCGGGTGGGATTCGAAGCGAGATCCCCGGTGTTGGCCCGGGTTGTGTTGCTGTTGGTGTTGAGGCTGGTGCTGGGATGCTCGCTGAGATGGAGAGCAAAGAGTACTTTCCGAAGGGCCGGATCTGGGCGCGCCGTGCTGGCTATCCGAGTTCATCTCGTCGTCAATGGGCCGCTTGATCAGCCTGCGATAGAGCAGATACATGATCACCGAGAGCACCACCACCGTCGACGGCAGCGTTATCATCACGGCGACGGAAGGAATGCGAATGCTCCCTTGGCCCTGCGCCGTTGTGGGACTGTTCCAGTCATTCGAGAAGGAGCCGCCTGCTATATCGCTGTCGCCAGTGGAGTTGGTCAGTCGGAGCTCCTCTGGCGCAGACGACACAAAGCTGGAGAACAGCACAGGAGTGGATGCCGGGAGAGTGTCGATGTTCTCCGTCAGATCAGGTGTCAGCGCGGACGGAAGGAATCCGGGGGGCGAATCCAATGTCCCACTGGCGGGGGAGGTTGAGGTTGAGGTCGAGGTCGAGATTGAGTTCTCAAGCTGGCCAGGCGAGGACTCGAAAGCATGAAGCACAGCAATGTAAAACGACTGCGTGGTTGTGTCGACATGTGTGTGAACCGATGCGTGCGGAGGAGTGCACTCGCTGCAGACCTGCGGACGATCCAAGTCAAAGGTGGCCTCGATGCTACAGCCGGTGCAATTGGCAAGGGAGCAGCCTCCCAAGCACTGGAGACTCGGAGCCAGCACGGCCGAGCTGTTGAGCATGCATATGCTTCCGTGCCGACAGAGGCCGGTTGGCTCGCCTTGGATGACCATGCGGCCAGCGAAAAAGTCCAAGGGGTCGATGGCCGATGCGCTGGTTGACTCGTAGTAGACGCTTGTGTCGTAGGAGTAATCCCAGCCCGTCTCGAACTGCGAGAGCGCCCAGAGACACTGGATCCGCACGGGGAGCCGCGAAAGCTGTGGGATGTAGAGGCATGTCTGGTTGTCGAGATCGCAGAGCGCATCGATGCTGCTGTTGATGATGGTCCGCAGCAATGGCTCAGAATAGAGGACAAAGGAGTCTGCGATGCTTGCGACCGAGCAGTCGCTGGTGGGCTGGCCAAAGTGATAGACAGCAGCAAAGGCTGGGCTCGCAAAGGCGTCGCGCAGAAAGGAGAGCTGGAGAGCAAAGGTCCAGATGCATCCTGGAATCATCCAGTGAGCCATTTGAGCACCGGAATCAATGCAGCAGTGGGGGGGATGGCGGATGGATGTTGCTGATCCCACGTTTGGCGATGTTGGGCTTTGTGAATCGACTTTGACCAAGCTGTGGATGTGCGTGTCCTTGCGCGATTCAGGTGCGAGTCGGCAGAGGTTCTTCAGGACAGATCCGAGAGTATCGGTGTCTGGAGAGAGAAATTCAGCACCGACAAAGGGCAGATAGTCACCACGGATGGGTGGGATGAACGGGTGCAGACCGCCGCTGGGTTACTTCCAGCAGTACGATTCTGAAGCGATGTCTTGGGCAGATCCGCCTGGCCAAGCCAAGACATCTCTGGCAACAATGCCATTGCCGCGAGGATAAGGGCTAGAACATATGGGGAGGATGTGTCCTGCCGAAATACGTCTGGCATTCGGGTGATGCAGCGGGGGCGGCTGTCGGTGATGTGTGATCCATGCAATATGCATTCGCGTGGATTGGGATGGCGTTTCGCTCTCCTTGACAGCGGCTGCTGAGGAAGCGGAGCCTTTTTGTGCGCCAAGAGAGCTATGTGCGAAAGGCATATGCTGCGGCTCTGAAGCGCTTGCGATGGAATGAGCCTTTGGGCATACTCAAAGGTTCCGCCATCTCACTGGTCGCATCGGGAGTATCGCCGTGATCATCACGAGGCCGCTCACTTCGATAGAATTGTATTCAAACTGGATGCGCCTTGGGGCCCTTGATTCCTCACATGGCCAAGCCAAGCGCAAGGATAAGAGTGGCGGATGCAAGAAGAGGAAGAGTGGCATACACCGATGTGGCCAAGGCACCGGACATGAGGTTTGATCCGGCTGTGGTTGGGGACGCCGCATTGGTGCTGGTCAAGGTTGAGGTGCCGGTGCGGGATGCAGATACCGAGGCGGTCGTGGTGGTGGCATTTTGCAGGCCGCTGATGCCCGATCGGTACCAGGGCTTGTTCACACAGGTACCGACGGGCTCGATGTTGAGCTTGATCTCGGATCGATGCTGCTGAACATACTCGAGGATGCCAAGAACCACACCACTGGTGAAGGGGTCAATGTCGTGGCTGAGTGAGACGAAGCTGACTGACGAGTTTGGGAACCAAGTCGACGTCGCCTGATTGATCAGCTTGGTCGCAAGCGCAGCGCTAGTCGAGGACTGGTCGGCGGCCGTGTCGTCCTCGATCCAGATCGTGATCGTGTAGCCGAGGGCATTGAGGACGGCGCGCACTCGATCGTCGATGTCGCCATAGGGAGGGCGGAAAAAGTTGGGAACCTGGCCAGTGGCGTTGTAGATGATGGCCTCCGTGTACTTGATCTCGGCCACGATCTGCTCGTTGGTGCAGGCAGTCAGAGGGTGGTGTGTCCAGGTGTGCACGCCGATCTGCTGGCCGTCGTTGTATTCATCGAGAATGATCTGGGGGTTCTGGATGGCGTTCGATCCGACAATGAAGAAGGTTCCCTTGACGTGCATGGCATCGAGCTGGGTGTGGATGGCAATCGAGTCATTGTGAGAGACAGGATCGATCGTGGGCCCGTCGTCAAAGGCGAGACCCCAGGTTCCCGGCTGAGGGCAAGTGTAGACATCAGCCTCGTAGCCGTTCCCCGGGGCCGAGCGAACACAGAGGTTGTAGGGCCAATAGCAGTAGGCCGTGGCTATCAAGTAAAAGTTGCGTGGGCAGTAATGGAGATGATAGAAATGGACAGGATGGAGAGATTCAGTCAGGCAATGCTGAGAACACGCCGACGATAGAGCCGGCCTTCACAACAACGTGGGCAGAATCGAGCCAACTTGTGCGGACGCAGAGGCCAGGACACTTACGATCCGACTTGTACTGAACCGTCGAGTCCTTGATGTAGGTCGACACAGGCAGATTCAGCAACGAGGCCGGGACGACAGACTCGACATATGCCAGGGCTCTGAAGCAACGAGCATCGACTGGGGATCAGAAAAAATCTGTGGCGGTGTGCGACACATGACGACAGCTGCAAAACAGATCGTGGGCGGCGGAGCCGGAGACCCAAAGTTGCTTACTCCTGCACGAGGGGATCTTTAAGGAGATCGCCCGTGATGAACTTGGACTGGTCGACCGACGGCCACGCTGTCGATGTCAAGCAACGATGGTTTACATCGGGAAGTGTCAAGAGGAGTGCCAGAGTCACCGCCGGCAGAATGCACAGAGCATATATGCTGGATACAACTTACTTGCAGGCATCGGAGGAGGGATCTGAAGGACAGGTTGGCCAGTCGAGACCGTGGCCGCGGCGCTTGAGGTGGCCGAGGGAGTCGAGGAGTCGGCGGCCATAATTTTGAAGCCGCCCAAGTTGATGTGGCTCAGGTCGAAACCGAGGCCATAAGCAGTTTGGACGGCGCCGAGCACACTGAAGATCAGGAGCGAACGCATGCTGGTGTTGGATACGGGAGACAGCCGGACGAGGAGTGAGACCGAGCGACCGAGCGAACAAACGAACAAACGAACGAACGAGCGAACGAACGAACGAACGAACATCGAGCGAACATCGAGCGTCTTTTATGACCTTGGGCTCTTCCGCTCGGACAAGCAATGGAGCCCAGCGATCGTCTCACGACGCGTGTCAGCACAGCCCGCCGCTTGCTCGGCCAAAGCGCTGTGTCAGCCCGACGCCACACAGATTGCCTTGTGAAGGGCCTGTTCCGTGTGTGGGGCACTGCCGAATCGGATTGTTCGAAGCGCGCTTCGGCCATGGGCTTTCCCCAGCGGCTCTGCCCCAGGAAGCAAAACACCAAACATATCCGGATCCGCTCCGAAGCTACCTGTTCCAAACGAGCTGCCTCGCTGGTCTCCCAGCGATGTTTGCGCTCTGGCATCAGCGATATCCGCAGGCAGATCCGACCAGGGCCTCGACAGCACTCGCTCGACGGCGATGCAGGCCTGTCGGGCTGGGGGAGTTGAACAGCGTTGCAGCAAACATAAGAGCCCGCCGCTGTGCTCCTCCACTGCCGCCGCTGATCCTTTCTCTTTGCCGAGGATGATGACTAACGAGGAAGAGGCGATGTCACTTCAGTTGATGATCGCAGAGTATCTGTTGAGCATTTGGAAACAAAGCTCAACAAAATGAATCGCGCTGTGGCCACTCACCCGCCCAGAGACCCCACCCTGGTTGGTCGCTGTGGACGCCGCGCTCAAAGATGAGGGCGATGGTCCCGAGTCCTTGCTTGCCGGCGTCGATGGGGCTGTGGACGAACATTCGACCGAGGTCAACACCAGGGCCGACCTCGTCTCCGCCGTACCAAGGGCTCGACAAGTGTCCGATGCCGTGCAGCACCGCCGCCTGCCCTCGTTCGCTGCTCGGGATCATGTCCGCGGGCGGTCTGTCGCTGCGGAACCTTCCACTTGGGCCTCGGCTTCTGTGTTTGGGGTCTCGTTGATGCTGATCCCTGCGGCCAATCGCATAATGGCTTTGGCCCATGGCCTCGACCCTTGTCCGCCGGGGCCATCAGCCAACGCCAAGGCTGTTCGGCTGTCTGACAATCTCTCGTTCATCTCCTGGACCCCTCCGCCACCCCCGAGGCTCAACGCGGCGCTTCGATTGTGGCTCAGTTGACGACAATGGGCCTCGGGCGACATTGCCGCAGTCCGAGCCTGTGAGACACTTGCGGACTCGTCCTGCTTCGTGCGCCGAGTCCCGTCCAGGAGGCGGAATGTTCTGTGGGGCGTGTTCTTGTTTTTTCCCACAAAGCCTCGAACGAGTCGGCCCGGCCAGACGCCCTGAGCGGCTTCGGGAACTCCAACACCCGACGGCTCTGCACATAAATGCCCGCTTGGGTCGGGTCGAGAAAAAGTCTGGCCCAAGCTCCCAGGATTCGTCTGCTTTCGTATTCCACTCGTAATCCAACCGCAGTGTCGGCCACGATGCAACCTCGCTCGCCAAAGACGTTTTTCCTTGCCGCTCTGGCTTTTGCTTGGCGCTCGAACGCAGCTCCCGCTGGACATGCGATCGCGAACGCCAAGGTCTCAGCGGGCAGTCCGATGGCCTTGAGCCTCGCTGCCGCAATGGCACCTTCGCTGCAGATTCCTCCCCCCATGCCAGCAGGTAGTTGTTTGCCCTCGACTCGTTTCGAAAACTCGGCTTGCTTGATCGCTACCAAGGATGCACAGTCACCGACATCACGGCATAACTAACCCACCCGAACCCCGTCCTCGTGCGATATGGTCGACGGGACTTTACAGCCTGGCCTCCCATCGACCAACAACACTTCATCCCGGACTCGTTCTTGCAGGACCCACTTGTCCAAGAGTAAGTCGGATAGCTGAGGCAGATAGTGCTCGTGACTTGAAACATCCCGACTATAGTGATGGCATGATTGAATATGGGCCTGGTGTGTGTCGAGTTCCCCATGCCTGACTGTGCAGTGTCTTGTGATCTGGATCTCCAGCGCCTGGGCCTATGTGCAATCGGTTGTGCCGGCCAATGTCCTCAACATCGCCGTGTCCACATACATCAATGGGCCCACGGTAACCTACAACTCTGATCGTGAGTGCTTTCCATACGCTCCTCCGGATCATCGATCCTACACCTGTCAATGGCTCACCCAAATGGAGCAGTCTTGAGTTGGTGAACCCTGTGGGCAATCCTGCCGAGGAATGATACTCATCTCCTCCCTATTCTGGTCCGCTCGCAGCCGTTGCCAATTGCTACTGGCCCTACAACCTGTGCATGCGCACTACTGCCACCCAGTACTACCAACCCGATGTCTTCCAGTGCCCCCAACAGAGTACCTGGGGCCTTGCCTTTGATGACGGGCCCACCAATGATACTCTCAATCACTACGACTCCATTGCCATCCGCCAACAACTCGACAAGATGAAGATCAAGGCCACCTTCTTCATCGTCGGCACCAACCTCATCATGAGACCCAATATCGTCCTCGATGAGTACAACGACGGCCACCAGATCGGCGTTCACACCTGGACACACCACCCTCTGACTGCCTGCACCAACGAGCAGATCGTGGCCGAGATCAAGTACACGGAAGCCCTGATCTACAACACCACCGGCCAGGTTCCCAACTTTTTCCGCCCTCCCTATGGCGACATCGACGATCGAGTGCGCGCCGTCCTCAACGCCCTCGGCTACACGATCACCGTCTGGAGCAAAGACGATTTTGCTGCCGATCAATCCTCAACCTCATCCACAATCGAGCAGGGTCTCGTTCAGAACGTGACAACCGAATGGTTTGCCCCCAACCAGCCTGGCTTTGTCTCCCTCAGCCATGACATCACCCCATTCACTAGCCACGTCGTTCTCGACTACCTCACGTATGTCGACCAGAACCGCGCCAATATTCATCTCACCATCGAGCCTGTGGGTACATGTGTGAACAAGCCCTGGTACCGCAGCGGCACCAACGCTCCAGGCGGCTCTCCAAGCGGCTCTCCCAACACCAGCCCCTCAGGCAGTGCACCTGGCAGCAGCGCTTCGGCCAGCAGCAGCCCCTCTGCTGGATCTGGCAACTTGAACAGATCCAGTGCCGTCCGAGTAGGAGGATCCGTCGCTCAACTTTTTATGACTGCCGTCGGCAGCGCCCTTGCTGGCCTGATTATTGCTATGTTCTAACAAGGGTTGACTTTCAAATTGCGGTGGGGCGGGGGGAGGCTCGAAGAGCAGGTAAAAGTGCGTATGTCCTCATAATGGCCAAGCAAACACGATTCGGGCGAGATCGAGCACCATTTGGGAGACTTTTCCTACGGCTTGCTTCGTTGGATGTTGCTTAGAGCCTCGATTCTGTTGACCCGGATCTACCGCAAGCCGACTGCCACACTCTGCTACCTCGCTTGATCCTATTGGGCTTCAAAAAGTCCGAACCTGGCTGATGGAGGTGCTTATGATAGCCATATTCATGACGGGTTTGCACGAAGGGGAGATCTCACCGGTCGAGGCTTCTCGGGCTGGACTCGGGATGGTGTTGTGGCTCTGCCCGTAGCGAATGGATGCATGGGAGTTGGCAAGCCAGCCCGAGCCGCGACCATCCCCGAAACCTTGGCTGGTGCTGATTGTGTGCGGGCAGTCTCCGGCACAGAGCGGTATGATTGGCAGCGACAACCTTCGGCTCGTCGAACATGAGCATTCCCGATCGCATCGATCGGCACAGCACCGAAAGGTTCTTCCTTCGCTCCCTTGCCTCCGCAGCTGCAATCCACCGATCCCGTCGATTCTGTCGGCTCAGGCCGCCCCGCCAGCGCTGTTCTTCCCACGCGTGCCTCCCCTCTCTCCCCTCTCTCCTGCGCCTGCGCTCGATCCAGCGCGGGTGGACACAACCAAAACTTTCGGCGTGGATTCGATGAGCATGCACCGCTGCGCGAAACAGAAATCTGTGGCTGGTCGTGGCTGGTCATGACTGGGCGGATTGCGCGGGCTGGTCGTTGGGATGCATTGGTCGAGTGCGAGTGCGAGTGCAAGTGCAAGTGCAAGTGCAAAAGGCAGGGTCAATGTGGATGCGAATGCAGCTTGAGCAGCTTGTGCGTCCCGATCGCCCGATGTGCTGCTCTCCGTTGGCGAACTTTGGATGCACGACCTCGGGTTTGTCAAAGGCAGTCCGGCTGCGTGCTTTCGGAAGCGACCAGCTCGAGCACATGCTATTGGACAAATCCATCGGCCATTCCAGACGCAATCCTTCGCTGGCCGAGACGCATCCGAGAAAGCACGATGGGAGTACTTCCCCTGTACACACTCTCCACGCGCCGCACGACAGACCCCACAGGCCCGCCGGCCCCCTTAGCTGGCTGCCCAGAAGCTATTCGACACAGACTTGAAGGACATTCGACACAGATTGCTCCTTGGCGGTGTGCATGCTCCCCGCAAGGCTTCTTGCAAGGCTCCACAGCGCAACAGCCGCATTCTGGTCTCGCACACGCCGCCTCCCCCTTGCTCCAGAGCACACGCGCAGGCCAGGCCGACTCGGCATGCCGCCGCCAAACGCGCGGCGCTGCACCGGCCCGGTGGGAACTTTGTTGCCGAGCAGTTTTTCCCGCGCGCCGTGTCACAAACAGTGCCGCGAGGGGATGTGCGACTGGTCGGGCTGCGCTGGAGTGGGGCTGCGTGCTCGTGGACAGCGAGCGCACGTTCGCGGCCATCCAGCCCACGGGCCACTGGTCTGCCAGCCCCCGCTTGCGTCGCGGGGGCGACAAGGGCGCTGAGCCAGAGACATATGCTTGCCCTTGTTGGGGATGTATGCGTGCGCTCCGGGCTGGTGTCTGTTGGCTCTGTTCGCTCCGTTGGTTCTGTTCGCTCTGTTCGCTCAGCTGGCGCTGTTAGTTCTGTTCGCCCAGTCGGTTCTGCTGGTAGTCGCACTTGCACCCGCACTCGCACCCGCACTTCCCCTCTGTATCACCCCCTGCCCAATCACCGTCGCGCGCGCCCGTTCCCACGCGGCCCTTGGTCTTGAGGCCCCCCCGGCGCATGCATCCAGTCCTGGCCTTCCGGCTGGGGAATCATCCAAGCGCACGCGCTGCAACTGCAGACCACCCGCCTTCCCGCTTCTCGTCCTTTCAGTTGTCCCGAATGTTCGCGCCCGAACATGCAGAGCGTCCAAGCAGGAGGCGTTCGGGCTGCAGCGACCACGGTCGGGGCATAAATACGCCGCGTTGCCGCCTCTCCCTCTCCGTCCTCACCCACCAGCAATCTCCTCTCCTCGACTGCTCAAGGATCCGCAAAGATGCTTTTCAAGACCGTCGCCGCCACTGCTCTTGCTGCTGCTTCCCTCGCCGTCTCGGCCGTCGCTGCTCCCGCCAAGGGCAAGTACTTTGACAAGTTCATCTTTGTCATCCTTGAGAACAACGACTACCCCGATGTCATGAAGGACCCCTACTTCGCCTCCCTGGCTGCCCGCGGTCTCCTCATGACCAACTACCACGGCACCGTCCACCCCTCCCAGCCCAACTACTGGTCCACCGTTGGCCAGTCCACCTACCGTGATCTGATCGACCCCGCCACCAACACCATCATCAACGGTGACAACGGTGACGACTCCTTCAACATCACCGGCCGTACCAACATTGCCGATTCTCTCGAGAACGCTGGCTACACCTGGAAGATCTACTCCGAGAACTACCCCGGCAACTGCTTCACCGGCCACGGCGCCGGTGACGAGCTCTTCCCCAACGGCACCGTCAAGACCCCCAACCGCCTCTACCAGCGCAAGCACAACCCCTTCATCTCCTACATGCAGATCCAGACCAACGCCACCCGCTGCAAGAACCTGGTCTCTGAGACCGAGTGGGCTGCCGATCTCACCGCCGGTACCCTCCCCGACTACTCGTACTACGTTCCCAACCAGATGAACGATGCCCACGACAGCACCATCGCTTACGCCTCCAACTGGCTCCAGGGCTTCATTGAGCCCGTCCTCAACAACTCTGCCCTCAACGCCGTCCGCACTCTCATCCACATCGTCTACGACGAGGACGAGACCGCCTACAACCTGTACTACAGCACCAACCCCCCCGGCCAGCTCGCCAACTGCACTGACCTTGTCAACAACTGCCCCGGCGATGCCAACAACAACCGTGTCTACTCTCTCCTCCTCGGCTCTGCTGTTTCCTGCCAGGTCAACTCCACCGACAACACCCTCTTTGACCACAACTCCATCGTCTCCACCATCGAGGACAACTGGGGTCTCTCTCCCATGACCCCCTACCAGTCCTGGCCCCTCTTCCCCCTCAAGGACTGCTCTACTCCCTACAAGTGTGTCCCCAAGTACTAAATGGTACTCCTAGATAGATTCTTTCCTGCCCACCACATCCACCTACCACTTCCACTTTGAATCGCTCTTTGTTTGATACAGTATTGTAATCACTGTGCCATATTGTCTCTGCTCAAATTTTTGTCTCTTTGCAAAGAAGCGTCTGGAAATGAAAATAAATTTGCTACATTAGTGCTGTTCGAGCCACTTACTCGCATCTCTTTGGTCTCGCTGAGTGGGGCTCGCATAATCTCGGGTTCTGGGACAGGGGCGGACTCGCAATCGTAGCAGCAAACAACCCTCTGGGTACCATCGGCAAAGTGGATTGTCCCCTCGCGACCTTGTCTGCCTGTCCCATATGTGCACTCTAACTCCACGCCGATCCGTAGCTCGCGGTCCCCCTCCTGCCAACCCAGCAGCGCACGTTTGTGCCGTTGAGCTGCCGTGGAGAGTGGTTTTGATATCCATCGTGCCTTTCGACAGCAAGCCAGCAGCAACGTCTTCCGCTTCGTTGGCAACAGACCATCCCGGGGATTGCCGCTGGCTGCACGTTTGCAATGCGCGAGAGCATGCCTGTTTTGTACCATTCGGCGCATCCACATGCCCCACCCGATGGGAGAGACAAATGAGGGGGGTCCGACCCGGCGATCTGCAATCCTCGCCAGCCGCACAGTGCCCGCACGGCCTCGCTCCATGTCGACGCCTCTCTCATCCCATCCCGGCCGCTGTTTCCGCTGGATTGGCCATCGGACACCATGGTTCCCTGGCTGGTCGGTCTCCCCAAACGTGACATTTTGAATGACCAATCCCGTGCAGCACTCGATCTCCGTGGACCTCATGCTCTCCACCTCACGTCCTCGCAAGGTGGCATGCTCGCACATGAAGCGCCTGATTGTTAAAACGTGTCTGTAGTAGATGATCATGGATGGGTCGTGCTCGAGACAGCCATCCAAAGCGTGACCCAGCTGAAAAAAAAAAGGTCGGGTCGTGACGGTGCGGTGTGCAAAGCGGTGTGCTGGACGATAGGAACCTCAACATCCGCCAAGGTCGCCTCCTCCATCGCCAAACACGATGTGCCCCGGCAGCATCTTGTCAGCCGGTAGCATACTTCAGGTCAGCCAGACGAGACCTCACTGCTGCTTCTTGTCTTCAAGAGGTACATGGTTCTTCTGGGCCTCCAGCTCATCCTTGGCAAGGGTCAGGAGCTCCTCAAATGCCTTGGCATACTCCTGAACAATCACACGAGCCGAGCCGGGTGCGAAGAGGAGATCGTCGCTTTCGTCCTGGTCGAGGTCCATCAGGACCGAAATCACAATTTTGCCGTCGTATGAATAGATGGTGGTGCCCAGGGCGTTGGGTGCGGGCTGCGGGATGAGCCCGACGACATTCTCGACGGCGCTACTGCCCCAGTACAGCTGGCTGGCCGGCCCAGGAACGTTGGTAATCACGGCATGGACCTTGTAGGCTGTGAACTGGGTCCTACAGACAACCACAGCGGTCAGAGGGGATCACAGACATGTCAGCACAAGCAAGTGACAGAGGCACCTTTGTCCAGTGGATGCGTCGCTACCAACATCCAACCTTCCATCATCGGAATGACGCCACACAAGTGCGGCAGCCTCTGAAGCGACAGTCGAATGACCATCCGATCACCACAGCAGCTTCATCGACAGCCTCATCGCCAGTCAGCCTTACCACTTGGGCAGCAAATTGACCCAGTGCCAGAGGATCGGGATGAAGCCAAAGTACATGTGCGGCTCCATGGTTCCTTTCTGGGCCTTCATTCTCTTGGACACACTCTGCAGGTGTCGCACCCGTTCACCCTTCGAAACCAGGGGCAGGTTGAGCATGTAGCCAGACGTGCGGTTGCTGACACTCCAGTCGTCATGCCTTCTCATCGATGTCGGCACAAGCACCCAAAAGCTGGAGTCCTTCAGGGCATTCTGTGACTCAAGATAACGTTGGATGGCCACACCCATGCAGCTCATCAGAACGTCGTTGACGGTGCACCGGAACGTGTTCTTGATGAGCTTGACTTCAGTGAGGGAGATGGGCTCGGCCGACCAGGCGACTTGTTTGTTCGCTGTCATGCGGGATCGGCTGAAGGAGTGCTTGAATGAGGCTACAAGACGCAGGCCAACAAAGATGGCCATGAGGATGCCAAAGACCATGTAGGCCAACAAGATTGATGACCGCGAGAGCTTCTCGAGGGTCTTGCGCACATCGTGCTGCTTGGGTTTGTCCTTGGAGTCCAGGTGGCTCGGAGCCGGCTTGCTGGTGTTTGTCGCAGCCGAGCCGCTGTGTTGGTTGCCCTTGTACATCATTTCCGATACCTCCGTTTCGGGCGAGATCTCCGAGATGTACTTGAGCAGAGCCCGGACAAAGCCCTGGCCATCGGCGATGGCGTGCTGTTGCAATCGGATTGAATCGGATTGGGAAGTGAGCACGGCGAAGCGCTGTTGGATAAGACAAGACATGGGCAGACTGGCATGGACCAGGGACACTGGACATGGGCCGATCGGGCGACATAGCAAACCAGCAAAACACCCATGCCATCTTGAGAGCTGCCACCCAGTCCAGGTGTCCGCGTATCCATCTTGCAACCGCGGACTTGGGGCCCGATGCAACAGCTCCTCCAGCCACGAATACATACATGGACTTTGAACAGATACACCGTTTTGGCTCCGTCGAGGGCACCTCGGAAGTAAATGCACTCCCACAGAGGCTTGTTGAAGTCAAACTTTTTGGAAAAGTGCTCCGAGGCGAGATCTTGGATCTGCTCGAGGGTCCCAGGCGCAGGCTAGGATGCGACATGAGCATGCACGAAGCAGCGACAATCGATCAGCACACAGCGGCATTGGATCAGCACTCTGCGACCGAGTGACGATCACCGGACTATCCACAGCGGCGGCGAAAGGGTGGGCATGGGCCTTCCTTGGCGCAGTTCAGTCCGTCTCGGTCATGGTTCTGCACACAACCTGCCCACTTACCACATCGACGACGGTAAAGTGATTGTCGATCGAATAGTTCTCGTCCGCAACAAAGTAGGGCCGGTCAAAGATGTCGTTCTTGTTCCAGACAACTCGCTTCAGACACCGGCCCGTGATACGTGCAAATCCATCGATGTTGGACTTGAGTTCGCTGATGCTGACGAGCCGACTGAGGGTGTAGACCCCCGCAACGCTCATCTATGGTACGCAGAGAGTGCGGCTGTGTGAGTGCCAGGCGGGCAGCACCGAGCGGGTGGTACCAACCAACCAACCAACCAACCCGCTGCTGGATCGGCGAGGCGATATCCCATAGATCGGTCCAGGGTTCGCTGGTGCTCGTTGCTCGCCCATCGTCGGTCTGCCAAGTTCGTCGCTCGACCCTCATTGCGTCGGACTGCCTTTCTCTCCTCGTTGCTGCCGCATCCACAGGCGAACGCACCAGATGATAGTCATCCTCCAGCGCCAGGAAGAGGTTGTCAAAGGGCTCCAGATACTCTTTGGAGACAGACGCCATGGCTTGAGTGTGATTGAGAACGACGGTGGAAGGTAGATGGCGGAAGGCAGGAGCTCCGTGCGGCAGCCGCCTCAAAACCCAGGCAAACGCAGGGGACCAAAAGCACCGCCCACCGCCGCCCTGTGGAACGCCGACACGGCTTCCTTTTCGGGCCAAACAGCGTGGCAGTGGGGCTGCGCACACTGTCGGCTGTGTCTGTGCTCGGGCTCGTCGGAACAGCCACAACAAGCCGCTGTCCAGCCTCCGCGGTGACAACGCTGCCGAGAATCGGAGACAGGATGCAGCAGATTCGCTATTGCAACGGCCCTGGCTCGCCCAAGGCATGTGCAAGCGGGTGTTGTTGCCCGGCCTTGGCGCTCGCGGGATCGGCCAAGAGAAAAAAAAGGGCCTTCCTGGGCACAGGATGTCTTTCCGGCACATGCCATTTTCATATGCCGCTGCCCCGTGGTCGGGCAGATCCGCTTGTTGCCCCAGGCTGGCAAATCCAAATCCAGATCTCCCGCAAATCCACCGACGGCAGTCGTTGATATAGATGTCGGGGAAGGCAAGATACGAGCTGCTTGTTGGCACGCACGGGCTTGATGATAGCCGGCAGGCAACCCATTCATGAGCATCGCCCCCTGGTCCTCACCTCGATGTGGGCGTGTGTGCCGGTCCCATTGCTCGTTCGCTGTTCTCAGAGTCGATGGGCAGAGAACAAGTCGTCGGCACGGGCTCGACGGATCGTCTGGTTGGTGAGCTCAAGCAGTGCCGCATTTGACCTGAGTAGGGTGTCCTTGCAGTTGAGCGAAATCGGTGTGAACATTGCCGAAAGCGCCAACGCGTGTGGCAGTGTGCGTGGCAGTGCAGGAAGCAGCAACTCCAGCCATCAAACCGTCGGATCGAGCCAGGCCTGTGTGTGGCGCATGGTGTGGCTTGGACTTGCTTCGCCTCCAATTGCCAGGGGTTTGGCTTGCTTCGCCACAACCTGCCTCTCTGTCTCCTGTCCATCGCCATCATCCACTTGCCTCCCTTCAGTCTCCGTCAACATGACCAGCATCAACGAGCCTGCTTCAGCCACGGCATCATCAGCCACTCAGCAAACCCAAGCTGAAGCCAGAACAACCTCGATCCCCGATATCACCGAACTCTCACTCGAACACAACCCAGACATCTTCACCATCATCTGCTGCAATGACAGCTTCCAACTCGCCCTCGACCACAGCACCATCAAGGCCCTCCTCCGAGTGTGCAAACGAGCCCGCCCACTCCTGAGCTTCAAGCTGCCTTGTTTCAACACCTGGTGTCAGATGGCAGGACTGTGTCATCCAGATGGACAGATGCGGATTGGCCTCACACCCAGCGAGACGATTGCGCTCTCGCTACACTGCGAGAACCAATACACTGGCAGCCAGTCTTGGCTCGCTGCTCTGGCGGACCAAGGAAACGCATCCGCCTCCTATATCCTGGCCAGGGTCCTCCAAGTCAAACTTTTCGGCCCATCATCAACAAACAAGCCCAAGATGAGAGGAATCGCCAGGCGAATCATGCGCTATCTTAGGAAGGCTGCTGATGCCGGCCATCCAAAGGCAAAGTTCTACCTGGCCGGATGTTATCACGATGGAATCGTAACCAATAGAGACCACACCAAGGCTGTCGAGCTGTATTGCAATGTTGCAGATCGGGGAATGGCACAAGCCCAAGTTGCTCTCGGTCGATGCTATGAGTTAGGCGAGGGTGTCGATCAAGACATCAATGCAGCCATCGAGTGGTACTCCAAGGCTGAAGATCAAGGCAGCGAGGACGGCCGACTTCACATCGTGTTCCTCCGTGGATGGCGCTCATTCCTGGGCGATGGAGTCGAACAAAGCGACGCTGACGCCTTCCACCACTGGCAGGAAGTCAGCGACCTCTCGACCGATCCAATTCACAAGTCCATCGCCACCCACATGCTTGGTTGGATGCACTACCTTGGCCGAGGTACCGTGCGGGACGAACAGAAGGGTGTCAAGATCATCCGCAAGAACCGATCGAATGTGTTCAAGCTCAGAGAGGACGAGTGTCTGGCATCGTACACCTGGGGAACCAAGTCTGGCTCAACTACAGCACGCACTTTCTTCGAATTGTGCCAGCTGGGATCGGATCGTGACTGGCTCTGCAAGCATCTGACGGCTGTGTGTCTTGTCAATGGATTCGGAACCACCGAGGACCGGGTGAAGGCAGCTGGCATCTTTGAACAACTCGCCAACGATAGTCACAGCGACAGCCAGTTGTGGATCGGAGAGTGCTACCGTAGGGGTGGGGGAGTATCAGAGGACCACGAGAAGGCATTCGAGTGGTATAACAAGGCGGCGAGCCAAGGCAACTCGTATGGACATTGGATGGTCGGTACGTGCTACTACTTTGGACAAGGTGTCGCCCATGACGAAACCAAAGCACTTGAATGGTTCAGAAGATCGGCCGACCAGGACAATCGATACGGACAATATCATCTCGGCAACTGCTACAGGGATGGCTATGGTGTTGATGCAGACATCAACACCGCTGTTCTCTGGTACCGCAAGTCCGCCAATCAAGGTTGCGATTTGGCCATCGACAGACTCAAGTGGTTCGGCAAGTGGCCCTGATCCCGAGTCACTCGAGTTCCACTCCAAACCACCAAATCACAGCACTGTAAATGCAAGCAGCCAAGCAAACCACACCAACACCCATCCCACCCACCATGATACCAAATAGTGGACTTGCAAAGTGGTTACAATCAATCGATATTGACCCAGTGATGATGTATTTGACATCCAATACATCCAATACATCCAATACATCCAATATACAATAGTGCTGTCCCATAACAATCACCGATGTTGATCGATCGAGAGAGCCATCGAATGACTCGACAACAACAACTCGACCACAACAATCGATACTCGAAAGAGTCAGCACAACCAGACCATCCCTCGCCACATGGTACCGAAGAAAGCAGGCAGCAAGTCACCAGCCTTCCCCGACACCACGACCATCCTCCCTTGATCCGACACCAGGCAGCGTGGCAGCCTTGGCATGAGCCTGAATATTCATGAAGCGACGACCAAGCACCGGCGGCGCCGTGTCAGAACTTACGGCTCAAAACCAGGCCTGGCGTCCGCCTTGTCAGGAGAACGCTCGTTCGTCTGCAAATTGTTTTGGCTGGCCGGTGGTGTGGGTGCCTCGATGCTGTGGTGTTTCAGTCCTTGAACGTGTCAATCCCCACCCCATGGCGCAGCGATCCAGTGCTTGGATACAGCGTTTCCAAAATGAAATGGGACACTCCCCGTTTCTAACCAGGACAGTGTGTTTACTGTGACCTGAATACACCCACCCACTCATCGCATTCATGGCCAAGCAAGTATGTCCAAGGGAGACCGAAGTGGTGATTGCCTTTGGAAATGCCTCGTGGAAACAAGGGAAGGGATATGCATCCAGTCCCAGGAGACTCAGGTTCGCCAAATACTTTGAGTAGTTCCACCATCACCAGACCGATCTGTCTCCAAGATCCATGTGTGCTCGGTGAACGAGTTCAACACATCCCAGGTGTGCTCACATTGTCGGGAAGCCAAGCGACTCGAGAAGGTCGAGCATCTTGATATCGAGAAACCATGAAGCTGTGCAGAGGGTCGAATGCATCCACCACACTCACACATTGAGACATCAATGCCTCACGGAACATGATCTCGGTATGCCAGTCGATCATCGCCACAGGAGATCGACCGAGTGTATTCAAGACTGTGCTTCCCAAACCAACAAAAACAAAGAGATTGCCAACGAAGACAGGAGTGCAATGCCATGGCCTGCCCGCTGGGCCTACAGTCAGTCAGCGGGTTTCAGACATCTGAAGCCAGGAAGGAACTGTCCCGTTTCTTTCGGGATAGACTGTAGGCCCGTTGACGATTCGCTTGGTCCCCCCCTTCCACACAACTTCATTCTTCCTCTTCTCATTCGCACACGCCCCCTGTCCCTGTCCATGCCGCCCGTGCTTGGCTGTTCGACACGTTGCTGGGTCATTCCGTGTCCGGGTAAATTTCGGGAGGCCTATGACTCACCGGTGGCGCTGCAGTCCATCCGCCAAAGGAATCGCCCATTCCCGTTCCCTGGCCTGGGCGCAATGTTGCCGACATGCCGGCCTGCTCGCTGCCCTTTCGGCACATCCAGCGCCAGCTGCCCTTTTGGCGCATCCATCGCCAGCAGCGAGTCCATCTCACCCCGCATCGTCGCTGCAGTCCAGGCTGCAGTCCGTGCTGCGGACCCCAGCATCTCTGACCAAATGCAAGCGGGTCCACTTGTCGTCGGCGTTGCTGTGGGTTGTGGTGCTTGCCCCTCTCCTGTCCGCCTGGCTGCATCCTCTGCGGTTGCACACCCGCTCGACTCCTCATGTCCATCCACCAACACGAACCACTCCGAAAGCCGGGACCAGCTCGGGCAGCGTCGTTGGTTTGTCCGACACCCAGGGCTGCGCGGAGCACTCCTTTCCTGCCTCGCTTGTCTCCTAGAGCCGCTGCTGCCTGTCGCTGTTGGTTCGGGTGAAAGAATCCCCTCTGCTCCTCCTTCTCCTTCCCCTTTCCTCTCCCCCTTTGCAGCCGGGCTACACAGCAAAAAATAAGGGCAGGTCCGGCTCGCCATTGACTTTCCACGACCATCCGCAGCCGTCTCCAAAGCCTACACTTGGTCGTTGTTCCTCCATCCGTATGTCCCTTCAGCTTCGACCAGCACTGCCATGGTAATCACTGCTGCTGCTGCTGCCTCGCTGTCGGCTTGCGCTGTCGTCGTCTTGTCCTTTGTCTCGTTGCACCCTGTTTGTGCTTTGCTCTTCGGTCCCATTGTATCGGCCATCGGTTTGCAACTGTCTTGCTCTTACGCCCGTCCCGCTGGCGTCGAGACATACCTTGGCATCTCTGCGGGCTTCAACGGCTCCATCCCTCTTGTCGAACTGTCCAGGCTCCAAGCTAACCCTTCGCCGTCTCCAGTATTCTCTTGCGATCAAGGAGCAGCCGCGGCAGGTCAGGGCGTCCGGATACACCCTCTCGATTTCGGGGCGATCTGTCGATCCAGTTCCGGTGCTCCAGCTTTCATACCAAGATGCCAACGGGGATTTGATCACGGAGTAAGGATGCATCTGCTGCCGGAGCAACGGAGCAGCGGAGCAACGGAGCAAGGCATGCTGTTGCGCTAGTGTGTTGTGACGCTGCACTCTTGGTGCTGTGGCGGTCGGTTGCCGGTTGCTGGTTGTCGGTTGCCGGTGATGACAATGTCCTTCGAGGTGGCCAGCCATGGACCGATCAAGGCCAGCCAGGGGCCATATCCTTGTCAATCGGGGCTGGGTGTCAATGCCCGGTCGATTGACGCCGGTGTCAAGGGCAGAGCCACTCTGCAGTGATACGATTGCTCAAGGACATGAGGCGTCAGGGAACTGGGGGGGGGGTTCGGTGACAGCAACACTTACCAAGGTGTCAATCTGCGGCCTGCTGTCTGTCCTAGCGGTCAACATCCAAGACTGGTTGCCTCCACCAACTTTGTCGTCTACGCCAAGCTCTTCTCTGCAGATGGTACCCGGGCCCTGGAAACGGTCCACAGCGTCCGAGAATCGGCCCATCCATCCGCACTGACATTCATATCCTCGGCCACATCCACATCCACACCCACACCTACATCCACATCCACACCCACATCCGCATCTGCATCTGCATCTGCATCTACCCCATCGACGGTGCCTTACCGTCGCCGTGCAGAGGAGCCTGTTTCGTCGTCTCGATCGTCGCCCTCGATCGTCTTGGACCAAAACCGGGCCAGACAACTTGTCGACGGGATAGCAATATCCCGGTCTATCGTCCATGGCGGCCTCTCCACAGAGACGCCGATAGCATCTTCAAGAGTTCGATCGTCCTCGGATCCGTCTGCCGAGCGCTCGAATGACCGACGGGAGCAGCCGATAGCGTCGGGCCACGGCCTCATTGCTTCGCCTGGCCAAGGCTCAATTCTGATCGACGAGCTGGAGGAACCGGACTCAGGCTCCAGCAAGGGCCAAGCGAGCCCACTCTTCGGCACCCTGGTCTCGCCGAGCTACCTTGCCCGTGGGCTGGACAAGATCATGGGCGTGTTCTTCATCTTTGGGAATCTCTGTGTCCGCATCGAAGGATCGTTTCGGCTCAAGTTCACCTTGGTTGACCTAAAAGTGTACGTGGCTCGCACCGACATGGGCTGCACAGGGCGATGAGAGGCAGAGGGAGAGTAACAAGTGTGCAAGCATGAGAGGCGGATTCAAGCGAGCGAGGCAAGCTCGAAGCAGCGGGGCTGCCAGCTCGCAGATCCGTTCGGAGTCGACTTGCCGTCCTGCCACAAGCCAAGGCGGTCCGGGTCGACATGCCGAGCGGCTGCAGGTGCTCGTTTGCGCAAGTGAGCTGTCCATCAGGCAGCAGCGTCGCATGCCGGTGACGGCCCGCAAGGGTCGGCTCATGGAGCGCTGACGGATGTACTGACGCCTTCTGTTGTTCCGCAGTGCGGATGCAAACCCGAATCCCGTCGTACTGACGTCGGTAATGTCGGATGTGTTTGAGTCCTTCAGCTGGAGGAACTTTCCGGGGATGGCGAGTAAGTCGAACAAGTCCACCAGCTGGAGAGTCGAGGGATGGGCTCGGCAGATGGCCCAAGGCGGGAGTGAGGGCTGTTCCATGTTGCCAAACTCGAGTGCCGCCAAACTCGAATGTCGCTGACAGCGACCCTCCCTTCCCGTCCACGGGCCTCGTTCATACCTTGGCTGCCAATGCCGTGCTTCAATATTCGGACTGCAACTCCATCTGACGGTATCTGGCAGAGATCTCGCCGCTAACGAAGCACTTGCTGGATCAGGGAGTTGTCAAGATCGTCCGCAAAGCACAGCCGATGCGCGGCGGCAAAGGGCGAAAACAGTCCACCGAATCGCTCGACTCGAGCTGATAGCCACCTACCACAGCGATGGTCTAGATGAACTCGGTATTCGGCGACAGCAGGATTTGGCGTGCGCACGGGTTGGTTCCTCGCGGCATCGACCGACAATGCCCGACCGACGGATGTGCCGCTCTGCCGACAGCTGCATCCACGGGTCCAGGACGTTGTTGATATCTTCGCAGTTCCAAGACGCTGCTGGCATTGACACGGCCCGGGAAGCGACGGCTGTGACTCTTTCGGCAGCATCGTCGCTGTAAATACAAGGTTCGCACGCTGCCCTGGCCAACAGGATCCCGGGTGCTGTGGACGGAATCGGGAAGCTGTGGTGGGGGAGGGGATCATGACTTGGAATCAGAACCAGAATCGAGGGCCAGGCTCGGGCCTGGACGACAGCGGCCAGCCCGATCGGCTGTGATATTCACCGAGTCGAGTCAGGCTCGTGCGATCGCTTGGGTCTCAGGTGTCTGGGCGACCCAGGGATAGAGTGAAGCTCGCCGCACGATCGGGAGGATGTTGCAGGCTTTGTCGCTGGGGCTGCTTGCCAGAGGTTGGCCAGGGCAATGAGCTGTGGGATAGCGAATGCAAACAGCGGCACTCTGCCGGTCGGGCCTGATGGGGACAAGTTGCAGTCCCAGACGAGACGGGGGGATGCCAAAACGAGTCTGTCTTGCTGGTCTGAGCCGGGGACAGAAGATCGCAGCGGCGACGGCGGTGGTGGTGGCAGAACCGGCTGCTGGCTGTCCTTGTGGATGCCTCCGGGATGCACAGGCCTCATCGACTGCATCGACTGCATCAGCTGCATCGACTGCATCGACTGCATCAGCTGCATCGACTGCATCGACTGCATCGACTGGAAGCATGCGCGCCCGGGCCAATTCGGCATGGGAGTTGGACCCTGGACCAACAAAGCCGGCGGCCGCGCGGGATCCGGGGTTGGCCAGCACGCGACCCTTGTCCGTTGTTTCTTGAGAACGCCATCCGGTATTGTATTATAGAACTTCCCGACAGCACTCTATCCCTTCCTTCCCCCTCCTCTTTGCTCGCGCTCACGACACCAGGAATTTCATGTTCTTGTAGAACGTCAGCATCGGGTTCTCGCCTGACCGGGTCGTGGTCTCCTTCAAATTGCCGTTGATCTGCAGGAAGCGCTCCTGTGTGAGCACCTGTGCGGCCCTGGCTCGCCCGTTGGCCGTCCGGCTGCCGCATACGGCTTCGTACATGTCCCGTGCCAATTCAAAATTGGTCGGGAAGAAGATGTCGAACCAGCCTGGCTGGACGAGATACGTCGAGCACGGAATCATCAGCCCCTGGTACCGGGTTTGCACAACCGGCCCGTCGATGCCAGGGATCGCATCCGGCAGCTGGCTAAAATCCGACAGAACAACGTGGTGGTTTGGGAAATACTCGTGCAGTCGCTCAAACATCACCATGAGCATCGTCGGGATGAACTCGGGTTGGCTGAGATTGGGGGCAAACGGCAGCGCCAGCCGCAGCTGACGCCTCCACGAGGCTTGGAGCGCTGGTGTCTTGTACCCGGTCCGCTGGCGAATCTCGAGGTATCGCTGGATAAGCGGATCGTTGATGTGCTCGTAGACTTCCTGATAGTCGCCATCTTGGTCGATGAGCACGAGACCCTGAACGGCAGCGCCGGATTGGTTGTCGTACCGAACCATATCGTGGGCAAAGTTGTCCTGTGCGGTTGAAAGGGCAAGGTCGCAGTGCAGTGGTTATAGACAAGATTGGCAGCGACAAGCGAAAGGGCGAGCAAGGGAGAAATGTGGCGACTGCATTCGGCTGCGAGGGCGAGTGCAGCTCATCCTGTTGCCGCCACCGATATGTCGCCTCTGGACACTTGGCACCACATGGTACGGCTAAAGAACTGATCCGCGGCGCCGCATCCACAAGAGCCAATTCCGGTGCGACCATCAGCCGGGCGGATCCACTTACAATGACCTCCATAGCCACAACAAAGCAGTCGTCTGTGACCATCTCGTTCCACTCCAAGATCGACTTGTTGACGACGTTGATGTGGTCCCGATGAGTGCCGTGCGACCCACCGCGGCCGCGGCTGTTCTTTCGTCGAGTCTGCCCCTCGGCGAGCTTGGCGCTGATCTCGATGATGTTGTACTGCATGCGGCTGTAGATCTCGGGCTCGTTCTGTTGAACGTAGTCCAGGATGTTCATCATGAGGGTGCCATTGCCGGCACCGACTTCGTAGATGATCAGAGGCTTCGAGTCCCACTCCGAGTCACTTCGTTCGGCCTTGTATTGGGTCAAGATGTGCTGGGCAACGGCGTATCCATACCACGGCTAGAAGCAAAGGTGGTCGTTTTTCATCGATCGATATGGCCATGACAGAAGCAGCGGTGATTGAGCATGTGTGTGATGAGCATAACGCTACAGATGCGACTTTGCTGATCCTGCATGTGCGATCCTATCGTAAACTGCCACCCGCATGCAAAGCCACAGTCGCTGACGAACGCATAATCAAGAGAAACCGATCGGCACCTACCCGAAACAGCTCTGTGGGGGTATGCCAAACTTGCCGGGCAATGTCGTTGACGTCCGAGTACTCTCCCTCGATGTCTTTGTATAGATTGGCCAGATGGTTCATGACCTGATAGTTGTCTTTGAGCCGAGTGAATGGGATGTCCTCCGGAGGACTAAAGATGTATCTGTTCGTATGGAAAGTCGACGGAAGCCGGAGGGTGAGAACCACAGTAACCAATACCACGAGCACTGCGTCATCGGAGGGGACGATGCCGGCCATGAATGCGACCAGATCGTCACTCCAGTCACCCCAGCGATCTCACTGTTCGAGAGCCCAGAGAGAATCCCACCACATCCTATCCGATTCCACCACGCCCTATCCAATCTCATCGACGCAACAAGCGGCACCTACGCCTTCTTTGAAAAGTATCCGTATTTTGGATGGTACAGGGCATCGTTGATGAATTCGCGAACAAGCATCTTGGCACACTGCGGCGGCGTCGTTCGCTTGGCCGTATCCGCACTCGTCAGCCTTGTAAAGGTACTCGGATCAACAGCATCCGCGGCGGCGGGCAGCTCGGTTTGACCAGCGGAATCGGTCAGCATCTTGTCCATCTTGCGGCGCTTTTCCTGTTGGCTGCGGACGTGCATCATGTCCCAGTAGTTGCCGCGCAAAGGCGGTGACATATGGAGAGTCCGCTGTGGGATTGAGGTGGCGGGCAGTCGGCAAGACGGCCAGGGAAACCGCAGGCCGGCAGGGCCCCATGCCGATCTCGCCGAGCTGGATCGAAGCGCTATCATTGGCTTGGAGGGACGCATTGTGAGGACTGGAGCGATGGCTCTCAGGGGGAGGACTTCAGGATGGAAGGAATCTCAGGTGTCTTTGCCAAGCCACAGACAGACACACAGACGACCAAACCGGCGACCAAACCGGCGAGCAAGACGGAATCACAGACGGTCTGCGAACAGGATCCAGGAAGAACCGCAGTTGGATCAGGTTTGGCGCTGTTCTTGAGCGAGCCGCCCAAGGAATCGCGGCGGTCATGTGAGCGCCACTGGCCCTGCGCCACAGAGTCCAGCGAGACACACACACACGGACAGATGAGGACCCAAGGGAAAGAAATAAAGCCAGGGTGTATTCATAGTCACCAGGAGCGACAAGGTATTAAACTCAGGGTGCTCACTGGCATGCCAGACACGCGAAAGGATGCAAGGCTCCGAGCGGGCGACGGTGAAAGGACAAGGACAAACAGCGATCGGGCGGATATGGAGCAACAACGACAGGAACGGCGACACCCATGAATACCACAACTTGGGAGGGGGGATGGGCGCTTCTAGAATGCAGCAGCAGCGGCCCAGGCCAGGACGGCAATCACGGTGCCGGTCAGGGCCCAGCTTCTGGCGGCCGAGCTCTTGGCTGTGGTCGTGGGGGTGGCCACAGGGCTGGATGAACCGATGATGCAGTAAGAATAGGAGAGGCCGACAAAGCCCGGGCCCGCGTTGGTGTTGAGATCCAGCTGCGCTCCGGTGTTCGAGTTGATGGTGATGTTGAAGATGGGGAAGCCGCGGCCGTTCTCGGAGATGTTGAACGAGTAGAACTGATAGCCCTGCGGGGCGGCAGGCGTCAGGGTGATGGGGGTAGCATTCAAGGGCGGGTGGGGCACGCCATTGTTGATGTAGACCGGAATCTGGACACTCTGAGAGGGGCTCAAGACCTTGGCCTGAGGGCGCAAGGAGCGAGAGAGGCAATGTTTTAGCCGAGTTGATTCGAGGTAGTATCTGGGATGGAAATGAGGCCGTGATGGTAGCCGGTCGACAATGGGGGTAGCCGCGGCGGACACAGCAAGGAGGATCGCGCGGGGTAGATACGACGAAAGAAACCTACCAGAAGAGTGCCGTTCACGCCGTTGGCTTGCATTCCGTTGATAGGAGGCAGAAGCACGCTACAGGTGAGGTCGGTGTTGACCATGCTGTTTGCGTCCACCGCATACCAAGTGCCGTTGTTGTCGCCCATGTAGGTCTGGTTGCCAATGTCGACGCGAGCAGCGATGCTCACGATGCCAGAGGCAGGGTCGATCGGCAGGGTGACAGAGTAGGTTTCGGTGGAGGTGAAGGTGGCGGTCAGGACCTTGGGCTGGAGGCTGAGAACACTGGAGTGAGTTGTACCGGTGGTATCGTTGTAGAGGAGCGTGACGACCTTGTTGGGGTAGTCGACCAGGTTGTATGCCTGAGCAATCCACAGCGACATGGAATGGAAAGAGATGCGTGAGTACCGCTGCGACACATCTGGCTGCGTGTTTGATATAGGGTATGATGGGTGGATCTGGCCAGCGGGCCGTCCATCAAGCTATCCTATGATGGAGCGCAAGCGAGGCTCATGCTGAGAGAGAGACGCACCACAACATTCGTGATCAAGTTGATGCTGCCATTGGTATAGGCCACCTGGCGAGAGGTGATGCCAACGCTTCCGGGTGGAATCAGAGGATCCAGGAGCGTGACGTCGGGGCTAACGAGATCGGCCAAGCGCTGCAGGACATCAAGACAAGAGCTCTGGAAGGCACTGGGGTTGTTGGCAAAGCTACAGCCCCGAGATGGGTGAGGAGGCAGACCGGATCAGATATCGCAACAACACGCGGTGCCATACGCATTGCAGAAACAATGCGCCGAGGTGCTCTGGTGGAACGTACTTTGTCACAGTGACCTTGTTGTCCAGGTTGAAGATGTTGGCATCGGACGAGCGAGGGAGTGTGGGTCCAGTAGTAAGAGGATTCTGGGGGATGTTGTTGACGTATTCATAGGCGACGGCGTTGTCGAAAGCATAGGGAGTCTTGTCGAGCGAGACATTTGTGCCGTTGGCGATGATCTCGGGCTGATCGATACCATGGACAAATCTGCGGATATCGAAGCGTGGCCATCAGCACAAAGTCGTTGGGGCCGATGCAAGTGCCGTCCAGCGGCGAGAACACATGCCACAATGCGACAACAGAGCGGACACGGTCGGGAACTCTGGCCAGGGCCGAGACACACATGTGCACCGATTGGCGCCTACCCTATGGTATGGCCACATGCAATGAGAGCGATCATGTCCTGTTGGGAGAAGCCCATGCGGCTGAAGAGCTGGCCATGGGTTGTGACGTTGTCGTTGGGATTGGGCGGAGAGAGGGTGCCGGGACCCAGGGCATCTGGACGGCCGGGGCGGAACAGAACCTTGGGGCCGCCGCAGACTCGGATGGCCTGGATGGCGCCGAGGGCAATGAGATCAGCCACTGGCAGAGGGAGACAGCGCGGGGTCGAAAGAGTGCGAGTTAGTCTGTGGGCAGCTGGGTGTTGGCTCGTGGTGCGGCCGAGGCACAGCAGAGGACATACTGGTCACGCCTGGACTGACAAAGTTCTTGAACTGGTTGATGGCGGTGGGGATGGCAGCGCCGGCGTTTTCGGGACGGCTCAGCTCCTCTTGGAACTGAATGGAGCCGTCGACACCGCCAGTCTTGGTGGCAGTGTTGTAGTCCGAGGCATCTGCGTATGCACAGCGGGACGGATGGGTGAGGGGGATGAAACGCTTGTGGAGACGCCAAGGGGGATGCAGCGTCGGCAGGCGAGTGCACAAGTCGACGAGAGCATAACCGAGGCCAGCTTCTCCCCTTTTGAACGGGCCAGAAACATACCATGGAAGAGGGTTCTCAACCACTCAGCGGCGGTCGAGCGACCCGCTCCAAGATTGTTGCTGCAAGTGCTGTTGGGGGGGGGATGGGCAAGTCGGCGGCAACGAGCATGGCGGGATCAGTGGAAAGTCGAAGCCGATTGCCCAGGATAGCGAGTATAGGCCAGGGAGGAAGCACATGCGATGTGCCTGGGCTCTAGCGGCAGCGATGGTCCATGTGCGGCAGCTGATGGGTGGCGGACCATGTTGGACATATGCAGCAGACAGAGGCCGATGCAAGAGGAGGCGGCGATGAGGCAGAGAACCCGGCCAGAGATCACATACGAGACCAGGTTGAAGAGGCCGTCTTGGACATTGGTCATCTGGTACAGCAGCTTCTCGGTGTCGACGAAGATGGGCGGGTTGGCGGCCCACGCAGTGGTGGTCAGGGCCAGCAGGGCCAAGGCAGAGATGCGCATGGTGGGTAGTTTGGGTTGGCGGGAGGAAACAGGTAGCGAGCGGGGGATCAAGAGAGCAATCTATGAAGAGGTGGAGCAGAGCAAGCAAGAAAGCAAGCAAGAAAGCAAGCCAGGGAATCCGCTGCAGGCCAGAAGACACCACAAGCGCAAGTGCGGAGAGGGCAGAAGCGAACGGGCCAGGATTCTGATCCGAGACGAAGGGCAACAGCGACCGCAGGAGCGACCAGAAAAAGCGACGGGGACTGGGCTGGGGGACAGTGCATCGACGATGACACCGTCGGGCGCACATGTGCGACGGGCGCGGTGAAGCGCGCTGGGCCGCTGTTGCTGCTGCTGCTGTGGTTGTGCTGCTGCTGTGATTGTGCAACGCCAGAGTTGCGGTCCGTTCTTGAAAACCATCGCCAGCGACACAGCCAGACACCCGCACAGCCACACTGCGACAAGCCCGGGCTGTGCAGCAGCCAATGAAGGTGGGGGCGGTGCCTGGCTGCCCATGGCTCTGGATCGAGCGAGACCAACGACACAACAATCCGGATGGATCCAGGGCCCTTGGTCTGGATACTCGATCGGAGTGCTTGATCTGGATGCTTGATTCATCAAGTTCCATGAAAACCAGACCCTTGCTGGAGATGCGCTGGAAACGAGCCTCTGTTGGCTCGCTGCTGCTGCCGCTCGGTCTCCCCGACACACCCAGCCAATGAAAGCTGTCCAGCGGTCGCTCCAATTTGTCCGGCTTGTCCAGCCAGGTCTCCCGCCGTCGCCGCATCCTCGAGTCGCCTCTGGTGCGGGCACCGGCCTTGCGAGAATCCGGGTGGAGGAGCAAAAGCGGGCTCCCAAACAACCAACGATCGGCGAGGTCCTTCGCGTGGACGATATCCTTCGTCAGGCACATGCGACACCATTGGGATCTCAGAGTGCGCAATAGCGAGGATGGTCAGGCGTTGTATTGGACATATTGAGCATGCGGCGCCGCGGTTCAGAACACACTGCTTGTAGACTCTCGTCGCTACCACAGCAGAGATCCGAGGAACGACGAAGATGACGGCGCAATAGAGGTCGTTGACGACGGGTTGTTGATGACAATGCCCGGGCTCGTGCTGGACGGTGCTGCAGAGGACGTGGTCCCCGGCGCTGCCGCCTTGCTGGTCGAGTTGGTGTTGGTGTTGGTGGTGTTGGATGAAGGCGGGGCAGGCGCAGGCGGGCCGGTTGGGCGCCGACGGCTGTTGCTGTTGTAAGCCGGGTTAATAGTGTTGCACTTCCTGCTGGTCAGTGGGTCAAGGAAAAAATCGATCGGCGGAGGGGACTGGCATTGGCAGGCGGTCGTGAACAGATTCTGGCCGAGGGCCGTGGTATTGAGGCTGTTCTGGCAGATGACGCAGGCTTGCCACATCGCAACAATGTAGAGGCGGGCGTTCTCATCCGAGCCGCAGATGCAGTCCGAGACCATGAGCTTGAGCTTGGTTATATCGGGCGGGGTCGATGCCGAGAGCTGGGTCATGATGGTAGCGTTGCATGAGTTGAAGATCTGGTCGACCACACCACCGATCGAGAGACAGTTGTCGCGCAGGCAGTAGAGCGGAGCCGGAACAGGATCCGTCGGGATCAGCTCGTTGTAGATGTCGTCGGTGTTGAGCCAAACCCCCGAGGTGGTGGCCCGAGCAGTGCCTGCGGCGATCAAGGCGATCGAGAGAAGGACGAAGCCGAGAGAAGATTTCATGGGAGCGGTGATGGACTGCTGCGATGGGGAGCGGGTGTCGAGGACGTTGCGAGCGGTGGATGATGGAGAGCAGAACAGGACAGAGCCGAAGAGGGCAGGACGCCTCGGTGAAATGGAAAGGCGACGGGCTGGCAGCCGAGGCGGTGATGCGGTGGCGGTGCTTGCCAGCAGGCCCTTGTCAAAAGGGGTGGAGTTGCTCGAGAGGGTCGTGAATGAGACCAAGGAGAGAATCCCGGATGAGGGTTACAGATGAGACCAAGGCATATGTCGGCCAAGGTGTCGAGTCGTGCGGAAACATAGAGCGCTATCGACTCTGAGACAGCGAAACGGCAGCACGCAGGGAGAATCGCTCAGCCGTGCAACTTTGACATTCTTTTGCACCCAGCAGCCGACCACACAGTGCCGGCCGTCGCATTTCCACCACGCCACAACATCGGATACTTGCCTCCGTCTCGTCGCATGCAGCACTCTGCACGTAACATATCCGCCCTGCACCGCATCTCGCATCTCATTCCATGGACAAGCCCCACAGCGCTCCAGCCGAGCCTGCCGCTCAAGGCCGGGGGCGAGGAGCCCACCAAGGGCGTTCCCTTGTGTGTGGCTGGCGGCGTGGACCACCGCCACCCTGATCTGGCTCTCCGCGTCCGGCCCCTCCGACCAGACCGGCGATATGAGCCCGCGGCAGCTTTCTCCCGGTCTCTGCTGGGCTTGGTTTCCATCCTTTCGTCGCTCCGTGACCATCCGCATACCCGCGCCAGCCCCGACCCAGCAGTCGCCTCCCACCATCCAGCACCGGTCCGTGGACTGCAACGCCCTCTCTCTCCCTTCCGCTGATCGATCCATCTCCGTCGGCATCCAGGCCCGCCCCGTTCCAACCCCACCACAGCCATGTCCAGCGAGCCCAAGACGCTGCAGCGGACCTTGACCAGGGCCACCCCCCGCAAGCAGCAGACCTGCAAGCTCCCGTCCTCCGGCAACTTTGTCATCCGCACCCCTGTCGCTCAGGAGATCCTGGATGGCGCCGAATACCCCAGCGGCGAGGAGTTTGTCACCACCCAATACACTGCATGCACCTGCGACCCAGACGAATACACCGCAAAGGGATACAACCTCCGCATCAAGAAGCTCGCCCGAGACATTGAGATCTTTGTCGTCGTCACCATGTACAACGAGGACGAGGTAAAACGTTTTGTCTGGCGGTGCCAGCTTCCCTCCTTCGGATCCGCCCGCTGCACTCTGTCATCAGATCTCCCATCCCGTTATTTCGGTGCCTGTGTGCGCCGCCAGCCCAGTCTCTGCTAACCGCCATCCATCTATCCAGTTCCTCTTCAATCGGACCATGTTTGCCCTGGCCCAGAATATCAAGTATCTTTGCCAGAAAGAGAAATATGGCTGGTCGAGAGACTCGTGGAAGAAAGTTGCCGTCTGTATCGGTGAGTTGGCCCCGTGAACCTGCATTTGCCACATTCATCACCATCGCCACCATCACCATCACCATCACCATCACCATCACCATCACCATCACCATCACCATCACCATCACCATCACCATCACCATCACCATCACCATCACCATCACCATTGAGCCGCCCTGATCTGTTCCGTAGATAGCGCAGAAATAAGCCTGGAGTGGCGACAGGCTCATCTGCGGATGCTATAGCCCCTGTTGGATGATCCTTCGTCGTTGTAGAGACATGCTAATCACCCTCACCCTGGCTCTTCGCCTTGGATCTTCACCCTTGGCTTGCCCACTGTACTGGTATTACTTCCTTCGGCTATATCTCCATTGCAGTCGCTGATGGCCGCACAAAGGTCAATGACGGTGTCCTGAAGGTTCTCGAGACCATGGGCGTTTACCAGGACAGCTTGGCCCAGTCCAAAGTTGACGACAAGGAAGTCCAGGCTCGTACGCTTCGTTTCAGCGCTTGCTTTCGATCCCTGCCCTGGCTTTGCATGTTCACGATCAAGATGCATGATGAACACTGGGACACGAGGATGGTGCTAAGAGGAATCCTGGTCCTGGTCGCTGCACCGCATCGCTGACCGCTATTGCCTGACCCTGCACCCCCCCCCACGCACACTCACACACACAGATATCTACGAGTACACGGCCCAACGGGTCCTCGACGAAAAGCTGCGCTTTTGGGGCGCCGCCGAGGGCATTCCTCCGATCCAGACCATCTTCTGTATGAAGGAGAAGAACGCCAAGAAGATCAACTCGCATCGATGGTTCTTCAATGCCTTTGCCTCCACGCTCAACCCAGAAGTTTGCGTCGTGAGTATCCAGCCGATCGGCGAGACTCTCCTCCCTCAAGTTGCCAATGTGGGTCATCTCTGCGATCAACCTAATCAATGCTGCCTCTCCTCCCACTCTACACACCACACAGCTCCTCGATGTCGGCACAAAGCCTGATGCCGGGTCGCTCTACAACCTCTGGAAGGCCTTCTTCCGCAACGACCAGATTGCCGGTGCCTGTGGTGAAATCCGTGCCGATCTCGGCTCTGGTATCGACTACTTCAAGAACCTGTGCAACCCCCTCGTTGCCAGTCAAAACTTTGAGTACAAAATCTCCAACATTCTGGATAAATGTAGGCTTTGATTCTGTTTGGTTTGTGGCCCTGCGTTAGTTCACACTCGTCTGGTTGCTTTGTATCCGTTGCATCCGTTGCATCCGTTGCATCCGTTGCATCCGCTCCATGGAACCGATGACCCCAGATGTACACTCGAGGCGATGGCTGTCCTCATCGACATGTGTCCTTCACCTCGGCACTCTGCTGGCTTGCGTCCTCCCCCACTGACGTTTGCTCGGTCATCCTCGCAGCACTTGAGAGTGTCTTTGGATACATTTCGGTCTTGCCCGGCGCCTTTTCTGCCTACCGCTTCTCGGCCCTTCAAAACACCGGCCCGGGCGTCGGTCCGCTTGCCAAGTATTTCGAGGCAAGTATCTCACCATGCCGACCATTGCAATCCGCTGTGATTGCCGCTCGTTGTGTGCAGGCATTGGCGTGTCCATGACCCGTAGATACACATTTGATGCTCACTGGCTCTCAGCTATCCTGCAGCGATCGCTGACCCGCCGTGTCATTCACCACCACAGGGCGAGGCTCGCGTTGGACAGGCTCGAGACAACTCGCTCTTCTCGGCAAACCTCTATCTCGCTGAGGATCGTATCCTGTGTTTCGAGCTGGTCTCCAAGAAGGACTCGCGGTGGACTCTCCACTATGTCCGCAAAGCCCATGCCGACACCGATGTCCCAGACTCTGTCCCAGAGTTTCTGTCGCAGCGCCGTCGCTGGCTGAACGGCAGTATGTTTGCTGGCTTCTATGCCATGGCTCACATCTCGAGGATGTGGCAGACAAAGCACAGCTTTGCCCGTAAAATCGCCTTCACCATCCAGTTCTTTTACAACGTCATCAACCAGATCTTTTCGTGGTTTATCCTCGGTAGGTCCTGCTATCGTGGCCGTCTCCTCAGATCGGCCACCCTCCAGACAAGCTGTTCGCTCCCTCGACCTTGGCCAATGACAGTTCTACTGACCAAGATCTTGGCACCCGATACCGCAGGCAACTTCGCGACCACGTTCTTCTTCTTGTTCCAGCAGCTCCAGCAGCTGCTCGATATGTCGACCGACACCACGCTGCCCAGCATCCAAAAGAAGATCATCTCAGTCATCATCAATGTTGCCGCCCTCTCGTACCCGGTGGTCCTGGTCTCGCTCTTTATCGTCTCGTTTGGCAACCGGCCCCAAGCCTTCCATCGGGTCTACAAATACGTCATGATGGGCTTTGGTGTCATTGGCGCAGCCATGATTGTCTTGCTGGTCGTCAAGGTGACGGGCCTGAACGTCTTTTCGTACAACCAAACCCGCAGCGACTACGACCAGTTCTTCCAGCACTTTGGCCAAGTCACCCAGTCCTGGAACTCGACCTCGGATACGGGCGAGCTCCTCCTCGGCGCGGTCCTTGAGCGCATCCGTGAAGTCTACAGCGACCGGGTCTACGACAACCTGCAAAAGTCCCAGTTCCAGAGCTACACCTACATTGCCACGCTGGCCTCGACCTTTGGCGTCTTCTTGGTGGGCAGCATCATTCAAGGCGATGTCGCCCACATGTTTACATGCTTGATTCAGTGTACGTACTCATAGCCCGACTGTGCTTCGCCGTGCCCGTGATTTCGAATGCGCCGGCTTGATCGGGAGTGAAACGGCATCAGCTCGAGCCCAGCACAGCGCCATGGTATCGACAACGAAGCCACACCTCACTGACGGCGCACCCATCTGCAGATCTTTTGCTCCTGCCCTCGTTCATCAATGTCCTGACGGTCTATGCCCTCTCCAACCTCCACGACGTGTCGTGGGGAACCAAGTATGTACTCATTAATCGTCGTCTGGGCCCGCCGCCAGACGACCTCGCCGCTGCCCTCTTGAGGCTGGGCTTGCTCTCGTTTCTGCGTCGCTCTCGGTGTGGGACGTTGATCACACATTAGCCGCTCTGACTCACTGTCTGGGCTCGGTGATTTTGCATCGCTAGGGGTGATTCCAAGGCAGAAGCCCTTCCTCAGGCTTCGACCAAGACAGTCGACGGCAAGATCGTGGCTGATGTGTCCATCGGCAGCAATGCCGAGGATGTCTCTGCCCGCTACGCCGACATCATCCGCGAGCTCGTCGATAAGCAGAATGCCCCAAAGGAGGCTAAGCAAAAGGTCGTTCTGAGCCAAGAGGACGAGTACAAGGGCTTCCGCACATGGCTGATGCTGATCTATATCGCCAGCAACGGACTGCTCTTTGCCATCTCCATCAACACCTCCTCGGATCTGTTCTTCCTGATCCTGCTCTCTACAATCGCCGGCATCAGCTCGATGAAGCTGCTGGGCGCCATTGTGTTTGCCATCCTGCGGGTCTTTACGGAGCTCTCGCCCTTTGGTCGGTCCCAGCGCCAAAGAAAGGCTGCCGACCACGACCACGACCACGATGTGGAGTACCAGTCCGTCAACAGCGACAAGAGCAGCAAGCAGGGCGGGCGAGGCCTGTTCGGCGCCAAGCCAGACGGACGGCCCTCATACACCGTCTCATTCGGCAACACACCCTCGGCCGAGCCCGGATACGAGATGATCGGCCGGGGTCGGGACACCGATACCGAGAGCCATCGCAGTTCCGTTGCGCTGGTGTAAGCCGCCGCTGCCGCCGGTGGCAATCTCGGAATTGTGAGGCTGTGTGTGGGGCGAGATCTGGCTGGTCGTCAATCTCCTTTCGCGTTTCTTGCTGTTGTCGTTTTTCCCCCTTTCTTCCCTGACTTGGTTCCATCGCCCAGCCGCGATCTGGGCCGATTGCAATACAACAATGCTCGACGAGCGCCCCTGGCTAGAGTTCGCAAGACAAGACCTGCTTCCCCCCCCCGCTCGAGGCATCGGGCTGATCTAACTGTCGCATGACAACAGGTGAGTCTCTCCAACCACATCGTAGCCACAATCCGAGCTCATCCGAGCGACCTCTTCCGAGCGACCGATCCCGACAGCACCCACCCCGACACCGCATGATGACATCCCGACAGATACTTCTGATGTGGCAGATGCGTCCCATCCGTCACCACACGCCCCCTTCTCCGCTCTCCAAGATCTGCGATCTCCTGCGCCTCCCTTCCTCCTGCATCTGCCTTGCTTCCTCAATGCCGCCTTTGATTCATGATCGCAGCTCGCTTCTGTGGCCTCTTTGGCCACTTGTGTTTGTCCATAATCCGGATGAATCGGGATCGAGCTCGATGCAGGCACAGCGAGTCGAGACCCCTCGCCGTGCTCTCTCCCCTCTCATCCCTCCCTTCCTTGCTCAGGATGTTCGTGTCTGTCTGGCTTGCTGCATACCACTGCAGCGAGACGATGACTCTTCCGGGCTTGGGAGGTTGAAGGCGTTAGGAGGGGGAGAGTCAACGAGCCTCCTCCTTGATTCTGACATCATGCGATCATGTTTGGGCGTGCAAATGGAGAGGGGAAAGGCGGGAGCTGGAGCCGTCGGGTTCGTGCGGTCGAGAAACCGGCGGTTCTTGGATGGCCAGAGGGGGTGGGAGTGTGTCCAGGAAGAAAGAACCCGAGGAAACTGATTTGATGTCCGGGCAGCTGTCGGGAGGGCGGGGCCAAAGACAAACCAGTGTCCACTGATAATACCGCGATGATCCATTGGGGCCTCGATCGTATCGCTCTCCGCTCCGGCTGACCGATTTCTATCCTGTTTTCTGTCTCTGGTCAGGGCTGCTTCAACTCCCTTCAACGTCCTTTGACATCGGATCCTCAAGGTATCCATTGCGTCCTTGCAAGATGGCTGTATTTCGCTCTGAGAAAGGCCACAGCTGCAGTGGCAATTGCAGGAAGGGGGAGAGGGAGAGGGAGAAGGAGAGGAGGTTTCTTTGAATATCTTTTCACAGTATGCACAAAATTCCACTCGGGCTCGATAGAGAAAAAAGAGGAGGGAGAGAGAGGGAGAGAGAGAGAGAAAATATATGGAGGGAAAGAATAATAACAAAACAGGATGCGCTGCGACCAACAGCGCGGGCGCTGGCTTCCCCTTCTTCCCTCACATGCCATAGAGCGGAAATCGTCATCGACCCTCTAGTTTGGCTCGCAGATGCATTCCTGGAACTCTTGCAGGAGCTGCTTGGCTCTGGCCCTCTTGTCCTCGGAGATGGGTAGCTGCGTTGCCAGCTCCTCGCGGTCTTCGAGCAGCAGCTGGCTCATCCGTTGCCGCACAATGAAGAGCTCCTTGTTCATCTTTCGGAACCGATCCAGCTCGCTTCGGAGCTTGCCGTTCTCGACCAGGGCTTCCTCGAGGGGTCGCGAAGACGGCTCCGGAGTCGTCGGTCGTGTCTTGCGTCCCTCTTCGGGCGACTGCGATCGTGTCGAGCGGGCTGTCGGGGTTGACGGGAGGGCGAGAGCCGAGCCAGCACCTATCGGGCCAGCGCCGGGAGCCGTGCCCGCAATGGAAGTCGTGGCCAAGGCAGAATTGGGCAAAGATATGTTGACCGACGAGGCGCTGACCAACGATGGACCGACCAACGACCCGTTATGAGCGACAGCACTAAACCCGGGCAGTGCGGCGCCAGGAAGGCCCAGAGGAAAGCTGGCGACAGGTGTCATTCGCTCGGCCACAGGAGTGTTGCTGGCGCTGATCGTCGGTGTGGGCCGAGCCGGATCTTGACTGCTGGGGAGTCGAGCACCGTCGTCCAGACGCATTCGGCGTGCTTGTGCAATCACCTTGAGCTCCGCAAGCGGCTGCCGGGACTGGAAGAGGCGGGCTTGCAGTTGGTTCTTCTCGGAGATGAGAATCTCTCGGCTGCGGGTCGCCTGGCGCTGCTCATCTTCCAGGAGCCGGCAGCGCGTCCGCAGATGTGCGAGCTCCTCTTCAATCTCGAGCTTTTCACCGAGGCTTTCCTCGAGGGCCGCATCGAGCTCGGAAACATGCGCCATCAGCTCTCCTTCGTTGGACTTGAGCTCCTTGACTTGCTCCTCTAGTTCCTCGAGCCTGGTTGCCTGGTCCCTGCTGGTTTCCTCCGTCACCTCCAGCTCCCGCGTCAGGCGGACGTTTTCGGACTTGAGAGAGTCAAGCTCTAGCGAGACGGTGTTGAGGTGCTCGGCAAGGACTTGCATGTCGCTTGCAACCTCCCGCAGCTCCAGATCGCGCTTCTCAATCTGTTTCTTCAGATCCTCATTGAGGCGCTCGAGCTTGCGCTGTTGAGTGTCGCGTCCAGCAGTGTCCACCGACGACGACCGACTGTCACCACCGCCGCCATGGCTTTCCTGCATCCGGAGCCGCCGGGCTTCGTCACTGAGCTCCTCGTTTTCTTCGAGAAGTTTCCGGATCTGCTCTTCTTGGTGCGAAAACTTGTGTGCATGGCGAGTGCGCATCTCGTCCAGATTCGTCTTGATGCGATTGAACTCGGCGGTCTGTCGGTGGAGCTTGCCCGAAAGCTCGGCTACCAGGCCGTTGGCTTCCTCGAGCTGGTCCTGGGTCTTGTCGAGTTCGCGGTCCATCGTCAGGATGCGTTCATTTTGAGATACAATCGTCTGGAGGAGCACAGCGTCGTTTGAATGGGATCCTACCGATATTTGGGTGTGGCCATCGTCCCAGCCAAGGTCCGAGATATCGGCTTGGGGCGATGTGCCATTTGGACTATTGTCAAAGTCCTCCGAGGGCCGGCCCCGTCGACTTGAACGGCGCCGATGCACTTTGGTCCCGCGCTGGGCCTCGGCATCTTCCTCAAGCTCCTCGCTGGGCAGCTCCTCGCGCGAGTAAATGTCTTCGAGCGACTGCCTGAGGGTTCCGATGTCAAGCGATCCTGGGGAATCTCCCAGAGCTGAGTGGGACCGAGCGCCGTCGTCATTGTCATTGTCGTTATCGTTGTCGTTGTCATTGTCGTTTTCGTTGTCGTCGTCGTTTTCTCCGATGGACTCGGAATGGAACGGAGCACCCGAGTCGTCGTAGTCGCCATCGTTCAGCTGATGAGTGGGTGTTTGGTGCCCTGACGACCCCGAGCGACTCTTGGCGCGACTCTTGGACTTGCGATTCTTACGATGCGGCGGCGCGGCCGAGACCCCATCGGGATGAAGAGGCTCTCGGTAGCTGTCGTTGCGGGAAACGTACGGTTCTCGCGACCGGCTGTCGGTTGAGTGTACGTCCGAGCCCCTGTCGTCAGCAGAGGTGGAGGACGATCCAAACGCTTGCATCTTTGTTGTAAAGTCGATCGACTTGCGTTTCGAGCGACCTCGCCCCGAGGACACGGACCCCGAGGCCGACAGCGAGAGCGGAGCGAGCGCCGAGTTGTCTGCAACGGCGACTGGAACCGGGCCATTGGCATGAACGAGAACTCTTGGATACGAATGTTGGAAGTGCGGCCGCTTCGAGTTGAGATCCTGCCACGGACTCCCCTCGCTGGAGAGAGGAGAGGATCCCGTCGCGTTGCGAGAGATCGAGGTCCTTCGTATCGACCCTGAGGCCGCAGGGCCGTCTGCTAGCCTCTCCGACTCGGCCGCTGGCGCAACGGTCATGAGCAGCGCAGAGTTTTGTTGCTCCGGGCGATGGCAGCTCTCTACTTGCTTGAGTGCATTTCCAAGCAGGCGGGCTGGATCGGTTGCCGGCGTTGCCGGCCGCCGCTCGGGCGGAGGCGGGCGAGCAGGGTTTGTATCGGCTGGCGATGCTGAGGTCGACGCTGTGGGCTCGTCGCCTACGCTCACAGAGCGCGGAGGCGCTGACTTTTGCAGCGCTGGAGGCCGCAACGAGGTTGCTGGAGAGTCCTCGGGTGACTGTGCTTCCGTGTTTCGGGTCTGGGTCTGAGTCTGGGTCTGGATCTGGCTCTGGCTCTGGCCCGCAAATGGCTCGCTGGATTCTGGATGCCGCCCTAATGGATAGTCGTCGCAGCTGGCTCTTGACCGTCGTACATTGGGACTGGGCTGAGTTCTTTGCCCGTCAAGCAACGGCGAGGAGCGTCCTGACGAGGTGTCCGAGAGCTCGGTGTCGGCCAGGGCCGATCTCACGACCTGGAAGGTAGAGTCAATCGCGGTTGGTTGGAAGCGGCAACGACAAAGACAAAGACGGGCAAGCAATCTGAGGCAGAGCTAACCACACAGAGCCGATCCACCAGGATGCCCCGAGAAGAGAGAAGACGTAGCACATCGTGACTAAAGCGGCCAAAGCCAAATCGAATTGGCAAAACAACGCACGGCCTACCCTTTGTACCAAGGACAGGGCCTCTCTCTTGGATGTGCTTCGTGGATGCATAAGCTACTAGTCTGATGTCGACGCGAGAATCCGCGAGCAAAAAGTGTTTGGAGCAAAGACGGTTGGAGCAAGTTGGATTAGCACCCGGCATCGACGAGGCTGTCCAGAAGCGCAAGCGAGCTGCGTCGTGCTGTCCCGGGCCGATCGATGCTGACGCAGGGTGGCGGACACGTCCAGAGCAGGCCAAAAACCAGCAGCAATGCCAGCCGAACAGATGGCGGAGGAGAAAGCCCAAACCTCGTGGTGGTGGCGATCGTTGCGGATGGAGCTTTGATATGGCTAGTTGTGTTGGTCGAAATGCAAAACTATGATACATACACCTTGAGGAGCACGAACAAAAACACGGTCAGATCGGCGGTCAACCCGGTTTGGAAGAAATTCGTCCCCTCGCCAAGGCAAGTCAGCGGTGGCGACAAGATCGATCGGGCTGAGCAGCGACGGTCGATGTCCCCGCTGCCAGTCCAGCTCAGTCCAGTGCGAGGGGAGGGCAAGATTGGTGAGCTTCGAGCCGATCTGATCGAGCACACACCTGCGCCCTTCCCCTCCCCACCAACGCAGTGCGAATGCGGTTGGATGACACTCGCTCGCCGAGGACAGCCGCAGAAGCGGGACAAGCACACGAACCGAGGCACCAAACAGGGCCCTGGCTGCGAGCGATGGTGCGTCTGTGGCAGCCGAGAAGCAAGCAGGAGAGGATCGATCGCCAAGAGCGGGAGTAGTGTTCGCCAGAGCCAACAGGAGGCGAATCGATGCAAGAGCGGCCTACAGCACACGCACAGAGGCCCCTTGGTTGGCCCACATACTCGTCCGCTCCAGCGATCTCGGTCGTGCTGTTGCATCGCTGTGCTGGTGTGCACCATGAGGGAGCGACCAAACAACCAAGGAGAACCGAACGAGATCCACAGATCTCTGGGCAAGTCGCCGACCAGATCGGCAGGATGCTGGCGCTAGAGGACGCAATTGCCCTGACTTTCCAGCCGCAGGCAGCTAGACTGACTGGTAGGCGACTACAACGAAGCCCGGAACGGGACGGACAGAGCCCCCAGACACAGCAAAACAACCAAAAGTACCAGGAGCACCGTCAACGAACAGCCCCAACGACCAGGAAGCAGCGCACCGCACCAGCGCATTCAAACCTTGGATATTCCTCAGGGCGGGGACTGTGCAAAGAGCTTGAGAGAGAGAGAGAGAGAGAGAGAGAGAGAGAGAGAAGGCCGGAGCAGAGGTATACACAGGAGCCGTGTTGGACTGGTCGCTTCGGGAGGTTGGGTGGGAAGAAGGGCAACGCAAGGCGAGGAAGTTTGCTATCGAAGAGGGTGCTGCGTTCTCGGCGAGGGCGGCCGAGGTGCTGGTCGCATGCGCAGCAGGCCCGCCCGTGATCGGTTGCTATGGCTGCTGCTGCTGGATGCAACTGAGCATCGGCTGGAGCAGTACAGCGAGCCGCAGGAGGTGCTGAGTAGGCCGGGGGAGCAGGAGGCTGGAGGAGATTCTGGATGCATAGTGGGCCACATTGGGATAGTCCTGCGAAGGACTGCCCCGCTCAAGGCATGTGGGCCGCGGCGACACATTGGCCAACGTGGGAACGTCATCCGATGACGAGACAGTATGGTTGCCCGGCAGCGGATGAATGAATAAACTGATGGAAATATACTCGAACATATCCAGCATCAAAGGCAGGTGAACAAAATGAGCGACGGTGAATACAATGGACGTGGATGGCTCCAGAACTGACGATTCCTGAAGAGACAAGCACCCGGGGGCGTGTGGTCGATATCGTGCGCTGAGCATGCATCGGGCAAAAACACCCTGATGGATATGCAAACGGAGAGCGACTGTGGAAGTCAGCCGGTGCCGGTTGGGCTCACTTGGGTCGCGCTACTCTCCCGCGCCTTCCATTGTAGTCGCCAATTGCAGTCAGCGACGACCGGCGCAGGATTCCTTCAGAGCCCTTCATGTTTGGCGTGACATCTCGGAGATCCAAATCCAGGTCAGGCTCGGACCCGGGAACAGAGGATCGGCTTTCTCCAGAGAGGGGGCCGCTTGCGGCTGGAGACAATGACTGGGAAAAGAACGAGTTGATGGTGGATCTGCGCTGGACCGGCCGCCAAGGGACAGGGCTTGGAGGACGGGGCCGAGTCGCAAAGTACCCGCTGTCGTGAAAAGGAGGCGGAAGGAGCTCGGCTGCAGACGAAAGGCCAAAGTCCGAAGACATCACCGAGCGACGGCTCGCTCGGGTGGCCTCGGGTGCTGGAGCAGCTCCGCTGGAAAAGGGCTCCCGCAGTGGTTTCTGCATCACGAATGGCCGGGCTGGTGGAGTCGAATGAAATGGGAGCGATATTGAAAGCCAGGGCTCGAATCGGAATCGCTGGCGTTGCTTCATAGGCGGGTGAGATCGAACCTATCGAGCGGACGCAGCGAGTGCTGCCGCCGTCCATCGGCATCTCCGCCGCACGGCAATCCAGAGCGTTCAGCAGCGAGATTCCCACGCAGCGCTGACAGAGCGTCTGCGCAAACACAGCAGAATCTAGAATCCAATAAAAACGAGACATCCCGGATTTCGAGCACTGGTGAATGTTATCACTCAAGTCCATCGCGCGCTGGGTATGACCCTATACCAAACACTGCACTTTCGCACTGGCATTCTGTGATGCGTTTCTGGAACTGAATCAGGGACGTCACTGCTCAGGATCACTGTCAGCCCAAAATGCGCTGGGTTTGAGGATATTCACTCTTGCCCAAGGACAGAACCAGTCATCGTCGCTATTTTCTCGCACAGATGGCTCCCCGCAAGCGAAAGACACCACCCAGGCGACCAAGTGGATCCAGAGCAATGAGTGGACACCACACCAAGTCCCAAGATCCCCGGGTTGGCTTCCTTCCTGCAATACATTCGCCATGTGTTCGATGGAGACATGCTGGAGAAACAGCTGTACTTCAGCCTGACCCGGCGACGGCGATTCAAGCGACTCGATCTCCACAGCAAGCGACAGCGCACTGTCCACGAGATGTGCAAGCAAGATGTGCAAGCGAGTCGTCGACCAGGCGCCAAGGAGACCGAAGTGGTGATTGCCTTTGGGAATGCCTCGTGGAAGCAAGGGAAGGGATACGCATCCAGCCCACTGGAGCCTACGGATCAGCAGACTTGTGTCGCTGATGCCAGAAAGTGACTGTTCCCATTGACTGTAAAAGCCCTATCACGCAGCCGTCCTGAAGGGTGTTGGTATGGAACGAGAGGCTGACCGACGGTGACCATCTTTCATGAGACCCGCCAGAGTCAAGTCGAGTGAGTAAACCTGGGTGGGAGGTGGACCATATGACTAAAGCGCGGTGCAATGCTTTGATGAAATGAGGGTGAAACAGACGATAATCTGGGGTTTGGTGCGGCCGGATCGCTGATATATTGAGCCGGTACCTCGACGAAGCTATCAGGTCATTGATCGAGTCTTTGTGTGTGCTACAGGGCAAGGATCGCTCCCGTTCCCAGTAAAGTCTATCGAAACACAGCAAAAATAGCGTGCTTTGCGGTTGGGACAACTTGCCCAAGAGAGGAAATGAAAAGACATGAAAATAGTGAAGGTAGAGGCAACACGCCAATCAGTATACAAGCGGTACAATCGCCGCCGGCTTCAGAACAGCTCTGGCTTCCGGTCTGAAAGCAGCAGCCCCCTCAAACGTCAACGCATACTCATGCAAATAGCCCGAGTCCAGCCCGTCGGTGACAACTACAGCCCAGGTTGCAGACGACCAGTATATGTCCTCGATCAAAAGGGCATGAACAAATCATGGGTGCCACCATAGCTGAGATACACGGCCAGGATGCTGACGACGATTGCACTTAGGGCCAGGGTCGTGGTGGCTGAGGTAATCATGAGATACGGCGGCCACTTGCCGGCCTCTTTCTGCTGGACGATAAAGTCCTGGTGGGCCTTGATAAGAATATGAGGCGGCTGGGATGACACCTGGCGGTAGCGCTGCAGGTCGTAGGGAAACGAGTTGACGCAGGATGCCTTGCCTAGATTGATGGCGAACCGTTGCTGCAGCACCCGAGGCGGGTAGAGCTCGATGTACTTGCAGGCTTCTTCAACCACATCGTCGAGCTCGATGTCTTCGGGGAACTTGGTCAAGTATGAATGAACGATGCTGTAATCGGGCTCGAGTTCCAGGATCTGTGCTCGTCGGTTAACAATCACGGCGATGGAGATATAGATCGGGAACAGAGGATCGGAGACAATAAAGGCATCAAAGAGCCGAGCGGCCTTGGCGTAGCCAATGACATCGTGGCTGCACCACGTTAGCACCCAGCTAAGGCAAAAGTACGGCAAAAAGTATTCAATCGAATTGAGGAACTCGAATAGCTCTTTGTCGACGAGGCTCAGCAGCGGTAGCACCAGCTGCAGTTGGTTCATGCAACCGTCCAGACTGGTCTCCATGGAATCGCGGAGCCAGAACAGAGCAATGCGCTCGGCGGCCTCAGTCGCCGCTTGTTCGCCCAAAACGAGCAAGAGGGTGCTACAGACATCATGGAATCCTGATGGGCGGCGAATGGGAAGGACAGTCGGCCGTCAGTCGCAGTTCCATGGCATTAGGACCTAAGGCGCAACAAGGCGTAATCAGCGATCCGGCATTGCGTGGGGCAGGGACATACCCTGGTAGTAGTTGAGGTACGGGTGGTCCCGCAGAACCGTTGAGATCACATTTGTGAGCCCAGACCGTCGCTGGTCCATCTTCAGCACGGCTGCGTTGCTGCTGCCCTGCTCCTCAATGAGGTTGGTGAATGAACGCCTCACATCCAGGGACACTTGATGTTCAAATGGCGCCTCCGTAGGTCCCGAGTCCAAGTCCAAGTTCGAATCCGAGTCTGAGTCCGAGTCCAGGCTCGGGTTCGTGCTGGATTCTGCAAGCAAGCATCCAGGGGAGCGGGGACACTGCACAGGTTACTAAGCTGCTGCAAGGCCACAATCATCAACGATCGTATCGGTATCCCCACACCCGTGCATTGGCTGGCCGCCGGCAATCCTTCGGCTTACAGCCATGGATATCTAGGCATCCACAGCTGGCGCCAATCAAGACCTCAACGCACCTGAAGACGACGGCCGCTCCACCTTGCCACTAAGCTGTTTGAGGATCATGGGCCAACAACGCTTGCGCATTCCATCGTTCAGAAAGCCGCCCGGCCCCAACGCCAGCGAGCGCAGGAGCCGGATATCGGAGGTTTGTGCGGCTTGGTTGATGCGCTTGAGCTTGGCTATCCTCGACTTGGGCACCCGGTTTTGGTTGCTCTTGGGGACAGGAGGTTGCTGCAGAATATCAGCGTCGACAGACTTTTCTTCTGCCTCGGCAGGTCTTGGCGCTCCCTCGGGTGCCTGGCTGAGCTTGCTCGTGGCATTGGGCTCGTCGACAGCATCGGTTTGGCCGAGGATGGCTGTCGTGGAGAGTACCACCGAGGCTCCGGTGGTGCTGGGCGCTTCCTGATCCGCTTCCTGATCCACTGGGACCTGATCGGCTTCAGGTGTTGGCTCTTGTCTGGGAGGAGACTCAAGGGGCAGCTCCGGGACCCTGGCAACATCATTGGGGCCAGGCTGGATATCCCAGGAGTCTTTGGGCTTGGTCTCGACCGAGGGTCGCTGCTGGCAAGGCGTACTGGGCGGTGAGATCGCCACAACGGGGCTGCTTGCGGGCTGGTCGCTCATGACACTGACTGGATCTTGGCGCTGCAGCAGCAAATGTCGAGGTGGGCGATGGGGGAGAGTGATGGAGGTGCAGGCCGGGAAGCCAGCCAGCCAGCGGACGGCTGGGACCGCATGCTGCCGCCACGCCTGGCCCGCCGTGGCAGCAACTGATCGAGGGCATTCTGGCCATGCCCCAGCCAGCTGCCAGCGGGCGAGGCCCAAATGGTCCGCGAGCCAGATGATTGATGATCCCGACCGGCAGCAGGAAGTCCACACGGCCCAACCAAGCCCTGCAAACCGTCAATGCTGGGCTGCGATCGGCGGCACCTTGGCGCACCCAAACCCAAGATCGAGAGTGTTCAGCCCCACCGCCCTACAGCGATTCCCAGCCGACGCACCGGGGGATTGATCACTATTCGAGCCTGATGAAGAGCCATGACACTGACATAGCCCACAAAGTACTTCCATGGCGTGTTGGTCAATGGGCCATATGGCACGCGATCTGGGGAATGCACGGGACGACAGATCCGCTGGGTCTGCGTTCTTGACAGCCGGCAGCAGCAGGAAAGATGCACGCATTCGGCGCTGTCGTATCCATGAGCCGCAAAGCGACCAGCGATCAGACATATGCGACGCTGTGTCCCGAACGGAGGAGAGGCTGTTTTGCGCGGATTAGGCTGTATTCTCGAAGTTGCGGGGTGCCCACGATTTCAAAATACACTGCGGCACGTCTACTTGAACAGCGGGTTGGGCTTGAGGTGGATGGGGATCTGGTCCTCGGGGGTTTCAGGAATGGTTTTTGTCAAACCCTAGATTCGAAAGTGGCCGGGAGAGGCGGGAGAAAATCCACCTGTCAGCTTTGCAAGCTGCTACATGCAGGCCATCTGCCACCTGCGGGGATATCGAGCGACAGGACATTGTCTTGACATCCATCCACGACAGCAGCACATCGATGCACAAACGATCCAAGTGACGTACCAGCTTCTTGAAGACACAGTCGTTGAGCTGGGCTTCTTCTTTTCGGCATTGCCAGAAGTGCTGGTTGTTCATATCGAGGCACTGCCAGTGCTTGGTCCAGGTCTCCTCGCAGTTATCCTTGAGCTTCTGGATCCTGTGTGCATCGAGGCAGGGCACGGCCTTGGGTTAGTCGAGGGTGCGCACGACCCGTCTCGCAGATCCTCCCTCTCATCCATCCATTAAGCCAGGTCGAGTGGTGGTGTTCAGTCCCGATATGCTTGACAGCGGAGCCAGCGAATGTCCGGCGGATGCAGTACTGGTCCATCGGTGCTGGGCAATCGATTCGCGCCCGCTCCGTCCGATGCACACGTCGGGAATGCTCGTTCAGAATCCAAGAACACCGCGTCGTCGGCCGAGTCGCTTCAAGTTTCGATCGGCTGGCCGCTGGTCTGTTGCCGCAGATGCGCTGCATCCACGATTTGCACCGGGCAACAAACCAACCATCCGAGTCAAGCATAGCGAGGAACGCGGGACAGAACGTACAGATCGATGGCACAGCGGGTGACCTTTCGTCCCTCCTTTAGGCAGGCCTTTGGATCGGGGTTGTCCTTTTTGCAGAGCATGAAATCCTCAGAGTAATCCTTGCAGAACGTCGCAAAGAAGAACGACATCGAGGCCAGGGGCGCCGAGGTCAGGCCGACTTCATCCACATGGGGGATATCCTCGGGCAGAGGGCTCTTGTCGACCCAGAGACCCTTGATAAAGATGCCTTCGCGGTGGGAGGTCATGGTTCAGTCGGTAGAGAGCGGCGTATCCGGGGAGATCCCAAGCAAACCAAGAGCCGCGGGCAGGTGGGTGGTATATCGAAAAGGAAGTCTCTCGGCGCGGGCTGCGATGAGCCGCGAAGAGCGAGCGCACCAACGCGGCTTGGGGCGGCAAATTAATTGCTTTCATTTGACTGGCGCGCAGCCCCGAAAAAATGCAAATCGCGGGCCAATGGGCGGCGCTGTGGCGCGGAGCTGTTCCCACGGCCCGTGCTGCCTCGACCCGAGAGCACTGGGCGAAATCGGATTGGACATGGGGGTATTCGACGCAGGAATGCAATTCAGCCGTGGTACAGACGCTGAAGATGATGTCTATTGCGCTGTATGGACCTGTGTATTGGAGGCAAGGCTCCGGACTCGTGACGAGGCACACCGCTCAGGCAGTGCAAGTCCTGACAATGGCTCCTCAAGTCCAACGGAGAGCAGAACAGAACACAGCAGAGCTGAACAAAACAGAACACAGCAGAGCTGAACAAAACAGAACACAGCAGAGCTGAACAAAACAGAACACAGCAGAGCGGAACAGAGTATAGGCTCAACACATGGCTTGATTTTCGCCAGCGATGCGTCGGAGCTCTGAGAACTCGGACGAGTTCTCACACATTCTCCGGAACACCCCCGACTCGCGGTTGATCAGGTTCCAGGGTGTGTCAAACTCCACGATGGCGCCTTTGTCGAGGACCAGGATTCGATCGTAGTCGATCACGGATCTGTTGATTGTATCGACCATTGTCAAACAGGTTAACATTTGCGCCTTCGTCAGGTCGACATGAGCAATTTGGCATCACATCCACGACCCACGCAGACGAAATGCCAACCAAGCACGCACCGCTCACCTGAGCCGGTGGGCAATGCAGACCAAGGTCGTGTCTTTGAACTCCTCGCGTATGGTGGTTTGAATCTGGCTGTCCATCTGGTTGTCGACGCTGGCGGTGGCCTCGTCTAGGAAGAGGATCTTTGGTGTTCGGAGTAGCGCTCTGGCCAGACATAGGAGCTGCCGCTGTCCTTGCGAAAAGTTGGAGCCGTTTTCTGCCACATGTGTATCCAGGCTGAGATTGGCAAGGCCCAGAGGCTCGGCAGGGGCACTATCGTCGCTCTCTTCAATCAACAGCGTCTCTGTTGAGTACACCGAGTCAGTCGATCGAGCCACGCCCAGTGTGTTGGCGAAATGGACTCGCTTCAACGCCATCCATATGCCTGCGTCGTCGTGTTGCTGCAGCGGATCAAGATTGGCCCTTAGAGTTCCGGCAAAGAGAACAGGGTCCTGTGGGATGATGGTCATGTGCGATCGCAGATCACACAGACGGATCTTGCTGACGTCCACTCCGTCGATGATGATCCGTCCTTGCGACATGGGTATGATGCGGAAAAATGCCAGCGTGAGAGTCGACTTGCCGGCGCCTGTTTGACCAACCACGCCAATCTTTTCTCCAGGTCGAATGTCGAACGAAAGGGAGTGGAGTACTTCCGGCAGTTCGTTGCTGTACTTGACCGACAGATTTTCTGCCACAATCTCACCCCGGCTCGGCCACTGTAAGCACAACGGAGACGGTAAGTGCAGCGCCATTGACGGGCGGCGGGGCAGCGACTTTGATCGAAATGGGACTGCGACACTTACTGAGGCATCGGGTACCACATATGCCGTTTGATCGCGCGATTCCTCCTGCTCGATGTTGGCGTATTCGTCGATTCGCTCGATGCTGGTGATCTCTCGCTCCATCTCGGCATGGTATCGGATTGTCCACAGCAGTGTGTCGGTAAACGCGATCGCATACGTCAGGCCCAGACCGGCCCAGCCAGTGCTGATCTTGTCCATCAGTATGACGGCGCCGGTGCAAAAGACAAAGAGCGCTGAGATGATGTCGGACCGCAGGCTGAGCCAGCGACTCAGCGTCCGGAAGTAAAAGTAGCATCTACTGTTCTGGTCGAACCTAAGGAGGCAGTTGGCGACTTAGATACACATCGCTGCAAACTCTGTACTCGATGCAAGATGAGGGCACAGTTACAGAGACTTACATCTCCCATATGTTTGTGACCAGGCGATCCTCAAGCCTGTAGGCCCGGATAGTTGCGATTCCGCTGTTTAGTTGTGATCCATGGGGCCGACGAGATGTTAGAACTGTAGGGGAGAACAGCCTGTTTCATCACAGCAACAGGGCTTGACAGATCCTGTCATTGGCACTCCAGCCGGTACTCACTCGAGTGTTTCCGCGAATTGGGAAAAGATGGGGCTGCGCGAGGTGCTCTCGAGGCGTTTCAGATCTCTGGAACATATCAGATAGCGCTGCGCCATGTAGACGTACACACACGCTATTTGACAGCGGATTGGTCAGGCACAGCGGGCTGAGCGCAACAATGTCCATTTGAGCTTTGACAAAACATCGATTGCAGAGGGAAGTCGGCTTACCGATAGGGATGACCATCAGGAGGAATGACGGGGCGATGGAGGAGAGAATCACCAGGATCGAGAGACCCTTGAACATCCAGTTGCAGAACTTGTGGATCGCTTCCATGACGTCGCTGTAGCCGAATAAAACACGCATCAGAACCTTCCTGATTGCAGCTCTCTCACTTCTTTCGTCTCATGTCTCACGCCCCACATCTCACTCCGGATCAATCAAGCTCATGTCGAGGCTGGAACGTACTTGTCTGCATCGGCCATTTCCTTTGCGAAGCGGTTGAGAACCCGTCCCAGCGGAGTTGTATCAAAGAAACGCAGCGGCGCTCCGAGTACAGACTCGAGGAGTTGTGTGTGCAGCCGCTTCGATGCTTGAACCGATCCAACAAGCTCCAGTAGCAAGTTGAGATACTCGACGAGGATCACACTTGAGCCCAGCAAGGCATAGATGCCAAGAAAGTAGTAGACCGAGTTTATCGCGGCTGTGTCGCTGCTGGTGATGGCACTATCTATCTCCACGGATACATCCGTTTGAATCTTGAGTGGAAACGCGGCCATTACGCTAGTATTGGAGACAGCGCTGCAAAGCCCCTCGATCTGGCTTGACGGCACGCTGCTGTCAGTCCAGTGCTTCAGCCACCACGAGTTCAAGAACCCCGTGCCGATCGCCAGGAGCATGAGCGTGAGTGCCAACAGCAAGAACGGCAGTCCACCGACGGCCTTATAGTAGCTGTGGTAGACGGCCTTGCTCACAGCACCAACAACGCGCTTCTCTTCTTGGATGAGCTGTCGTATTGGTTTGGATCGCAGCACAGATTCGGTGTCGACTGGAAGCTTGGGCTCAATATCCGCTCCTTCGTCCTTGATGTCTTCTCCTTCGACTCCGAGCAACAAACGCGCCTCGGCCGAGGCCAAGACCTGCTGCGGGGGGCCCTGACTGTGAATCTCGCCCAAGCTGACAACGATGAGATGATCCGCTTGTGGGACGACGAGTCCGATAGCGTGGGTCGTCAAGATGCATGTTCGCCCTTGCAAGAGCCCACATATGGCGAAGTGAACCAGGTGTCGGGCAGTGGGTGCGTCAACGGCCGAGAGAGGATCGTCGAGAATGACAAGGGAGGCTGTTGAGTAGCAGGCTCTTGCCAGAGCGACACGCTGCTTCTGGCCACCGGAGAGGTTGATGCCGCGTTCGCCAATCTCCGTAGCATCGCCTTCTTCAAAGTTCTGAAGATCTTTGACCAGACTGCAAGCTTCGAGCACCTGGATGTAGCGCCGCTCGTCATACTCTTCGCCGCAGAGAATGTTGTCGCGGATGGAGGCGTTCATGAGCCACGCCGTTTGAGAGGCGTAAGCAACCCTGTCGAAGCCGCGACCGAGTTGGTCAACGCGATGCACCGAGCTGGCTTCTCCGGCAATGATCTTCATTTCGCCGAGAATAGAAAGCACAAGGGACGTCTTTCCTGCGCCAGTCGCGCCGCAGACAGCAGTGAGCTTGCCGATGGGAAGTTCCAGCGTAAGTCCACGCAGTACAAACTGAAGCGAGGACCTGTCGCCCTCGCCGTTATCGCGATTAGCAACTGAATCGTCGCGGCCGCCGTAGTGCACGAACGATGCCTGTTTGGAGGCGCGAAAGGACTTGTTGTCGGGTCCCAAGCTCACCGGCTCGGCTTGCTCATCGATCTCTGTCTCGCCAAGGAAGCCATAGATGCGATCCAGGGCAACGGCGCCCTTGGTGAAGCGCATCACTTGCCATGGGACGGCGGAAAGGTCGGAAGTCAGCTGCTGGCAAACAGTCAACGTGGTGAATGCCGTGGCAGCGTCCAGAGTGTTGCCGAGGAGGGAGAAAGTCGCAAAGATGCCAAAGGCACAGATCAATCCTGTCGACTGTGTCAGAGTGCCAAGAGCCATGTAGTTGAGCCACAGGCGAAAGCGACACCGGAGCTCGTCTTCACGGATACGGTTGATTTTTTCGACAAAGTAGCTCTCCCAGGCAAAATACTTGATGATGCGGATGATCTGAAGCATCTCGTTGGTCTTGTTGACGCGGCTGTCGGTGAAGCTCGAGAGTCGCTGCTGCGACTTGTTCATGCGGCGGCCGATCCAGGACGACAGCGGGATGCAGATCAGCAGTGTGCTCAGACCAACAAAGGCCGACATACTGCCCACCAAGAGAACCAAGGCATAGGCAGAGATTGCAATCTTGAGAGGAAGCTCGGCAACGATATAGAGATAGCACACGACCTCACGAACGGCCTCGGTGTCGTTGCTCATGATGGTAACGATCTTGCCAAGCGAGGCATCCTTTGGCGCGCCGTCCTTCTCGGCCGGGCGACTGGAGAGCGGTCGTCGCAGGGATTTTTGGTAGATGAGGTGCATCAAAATCGTCTTGATCCGTGTGCCGGTTCGCCGCGAGCTGAAGAAGAGCTGGGTGTCGCATATTCTCTTGATGACGCCGAAGCCAAACCACACAAACAGGTACATCCACGCCTCTCGATTGTCTTGGTGAGGGCACTGCAGCCAACGCAGCAGCAGATTCAGAAAGAATGGGTTGGTGAAGGTCAAGATGACGGCCATGAGCGTGAGCGCGATTTGGAGGCCCAGCGGCTTCCAGATCGTCAGAAACAGCCGAGATGTTGTCGACTCGGTTTTGGTACTAGCAGAGAGCAGCGGGTGTGGTTAGTGTAGGAACAGGGCGACTCCGTGGCATTATCACAGTACCATTGTCGCTGTTGCCAAAGGATCCCTACAGATGCGAGTGTGGTCGAGCGGCTCATACCTCATCAACCGGAAGCGAGCAATCAGTGTGGCGGTCTTGTCGGAGGAGTCGAGATCCCAGACATCCAGAGGCTGGAGCTGGCGAATGTTGGCCAAGGAGATCAGATCATTGGCCCAGCTGAAAGATAGTCTTGAGTACAGGGAAACATCCGATTCCTTGAATGGCTGCGGAGCAAGGTAGGCCACGGAGGGCGACATCATGTCAGGGAAACAGGAGCAGACAGTGTGCCGCTTCTGGTAGATGCAATTCGCCTGCTCGACCGAGGTGATCGCAATTAGCCATGGTAGCCAATTCTGCTGCATTGCACTTACCAGTCGGCCTTCAAAGATGGTCCTGACGGGCGTGAACGATCGGCGAAGGGGCTCGGCGAAGAACAGGAGCAGTGCCGCTGTGCCTCCGATCGTTGCCTCCAGTGCATGAATGCCAAATGCAGCCATGAAGGCAAAAGCGCCGAGGCCAAGGACATATGTGGGCTGAGCAAGATAGTAGTTCGCCCTATCGGCTTCGAAGGTGTGCACCGACTGCGGCAAGACGGCGAGAATGTAGCCGTGGCGGGCAACCAGCAACTGCGACGACGGTAGCGGTGAGCACACGCCAGACAGATAGTCGATGAAGCAGCTACCAGGGCTCTGACAGAAAGTCGTCCACAGAGCAGCACAGACGCAGTGCATCAACACCAACTCGGCTTACCCAGATCAGCAGCCATATGGCGAACGGCAGCAGGGCGAGGACGTCCAGACCAATGTCGGTCCAGTCGCGGAAGAGAGCGATGCCCATCGAGGCAGCACTGACAAGAGCCAGCACAACGAGTCCGGCATCGACGATCGTAGACCGCTGCCACTTCTTGAAGAGCTCGGCATTGTATGCGTCGATGCCCGTGAGGCCGTCGCTGGGATTGCTATCAGCCAGAAGCGGGCTGGTCTCTTCATCGGCGGCAGGTGTGTGTGCTGCAATTCGGTGCTTGAGCCTGGCGATGGCCCAAAGCAGACTTGCGACCGAGTAGCCCAGCACCCACGGCAGCAGGGCCACGACTTGGGTGTTTGATGATGACATTGCGCTGTCCAGGAGCAAGCGATCAATGCAAGCCTCTGGGCGACGGTGGCGTATTTGAAGCACGCCGCCGGGATGCTGAGCCCTGCGCTTCGGAACCCAGTCGTGTTCGATATGGAACACGGACGGCTGCGCATCGGTGGTCTGGCACAGCGAGTGGTGTAGCAAGTGGTGCAGCAAGTGGTGCAGGAAGTGGTGCAGTCGAGCAGTGCAGTCGAGGGAGGGGTGGGCAATTCAGACAATGAGGTTGGCCGCCTCCACCAACCGGGTGATTGGTCAAGGCCGAGCGAGCGAGCCTGCCTCGCATGATGGTTTCCCCCCTGATGACAGTGGAATTGCTCGAAATACCAAACAAACCTGCGCTTTCTGGGGCAGGATGCGCACCCCTTCCACGAGGCATCTCCAAAGGCACACGGTTTGGTCATGGTGAATGATGAATAGGTGTGTATTCAGGACCAGAGAAAAACGACAGCCCTGGCTCAAAACAGGGTGTCCCATTTCGTTTTGGATACGCTCTAGTTGAGCACCTTGACGATGCTACGGTCTCGCCTGGTAAAGTGCTGCTGGAACACGCGGCCGTTGAAAAAGTCGTCCAGACTATAGATACCAAGCGTAGCAGCCTGGGGCGATCGACAGGCAGCGAGGGAGCGACACAGAGAAGGATTCGAAATAGTGAGCTGACCGTTCGGAACAGCATTCCCTGCATATCCACCATACTGTTAAGCGTGCAGATCGGTGTTCGCCCACAACGTACCTTGGCTGCCAGCTCGTCCACACTGATCTCCACCGTGTCGGGCATGGCGGCAAACTTGACAAAGTTAAACTGCATACGCTCGTGGACCAGGTCGCCGAGAACGTGCAGGAGCAGCTCGTCGTTGTCCCTGTCGCGGGAAATGTATCCGCTGAAAGCCTGCGAACAAAAGCCACATTGGCGCGATTGCATCAGGATATCGGCTTCGGGTCACTCTCGGATAGCGATATTGCTCAGGACGCATCCTCACCCGCTCGAGCGACTTGCGCACGGACTGCTTCTGCGCCGTGACGAAACTTTTGATCATGACAGCAATGGCGCGATCGATATCGTCCTGTCGGACAATGTCTCGCAGATGCATGCGCGCAAAGGCCTCGGCCATGCGAACGATCGATTCCAGGTAGCGAACGGTGATGGGGATACCGCCACTGATCTGTGTGTATCGATGCAGTCACAGTTGGTTAGCGTTCGTGCTGGCCAGGCTGCAGAGGCAAGCTCGTACTGTTGCATGACTAAGGGCTGGTCCGTGATGCAGACTGACGAATCGAGTACGGCGAGACACGCGGGTACCGCAGACTGACCATAGACTGTTGACGCAGTGACGAATAAAGGCGGGCGATCTTGTCCTGATCAATGTCGGCGATTTTGGGATGCACCTTCTCGCGCGAGTACATGATATACTTTTTCAGCAGCTCTTGGGGAATGATCTAACGGCCAAAGGAGGATGTCCGGTCCGCAGCGACGGAGAATTGGTTCGCGATGGGGAAACATCAGTCAGCACGCATCCCGGGCCGACCTTGATGCAATGCGATCGCCAGACAGCCAAAACTTACTTCAGGATCGTGCATCGTAGCCGTCTCGATCTGGCCGCTGAACGACGGATGGCTGCGGATGTGGCTGTTGACCACAAAGCGGGCCAGAGACTCGTCCAGGATAGGGTCCGGGGTATCTTTCACCACGCACAGAATATCAAAACGCGACAGAATCGGCTCCGTCAGCTCGACGTTCTGAGAGAATGGGATCTGCGGGTTGTAGCGGCCCCGAATCGGGTTGGCGGCTGCGATGACGGCGCAGCGGGCCTGGAGGGTTGTAACAATGCCGGCCTTGGAGATTGAAATGGACTGCTGCTCCATGGCTTCGTGGATACTCGTTCTAGAGTATGCAGATAATGGCGCATCCCACCCATCCGAGTTAGCGGGAGCTCGCGGGACACTTCTGATGCATGGAGATGACTGCATCGCCACATTCTCGGGGCTCACCTGTCCTGATCGTTCATCTTGTCAAACTCGTCGATCAGACACACGCCTTTGTCGGCCATGACGAGTGCCCCGCCTTCCAGAGTCCACTCGCGCGTGATTGGATCCTTGTGGACAGAGGCCGTCAGACCGACGGCAGAGGCACCCTGGCCCGTTGTGTAGACAGCCCGATGCGAGGTCTTCTCGACGTATTTGAGGAACTGCGACTTTGCTGTTCCTGGATCGCCCAACAGAAGGACATTGATATCGCCTCTGAGGCGATGCTTGCCCTGGGGATTCTTTGCGACGCCACCAAACATGGCCAAGGCAATGGCAGTTTTGAGATCTTCGTGACCAAAGATGGACGGTGCGATGCTTTTGATGATCTGGATACGACACCGTTATCGGATTAGACTTGTCTTAATCCCACACCCAATGAACCACGTCGAAATGGGCTGAGGCGGCAGGCAAGGAAAAACAAAGCAGCGTCGCAAGGGCTTACTCGTTGCCGGATTCGCGGGTCAGAGGCAAGAACCCGGATACTCCGTTCGTCCTCCTCCGTGAGCTTGTATGAGGCAAACTGATCCTCCTTCTTGTTGATATAGTTTGCCTCAATGACGGTCGAGAAGACGGGGAAGCCGTTCTTGTTGTTCAGTGAAACGTCGTAGTTGTTGCGATAGATGCCAATGACCTCCTGTGGAGCGTGGGCAGGAGATTTTGTCAGAACAGGCGATGCGACAGCCATACAGATGCGGCCGCGTGCGGTTGGGGCGATACGGTACAATTTCTTCTCCGGGCCGGGCAGAGTCAACGAGGTCCCACAACAGAACGACTTCTTTGTGTCGGGGAAGACGGCCGGCCGGCACCGTTCCAGGGGACTCCTGGAGGGTGAGGCGCTGGTAGTTCCGGTAGATAGTCTGCAGGCAAAAGAAACGCAGTCAGCCAGAGCAACAGGAGCTCCAAAGCAACACCGACACAGAGGCCGGACGAAAGCGCCGTGGCCGCTCAATCGCGTGGATTGTTGCAGGGCACAAAACAAATGAGCGGAATCATACCTCCTCGCTGTTGATGAGGAAAGGGCCCTTGGACTGGCAGTTCGAGCACTTGTTGATCTTGATTTCGCCATGCACATCCTGGTAAAACGGACCAAGGACAACACCACACGCTTTGCAGTCAAACTTGACGTATTTGAGCTGAGGAAAGACAGTGCTTCTGCGAGTGACGACGCCACTGACGCGGATCAATGTGTTGAGGTGGGATTGTCTGCAGCACGGGCGGGAGTCGGTGAGTCGGTGAGGAGGGCAAGTGGCTTGTCCTGGACGGAAATCAGGGTGGATCCAGTGGCAGACGCAGCACAAGACACCGGATATCTGACCAATCGGTACAAATGCCAATCGAGGCACTCGCCCGGAGCAAGCTCACAGGACCCGTGCCGTCGTATGACTGCTTAATCACAGGGCTGGTAATACTCTACCTGAGCAGACGAAGGCTGTCCGAAATCGGCAAGTCGGTGATTCGGACGTGGATCTCGGCCTTGATGTTTTCGTACTCCTCAAAGGCCGAGAGCACACACTCAAAGGCCACCGAGTCGAAAATCTTCAGCACCTCCGTGGGAGAGTTGACGACACAATAGGCCAGGTAGGCGTTTTTCTTTTCGAGATGGAGGTAGCTGACCTCGAGACTCTCTCCGTTTGCTAGAAACCGCACAAACCGTGGAGCTGAGTCAGGGCGCCGACGGCAGAAAAAAGCAATGCCGATAAAGCCAACCTGGCTCTTTGAGCCCAATCGCTGAGACTCCACCGAGACTCCACCGAGACCACATACCTTCGCACATAGCCTTGATTCGTTCGCCGTAGATGCAGACGCCGCCCTCGACATAGGACGAAAGGAATTGATGGAAGTGACGCCGAATCGACTGCCGGGTACCGTCCATGGACACCCACTCGGCAAGCGGGCCCTTGATTTCATCGATCGACTCGATTGGAACCTCAATCTGGATATTGGCAGCGCATGATGACAGTCAGTATCCGCTACCATCGCTATGCTTACTCGCACCACGGCCGCCAAGAGATCAACTTACTGGGACTCCATCCTGTATCAGGGCATCATCCATATCGGTGATGCGGCGGCGACGGGTGACTTCCGGACGCAAGTCGTCCTCGTCATCTGAGCGATTGGGCAATCGAGACATCAGCATCGCCTGCGTCAGACTTCCAAGGGATGTCAAATGCACCACAATGCAGCAAAGGGGGCCGTCACTCTATACCGTCATCCAAAAAGGCTGCCGGGCGACCGCTTCGCAGTGCCTCGGCACGATCGCGTCTTCGCATCTTCATTTCGGCCAGGCGTCGCTGATCGATTGTCAGCTCCTCGACTTCGTCTTCGTCGAGACCCTCGGCTTCGTAAAAGTCCTTTTCAGGGTTCTCGCGATAGTCTCTGTTTTTCGGAAGAACAGAGGCCCGGTGAGTACGCTTGAAGGTATTGAGCAAGCAGCGCCGAGAGTGTCGGTCAGAGGCTGTCCGAGCACCACTCTCAAGGCTGGGCCGGTTGCGTGGAGTACCTGGCAAGATCGGGGCCAAACAGATCCTCGCCGTCACCTTCATCCTCATCGGCATCCGCCAACGGGTCGTCGGCGTTGTCGTCTTCAAAATCCTCGGGCTCAACTGCCTCCGAGAAGGGCGGTAGGTCATCGATATCATCGAGCAGCTCCTGCGACGGAGGAAGCTGGTCGTCGTCATCTGGCCGATCGCGGGAAGTACGGGAGCGTTTTCGATCCTGGAGAAGGGGAAAATGGCGTCAGTAGATACCAGAGCGACCAGCGATCGCCCAACGGGTCGGCAAGATTAAGCAGAACGGATGGCTTTCAGGTCGGCCATGCTGTGCACACGATCCAAAGGCGGGCGGGATACACTTCGAGAGGTATTACCATCGTTTGGTGTGTCTGGGTGACTGGTTATGGGTCGGGTGGGCTGGATCCTCGGGTCGGGCAGACTCTGCGCTGGATTGCTTCTTGCTCGAGAGCAGAGATCCGGGTCAGGCTGGGCTGGGCTGAAAGTGGGAGCGACGGAGAGACGGCGAAACGGTGGTCGCTGCCGACATGTTTCCTTTTTTGGCAGAATGAGCTGCTGGCTGGACACACTCGATCCGGCTGGACACACTCGATCCGGCTGGACACACTCGATCCGGCTGGACACACTCGATCCGGCTGGACACACTCGATCCGGCTTGGTGCACTCGAGCCGCCTGGCCGCTGTTGGGGATCTCGAGCAGCAGGATTTCAACTCGCTTGCTCCTGGAGACGCACGCAAGGCTCCCCTCCATCGGCACCCGACATCGACCCGCCAGCCTGCTCGAGAGCTGTCTTGGAGCCCACAGAACCAACACCGTCCGTTCAGCACCAAGCCGACACCAAAAGCCACGACACCCAGCCACAGGCGTCCACTGTTCCGCTCGATACCACCTGATCCCATCCAGCATCGTCAGTATCCGAAACAATGTCGTCCAAGGTCCAGAAGATTATGGTCCAGCCGATCAACCTGATCTTTCGGTTTTTGCAGCAAGTAAGCGCCGCGCCAATCCATCCAAATTTGCGGTGCTGTTCTATCTCTATCGCGACGGCCACTGCTGGTTGCCAATGAGGGCGTGCTCCCAATGACCGATGCTTGGTGGACCGATGCAGATTCGCTGGTTAGACTCACAGATCGAGCTGCCGGATCTTTTCTTTGTGAGACCCAATGCCTGATATAACCGATCCATGCATCACCCTACTTCTTCACCAGAAATCAAAGGTCCAGATCTGGCTCTACGAACAAACCAACACCCGTATCGAAGGACGAATCATTGTCAGTATTCGTCGAGGAGCGGGCCATGCCGCCTGGCTAGCGACCGCTGGGTGAAGCTGGCGCCGTGAGGGGCGGGACTGATGCAAATGTCAGCACGGGCACACCGGCGCATTGTGTGTGAGAGGAGAGAATGGCATGATCAAGACTGAGTCGGCACTCATGATGCTGTTCACGATTCCGGCTGACCGTATTCGGGGCTGAATGCTGCAGGGCTTTGACGAATTCATGAACCTTGTCCTCGAGGAAGCTGAGGAAGTCTCTGTCAAGAACAGCACCCGGACACCCATCGGCCGAATCCTCCTAAAGGGCGACAACATCACCCTTCTGTGCAGCGCCTAGCATGGCGAATAAAAGCCTGACCATCGATCGCGGCGACACATGCACGGACAGCATCAGTATCGACGGCGCTTCGGCAAGCCGTAGCAGTCACTGTAATCTGGTTGTAGCCGTCCCTGTCGACGGTCTTGGAGTAGCGAACAGTGGAGCCGTGGAACAGCAGAGCAATGATCTGCCCATAGATCCCAGATCCCAGATCCCAGACACATGATGTCCAAACGGCCGACGTGGTCTTGCTAGCCAAGTGCCTTCGCAAGAGTGCTTCTTGGATAGTATGAGATCGATCTGGCGGGCGATTGCCTCGGTCCGGTGGCCGCCGACCAACCCTGGTGCGAATCGATGCCGGTGGTGCAGTTTGCGATGCAGGTCCTGGCGAATGCCCCGAGCATACTCTGCGCCGAGTGTCTCTGTTCCATTCTCAAGTGTGCACGTATGTGTCGGGCGGTGATCCGGGCTGCCGTCGGCATGCTGACCGCTGGTTTTGCTCTTCCCGGTCCGCTCTTTTCCCGGTCTGAACCTCACCCGCAGCCCCTCTTTGCCCTGGCCCTGGCGGCGCGGCCTGGTGGGTCGGGGGAGGAGCAACCCAGTCGGACAGGGTCATGTTCGCCGAGGACTCGCTCGCATCCCGCCTCGCCGTCCATCCGTTCCGCCATATCCCGATATCGAAGCACTTGCCCGCAAACGAACGCAGAAGAGCGACCCGCCTTGCTTGCTCTTGCTTGCTCTTGCGACGCCGCTTTCTCGCCGAGACTTCCGCTGCCGTCGTCTCGACCCTGGCGGCCACCCCGAGCACCACCGACGCATTTGCCGCTCCCTTCCTTCCTTTCGTCCTCAACTTTCCTCGCCCCGTCCCTCCGCCTCTTCTCGCCTTGCTGCTGCTGCCGAGACACAAATGTCATCGATTCAGAAAGTCTCTGCCGAAGACATTCCTTCCGGCTCTGCAAACGGCCCCGACAACCAACAGCCGCTGGATGAGCTCTGGCAAAAGGTCTCCGCCAACATCCACAACGCTGTCCACCAGGCGGTCGAGTCGATAAGATCCGTCTCGTTCTATCCCAACCGGTCCGACTCCGACACCGAGTCTTCGGGCTCCCCCGACAGTTTTGTTCATTTTTTGGGCATCCTCTATCCATCGCTGGAGGACCCGGCGTTTCTGGACGACTTTCGCTCGCGTCTGTGGATCACCTACCGCTACTCGTTTCCTCCCATCAAGCCCAGCACCTACACTTCGGATGTCGGGTGGGGTTGCATGCTGCGCTCGGGCCAGATGCTCCTCGCCAGTGCATTCGTTTTGCACTATCTTGGAAGAGGTGAGTTTCCCCAGGCGACGTATACGGCCATTAGCAGCCAATGGTGCTGCGAGGGATCGGCAAAGCAGTCTCCACACCGAATGCCTGCATCCCCATCCACTTGGGCATAATCCCGGCTGGGACAAGCAATCTGGTTCGCACGGGCTGAATTCGGATCATCCACTCGCTGCCGCTCGCCGACCAAAATGTCGCTTTGCTGATCAAGACTGGAGACTGGTCAATAACTCGGACAAACCGACCATGACGCTCTACTCCAAGGCAGGTGCCTTTGCAGTGCCTGTTTGGACGCTGGTGGCTCTCGTCCCGATTATGGCCCCCTTCTCGATCATGGCTGGCTCACGATGTGATTGTCCTCGCCAACTACCCAGATCGTCAGCTGGTTCCTTGATTCCAACTCGAGCCCATACTCCATTCACCGGGTGGCGCTGCTGGGCCAGCAGTATGATAAGGAAATCGGGGCATGGTTTGGCCCAGGCACGATCTCCCAAGTTCTCAGGTGATGCGCTGCGGTGTCTTGCTGATCACATTGGATCGGTGCTCCAGGCGTGCATGAGCCCATCTTTCCCAGGCTTCTGAAGGAATCGACATGCTCACAGTACTCTCTCTGATTCCCACAGAACCCTGCTCCATACCCACAGAGACAGCAGGCTCGAAATCCACTACTGCCTCGACGGCGCAGTCTACAAGAGCGACGTTCAGGCCACAGCCAAGTCGGAGGACGACGATCCGGAGTGGAAACCACTTCTGCTTCTGATTCCCCTGCGACTCGGCGTCGAGAATCTCAACCCGGTGTACCACAACGCCCTCAGGGTAGGCGGTCTGGTTCGCCCGGTGGCTGCGTTTGCAGAGGGTATCAATGGGATACAATCGATTGGTTGCGTCTCTGACTAACAGCAATCCCATCCGCAGAACTGCTTCGATATCCCCCATTGCGTTGGGATTGCCGGGTTTGTGTGCCAGAGCCATGACAGTCCCGGGGACGCATCACAATCGCTTCAGCGCTGCCGGAATCACTAATCGAAGCCTTTGGATGACATCAGCGGCCGCCCAAACTCCTCGGTGTTCTTCATCGGATACCAGGGTACGGATTATCGACCCGCGTAGACTTTCGATAGCTTTTGAACTGCGGCGCGGCCGGCGACGAGCAACTGATCTCCTGTTCTCAATTGAATCGCTAGGAAGCAAGTTTATATACTTGGATCCGCACTATTCGCGAGCAGGTATGGCCAGCTGTAATGCACATGAATACTTTGGCCAGCCGGGTCCTCTAACCGCGGTCGCCTCCTACTCAAGCTGTGTCGATGAAGGACTACAACTCGTATACGGTGGAGGTGAGCTGCATTCGAAATAGGTCGCTCGGCTGCTTGTATCGAGGCATTCCCCCCCCCCGAGAAAACTGCGTACTGCTGTGCTATAGTGCTGGAGCCTGGGAAGGGCCTATGAAGATCTTGCAGACGACAATGGTTGACGAACGACTTGCCGTGCCTGGTCAAAAGAGTCGTCCAGCACCTACTAAAGCATATTATGTGTGAAACTGATGATAACGCCTGCAGGATTTGTCAAGCTACCACTGTCCCACGGTCCGAATAATGCATATCAGCAACCTAGATCCGTCGCTTGTCATTGGATTTTACTGTCGAAACTCACTCGATTTTGATGAATTCTGCAAACATGCGAAGAAGGTGAGGGCCCGCGCAGCCGGCGACCACTCACTCACTCACTCACTCACTCACTCACTCACTCACTCACTCACTCACTCACTCACTCACTCACTCACTCACTCACTCACTGGTTCTTGTTCGTGGATAGCTGACCAGGGGCAAGACTCCGCTCTTTACCATTGCTGAGAACCGCCCCGAGTATCCTGATGAGGTGGAAATTGTGTCGGACCCTGATGATATGTAATCCGTCCTGCGCTGGCTTGTCCCCATGCCGTCCGCCATTCAGATAGCTCAGTGCATCGGTGGAACGGCAGCGCACCAGCGGCGATATATGGTTCAATTGTACTTTATCGTTGAGCAACACACCAGTGTCCGTGGCAGAGTTGATGCGCAAGGCCAGGTGGCTGAGAGCCTCTGGGAATGCGGGAGTACTGATGACGGGGACAGCGCTACGATGCCCCGATCCGCAAGGGCGGCTTCCTCGAGCTGCCGACCCGCCGCTGCCCTTTCTGCCACAATACCCTCATCCATCCTGCATCCAAAACGACTTGCACCGCTTTCGACGCTCCTGACGAGGATGTCGGCCGGCGTCCCTGTGATCGATGTCCACTCGCACATCAACGAGACCCCCGAGACCCTCGGGCTCCTGCCTCACATGCGAACGCAAGAGACCTGGGTGATGGGTACCCACCTCAAAGACTGGAGCCAGATCGACGAGATGGCGAGGCAGTATCCGTCCAAGGTCATCCCTGGCTTCGGTAAGCCGGCACCAGCCTTGGCCCATCTCAATGTTGTGCAATCCTCGCCCGCATGAGGCCACTCGGCGAGTCTGGAGATGAGGAAATAGGCAACAACGATCGAAAAACATGGCCTCGAGGGCTCAGCATCGTCCTGCTCCATACCCGTAGGCGTCCACCCCTGGTTCGCCCACACCGTCACGGCCGAATCGCTCGGCGACGACGCCGGCTGCACCCGCCAGCTGCTCGAGGACTATCTGCGGCGGCATCCAAAGTGCCTCCTGGGCGAGATCGGTCTCGACAAGATCGCAACCCACCCCGGCACCCGCGAGCGCTACGACTACAAGCATCAAATGAGGGTCTTTGAGGCCCAGTTCGAGATGGCCTCACAACTCGGCCTGCCGGTCTCGGTGCATGCCGTCCGGTGTCACGGCGAGCTGCTACAATATCTCCAGGCTCGGGCCAAGGCCAAGCGACCGGCGAGGTCGTCCGATCGCTCTGTCCTCGACCCAGGCGCATTGGACCAACACCAACACCAGCAACAGCAACAGCAACAGCAGCCGCTGCTTTGGCCACCAGCTATCATGCTGCATTCTTGGTCTGGCTCACACGAGATCACCCGGGCGATCCTGAAGCTGCCGCCACGGATCAGCCGGCTGTTTTACTTCAGCTTTTCGCACATCGTCAACTCCAGGTCGCCCAAGTGGCGGGAGCAGATCGCTGAGATCCCCGAGGACCGCATCCTGGCCGAGTCGGATCTCGGCAGCACCGAGCTCGTGGACGAGGCCCTGGACCGGGTCTGCGCCATGATTGCCGAGGCTCGTGGGTGGTCGCCAGAGGAGACGCTGCAGCGACTGCATCGCAACTCGAGCGCTTTCTGGGAGCGATGAGGCAGGGTCGATGGGTCGAAAGATGGCTCTGGGCCGGCTGCCGTTGTCTCGTCGCTTCATCCCAGACGGGTTTCGAATGGCAGTGTACATTGATTGACATGTATATCGGTTGCTTTACGATTGAAGTATATACTGTAGTAAGGAGAGTAGAGGATAGAACGGAAAAAGAAAAAAAGAAAGAAACGGACCAAAGACAACGCAAAACGAGGGCACAAAAGACATCACAGACGACGGGGGGCGGGGACATGTCAGGCATCAAAACATTTGGAATTACGATCGAGGCGGGGACGGGGCAAAGGGGCGGGGAGGTGGCAAGCAAAAAAATAAAAAAGCAAAGCCAAAGACCAAGCAGCAAACCAGAACAGGGACAAAGAGATGTAACTGACATAGGCGAGATGGGGAGGGAAAGACGAACACAAGCGACACTGAGGCGAGCACCGCACTGGAAGGCGGCGCCGGGAAGCTTGCCGTGCTCATCCACCGGGGTAAACGATTGCATAGTACGGGGGAGGGAAAGGCACCTCGGAGGAGGTGGCAGGAGACCATAGAAAAGGCTCCGTTCGTTCTAAGCCTCGAGCTTCTCGAGTGGAGGGCTGTTGCTCAAGGGAGAGTGGCTGAGAGTCTCACCGTACGGCTTGATGGAGCCCGAGAGCACAGCCTGGGCCTTGCCACGCATATCCGTGATGGACGGCGCACGGCCCTCCTTGATCTTGAGGTCATGCAGCGACGACCGCCGGATGCCTGGGAAGGTCGAGCCGGGACTGAAGGGATCCGGCAGGATGGGTACGTCCTTGTTGATCTGGGGCATCGCGGCACGGGCAGCAGTGGAAATGCTGGTATCGTTGATGGGCGAGCCAGAGAGCGGGCTCGAGCCAGGCAGCTGGCTGAAGAGCGCCGTGGTGGCCGCAAACGCCATGTCGGCAATGGAGTTGCGCTTGCGATGCGCGGGGCGCAAAAGTGGAATGCGGGGGTTGAGAGCGAGGTCGTCGTCCTGGATCGAAGCGAGCGAAGGGGAGGAGGGAGCAAGGGAGCAGTGAGCATATCAACGGGTTTCACGTTGGAGGGGCGGGGATGCCCGGATGGTGCTTTCTCCATGCCGAGGCAAACAGCTGTGTGTTCTCCACAGAGTTCGGCATCGGCTGAACCGACCGTGACCGGTCGCTCGATGGCAAGACGTATATCACGGCCGTCTGACCTTGCCGTGGAGAAGCAAAAGCTTGTTGTTCACACGGTGATGATGCCTTTTCGGCTCAGGACTTACACGGCCAGCGAGTCCTTGCTTTTCCCACGAGTCGGGCTCGTTTGCTTGGGAGGAGTTCCAGTTGAACCACGAGTTGGAACTGGTCAGGACAGGCGAGGAGGTTGCCGACCGGTCGTTCAACCACCCATCGGTCATGGAGCCAGCCGTTCGGGGCAGCGAGCCGGCAGAGGACATGCCGTCGGCGGTGCTTCCGTTGTACTGGTACTCGGACGAGTCGAGAATGTCAAAGTTGTCGTCCAGCTCCTCGTCCTCGTCGTCCTCGCTGTATACGACCTGGTCCTGCTCGAGGAGACTCGACAGATTAATCTCGGGGTCGAAGATGGCGGGGCAGTTGCGAATCAGGTCATTAACGAGCTTCCAGGCGTAGGGGTCGTTGGCATTCTCGGTCGTGGTGTGCTCGGGCCGGAGGAAGCAGTAGGCCAGAGTGCGGGAGAGGGCAACAAAGCGCTGGTCGTTGGAGGGGAGGCCTCGGGTGATGCTGGTGAGTCGTTCGAGGCACGTGGAGAGAGTGAGCAGGAGAAGATTCGGCCGATGCCCGGGCGAACGGTGTGCGCCACCGGCAAAACCCCATGAAAGTACACGGCGCCGAGGCTGCAGGCGGCTGGAGCGGGGTGGCTTACCAGTGCAAGTACGCGCTCAGGAGGCGGACAGTGTCGTGGATGGGCGCCGAAACACTGTTGAAGATGGCCTTGAGCCTCTCGATGCGGCCGTTTTCATCGGCGAGCTCGGTGAGGTTGAAGTCTGCGTTGATATCAGCCACAGGAGATCGCATTGCGATACAGTCGCGTAAGCATCGGGTTGGATAGAATCGCTTCGCTCCAGAGTAACAGCAGCCGCCTGGGTTCGTTCGCGCCGCCGATGGCCACTCTCGCAGCAGCTCAGTGCACCTCCCCAAGCACCAAAGAATCCAGCTGCGTTATCAGCTACTCACCATCCTTGGCGCGGTACAGGTCCGCCACTTCCTCGTAGTAGGTAGGGGAGATGATACCGGAGGTCGACTCGGTCAGGAACATTTTGAGCAAACATGCGACGACGGCGGGAGATTGGCGCCGCATCTTGTCCAGAGTGATCTTCTTGCCACGGATGCCGCGGCCAAACTCGATCCGGAGGAGTTGGACCGAGGGCATCTCGGGGTTCGGCGTCAACCAGATGTCAACAGAGCCCCGGGCAGCCTGGAAGGCCTCATGCAGGACCTGGACTGACTGGCGAATCAGCACAGGAACGTTTCGGTTGGTGAATTGGGCCAGCCGGTCGATGGTGGCGGCAAACATGCTGATCGGCTCGCGGTTCTCGTCGTAGTGATCAAAGACAAAGGGTGGCTGGCGGACAGGCCCCGTGGACCACTTCTCGCAGATGGCGACGATGCCTTCGTCGGGCTGAGGGAGAGGCAGGACCCACTGTAGCGGCTCTGGGTTCCAGAGACGCGAGAGTTCCTCGAGGGCAGTGCGCTGGGCGGTCTCGAGGGCCTTGTAGCTGTCGCTCATGATCGAGATACGCACAGACTCGGCTTGCTGGATGAAGATCAAAAAGTCCTCGATGTGGAAGTTGAGGGCGGAGCGGCTGTGCTCGGCATTGAGGACCGAACGGAGGTAGTCCTGGCGAGCATACTCGGCGTCCTTTCTGGCTTTGACGTAGGGGCTGTCGCCGTTCTTGAGAAGAGGACGGCCAAAAACGTAGAGGGTCTCGGGGTTGAAGGCTCCGTCGTAGCCGCCGACAACGGCCGTGATGAGGCGGCGATTGACGTACGCCTGGGCCATCGCCACCAGCAACGGGGACGTGACGCTAGGGTATCTTCCGCGGAGGAAGGCCACGACGTCTTCGCCAACAAAGCCGTTTTCGAAGATACCAAAGGGAGTCGAGATGGCTCTGGTTTTGACTTCTTTCTTCATAAGGTTGAACATGTCCATCAGCTCGGAGTACGGGACGCCGCGATGGCCAAAGGTTACGCCTGGACAAGAGTAGGACGGACAGAATCGCGAGTCATGGAGATGAGTCGACGCACTGACGAACAGACCATGCATGATGATGGTGGGCGATGGCTACCTGTGTCGGTGGACTGCGGGGCGTCTCTGATCTCGGCATCCTGGCGCGAGCGAGTCTCCTCGTCCTCGGCCAACTTCATCTTCTCGAAAAAGGCAGCCTTTTTCTTCTCGACTTCGCGAACGAGCTTGGGAAAGCCCTTGTAAGCCTGGTCAACCTCGCTCTTCTTCATGTTGATGAGCTTGCGATAGCGGACGATGAACTCGGAGAGCGGGGTGATGACGCCATGGGCAATGGACTGGCAGTGCGTGGCGTGAATGGCAGCCTGGCGACTCATCTGGTCCTTGTACTGAGCAATGGTGTTTCCAAAGGCCGAGCCGTCGCCCGAGAGCGAGACTTTTTGGTTGGGAGACCTGCGCTCATCCGACCAGAAGGTGGAGGCAAGGCCGGCGCCGGCAAGGGCGATGCTCGAGGACAGGGACGAGGCAGCTGAGTCGTCCGAGGGGACCGAGATCTTGCCGAGGGACAGTTCGGAGAATCGCAGGGCGGTTTGGTCTTCGACAAAGGCCCGCTGCTTGAAGGAGAGCAGTGCGAGCTCGCATTCGGACAGATGGGCGGTGAAGATGTGGAAGAGCTGGTCGACGCCGCTGGTGGGGGGAGTGTCGTCGAGGCCCCAGAAGTGATCATGGAAGCTGAGAAGCGGACGCATGTTTGGCAGTCGGGTGGCGGGTAGACGGGGAGGATGCCCAGAGACTGGGATGGTGGTATCCAGGTGGCAGATGCGAGGCCCAGACGGCGGTGGCTTGGAGTTCGGCCTTGGCTTGACCCGGAGCAGGTATTGGGAGGGTGGGAACGGGGCGGAGGTGGTCGGGGAAGCTGATATGGGCCAGACCAGATGGGGAGAGAGGGAGACGAGAGGAAAGGGGAGGTGATGGGGGGGGGAGCGAAGGGAGTGGAGGGAAAGGGAGCAGGGAAGAGGAAGGGAAGGGCCAAGGATCGAGGACGACAGGGACGATGGAGGGAAGGAAGGAAGGGCAGGCCGATGACCAGAATGGGTCGCAAAGCCGACCAAAGGACGCAAGGCAAAGACGAAGGCGAACGAGACAGGAGCCGAGAAGCAGTGCGACACCGAGGGCCACAGAGACTGTGGGCGGCGAGGAGCGAGACGTTGGCGAGAGCGACAAGGCCGCGGTGCAGGGCAAGGGCAGCTGGAGGCTCACAGAGACTGCTGCCGATGGAGTTGTGCTCCGGACGGTGGCTGCTGAGCGCGGCAGGTGCCAGTGGACAGGCCAGTGCGACATGTCGAGCCGCGGTTGGGCGATGGTTGGGCGATAGTGGAACCGGGCTGCGGTTGGGCAGTGACGGAGCTGGGCCAGAGGCCGCGGCAGTGTTATGCGGGCACTGCTTCGGGCAGCTGGTGCAGCGTCGTTTGGCATCGCCGTGCTGCCGTCGCAGTGCTGTTGCCAGCGTTGGAATGCCAGGCCTCAACGTTATTACTCGCATCGGGCTGCCTCGGTCGACACATCGTCGTCACGCTGCAAAAGAAAGGCGCGCTCGTGCCCCTCAGAAAAGGGAAGGGATCGGACGCGTGTGTCCCGCCACGTCGCACGCGCGCACGCGCGCTCGCCCCACCGCGCAGCCGGCTCGACTCGCTGGCTCGAATGACTCGAATGGCTCGATCGGCTTGCTTGGATCGAATGGATCGACTGGATCGAATGTGCGTCGTCTCCTCGGCGCCGCTCTCTGCCTGCCCTCGCTGTTCTCGCCGAGCCGTGGCAACACTCTGTGTCTCCTCGCTCTGCTTCTGCGCCTTCTCGCACTCCTCTCGCCCGCTCTCGCCCCACAGGCGCGCTCCCGCACCAAGGCCCGAATTCGGGCCAATCGCAGCCCGCTGCTCCTTCAGAGTCGGCTTTTTGTTTGGCCATTCTATGCATATTTATACTTTTGCGACTTTCCTGGACCCGCCGCCATGTCTCTGTAGTCGCCTGCATCGCCCTTTTGCATCGCTCGCTTGCATCGCTCTTCTGCTCCGTCCTTCTCCTCCTGCTCGCCTCGCACGGCCACAGGCTCTCCTTGCCCTTCGTTTCCGCCGTCGTCGGCAAACTCCCAGGTACGTTCTCTGATCGGCCCCGGGCGATCGGACCAGCCACCCACTTCCCACCACTGCCAGCCGCTCGTTTGCATCAAAACACCGCCGCATCATCGTGCTGCTGCTTGCTGGCCCCCCCTCCTCTCTCGACCAATTCTACCACCCGCCAGCTCTATTGGCGGATCGACCAGACTCGGCTCAGTTGTCCGGTCCCCAGTGTGGCATGCTGGCTGTCGAGGCAGCCCTTCCAGCATCTTCGTCCCACCCCTTTCGAGACCCAGCCCCCACGTCATCGGTACTCACCGGATTGAAAATCGGCCTCGATCTGCTCCTAACTATCGTGTTTCCGTCATCCTGCCCATTCGACCGCCATCGCACGTCCTTTTATTCTCTGCTGCTCCTCGTGGCGACAGTCGTCCGGTTTCATTCGTTCAGCTTTGTCGATACAGCACCCTTTGCGCTTGCCGGGTTTTCTCGCTCCCATCGCCTTCAGTTCCCCCCCCCGTTCTCCACACTCTCTCCATAGCCATGTCTACCTTCAGTACCGAGATATGGACTCCGGGTCTTTCCAGCACCAACACTCGCCAGTCGCAGTCCCAGGCCAATGGAGCGGCTGCAGCCCCATCGCCAAAACCAGAGCGGAAAACCTCCTCTGCGGGCTCGCTGTTCAAGCCCAAGGCTGCCCCCGGATCCGATCCTGCTCTCTTTGCTCCCGTTCCGCCCAAGAAAAACATCCTCTATCGCATTTTTCATCCGGGCCAGGAAGGCAGCGCCATCGTCGGTCGCTCCCGGAGAACATACGAATCCGGCAGCGAGTCCACCGATGAAGACCAGGGCTACTCGACGGACCAAGCCACCGACGACGAGGGCAACACCCACGTCTTCTCCAGCAAGGACCCCGTTCAGGGTCTTTTCGTCGCTGCTAACGATTCGCAAAAGCCAAAAGAATCGTCGGTGCAGTCGCCCTTCTCCCACCCGGCTTCGGACAGCGAGAGCGAGACCGAGGAGCAGCATCACGACAAGTCCAAGCGCCCTGGCCTCTTGAAGCTGCTCGGCGGCCAGAGCTTCAAGCCCAAAAAGTCCTCGAGCTCGCGCGGCAATTCCTCCAACGAGAACAGCGAGAACAGCGACTCGGACGATGGCTCGGTCCACAAGTCTGACGGCGGGCTCTTCAAGGGTCTCATGAACCCCGGCCTGCGCCGTCCCTCGACCACCTCGCAAAAGGGCTCGGACCACTTTTACGAGTCGAAACACTCGGCCTCCGACACCTCGCTTGCTGAAAAGTACGGCAAGGTGGCGACCGAGCTCGGCCGTGGTGCCAACGCCGTCGTCCGCCTGTGTTGCCCGATGAACTCGGAAAAAAAGTATGCCGTCAAGGAATTCCGCAACCGAAGACGAAATGAGGGCCAGGTAATACCCCCCCCTTCACCCCCCAAAACAGGTTGACGCTGTTTGCACTCGCACTCCATCCCCTGTGCTCCCCTGCCCCTTCGTCGACAGCTTTAGTGCAGCCGCATCCGCTTTTGCGCAGATCGCACCTCGCCGCCCTCCCCCCCATACTGCCGGCGCTGCCTGGCTCGCCCTGGAGCCACCGCCTCTGCATTCGCAATGGCCCTCAGGACGCCATCTCATGACACGTCACGCGCAGTCGCGCTCGGGGCTAATTCTCGGCTTGCTTTCGCTGCGCCCTTCCCCGTCCCGGACGTCAACGCCTCACCGCCACAGAAAGAGTATGTCAAGAAGCTCATTGCCGAGTTCTGCATCAGCTCGACCCTAGACCATCCTAATATCATCAAAACTGTCGACCTGATCAAAGACGAGGTAGCGTCGTTGTCCTCCTGCTGCTGATGTCAGCCCCGCTCCTCTTGCTGTCGGTGTCAGCCCCGCTCCTCTTGTCGAGTCAGCCCAGCTCACCCAATCGCTTTGGACGCTGTTTATCCGGTTATCCAGAAACACAAGTGGTGTGTCGTCATGGAGTACTGTCGCGACGGCGATCTCTACGCCAAGATCCACGCCGGCCAGCTCACCGACCTCTACGAGTCGTATTGGTGTGTATCTCGGTAGCTGGACAGTGCCGGTGTCGGTCTGGTTCTGCCTACGGATTCCTGATTGTGTATCCTTCGCAATCAGCGCACCGCTCTGCCACTCGTCCGGCCGGTCGTCTATGGCTGCCGTCGTTCTCGTCCTTCCCCTCGCCCGTGTCGCTAACTTGACATCACCTCGTGGGCCCTCGTATCCGCCAGCTACTTCCGCCAGCTCATTGAGGGTGTCAAGTATCTGCATAGCATGGGTGTCGCTCACCGTGACTTGAAGCCAGGTACGTCTTTGGCGGATTCTGGCCATCGTGTTGGTAGCGACCCTTGGCACTCGCATGCTCCTTGACAATCACCGAGGCTGATGTCGGGTCCGGCTGTGTTCCAGAAAACCTCCTGTTGGACGACGACGGAAAAATCCTCAAGATCACCGACTTTGGTGTCTCCGAGGTCTTCAAGACGCCCTTTGGCAAGCCCACCAAGGCCAAGGGTCTCTGTGGATCCGGGCCCTATATCGCCCCAGAGGTAGGAGGTCCTTGCCAGTCGTGCTGACGCGGTAGAGTGGCCGAATTTCCGGCGAATATAACTGGCAACCCTGCGTTTGTCGTCTCATTGCTGATTATGATGATGCTCGACATCCTAGGAACACACCGACCCTGAGTATGACTCACAACTGGTCGATATCTGGGCCATGGGCATCATCTTGTAAGTGGTTCTCCCTCACAGGCACCCTGTGGCTCGCGCACAGCTGGGCATCTGCGCCCGTAGGATGGATGGGTTGAATCTATTATGGATGTCGATGACTGATGTCTCGCGCTGCCGCCTTTAGCTACATCATGGTCAACAATGCCATCCCGTGGAGAAGCGCCGAGGAAACCGATGCGCGCTTCAAGTACTATCTCGACCACCGCAGCTCCTTCTGGCCCTTTGAGCAGCTGGCCCCTGGCCCGAGAAAAGTCATTGTAAGCATCGTGGCAGTGCATGCGTGGTGGATGGCATCGCCAGAGATTCTTGGTTGCTTCTGCCTGGTCACCCATTCGCCCTTTTGAGGGTGCAGTGTCGAAGCAGAGTCGCTGACTCATTCTCCATCGCCCGTCTCGCTGTTCGCTCCCACTCAAACCTTCGCAGTACGGCATGCTCGATCCTTCGCCCTTGACGCGATTCTCCCTCGACAAGCTCATCGCGGACGAGTGGATCCAGACTCTCCAGTACTGCACCCCCGAGCGGCAATCCAGCAACCATGTACATACCAAGGGCCCCGGCGCCAACTAAGCGGGATCTGTTCGAGAGGTGCTAGAGCAAGCTGGACGAACAAAGTGGCTGGAACACGAGCTGGATCCATAGACAGGATGTGTGTGTGTGTCGGGAGAAGTGCTTCCCGTGCTGTTTTGTCGTCTGGGTGGCACTCGTCAGGATGGCACTCGTCAGGATGGCATTCATCAAGATGGCACTCATCTGACGTTGCCATGCTTCTTGAGCCCCCATATGTCGGCGCTGTTCGTTTTGCCAACATATTTCATCGGTTTTGTCGATGCAGCAGGCCCTTTTTTCCCTTTTAAATTGCTTTTTGTCTGCCTCTACTGTATTGCTAGTCTCCTTCCTTCCGCCGCCCGCACTGGCGGGTCTCTCATTGGCTGTCCCTGGTTGCAGCAAGTTTGTTCGCTTTGGTCATTTCCTTCCCATCTTCGCCTCGTTGCTCTCTCGTTTGTCTGAGCCTCTCGATACATACACTCCCCTGCCTCTATATCCGCTTGCGATCAACAGCGCCACAAGAAGCTCTACAGTCTATCCAGAAGAAACGGGCCAGTTCCTTCCTGGCTTCAGAGGCCTGAACCCCGCTGACTGACTGTCGGCCCAGCGGGCAGGCCATGGCATTGCACTCCTGTCTTCGTTGGCAATCGCTTTGTTTTGGTTGGTTTCGGGAGCACAGCCTTGAATACACATGGCCGATCTCCTGTGGCGATGATCGACTGGCATACCGAGATCATGTTCCTGGCTGCATTGATGTCTCGATCCCACAGCGTATGGCAGCTTGCACAGCTCCGGACAAAGTGTGGTTTCTCGATATCAAGATACTCGGGTGACTCAAGTCGCTTGGCTTCCCGGCAATGTGAGCACACCTGGGATGTGTTGAACTCGTTCACCGAGCACACATGGATCTTGGAGACGGATCGGTCTGGTGGGCGTCTCTGGTGGTGTATGAACTGCTCAAAGTATTTGGCAAACCTGAGCCTCCTGGGACTGGAAGCATATCCCTTCCCCTGTTTCCAGGATGCATTCCCAAAAGCAATCACCACCTCGGTCTCCCTTGGACATACTTGCTTGGCCATGAATGCGATGAGTGGGTGGGTGTATTCAGGTCACAGTAAACACACTGTCCTGGTTAGAAACGGAGAGTGTCCCATTTCATTTTGGAAACGCTCTAATTGGCCCGCAATGTATCGCACGTATTTGAGTGTCGTCTGCAGTATCGACGGGCTGGGTCCTGGCCGAGAGACGGCGGCTTCGATCTTGCTGGTGCAACGCGTTTCTCGCCTGCCAGGTTCCCAGCCAATCGAAGCCAAGCACGGCGCATTTCTTTGTCTGCTGGCTGCCTCGATCGGCGTCACCCCGTTTCGACCTGCCGCACATCGCCAGCCTCTCCTTCACCCCCCCAGCGATCTGCTGCGTCCGTTCGACATCCGACATCTCCTGCTCGACTGAAGGGTACGCTGACCGAGCTGTCCTCCTCGGAGTTCCCACTGATCCTCGCTCTTGCTCCAGGTTGCGGGAGGCGTCTTTGCTTCTCGATCGCTTGGGTAGCCGTCGGCAATCTGGTCGATGGTCTTGTGGGGGTTAAGAAGGAAAGGGAGTCTTCCCCTCTCCTCCCCCCCCCACCAGTTCCCATTGACTTGCGCCTCCGTTTCCGTTGTGGACTTCCAACCCCGGAGGTCGACGATCTGGCTGTGCCCTTTTCCTCAACGTTTTCTCGAAAGTCGCTCCGGGCACCGCTCTGCCTTGCATATACGCTCCCCCGTGCACTAACCTGACCCTACCGCTCCAGACCCAGATATAGCCGTTCATCCATGTCTTCCGTCACCCAAAGGAAGAAGACCTCGGGTGGGCCCTCCGAGAAGGAGGCCAAGCCCCAGACAAAGCAGCAGCAGCAGCAGCCTGTTGTCAACGACGAGCCCAAGTCAGACAGCGTGAGTATAGCTGGTTGCCGCTGCCGACCAGAAGCGAGCAGTCTCCGCACCGATTGGTGCCCCCCCCTCCTTTCTCTGCCCTCTGCATGGCCGTCTCCAGCACTCGGGAGACTCACACCCTCCTCCGCTGTATCGCGATATGTCCTTCGTTAGGAGAAGCCCGAAAAGGTCAAGGCCCAGCAGAAGGCCAAGGCAGCCACCGAATACTACTACCACATCGGCCTGCTGGTTGTGACGGCCCTTGCCTTTGCCACCCGTGTCTACAGCATCCAGGATCCCGCCCAAGTCGTGTAAGTATCGGAGAACAGCCCGTTGTCTGATCGACATCAAAGTCAGCTCGGCAACGACAGGTGGCCCAGTGGGCTACGCTGGAGGCTAGCCGAATTCGTGCCTTCCACACTTGCACAGCGAGCGATATCTGAGCGCCTGGGCTGACCATGTTTGGCTCGCCCGCCCACTTCTGCCTCTTGCAGCTTCGACGAAGTGCACTTTGGCAAGTTTGCCAGCCATTATCTCCAGCGCACCTACTTTTTCGATGTCCACCCGCCCCTTGGCAAGATGCTCCTGGCGGCTACGGGCTACTGGATCGGCTACGACGGCCACTTCCTCTTTGACAACATCGGCGACGACTACGCAACCAACAACGTGCCCCACATTGGCCTCCGCTTATTCCCTGCTATCTGCGGCTCCCTGATCGTCCCCGTGGCCTATCTGACTCTCAAGGAGATGGGTCTGACCGTTCTGGGCTGTCTCTTTGGCGCCCTCCTGCTCGTGTTTGGTGAGATGATTGTGCTGTCCCGGCGGGCAAAAGATGAGGGGGTGGGACAGGATGATACCGTCTACCGATGTCAGACATAGAAGCGCTTGAATGTGGGGGCTGCCTCGATTCAACTGCCAAGATCCCCAACAGCGGTACCGTTATTACAAGGAACTGACCTTCCAGCTCTCTGCTCCAGACAACTCTCTGATGACCCAGTCTCGTCTCATCCTGCTGGACAGCATGCTCATGCTCTTTGGCGTGCTCTCGATTTACACTTGGGTCAAGTTCTACAAGTACCGCTACGAGTACGTATTTTGGATGCGAGTGTGTGTGTGTCTTCGGCAACTCATTGGGCCGAGCCGTCGGAAGGATCCCGAGCCATCTGCAGCGCGACGATACAGATGAGCGTCGATTGCTCGCCATGGATGCCCACTCATCGATATCCCTCCGCTTCCTTTGTCAAACTACAGGGAGTTCTCCATTCGATGGTGGATCTGGCTCACCCTCACGGGTGTTTCTCTGGCTCTGACTCTCGGGTATGTTCACGACCTTAGGGACGCAAAGCCGCGCCTGCATGTGTTCTCTCCGATCGATGTCGTTCTATGCATCCAGCTGCGTCAACATTACTCGTGCTGACCCATCTCCTCTGCGCTGTGCAGCGTCAAGATGGTCGGTCTCTTTTCCATCGGCACCGTCGGAATTGCTGTCCTCTTTGATCTGTGGCGCCTACTTGACTACCGACGTGGGGTCTCCCTGGTAAGTGTGCACCATCGGTTTGGCCTTTACTTCGGCCTCAGAGCCTCTGTTGCAGTCCATCGCCCATATCGCCCTATCCAGACCCTGACTCGACGCACTATTGCGAGGCCTATATGCTGATCCAGTCCATTGTCCGCTCTCGACTCTCCCAACCGTGCCACAGAGCCGATTCAGCCAGCACTTTGCCGCTCGCGCCCTCTGCCTCATCATTCTGCCCATCACCCTCTACCTCTCGTTCTTCTACATCCACTTTGCCATCCTGACCCACAGCGGTCCCGGCGATGCCTTCATGAGCCACAAATTCCAGGCCGAACTTATTGGCAACTCGATGAACCAAGCCCGCACCAGTGAGTTTGCGTTTGTACAAGCTGGGCTGAAGAGCGGACTCTTTGATGTCACAGGGATATTTGTCTTGTAGCCATCGGCCTTTGGTTTCAAGGCTGCGTCCTCATCCGAGATACTCACACTGCATGCTCCTCTTGCCGCTCTCGTCATTCAGTTCCTCTCGTGTTCAACTCCACCGTCCGCTTCCGCCACCGCAACACCAATGTTTTCCTCCACTCCCACGCCGAGAACTACCCGCTCCGCTACGAGGATGAGCGCGTCAGCAGCCAGGGCCAGCAAGTCACAGGCTATTCGCACGAGGATGTCAACGACGACTGGATCATCGAGCCTATTGACCCTGCTCTGCTTGAGGGTGCGCATACGTACCACTGGAATGGCGAGGAGCTCAGGAAGGGATACCGCTACGTCAAGAACAGCGACCTCGTCCGCCTCAAGCATGCCGGCACCAACTCGTATCTCCTGACCCACGACGTTGCCTCCAGCTTGATGTCGACGCATATGGAGATGACCACCATCAGCGACCCGCTCGAGCGCTACGACGAGACGGTCTGGAGAATCGAGGTCATCGACGCCGATGCTGGCAGCTACAAGATCCGTGCCAAGCGCAACACCATCCGCATCGTCAGCCACACCCACAATGTCGCTGTGCACTCCCACAAGGGCACTCTTCCCGACTGGGGCTTCAGCCAACAGGAGATCAACGGAAACAAGAACCTCAAAGAAGTTGCCAACAACTGGTACATCGACTCGGTCAGCCACTCTGCCTTTGTCGACGGTATGTTGGATGTCGGTGCTGCTTGACGGCCGTGATGGACCTGCTCGGCATCTCTGGTGTGAATCGTGTCCATGCGATGACGGGGCACCGCGGCTGGCACGGATCAGACTCGATGGCGGACACTGATTTATGGTCTATGGATTTCCTGTCCCCGCGTGCCCGATACGCTGCCGTCCAGGCTTCGAACCCGAAGAGGAGACTGTTCATGAGGCCCCGCCCAAGCTGTCGTTCCTGCAAAAGTTCCTTGAGCTGCAGCAGCTGATGATCCAACACAATGCCGGCCTGACCACGCCGCACCCGTACTCGTCCACCCCGATCACCTGGCCGTTTGTCCTCCGCGGCATCTCCTTCTGGGAAACCAAGGAGGGTCTCAAGCAGATTTACCTGCTCGGCAACCCGCTGATCTGGTGGCTCGCGATCGTCTGCACCTTCCTGTACATGATGCTCTGGATCATTGACCAGATCCTCCTCCGCCGGGGCATCGACGACTACGGCGCCCACGTCCGCCGTTGGTGGGGCAACACCGCGGGCTATCTGCTCCTGGCTTGGCTCCTCCACTACCTGCCCTTCTTCCTGATGGGTCGCTGCCTGTTCCTGCACCACTACCTCCCCTCATTCATCTTCTCGGTCATGCTCACGGCCGTGATGTTTGACTTTATCGGCCGCGTCGTCAGCGAGGAGGCCGCCAACCGAAGAACGGACTACCGAACGCCCATGTCCAAGTGGATGAAGAAGCAGGCCGGTGTCATTTACACCATCACGACTGTGGTCACGCTCGCGATCTGCATTGGCTCGTTCTTCTTCTTTGCTCCGCTCACGTACGGCACAGGCTTCCCTGACCAGGCGACCCTCCGCACTCGCAAGTGGTTCGACAGCTGGGATCTGCAGCACGCCTAAGAGCGAGAAGTTTGCTTGTGGACGGTATGAACAAAGAGCCAAGCCGGTTTGCTGCCAAGGCACTGAGCTTTTGTGCTCTGAAGCTAGGCCTCTCTTGGCTGTCTCCCCCCCTATCTCGCTCTAGTTTCCATTCAGCCCCTACCTTTCTCTTCTACTTCCACTCTCCCCCCCCCCGAATCCCGTTGCGATCTCTGTAATAATTGTGTAATAGAGAATGCCTTCCGGGGGGCGTGCCCGTGGTATTTACGGGCGATCAAATTAAAAACGGGACACCCGGGTTTTGACCATTCATCGAATATTTTGTTACCCAATGTTATCGCGCGCTGGCCATGACCATTCGCCACACATCCGACTTTCGCACCGCCGCATTGCGATGCTACGATCTCATCCATAGCCTGCGTAAGGTTGCCTCCATATTCAGTGTATCCAAGAGCACCATCCATCGATGGCACCGAGGATGCAAGCTGGATGACCCATCCCGGGTCCCAGCTCGCAGATCCACTTTCTTCGAGCAGGCATGTCCAGTCATTCGCACCCTGATTGAACAGGACCCGTTCCAGACTGGTCCTGTGTTGCGATGCAAGCTCGAGTCCATCCTCCAGAGGAAAGTATCACTCTCACTCTGCCACACTGCCATCCACCGAGCAGGTCTCTCACACAAGAGGGCAACACACCTCTACAAGTCCAAGCGACTGGATGAGCGAGTGGCACAGTTCAGGGACCAGGTCCGCTCCATCGACCCACGACGATTCGTTTTTGTCGACGAGACAGGGTTCAGGAGATCCATTTTTCCTCTTTACGGGTACTCACTGAAGGGTGCTCCTCTTCGCCAGCGCAATCACATGAAACACAAGTCTGTCTCGGCTGCATTTGCCATCAACCACTCTGGTGTGCTGCATCGCATGTACATCCCCACATCATTCAAGACACACTCGATGGTCGAGTTCTTTGAGCGAGCGACCCTCCCAGATGACTCTGTGGTTGTGATGGACAATGTCAGCATGCACAAGACAATGGCTGTCCTGGACTGCATCGAGCACCGAGGATGGTCAGTGATCTTCACCCCACCTGCCTCGCCCGACTTCAATCCCATCGAGAACTTCTTTGGGGTTGAGTCCCCATCATTTTGGGGTTTAGTCCCCATCAATTTTGGGGTTGAGTTCCTCCAATCACGCCGCCATTTTGACGCTCAAATCCCTGGCTTGAACCTCTCGGCGATTTTTGAACAGGGTCACTTCCCCAACCAGCCCGCAACGACGGGTTCCTGCTCTTGGGTATAAATGCCACACCTTCGTCCTGCTGCTTTCTTCCCTCATCTCGCCTTGATCTGATCATCGCGCTATTGCACGATAAAAAAAAGTCTCTGCTCTGACCAGTACCACTGGCAGGCATCCAGCATCCTCTGCCCCCATGCCTCCGAAGCGTAAGGGTACCGGTGATGGCCAGCCTCGGCCACCCAGGCCCAAGAAAGCCAAGTCACAGTCGGAGCCTGTCTCTGGTTCGTATTCTGATCTCACGCATGCTTGGTCGTCTGTTGCTCCGTCGCTCACCACCACTGCTTCTGCAGATCCAATGGATGTCGATCCCACCGAGCCTGGTCCATCTACTTCCTCGAGTACCGGCAAGCGATGTCGCCAGTGCGATGGCACCGATCACGAACGTTGCAACACCAACAAGTGTCCAAAATACCGGCCCCTCAAGAGTTCTGTCGTCCCACTCGTGGATGGAAGGTCATCCGCCCCTCAGTTCGGCTGCTTCAAGCAGACGATGGATGGCTGTTGTCTCAATCCCGCTCTCCGCGACAAGATCCAGGCCACCGTCGAGGCCATGACCCAGATCCAGTTCGAGGCATCCAGGCTGCTCAACCTGCACATCCTCCGGTGCATCGAGCAGGATCTTCCCGTCCCTGTCATCTCCAAGTCCACCCCTGCTTTCATCCGCCAATGCTTCAAGATCGTCCAGGCCGGTGCCCTCTCGACGGCCAGGGATACCAAGAAATACAACGAGCATCTGGTCGCTTCCTTTCGCGACTACCAGACCACTCGGCACGCAGACCTGCCTCCGGCCCCTCGTCTGCCTGATGGTGCTCACAGTCAGCTTCTCACACTGGCTGTCAATGCCTATGCCACCAACTGCACCACCCACCTCAACCTGGCATACTGGCGACTCCTTCGCCGCTTCTGCGCTGCCGTCTTCCCAGCCAACAAGCACAAGCACGACGCCATCGAGGCTTGTCTTGAGCTCTTCGAGAAACCAGGGCAGACTCCACCCAAGGCCGATCTCGAGTTCCTCTATCCAGACTTTGGCCACGTCCTGGACGAGTTTCGGTACAGCAGCGACCAGGACCGCTTCCGGGCCCTCCATCGCCTCTCACACCATGTGAGAATCCTCGCCCGAGACAAGATGGTCGACAATGTCCACAAGTGGATCGACTGTGACATGCCCGCCCTCCGAGTCACCGAGCTGCAGCGCCAGGCCAAGCTGGACGAGCTCACTGCCCGAGGCATTCCCTCCGACGACAAGAGGTTCACCACGGCCAAGTCTGAGCTCGGCACCACCAATTCCAAGATCAACAAGCTGGCCGCCAGGATCAAGTGGGCCCTCAAGCAGCTCGCTCTGGACACTCCTCCGGCCGTGTGCACGATGGTCCCTCTGTGCACCACCAAGGCCAAGTACATCAAGATCGACACGGTCACTCTTTGGAATCTCCTGGGTCCAAAGAAGCGCCTTGGACTCACCTGGGACATGCTCAAGGAAGAAGGTGAGGACGGTGTCAACAACCAGGATCGTCTCTGGCGCAGTTGCTTCAAGCTGCGTAGTTCCCTCTTCCAAGAGCGGGACGTGAACAAGAAGCTGTTCAACTACGAGATCAGCACCGATTGGCATTGGATGCACCATCGGCCTCGTCAAGTTTGTGCCTCGAACCGATCACACCGAGACCATCGAGCCTCCTCCGACTGCCGAACAGCGCATCCAGGCCCACATCGGTGACCCAGACCCCAACCGCACCACTTGGATTGGCATCGATCCTGGAGTCGGCTCCATCTTCACGGCGGTCATCCAAGCACCGGGCCACCAAGACGAGGTGGTCTCGTTCTCCAATGGCCACTACCAGCACATGTGTGGCCATACGTCCAACACCAAGTGGCACAATATCATGAAGTATCGACTCAGCATCGAGACCTGGATGTCGACCACTCCCTCGCCCAAGGTGTCGTCCTCGGAGGCTTTCAAGGTCCATCTCACCCATGTCCTGCGACCGGAGCTGCGAGTGCAGCTCGACTTCCACCTTGGCAAGAAGGCCCGTCACCATCGATTCACGGGCCACAAGAGGCGCCAAGTGGCCGTCGACAGGATGTGCAAGGCCGTCCTGAAGCACGCCCCGAGGGAGAAGGATGTGGTGATCGCCTTTGGCAATGCGTCATGGCGACAGGGCAAGGGCTATGCATCCAGCCCTCGGAGGCAGCGGTTCGCTCGGTACTTTGAGCAGTTCGAGCACCACCGACGCCACCCACATCGCCCTCACGGAAGCGTCAAGGTAGTCTCGACGAACGAGTTCAACACCTCGCAAGTGTGCTCCAAGTGCCTGGAGCCAGTTCGGTTGGAAGGACTCGATGCGCCCAGCGTTGCGAATTCCCACTTTGTCAGGAGCTGCAAGAATCCCAGCTGCCGGACGGTGTGGAATCGCGACGTCAATGCGGCGCGCAACATGATCACAGTATGCAGGTCGATTGTGGAGATCGGAGAGCGACCGGCGGTCTTCACTCGGAGGCTGCCAAAGTGATCTGTTTTATTTATTGTGGCTTTGCTTGACGCAAGCACAGCACATACTACATGTTCATGGAAACGGCTATATTGTCCCGTTTTTTTCTGAATAAAGTGTACCAAAGACCGAGCAGACCGACTGATCCGCGGTGGCGGCGGCGGCAGCAGCAGCAGCTGAACGTGAACCAGAACCAGAGCCAAAACCTCCTCTTGCTATGCCGGGCCCATTTGTGTTTGTGAGACTCTGGGTTTGCGACGGCAATGTCTTTTCCAGCTGCAGTTCTCAGAGGAGCTGTGTTGATATATGAAGGCGAGGTGCGAGCGAATGGCAGGGCAAACGATCTGCAGACAAACTCAAGAAAAGTAAAGTGAAGAGGGAGAAAACAAAAGGGATAAAAGGGGGGCGGCGGCGGAGACTCGAAGCGCGGCGGCAGGTGTGGTGGCGTTTCCGCACTCGAAAACAGCAAGCAGCGGTGGATGAATGTCATCCCTGCTCTCTGCCTCCTTTGGTCGCTTCAGGCAGTGGAGAAAAGCACTCCTTTTCCCACCCTCTTTCTCCTTGGGATCATCTCGATACACGCGAAGAGGGACAAAGCATCAAATGCGAGCGGTGTAAGAATTGAAAGAAAAGCAAGCGTCGTCGTCAAGTGCCGATTCGCTGGGAAGGAATGCTCAGAGAATGAGGAGAAATGAGGGGAGGGGGATGGCGGACCGAGGAACGAGTGCAAGCTGCGCCGGGTCGTGCGCTTAGAAGTGGATGGGCTTGTCGTAGGCGGCCATGCAGGCTTCCTTGAAGGCCTCAGAGAGGGTCTAAGGTGGAGAGACAGGAATTTGTTTCAGAGCAAAGACCGAAGACATCGCCAGTCAAGACTGCCCGGCAGCAGCAAGCACACAGGTTCGGCCAACACCGAGGACAGCGGCAGCAACAACACTTACGGGATGGGCGTGGCAGGTACGGGCAACATCCTCGCTAGAGGCACCGTACTCCAGAGCCAGGACAGCCTCGGCAATCATTTCACCGGCGTTCTGGCGAAATAAAGTTCATCGATAGAAGGGGGGAAAACAATGTCGGCGGATTATTGCAAACCAAGGAGCAGCAGACAATCTCGACACCTCGACAGCGGGGTCCGTGGGGCAGGCAGGGCGACACGCAGTACTTACGGGGCCGAGGATGTGGGCACCAAGGATGCGGTCGGTCTTGGCATCAGAGATGATCTTGATGAGGCCATCAAAGTCATCTTCGGGAGCCACCAGGAAACAACAGAGATTCGAAACAGATGGGCGAGGAAGCACCGCGGACACGGAGACGTCAGTCATGCTCCAGCAACGGCGAGGAGGGCAGCGAGCAGAGCATCGGATCGGGCGGCGGCGATGCATCATCAAAGCAGCTTGGTGGAGCTCTCAATCATACCGATAGTCTTGGCGCGGCTGTTGGCGACGAAGGGGAAGGAGCCGACGCGGTACTCAACACCGGCAGCCTTGACCTCAGCCTCGTTCTTTCCGACCCAGGCAACCTCGGGCCAGCTATGCGCATCGTGTAGAAGAGAGAGCACGTCAGCTGGATGGTCGCAGAGAAAGCGGGGGCAGCGGGGGCAGATCTGAGGGATCTTGGACAACCCTTGACAACTTACGTGTAGACGACAGAGGGAATGGCCTCGTAGTTGACGTGTCCATGAGATCCGTTGATGTACTCGACGGCAGCGATGCCTATGGGCCGGGAGTAAGGCAAGAAGGGATATGCGCGAGCGATTTGTCAGTCCAGCGAAAGCCTTGACGGAGATCGTGCTCATTTGGGGTGAGAATACAGGGATGCGCTGGCTTACCCTCCTCCTCGGCCTTATGGGCAAGCATAGGGCCGGCGATGACATCGCCAATGGCGCGGATGCTGGGAACGTTGGTCTTGAATTCCGAGTCGGCGACGATGCGGCCACGGTTGTCGACCTCGACACCAACGCTCTCAAGACCGAGGCCCTCGGTGAAGGGCTTGCGGCCGATGGACAGAAGAACGACATCGACGGTGATCTAGGCACCACCAGCGAGGCGCGTTACAACAATGCGACCGGGAAGGGCAGCAAGCGGCGACGAGACACCTTGTACAAATGGTGCCTGGTCGGATGTGCTTGCGGCAGAGCCTCTGGGAATCCCGCTCGGCCCAGCAGCTCGTTTGGAGTTCGCTTCGGAGGCACACACAAACACTTACGGTCTCCTGAGCACCGCCGGTAGCGGGCTCGACGACAACATCGACCTTGCCGTCAGCGTTCTTCTTGGCCGAGATGACCTTGGTGGAGCACTTGAAGTCCATGCCCTGCTTGGTCAGGATCTTCTGGAAGCTCTTACTAAGAGCACAGCGAGTAAAGACAAAGTCAGAAAGGTGGGCCACCGGGTACGATAACTGCGGGGCCAGGAGGTTGCATTTCATTGGATCATATAGCCATGCCGAGGCATCAGCCACGACTGCACCAACCGGACGATCCCAGCGACTTACGCAATGTCAGAGTCCATGCCAGCGCCGATCTCCTTGTTGTACTCGACGACGCTAACTTTGGCACCGAGGCGGTTCCAGACCGAACCAAGCTCGAGACCGATGACACCGCCGCCAATGACCATCAGCTTCTCGGGGACCTTCTTGAGCGAGAGGGCGCCGGTGGAGCTGACAATGACCTCCTCGTCGATGGTAATGCCGGGGAAGCCAGCGACATCGGAACCGGTGGCGATGATGACGTTTTTGGTCTTGAGAACAGACTTGCCACCGTCGTTGAGGTCCACCTCGATTTCGTTGGGGCTGACGAGCTTGCCCCAGCCCTTGACGTAGTCGGCCTGCAGCAGATAGACAGGAATGGGTCAGCACACACACATAGCAGTAGCAGGGCAACACATCACAGCTGTGGGCGAGCACGTCCCAACATATGCAATAGTTGTGCGTTCTTGCCTTGTTCTTCTTCAGGAGGCCCTCGACACCGCGGGTGAGAGTGGTGACGGACTTATCCTTTGACTTGATCATCTGGTCGAGGTTGAGCGAAACGCCGGCGACTAGACAGCACGATGATGGTGGCAGGAAAGCCAAGTTTGGCTGTTAGAGAGGCGGAAGGAAGCCTGGTCGTAACAAGCTGATATGGGGAAGGTACTGCACGTAGCAGAAAAGCGGGATACTGTTTTGCGGCCACAGGAACAAACGGGGTGTGGGCTTACGCACCATCAATACCGCGCTTCTTGAAGTCGTGCTGGGCCTGGTGGAAGAGGTGCGAGTTGTGGAGGAGGGACTTGGAGGGAATGCAGCCGACGTTCAGGCAGGTTCCGCCAAGGGCACCGCGCTTCTCAACACAGGCAGTCTAGAACGAGCAACATGGAGGAAGGTTAGTCTCGACCATTGGGCATATGAACAATGTCTGTGCTGCCGGGTGAAGGCTGGCGGCTTTCGGGGATGAATCGCACGAGCCGCGGAGCTGTGTGCGGATGATGCTGGCGTCAACGGGCGGGCATTGACACTGCTTGCTCGATGCTGACCTTGAGACCGAGCTGGGCAGCCTTGATGGCAGCAACGTAGCCGCCGGGACCACCGCCAATGACGACGACATCGTACTCTGCAGCGATAATAGATCGGGGTTCGCCAAGCGACGATCGCAGACGAGCATTTTCGGGAGGCCGGACCATATGCAGTTGGATATCCCAGAGCGTGGCATTCGATCCAGGGTGCAATTCCACGGCATGCCAAGCGAGACCAATGAGTCAGCAGAGGGCGTGGCAGATCCAGTGAGAGAGGCGATCAAAGGTTGGACGCTGGATGGCGGAAAGAGTGCAGTTGCTTGATGCAGCGACAGGCGCGTCAACAGCAGAGCCATGGAGCGAGGACACAACGCACCGGTCGAGGCCGAGGAGTACGATCGAATGGCCAGGGATCGGAAGGAGACGTGCTGGACGGCCTTGCGGAGGGTCAGGAAGGAAGACATGCTGGGCGATGGCGACGAGAGCCTGTGGACGAAAGCGGCCAGCGACCCGGTGCAGCCACGGGCCTTTTTGAAGGACGACCCAAGCCCGGATGGCGATGGCGAATGGAGGCCGTTCTCGCCGCAGCCGGGAGCCGCTCTCTGCTGCCCGCGCACGCCCTCGCTGGCGGCACAGACAGCCACAGTGGACTGCGCGCGGTGTGTGCTCTCGCTCCGGGCTCTCGCTGCGGCCCTCGCTCGGTTTGCGTTTTCTTTTTTTCGCAGGAATCGGCTCGGGCCGCAAGCCGGGACGGAGGCCGCTGACGTAAGCCGCAGCTTCCCCAAAGCCCGCAGGACGAGGGCAAGGGCGAGGGTTGCCAGCGGCGATGGGCGGTGCTTTGCCGATGGATGTGGATGTGGATGTGGATGTGGATGTGGATGTGGATGTGGATGTGGATGTGGATGTGGATGTGGATGTGGATGTGGATGTGGATGTGGATGTGGATGTGGATGTGGATGTGGATGTGGATGTGGATGTGGATGTGGATGTGGATGTGGATGTGGATGTGGATGTGGATGTGGATGTGGATGTGGATGTGGGTGTGGATGTGGATGTGGGTGTGGATGTGTGGGTTTGTCAGCGGCGCTGCATCGACAGAACGATTGCACATCATTGTATATCATTGCATCCCATTGCATCCCATAGCACCTCATGCATGACACTTCGATGGTCAACAAGCACAGCCATGCACAGACAGAGGCACAGGCGGCACATCCAGGACATGACAAATGATCATGGCCAGTGTTTCGTTCTGTCGGCGCAGCACCAGGGCGGTCCTGCTCTTCCTGGGATGGAATCGCTTCGTTGTGGTCGATCCAACTCTGCCTGCCTGCCTGCCCACCCTCTTTCAAGCCCTCGCCCTCGTCCATCTCTGAACGGCTATTGCTCGCCTGGGCTTGTTCATGCCCCGCTGTTTGCAACATGACCAGTGCTCCTCCACCCCCCAGTCCCCTCCGAACCATCACCACCGCCAGCCCGGTCCAAACATCCGGTCAACTGTCATGCGGCCGACAAGGCGCTCGCCCCACAGCCACACCCCGTCTTGGTCTGTTCCATGGCCACTCGGCTCGGGTCGGCAGTTCCGCAAGCCCCGGTGACCGCCTGTGGCATGAACCCAAATGCCCCGTCTCATTGCTGTATCCAAATCCGGCACCCGGCCTCGCACATCTGCCGCACATGTCCGGCATTTTCTGGCCGCGCGCGCTTGCAGTGCCCCCCCCGCTCCACTGCATTCTGGAGAGCCACCACGAGCAGCAACAGCAGCAACAGCAGCAACAGCAGCAACAGCAGCAACAGCAGCAACAGCAGCAACAGCAGCAGCCACAGCGCCTCAGCAGCACAGGCCGGCGGCGGTGATGGTGGTGGTGGAGGGGGAGGAAGAGTGGAATTCCGCCGGTTCCTCATATAAAGCCCCTCGCCCACCACCGCTCCATCATCATCATCATCCACCACCCGCCTTTTCCGCTCCGTTCTGCCACTGCCCTCGCCAAGGCATCCGCCGCCATGTCTGACGCCGTAACAAAGCATCTGTCGCGTGCCGAGGTCTTCAGGATCATCATCGGTTCCTCGCTCGGAACGGTCATCGAGTGGTATGACTTTTTCCTGTTTGCCTCCATCGGCTCGACAATCGCCCCGAGGTTCTACGACACCAAGACCGCCCTTGGCAACGTCATTGCGCTCCTGGGCGCCTTTGCCATCGGCTTTGTCTTCCGTCCCATCGGCGCCGTGCTCTTTGGCTTCCTCGGCGACCGCACCGGCCGCAAGAAGACCTTCCTCATCACGCTGTTCCTTATGGGCACCTGCACCACCCTGATCGGCTGCCTTCCCACTATCGATATGATCGGCCCCACCGCCGGTGTCCTGCTGATCGTCTTGCGGGTCGTCCAGGGCTTGGCCCTCGGCGGCGAATACGGCGGCGCTGCCACCTATGTTGCCGAACACTCGCCAATCCGCAAGCGTGGCTACTACACCTCCTATCTGCAGACCACCGCCGCTATTGGCTACATGCTGTCGCTCATTGTCATCCTGATCTGCCAAAAGTGCATGAGCGGCACCGCCTTCACCGTGTGGGGCTGGCGCATTCCCTTCCTGCTCTCCATCTTCCTCGTCGGCGCCTCCCTCTATATCCGCATGAAGATGGACGAGTCGCCCATCTTCCAGGCTCTCAAGGCAGAAGGCAAGGTCGCCCGCAACCCGTTTGCCAAGTGCTTCACCAGATACAACCTCCGCGCCATCGCCATCGGCACCATCGGCGCTACCCTGGGCCAAGGTACGTGTCACGCGTGGCCATCGATGGGATGCAACGCCAGAATACCGCAAATCCGTTGCGGCAGCGTCGGTCTGGATCCCAGATGCCGGCCTGTCGGGTCTATCGGGTTGCCTGAAGCGTGGTTCCCTTCGTTTCCTGATCCCCCACCCTTCTCGCCTGCTCACCAACACTGATGCGGATCCGCTCGCTTGCCCCAATCAGGTGTCGTGTCGTATACGGGCCTGCTCTACACCCTGTTCTATCTTCAGACCATCTTCAAGCTGCCAGCAGTCGATGCCAACGTTATCTCGGTTGTCGCCGCCGGACTGTCCTCGCCGGTCTACGTCCTCGTCGGCTGGCTCTCTGATCGATATGGCCGCAAGATCTTTATCCAGGCCGGCTTGATCCTGGCCATCGTTACCCTCTACCCGATCTATCTGCTGATGAACCAGTACCGCTACTACACCGATTCCCAGGCCCTCACCCTCAACCCCAACTACAATCCGTATATGCTCTGCTTCCTGGTGTGGGTCCAGATGCTCTACGGCAGCATCAGCTTTGGAAGCATGGCTGCCTTCTTGGTCGAGCTCTATCCCACCAACGTGCGCTACACCGCGCTCTCGGTTGCCCAGACGCTCGGCGCGGGCATCTTTGGCGGCATCGTCCCTCTGGTTGGCCTCAGCCTTATCAACGCGACCGGCAACCAGTATGCTGGTATCTGGTACCCTCTCGGAGCGTCGGCCCTCTGCCTGATCGTCAACATTTTCTTTGTCCCCGAGACCTTCCGCAACGACATCACCCTGGATGTTCCCTCCGAGGATAAAACTCAATTCGACAGCAGCAGCGTTGAGGCGGTCGCGTCGATTTGATGTGGCTCCGCTTGGGGCGAGTCCTGCCTTGGTTTTACAGCCAATCCAATAAAAAAAACGGGACACCCCCGGATTTTTGGTCGTTGGTGAATGTTATCACCCAAAACATCGCGCGCTGACCATGACTGTTCTGTGATTTGAATCAAGGACGCCATTGCGGGCATCGCTGCCAGCCCAAAAATGCGCTGGATGAGCACCACACCAAGTCCCAAGATTCCCGGGGTGGCTTCATGCTTGCAATACATTCGCCATGTGTTCGATGGAGACATGCTGGACAAACAGCTGCACTTCACCCTGACCCGGCGACGGCGATTCAACGACTCAATCTCCAGGTGTGCTCACAGTGCCGGGAAGCCAAGCGACTCGAGTTAGTATGGAGCTGTCCAGAAGGTCGGATGCATACAGTCACATTCTCACATCGCAACATCAATGCCAGTCGACCGGGTGTATTCGAGACTGTGCTTCCGGAACAAACAGGCAAGGATTGACGTGAGAGACACCCAGTAACACACTGTACAGTTCCATACCAATAAATCGAATTGATTAACAATCACCGACAAGTCTCGGGAGAAGTCAGACACTGTCGAGCCCTCCACCTCCCACATAGTACTTTGCCTCATTGATGCCAGTCATGGATTGGAGTGGATTGGAAGGGATTCAGACAACTGTCCCAGACCGTACTCCCATGTCCACCGGCTTGGGACTGCCCATCAATGCTCCGCCGTCCATTTCATCATATGCATCTGTCGATTGTGTTGCCCAGAATACATCTGTCGCTGCACAGGAATATTGTTCTGGCTGGGTGACACCTGTCCCGAAACAGCAGGTCTGTGTGACGACGGTATCACTAAGCCACACCAAGTGGACGGTATCAACGAGGAAGCAGCACACCGCCCCTCAAATACCCTGCTGTCGCCTCTGCTTCATCCTCATCTCGCTTCTTCGTCGTTGTTCCTGCTCTCTGCTCTGCCTCGGCTGCCTCCCATCTGCGGCCTGTTTCCATCGCTCCTTTCTGCCACGCCGGCTGCAACTGAAACGATGGCAGAATCAACCCTGGTCCAGGAGGACCTCGCTCGCTTTGATCTGCTCACCATCCTGATCACAAATGACGCCTTCATTCGAGCTGCGAGTCCACCCTTGCTTGGAAAGCTTCTGAGAGTCTCGAAGCAGACTCGGGCTATACTCAACACTTATCAAATATGGGAACGGTTACTATTTCCTAAATTGCAAATCACACCCGAATTCCTGTTCGAAGGTGTCGATCCCTCCATCGATCGGCTGAAAGTGGCGCAAGGGCTCTTCTACTATGCGCTTCGCCAGAACCAGCACAAGCCAACCAACTCATCGATGTTGGAGAAGGAGAACGAGTTCTGGTCCGAAGTCTATCGAGACGAACAGCTGTTTAACCGAGTGCAACGCTTCTGTCAAGTGACCGATCCAGAGTTCCGCTTTCCTGAGGACGCAAGACCAAACAGTTCCAAGCAGCCATCCGTCGAGGAGATGATCACCATCGCTGAGAGTCAAAATTTTCGCTCCCAGTGGCCAATAGTGGTCGAAGGATGGGATATCACGATTCGACCCAGTGCGAGAAGGGGTGGAAACACCTATGTTTCCAGGCTTTTGCCATTCGACATCCCAGCGATCAACCAAGCAAGGGAAAAGAAACTAACACTCGAGGATGTGTCATTTCTAGAGGTGTCTGGATGGCCCATATGGCTCTCCAATATTTCAAATCTGAATATCGGGCATAGCTATTGGGGAGGAGTGACCGATCCACTGATCAGCTTGGAAGGCATGCCGAAGGAACTGCCTCGCCTGACAGGGCTCGACCTGAGTGGATGCACTGAACTCAAGTCGCTGAAGGGAATGCCTGAGATGCCCAAGTTGGAGACACTCCAGCTCCCCAAGACCATCGAGTCTCTGGAAGGCATGCCGAATGAGCTGCCATCTCTCACCAAGGTCAATCTGAACCCATACAGTCGACTGATGTCTCTCGCTGGGCTGTCAAATGTGCCAAGGTTGCTTGAACTCGACATTCCGGTCAGCATCGAGACTCTCGTGGATGTCCCCGAGGAGTTCCCGTCTCTCACCAAGCTCACAATCTCCTCGCGCAAACCCCACAACATCTTGAGCCAACTCCCGAGCACGCCAAAGCTCAATCACCTCATACTCCCAAGTCAGTTTGTGAGCCTGGCCGATCTGCGTGTGAATCAAAGCTCCCTCAAAGTCCTCGACTTGCATGCTTGCTGCGAATTGAAGTCGCTGGGTGACATTTCCTCGTATCCCAAGCTCGAGATACTGTACGCCCCTCGATCGATTCGCAGAATCAGCGGACTCGTCGACAAGCTTCCCTCCCTCAAGATACTGCATTTGGACTCAAGGATGAGACTCTTCGATCGATCTTTGTTGGTTGACATATTTGGCCAATATGCTGGCTATTCTAACCTTGGATGGAGGATCACGAGCTGGAGGATCTCCGGGCTACCGAAGGGATGTCGAGTGGTGTTCAATGATACGTTCGAGTATACCTTTGGCCGATTCTCAAGCTGGCTCGGCATGGAGCTGCTCAACATCCTGTGTTTCCTTTATTTAGCTCTATTGTCAGTGCATTTCATTATCTGCAGCTTGATAAAATTTCTCTTTGATAGCCAATTTTTCTGAAAATATCAGATTGTGTGTGATATTCACAATGGAGGACAGCTCCGGTGTTGCGTTGTGCGGCTGTCCTGCTTTGCGGCTGCCGAACCCGAAGCGAGTCCGAGTCCCTCACAATCTATGACAGTCCACGCCGCACTTGGTCATGGACCCAATCGAGAGCAGACACTAGTTGTCGCGGACATCTTGAGGCACTGCCTTCTCCCGCATTCTCGATGGTGGAACTCTGAGTGATGATGACCGTTGCAACTCCAGTCCATCCAGACCCCAATGAGATCACAACTGAGGAAGGTACAAGTCTGGCATCTCGATCATGTCATTTGGTCAAGTGGATCAACTCGGGCTTCTCTTGCGTATGGACAAGGATGTTTGAGAGTGGTGGCTCCTTCCATATCGGGAACTCGAACACGCAGCCCATGGTGGCATCGGCTTTGTCGGTGAACTGGTCAAGTCATGGGCACTGGAATTGAGGTGGGCATAGATGCAGAAGAGATCGCTCTTGATGATGCTCGTGTCCTGGCAGTTGTGGATCGAGGGTGGACCAGAAAGCTGCAGTGTGGTCATTTTCTTTCTTTTGGCGGCTGGAGAGGCGAACCTCTGCCCGTTTGGATACAGGCCATTAGTCGCCTTTGCCACTCTTTTGTCGGTTCATCGATGCTGATCAGGGCACGCTGCCTGGTGTCGGATCGAGGGGGGATGGTCTTGGTGCCGGGGAAGGCTGGTGGTTTGCTGCCTGCTTTCTTCGGTATCCTGTGGCGAGGGATGGTCTGGTTGTGCTGACTCTTTCGAGTATCGATGGTTGCAGAACGAGTATCGATTGTTGTGGTCGAGTTGTTGTTGTCGAGTCATTCGATGGCTCTCTCGATCGATCAACATCGGTGATTGTTATGGGACAGCACTATTGTATATTGGATGTATTGGATGTATTGGATGTATTGGATGTCAAATACATCATCACTGGGTCAATATCGATTGATTGTAACCACTTTGCAAGTCCACTATTTGGTATCATGGTGGGTGGTGGCGGTGCAATTTGGTTGAATGTTGGATGTGGTAGCTTATTACTTTGGGAGTGGAACTCAAGGGATCAGGGCCACTGGCCGAATTGTTTGAGGCTGACGATGGCATCTTGGAAACCCTGCTCGGCGGACTTGCGATACCAGAAAACGGCGGTGTTGATGTTCTGAGGGACACCATAGCCATTCCTGTAGCAGTTGCCGAGATGATATTGTCCATATCGATTGTCCTGGTCGGCCGACTTGCGATACCACTCGACTGCCTTGAGTTCGTCTCTGGTGACTCCGTATTCATTGAGGTAGCAAAAACCAACCCACCACTGCCCATATGAGTTGCCTTGGTCGGCCGACATGCTGAACCGCTCGAATGCCTTCTTTCGGCTCGGTAATACTCCCAGACCCCATCGATAGCACACTCCGATCCACAACTGACTGTCGCTGTGACCATCGTTGGCGAGTTGTTCAAAGATGCTAGCTGCCTTCTTCTCGTCCTCGGTGGTTCCGAATCCATTGACAAGACACACAGCCGTCAGATGCTTGCAGAGCCAGTCACGATCCGATCCCAGCTGGCACAATTCGAAGAACTTGCATGCTACGGGTGATTCAGACTTGATGTTGTTCCACCATGCTGCCAGACACTCGTTCTCTCCGAAAGGGAACTCATCCGATTCGTTATCACGGATCATCTTGATGCCTTTCTGTTTGTCGAGCTGGGTACCCCGGCCGAGATAGTGCATCCATCCGACCATGTGGGTGGCGATGGGTTTGATTATCAGGTCTGAGGACTGGGTGCTGACTTCCTGCCAGTGACCAAGAGCAGCGACATCGCTCTGTTCGACACCATGGCCGATGAACGAGAGCCAGCCACGGAGGAACACGATATGGAGTCGGCTGTCCTCGCTGCCTTGATCTTCAGCCTTGGAGTACCACTCGATGGCTGCATTGAAGTCTTGATCGACACCTTCGCCGTTCTCATAACTTTGACCAAGGGAGATTTGGGCCTGAAGGATTCCACGTTCAGCAAGACTGCGATAGAGCCCGGCGGCCTTGGTGTGGTCTTGGTCGACTCCAGTGCCATCGTGATAGCAGCCAGCCAGGTGGAACAGTGCCATTGGATGGCTTGTGTTGGCGGCGTTCTCCAAATGGTGGAAGATTTGCTGCTTGGTGGCTTCCTTCTCGGACCATTTCACTTGGTCTTGGTCGAGATCGAGTTGGAGGATCTTTGCCAGGATATAGGAGGCGGATGCGTTTCCTTGGTCCGCCAGAGCAGCGAGCCAGGACTGGCTGCCAGTGTATTGGTTCTCGCAGTGTAGCGAGAGCGCAATCGTCTCGCTGGGGGTGAGACCGATCTGAATCTGTCCATCTGGATGACACAGTCCTGCCATCTGACACCAGGTGTTGAAACAAGGCAGCTTGAAGCTCAGGAGTGGGCGGGCTCGTTTGCACACTCGGAGGAGGGTCTTGATGGTGCTGTGGTCGAGGGCGAGTTGGAAGCTGTCATTGCAGCAGATGATGGTGAAGATGTCTGGGTTGTGTTCGAGTGAGAGTTCGGTGATATCGGGGATCGAGGTTGTTCTGGCTTCAGCTTGGGTTTGCTGAGTGGCTGATGATGCCGTGGCTGAAGCAGGCTCGTTGATGCTGGTCATGTTGACGGAGACTGAAGGGAGGCAAGTGGATGATGGCGATGGACAGGAGACAGAGAGGCAGGTTGTGGCGAAGCAAGCCAAACCCTGGCAAGCCAAACCCTGGCAAGCCAAAAATTGGCCATCGAAATCACACACACAAGGGTGGCTCTTTATCCCTGTCCTTTCCCTCTCCCTTCCCTTTTCCTCTCTTGCCCCTCTTGAGTCCCTCAATACTTGCACCTCTGCTGGCATTCATCTCCAAGGATGCTCAAGACCACTCGCAATCAGCTTTATCACTGCCATGTGCATGGTCGCCCTGACCACGACCTGTTCCTCTCGTATCGAGTCGCCACCGATGCTTCACCGTCCAGTCCCTCAAGGAGGTGCTGGTGGCTGTTGCCAAGCGCCGTTATGGCCAACCCCTCGCCGTCTTCCACGATATCGACTGTCTGCGAGACGCAAAGAAGTGGAAGGACGGTTTCCTCGGCGCTCTTCCCCGAAGCAAAGTCTTTGTCGCTGTGATCAGCCAGGCATCGCTCGAGTCCATGGTACAGAAAGCCGGGTCTGGCCAGGAGGACAACGTTCTGCTTGAGATCAAGACCGCCCTCGACCTCGTTGACTCAGGAGTCGATATCTCGGTGATGCCCCTTTGTGTGTCCAGCCTCGTGAAGGATGCTGATAAGGACGTGTGGATCGATTTTCAGCCATACCGAGCCACCATCCCCGACGACTCCAAGTTCGACACCCTTCGAGCCGTCCTGAAGGGATTGTCCGACATCCAGATGTTTGGCATTCGTCCTGACCAGATTTACAGGCGAGTCTATCGTCTACTCAATCTGCTCCACCCGTTGCAAGTGAATGATGGCACTCGGCAGGTCCTCGACTCGCTCTTCTGTGACTCCAAGTTCCGAGTCGATCCCATCCGCCTCGACACCCTGCTCAAACTGCTCACCCTGACTGGCCGCGCTGTCATCTCCGGCATGGGTGGCATGGGCAAGTCCGTCCTGGCCGTCCAAATCCTGTTCTTCATGATGGGCATTATGAATGCGAGCAACAAGGACGACCTCCATGTCATCAAAGCTAAGACCATTGGCATCAAGCCGCAGTACCGCCAGGTCTTCTGGCTCAACTGCTCGACCGAGTCCACTGCCATCGATGGGTTGTGCGAAGTGTTCGATGGCGCGGTTGAACCAGAGAAAGTCAAGAAGCACGCCGCCAAGTTCCTCGCCAACACTCACGGCTATCTCCTGGTGCTCGACAATGTCGATGACATCGGTGTGGTCGACTCTGTGTTTGAACACTCCAAGTCGGTCGGGTTCAGCGGCGATGTGGTGGTGACGACCCGGCTGGCCTCGCTGCCTCCTGGTGCATTCGCCAGTGCTCTCAAGGCCAAGATCCCAGGTTACAAATATGACCCACTCCGTCTCGGCAACTGGAATGACTCCACCACACTCGACTACATCATGTCGTCGTCGCCAATGATTGTCCAGCGACTTGTGTCGGACGAGGCCAGGAAATCCCTCGACAGCATCGTGGCCAAGATCAGCGGATATCCACTCGTCATCCAGACATTCATGACGTTCTACGAGAACTACGACACTCCCCTGTCGGAGCTCGAGGCCACGTTTGCAGGAGCATTGGAACTGCAGGATGGCGAGGACGACACGCGGTCGTCGCTCAAGGTGATTGTGGATCTGTCGCTGGACTCGCTGATGAAGCGAGGAGATGAGGGTATCGAGGCAGCCAGGCTGTTCGGTGCCCTCAGTCTGGTGGCGCCGGCCAACATCCAGTTTGAGTTGATCAAGGAGATTGCACAGAAGATGGAGCTCAAGACCGAAGGTGAGTTGCGAGTGGATCGGAGTGCAATTGATGTCAGTGCATGGAACTGACCAGTCCATCTGTCCACAGTGACTGATCTGATCAAGATGGTGGTCCAAAGTGGTCTTCTCCGAAGTGGAAACGAGGGACGGTACTCGACGCACTTGCTCACTCAGCTTGTGGCTCGAGAGTATGTCCAGGCACACGATGAACTGAATGTCGACGGAATCGAAGATGCAACTGGTAAAGTGCTGATCAAGCTGACTGACTCGATGGATCTCAAGGCACAACAATTTGCAGAACATCTCGACAGGTTCATCAATGTTACAGTTGCCGAAGGATACACCAAGCTCGAACATGTCAGACTCGCCACTCGACAGGGAGAGCTTGCCGAGGAGAGAGGAGGGTTTGGGGCTGCAAGTGATCGATTTGAGACCCATTTCAAGCGGGCTGTGCAGTACTTCGGCACCGAAGAACATATTGAAATCGTTGGGATCCTGAACCACCTCGGCGACAATCATCGCCGGCTGGGCCACTTGGATCCGGCCGAGGATTCACTTAACCACGCACTTCGAATTCTCACTTCGATTGAAGGACATACAAGCCATCCACAGGCTGCGCTCACTCTGCATCACATGGGTTTGGTGTCGAATGATAGAGGACACTATGTTGCTGCCAAGGAATATTACGATCGAGCTCTGAAGCAACAACTCGAGACCCATGGGACACGTATCCATCTCGATATTGCCGAGACTCTTGAAGATACTGGAAACGTCCTCTCGGCACAAGGAGAATACAAGGAAGCCGAGAGACTCTACCACGAGGTATTTAACATTCGTCTACAGATTCATGGAACGAGGGAACACAAAGACATTGCAGCGGTGCTTGTATGTCTTGGTGATGTCGCCTCCTCCTTGGGCAACTACGAGGTTGCCCTCAAGTACTACCAGGAGGCATTCGATATCAAGACCAAAGTCTATGGCACACGAGAACACCCCTCAGTCGCCACCACGATCAGATGTCTGGGCAATGTCGCCGACTCCCAAGGCAACTACGAAGCCGCCCTCAAGTACTATCAGGAAGCACTCGACATCTCCATCAAGATCTATGGCACACGAGAACATCCCTCAGTCGCCACTACGATCGGATATCTGGGCTATGTCGACGAGTCCCAAGGTAACTACGAAGCTGCCCTCAAGCACTACCAGGAGGCGTTTGTCATCTTGACCAAGACCTTCGAAAACCCCGAGCATCCGAGCATCAAAATAGCTATGGACAGCATTTCACGCATCGAGGAGACGATTAGGGAGAAAACTCAGCTAGCCACATCCGCAACTGCGAGTTTTTCCCACAAGATGTCGTCTGGCCATGGTCCCAACAAAATGAAGTGCCTTTTGATGTGATGACGACATTGCCCCCAATTTGTAGAGTGGATCCTATCGAATACAGTTAGTCAATGGGTGGGACTTGATTCAAGACAACCGGCGATCAGTACCATGCGGTACCCGGCAGTGGGCGTACAAGTAGGCTCACACACCCCTGTTGCGGCTCTCGCCGACTCTCCAGCCCACAAGGTGGACCATGGGGTGATCACTTCCTCCAAGAGGTCCCAGAGGAACTCGCATGTCTCCAGGTCCCACTCGGGGACCCTTTCTCTCTGGCCATGGGAGCTCCTCAAAGCCCATCCACGGCTTTGTTCGTTGGGGTCGCTGTCGTGGCCTCGTGGCCCTGAGCGCCCCAGTCGCTCTGTCACTGCTCGGTGTGGGGAGAGGGCTGCCTCTCCTGCTGGTCGTTGGGAACGGTGTGTCTCCGAGTCCGAGGTCGTCGTCCGAGACCAGGTCCGGGCTCAGATCGGCATCGTCGATCAGATCGATGCTTGGTGTTGTGTCCGAGTGCAAGTCGACACTCTGATCGCTCTCCCAGTCCCATCCGTGGCTGGGCAGGTCGTCGTCGATGTTGGTGAGGAAGGAAAAGTCCAGATCTCTATCCAGATCCAGGTCCCAGTCTGGCACCGAACTCATTTCGGAGCTCAGGTCTGTTGAGTCGTCGTCAGTCAGCCGGAGTCGCTCTAGTCGCGCCAGCACCTCTCGGTGTGGGAACCAGAGCGACTCCCTGTCGTCATCCGAAACACCTTCGCCGATGCTGGCTTCGTCGTCCGATGTGGTGTCTGCCACAATTGGTGGTGGCGTGCGACACCAGAACATACATCGGAACCTATTACATCCCCCGCCCGGTGGAGACCGAAGAGTTTGCGCAAGCGGTGCAGTCAATTGAAAAGTACGCGCGGATGTCCAGTGCCCAAGTTATCGTGATGGGAGACTTCAACCTGTCGCTGAGCGACCTCAAGTATCTGCTGACCTCGAAGACGATGACAGCGTGTTTGATGTAACCAAACAACCTGAAACCCCTAGCCAGGAGAGACGACTCCCCCCCAGCTACGAGCTCCCCATAATCAGCCCACGGGCAATCAAGGAGGCGATCATTACAACACCACGAAGGAAGGCCCCAGGGTCGGACAGGATCAAGATCGAACTGCTCCAGCCCAACGCACATAGAGTCTCGATATGGCTCTACCTCCTCATGGGAGCAGCCATCAAGGCGTCCGTGGTCCCAACTGAGTGGAGCACAGTGCTGATCCATCCCGTCTACAAGAACAAGGGATCGCCCCTCGACCCCGCAATGTACAGGCCGATTGGACTGACCCAGGTCTGCCGAAAGGTTGTTGAGCGAGCACTGCTGCCGTTGCTCAACCGAAAACTCGGACTGATGGACATTGCCCAAGGAGGATTCCGGGCCGAGCGAGGCACCCTCGACCAGATCTTTGGCCTGGACACGCTCATCAAGGACCGCCAGCTGGCGGGCGAGGAGTACTCCCTGGTGTTCCTCGACATCAAGGCGGCCTACGACACTGTCTGGAGGGAGAAGCTCTGGGACAAGATTGAAGAGCGCACCCCGTGCACGGTCACCATAAATGACAGGAAGTCGATCATGAGAGCTGGTGCGGTTGACGAACAGATGAATGATATGACGCAACTTAACCGCGGTTCCCATAACGAAAATGGGACACCCCCGTTTTTAACCAGGACAGTGTTTTTTTCCGGAACCTGAATACACCCACCCACTCATTGCATTCATGGCCAAGCAAGTATATCCAAGGAGACCGAGGTGGTGATTGCCTTTGGGAATGCCTCGTGGAAGAAAGGGAAGGGATATGCTTCCAGTCCACGGAGACTCTGGTTCGCTCGGTATTTCGAGCAGTTCATCCACCACCAGAGACACCCACCAGACCGATCCGTCTCCAAGATCCATGTGTGCTCGGTGAACGAGTTCAACACATCCCAGGTGTGCTCACAGTGCCCGGAGGCCGAGCGACTCGAGTCACCCGAGCATCTTGATATCGATACACCATGGAGTTGTCCAGAGGGTCGAGTGAGTGCACCACACCCCCACATTGAGTGAATGTGTCACGCTCATCCGGATCGAGCCACCCATTCCCTGGATCGATCTACATTGTTCCGGATCGAGCCACCCACCCTTGTCGCTTGCCCGTAGACATCTGACCAACCGTACCCTGGCGCTCTCGTCTGGCCACCACCACCGACCCAGTCGCTCGTCGGTTGCTGCTCGTGCTCGTCCTTCGTGCATCAACCAGATCGCTGCCGTCCTTTGCCGTCACCCGCCGTCCACCGCCCGCTCCATCCATATTGCCATCATGTCGGCGCCCTCGACCTCCCAAGGCACAGACGACCGCCGAGCCCAGGTCCTCTCTGATTATCGCAAGAAGCTTCTGGAGCATCGGGAACTGGATGCCAAAGTCCGAGAGTGTAAGGCTCCAGGCTCGCCGTCCTCGTGGTGTCTGTCGACTCTGTGGCAGATATGGCAGCACTCTTGACGAGCATCTCGGGTCACCGCACATCGACAGCAACATGCGGCTCAGTGGCGATCGTCGTCTCGTGCGACACACGAGCGAAGCGATTCCGGCGACCATCGATCGATGATCGCCGGTCTCGTTGGCGACACAACCTGCGTTTCCGCACCGGCGAGTAGGCCTTGGCCCAGCTAACACTCCATGCCTCCGTTCTCTCCCGATACATTGCAACTCGCTTTGTGTTTCATTCCGGGCATGCTGCTGATGATGCCGCTGTGATTCACAGTGCGGCTGGGCTTGCGAAAACTCGAAAGGGACTACGACAAGAGCGAGGACGATATCAAGGCCCTGCAGAGCGTGGGTCAGATCATCGGAGAGGTTCTCAAGCAGCTCGACCCTGAACGATGTAGGTCTCGCTCACTACCTGAGCCGCAAGCCTCGACGCAATCCAGAGGCTGACAGCGAGCGTGAAGGATGATGCCGCAGATTGCGCTGGCTTTTGGAGTTTGCTGTGAGCCCCGCCATCGCACATGCGGTTCGCCCTGGTAACCCTCCTCCCTTTCAAACGACTCGACACCCTTGGCTGCGTTCGCAACAACGCAGTCATTGTCAAGGCTTCGAGCGGACCGCGATATGTTGTCGGCTGCCGCTCCAAAGTTCCCAAGGATAAGCTCGCTCTGGGCACACGAGTGGCCTTGGACATGACCACACTCACCATCATGCGCATCCTCCCTCGCGAGGTCGACCCCCTGGTCTACAACATGAGTATTGAGGACCCTGGCAACATCTCGTTTGCTGGAATCGGCGGTCTGGGCGACCAGATCCGTGAGCTGAGAGAGGTACGTCCCACCGCGGATTCAGCGCAGTGGCCCAACACAGCCCTCGCTACCTGGAGCCGATAGGATCAAACTCACCGCTGGCGCTACCGACACTGACGAAATTGCTCTTTCTGGCCATACGCCTGTGGCCTCCAGGTCATCGAGCTGCCTCTGCTGAATCCCGAGCTCTTTGTTCGAGTCGGTATCAAGCCGCCAAAGGGTGTGCTGCTCTATGGTCCGCCGGGTACCGGCAAGACGCTCCTGGCCCGAGCCGTCGCCAGCACCCTCGAGTGCAACTTTTTGAAGGTCGTCTCGTCGGCCATCGTCGACAAGTACATTGGCGAGAGTGCCAGAATCATCAGAGAGATGTTTGGTATGATACGCGCTCTCTCTATTGTTTCCCGTGTTGCCTTGGCAGCATTCCTGAGGCTCATTTCACTGTGACTCGCAGAGTCGTGCCTCGCTTCATGTTCGCTGTTGCTGCACTCGGAACTTGCTCAACATCCCCGCACTCTGTTGAATGCATGCCCTCCATGCTGTGATCGACGTTCCTGTATCAACCGGCTTGCGGAATATGTCTCTAACAATCCGAACCTGTTTGCGGTGCTCGATCGATGTTTACACAATGTTACTGGATGGCGATGATACGGAACTGTCACCTTCACTCCACCAACACCGGATCTGTTCGTGAATCCGGGCTGCCTTGGTGTGCATATCAGGCTACGCCAAGGAGCACGAGCCTTGCATCATCTTCATGGATGAAATCGACGCCATCGGTGGACGCCGTTTCTCTGAGGGAACCTCGGCTGATCGTGAGATCCAAAGAACGTTGATGGAGGTAGATCGACATCGATTGTCTCGCTCGTTGATGCTGAAACCTGGCGATCTGCCTCCCGAGCCACCCACTCATTCTCATGCACCGCGTTTCTCGCACAGCTCCTCAACCAAATGGATGGATTCGACTACCTTGGCCAAACCAAGCTCATCATGGCCACCAACCGACCGGATACGCTCGATCCGGCTCTGCTGAGACCTGGGCGACTGGACCGCAAGATCGAGATCCCGCTCCCCAATGAGCAGGGCCGCACCGAAATCCTGAAGATCCATGCCGCTCCCATCACCAAGCACGGCGAGATCGGTAAGCCGAGTTGCCTGCTGTCGGACAAGCGCGCTTTGCCGTGTCCAGCTCTCGGCATTTGAGCAGCGGATGCTCACAGTGTGTTGGCGTCACACTTTGTTTTCAAGATTACGAGGCGATCGTCAAGCTCTCCGATACATTCAACGGCGCCGACTTGCGCAACGTGTGCACAGAAGCAGGTGAGCGTTGGGCAGTCTATTCCTTCCGCCGGCCTGTATTTAGCGATGCCTGTCTCCAAATCCTGCTCCACGCTCTATCGATCCTGGCCGATCCAATCTCACACAGGATGTCCCCGCTGGCATGTTTTTATCCAGGCATGTTTGCCATTCGCGACGACCGCGACTATGTGATCCAGGACGACTTTATGAAGGCCGTGCGCAAGGTTGCTGACGCAAAGAAGCTGGAGACCAAGCTGGACTGTAAGTAATGCTTGTCTCTGTGCTCTGCTGGGCAATGTGTCGACCACAGGGCTCCAGCAGTATGGGACCCTTCACTCTCCCTCCCCCCGTGGAACAACTATTATCGCACCGACGACACAAGCGACATCAAGATCCCAGCCAAGCACTGCTAACGCATGGCATCTCCCCAATCCACAGACGAAAAGATCTGATCGACATCCGACTCACGCCATCCATCGAAGGGGGTGTATCTGCTGGCTCCAGGGTGTTGGTATCGACAAGCCCCCCCCTCCTGCAGCGTACTGCATATTACGGACTGTGTGCTTTGGTCGCCCGAATCGGGAAATGCCGCTTCGGATATGCGGAGGCGGGTGTACGGCCTCCAACTGGGCGGCCACACCCACGAAGCACAGCGAGCTTCCCACTCCCTTCAATACACAGCACCCATCAAACGAAATAGCGCTCACGTCGTCATTCGAGGTGGTCTGGCTTTCTTCGGTATAATGTGTGTGGCGTATGGTGATCCACAATGTTGCTGTCCTCCCCCCCTGCGAGGTCCGACGCACTGCCTCTTCCTTGCGATTCTCTCATCGGGGGCTAAGGACTGAACCGAGCCGTAGACAAGGACAAGATCTGGGTCCGGATGGACACTGGGCTGATCACAAATGCCCATAGCACTCCCTTGGCTTCACCCGTTCGCCTTCATTCTATCCAGCTCAGTTGTTCATCATCTTTTGTTCTGCATGTTGCGACTTTAGACACGGACCAGACTCGCTCATATTCACAACAATCAGTCATCGCCCCCTCCTCCTCCTCCTCCTCCTCCTCCTCCTCCTCCATCAGCCGCCCTGTCGATCATTCGTACATTTCTGGGACACGGACCTCGGCTATCTCCTCCAGATACGCCACCATTCGTTTCAAGAACGGGTTGATCGAGAGTGTTTCGCTATCGCCGACAACGCACAGATGTCGCTTGGGCCGAGTTAGAGCCACATTCAGCCGACGGGGCTCGCTCAGGAAGCCAACCTCTCGCTGATCGTTGCTCCTCACGAGCGAAATGACGACGGCTTCCTTCTCGCGTCCTTGGAATCCATCCACTAGCGAACCGATGAAGCGAGCAATGTGTGAGGCAGGAAGCAGGCCGAGTGCATGAAATGGGTCACACTGTCGCCGCCCAGCGCGATGGATATGATCCCGCCCGCCTGTGAATCTTCAGCCCATCCACTGGCTTCCAATACCCCGACATCCTTCCAATATCGGCTCCTCTCCACTCCTCTCGTCACAGCTGCTCTTGACGGCATCCGAACCTGATCCGATTTCCATGCCCGGGTATGCTTCCGAGAGCAGCGTCTTGAGGTAGCTCACTTGGGCATTGTAGGGGCTGATGACCGCAATCTCTGTGTCAGGTACACCCGCCCGAACAAGCCCTTCGACATGCTTCACCACAAGCTGCGCCTCTCCTTCGTTGAATTTGGAGTCGCCCGAGAGATCGGGGAGCTTGCCAGGGCCGCCTCCATTGCTGCCTTCGCCTGTGTCGCTGCCGCCATCGACTCGCTCAAACAATGCACAGCCCGCTGTGTCGATAAAGACCAGAGGCACCGAAGTCTCATCTGGAAGGGACGCTGCTTGTCAGGGCCAAAGACATGCGCTCCTCACTTCTGGTGTTGGCTTTACTGCCTGTTTGGCAGCAGTGTTCCCGTCTCCGCCTCGGGCATATTGATCGGGGACGAGGATACACACCTGTCTCCGCGACGTCGTCTAGGTCCATCAGCAGCCTTTCTTTGACGCTTGGATCGGCAACCAACTTGCTTTTGTAGAGCTCCTGTTCCCACGACGGAGGACCGATCGCCGACCCTGTCAGTGCACTGGCTTTGTGCATTGCAGCACCACTCCCAAGCATCAGCAGCTTGCCAACCCACCTTTGACGAGAACCCCATAATTGCTTCGTGCTAGAGTCGAGCCAACAATGAACCAGGTAAGCTATGAGTCTGTTGTCCGCGGCCGACAGCGCTAGAGTATTGTAGTGGAAGCCTCGAAAGTCATGACACTCATGTCGTCGACATCCAATCGCTCAGATACAGGTGATAACACATTGCTTGGCTCCAGCCGCACCTACCATGCGGTATTGCACCGTCAGCATCCGTTTAACCGTGTCGCCGTAGAGATCCAGCATCCGATCAAACAACGTGGTTTCCAGGGACGTGGGGACATATGGCTTGCCCGGCTTTGAGGTCTTCTTGCCGTCCTTCTTCTTCTGCGATTTGACTGTGGGCTGGATGCGAAAGGATGCAGGCGATACAGCCAGCGCATGTTTAGCCTCTGCTATCACCCCTCTTCCTCTTCCAACGATCCGCAGCTGCTCACTGGCGAATGGCAGTGGCACTGCACATCTGAACAGACACACGCATCTCGACTCTTGTCGGAGACATCCGATACGCCGACGCATGCTCCGACCAGTAAATACACACCGGCAGTTGGAGATGGTCGCCAGCCAGGATCACTCGCTTGGCCTTCATGATGGCGATCCAGCATTCTGGCTCCAATGCCTGAGTTGCCTCGTCGATCAGGACGGTGTCAAACTCCTCGTGAAGGAGGTTCTTTCCGGCTGCCCCGTTCAGGGTGGAGAGCACGACTTTGGCGTTTCGGATCGTGGTGGTGACGACGACCTGCTCGCGCTGCCTCAGCTGTGTTGTGCGAGTCGAAACAGAGGTCACATCCACGAGATGAGCATGCCATGGATCACTCGTTCAATTACAAGACCCAGGGCAAGAAGAAAAGCTGCAGTGCGTGGCTACAATGTAGAGACCAACGCTGCTCCCCCCCCCTCTCCAGCCTTCGCTCCCTCGCGCTCATGCCCAAACAGCCAGCACGTCTGCCATGCACTTGCCTCACTCCGAAGCGCCTTGACTTCTTGATAGAGAGCATGCCGCTCCTGTCTGTTTCTGGCCTTCTGGATCGAGCTGAACGCCTTGTCCATGTCGCTGCGGACATCGTTGACAATGCGGCCCTCGTCGGATGTCTTGATCCGGATCTCGAGCGCATGCTCCATGACTGTGGGCAGAATGCGAGCTGGGTGGCCAATGCGCACGAGATCGACCCGACACTTGGCCAGTCTTTCCACCAGATTATCTGCCAAGCACGTTGAGAGTTATGGGCCGATGAGTGTTAGATTCGGCGGCCCAGAGCAGTGGCGAGCGATGCCCCGGGCGGGCACTTGCAGTTTGAGATAGCGGCTCATGCCAATTGGAGTGGGACGATGAAGCGCCACGAGATTCTAGCTGCTTCTCGACAAGATTCACAACAACGACACTTGAACACCGATGATGCGGACGTACCCACGGCAATGTTGGAGGGCCCGCAGACCAAGATGCGCTCTCCACGCTGGACGAGCTGGCGGATGATTTCAACACAGGTCATGGTCTTTCCGGTTCCTGCAATTGAGGGTGGTAGAATGGAAGCGTGCAACCCCAGATCAGGATGGAACCAGCGCCCCGTAGACCAATACCACATCAAGATTGTGTCGACAGCCAAATGGCTGACAGTATGTAGAGCCGAGCGACAATGCCATTGAAGCTGGAGCGAAAGCGGACCGGCTGACGCAATGTGATATCCGCTGATTTGATCGACCGATGGCTGATGGGAGCGGCTGGACGGAAAGAAGTACATTTCCACACCGATCGCCCATGTCTACGAGGCATGGCATACAAACCTGGAGGACCGTGAATGAGTGCCACATGCTCGGCAGAGATCGCAAACTGGATGGCCTCTTTCTGCGAATCATTGAGATTCTCGTCAAGGAACTCGCAGCGCTCGACCTGGGACCGAAACTCTGGTTTTTGCAGACCCAACAGGACCCTGACCAAAGGCACAGATTGCGATCCCGACCCGTAGCATCGCTTGAGATATTTCATGGCTTCGGTCATTCTGATGTGGGGCGGAGGTAGTGGGAATGAGTCGCGGAACGGTTCGGCGTGGTGGTTGTTGCTCTGGGACTGTACTGTTGTGCGTGCAGTTATCCGAGGCCAGGTACCTCTCATATGTGATGTTGTTGGCTAGCTTGAGTCTGTTGTTGAGAGATTAATTGCACAGGTATGGCCCAAGAGCCCGTCCAGTAATAATCAAATAACGGCGAAGCAAACCAGATGGTCAGAACGAGATACATTCACCGTCCGTCCGTCCATCTGTTCGGAGCGAGCACTGCGATCCATTGCGCCCATCGACCTGCTGCCTACATCCGGAATTTGTCAAACTCGACATCAAAGTCATCGGTGAAAGCCAGGGTGATCCTCTGGTCCTGGACCTTGTAGACCTGAGCGATGCAGAGGCGGCCGTCGGTCGATCGTCAGCTCATTCCAAGGCGGGCCTGCGGCGGAGGATTGACCAACTCACAATTCCCGATGCGTTGATATCTGGCTGCTCTTTATCGCCCTTCTGGGAGCTACTCTTGGTGCTCTGCTTCGATGCTTGCTGGCCGACGCCGACAATGTCGCCGGGTCTATTTCGCGGCAGTGGCAAATGGAGAGAAAGGACGCTGCGTCGGTCGACCTGGCCAGAAGCTTCTCGCACTGACTGCAATCGGGACAGGATCTATACCTGAACTTGTGAGGGGGGAGCCGGCATTCTCCTCCTTGAACGGGCTCAAAGTCAACGATGCTGCGGAAATCCGCCGACAGATCAGTAACAATCGGCAGGTCAAGATGCGATCCATTGGGCAACGCAGACCCAACGCATCGGACGTGTGGACGGTCGTGGATGATATGCCGAGACGGCGGTAGACATGCCCACCATTTTCCACCAAGACCCGTTCGCAGTCCTGGATGCCGAATGTCGAGGATTTAGTTGGTCTGTCGGCAGCGACAAAGGAGACAGCGCTTGCTGTTCGCCGGGCCGGTGGCTGGATTGGCCGACGCACACTGCAGCCGTCGTCTGGACGGCTGAGAGATCGCTGTGAAGGTTGGTATGTCTACAGAGATATGCAGATGTCTGGATGGCCCGAGATGCCCCCCGTATCGCAGACATCGCCCGCATCACTACCTGAGACTCTGAGGTTCAGCAGAGCCAGGCCATATCGCTGCAGCAGCGTCGCAGGAAACTTGGAGTTGAGAAAGGCGACCTGTCGGGCATCGTCACATCGGATAAGCCTATTGCGCTGCCGGCTCTCGGCAATCTCTGGCAGTGTCGCATATGGATGCTTTTGAAGCTCTTGTGGACAACGGGCATTGCCCCCACCTCTTCGATTTCGCACTGCTTCTCCTCTTGCACCAACTTGATGAGCGTATCGGCAAACGAATCGACTTCGGTCATAGTGGAGGACACGGCTGCGGGCTGAACCTGGCGGCGACAGCTTGCCCGATCCGGAGCAAGAAGGGTGTGCGCTCACAAACTTCTGAAGAATCCTCGGCGGGGTGTCGCAGCATCGGCGCCGCACCCAGGGAACCCAGGGAACCCGCCGGGGCAGCCTTGTTTGAGACCCATGAGTGAATAGAAATAAACGGGCCATCCATCTTTTTGATCATCGACCACATCTCTACATCTCGCGCTGCTTGGTTGTGGTGGCCAAAGACCGGTCCGCGGTCGTCATTCGATGGTTGCCGAGGTAATCGGTTTTTATTGCTAATGGAACTGTTGGACGTGGACTATCGCAGACTACTCGTTCGATTGAAATCGGGCAGTTTCCCCCATGTGTCTGAAAAAAAAAAAAAGGTGTATATGTTTGCCGCACATCTCCATCTCTCAACACAACACGCCATAGCACACCACAACGCAGCATCGGATATCGGATATACCCATCGGTACTCTTGGGGCCTCCAAGCGCTGCATTTTCATCTGGCTTATTGCTCGCCGCGATCGAATCCACAGACATTTCCGTCTTCATCACGCAGGATGCCGCGGACGATAACTCGGCCCTGCTCAAACCCATCCAGTTGCTGCAGGCTCTCAAGACAGAGCTGCGATCCAAAGTAGCGGTGCTCTCGAATATCGCCCGAGAAGCCGTGGGCAAGGGTTACGCTCTGAATGCCGCCATCGAGTTCGATGACATGTCCTTGATCCAGAACCAGGTTGTAAACCGCAGGACACTCGGTCGAATAGTGGGTATCGGCAAGCTCGCTTGGGAAGCTCCAGATATCAGATCCAGGGAGCAACACAGGATGCCATGGTGTGAGGATAGCCTTGTCAGCCAGCTTCACTAGAGCCGTCTTGTGCAGCGGCAGTTGCGGTGTCTTGATGACGCAGAGGACGGTGGCTGATCTTGCATCGGAAGTGTCTTGACCAGCGGCCGGGATGTGGAGCTGATCGCCAGCGACAAGATCTTCAATGTGCTTGAAGGTCGTGTCCGCGCCAGCCATGCGCACCCGTGTACCCTCAGCAAAGCAGGGATTGCCCGAGGCCAAGAAGCGAAACATGTACGGTTGGCGCTGGACATTATCAGACTGCTGGTCCTGAGCAGCGCCAGGACGGGTCGGTTGATGTGCGCCGGCATAATTGGCGCCAGGTGCGTTGCCTTCTACTACTTGGGCATTGTAGGGCACCGGCCCATGGTCCACAACGTCGTGCATGTTGGGAATAGGGTTGTTGCCACCTGGGGCGCCTCGTTGGAGTGCGTTCTGGTTGGCTGGCGCTGCGGCGGCGGCGCCACCACCGGCGAGCTGGTTGACGGGCGGGGGGATTCGAAGGAATATATCTTCAATATCGTTGATGATATCCTTGCAATAGTCGTCACCGTAGACCTGTACGCCAGGATCCTTGAAATTGTTGCATTGCTCGGACAGATGTGCCTTTCGGATGGACCTCAGGAAATGCTTGCCCCATCTGTCGATGTACTGAGGCTGGAACGCTTGCGAGATTTGCCCGCGCAAGTCCTTCAAGAGAGCAGCCACCTGCTGATGATTGGCGACGGGAGAGGTCGCGATCCTGGTGATGAGCTCGTTGATGATGGCGGTGCCGGTTCCAGGGGCGGCCAGACCGCGCTCGATGGCCTTGACGGCGTCCAGACGAGCACGCTGCACCCCGTAAAGCTCATCGGTTTCGGAGATCTGCTCGATGTTGACCTCGAACTCACGAATATGGCCATCGACTTCAAGCTTCACCAGGGCCTTGGGTCTCCTTGCTATCGAGTTCTTGGCTGCCTTGGCAAGCTGTGAGTTTTCTTTGATCAAATGGCGGTTCTGGCCGGACTGGATGACGCCATACACATCGAGCGTCTCGGATACGGGGTTGTGGTCGCCAAAGGAGACGGTAAGCTTGGCCTTCATGGTCCGAGTGACCAGCAAGTTGGCAACGGCATGGATGAAGGTAGTGCCAACAAAAGAGGCATCGGGGATGAACGAGTACGAGCCGTTTCCGACCGTGGCAATGTCATCAAGCAGGTCCGAGAGCAGGCTGTACCCAAAGCCATAGGTGCTGAGGACGGCGTTCAAGTTGCCGCGCATCTTGGTGCGGATGTAGTTTTGGAGGGTTGGGATATGACCGCGGGGCGGCTCCGTGTTGGGACAGCCGTCGGTCAAGAGAACGATCGATGAGATGCAGTCTGGGATCGTGTTGTTGCTTTGCTGGGCTTTGAGCACATCGAGGGCTGCGTGCAGACCCGCCCAGAGGTTGGTGTTGCTTTCGTAGTCGAGATCGTCGACCCTGGCGAGGGCGTGATTCAGGTTCTCGGGAGTCACTCGAGTAGGCTCCAGAATGACTCTGGCGGTGTTGGAGAAGGACACGATGCTGATGGTGTCGTTTTCGTTGAGGGAGCGGATGATGGTGTTGACGGCGTGCTTGACAATGTCCAGAGTGGTGAGGCCGTCGCTCTCTCTGATGCCGTTGGCGTTGGTGACAGATGCTTCATCGCTCATCGAGTACGAGACATCGATCACACAGCAAATGTTGAGGGGCGCTCGCTGCTGCAACGCAGGAGGTTGGATTATGACAAGAAGCTCATCGGTCTCCTGGATACGCCTGAGGCTGACGCTGACCTGCTCCCAGAGCTTTGAGTCTGCGACGGCGCCGGCCTGAACAGGGACAGGCTGAGCAAGGACATGATGAGCAGGGACAGGCTGAGCAAGGACATGATGAGCAGGGACAGCCTCAGCAACGAAGGGATGGGCGACAGGGACAGCATCAACAACGAAGGGATGAGCGACAGGGACAGCATCAGCAGCGTCGGGATAAGCAACAGGAACAGCCTCAGCAACGAAGGGATGAGCAACAGGGACCGCGGGGGCGGCATAATCTGGTTCCATGGTGGACTACTGGTGGCTAAACGGCAGTGAAGAGTCTGGACAGAAGGGAGGGTTTTCAGCACGATGGACTGAGCAGTGGAAAGAAGGTAAGGGCGACTGATCACAGGAGGGGGTAAATGAAGGGGTGTTGATGGAGGGGCGAGCCAACACGAGGCTTAGTTTCGGACGAAGAATGAGAGATGACTTGACCGGAAGGAAGGAAGGAAGGGCGGGCTTGGCCAACGAGAAGGCTGGCCGCAGAGCCGTGATCAGCAACGGAGGCGAGAGAGACGGTAGTGGCAGCAGCAGCAGGAGGAAATGGCCTGGCTCGGCAAAGCTCGCTGGGCAAAGCTCACTTGGCAAAGCGAGAAGGCAGCCGGGGAAGAGACGACGGGGGGATGGGCAGAAAAGGAACAGGTGGGCAGAGTGATGGGGCGCAGGATTGCTTCATTTGGCCACGGCAGTTGTACAAATTCGATACCCCCATGGTCACGCCGGGGAGATCTGCTGGGGGCAGCCCTCCCTGCCCCGCCTCACCAGGCCCTTGAGCAAGGCGGCATTGCTCGGCCCGCTGTCCTCGACCATGCGCGCAAAGATCGACTGTTCGATGCCTCTGTCGAGCAGAAGCGCCGCGGGTGTGTCGAACTCGGCCACGACGCCCTGGTCCATCACCAGGATCTTGTCGTAGTCGATGATGGTGTTGAGGCGGTGGGCGATCGTCAGCACGGTCGAGTTCTCAAAGTCCTCCCGGATTGACTTTTGAATCAGCTGGCGGGAATACATCCACCATGGACGGAGAGCGGGAGGGGTGAGGACACAGGCAATGTATCGTCCAGAACAGGAATGCGCCACGAGCTCCTCGCATCTTGCCAGCCGAGCAGCTGGTGAGTCCGGAGGGTATCCCGACGCAGGGTATCTCTGGTGGCCACGCAGGGCACGGCAGGCCGCCGCCGAATGGAACTGCCCACTTTGTCTTTGTTCTCGTCGCTCTGTCCATACAAGCCGCACCGCACCACCGGCATTCCCGGATGTCGCAACGGGAGCGAGGGAGAGTGAGAGTGAGAGTGAGAGAGGAGACTGTACCTGATCGGACTCGTAGTCGACGTTGGCGGTACATTCGTCGAGGACAACAATCTTGGGGCGCTTGAGGATGGCTCTTGCCAGACAGATCAGCTGCCGCTGTCCGACGCTCCAGTTCTCGCCATTGTCGGTGACCTTGGAGTCGAGACGGTCGTCCGTCGCCATGATGGCGCTCTTCATGCCGCTGCGCTCAAGAGCATCCCAGATCCTGGCGTCCGAGTGCTCCTGGAAGGGATCCAGGTTGCTGCGGATGGTGCCGGAAAAGAGAACAGGGTCCTGCGGGATGATACCGATGCGCGACCGAAGATCATGCAGGGTGAGCTGTGCTGTGTCGATACCGTCGATAACGATCGCACCGCCGCTCAGCTCAGTCATCCGGAAGAGGCTGAAGACCAGGGACGACTTGCCCGACCCGGTGCGGCCAACGACGCCAATCTTTTGCTTGGGCTCGACCCGGAGCATGACGCCCTTCAAGACCAGAGGCAAGTCGGCAGCGTAGCGCATCTGCACATCACGGAACTCAATGAGGCCCTGTGCAGGCCACGACCGCAGGGGTCGAATGCGTGGCTTTTTGACAGGACCCGCAGTGGCGGTGGCAGCCGGGATTGTGAGCGCCGAGTCTTGGATCTCAGCATCCATCTCCGGAGAAATGTCGGGGGTGTGCGGCTCGGCCTCGCTCTCAACGGTGCGGATACGTGGCTCGCGGACATGAAGATTGGTCGCCACAAGCCGCTCCTCGGGCTCAAGACTGGAATAGTGGACGATGCGCTCGACCGAGTTGAGCTGAATATCCAGTTCGGCTGCTTGGAAGATACACATGTTCAGCAGCGAAGTCAGCTGCAGCAGATATGAAATGGACAAGCCAATCTGCGAGGCCGAGACGGTTGCCTATGGAGGGAAAGCCGAGAGTGCACATGTCAGTGGCTGCTGGATGCATCTTGATGCGGCGTTGATGTCTGTGCAGTGGTGGTCGAGGATCTGCTACCCTCGGTCAAAGTCATGGCAGAGAGGACAGACACTGCATTCATGGCAAGTATTCCCCGTCGAATGACTGGGCATGCATACCCGGAAGATGGCTGCAAAGAGCGTCATGCTGTAGACCATCAGATTTCCGATCATCTCGAGCCGGATCTGGATCCACTTCTGGCCCGAGTACATCAGCAGGGCTGGCGACAGGTTCAGGTCAATCAGAGCCTCGGTCTTTTCGATGAATCTACAGAGTGTGGCCGCCAGGATTGACGTGGCCAGATCAGTAACGGTCGACGACAAACTACGGAGAGCACTTTGGTGCTGTGGGATTCAGCCAAGGCCAGAATGGGGTCGATCTCACGAGGCTCATATGCATGCAAGCAGCCTCGACTTGGGGCACACACCTGGACTCGTCCTTGTAAGCACGGATGGTCGAGAGCCCAGACATGGACTCGGAAATGTGCGCATAGAGCGGACTGCGGGTCAGCGACTCAATGCGCTTCAGCTCACGGGTACTCGTTCGATAGAGACGCTGGATGAAAAAGTAGAGCACCATCATGGGCACCAGCACAACTAGGAACCACGCCTTGGTGAAGTAGATGATCACAAGGAACGACGAGATCAGCGTGAGGATACTATAGAACAGCAGGCGGGCGGCATCGCCAATGGCGGTGTCAATCGAGTCCTGGTCCCTTGCGAATCTGGAGGAGTAAGACAAGACGATTCGATCGAGAGACGGTAAGACGGCAGCAAGGCGGCACCAGCGAGACAAGGCGGAGGGGGGGGGCGCCATCGCCAGACTTGCCTGTTGATGATGCGGCCGATGGGTGTGGTGTCGAAAAACCGAATGGCCGATCCAAAGACTCCGTTGAGAGCAAGTCCGTGCAGATTCTTGGCAGACTGGATGCTGCCAATGGCGACCAGGCACGAGTAAAGCAACAGCGCACAGCTCTGCAGAAGCCCCAGCCCCGCGAAAATGCCCATGTAATCGGCCCGTGGGAGGTCGGGGTACAGCAGCTGCGACCAGGACACCAGCCACAGATCATTCGAGAGCCGGGTGACTTGCGTAAATATCAAACTGAATGCCAACACCGCGATGAACGACACTGATCCGCATGCCTTGAGATACGAGAGGAAAACCTTGGTCTGGACGGCACCGGTCAGGCGCTCTTCCTGCTGCATTTGATCCCGTGTACGCTTCATCTCGTGGCGGACGACCTTCTCGGTTCGGGCATTGGCTTCCTTTTCGTTGCTGAGGGTAGCATGCTTCGAAGGGACCTCCGACTCGGCCAGGGTCTCAATTGATGGCATGGTCTCGGCCTGGTGGCGGTCCAAGGAGTCGTCGATTTCCAAGCTGTCGTCATCCGAGCTTTCATCGCCGCCGACCGAATCGATGCCTCCGTAGGAGGTCATCAGCCGGGCGAATTCTCCATCAAGCGCCATCAGGTCAGCAAAGCTGCCTTGCTCCTGAATCTGGCCATGGGCCATCAAGATGACATGGTCGCACTGTGGAACGAGATGGAGCTGATGGGTGACAAAGAGCCGAGTCTTTTGGTTCAACGCCGCTCGAATGCACCGCTCAAAGATGTAACGACCGACGTGTGCATCAACGGCGCTGAGAGGATCTGTTGAAGATATGAAGCAAAACGGTCAGATCACCAAATATAGGACAAGTCCATGTTCGTACTATGCCAAATCGACACTTTGGATGCAAGGCCGTGGGCTTGATGTCGGGATGGGTGCCAATCGACATGCAAGACGGCCATAGTAGGAGATGCAGTGGCTTTGCACTTTGCCCAACAGAAAGCGAGGCGATTATTGCTGGCTGACATACCATCCAGCAGAACGATATCCGAGTCGGCGTAGACTGTCCTTGCGATCGAAATTCGTTGTTTCTATCAATACAAAGTAAGGCAAGCGGCAGTTAGTCAGTGATTGAACCGAATGAGCCGTCTATTGATGGAGTGCTGAAACGCCACTAGGTTCGATCTTGCGGCTCGGATCGACTGCTTTTCGCGATGCGCATGGTTGTTCCCAAGCTGTGTGTACGCAAGCACCGGACTTGTCCCAGCTTACCTGTCCGCCGCTGAGGTTGACGCCACGCTCTCCGATCTCTGTCTGATCGCCATCGGGCAAGATCTCCAGATCTCTGGCGAGAGCGCAGTCCGATATGACTCGCTCGTACCGGACTCGGTCATAGGCGGAGCCAAACGTGATGTTCTCTTCGACTGACGAGTTTACGATCCACGCTTGCTGGGGACAGTATCCAATAGATCCGCCCAAGGTGATGTGTCCGCTCGTGCATTTGAGCTCGCCAATGATCGCACTGAGCAGCGAGGACTTGCCGGATCCAACAGGCCCAACAATCGCCACTAGCGAGCCCCGAGGGACGGCCAAATCGAGGCTCTTTAGAGAGAAGATGCTGCCAGGCACAAGAAGATCGACTTCACTCCCATGTGTGTCGAAGCCAATGGCATCTGTGTGCTTGAATGACTCTTTCTCTTCTTTGGGCTTTGCGAGCTTCTCTGGCGAAACAGGTGTCTCCAACGGCACCTCCCACTCAAAGTGGGCGCCGTTGATCTCGACTGCAAGCTTGCCATCGGGATTGTACTGGATTTGAGACTCGATCTCGGCAGCATCCATGAATCTCTGAATGCGTCTGAAACCGACCATGCCGTCCATGAGCGTGCTGGCAAGCGAGAGTGGTGGTGCGTTAGTGCAGCTCGGCTTGGCTGGATTCGTTGGCCGGAGGCTGTACAAACGACTGCGCGGATACCAGGCAAACTCACCCGAGCATGACCTGGGACAGAATGGAAAATCACTGATTAGACGGTCGGAGGAATCGCATAGGAGCCATTGGGCATCAGCCAGCCGGACAGCGAGCTCGCAAACAGAGCTCGCAAACAGAGCTGCTTACCGGAATCCACATGATGGGCTGTCGGAGTTGGTTGAAAAGGGCAAGGGCCGAGAACACCTGAGCGAGTCCACCGATACGAGACAATGTGAGTCGGATATGCGGTGCTATGCGAGGTCAAACGGACGACCGCCGGACCATCAGACATACTGACCGAGGTTGCGTTGAAAACCGGGGAGATGGATCCATAGACCAAGAGCGTTACAGCGCTCGCGATGGCTGGAAGGGCAAAACCAAGACCCGAGAACACGGCCCGGATCAAGCTGAGGACAGCGTTGTGTGGATGCGATGCGATGCGATGCGATTACAGATGGACAATGATCGATGACGCACGCCAGAGTTGTTGATGAGAGCCGCAGGGAAGATCGGAGATGTCGTCAGCGATGACTCTTGCAAGCCGGATCGACCCACGGATCCGGCACTGGCACTGGCATCGGCACTGACATCGGCACCGCCCTCGCTCCGCCGCCCGGTTCGTCTGCATCAAATATACCTGGCGCGAACGACCAGCTTCAGCTCCCAGTCTCGGATGTCCAGGATCTTCCCAATAAAGCTCCGCTCCCACCCAAAGAACTTGACCACCCGGATTCCGCTGACAATCTCCTGGGTGAACTTGACGCGCTGGTCTGTGATCTTGGCGGTTGAGGTTCTGAGCTTGACGAGGGCCTTGATCATGATGGCTTGGATGGGCACAAACACAAGTAGTATCGCTATGCCGGCCAGGCCAGCGACGCCGATGGTAAGATACAGCACAACGGTTGTGACCGAGAGCCACAGCGGAAACGTCCAGATGAGATGAAACTGCTGGATCGAGTTCTCGATTCTGCAAGAGACGATAACTGCTGCATGAGCGATTATTCTGCACCGCTGGCGTGACCGGGTTGGACAGCTCCGAGAGTCGGCAGGAGCGAGCTTACCGAGTGCAGTCCGTTGAGACCATGTTGACAACGACTCCTCCATGAAACTCCTGGCGGGATTTGCCCGACAGTTTCAAGGTTTTGCGATAGATGACAGTGGTCAGCACGCCCTTGATGGCAGTGGCATACTCGATCGAGACTTGGCCCAGGAACATGTTGCAGATCGAGGACAGGCTCGTGAGCAGGAGAAAGCCAAGCGAAATCAGGTAGGTGTTGGCGAGAGGAGGAGGGTTCTGGCCGTTGTTGGCTTGGCTTTGCACGACGCTCTGGATAAGCCCCTGCATCAAGAACGGGCTGGCGTGGGTTCGTTACGAAGGAGTCAGAACAAAAGCCGTCAAAGGCGACGTCCATTGCTGCATGGACCAAGCCAAAGCCCATCCGAATGATCCAAAATGAAGCGCCCGCCCGAGGAATGCTTGGGCATGAAGCGAAATACGGGAGAGCTGAGCAATGCCTCACAGATGCATTACCAGAATGCTATCGACGAATCTGCCACAAACTTCAAGAGTCCGACGGAAAAGTACTTCCATCCGAGAAGCCTGATAACGATCCCGAGAACGCTCGGGGCCTTGCCGCTCTGCAGGGCCCGATTCCAATGCTCCTCAAACTGAAGCACAAGCACGCTGGATTTCTGCTCATGGTCCAGCTGGAAGAGGTCTTCGGGCTGCAGCGGCCGCTTGGAGCCCAGCTTGTAGAGCGGATTGAGCCAGGAGATGGTCCAGATGGACCAAGCCGTTCTCGATCGCAGCGGACGCTGGGCAGGATCGGGGGTGGCGATGGTGTCATCAGCCACAACCTCGGCTTTGGGCTTTTCGGCGACGGAGGGATGCCGACCGGGGGTCATATCAGACGAGGGTTGCTGACTCGGGAGAGAGAGTAGAGTGCAGGGATCAGCCAAAAGGCGAGGGAGCGATTGACGCTTGAAGATCGAGAGCGAGCTCGGAATGCGACCCGGTGAGGATTCAAGCCGGCACCAGTCGGCAGAAACGGCGGGATACGCTGCAGAGAAGCCACGCCGGAGAACACCTGCGTCTCTTAAGTGTTGTCGGCACTGACAAATTGCAGGAGAGCCCATGCGGATCGCAGTCGCAGCCCCGTCGGGCCTGCAGGAGGGGGCTGCTTCCATGCACCGCTTGCGTGGCCAGGCCGGAGGACGCGGTGGGGCGAGCGTGCCCACCCTGATGTGCGCAGCACGTCCATGGCCGCGAGCGCAGAGGCCGCTGCATGCCAGCACGGGCGGATCGAGAGCACCGAGAGGATCAAGCGGATCAAGCGGGCCAGGCAGAGCGGCAAAGCCAGAGCGAGTCAATCGAGTCAGCGGAGTAGTGCCGGGACCGGGCGACCGCACTGCCCATGCTGCAATCCCGTCGTGGGGCTGCGTTGTGGGTGGGTGCGGGCCCGGGCATGTTGTCAACAACCGAGCGGGGTGTGGGCTGCTCGGTGAGGAAGGCGGTGAGGAGGGCGATGGCCAGAGTAGACATTTGTCTGGCCGGATGCAGATACGGCGATCGCATATGCTCCTGGGCCAATGGGGACATTATCACCGCACGACGAGGAGTCTGGCTCGAAGCAACAGACCGACCGACCGAGGGGGGAGGAGAGACGTGGCCGCTGGACAAAGGATTGGGTCGGCATTCTTGTTGAACCGAGAGCTTTATTGAACCATCGACAATAAAAATGCCAGCTCCAAATGCATATAGACGGATATGATCCATCCCCAGTGTATTTGGTCAAAACCACCAGGAATCGTCCTTTTCACATAATGAGTCTGTATTTGGCACTTAGTTGCGGTAGCCACGAGAAGATCTGCGGCCACGAGCGCGCTCGAACTTTCGTCCCTTGGATCGGACGTAGGGCTTGACGTGGGAGCCAGGGACACCGGCGGCACCAAAGTGCTTGACGGCCTCGCGGGTGTTGCGGCGACCGCGGATCAGGACGGTGTTCTTGCCAAGGGGAGAGCGGAGAGCGAGCTGATCGAAGGTGAGGATCTCGCCACCAGCAGCCAGAATACGGGCACGAGCGGTTTCAGTGACACGGAGAGCGGCAACGGTGACCTTGGGGACCTCGAGCAAGCGGTTGTCGTCGGTGATGGTTCCAACAACGACAGCGATCTTGTCCTCCTTGCCGGCGGTGAAGCGAGCGAGACCAGAGAGGGAGACGGGAGGACGGTTGACACGCGACATAAAGAGACGCTTGAGAACGACCTTGTTGAAGTTGGACTCGGTACGGCGAGCAAGGAAGCGGTAGAGCTGTTCGGGGACGGGGCAGGGGCAGATCCGGTCGAGTTGGTCTTAGCACACGAGCCCACAGTGCGCCTGCCTCGACAGGCCAAAGCCGCGCAGATTTGCCAGGACACCTGTCCTCTCAACTTGCGCTTCTGCACGCTACATCTTTCGGCGATGCACTTCGGATCGGCAGTCTCCAGTATGCGACAGATGCAGCAATCTGGATCCAGAATATATCCGCACACGACACCGAGCCAGAGGCCGACGCAGCATAAGGGCCACACTAACCTTGACGAGCAGGCGCAAGTAGACGTTCTGTTGGATCAAAGGCAGCGGGGTGTTAGATGCATCCGTTACGATCGCTATCGGCACGGCTGGTTGCGATTGCAATGCCGCAGCATGCGATGATGCTTACGTCAGACTTGGGAGCGGCGCGAGCACGCTTCTTCTCGTGGTGCTTTCTGATGTCGATACCCTAAGTTGCAGGACAAGATCCGAATGAGTGTGCCGATACGGATTGATATTCCTCGTTGGCACACCGCTGTGCGTGATGAATGCGCATCCGTCCGTTATCCATCCATTGACCGATCCGGCTAGACACAGCCATCGCTGTCGCTCGCTGATTCCTGCAACAAATCCGTATGAATTTGCCGATTGTGGTGCCATCTGCTGGTGCTGGAGAAAGGCTTGGGGATGTCTGACGCCGTCTCCGTGATCGCCGGAGAGTCGTTTTGTGCTCCAATAGTCCGGTTTGCCACTGACTTGCTGAGGGGTGGCCTATTCCGTGCATGCAATTCTCGGGCTTGCAGTCGATAGAGTCGTGTCGCCGGCCATCGCATTGTCGAGGACTTTCACAAGTCGAGTTCAGGTCGAGGTCGAGATGCTGTTGATTGGTATCAGCCCGGCTGCCGCAGGTCGACTGTTGGATCGACTGCTGAATCGACGGGTGGATCGATAGGTGGATCGACGGGTGGATCGATATATCGATGGACGAATGGATGGACGGATGGATGGACGGATGGATGGATGGATGGATGGACGGATGGATGGACGGATGGATCGATGAGCGCGGCCGCCGACTCACCATTATGTCTTATTGCGGTCCAACAGGAAATGGCCGAATGCAAAAGGAGAGAGGGAAATGTGTGTTGAGCCAGCCCAGCAACTTTTTGGGCCGTGGCAGCAGCGCGGCCCTCACGCAGAGCCACGGGCGCGAGCTAGGGCGTGGTACAAGCAAGGGCTGTGCGGTCGCACAGCCGAGGGTTAGGGCTGTGGCCGGCTGCACCCGGCTCGAGCCCGGCTGGAGCCAGAGTGCTGCGCATGTGATGGGGGTGATTCCGAGATAAGTCGATCTGTCACGCCGATTCCGACTCGACCACCATCTCGATTTAAGCACTCGATCGGCGCCCTTCCCGAGCCTGTCTCTCTGCTTGCGCATCTCGTGCCCACCGCATTTCCCGGTCCCTGGCTGTCTGATCCGACGTCGTCTCCAGCACCCGCATCGTTTTCCGCCTCGCTCAACCACCACCCAGCAACCATGTTGACCATCGCTCGTCTGACCCGCGCGGCTCCTGTGAGTCCCCGCTTTTGCTCGACCGGCCGGCGATCAAGGCTGCGTCCACAGCACAGCCTCGCATATGCACCTAGCTTTGCGTCTGTCGCCGATTCAGTCTCTGTGTGTCGCTGGAACACGCAGGCTGCAGGCACTGAGGAGCATCGCTGCAAACGGTGGTCTCGATGAACTCTCGACCCGGACTCTGGCGGCTCCCTCGGCTGCTCCTTGTCGGTGGCTGACCTGATCTGCTTTCTCCTGCTTTCTCCTGTCTCGCCAGCTCCGCGCCAAGTTCCAGGTTCACAGAGGCTTCTCGTCCATGTCGTGTGTCCGACAGGTGAGCACCTCGCTCAACAACTATATCTGGCACCCTGCTTCGATATGTCGCTCGAGAGCAGTTACGGATGCAAGTTCCGGGATGCCCATCGCACCGGCCGAGTTTGCCTTTGAGTGGCTGGATCTCGATATTGCCACATGTGTCCGACATGTCGATCCGCATCTGTTTTGACAAGCCTATGCAGGTGTCGGTTGGGCCAGTTGTCCTCCTCGGACATGGATCTGAGAACTGGCGGTCGGACCGTCATCAATAGAACGCACTCTGTCTGACTCTGGAGCAGCGTTCTCGTTGTCGGTTGCTAGCCGGGGCTAATATGGATGATTATCTTCCGATCCAACTCTCCGCGGCTCAAACCGGTCATCCTCTTGATCGGTTCGGTTCGGCTCGGCTCGGCTCCAGGCAACCCACTTGGACAAAGATACCCACGCTTCCACTGCCCAGCGTCTCCAGGAGGACTCCAAGGTCCTGCTCTCGCTGTACGGACGCCCCTCGCTCATCTTCACCCACGGCCAAGGTGTCCGACTCTTTGATCTTGCCGGTCGCTCCTACCTCGACATGAACGCCGGCATCGCCGTCAACGCCCTTGGCCACAACCACCCGCAGGTTACCAAGGTCATCAGCGAGCAGGCCCAGAAGCTCATCCATCTCAGCAACCTCTACCACAACGAAAACGCTGGAGACCTTGCCAGGCTTCTCGTCGCGCAGCTCAACGGCCGCGGCAAGTGGTCTGAGGGCGCCAAGGTGTTCCTGTGCAATTCCGGCACCGAGGCCAACGAAGGTGCGCTGCTGCATAGCCTGTCCGAACATCCGCCGCCCTGCCCGGCGCTTGGGCTGCGTTGCCCATCCGTCTTTGGGCACGGTTTGGGACGCTTATTGCGATGGCGCCACTGCCGCGGCCGCTCTCGGAACTGGCTAACCCGTATTTCCTTCCAGCCGCCATCAAGTTCGCCCGCAAGTATGGTAAGGCCAAGGGCAACAACCCAAACAAAGACACGATCGTCTCCTTCAGCAATGCCTTCCACGGCCGCTCGCTCGGTGCTCTGTCGGCTACCCCCAATCCCAAGTACCAAGCTCCCTTTGCGCCGCTGATTCCCCACTTTGTTCACGGCGAGTTCAACAACATTGCCCAGCTCAAGGATCTTATCAACGAGAACACCTGTGGTGTCTTTGTCGAGCCTGTCCAGGGTGAGGGCGGCATTCACCCGTCTACCCACGCCTTCCTGAAGGCCCTCCGCGAGCGCTGCGACGAAGTCGGCGCCGTGCTTGTCTTTGACGAGATCCAGGTCGGTCCTCTGTGCCGCACTACGCATCTCTCACATGGAGGAGGTTCGCAAAGGGCGCTGACTCGGAGTCGACACATGGTCTATGCTGACAAACGCTTGCCCCGTCCCCTGTCGTCTCCGCATCGCTTGGCCTGTTCCTGCGGTTGTAAACTTGACAGTGTGGCTTGGGTCGACTTGGAAGCTTCTATGCCCACCAGCAGTACGACATTACTCCCGACATCGTCACGATTGCCAAGCCTATTGCCAACGGCCTCCCCGTCGGTGCTACCATTGTGAGCGAGGCCGTCGCCTCGGTGATCAAGCCTGGTGACCACGGCACTACCTTTGGCGGCTCGCCATTCGCTTCAGCCGTCGCCAAGGAGGTGTGCAGCATCATCCAGACCCCGCAGTTCCTGCAGGGCGTCCACAAGAAGGGCGTCTACCTCTTGGAAAAGTGCAAGGAGGCTGCCGCCGGCAGCAAGCTCGTCGCGGAGGTGCGCGGCAAGGGTCTCATGGTGGGCATCCAGCTCAACGAGGGCGTCAGCACCCAGACTTTTGTTGATCTTGCCCGCGAGCACGGCGTGCTTGTCATCTCGGCCGGATGCAACACCGTCCGCCTGGTCCCGCCGCTGATCATCCAGGAGTCTGATATCGACGAGGCTACGGCCGTGTTCAAGCAGGTCCTGCAGAAAATGGAGCAGTAGTAGCTGTCACCGTGCTTGCCTTGCTCCAGACTCTTACAGCAGCCGGCTTGGATGCTCTCTGCTGCTGCTGCTGCTGCTGCTGCTGCAGTTGCCGTTCATGTCTTTGTGCCGCCATCGACAGACCAAAGGGACAGTCGATGCAGCGCTTTTCCGGCCCAAAGGCTATATTGAAATAGATATGCAGCCATTGCTCATGCGCTCATCTCACCGAGCCGGTGCACCCGTTTCACATGCATTGCCTCGGTCGGTAATGCAAAGGCGACACCTGCTGCCGCTCCATTAGGCTGCGGCGGATCTCGGGACGAGATAATTCTCTCGATGTCACTCTTAAGCCCTCCACTCCAGGCCCAGGACGGCGCCGGCAAAGGCAAACTTGTCGGTAGCAGCGTCGATCTGTGGGGTAATCGAGCGAAAGCACGATCAGTATCCGGGTGCGCAACATGCAGCCGTCAACGCTATCCAACAGTTCATGGCATTCAACAACACTCGACATTCAACAGCACACGGCACTCAGCGGGAGACACTTACTCTCTGCTTGGTGCTCATACCAGCGCCGTGGCCAGCCTGTGATCGACAGTGGGAGGCATGGTTGGATGGTGCTTAGAATGGTGCGCCGACACCGGGTAATCCAATGACATTCAGTCAGCGCATTTAAAGGGCTGCCAGTGGCAAGTCCCTCCCCTACCTTGGTCTCGATGCGGATGCAAAGTGGCTGCGGGTTGTTGCGCGCAGTGTGCTGCAGCTCCGCAATCAGCTTGTACGAGTGGAGAGGAACTACGCGATCGTCGTGGTCGCTGGTGCACAGCAGAACAGCGGGATAGGGCTTGGTAGACTGCACGTTGTGGAGAGGCGAGTAGCTGTTGCCGACACAGATTGTAGATTGCAGAGTCAGACCGAGTCATTCGGAGGACAGGGAAGCATATCCCTTCCGCATCAGTGCCACCAAGAGCACATATGGGGGGGGGGAGGGCATCACAATTCGCATTCCCTCCATTCGCGATTCCCAAGACCCCCGCTTTGCAGTGTCTACCTGAGGATATACTCCAGATCCTCCTTCTTGTCGGGGTTGCCGTAGTCCGAGACCCAGGCGTGGCCGATGGTGAACTTGTGGAAGCGGACAACATCCATAACGCCGACATCGGCGATGCCAACACCAAACAGTTCGGGGGCCTGGTTGACGCAAGCGCCGATCAGGAGGCCGCCGTTGGAGCCGCCGTTGATGATCAGCTTGGACGAAGTTGTGTAGCCTCCAGAAACTAGGTGCTTGGCGGCGTGCTGGAAATCGTCAAAGCAGTTCTGCTTCTTGAAGAGCTTGCCCTGGTTATACCACTTTTCTTCGCCGTATTCGCCTCCGCCGCGGATGTTGGCTACGGCAACGACACCCTGTGTAGCGGTAAAGCAAAAGCTGTCAGATACTGCAGGCCAATAAGGCGTCGCACGTGGAGATTCCAGGGCCAGAACCCAGGGGAAGCAGCGGAAGACGGGTAACTTACCCCGAGATTCTGGATAAAGGTCTGTGGGGCCGGTCGCAACGAATTCAGAGGCGATGGGCAAATGTCCCGGAAGGAAATCAGAAAATAGCGTGTGAGAAGTCACATCATGACCGATAGATTCATTATTGACAGTCGCGACATGACTTACGAGCCTGGACACAGAGGAACAAGAGGACAAGAGAGAGTCAGAGCCAATCATCCACGGAAGCATGTTGGCGAGCAACACAAGCAGCTTGGCCTTTAGGAGCCGTCGACTCTGTTCAGTGCCAAGGACTCGCGTATGAATGTCCAGAGTGATCTTACCAAGTGACGTTGAAGGTGGGGGTCACAGAGATGTTGAAGCCACCGTAGCCATAGAGCAGGGCAGGATGCGAGCCGTCCAGAGCGATGCCCTAGAGCCACGCCACAATAGCGGTTACCAAAGACATGTCGTCAAAGTCACAGCAGCTTCAAGATCGACATTGCGGCTGACCATCTGACGAGCGCTCAGCTTCGAGACAGCCATTATAGCTCACGCGACTCACCTTGCGGGAGATGATAAACATGGGGATCTGCGGCGGCCAGTAGATCAGGTCCAGGACAGAACAATGCAAGACAGTGAGGGGAATTGATGAGCACGCTGCTCGGAGACGATTCATCGAGCATCGATCGCTGCAGCGGACTCTATGCACACACGGTCAAGTTTGCAGCATTTGAAGAGTCTGCGCGATCCGCACCTTTGTTCCGTCCTTGCTAGGATAGAAAACCTGCTTGGTTTCGAACTGACTGTCGTCGAAGCTGCATGAAGAAGCAAAGACGATGATACTCGAATTGTCAATGGCTGCAGTGTCAGACACGCTGGCCACCCCATGCTTGAACGCACGTCGGTGAGGATGCATGTCCACACTCATGGAGCTCTGTGCAGCGGAATACGCATCAGAGGCGGCGTGAGGCTGTGCCGAGTCCCACACACCGGATACGCACCCTTCGAGGTGAACCTGTCGGAACACGGTCTGCTCCAGAGTGTCGACATCGTAGCGGTAGATGACGCCGGGGCTGAGGAAGCTGATGACGCTGTAAAAGAGTTCCTTGCTCTTCTTTTTGCTCGACAGCGAGCTCACGATGACACCGACGGGGAGAGGCAACTTGGCAAGCTGCGATCCCTCGAGGCTGTAGAGATAGCCAACACTCTTGACGTCCTGGAGGTAGATCAGCACGAGCTTGTTGTGATCGATGACGCTGACGTCTTCGAGCAGGTCATCCCGCTCAGGGACAACTTCGATGAAGCCCTGGGGACAGCAAATCGACAGCGACGACGGGACATTAGCCAGTGAGAACGAGTGGGACGGTGCTAGATCGAAGGAGTGCTATGCGCCATCTCAATCAACAGCTGGGCTACTTACTGCCTCCGTGTTGTTGATGTCATACTTGACAACACGGCGCTTGGGAGCACCATCGGTGGTCGTGAAATAGAAGACCGATCCCTCGTTGGTGATGTACGAGTACGAGTACTCAAATTTGCTGCAGTTCCAAGGCAGCGACATTCTTAGTGACACAGTCGCACAGGGCAAGCGATAGCTGGTGATACTGCACAGGCATCCTCCTCGTCCTTTCCATCAAAGCAGGCGGCCACTTACTCCTTGACAGCGACGAACTGGGGGCGTTCTGTTTGGGCAGTTTGGATGTGTGAGCCGGCTAAACGAGCATCGGGACACCAAGATGCACACGCAGAGACCCGCGGGCAGTGATGCGTGACTATTGTTCCCCACAAACCCAAGGACGAAAGGCAGTGGGATTTGCCAAGAGGCGGTCCCGCAGCCCATACTCACCATTGATGCCATTGGCCTCAAGGTCAAAGTAGTAGACCAGGTTGGCGGGATCGCAGCTCTCGCTGATGCTGACAATCAGGTACTTTCCGTCGTCGGACACCACGCTGCCGGGCATGTACTGCGGGTGCTCGGGGTCCTTCCAGATCAAGACGTCCTCGCTCTGCGGCTTGCCTAGCATACGAGAGAATGCAGAGTCAAAAGAAGAAGCCCGCAACAAGGTCAACGCACACGCTGGCCACCCTTCAGGCTGCTTTCCAGCAGCTGGCACAATCTCGTCGGCGGTAGCTCACTTACCGATGCGGTGATAGTACAGCGCAGCGTTTGTGTTCTGGTTGGTTTCAGTGCCAGCCTTGTCGCCCGAGACATTCTCGGGCTTGGGATAGCTGGTGTAGAAATATCCCTTCTCGTCGTGGGTCCATTCGATGCTCGTGAACTTGGCCCTAGAGCCGGGGCAGACCAAGGGTGCGATGGACGTCAGTCGTTGCAAAGAATGTGTCGAAGTGACGGGTGCTCCTTTTGCTTCGGTCGCCCCCCCCCTTTTGCTTCAGTCGCCGGTCATGCTCACCAGTGAACCGGATCATCAACCTCTCCAGTGGCACCATCCTTGGTGCTCTTGACGTGGATGGTGACCCAGTCACTGCCGCTGGCCGAGCTGTGGATGCAGAGATTCCACGGTGATCGGCATTGATAGATGCGGGAGATTTGGTCAGTATGATGGACATGATATGGACGGACATCAAAGCCACGATCGAAAGAGCGGATATTGGACAGAGACTCACAGGGCATAGGCAAACAGATCGCCCGACTCCGAGAAGCTATAAGTGTTGAGGGAGACGGTGCCATCTTCGGAAAGGGTGTTGGGCTGCGGATAGAGGACGCAGGCACAGATGCCGACCCAGCGGCACGAGTCAGACGCTAGTTTCCTTGCCGTCCACATTCTCAGCCATCGATCTTGGGCGCGAGGACATCAATCTTGACAGCCATCTCGTACATGACCGGCCAAGACAGCGCCGCGGGCGAATCCGTGTCCTGTAAGCGACTTACATCAAAGAAGACTTTGGGCTCGCCCGTAAGCGAGTCCTGCTTGTAGAGGACAGACTGGGCCTGAAGGCCACTGTTGTGGAAGTAGTAGTAGCTGTCGCCACGCTTGAAGGGGCAGCCGAATCTGCATTGCGGCGCGACCAGATTGAGGCGGCGGCGGCATACGAGGAGGAGGAATACGTGGAAGAGATCGTCAGGACACCAGCCATGGCGCAGGAACAGAGAGAGGTCGTAGGGCGTTACAAATGCTGGTGAGAGAGAAACACGAGACCTCTCGTAGTTGAACATCTTGGTCAAACGCTCGCGGAAGGTCTCCTTCCAGGTGTTCTTGGCGATGATGGACTGGAAGAACGTGTTTTGGTTGTTGACGAACTCGACTGTTTCGGGCGCATCGGGATCTTCGAGCCATCGGTAAGGATCCTAGTCAGCATTAGCGAGCGAGCGATCCAGAGAGAGAGAGGGAGGAAGAGGGAGAGAAGATCCGCGGCGTTTGCATATGGAAGAGAAATGTGGTCAATGTCAGCTGCCTGTATAGGCGAAAGCCGGAAATGGGCCCAACGAAACATGTGCTGATCAGCGGATGGGGCCCCACGACAAACGGATGCCAGCGGCAGATCGAAGCAAACGGCTTGCTCGATGGGCGCTTGCATCCCCGATCCATTTCGCCTGCCGAGCCTGGGAGACGGCAAGTCCGCAACGGAAGCAAAGAACCCAATAATCGCTGCTGGTAGCGTGTGCTGTTGGCAAGTTGTGTCGATGACAACGCCAAGGGCTGGAAAGATGCCTCGGTTATGCCCATATGTCACAATGTCTGATGGGAGGAGGGGGGGGAGAAGGGAGCAGACTAGAGAAAGAGGAAGGAGGGAAGGGAGCCGATGGTCAGCGGCCATCAAGCGATTTGTGGCCCACCTTGATGATGTTGCCGTGGAGACTCTCGGTGACGGACTCGTCGCGGCGGATGGCAGGGTATTCGGACATATTGGAGCGAACGGGAGGGAAGAGGAAGGGTCGCTTTGGGCAGATGAAGGCAGCGGTGGGCTTGATCCGGCGGACGAGTCGACTGAGGATCATCGGGGGTGATGGGGGGGGGCAAGGGGGCGTGCCCGTGGTATTTACGGGCGATCCAATTAAAAACGGGACACCCGGGTTTTTGACCATTCATCGACTATTTTGTTACCCAATGTGATCGCGCGCTGGCCATGACCATTCGCCACACATCCGACTTTCGCACCGCCGCATTGCGATGCTACGCCCTCATCCATAGCCTGTGTAAGGTTGCCTCCATCTTCAGTGTGTCCAAGAGCACCATCCATCGCTGGCACTCCGAGACCAGTGTGCAGGTCGATTGTGGAGACCGGAGAGCGACCGGTGGTCTTCACTCGGAGGCTGACAAAGTGATCTGTTATATTTCTTATGGCATAGTTAGACGCATGCACAGCACATACTACATGTTCATGGAAACGGCTATATTGTCCCGTTTTTTTTCTGAATAAAGTGTATATGGTCGGTGAGCGATTTCCGCGCAGCCGAGCCACCAGCCGGAACGAGCTGGTGGTCATGGGGCTGGTGCGTGGCTGCTCCCCCTTGCTCCACGACAGTTGAGGCCCTTGCAGTTTGGTCGTGGGCCCAAGAGCGGTTGAACTTTGGGGATGGATGTGGATGGGTGGATACATTGGCTTGTTTCGATTTTGGGGAGATGGGAATGGCGGATGACCATGAGAGGAGCCACGGGCGGCTGGTGCATTGCGCCCATGCCATTGCGCCCATGCGATTGCGTGCGAGCAGCTGCGAGCAGGTGGATGAGTCGGTCGAGATGGTCGCTGGGATGTTGGTCCCTGGCAATGCAGAGATCAGCGCCGGGATCTGGGGACATGGATTGAGGGATATACACTCATGGCCGCACATGGCAGTCGCAGCCACACAGCAATGCCAATATGACTTTGCCCTCGGCTGTTCAGACGGATGCGGTTGTACTTTTTGGCTCAGCACGCAGGCGCATCAATCGATGCTGACTATTCATTGAATACGATTCAAAGAGGGGGGGGGCGGAGACTATGAAGGAACAACAGATTACCCAATCAAGTAGAGGCAAGTTGAAGACTTGGGAGCAAAGACGGAGAGAGAGAAAAATGGAGGAGGAGGAGGAGGAGGAGGAGGAGGAGGAGGAGGAGGGAGCACAGGAGGGAGCGCCGGAGGGAGAGGTACCTTGGTAGATGGTTAGACGACACAGACAGACAGACAAACAGATAGACGGACAGACAGAGAGAAGAGGACTCAAGAAGAAGAAAGGAGGCAAATGGGCGGACGAGTCGATGGACCGACAGACAGGTCGATGGACAAACAGGCCGATAGACAAGCAGGCCGATGGACAAACAGTAACGATTAGGACTGGTTCTCAATCACTTTGTGGAAGCTCAGGTCGGGTCGGCGTGATGATCCTCCTCCTCCACCGCCACCCTCGCTGCCGTGGTCGCCTCGGAAGACTTGCTGGTACTCGTTGCCGTGCACGGATCGATAGTCGTCGCCATCGGGCTTGATCGGAGGATGATATCCCAGCGGCAGCGACTTGGTCGCGGGTTGGGGATGCCGGAGCCCATCGAGAGCTGGGGCCGGGACCGAGTGAGGAGGTGGAGGAGCTGGAGGAGGGGGCTGGAGACCCTGCTCCGAGCCCATGATGCCGTTGTGGAAGGCCACCGGGGGCGGCTGGTAGTACGGCCCATATGAGAACTGAGACGGGGCGGAATAGCTGCCCATGAGGCCCGGATGCGACGACGCTGGCGGGATAGGGTTGTAGTAGCTCTCCTGGAGACCACCGCTGTACGGTCGCTCGCCCAGCCCGGGCTCGGGCATCAACCATGCTGCAGGTCCTGTGTACGGAGCGCTGCCAGGCGCAGAGGCGGCCGACGCAGGTCCTCTGGCCATATCGGGGACCGGAGGGAGCTGAGGGCCAGCAAGAGCCAATCCGTTAGTCAGTCAGCCAGTCGAGCCAGTCAACCAGTCCAGCCAGTCAGCCGGCGAGAGCGAACACTGGAATGGCACTGAGCGCCATTGGTGTTCACAGAGACGACCGATACGTTGACTTTGGCAGGGGTATGGCGGCTGGATGGAGTGGCACTTACATCGTGTGTCGGGATCGCCGAGTCCGACAGGCTCGCATCAGCGAGGCCATGATCAATCCTGTGCGGATCTTCAGCGTCATGGCTTCGGAGGTGTCGGCGGAGATCCTGTCGGGGAGGGGGGTTCGCAAATAGAGACAAGTGATCGTGCGAATGTTGGGTGCGGTGCGATGCGTTAGCCGGGACGCTGTGCTGCACGCAGAGAACCCTTTCTCGCCTTGAAGTAGAGTCTGGGTGCCAGCGATGGCATCTGCTCCCCCACTATGCCACCGTTGGGCGGATCCACTTGCACACCAACCCACTTACAGCGGAGCGATAGTACGAGCGGCCGCATTTCCCGCAAGAATGGTCGCGCGTGCGGTTGTCGCCATGAACAAACATGTGCTGGGAGGGGGATCAGAAAGGAGAGCGGAGGAGGGGTCAAGGGTCGTGCCGAGTGGCGGAAATGTGGCACCGTTCCAGGCCCGCGGCTCCGTTGGGTGAATCGGAACCATGCAAAAGATCCTTGTGATCTCTGTCCGTCGACGCTTGCCCAATCGATCTGCCGCCTGCAGATGTGTCCAGGCTTCTGTTGGATAATACATATCCTCGTTCCATGGTCCAGAATGCAGCCGTCTCGGAAGGATGGAGACATGATCCGATCCTGCCTCGCGCCATGGACATGCGACACACGCGCTGCATATGGGACAGCGCTTACCTGATTCATATTGTACTTTCTGGAAAACATCTGCTTGCAGACGGGGCATGTATGCCGCTTTTCCTTGATAGGGCGGGGGTCTCCCGATCCCGATTTGCCGGCCTCGGGGCTCGAGAGGGCAGCAGCGGCGGATTTGTCTGCCGGATCCAGCGGTGACTGACTGGTGGGCGAGGAGAGATCGTCGCCCAGCTGCGGTGCGGCCGAATGAGGAGACTTTGGTAGCAGCTGGATCGGGATCGAGAGATTGTAGGTCCGTGAGGGCGTGGGGATCGGGTCCGAGTACGGGGTCATGTGTACCAGCGACCCGGACGGAGGTGGCGGGTGCGACGGATGAGGAGGATACGACTCGTACGGGCCAGGATCTGCCGGCGGATGCATCCCATATGCCATGTTCTCGGGATTGGCCGAGACCATGGGAAACGATTGGGGGTGTGCCCGCGCGTGCTGTGCTCCGGGATGCATGGATCGCTGCTGCATCGACGACTGCAGGACCGGCTGCGAGTAGCCTGGATAGCCATGGATAGATGAACGGCGAGCAGTCTCCATGTCCGCCGGCGGGCCCATAGGTGTACCGCCATTGGGAAAGTGGGAGGGCACGGGTGGGGCCGAGGCCATCGATGGGTAGAAGCGTTGCGGCAGGACATCCACCCGGGGTGCGCCCGAAGCGACCGACGGTGGATAGCCGAACTGAGGGTTCGAGAACGACGGCGGCGGAGGCAGAGAGTTGGGGCTGTACTGATCCAGCGGTGGTGCGCCCATGCTCTGTTGGAACATTGAGCTCGGCGGCGACGGTTGATGCGAGAACGACCGGGATCGACGAGACGGCTCGGTCGATGCTGGGGCCGACGCCGGGGCCGATGAATAGATTGCATGCTGGCCCGGTGCCGAGTTGAGCGAGGTCTGTGGCGGATAGGGCGCCATGGGCGACGACGAGACTGGCGAAGGCATTGGCAGGGAGGCAGCGAGATGGGTCTGGAGCCCGGCGAGATGAGGCTGCTGGCCCTGCGGCAGCGACCCAGTATCGATGCGAGGAGACTGGCCTCCGAATGGCGACAGGGGATTGGAGCCCGGGGGTGTGGAATAAGCAAAGTGTCCGGCAGACGGCAGCGCAGCTGGGTCCTGGGACTTTGACGTTTCGCGGGCCGGACTCGCGGCGTCATAGAGATGTCGCTGGGGTTGGGAGTGTGGAGGCAGGACAGCCTGGGAGGCAAGGCCGGAACTCATGTCGAAGGGCTGGGAGAGATGGCCGGGATGCTGCTGGGCCGGCGACGACGACGACAACGGGGCCGATGATGGTGGATGGGCCGGACGAGAGTATTGAGAGGGGACCTGGGGATGAGGCTGCGGGTATATAGGAGGCGAGTTGTAGAAGCGGGTCTGCAGTGGCTGCAGCGAAGGGGCGGCATGCGCAGACAGATGGCTGCTGGAGGGCAGGCCAGCCGAGATGGGAGTGGTGTTGCTGGGCAGGATGGGGGGGTCAGCAATCACCCGCATGTGGCTCGGCATGATGGCCGAGGCCGACTCCAGGGGAGCAGCGGTCGATGAGACTGGCGAGATTTCCATGAGAGAGTTGGAGAGTTGCGTTGATGGGATTGGAGCAACAGCCAAGGGGATGCCAGCACCTCTGGGTTGAACTGTCCGAGAATGCGTGGGTTGGTCCGTAAGATTGGAGCTGAGAGAAGATGCAGACGAATGGCAGGGGGGTCAGCGAGCTTGGAGGTCGTGGGGGCGGATGAGGCAGATGCGAATCAACGGAAGTAAAGGGGCTCGATGGAAGTAAGTGGGAACCGATGGAGCTGAGGAAATCGATGCAGGAGGAAACGAAGAGCCAATGGAGTCGATGGCGATCAGCCCAATGGACCAACGGCCGATCGAATGAGTGGGAACGACGGACTGGATTGTGGTCAAGGGGAAAGGTGAGGCGGGGTGGGAGACAGGAGCAACCAGGGCAGAATGGCAGGTGCTCCGACGGGTGCGCGGGAGACAGAGCAAGGACGGAGTGCAATTTCAAGGCAGTGGGCACCGGTCGGTGGGTGGGTGGAGGGAGAGAGGAGGAGAACGATTGCAGCGGCACTGGCTGATCGAGAGGGAGAAGCATCTCGCCACGGGCCAGAATTGCACATGGACGGAATCGCACACGCTCGAGGAGCCCGTGGGGGGGGGTTGCAACTGGGTATTGGAGGGGAGGGGACCGTGTGCTGGGCCAGGGAGGACCGGGGACTGGCAACAGTACCGAGTGCTTACCTCGGCTAATGCTTCAGGCAGGAAGGTGGAGGAACGCAGGCCCAGGCGGAAGGCCAGGAGGATATCGGTGGTTCAGTGCTGTGCGGATCAAGGCGAGGCGCTGGGGCGAACAGACGGCCCCGGTTTTTCTCCTGAGCAGCGGCAGGATGGGAGAGACGAGAGCGGCGCGGACGAGGAGGCCGGGGCGGTGGGGCGAGAGCCGAGGGGCGGCAGGAATAGTGCGCGGGGTGAAAACGGGCCGAGAAGGAGAGCGGCAACGAGAGGAGCAACCAGAGTAACCAGATTAACCAGAGGAGCAACCAGAGAAGTAACCAGAGGAGCAACCAGATCAGCAGCGACGAGAACAGCCAAGGGAGCAGCCAAGGGAATAGCCAAGGGAATAGCCGCTTTCCCACCCATGCAAAGGAATTTGCGACCCATGTTGCCTTGTGCAGGCCTTGTGGTGGAGCGGCCTTGGGACGGCCTTGGAACCGCCCGCGAGTGATCCTCGGCGGTAACGAGGGGGCCCAAGGGCAGGGCGACACAAAAAAGAAAGGCCCACGCACAGACGTGGCACTGGCACGCCCACACCACGGACGGGCGCCTTGAGGCCAGCAGCGACGCCGCCACGGCCTTGTGCGCTGCGTGTGATGGCCAAGCGCCGAGTGACGAGCGGCGGACGGACACGGGACGGCGGCATTGGGATCGGGCGGGATCTGGGTGCTGTGCGGTTGGAGGGGGTGCGGATGTGGAGGAGGAGGATGTGGTGGTGGGAAAACGAGTCGAAGCGCGGTGCTGTCGAATAGCCGAGGCGGGCAACGGCCGAGATGCGGTTGGGTCGAGAAGTGGTCGGGTCGAACGCTTCCTGTCCACGAGCGACCGCGGGTGGCATGCAGTCCGATGCCATAGACGAACTGCGTTTCTGCGTTGATAATCTGCCCCTGTCCGGGCACAGCACCAATCAGAGGCAGTCGAGCTGGGATGTTACAAGTAATGCGGTGTGCATGTAGTTTGTGAACGAAGTTTGTGCATGTGGTTTGTGCATGATGTTCATACAGCTTGTTCCATCCATCCAACTCACAGTCCATATAGCCCACACTCCACTCCATGTAACTTAATTGCACCCGCTTTGACAACCTCCCTTCTCGCAAGCAGCATCCTCGCTCAAGGACGGCCGTGGCCCATTGCACATCGCTCGGTGCGACGCAAACGCAATCGCTGCGCGCCGGTCCTATGGAGCGGTCACGTCCGTCGCGGTCACGTCTGTGCGCGGCTGGCGATTCGTCCGGGGGCCGTGGTGGGGATCTCGCCTCCGTGTCGCACCGTTGCCCCTTTCCTTTCTTTTCGGTCTCTTGCTTTGGGCGGGAGGGGAAAGCCGTCCCCATGAACGCCGCTGTGCTGGGCCGCCATTGGTTCGCCATTGGTTCGCTACAGGTTCGCCATTGGCTTGCCCGCACCGGCTTTGGGCTGCCGGTGGGTTGGCCGGCATGGGGCCGTGGATGCCGGTTGCGTCGGGGCTGCAGCAGTCGTCGCTGGCTGGCGCAAGAGCAGGAACACCTCACCATGGCAGAGACCATGGGCAGCAGCCGCGCTCCGGCACTGCGACTGGCACATGCCTCGGTTGCGGCTGTCACGAGCACCCCGATGGCTGCAGCCACAGCCACCGCGATTCCCAAACGGCGCAAGTGTGCTTGCGCCGGCCATGTCCTTGTGGCCATCGCAGACATGTCCTTGCAGGCACTCGCAGATATGTCCTTGCAAGCACTCGCGGGTCATCAGCGGCCTCCCAGCGAAACACTGCAAACCATCGCAAGGCATCGCAAAGCACTGCAGATTGTCCCCTGATCACCCCCGCGTCGCCCACAAGGCGCGGCGGGTCAGCCGCCCCTCGTGGCTGGCCAGGTGTGCCCTCACGTGTCTGGTTTCTGTATCCGCGGCTGTTCCCGTGTCCGCTGCTTGTCTCGATTGGCACAAGGCGATCTGGCCCTGTTCCTTCGCCGTGGTGCTGCTGGGTGCTGCCGCTTGGTGGAGGTCGGGTTGTACTTGCTGCCCTGCCCTGGCCGCAGGGCATGAGCGAGATGGACAGGGAATGTGAGTGTGGTCGACACCCAGGGCGATGGGGCGAGTGTGTATTCGGAACCCAGAAAATGCGACATCCCCAACACGGGTCGGTCTCAGTTGCCCAGCAGCGAAAGCGCCATTTGTTCCAGCGTCTTCTCATCCACATTCCACTTGCCCTTGAGCTTCTTGCTGGCATTGCCCCGGGCATCGTCCGTACCGCTCCGGTCGTGGCCGGCTTTGCGCTTGCCATGGAGGGCTATGGGTTGTCGCGGGTGCTTTGGTCCGACATTGTCGTCTTCCTCATCAAGGTTAACATCAATTCCGCCATCCGCGTCGACCGAGTCCCAGCCGTCGTCGTTGTCGTCGTCGTCGTCGTCGCCACCGTTGTTGAAGTTGCTATCGCGTCCGTCGTACTCATCGCCATCGTATTCATCGCCATCGTCGTCACCATCATCGCTGTTGTCATCGCCATCTTCTTCGTACGGCACAAGCTCGACACCCGCGTCGCCGTCATCGTCCTGTTCAAAGACATCCGCGGGATCAGCCCGGTTGCTCGTTCCTCTGCCCCGTCGTTACCGGCTGCTGGCCACCCTCGCACGACTTTCCATCAAACAGGGCCGACCATCACGGCGGCACGACCGAGCATCCATCCGCATGCGTCCCGGCTGTGCAATCCGGAAAAACGACCCTCGACTCAGCACGGCTCAATTGCCTCGTGGCAGTCCGACTCCTCAACGACATCCCTCCCCCTCTCATCGATTCCGAATGCGCGGGGAATGAGGCAGTCATCTCACCTCGTCACGGGCCAGCTTCTGTTTGCGCTTCTTCTCTCGCTTCTTGGCCTGGTTCTTCTCTTTGGCGATCCGCTTGTCGTCAATGTCGGCTTTTTGGATCGCCTCACGGCTCTGTTCAAGGTAGCTCTGCTGGATGGTGCCAATGTCGTTCTGGGCCTCGAACTCGGCAAGGGTCTCGAGCTTGTTGATCTGGATGGCCTCGCCTTCCTCGTCAAAGACGACTCGCTTGGATTTGAGCTTTTCCTTCAATCGCTCGCGCCGATTGAGTGTCTGCAGCTGCTTCTTTGTGAGGTCGACGGGGCCCGTCTGGTGAGCGTGCGAGTCAATGTTGGCGGAGTGCCGGCAGAGAGTGTTAGTGGTGAGTGTCAGTGTGGAGTGCCAATCGCCGCTGGCATTCACACCTGTCGCCGAACATCGCATACAACCATATGGCGCCAGAGCCAAACCAAGCCTGGTCTCTGCACTCGCTACTCAGTGCGGATCCCGTCCGGAGCAAATGCATGGAGCTCGACGGCAGGATGGCATGCCGACGCTAGTGCTCACCGAGAGGTCGTCGATGTCGTGATCCGCGCGCTTCAGAGTTAAAAAGTCGTCGTCGCCGTCGTCGCCGTCGCCACCCTTCTCGACGGTCTTGGCATAGTGGTCCGAGAGCACGGTCAGGTTCTTGCGGGCAAACAGCTTGTCGACCTTGGTGCGCGGTTTCTGAGCTCTCTGATCGTCGCTGTCCTCGTCGTCGTCTCCGTCTCGGGTGGCATCGCGACCATCCAAATCAACTTCTGCGTTGGCAGTTTCGTCGTCGCCATCGCTATCATCGCTATCGCTATCGCTGTCGTCTGAGGCTTGTTGGTTCTTGCCAGAGACTGCCCGGGCCTGTCGAGACTCGTTCTTGGCGGCGCCAGATTTCTGTGACCGCCATGTTCAAATCCAGTGACAACCGATCCGCCATTTTCGTATCGTACAGTGGATCAGAGACGCCCATACGGGGAGGGGAGCGGGTTGCAAGGTGAGCTGACAGGGTCATGGCAAGTCTTAGCCTCTCTCAAGCACCATCGCGACCGAACAATCCGCACTTCACTTTTTGTCGGGGTCTCTGACTGGGCGCGTGAGGGATGGGAAGGTACACCCGCTACACATCGTGCTCACATCGGACGACGCTGGGATCAAGTCAAGCCCAATGGCCCCGGGGATGCACCCACCTTGACAAACTTGATATTAGGCGCGCCAGGAAGGCCAAGCGAGGCGGCAAATTCCTCTGACGGCAGCGCATGAACATCAAAGACCAGCTTGTTCTTCTGCAGATAGACTGATCGCATGTATGAAATAAACGCCTGGAAGCCCGAGCAGGGCAGTCGGTCCCGAATCAAGAGTCATGGGAGAGGGGAGGGTGAGCTATGGTGCCGTCCGCATCGCCATGTTCTCGTCCATCGCGGCTGAGCTGGATCAGCAATATGTGCTCTCGACGATGCACTCCACACCGTGCTTCTCGAACGCCGTTTCGCCCCGACGGTAGTGTCCAGGATCGATGCCAGGGTGCCGCAGCCGAAACAAGCACCATTGGCTCCAGGCCGTCGACCTCCCGTCGCTGCAGCTTGATCCACCTCGAGCCGATCGCTTGCCGCCTTACCTTCTGTGCCAGATACTTGATCTCTGGGTCCTGGGAACAGTACGACGCCAGCTGCTTCCGCACCGATGTGGTTTTGCTGGGATTGACGCGGATCTTGTCGACAGGCACCTTTTTCCGCTGCAGTTCTGCAATCATCTCCTGCTCCTCCGACGGCAACAGCACCAACAGCGCCTGTCCGGCGGCATTGTAGCGGGCTGTTCGACCAACTCGGTGGATGTAGGTATCCGAGTCTTCGGGGCAGTCCAGCTGGATGACCCAGTCTACCGCGGGGAAGTCAAGACCGCTGAAAAATGAGTTGGATGCAGTGTGAGCCACATCGCTTGTCCGCACAGATGCCGTCCACAGACAGGGGGCGGGCGGACGGTGGATGAGACAGCTCATGCATTCAAACTCACCGAGCAGCAATATCAGTGGCAAACAAGCAGGCCGTCTGTTTGCGACAAAACTGCTCGAATATCGCCATTCGCTTGGGCTGCTTCTGTTTGCCGTGCAAGCACATTAGTGGCAGACCCGGCTGCATCTTGCAGAATGTTTCGTGAATGAATCGAACCTGCATAGAGGGAGAGGGGCCAAGTAGTAGGGTGTCTCAGTCGCATAGTCATCCAATCGAGGGAGCCCATGACCTGCCCATGACCTGCCCATCGCAAAACAGGCACAACACATGTATCCAGCCCCAGGCACTTGGAGATCAACCGACCTGCTTGCAGCTCGACACAAATACAAGAATCTTGCTCTTGACATGCGTCCGCAAGAATGAAAACAGCACATCCAGCTTCTGCGGCAGCTCGCATACGAGGTACTTTTGAACGAGCTTGCTTGGGGTGCTAGCTGTCTCGGCTTCGTGGACGGCGACGTATTCGGGATCCTTCAGACTCAGGCGGGCGAGGTCGCGCACGGACTTTGTTTGGGTGGCCGAGAACAGCAGCGTCTGGCGGTCCTTGGGCAGGTTCTCGACAATGGCGTTGAGCGTCTTCTCGAATCCAAAGTCGAGGATGCGATCGGCTTCGTCGAGAACTGAGTCGCATGGAGCGGGGGGGGGCAGAGCGAGGACATAATAACATGCGTTCGCGACGAGAATGTTGTAGATTGCGCAAAAACAAGTGGGGGATCGTTCCCGGACAAAGAGCGTCTGTTAGCCTGATGATGCACGCCATACCCATCCAGACTATACTCGCAGTAGATAGGGCTATCGCCCCAGCCCCAGCCCCGATTGAATGCACAGCCGGTTTTTTACAGGTGCATGGAGTTGTCTCTGCACCGCTGTCCGCCCCTCTCTTGCACGAATGTCAGCCTACCAAGCATTTGCAGGTTGTCGCAGCCAAAGTTGGGCGTCTGGTCCATGTGCTGGAGCAGTCTTCCGGGCGTGCACACGAGGATGTTCATGCGATTCACTCGGTCCTGCTCTTGCTTCAGGTCCTTTCCACCAATGAGCAGGCCAGCCGAGAAGTTGTGGAACTGGCCGGCCTTTCGGAGGACCTCAAAGATTTGCATTGCCTGGATGCCATGTGTGGAGCAAGAGCCATGAGCGACAACAACCAAGATCGGTACCGTTGATTTCCTGTCAGGCGAACATGGCAGCCTCGACCCAGGGGCACGGCAAGTGTGATCGTGACGGCGATGATGGCAGAGTTGGGCCAAGCGCAAGATGAGGCAGCAAGCACACCCACCAGCTCCCGTGTCGGCGAGATGATCAACGCGCCGACACCGTCCATGGATGACCATCGGGCTCGATACAGACGCTCCAGGAGGGGAATGACGAATGCCAGGGTCTTGCCCGACCCCGTCTTGGCCGCGCCGAGGAGATCCCGGCCGGCAAGGGTCAAAGGCAGCGATTTTTTTTGGATTTCCGTGGGCTCTGTGAAGCTGGCCTTGGCGAGTCCTGCACGAGAACGGGGGGCCAAAATGGCGTTGAGCATGGAGAAGATGTGCGATCGGTATGCCAACGGCAATGCTGGGGGTGATGCTGATTATACTGTCGATGGCGCTGTCGATGCCAACGGCGATGCAGAGGTCGATGTCGATGCAGATGACGATGCAGATGACGATGCAGATGACGATGCAGAGGTCGATGCAGAGGTCGAGGCAGATGGGCCCAACCGCAAATCCTCGCGAGCAGCATATATGTGAGGCACCGTATCGAGAACACTTCGTACCTTGCAGTGTCCTTTTGGAGAGCGGCAGGTCGGCAAATCGTGTCCAGTTGTCGTTTTTCAGGAAGACATCCTGTGTGTCGAGAGTCCCATCCCCACACGCCGAAGCAAAACACGGCCGATTTTGCAAGTACAGTTCAGTCGAATGAGGATTTCGGCATATCGGCCTGCCACCGCTCGAGGCGTCGCAGGCCATGCTCGGCACTTCTCGGTTCGATGGGTGCCATCATGTCCCGCGGCTGGCCCTGGGGAACATGCCCTCCCTCTCGCCTGCATCAGCGCACACACCGGGTTGGCTGTCCGCTCGTCGAGATCCTTGAGCTCATGCTCCTCCTCATTCCGCTTGGACTGGCGCTTGCTGACAGGCTTCTCGGGCTTGGCCCTTTTGCCCTTGGTCTTGCCCTTGGTCTTGGTTATGGTCATGGATGCTCTGGCGCGGCTGCAGCTGCCGCCGTGGCTGTGGTTGTGGATGTGGTTGCGATGCTGTGGTGCTGCGGTTGTCGGCGATCCAAGTCGCCAGCAACAAAAAAAGTTGGCCAGAACCGGCTGCGCAGCGAGATTAATTGGGCGTCGGCTGGATCCGGCGGCTGGATCCGGCCGTCTGTTGGCTTGGTTTGCTCCACGTTGTGGCGTGGCGGCTTTTTCAAATCCGAGGATGGCCGAGAGGGACCGAGAGGGACCGAGAGGGACCGAGACGCACCGAGAAGAGACCGTGTTGTGCCTGTGGATGTGGTTCATAAGTTGCTGTCCTGCGCCGTTGTTCAGCCAGGTTCGGAATCTCGAGATCCTGCTGCCTGCATCAGCATCAACAGCCGCGAAACCAGCATCGACAGCCGCGACATCAGCATCGACAGCCGCTTCAGTAACAGCAGCAGCACTCACCCCACCGGACTTGCAGCACCATGGCCCAGCCCAACTTCCAGAAGATGATCCAGAACTTCATGCCCAAGGGCAACCCGCGAGCCTTCCTGGGATCAACGGGCTCGCTCCTGGCCCTCGGCGCCATTGGCTTCGCCATCAACTCCTCACTCTTCAACGGTAATTGTGCCATCGGAAATGGGAAATGGGACATGAAGCTCAGCACCAGAGAAAGACCGCCGGCGGATCCAAAGGCTAACGCCTCTGCGTCCTGGCGGGGCCTTTTGGTTTTGTCTTTCTTTTGCTCTAGTCGATGGTGGTCATCGCGCCATCAAGTTCTCGAGAATCGGTGGTGTCAAGGACACTATCTACTCTGAAGGCACTCACATCAACGTCCCCTGGCTTGAGACTCCCATCATCTTCGATGTCCGTGCCAAGCCCAGAAACATTGCCTCGCTGACTGGCACCAAGGGTATGCTTGCTATCGATGCACAAAGGGATTGGCCATGACCAGGCTTCCGATCGCCGTCTCACACCAGGAGGCGTGACCGATCGCGGCGGACCGTCCAAGACCGCCTGTCCAAGATCAGGATGCGCCGAACCCTTTCGCTCGCGAGTCGACGTCGTGCGTGTCTCGACAATCATCCACGTCCATCCAGTCGACGATGTTGCTTGCGCATCTATCGATGCTAAAACGGCGCCTTTGTCTCTCGTCCCTGCTTTGGCTATCCCAGATCTTCAGATGGTCAACATCACCTTGCGTGTGCTCTCCAAGCCCGATGTCGCCAAGCTTCCCCATATTTTCCAGACCCTTGGCCTCGACTATGACGAGCGAGTGCTTCCGTCAATCGTCAACGAGGTCCTGAAGTCGGTTGTGGCCCAGTTCAACGCCTCCCAGCTGATCACCCAGCGTGAGCGGGTAAGCCGTCTGGTTGATGTAGCAGGATCGCTCAGCTCGACGCAAGCGCGGTGTTGCACCCTTTGACCATGACATTGCGATTGTGCCCAGTGCAGCTGCCATGGGGGCCCGTCTTGGTCTTGATCTGCAATCGCTGACGACATTATCCCCATGACGCGCGGGCTATCCCGCTCCATAGGTTTCTCGATTGGTTCGTGACCAGCTGCTCACCCGAGCTGCCCAGTTCAACATCATCCTTGACGATGTCTCGATCACCCACGTCGCTTTCAGCCCCGAATTCACCTCTGCCGTCGAGGCCAAGCAGATCGGTCGGTTGTCCAAAGCAAAACATCGCTCCAGTCTCCATGTCGAGAGCGTGTGTCTCGCCCATTGATTGCGCCTCTAACCGCATGCCATTACATCTGGACGGAATTGGCCCCTCCTATCGTTTCTCCCGACAAACAGCCCAGCAGGATGCCCAGCGAGCCTCGTACATTGTCGACCAGGCCCGTCAGCAGAAGCAGTCCATCATCGTCAAGGCCGAGGGTGAGGCCAAGTCGGCCCAGCTGATTGGTGAGTCCATCCGCAACAAGCCCGGCTTCCTCGAGCTCCGCAAGATCGAGACTGCTCGCGAGATTGCCGGCATCGTCGCCACCTCTCAGAACAAGGTCTACGTCGACGCCGACACCCTGCTGCTGAATGTAAGTGTCACATCAGGCGTCGTGGTCTCTGTGGTGCTGTCCCTCGTGCTGTCCGTGGTACTGTCCGTGGTGCTGTCCGTGGTGCTGTCCGTGGTGCTGTCCGTGGTGCTGTCCGTGATATTTCGATTGACTGACGCCGTTGTCTACATCAGGTTAACGAGAAAAGGGCTTGAGCGCCGCGCACCCTATCTGTTCCTGCGTTTCTCTGAGAATCTGCATGGATCGAAGCAAGCCAGCCACGGCCAAGCTTCTCGCCGTGAGCTTTGCGACTGTTGTGTCCAAGGCGTGGCCATTCTGGCCCATCCGCTTCTTGCTCACACCATTCCCCGTAACCATCCCCCCCCCGTTGTCAAGCCCGCGCCAATATCCTTCTCTGGGTTGCATCAAAGGCAACATGTATCATTGTAACATTGCCAACACGGCTTGCTCTATTCACTTGATCGTATCTGTGGTCGGAAATCGCAGCGACTGCAACGATCACAGCAGTCGCATCGCCACTCCAACTACAACAGTGCGAACAATCGTATCCATTGCTTCGGCTGCCGTTTTTTGCAGTCGACACGGCCTGCCAGTATCTCTAGTTGAGCGAGAGGGCCTGGCGGATGGTCTCGGTCAAGTAAAGCGGATGCTCCTTGTGGATGCTCTTGAAGATCTCGGGATTGTATCGAGTCAGCGGGTCGGGCGACCACACAACAGTCGCTGTCAAGTTGGTCGGTGTCTGCACCGTGTACTCGGCAAAGGTTAGCCACTCCATGACCCTCCAGCACAGCTCGCGCTCACGACGAACTCGCTCAAAGTCGTGGTGGTAGCTCCAGTGGAAGCAGGCGTAGACGGCATCGAGCGAGGTGTGGAAGCCGCGATTGATTCCCAGGCCCTGAGGCCAAAAGGGATTCTGCACGGCGTCGCCGATGGGCAGGACGATGCAGCGACGGGACGGTTGAGACGACGCCGCGCCGTTGCTGCTGTCGGCGACGCTGATCGTGGCGAGCGCCGAGTCGATCGGACGAACTGTTTCAACACACCGGCCCTTGCATGAAAAGTCAAAGATCTGCACGCCGTTCTTGGAGGCGAAGGTGCACTCGGCGGGCACACCGACGGCCGAGGCGAGAGCACGGCCAAAGCCATAGAGCCTGTCGAGGTCGACGTTGGACGGGTCCAGACACTCGGTGATGGTCGGCTTGATGTCCTTGAGCACTCCCGCCGAGTGCAACGAGGCCTTCTTGACAGTCGTCACCATGAAGTGGGTCCGGGTGCCGCGCATGTACTCCATGTTCTCGACGTCGATGCCAGACTCGGCAAGCTTGCCCAAGATCGTGGATCTCCATTTGGCCATGTAGCGGCCAAAGACAAACTCGGCAATCTGCCGCTCGGGTGCCTGGGAGGAGGCCAGACCCTTTTCGGTAAAGTTGAGGTTGACGACCAGGCCGATGGCCTCGCCAAACTTTGCGATGCGGCGGTCAAAGCCGAGGTGGCGGATGAGCCGTGAGGACTCGCCCTCGGCAACGAGGAGGCAGTCGAACGGATAGAGCCTGGCACGGGGGCCCCTGGATCGAAGGTAATCGAGGTCGGGGTGCTGCTCCGAGCGGATGACGGCCCCGTCCTGCGAAAGTGCTGTTTCAAAGTAATCGACCTTGTTGACCTTCTGGATGGCGCTGCGGTCTCCGGTCATGGCAGTTGTCGGCCTAAGCTGGAGCTCGGCCGGGACATCATCGGCAGAGACATCTCCCTCGGTGATCGGGGTCGAGTGGCTCCTCTGGAGCTTGAGGAATACTCGAGCTTCGGCGGCTGGGAGCGACCATGCATAGAACGGCACATCGCTGGTGTCGGCGGGCGGGTCTGAGCCGAGGGCAAGTGGGTGGGCTGGATCCTGGACTGGACCGCCGCTCTGGTACAGGGCTGGATCGACCAGCCCGCATACGCCCTCGTTGTAGTTGACTCGGACGCCGTAGAGCAAACTGGCCTTGAGCAGGACGAGCTGGATCATGCGGATCTCGATGCGAGCCTCGCCGCGAGTCTGGAACTTGGGATAGAAGTGGTTCAGGCCGAGGGTCACAAGGTCCTGGATGGTCGAGGTCCATGACTTGACAATGTTGTGGCGGCTGAACTCGGACCGCAGCTCGATGACGGTGACGTCGTAGCCCAGGAGTTTGGCCTCGATGGCGGCTCGGAGGCCGCACGGACCTGCACCGCTCACCAAGATCCGAACCGTTTTGGCGTGGGAATGGGGCACTTTGACGCTGGCGCCCGACTCCTCGAGACTGTCGAGAAACTCAAACTTCTGGCCTCGCCCAACAAAGATGGATCGGCTGCTTCGGATCTTGGCCTCCAGGAGAGTGAAGAGCGACTTGCGTCGAAAGTTCAAAGCAGGCGCAACTATGCTCTGGTAGTCAGCGAACTGCAGCTCGCATTCGTCCTTGCCGGCGAGCTCCTTGACGATCGACTGGAGCGCGGCGAAGGCCTCCAGAGTATCCTGGGCATCGTTGGCCTCCATGAAGGTCTCGAATGCCTGGCGGAGGGATTCCATAGCGGGTCGACTGGGCTGGCGGTTGACTCTGGACGAGAAAGTGCACTGGCGGCTGTCGGTGCTGGCTGTCGGTGCTGGCTGTCGATGCGGGTCTGATATACCGCACATATGGCCCCGTCACGTGTTCATCCACCCCTCGCTCATGGCTTCGACAGCGCTCCACCCCCCCCATCACAGCAAACATCCATGGCGGTCGTTGGGGCTGGTGAGCCGACCTCCACGGTGCGATAGCGTGCGCCGACCTTGCCAATAAGGCTCGCACGAGCCCACTGTGCATCGCTCTCCGGACCGTCTCCACGAAGACGACGCTGGCGGACTGGGAATGTGGAGCCGCCCAAGCAGGCCAAGACCGAGACTGTACTCTCCACCCCCAGCCTCGCTCAGGCGAGAATTGATCATACTGGAGCCGCAGTCCTTTGTTCATGGTCGAATCAGCCTATTCCTGCCATCACTGCACGCAAGCTGGGCATGCGACGTGCCTGCCGGTTCCTCGTCGTTGCGGAAGATGCCACAGGAGGCAATCCGCAAGCATATCCGCTACACATGTCTGTTTCGAAGGGCTGTATTGGTTCGATCGACTCGAGATGGCCATTGCTCCGGGATCTGCTTTTGACTCCGCACTCTATCGCCACTGTTGGGTCTATTTCGTGGCCTCGGACATCTCGCTTCACTTTCCTCTAGAAAGCCAGAGCAGCCACGGCAAGAGCAGCCACCACTGCGGACATGTATCCGACAGTGACTCCACTCGCGAGACGGCCGGCAGCGCCGCTCTTTCCCGGGGTGGTCGTTCCAGTTGCAGTCTGCAGAGCAACCTTGATGACTGGGCTCGGGCGCTTCAGGCTGACGCACTGGCTGGTAAGCGGGTTCCACGTGCCACCGTTTGGACATCCGGCATCGGGGACGAATCCCCGGGTGGAGGTGCGGGACGGGCTGATATCGGAGATGTTGGGTGCCTTGGACGGGCACCCGAAGCAGGTGCTAAAGTAGGCGTTCTGGGTCGGGTACTGGCATGACTCGACGAGGCCAGAGTCGATTTGGCCATCGCCCTTGTTATCCACGCCGTCGCAGATTTCAATGTTGGATGCGTCCCGGGCGGCGATCTTGCAGCTCAATGCTGGGTTACGCAGCGAGTCGGCGGTGCTGGTGGCATTCTGCATCCACGCCAGGAGCTGTTGGTTCGAGACCCAGTAGACGTCTGGGTAGTTGTCAAGGGTCCACTGGATGAACTCGTTGTAGGCCGTCAGACGCACAGGCTCGATCGAAGGCAATGCCGTCGAGGCGTGGATAAACAAGCCCATCGGTGTGCGGTTGCCGGTGTAGTGGAGCTGGAAGTTGTGCTTGAGCAGTGTCACGAGCTGGTCCTTGGAGAGAGTGCTGCCGATGGGGGCGTTTGGGTCCATCGAGGCATTGAGCGAGCCGTCTGGGTTCTCCAGGTTGGCCATCGGAATCGACCACAGCCCGGGAAAGTTGAAGTTGCCGGTACAGTCGCCCGTGGCACAGGAGATGGCTGGACCGAAATCAAGGGTATACCTGCAGGTGAATCGAGTATCTGGGGTGAGTACGGAGCAGGATGTGCGCCTGTGCAGAGATGCTCCCCAGGGATCAGATTCATCGTCTGCTCTCCTGGCTGGGCACTCAATCTTTCGAGGGGATTCGCATGCAAGCAACCTGGACACATACGGCCAAATAGCGCCCTTGGGATCCATGGGCATCGACGACTCGTATTTGAAGGTCCCGAGCGAGGCGAGGTTCTGGAACGACTGCTGGTTGTAGTCCAGGAACGGATGTCGGAACCCAACCAGCTCCTTCTTGGGCACGCCGGCGTACTGGTTCAAGGCCGTCTGGGCACCCTGGATCTCGATGGCGGACGGGCGGGCTACAAGCAGCGCAGAAGAGATGCGGGGCGGTATCGAATGAGACGCCGATCACAGGCCGGTCCGCGGGTAGATGGCTGCTCTTTCGACTAAGTGGAGCAGTGCGCTCACCAACGTGGTTCATGGTATGCACAGCGATCTCGTGGCCGTTTCCGTAGAGGGTCTGGACTCGCCAGTAGTCGGTGTACTGGGTTGAGACGAAAAATGTGGCGGCGAGGGGGCATCCGTTGGGATTGGTCTTGTTGCCGACGAGGCTCTGAATGACAGGCTCAACCACCGAGTTGACGGCATCGTCGAACGCTGAGGGGGTAGGTGCGTGGAGCAAGCGATGGTTGGAGTTGGTCAGCCCAGCCGAGCGGGAGCATGAAGAGCAGAGATGGAGGGGACAGACACCTCACAGGACAGCAGCAGCCAAAGAGCTGCAGCACGGAAGATCGCTTGCTGAGGACAGACAACTCACTGAGGGTCATAAACTGCGGGATCGACTGAGGCGAGAGGCCGTTGGGCGGCTTGTTCGAGGCACAGTAGCACTTGGGCAGAGTGCACGTCGAAGAGTCGCACTTGTAGTTGGGATTGATGCCGGCACTGGTCAGCTGGAGGAGGGCGGAGCAAGGTTGAACGACGCCGTTTGGTGAGCCAGCCAGCCGAGGATGTTGTCGATGTACATTCAAGCAAGCGGACTGGGGCTATGTGGTCAAGGAACCTACCGAGCCTTCCTGGGCCAGAACCAGGGACGGGGCGAGGAGCATCAGGGCCGCAGACAGCATCGTCTTGACCATGGCGGACTGGATTCACAGGGGCGAGATGGACGGGATTCACAGGGGCGAGATGGACGGGATGGACGGGATGGATGCAAGCCAGAAGGCAGAGAGCGACGGGCGGGTCGAGACACAGAAAGCCGCAAGGAGCGGGGAATCGGGTCGTCCAGCAGCAGCAAGTCGACACCGAAGTGTCAGCACCGAAGCGACGCCGTCGCTGATCGGGAGACGCGCACAGCACGAGGAGGGGACATCACTTGCTGTATGGCGCACAAGCAGAAACCTTGGCGTGTTTGCTTTGCCGGCGGCTGTGCGCTGATCAGCAGAATGTGCTGTGCTGGTCGAGGTCCAGGGTGGAAGTGCTGTTGGATGCAAAGATGCATGTCCGGCAGTCGATACGTGTGTCCAGATATATTGGCAGCGACGTTTGGCGACCTGTTGTGGGCTCCAAGGACATGTCCTTCGTGAACAGGCTGCATCACAACGCTCGATGCGATGGGCGGATTGCCGGTCTGGTCGATGTACGTTCTCCAACACACCTCCAGCACATTGCAGTGCATCTAGTAACACACCCAACACATCGAACACATCGAACACATCGAACACATATCGAACATATCGAACATATCCAATGCGCTGCGTCCTTGGTCCTCCAGAGCAGCGCATCAATGTGGTCACCTGACCCTGCACTGCTGCGCTATCTCTGCGGCCTCGTTGGCTTCGTGACTTCCAGTCTTCCTGTCTTCGATCCCGAGCACATCGCCATCCCATCATCGCCCGTCGCCCGTCGTCCGTCCTCGTCGCCATGTCGCAGCTCAAGTCGTACCGCTCGACCATCCACCGCAAAACGAACGAAACCGACATTCATGTTGATTTGCTGCTGCCCACCGGCCTCCCCCACGACGCTGCTCAGACGATCAGCATCAGCACCGGCGTCGGGTTCCTGGACCATGTGAGGCAACGACGCTGCACCCTTGGCGAATGAACCGTCCTTCTGGGCTGAGAGCAGTTCTCTGGCAAGCTCGTTCTCATCGTGCCCCATCTTGCTGGCTGCTGCAGATGCTCCATGCCCTTGCCAAGCACTCCAGATGGTCGCTGACGCTGACCTGCAAAGGCGACCTCCACATCGACGACCACCACACTGCCGAGGACGTTGCTATTTCTCTGGGCATGGCTTTCAAAGAGGCTCTGGGCGAGCCCCGTGGAATCAAGCGCTTCGGCTATGCCTATGCTCCACTCGACGAGGTGAGCCGGTCGCCAGCATACTCGAAGCCATGACAGCGCTCATATCCTCAGGCCGTGCTGCAATGCCGAGCTCTTGCAATGTGTTCTGATCGGTTCTGCTGTCGGTGGCCATCGATCCAGGCCCTCTCGCGAGCCGTCGTCGATATCTCGGGTCGCCCTCACGCCTCCATCGACCTGGGTCTCAAGCGAGAAAAGATTGGCGATCTGTCCTGCGAAATGATCCCCCATGTCCTGGAGTCCTTTGCGACCTCGGCCGGCTTGACCCTGCACGTCGACACTCTCAAGGGCTTCAACGACCACCACCGGTATGCACTGCCGGCCTCAGCAGCGCCCCGGCTCAGGCCCCGACATGGTCATGCATTTTGCATGGCGTGCCTTATTCATAGCCTCCTGCTTACACGATCCATTCCTCCATTCTCACCCATGCAGTGCCGAATCTGCCTTCAAGGCTCTCGCTGTCGCCCTGCGCGAGGCCATCACTCCCACCGGTGCTAACGACATCCCCTCGACCAAGGGCGTCCTCTGATCGTCCGTCGTGTGTCTTCGACTTTCAATACAGTCCATCCCCCCCCCCAGCAAACCGAGGGTCTCAGATTCAGATTCAGGTTCAGGGACGGTATTCGCCTTGGACACTGACCATGAGCGAGTTTGCATCGTCTTGAACAGACGGAAAGTCCATCGCAATGAGTGCGAATGCCGATCGATATCGGCCAGCCCGGTGGCCAATCAACATCATCCGCCGCACACAAGCCATCGGCGTGTTGAGGTAGCAGATTGCCGATATACGATTCCTCCGTCATTCGCATGATCGGCCCCGCAGTGTCGCCGCTCCTGATTCGCCCTGGCCGATTCGCTGCGACACATTCGCCGACCTGCGATTCCGGAGAGATCCGGAAATGGCCCTGCTCCTCACCCCCACAGCAAACGACGCTGATGCCATTGGGCAGCACGCACCGCTGTGAATCAGTCACATCACCTGTTGTTCGAAACTACTTTGGTGGTGCAGCGCCGCCAACGCATTTGTCGGCCTCTGCCCGGGGGGGGGTAATATTGTAGCTGCGGAAAGCCTCTGCCCGGCCATCTTTCGCGCTCTTGCAGTGCCATCGGTTTGAAAGCCTCTCAGACCTGTATTCGCAGCTTGTTCGTTTCGTTCTGCAAACGACGGTTGCCAGGGCCGCATCCTCCGCCCATTGCTTCGAATCGGCAGCCCCCACCATCCCTGCTCCTGCCTGATACCCATGTCCGATATGAGCGACAAACCCGCCGTGGCTCCGCCCACGGCTTCTATGGATCGCCCCGCGACAAAAGACGAAGACGAAGTTGTCTGTGAGAAGGTCTGGAAAGCCAAACGCGCCGTGCTCTTCCAGAGCGACAGAGCCGTCGTGAATCTCGTAAGAACCACTGCTCTGTCCTGCTGACCGGCCATCGCTGCTGACAAGCAATTCTGTGGGGTGGTGTCGCGAATCGCTCGGCTTGGATGGGAGAGGGAGAAAGGAGGTCCTGGATTCTTGCATTCGTTGAGCCGAGTCTGGCGGACAATCCTGCAGAGCAGCCGGTTCATTCGCCCAACAGAGCACGGCTCTATGCATCTGCAGTCCATCACGGTCGGCTGCGTGCAGTCCATCGGGCGATTTCGATGTGCGAGGCGAGACGTCATCTCGATGGAGATGGGCGGACCGGCCTCGGGCGCTGTCACTTTGGTACTGATATCGACGCTCCCTGCATTGCGCACCCACGCCGCCGCCGCCAATGCAGTGTCTGAACAACGGCATCAACGAAGCTGCATTCGTCAACAAGTCAGCCCAAATCACTAGCATCGAAATGTGTTTCTACAACTACCCCAAAATCACGGCACTGAATCACTTTGCCAACATCACATCGCTCTGCATCGTTGCCCAAGAGATCTCTGAGATTGAGGGCATCGACGAGTGCCGTGCTCTGGAGCAGCTGTGGATCTGCGAGACCAAGGTCAGCAGGATCCAGAATCTCTCAAGACTCAAGGCGCTCAAGAAACTGTATCTGTAAGAGCTCTAATGTGCTGCGTGATGCGTCGTTCTATCCAGCATACACATCCGGCCGCAAGGCTCACACAGGCCTGTTCTCACGCTTGATCTGCGGCGGCGGCGACCATGCAATACCACCCAGATACTCGAACCGCATCAAGGAAATCACGGGGCTCGAGGAACTCACAAAGCTCTCCAAGCTGTGGCTGGGCGACAATGGTATTGTGTTTGCGACATGATTGGAGGGAGAATTAGTGCCATCGATGGCCTTTCGGGTCGTGGGCTTGATCGTCTTATCACCAGAGACAGATACTCGTCTCCGCCGCACGCTGATGAAGCCTGTCGATGGTGGCTGATGCCGATATCAAAATTTTGCGAAACGGCCCTGTCGTCCAGACATCAGTCATCTCGAGAATCTGAACACCCTCAAGGATCTGACCGAGCTGCACATCGGCAACAACAAGATCGTGTCGATAGGCGATGCCCTTAACGAGAACGTCAATCTGCAGGTTCGGCTTCATTTGATGCGTCGCTATCTGTCCGTCCGCAGAATTTGCATGCCACCACTAGATGGGCCCACCGAATCGACTTGCGCCTTTCACTGACGATGCAGCTTCAACTCTGGCGCGCCACCAGGAGCTCAACATTGCTGGCAATCGCTTGGCATCGTTCCGGGTGGTGCTGTCGCTCGCTCGACTTCCGCGTCTTACGTCGCTCTGCCTGAGCGATCCCAGCTACGCAGACAACCCGATATGCTCGCTGTGCAACTACCAAACCCATGTGATCTACCATCTGCCGGCCTTGAGATCGCTCGACACTCTTGACATCACCGAAGAGTCGCGGCGCCTCATCAACGCCACTGTGCTGAAGAAACGCATGTACGAGCGCAACACCGCACCATATGAACCACATCGGGAGTCAATCCAATCGATGGCAGTTTTGCACTTGGCGACTATAGTCTTTGATCCTTGGTTGACCTCCGCGCAGAGTCTCGAACGCACCGCTGAGGCGAGCTTGCATCGATTGTCTGTGCCTCGATTAACGCCTCTGGCGGATGACGCCCATAGGTACTATAACATGCGGATCCGGACGATCAAGCGAAACACAAACTTTCTGATCAAGATGGTCAAGACCCGCAGCAACAGTGAAGAAACCGCGCTTGAATCGGATATCCAGAATCTACTGAGCAAGGCCAAGATGCTACAAAAGCGCCGCGATGACCTTGTCAACAAGGGAAAGATACCTTCCGGGGTACGGTTATGCGCAAGCTAATGGGTCGGAATGCTGCCTCGAATAGTGTGAAAAAGGGACGCTCGGACGAGCGCATGGCCAATCGAGTTGCTCCAACTGTGCAGGGCAAGAAGATGCTGGATCAGCTGGACAATGGACGGTCGAGGCTTCACCAACTGATAGAAGGAAAGCTCAAGTCTCTGTCGAGCTTCAAAAACCACCGACTCGATATCGAAACGCAAATCATACAGCAGAGCGACATGGCGATCCGGTTGGTGCCGAGGGTGGCTTCGATAGTTTGCATGAGTGGTGCCAATGCTTGTCTATCTGGGTGGCATAAACCAGCACGATCCACGGGCGCAGATTGCATAGTATCGCAAGTACAGCTGCAGCGGTGAAGCACAAGCACTCTGCCCTGTCAGCGTAGATGCGCATTACGTCGCTCTTGATCGGCGTTCTGCACAGATGAGGAGGCATCTATTGTGGCCTCTCCTCAGCGCGGCGAGGACGGCAGAATGGATTTTTGTCGGAATCGATCCACATCAGCGCTCATTATGAGTCTATGCTGACTTGCTCGTGGTAACTGATCGATGGTGATCCTTACTTTGGACAGGAAACTGCTTTTGGAGCTTGAAACAGGCGGAAATGTGCGCTTCGAGGATGAGCATGTTGAAGACCCGTGGTTCAAGACGTGCGAGTCGCTCGTCAAGACGTTGATTCTTCGAGCCGTCTCGAGTCACTCCCACAAGCGCATCCAGATCCACAGGATCTCTCGACTGCACAACCGGAATTTGAAGAACAAATTTGAGGTGTGCTGAGGTGGCAGCTACAAACGCAGGAACATCAGTTGATGCAGCGACGGACTCTCGACTATGTTTCCTACATAACCCCTGGTGCAGGATTGCTTCGATAGTCTGGAAGCGTGTGTATGGATGTCCGCCACTGATGCTTCTGCACTTTGCTCGCTGGCCTATTCCTGTGTGTTAGTCGAAGCTCCAGACCAAACCCGAGCCGGACAGAGGCTCGTTCGAGTACCTTTCGTTCCAGAATCCAGACTCTCATGCCGAGGAGATCTTTTCCGTCGTCGAATACGGCTTCGCCTCCAACTTTGTTACCGACCACACCTCCGGACTGATTGCCCTTGCAAACTACCTTGACTGTTCCGACAACGCCGTCGACCCTCACGATCACAACAAACACCGAAAGAAACTGAGACAGGCCATCATCGCCAAGGTGTTTACTGCCCGGTCCGGGCGAGTAAGCGAGAACATAAGTGAGTCACGATGTGGGTCTCTGCAGGATCGGCGCGGGTATGCGGCATCACGCTCTTCATCGTTTGCATCGCTTGCATCGCTTGCGTGAGCGGAATGAATACAGCAGTGTTGAAAGTAACAATCGAGCCACAAAACCATCTCGACCAGCCACCCCCGTCAACCTCGACGACTTTCACGGCCTTGACTGCATCCATCAGATGGTGGATCTGCCTGGCGAAGCAAAGGAAGGCCGGAGCGAGCGCGAGGCATCGCGCGCTGCAGCCGAGCGGGACCCCTGCAGGCGGTATTACATCTTTGACCGCGACTTGGTTCTGCCCGAGTTCTTTGTCGAATACTCGATCGAGTCTGAGTTTGACCATCTGACGACCAAAATCGAAAAGTTCATGATCGACGTGGCATACTCGAGCAAACTCTCACGCCCAGATATGCCGTGGATGATCAATGAAGTTAGCTCCAAGATTGGCAGCCACGCGGTAGGCCTCGCGGATTCTATGGCATCGTCAAGTCCCCAGGAAACAGTGGCGATGTCGAGCATGGATGCCTGCGCTGCTGGCCTTGGTGACTGGGACATGCGCGGCTCACCCTGTATGGCATCGAAACAGGGAGCAAGTCCTGCCATGAGAGACATGTCGATCGCCTCGCTGGAAAAGATGTATCCAGAGATCAATTGTGGCGAAGCTATCTCGGAGTACTCGGTAGGTGCACGCAGCGGAGACTGCCCCTTGGCCGTTGCTTCGTGGTCCAGCCTTCATTCGCTCCCCGGTCTCGCAGCAGGCTAATTTTCTCTGCGCTCGGTTCACGTTCTGTGTGTCAGGTTTATCCGGCCAACATTCCGCTGGATGTCGAGCACTTGAACATCTCGTTTTCAAATCGCCGCTCGCTCGACGAGTTCGATCAACACACCAACATCAAGACTCTGATCATCAGTCACAACAACCTTAGTGCCGTCACGGGGCTTCATGTCTTTACTCTCATCGAGCGACTTGATCTCAGTTTCAACAAACTGCAGTCCGTCCACGGCCTCGAGTCGCTGAAGCACCTCAAGTACCTCGATTTGACGGGCAACCTCATAAGCGAGCTCTCCTCCCTCCAGAACGTTTATCAATATCCTTTTGATGAGCGACGCATATGTAGTGAGCAAGAGAAATTACATGAGCTCCATTAGTGTCCTTAACCCAGACGACCCGGCTCTTCACAGCAGGAACCTCTCTGATCTCCATGGATGCCAAGTTCAATCCAATCTGCCAGAGAAAGGGCTACCGCCTCTATATCTGCTCCAGTATGCCAAGCCTGGTGACACTGGACGGAATTTCCACCGATTCCAGTGACAGGGTCAGCATGCTCGCTATAGATGCCTACATTCCTTCCCAGCGCTGCCATCTAATTGCCTGCTAACATGCACAACCAATAGGTTTCGCTGCACATCGACTGGGACGAGCTGATTGCAGACCACTCGTCGTCACAGCCACATCTCTTTCGTCCCCTCAGCGTCCGAACCCAGAGCGGTCCCGGATCGACAGCCTCCCAGAACGATTTTTGGAGGCTCCTGCCGCATCCAAATCACGGAACCCTGATGCTGGAGGGGCTCACGACGCTGGAACTAGATTCGTGCGACCTCTTTGACCTGGAGCCCCTGCCCGTCGAGTGAGTCTGCAGCCGAGCTGCCACGTACAATGCTGCCCGCTTCGATGTACTGCTGACATGCATCCTCTGGATATGTGCGATAGGATGATCAATCTCCGCTGGGCGAGCTTCAGGAACAACTACCTTTCGGATGTCTCGCGACTGACGCACTTTCCCAAGCTCGAGGAGCTTTCGATCGAGAACAACGAAATTCATCAGATCGACTCGCTCTCGGTTCTGCCCAACCTGTCCAAGCTTGACGCCAGCAACAATCGCCTGACGACGGTGGACTCTGCCTGCAACTTCAAATCGATCATGCTGATGTCGCTCGAGAACAACTTTATCCAGAACCTCAAGCCGTTTGCAAAGTCGACGACGCTGATGGAGTTTTGTAGGTCGCAGACGGGGAGCTCGGATGGTTGCAACAGGGCGTAGAGACCGGTTTGATTATGGTTCCGGTCCAAGCCATCCTTGTGCATTCAATGGTGTCCGCACTAATGCAACGCGCTCTTCCCATACCAAAGATGTCGGAAACAACTCGATCTCAAGTCTCTACGGCATCTTCCCACTCAAGGAGCTGCCGCGGCTGATCATCCTCGATCTCACAGGGAACGCAGTTTGCCAGCTGCAAAACTACCGACTCTTCACCATCTTCCATCTTTCCAAGCTCAAGGTAAGCCTTGCTTGCTGGCTATCAGGGCTTGCTCTTTGATTCTGGCGAGTCGTGCCGCATCCGTCACCAGCCCTGAGCCGAGCTTGTCCATCGTTGTTTTTGGATGGCTGGCACAGATACTGGACGGCGCCGGCATCACAGCCAAGGAGCAGATTTCTGCCAAAGATGTCTACCTGGGCAAGCTCACCGTCGAGCTACTTGGGGAGAAGATTGGGCATTTCTCATTCAAGAATATTACCGAGCTGGATTTGCGGAACTGCAAGATTCGCGAGGTTAACTGCTTCAACATGGACGACTTCCGGAACCTGCGCAAGCTCAACTTTGACAACAACCTCTTGACCACGATTGACTGCATCGCGGGACTGACCGGGCTCAAGTCACTGAGTCTGAACATGAACAGGATCGAGAGACTGCTCTTGACTGACATTCCGTCAGCGAGTGGCCGAAATGACGGCACACCGGATGGCCGGCGACCTCTACTTCCGTTTCTTGAGGAGCTTCATTTGGGATACAACTCGATTTCGAAAATCAGCGACTTGGGGCTGTATCGCATGCCGTATTTGAAGATCCTGTACCTGCAAGGCAACAGAATCCTCCGGGTATGTCTGTTGAGCAGATATTGGGTGTTGGTGTTGGTGTTGGTGTTGGTGTTGGTGTTGGTGTTGGTGTTGGTGTTGGTGTTGGTGTTGGTGTTGGTGTTGGTGTTGGTGTTGGTGTTGGTGTTGGTGTTGGTGTTGGTGTTGGTGTTGGTGTTGGTGTTGGTGTTGGTGTTGGTGTTGGTGTTGGTGTTAGTGTTGGTGTTGGTGTTGGCTCGAGGGCGACTATTTGGCAGACATTCTCCTCCAGTTGCCAGTAAATCAATATCGTTTCAATGCTGTATCGTTTGCTGATGGTCCGGCTCCACAAATGCACGCTTGGGCAACTCTCAGGTCGATGGACTGGAGCATATGACCAGTCTGATCGAGCTGGTCCTCGACAAGAATCAGATCAAAGCAGCCGAGCCGTCGTCGTTCTTCTCACTAATCAATCTGAAGGAGCTGCACATCAAGTAAGCCATATAGTTCGCTGTTAGAATGGCAGATGCATCGTTTGTCCCACAAGCATACTCAAACTGGAACACTTGCTGACGGAGGGCCCCGGCTGGCTCCTGGCAAAAGTGGATCTGAGCTGATACTGGACAATTTCTTTCCTCTTCCATCGCTTGATATGCATAGGGATAATCGAATCAAGACCCTGGCGCACTTTGACTGCCTCCCGAACTTGCAGAACCTCCATCTCTCCAACAACCGCGTGCAAGAGACCTGCGAGATTGAGGTGGGCTATGGCTGACCGTCCGTCGTATAATGGATGCGGGTAGTACACATCTACAACGACGATGCCGTCAGGCCGGATGGATTATATTCGTCCCATACCCTTCGGAGATGATCTAGTGAACATAGCTTGCATCCATACACATCCAAGCTTGCCACTGATGTTGGTATTGTCCCTGTCTCTGCTATGACTGCAGAAAATGAAGCTCCCAAGCCTCAAGGAAATCAATCTCTCGATCAACGGCATTGCCCGAAAACAGGCATATCGATTCGCCGTGATAATGCGATTCCCGCTCATCAATATTGTTGATGGGAAAGAAGTCACTGACGAGGAGCGACAACGCGCAGAGGTATGTGACTGCTTACGCTGCAGCCCCGGAACTCAGCGACAATCGGGTTCCGTTTCTCTGCGACAGGAGAAACAAAGATCCACCTGCTGATTTGCTTTTCATTCTACGTGCAACTTTGATATTATCAATGACGAACCTCCATCTTCTGCCAGATCTATTTCATGGAGCAATGCATACTCAGAGACGATCCGTCCGCCAAAATCAACATGCCTGCGCTTCAAGCCAGCTCTGCAAACGGATCCCCGATGAACTCCCTTGTCAAACTCCCAATCAAGATCACCTCTGTGGTTCTCGACGGTATGAACCGCTCGACCGGTTTGCAGGATTCTATCGAGCTTGTCGAGGGCTATATAATCTATGTCATAAGTCTTACTAACGGACTTGATGGTGTAGGGCTCGAAATGAAGCTTGCTGCCAATTCGTCGGGATTCGGCTCCCAAAACAGCCTCACACGGCCGTCTTGACGATATCAACCGCTGTCACTCCGAGAATCTCTCTGGAAGTTACTCGATCTCAGGGCTTGCCAGTGTCCTCCCCCCTCGGCTCGCACTCGGGCCTGACTCTGCTATGACCGCTTGAATAACACGACCGCTTGGGGCCTGTAGGTCTGCTCCAGAGTACTTCATGTGTATTTGAATGAGTCTGGCCAGTGCATTCAGCAACGTTTCCAAGTGCCACTGGTGTCTGTGGGAGGCCGAGATTCTCACGCGAGTCTGTGCGTCATGATGCAAACGACGACGCTCAAGATCACCAGCAGCAGCCCGGGGCTGGATTGTTGCGACAAGCTCGTGACGATTGCCGGCAAGATATTTGGGACGGTGAGGGTGGCGTTGACGTTGGTGCAGCTCGATGCTTGGGTCACCACTTGACTCTCTCCGGACAGCACGTTACGGAAATATCTCGGCGAGTATCCAGTTGGGGCGATGGCTGGATAGCAGATGGCAATCAAATCAGCCAGGACAACGTTTTGCTCGAGAACAGCACTTTCAAACCAATCTAGAGTTATGCAGCGGGGGGGGGACAGTGGGAATCATCGTGGAGAAGAAACAGCGTATGTTAGTGATTGCACCAGCTCGACTACTTGCGGGGATAAACGGCGTGTGCACCACAGATGGCACTAATGTGATGCCCAGCTGTTGTCCTTGGACTCGCCACATGCCAAGGAATGTGCCCTGCTCTGCCAGCTTCGCACCTGATCCTCCGCCATAGGGGCCAGTCTTGTCAGGAGAATACACCCTGTTGTTGGTGATGAACTTGAGGGTTGAGCCCTGCAGACCATAGAAGTTGTTGAAAGATGTGGCCGTTGCTCCGCCAATGCCATAGGAGCTGAGGTCGATGAGAATATCTACGCTTGCAGCAGCAGCAGAGAAGCTACTCGGGCTCGAGTAAACGGCCGGAGCCAGATATTTCAGTCCCAAGTCCGAGGCATAGTCCTTGAACTGCTGTGCCCCAGAAACAGTGTACTGGCCCTTGTATGTGGTGACGAAGGCGATGGTCAGCGAGGTTTTCGAGCCGGAGGCATAAGTCCGAGCATTGGCGCTCATCCTCTGGTAGTTGGATATGATGGACTTTCCGGCAGCTTGAGCCACAAATTCGAGGTTGTACAGCATGCCGACGACATTGATCCACTCTATGCGCTGGTTTGTGTTTGGTGCAATACGATGAGAGAATTCAGAGTTACAGATGGAGGGATGAGCTGCCTGAAACGCCTCCGAGAATACTCTTGGATATCAGCAAAGCCAAAGCAGCTCTTGTCACTATAGAGGGCGAACCTGCAGTGCTCCAACGTCCGAAGCGGCAGAAAACAGGACCGTGTTGGCGGCCCAGCCAGTGTTGGTGACCTGGCTGGTGGAGAAGACAGCATCGAGTGCTTGCAGCTGGGAGATCTTGAGCGACGAGTTCGCAGCCGACGTTGACTGCAATGTGCCCGATGCCAGCATCTGCTGAAGGCAGGGCGACGTGGTTGTCGACGTGACGGACGAGAATTTGATGGTCGAACGCACGCCTATGGCTTCCAGGAAGGTAATGACGCTCGTGTCCTCAATGTCGACAGAGCGAATCGGGACGGGGATGGTCACGCTAGCACCTGTGACATTCGGTGCAGTCGAGCCGCACGGATACATGACAACGACTTGCCCATCGACTTTGTTGGTGATGGTTTTGTAAGTGTTGTAGTAGTCGAGCCTGAGACTGGTTTGGGAGACTGTGGCAGCAGCAGCAGCAGCAGCAGCAGCAGGTCAAGCAGTCGAACAAGTGCGGGATGGCGAGGCCGATGCAGCAGCGGAGCTGTGAGTGTTCGATCTGGGGTATGGCAGAGAGGAGTGCTGACCAGACAGCGAGGCGGTATCGAGATGCCAGATGCACACTTACTGTTGAATGGCGTTGCTTTGTCGGGATAATAGTCCAGATTTGGATTGATGCCGCCGATGATGCAGTTCTGGCTGTTTCCGGCAGCGTGCACAAGTGGCAGCAGCGGTGCAGCGGCGGCGAGGATCAGGACGGCAGAGGCGACTGCGACGGATGGAGGTGGATGCACATGGTGAGGGACGCTGGAGCTGCTGCTGTCCTCGAAGGAGACGGGACGACATACCTTTCATATTGACTAGACAAGGGTGCGGTCAATCTTGAGTGTCGGGGCGGAGGCTGCCGAGCGGGTAGATGTATGCTCAAGCACCCTCGCTTGTTTGTTGATCCTGCCTCCAAGGGGACGTTCGACATGGAATGGCCGAGTGCTCTCTGCGATGGCCATTCCCAACGACTGCCTGAGGGCGCTGTTGCAACTTCGAGAGGCAGCATCGAGAGTTGCATGTTTGTTGATTGATCCGCCCGATCCAAACATTCGCCTTGGAACCGGTCTGCACGAACACATGCCCGCCGATCCCAAGCATTTGCCGAGGCATTCCACTGCTCACGCTCCGACTATGGCCAGAGGCATCTCACGTACAATGGTGTGGCAACTGGTCCACCGGACTGCTGCAGCGAGGGCGACGGTCAGTGGTGCAATTGCTGCACCCCCAAGATTGGCGACATAGGCACCGCCGCATCGATCAGGGACAGTGTGATAAGGGTCAGATCAATGTGGTCTGTGTTGTGTTCTATTACAGCGTTCTCAAAACGAAACGGGACACCCTGTGTTGAGCCACAACTGTCTTTATCTGGAACCTGAATACACATCCACTCATTACAATCATGGCCAGACAGTATGTCCTAAGGAGACCGAGGCGGTGATTGCCTTGGGGAATGCCTCCTGGAAGCAAGGGAAGGGATATGCATCCAGTCCACGGACACTGAAGTTCGACAAGTACTTTGAGCAAACTCGAGTCTCCGTGGACTGGATGCATATCCCTTCCCTTGCTTCCACGAGGCATTTCCAAAGGCAATCACAATATCGGGCTCCCTTGGCACCTGGTCGACGACTCGCTTGCACATCCCGTGGACGGTGCGCTGTCGCTTGCTGTGGAGATCGAATCGCTTGAATCGCCGTCGCCGAGTCAGGCTGAAGTACAGCTGTTTGTCCAGCATGTCTCCATCGAACACATGGCGAATGTATCGCAGGAAGGGGGCTATCCCGGGGATCTTGGGACTTGGTGTGGTGCTCATCCATTCCTGCAGACCAAGGATCTTGTGGGTGCTCTGGATCCACTTGGTCGCCTGGGTGGTGCCTTTCGCTTGCGGGGAGCCATCTGGCGAGACAATAGCGACAATGGCTGGTTCTGCCCTTGGGGAAGAAAGAATCTCCTCAAAACCAGCGCATTTTGGGCCGGCAGGGACACGGCGCAATGGTATCCTCGATTCAGATCCAGAATCGCATCGCGTTCTCAATCAGTCGTGTTTGACACGGGGCAAGGGAGGGCTTGGGAGATTGATGATCGCGTGTATTGTGTAATAATTCGCTGAGGGGATATTGTCATGAGGGGCACCCGTCCATTTATCCCCTTTCCACTCCATACTGTCACTGGCTGCCGCCAAAACGAAAAGCCACATCTTTGATCAAGCCCGATCATATTAATATAATTAATTAATGTGAATCGATATTCCATGCCTTTCCTCGCGATGCGGAAGTCGAGGGTGCTGTGTTTGGCCATGATTGCAATGAGCGGGTGTGTGTATTCAGGTTCCAGAACAAAATAGCTGTCCTGGCTCAAAACGGGCTGTCCCATTTCGTTTTGGGAACGCTATGGACCTGCACGCTGGCCTCCCAGGGATAACCGGATGCATTCAATAGAGGAGCTCGATGCTACAGAGGAGACCGAGTCAGGTGCCTGACGGGCGCCGACAGGGTCGTTTACAGCGTGAAGCGAGAGTTGTAAGGCATGGCCTTGGTGAAAGCCTTGAGTTGAGCCATGGAGATGGTGAGGGGCGAGTCAACGACGTTCCAAGAGACCCCCTCGGAGCAGGGGGGAGTTGTGAGCGAGCCAGAGTACTGCCAAAACTGATCGCCTTGGATGTGCCGGCTGAGCCAGTCCAGCTTGAGCTCGGGGATCTCGCGAGTCTGGTTGGTCTTGCCAGGGATCTAGCAAGCGAAGACGAGCAGTCAGCGGATACAGTGCTCAACACCAAACCGGCCTGAGCCGCAAGTAAGTCCAAGAAGGCAGTCCCAAAGCGCCGGCGAACTCACGTAATCGACCAGCTGGGCAAGGAACATGTTGGGCCAATTGCTGAGCTCGAAGAAGACGCCAACAACAGCGAGCTTGGGAGGCTGATCGGAAGTGGCATGGACAAAGTGGGCCTCGAGGGGGTAATCTGTGGCCGGCAGAAGGGCAGCATGAGCGGCGATCCTGGATCGGGCACCGGCACTGGGAGGCAAGGTTCTTGGATCAGGAGCTACGCGACCAGGCGCCGATACTTACATTTCTCATGCTTGTGGTGCTCGGAAGGCGAGTGGAAGTGGAACTGCTTGAGGGTGTAGGTCTGGTTGCCGACGGTCAGAGCCGAGGCGCTGCTGGCCGGGATGTTGACCTGGACGGTATGGCCGTTGTTGACAAAGGTGGCCTTTTGAACGGACTTGCACCAGCTGATGGAAGGTCCCTGATGGGAGAGGAGGTGCTCATCCTCGAGGTTGATGGGGGACTGGTTCTGGCCCTGGGCGCATTTGGCGAACGAGGGGTCGAGCTCGGCCCAGTGGGCAGGGCCGGTCTTGCCTTCGTAGCTCCAGCTGCCGCTGCGCTTGTGCAGGTAGTTATGGGCGAGGACATCAGCCATGCAATTGAACTGAGCAGGCGAGCCGGGGTTGCCGGTGGGCGCGGCGCAAGTCAGGCCGGCGAGAGCAACGGCGGTGCAGAGGACAGCTGTCAGCTTCATGGTATTGAATGAGCAAGGGTGCGGGATGAAGTTTGGTGAGTGCAAGGCAGATGGATCGCAGGCCTGGTGCCGGATGAAGTGGCCGGGCCCGGTGCTGGTATTTGACGGCGTGGCGAATAGAGTTTCACCACCCGCGAGGTTTAAGTTTGGCGGTGGGTGGTGGGTGGCGAGACGATCGAGCCACCGAGCGAGTGAGTCAGCCCGGCGGCCGGGTCTGGAGATGTACATCCAGCGAACATGTACATCGGGCAAAACGGGGGCGCGGCATGCAAGCAGCCAGGCAAGTCTTGGTCCAGCATCCTCGCAGCCCCCAGGCCGGCCCCTCGGCCAAGACCGTCGAGGGGCCATCAACATGAGGTCGCCGACTTGCTCCCAAGATCGAGATCGCTGAATTGCCATCTCCCTTTGCCTTGTGGGCTCTGCGCTGTACATGGCCCATCCGCGACAGAGGCTGGCAGCCAAGGTTGTGCTGAAGGACCGACGAAACTCTATTCGCTTACCCTTGGCAGGCCCAGCCGACAGTGATCGTGGCTTGCCTCTGAGCCTTGCGTTTGAGCCTTGCTTCTGAGCCTTGCGGATCAGCCCTGTGTCAAGGGCACACTGTAACAACCGCCTTCGTCTTGCTGATGGTTTTTGGGCGCATCGGGTCCGTAACATCGCTCTGCGGTGCCTCGGCTGACAACGACCAGGAGACGCCGCGCCGACTTGAAAGGCGGGCGTCCCAGGCTGAATTGCGCACCGCATGAGGGCGCTGTTGGCGGCGACAGCCCTTGATCTGGCTGTCCTTGGATCTCTGTTTGACGACATGTCATGTCGCTGCCAGCAAGTCTGGTTTGGTGAGCTTCCCAGGCAGGCGCTGGCTCGACCCGCACTCGACCCGCACTCGACCCGCACTCGACCCCCTCGATCCGCACTCGACCCCCTCGATCCGCACTCGACCCCCTCGACCCGCACTCGACCCCCTCGATCCGCACTCGATCCGCGGAGCTTGCTCTGCGAATCACAGCAAGGCCAGCCGATCAACCGCTCTCCGCCCTTCTGTCGTCAACAAATCTGCCTGCCCGCCATCTCATGCCATGTCGTCGTCGTCCATGGCCTCGATAGAGCTGACCCTCAACCACCCGCTGCCACAGTCGACGACCAATGCCAATCTGATTGCATCGCGCCTCAATTCGTCCTGCACCCGACTTGGCGATGCCGCATATCTGTTTGGAGGGTGCGTGGCCTTCTCCCAATCCCGGCTTGCTAGCGATATATCTGCCTTGCCATCAGCCCAGTTCTTGATCCGTTGCTGCTTCGCATCGACGCAACTACCGATGGGGATACGCAGCCTTCATTCTGATAGTCGCGGCATGAAGACTGTTGTGGTCCAGAGGCACAATCGGATCTTGACTCGTATCGCTTCGGAAACCAAGCAGTGATATTAACACCACAAGCTCTCCCCACAACTCGCCATGGCCGTCGCCTTTGCGCACAGATTCGATCTGTACAGCGGAGAAGTCTTCAACGAGCTCTTTATGATATCGCTGGAAGATCGAATGTGGAAGCGTATCGACCACATTAAGGGCAAGTGGCCCAGCCAGCGCCATTCACACTCGGTAAATGTTTGGAACATCACAAAGTAACTATCGTCCGTCATTTGGACTGTCCAGCGTGACATTGCCCACTCCGAATATGTCTTGGTTGGCTGCATGGAACGCACATGATCGGTCGATTCACTTTACCACCTCGACCACCTTGTTTTGGTCCGGGCCATGACCTGCTCCAGATCGTCGCTCTGGTTTGCGCTGATGGCTCGTCGTGCTCACCGATGGCTCGTCATCTGCGCTCGGTTCAACACCTATGGTGGTAACTGTAATGCCCCGCATTTCATCGATCTTTATTCCGCAGACTGGTCATCTTTGGTGGAAGCGATGCCGAGGATGCACACCTCAACGACATCTACATCCTGGATCTGCCTACCCTGACATGGGAGAGCCCGCACGTCACCGGCCACATACCCGCCCCAAGGATGCGTCACTCCACCGTCATCCACAAAAGCAAGCTCTATGTCACAGGTGCGATCACCGTGTCTTCGCCGATGGCCGGTGATAGGGCTGCTCTGTTGGCTCTGGCTTGAGTATGGAACCGGCGGCGGCAAGCAACGCATATAGAGGCGTTGGATAGATCCGCTTGGGTCAGCGCACGACACTGCCCGACAGAGGGCGAGCGGCTGCGTCGCCGCAAAGAATGCCCTATTCTGCTGATACTGGGATATTCACATGATTGCTTCGCACCAACAGGCGGACAAACCACCGGCGATGTCGTCCTTGATGTGCTCAACATCCTCGATCTCGAGACTTTTGTCTGGGAGGTCCCTATTCCCTTTGAATCCCGAATCAGCCATTTTTCGTGGATCTTCAACCGACGCTTGTACTTGTTTGGCGGTCAGGATGAGAATTCGGAACGCCTGACGCATCTGACTTACATCGACCTCGCCGACAAGTCAAGGACCAAGCTCACCATCACCTCGGAGGAGGCTCCACAGCCGCTGGGCCAGCACTTTATGCAAATCTGTGGCGACCGACTGATCGTTGCTGTCGCCGAAGGACTGCAGCATGGGCGAGAGGCAAAGGAGGTTCGCACCGGGGTGTGGTCGCTGGAGCTCAACTCTGTTCGCTGGAGACGCCACGACGAGATCACCTTGCTGCAGAATGCAACTTGGTATTACTATGCCATGGGCCAGGACGACAGCCGCTTCATTCTGTTTGGTGCCGAGAACCCTCAAAGCGACGAGTTCTTGGGAATGGTTCTGGGCATCAATCTCGAAACCTTTGGCATCTACCGCGTCCCTGGCTCGGATCTGGGCATGGACTTTGCGCCGCTGCTTGAGCGGCGCGAGCTCTCGGACTTTTCGATCACCGCCAAGGACTCGCCCGAGAAGCCCATTCATGTGCATAGGCTCGTGCTGCAAGCTCGCTGGCCGTACTTTGCCAACCTGTGTCGTTCCGAGATGCAAGAAGCACGAGAAGCCCAGCTGGTGCTGCCAGAGCCCTACGGCTCCGTCCACGGCTTTGTCCGGTACCTGTACACGGACTCGATTGAGGGCCTCTCGCCCGACGACCTGGCCGGTCTGCTCGGGTTGGCCAACTGCTACTGCATGGAGCGACTGCAGAAGATGTGCTGCGACATCCTGCACCGCGAGATCAACCTCAAGAACGTGTGCCATATCTTCGAGGCCGCCTGTAAGGCCGGAGAGACTGGCTTGTCGGAGCGAGCCCTTGCCTTCATCCTGGACAACTTTGGCCTGGTCAGCCGGACCAAGGGCTTCCGCACCATGCAGCCGCATGCGATGGAGGAGCTGTGGAACCGCATCCCCGAGGACTCTCAGATCACCAACAAGTCGCCCAAGCTGGATGAAGCCATGCTGGCGTCGGCGCAGCCGTCAGACTCGCAGAACGAAGACGGCGAGGGCGGTGCAGAGACCGATGGCGACGTCGCCGACGGCAACGAAGACGACGACGAGTACGACGAGCTTGCCAACGGCACCGAGCCGGAGGACGACGAGGATTAGCGTGCAAAGGTGTCCGGTGTGCGATATGCCCGGCTCGAGACGATCGAGACCCCCCCCCAACACGATTCCATGCACTCTTTCGTTCCTGGTGCTGTTTGCTGGTGGCCGCGAACACGAGAGCAAAACCTGACCTCAGCAACAAGCAGTCACGCGCAGTGTCCGGTCACGCGACCGCGCTCGTGACGCCTGCGAATCAGCGTGCCCGGCGCCGATTCGCTGTCGCGGCCCGCCAATCAGCGCCCGTCCAGCCGGCCCTGTCTGCAGATATAACCGGTCTCGTCGGGCTTGGCTCCCTCGGCCGCCATCGCAGCCCACACCCCGGATCGCTGCTCCCCGTCTCTGCCATGACCCGACCCTCCACCCTCCTGCTTTCGCTCGTGTCGCTGGCTATGGCTCTGGCCGGCCAGGTGATCGAGCTGACAACCAGTGACTTTTCGACCGTATGTGCATCAGTCCCGTTTCTCGGCCCCGCAGCGTCGCCAACTCGGCGTCCTTTTCCCGTGGCTGCGTGTTGACAGAGTGCCGAATCGGTTTGTCCTGCAGCCATCCGAGATCCACAAGAACTATTTGGTCGAGTTTTATTCGCCCATGTAAGCACATCGATTCGCTCTGCGGCTGCATCGTGCTTCTCGGTCGTGCTTCTCGATCGTGCTGCTCAGGCATCATGTCCGCCATCGTACCAACCTTCTGCGATCGCTCTCTCTCTCTGATAGGTGCCAGGGCTGCCTTGTAAGTGAGCCGGTCGCCCGGATCTTTCCAGCTGGAAATCTGGCGTTGATGTTACACCCTTTCTCACCACGACCGTGATCTCTATCGTCAAAATACCGAATGCTGCAGGATTTCGCCCCGGTAAGTCGCTCTGTGCGAGCCTCATATGCACCTGCCGACTGCGGCTTGCACGAATACCGCGTGCAAGGCGCCTGGCCTGTGCTCTTGGCTGGTGTCCTTCTTTTTGATTGACTCGCGTCGGCGTCATTGCTGTCCACAGTACTACGAGACGCTGGCTGAGGATTACGCCGAACACGAAGATAGCCTTGTCATCGCAAAGTACGACTCGCGATCGACCGAGGAAGGCCGCCAGATCGCCATCAAGTTCGGAATCACAACCTACCCTGCGTTCCGATGGTAAGGCTATATGCGCTCCTGTCCCGACACTTTTGGCGGTGGCTTTATCTGGAGTATGTGTTCCGTTGCCAACTGCCGATATTGCGATGTGGCCCAGGTTCTCGAACGGACTAGAGAACGAAGCCACTCCCCTGCCCGAGACCCGCAATCTGCGAGACAAGACCATCCTGTCCAAATACCTCGATATCAAGCTCGGTAAGCCATTGCTGTGCGCCTCTTGTGGATGCGATATGCGATATTGCGATATGCGGCTGTCGACGGCGTCCTTAGCCCCGGTCTCTGACTCGCCGCCCCCCGTCTCACACGCTCACTTCAAACCCATCGTCGACAGGCAAAGCTGAAGCGACCCCAGAGTATGCCACCGCCCTCACTCCCCAGACTTGGGACAGCGTCATGTTGAAGGATCTCTCTCAAAGTGCCATCGTCATGGTCCTCGGCCCCGGGTGAGTGCAATACAGACTTGGCTCGTCGTTAAACGCTGTTTTGCCCTGCGCTGCTCTCTGACCGGCCCCATCCGTCCACCGTTTCTACACACAGCTGCCCCAAGTGCGACGAGTTTGAGCCAATCTTCCAGGAAATCGCCCGCGAGTTTTCGGCCGAATCCGGTGTGATCTTTGCCAGCATCGACGGCTCAATTGCTCCTCAGATCATGCACCGCTACCGCCTCGACCGCAAGCTCCAGTTCCTGTACTTTGCCAGCGGAACCCGCGACCCCCTCCACTACGAAGGCCCCCACACCAAGGCTGCCCTGGTCAAATATATCAACGAGCACAGCCACACCCAGCGCTCCGTCGATGGCGGATTCCTGCCCTTCGTCGGTCGCCCTGCGATCCTGGTTGAACAGGCGCAAGCCTTTGCCTCGGCTTCGGACAAGAAGACCCAGCAACAGATTTACGACCACTTCGTCAAGGACTACATCCAGGACGACGATGGCGACCTGGACGACGATGGCGACGAGGACGAGGTCGACGAAGCCATTGCCGAATACGCCCCCCATTATGCTGTTTTCATGAAGGAGATCCTTGCCGGCAACCTCAAGGACGTCCCCAAAGAGATCGACGCCGTCGACGCCCAGCTGGAGCACCCTGAGACGCTCAAGCCCGAGTTTATCGATGCCCTCTCGCTGAAGCGCAATATTCTGCGCGCCCTCGTTCCCAAGGATCCCCAGGAGTCTGAGACCAAGGATCCCCACGACGAGCTGTAAAGCCGCCATTGCCCACGCCTCCATCTGATCATCCTGTCGGACAGCTACGCGCCAATGACTGCCCCCCCCCCTTTTCCATCTCGATCTTGCCCCTACTACCCCTCCTATCGAATAAAGCAACCCTTCTCTGGTCGCCAGCGAGGGTAATTTTCTCGACGGCGACCACCAATCAACTCGCACAGCAGCACGAGCGAATGGGCTCATAGTGACTCAGGGCGGTGTGTTGTGGCTCTGAACCCATGGTTATGGATACGATCTGCACGTATTCGGGCACCTGGCCCAGCAGCATTCCGTGCCTCGACCCGGAACGCCTCCTATTCTGTTCGGACAAGCGGGTTGTATTTACCATATCTCCTTAGACACCGGACGGCCAAGGCGGATCAAAAACAAAAACAAACAACATCAACCAACCAAATCGCAGGAGCATCGCTCGCTGACCAGACCAAGGCGCATATGGAGCAGTAGGAGGAATCCATCGACACGCTCGGGCGTCATCTCGTCTTCTCAGTCCGATGGGAAAGTACTCGAACGACGAACCAAGTGCAGGAGGACCAACCCAGAGGGGCAGATGCAGCTCGGTGCCTCAGATGTGAACTTCGGGGTGCTCATCCGAGTCCTCGTCCGTCAGGGGCTTGAACAGACCAGAGGACTTCTTGGTCGGAGTCTGCAGCTCATACTCCGATGCATCGCTGATGCGGGTGTGGTACCGAGGCGGAGGCGACGATGGAGTGGCGACGGCAGGAGCGGTGGCGTTGCGGGCCGGCGTCATGAGGGTCTGAACGGTGTTGACAAGGCCGCGAGTATCGCTGAGATCAGACAAATGCACACCGTGCTCCTCGAGCTTGTCGGTGACTTGGTGGCCAACATCCTTGACAACATTGCCCATGATCTTCAGCACGACGCCGCTCATGCCGAGATACCAAGTGAGATAGGACGCTGCATCGTGGCGTCGGAAAGTGAGAATGTGGCACCCAGGTGCTATGCATCAAAGGCATTCTGCAGCCACGCAACACGACCACCATATACCGCGCAGACACCTTACCTCCAATCAGCAGTGCAGTGACCGTGAAAAAGATGGGGCTCCGCAAAATGGCAATGAACTCGTTCCATCCAAGGATGATCGTCAGGACCACAAACCAGGTCGGGATCGAGGTCGTTTGGGAGACAATCGAGCGCTTGGCTTCGACGACCAGGGCATCGACAAGTGCTTGCAGCCGGCTGACCAAATCGATCTTTCGGCGGCTAGACAGCAGCTTGAGGCTATCGCCACTGAAGGACTGTGGCACCGACGGATGGAGGTCGATGGAAGACGGTATCAGATACCGACCGCATCAGCCACCACTGCGATATCGTAAGGATGTCCAACGAGCGTGCCAAGCGAGTGCACCAAACGAACGAGCCCAGCGCGTGTGCCGACTATACCTCGGATTCAATGATTTCATTGTCAATTTCGGCCACGGGAAAGTCGACGACGGCGTATAGACTGAATAGCGACTCCGCCTGGTGGAATCAGCGATTGTGCAGAGAAAATTCATCGTCAGCTCGGTGTCATATTGTCGCGTATGTGCCTGGATTGCGACAGACTCCCCAGACTTGCACAACGCACTGCGTACATTGTCTTTGGCGGCTTTGCACACGCTTTGAATGTCATCCAGCGGCGTCCAGATGCGCGGCTGGCCCTGGTCGTCGTAGCGGAACTTTTTCTCAAAGCGGGTTCTGGCCCTGTTGAGGATCAGGTCATCGGTAGTTTCCAACTTGATCGTTCGCAGCAGGATCTCGTAGACTTGGACCTTGAGCTTGTTCACAAAGCCCTGGATTTCCTCCGAGGTGCAATCGAATCCTGCAGTTTCCACCGCAAAGTCAGCGCCCAAACACAGGCAAGCTGCCAGGGTACAGTGCGTACACGGGCACGGGATCTGTGACTGTGTCCGTACCGGAATATTTCTCTTGGAGGATGTCTGCCTGGCTCTCCAGCAGGTTTCTGAACTTGGTGAACAGCTTGCGCCACATGTCCGGAGCCGATTCGTCAAAGATCTCGGCAACTTGGTCAGAGAGCTCCTCGCTGATCTTTTTCTGTTGTTCCAAGCATTGTGATGGTCAGGGCGCAGCCAACTCGGGTCCAGCACGATATTCGCTGTAGATACAGACAGGAGAGCAGTATCCGTACATACGCACCTCCATGCTGTGCTGGATGGCTGCCATAGCCTCCAGCTTCTTCTGCGAAACCAGGCTGCCAAGCTCTTCCTTGAATTGGTTGACATACTCATCGGTGCTCCATTCGAGACCAGACACCGTGACGTCTGTGGTTGCAGTTGAAGCATATGGATGAGAATGATGCAGAGCCAGAGCAGGCTATACGCGCGACATCCTTGGCCACAGATGTAGATTGGCGCTGTGACTCACCTCTCAGAGTTTTCATAAAGAAGACCTCGGCGGCATCGCGCGCTTGGGTGAGCTTAGCGACAAAGCTGCCTGTCTCGCCCTTGGCTCGCTCCTACAACCATACAAAGATCAGACAGGACGACTCAGATCGCGAACACACGACATTCACTGCTGATAATTTCAGATGCAGAGACGCAGCATATTCGTGCACTGGACATTCCGTTCGAGTGCTGCCTGATGAAACGTACGCCCAGCGAGGTCGTAAAGACGGAGAGGGCTTTCTTGTGGGCATTCCGAAGCTGCTGGACAAAGAACGACTCGATGATGCTGTGGATGCGCTTGATGAAATCTGCGCGCTTTGCGCTGTACACCTCGCGGTCGTAGCGAGAGGCGTCATGGTCGAAGGTTTCTTTGAGTCCATATGGGGATTGTTTGAGTCACGTTTGCAGCAGTGATGCATGCCAATGCAGCAGTTGCGTTGTATTTGATGTTTGCCGCAGAAGGAATCCCGATCCGAAATCGAGGCGGTGGTTTCGAAAAGGCCATTAGCCATTGGGCAGGTCGGGCAGTGATCCAAGAGTCGCATTGACGAGCACGTTGCACCCTGTGATTGCGCCCGGCTGCTTACCAAGAGAGCCCTCGACCTTGCCCTCGACTTCTCGGCCCAGACCTTCAACAACTTTGCCGCTTTCGAGATCGGTCTTGAACTTGGCGATCTGGCTCGTGAATTGGTTGAAGCAAGCTCGGCCAATCTCATCGCACCGATACTGGGCAAGGAGCTGTCGCTGCGACGGAAGATCGAGGTCCTTGTTGCTGAGGATCGTCGACCAGATGGAGCGAGCAAACTCCGGGAAGCCGTCGGCGGGGATGTGCTTGTGATACCGTGGATGGAACACATACTGTGGATTTGACTTGTCGATGAATCTAGGACGGGCAATTGCCGGCAGAACCAACACAGCCAGCCCTGGTCAGATTGGAGCGGCGACAGGCTTCGTCGGAGGCGACTGGGTACTCATATCGCGACCGAGGACGACTTTCCAGCGAAAATGCGGCGCTGTGGACGACTAGATCCGAGGTAGCAAGATGCGCAATGGGGTCCTACCGTTGCTGCAGAGCGTGTGCCTCCTTGTCGAAATCGGCAGCGCGGTGTCGCTTGTGCGGAAGGCCGACAAACTCAAAGTCGAAGAATTCTTCGATCGTCGAGTTTTCTTTGCCAGGGGGCTGGGCCGAATCGAGGGTCGTGAGCGGCAGGCCAAGACTCGCAGATCCAGTGCGAACTTCTATCGCAGCAGTTGTGCGCCACCGCAGAATACGCTCGCTGGACGACCTGCTCCTCGGCCAGCCTGTATTTCCTGACGGAGAGGGCCGAATCCCGGCTATTGCAACAAAGACACGATGACAACGCTGCCCATACCTTGTTGAGTCCAGCCCAGGCTCGGTTCAGATTGCCCTTGAGGGTCTCCGAGAGGGTCTCCATGGGGGTTTCGCCGTCAAAGTCGCGAATAACAAACAGAAGGAGGGTCTTGGGGGACCCCTTGGACTGGAACAGCTGCAAATTGACCTCGAAGACGATCTTGAGCAGCGCCATGTTGGCGCCGTTGTAGAGCGCCACCACGTTTTCCCACATGTTCACCAAGAGAACCTCCGAGATCGCAAGCGAGAACAGGGCCGATTTGCGCTCAAAGTCCTGGAGACAGCGTCGTGGAACAGAATGAGTGACGAGCGGAAGATGGTTGACCATGCCGCGCCAAGGGCAGATCACGCCAGCACAGCATGTCCTGCACAGGCACGATGAGCAAGCATAAGCCTGATCCGCCCGGAGCTATGCGGATCAAATGCATGCCCGAAACAGACGAGGATCGGGAAAAGGAGAGTGGGCTCGGCCGAGGGATATGGAGACGCATCTTAATCTTACCTGGTCCTCCCAGCGGGCATCGCCGTCAGTTCCCTCAACGTCCATGACGAGGACGTTGGACTGCTCGGCTCGGCTCATCCAGATACCTGCGAGTTGCAGAGTGATGGACGTCAGCAGCGCGCGGTAAGCGTGCATCACCGCGAGCAATGGCATGCCGGGCGTATGCAGACGAAACTGGCTCGTGTGGCTCGCCTTTGGTCGTCTGGGAGCGCCGCAGCTTAGCGTTCATGACATCAAAGTTGGTTCCAAACACTTGGTTGAGAAGGGTGCCTACATCGAGAAACATCCGAACCATGGAAGAATTGGGTATGTGAGCGATCGGAAATGTGGCTCTGATGGGCGCAGGAAGCTGGTGGTTCATCCGGAAAGCGAGCGGAGGCGCTTTGGTCTGGTCGCCCGGATCACGAACCAAGGCGACCCCACAGGCAATCGGCAAGGGTACCGCGAGCGCTTGAGCATGCAGGCATTGAACCTCTGCTTACTTTTGCCCGAGTTCTGCGAGCCCAGCACCGCCATGATGTGGTAGTCGAAGCCGGCATCTTTGAGCTTCCAGTTGGAGGAAAGGTGGCTGGCGAGCTGGTCGTTGAACTGCTGATCCTCCTTGATGATCTGCAGCCTGGGGTCGTCCTCCGGCAGTTCCGGAGAGAGTGCGCTGTCGTCCAAGTCTCTGTTATCGATGTCCGGAACCGTAGCCATCGGTGCTGTTTGGCGGGGCCAGGGGATTCAGCGCACAGGAGCGGTGTGGGGGAAGACGAGAGCGGGTGCTGGGCGATGAGCCCATTTTCGGCTGGACGACCTGCGCGGCTGGAATGGCTCGAGCCGGCGAGCCCGGCTCCATGTCCAGGGGTCGCCGAGAAGGCGCCGAGAAGGGCCGAGGAGGGGGCGAGGAGGCGCGAGAACTAACGAGGACAGCGCTCTCGCCGAGAAGGTCGTTCTCGCCAGAGACGACGACACCAACGAAGGCGTCGGCTGTTCTGCATCCATCACAACCACAACCACAACCACCACAACCACCAACCGCCGCATCCACCACCATCGCAGCCTGGTCCTTGTCGCCCTCCCCCTAAAGCACCATGGCATCCAGCTCGCCCTCCGGCTCCTCGTCCGCTCTGCAGTACAGCCGCTCGGTCTCGGATGCCTCGCTGAATTCGGCCGGCCAGGTGACCCCGCCCCAGGATATCCTCACGTCGTTTGCGACTCCCGAAGGCACTTACCATCTGCGGGATCAAATCAAGGTCAACCTCCAGCCCATCTTCCAGGTCGGCAGCACGGCGACGCTTATCTCTGTCAAGTCGGTCGATACGCATTCTCCCTCTGCGTCGACCCCTGTCGACCCTCCGGACTTTGAGAGCGCGCCGGCCAAATTCGTTGAGCTACCGCTGCAGACCGACGGCCCACAAGCAGGTAGCGTTCCCAAGTACCCCATGCACACTCGTCGGATAATCTGGCATATGCCCGTCCGATACCAGAGATGGATTTGTTGATCGCTGCCATCTTTATCAGTCTCTGCCATCTTTATCAGTCGCTAATCTGGGCTGTGGATCTTCTCCTCTCCTGCCAATGCTGCCCTGGGTGTTCTGCCTCCATTCGGTTCTTCGCGATGTGTGTGGAATGCTGCCTCCATGCCGTGCCCAAGCAGACAAATCCAAGTTTGGTTTCATGTCGGCAAAGCCCAATCCAAAAAAGACCAAGCCGACGTCCAACAAGACCGTCGCCAATTTCATCAGCAAGATCCTGGTACACGACCAGCTCGCCCGGATCCTTACCTCGCGCCCAGCCGACGTCACCTACCTCTTTTACAACATCGGACGGTCGCTTCTATGGATGGACTATATGCGCCAGCCCAAGGACCCGCTGTCAATGATCGAGTTCAAGGATGCCTTCATCACCTGTCACGACATCAATCCGCTGACCCGAGATACCATGGACGTTGTGATGGGATTCAACACAGGCGACGTGATGTCGTATCTGCCGCTTTCGGGAAAAACGACGCACATCAATCGGCAGGTGGGCAAACAGAATCGATGAGCATACCGGACACCCTTTGGTTTCTTATCATAAATGCGCCATCACGATCCGATTGCACTTGTGCCCTCGGTTGAAGATCAAAATGGCCAAACTGCGGGAACCCCCGATACTGCTCTGTCCATAACCGCTAACAATCGGACTGTCGCTGCCTGTCAGGGGTGCATCAACAAGAGCAGCGTCTTGACCATCCAGTGGCTTCCGGTATGCACCTCCAACATGCGTCCCCCCAGAGTCGATATATTTCCGCGCAACACTTTCGTTCATGAACATGTCGTGCGTTGCATGGTAGCGCCTGACATTCTCGTATCCGCCGATAGGGATCCGAAACCCGGTTTGTTGCCGGATACGCCGACGGCAGGTACGAATCGGTCGTTCACTCAAATATAGCTGCTTTCCAATTCGTCGATACGAAATGAGCCGCCTGGGCATATTGCTGATGTTGGAGTACTTTATCGCTTCGACCCACAGCCTGATCTTCTATGACAAGGACAAGGACGAGCAGCCATTTATTGGGGTGATGCCGCCCATCGATCCCGAGGGGTATGTAGTATCTTGCTTGATGCGGCCTAATACGGACGGACTGGACGAGGCTCACATGGAGCTCGTGGAAAGTTCCATGATGCTGATGGCTCAAACTATCAGATTCACCGTCATCAAGTCGTACCACGAACGCGAATCCTCAGTACCGAACCCGCAAGGCTGGTGGCAAATCAGCCAGAGCGCCGTTACAGGTACATCTTGCCGACCGACCGATCTCTCAGCCGATCAAGCGCCTGTGCTTGTGCTTGAGTCAGGAATTGGAAACTCTGCAATCAATCCACTCTCTCGCTGCGCAGTGATACAACGATACAGTGCTCAATTGCTGCGTTGCTCGCTGTAGATCGTCACCATGCACTAGCAAGAGATCCTCACTGACCCGCGGATTTCTCTTCAACACATCTGGCTTGCCTCTTTTGCAGCGATATCGTTCTCCCCGGACACGCAGCATATAGCGGTGGTGACGGCCGATGGCAAGCTCAAAGTTATCGATTTTAAAGGAGAGAGGTACAGAATCACCCACACCGTTTGATCGTGACCAACAAGTGCCCAAGCGACTGTCTCGACGGCCTTGCCACTTCACTTACAAATGCACTGCCTCGACTCGCAGAATCTGCGACTGCTATCCGTCCTACTTTGGCGGCTTCACATGTGTGTGCTGGTCACCCGACGGCAAGTTCATCGTGACCGGAGGACAAGACGACTTTATCACAATCTGGAACTTTCGCGGCCGGATCGTTGCGCGCTGCCAAGGCCATTCGTCATGGGTGACCAGCGTTGCGTTCGATCCGTATCGATGCAGTGACCGGAGCTATCGCTTTGGCAGCGTTGGCGAGGACGCCAAGCTCTGTTTATGGGACTTTTCCGTGTCGTCGCTGCATCGGCCAAGGGTAAGCCAACGCCAAAGGACGTGGCGGGTGTGCTGAGACGACATTCTACTCGATGGACTGAGGAGCAGTACACCTTGAGGGTCACAGAACAACGGTTACCCGATGCTGTCGCGCACTGGCTTACACCTTGCCTTGGTGCTATTTACAATCCGCTGCGCCGCTACCAGACTCACCACACGCTCATGCGCCGCTTGCCAACTGAAACTGAAAGGAAATGCAACGTCCACGAGCTGGCCTCGCGCCGAGATGTATCTGTGATCGAGCCGTTCTTTGTAAGCATGCAGCCACTGTCATGCCCAGAGAGGAGCCGCAGTTTGATCGCTGTATTCTGGCCGCTGGATACTGAGCTCCGACATTTTCTGTCATCATGTCTTCTCTAATCTTCTCGTCCATGATACTGCAGTCGATTGCCATCCACCTTGACCCGATCAAGTCAATCAACTTTCGCGAGGATGGCATCATCACCGCAGATCGAGCGGGCCGCGTCCGCCTGTGGAAGCGGCCGACTCCAGAAGCTGCCCCGCAAGCAGACTAGGGGACGCTCGCTTTCTTGGCATCACCAGCCGTCAACAGAATGCCACTCGGCCCATGAATGTTCGATACTGGACCCGATGTCCTCCAGGCTTAGCGCGCGCAACCTCGTTACGAGCCCGCTTTCCCATACCCATATCAGCCATCTGTCCATATCCCACCGACACCAATACCACCTATATACGATCGACTCATGGGTACGGACTGTCGTTCACCTTCATCCCTGGAGATTACCCAAGCCAAGTTGTTCGGCCATGTCGTTCTATTCAATGTCAGCTATGGGGGGGGGTGCATGGATAATGCGTTCAATCGACACCCTGAGCTTTGAGCTGTGGCTCGTGCAAAATGAAACGGACCACTCGGCTCGGAGGTCGGTGGTCGCTGCTTTGTCTGAGAATCATATGCGTCCTGACACAGTCGGCGTGATCACTGGTCAGACTCTGACCCGCTCTCGACCTCGAGGGGGCTGATTTGGTCAACGGGGCTGGTCTTGGTTTCGCTGATGCGGCGGAACGACAGCGTCTTCTGGACCTTGTGTGTCCGTGCTGTATCCTCGAACGGCGAGTGCTCGGCTGTGATATCGGGTCTGGGGGTGCTTGGCTCCCCTATGACAGCGACCCGATCTACACCTTCCCATATCTCGTCGGGGGGCCGGGCAGCTGAGGCATCTTCGTGGATGTGGTGGTGGATGGTCTCATGCGACTCTAGTGACGCTGAGCGTATGACACCGATGCCGCCTTGGCCTTTACCCTTGAGGCTGGCGTCCACTTCGGGTTCCGGCTTACTGATCTCGAGTCTCGATCGACTGTCGTAGCCGGACTCCTCGAGATCCAAAAACCTGGCGATTCGAGGCATTCGTCCAAGCGCTGTTCGCGGCAACATCAACTGGCGTTCCGGCCAGCCCCATAGGCGAAAACATAGCCGTCCAGAGAAAGTTGATGTTAGCGGCATATCCGTATGCGCAGTGTACATAGCAAGGATACTCGATTGTGCGGGGTGCATAGCAGCGAGACTCGATTGTACAGCGCACATAACAAGAATACTCGGTTGTACCCACCAGCATTTTTCTGTGGGGAATTATGAAATGAATATCAGTGAACGAAGCCCGCCGTCAATATAAAAGTACTCGCATACACTTCCAGCGGAGCCTCGAAAAGTCAAAGACATCGCTTGTAGCGATCGTGCTCCTGCCCGGCGACCGCCCATCTCCTCGACAACCAGCCCTGAAACTCACCTAGCCCGTTTCGAGCTGTTCTCGAGATCGCGCAGATATACTGGCAGCAGGTACAGGACCAGCATCAGGAAAATGAAGGCACAGATGGCAATAATGCAGATGCAGATTGTGTGGACAGCCTGGATGAGAGGAAGTGCGTCGTTTGCAAGGATATCGACGCTCTACACCCAGCCAATGCACAGCGGTTAGTTCAAGGCTCGCAGCCAGAAAGCGTCTGGCTCGGTCAGCTGCGAGATGGAGGAAGGCTCGAAATCTGTCACTACTGCATTGCATTTTCGTGCTCACCAGATTGAGGTTGTCCAGGAGGATCGCCCCTGGCCCGACCATCACATCTCTCAGATTCAAGTACGACTGCGGAAGGTCTTCCGAGACGCCGTTGGATCTAGATGCCTCCGAGGCCACCAACTTGCCCAGCGACACCATCTTTTCGATCAGATAGTCGGAGGATCCGCATTGGTCAGCGGGACCCAGACACTGGAACTGATACTCGACTTGATCCAGAGCACTGAGTCTGCCTTTGACCCCAAGCAAGCCGGGGTTCAGCGTGACATTCCCGGACTTGAACCCAGCATTGGTCCAGTAAAGTGTGTCGGCGGCGGCTCGGAGTTCATTGCGGAACCACTCGGGCCGGGCAAGGGTGGTGTCATTGCGCATGAGCTCCTGTGAGAGCGCCAGGATTCGCCAGACCCCTGTGAAGCAGCCAGTGGGATGTGGAGCTAGTTTGTTAGACAAGCTCGTTTACTGCACAGAGCCGAACACTGCCTGTCTGAAGCGGATGGGCCAGTCGAGCGACAAGTCGAATGGAGCAGACCACCGGTCAGTGGATACAGCGACCCCGAGTTGAACAGAGACCACTCACATGCACGCCTGGCTCCGGCTTGCTCGACCTCAATCGTCCGCTCTACGAGGGTGTTGTTGGTAACCCACAGCCAGCAGAGTGCAAAGGTTGAGCAAACGAGCATCAGCGTCAGCGACACCGCGTAGAGGATGGTAACCTTTCTCAGTTTTGGGGAACTGGCCCGGACCCGATCCCGGTTCGTGGCAATTTCCTTTGTCTTTGTTTGGCGAGTCAGCACATTCTCGGAGCTGGGTGCGCTGTGAGGATGATCACTGGGAGTGTTCAAGTCATGGGGCACCCGATCCCCCAGCGGGGCTGGCTTGTCTTTCGATGCGCCCGACTTGGCACCCTCGACTTTTAACGGAGACGGCGACTGCGTAGTCTGCTCCTCGGCAGCACCGACGTCCGATTTCTTGGAATCAATCCGATCCAGCAGCTCCGAAACGTGCCTGACCGGGATGTCGAAAAACAGCTCGACCGACTCGGAAAAGTCGTTGCGTACTTTGATGTAGGACGGAATGTAGAGCAGCAGGGCCAGACCCAAGGGAAGCACCACGCATGTGGTTGCAAATACCGCAAACATGATCATTCGCATGGAGTCATTGGTGCTCATGAGCGCAGCCTACAAGTTGAGGCAAGTGCACAAAGGGCGAAAGCAGTGTGCTGCTAGTGAGCGCGAGCAACATACTCTGCATATCGCCCAGGCGTTGGCTTCGGCTGGGAGCGGCCCTACTCTGTGCACAGATTGGAATGCAGTCGCTGGGATAGATGGCTGGCATCTTGCCACTTAGGCAGCATGTCCAATATCTTCCGTAATAGGGCTCATCCGCATCGAAAACATACCTGGTAGGCAGAAACAGTATCGAGTATACCCGTGAAGCCGCTGCCCACACCATTGTCGATGACGAAAATCCACGACGTCTCATTCTCGAGCGGCAGGACGCCTGTCGTGTTAACATCGATCAAGCACGAGATATACTCGGGCATAATATGCGCCATGTCCCAGTACATGGTGGTATTTTCGATCGCTCCGGAGCTGCTGTGACCATAGATCTGGATGCTGTACGAGGGATCTATATTTGGGTTCGGGACAGACCGGCGTTGAGCCCCGGATGTGCAAGTTAGCATCCTGATTCAGATTCCTGTTTGTGCTTCCGGTGTCAGTCACTTTGGCGTGCATCTGTACCCGCCAGGCCAAGGGAATGATACGTACCGTTCCAGGCGTCAACCACGGTGCTCGATGTGAGCAAATTGTCGGTGTAGAACGCCGTGAACGAAGCCTGAATCTGCGATGCAACCAGAGCGACGTTCTGTTTCGCCACAGAAACGGTGTCTGGGACGCTGCTTGGATGGCTGTAAGCCCACTCAAGCTCGCGGACATAGTAGACGGCAAACTGCGACAGGCTGCGGATCTTCATGCCCGTCAGGAACATGGACTGCTGTGCCTGGACATTGTCGATCAAGTACGCAGGGCCGGCGCTGAATAAAACGATAATGCAGATGAACATGGTTGCGGTGGAGGTAAAAATTGAGATTTTGAGTCCTCGCTGAACTTTGGCCACCAGCTGATCAATCCTGGTGGTTTGAGCCTTGGAATCAAACCTGAGCACACCCAGGCGTTCGTGGATGCATGTGCAAAGGGAAGTGTGAGCCATGTCTGCGATTGCGATCCTCCGAGCCACATCGGCGTTGTTCTCACTGGAGCCGGTACTCAAACCACGTACGCATGTCCGAGAAAATCAAAGTCCTGGCGCTCGTGCAATCCAATCTGGGGCAAACTTGACTGACTAGTCCGGCCGCTGCCCGTCGATGCAAGCTCAAATTCAGCAGCCGAGGTCGAGCCCGCAAGCTTTTTGGATTTGTTGCGTTTCTTTGACGACGATGCTTCAATAAAGTCGGCCTGCTGGTCGGCACGCTGAGCCATTTCAGTGTCATTCGAGACAACTCGAAGAAAATTGGCGTATGATCGGACGATCTTGGACGACTGGGGGAAGGCACCCATGAGTTTCTGGAGAGCCACGCCAACGGTGCCGTTAGTTGCTACGTTTGCTTCATCACCACAACGGCGACTCTCCTATCCTTCGGGATGGGGCTGCAGGACGGGCGATGGTGGTTGCGCTTGGTCGCGATGGTCAGTCATGAATTGCTGAAAGCGCATGCTCTCACCAGATAGTACGATCGAGCCAGGGTCTCATGGTTCTCGACACGATCGGCGATCTGGAGAAGCAGCAGATAGTTGCGATTCTGGCGGGCGACGTTTTTCCAAAACAAGACAGCATGCTTGACTGCGTCCTTCTCATGTTCCTTGGCTGCGGTAAAGTCGTGTCGGTACTGGACAGCTTGAACGACATCGGTGATGCCCTCCTCCTCTATAAGAGCGGCTTGATCGAACTAGGATTCAAGACGGTGGTCAGATCCATCGCTAATAAATCGGCCTTTCTTTCTGTACTCTGCCGAGCCCCCCGCTGTGCCGGCACAAAGGCGGTGGCAGTGAGCAGCGAGCAGCGAGGCATCTATCTAGAGCGACAGGTGGGGCACATAACCCACCTCCCTGGTTGTGTCAGGAATTTGAGTGGCGAGGGGGGGGGAGTTTACAATCTCGGTTATTTCCTCGCGCGTTGGAAAGTCGTATGAACTGACCAATGCAGCCAGAGAAGCATGCAAAACATTTCAAGGCAGTGCAGATCAACCCTGATGAAGACAGCTGCTCTCCGCGTCGAATCAATGAGGAGGCCAGTTGCACGAGACCTCGAGTGCAACACAAACTCACCATTTTTTGAACAAAAAGTAAAGGCTGTATCGCGAGTCAATCTTGGGTCGCATCAAAAGGGTCTCTTTGGCGATCTGGGGCACGACTGTGGTCAGGAAATGGATGCGGATCCTGCGGCCCAGATGCGCAACCCAGCTGCTCCAAATCACGCCCTCCACTAAGCAGGCACGACCACTGACCTCCTTGGCCTGGTAAGTTGGCGGGGTCCTGACAAAGTTGCTCACGTCATGACCTTCGAACGTTAGGAACAGCGCGACCCTCGTCTGTAGCCACGAGCTATTTTCAAACTTGCGGGTGCCCGCCATCAGCAAGGCAAAGGCCATGGATTTCCACTGCTGTGGATCACTGGTGGCCTGCCAGCCGGGGTACATGGACGCAATCCAGTTGCGGCACCTTAGCCAGGCCCAAAACCAGTGGCGAGACTCCTCCGAGCCATACACTGGACACTTTGGCAGCTGGGCCTCCTTGGTTTGTGGTATCCCAGTCGAGGGCTTGTCCGCAGAGGGAGCGAACTTGGCTTGTTTGCCATCCAGATCGGCCTCGATGTCCCGATCGAGACTCAAATCAGAGAGGTCTGCGTCCACCTTGCGATAGACGAGTGCCAGGAGGGTTCGCAGAGCAAGGTCGAGCTCACATGGGGTCCAGTACGAGCGGACGACCTTGCGGAGCTCGTGTGCGCATATCTGCTTCTCATCCATCATGTCGGCTAGATGGGGCATCAACCTATCGAGCTTGCGAGGCAGCAAGTGGTAGAGCCGGTATCGCAGCAGAGCTACCCCTATGGCACCAAAGACGGGAAGGAGCGCGATGACAATGTAGATTCCACCTCCCCACACTTCGGCGGCCTGCCATGCCACCAAGAGGGAAGCTGTTGCGGCGAATGTCTGGAAGGCTTGGCGACAGAGTGCATCCGCGAACCGAGTCAGAGAATGTCGTTACAGAGCGGCAAACAAGACCGAGAAAGTTGGAAGAAGACACACCAGAGGACCCAGCCGAAACAGCACACACGACTATTTACTGGCACTTCCAAAGGTGCGCAGGATAAACAGCCATGGCTGTCTAAAAACTTACCCACGACAAACGCCTTGGCTTGGTTGCTCACGAGCGAGAAGTACGGTGGGTAGTAGAGCGTGAGCAGCAGGATGGACGTGTTGGCGAGCCAGAGCACCACAGCTGCCCAGCTGCCTTTGAGGACCGAGAAGGCAATCGAGATCATGGTGCGCAAGAGCAGCTCGGTAAAGTCGATCCGCGGGGCGTTTCGAGCGCCCAGCCTCCTGGAAGGGTTGCTTTCGGCCGAGAACACCAGGCCGGTCATCGCCAGCAGCGGAACGAGGAACAAAATCAAACAAATAATCGAGAGCACCAGCACAAAGAGATTGTAGGCACTGAGGACGTTGAAAGTAGCCGCAATGTCGGGGCTCATAAAGTACGATGAGGAGTAGAACGCCCAGTCGACGATCAGTGAGGTGGGCCGCAGCAGATGCTCCTGCAAGGCCGCGAGAATACGAGTCAACCCAAGTCCGAGTGTAGAGTCGGAGTGGTTACGGTGCAATCGAGAAACCATCAATCCTTTGCCAGAGTCCCACCCGGACTGGAGATCTCACCATGATGGGGAAGAACAGCAGCGTCGAGAGACCGCCGATCTGGAAAGAAGCTCGCTGGTGTGAGCGTGACTTGGGTATATGGCCGCGACATCGCTTTGCCAGGATCCAGACGATAGGAAAGAGTCGCACGCCTGCACTGATACCTGGTAACGAGTCACCGTGAGGATCTTTTGCGACGAGATTCCGGCTGGCTGCCGAATCTGAGCCAAGAGAATGACCACATTGGCGACGAACCAGACCGGCAACGCGACGCAGATCCAATAGAACACAAGACTTTCGAATGGCACTGGAAAAAACATCGGACGACGATTAGCGGGCGGTGAGATGGTGCAGGCATCCAAATACACATTCCGTCGACACTCTGTGGTAGCATGCCACAGCGTTGATGAACCCTGACAAGCTCATGGGTCCGATCGAGTCTGGGTGCTGGCCGAACACTTACAAAGCGTGTAGTAGAAAACATTCTGGGTCGTTGGGTTGTTCCAAGGGCTACTCGATGGCACCGAGGAATAGCAGCCCGCATGAGTCGCTGCAAGCGCAAACGCAAGTTCAACGGGTCTAGCGACAAACCGACGCGATGCTCAGAGCGCCTACATTTCAGGATGAAAGCAATAGCTGCCCAAAAGATGTGCCAAAGGCATCGTCAGCCAAAGTTCGTCTGATGGAGATGCATTTGGACGGCGACGCAAGAAACCAGAGGCACAGTCCGCTGCTGCCGTCGTCCGGGCCGATGCGGCAGCCCACACCGCCGCATCAACCCAAGGAGTACCTCCCGACCGTAACCCGAGCCTACCCGAGGTTCTGGACGGCATCAAAGACAAAGCCGAGACCAAGTAGGGTCTCGATAACTCTGTTGTCTGCATACCAAGCCACGGAGTGAGAAGATCCGAATCAGTCAATGTCGGCAATTGGCAAGCAACCACTTCGCCCTCATTGTCGCTCGATTTTCCCGCATCAACATGAGCCGCATTTGGAACATCTCAGAACACGGACAAATCATACACACCTGTTGTGAGGAGAAACACAAGATTGAAGGCCGTATTCTCCATGGCTGCCGAAGCAGGGCGGATGTTTAGAATGCAAAAGACTGGCTGTCGAGAGCTAGAGGAGGAAATGCAAGTGCAGGCTGCGTCCGCAGTGGGGTGCGGCTCAAAGCCCGGTGTTCCTTTTGTAGTTTTGAATATCCCCCCCCCCAGCTTACTGATTTGGCCCAATCCGCTCCTGTAAATTGGAGGGAGAGGATCGCAGTGGATCGCTCTGATTGCGCACTAGGCGCCACTGGGAGACGGGGGAAGCCTCGGTAGTCCGCCTATTGATCCGGTGGAAAGGGAACACAGCGATGTGATGACGGTCCTGCTGACGACTCGGGCGCTGTCGACAGTGTCTCAATCCACCCAGGGACGACGTCATGTGTTGGCGAACAGATCTAGTGCTAGACTTGCAACAACGCTAACGTCATCAGCCCTGGGCGACAATCGATTTGATCGGCACAAACATCCGATGAATCATTCCAGCACTGCGAGGCATTGGATCTGCGCCGCCGAGGATGAATCAAGGACACCCGAGCGATGTTCAGGTCCGCTCGGCTCGTCTGCAAAGGTTACTGCAATGAGTGCCAGCCCGCCAATGGAGCTGCTGCCGCGATCCCCGCCAATGTGCAGGGAGAATCTCACCAAGGCAGACAGTGCGTCGAGCACAATGGCTCGGCTGATGCTGTCAGCTGTGAGTGCGAGTTTGTGAGGCGGAGCTCGCTGTTGGCTCTTCACCCATTTGATCGCCTTGTGGAGGGAGTGCATCGGGATGATCGCACGGATCGTGAGAATACCCTGTTTTGAGTCAGGGCAGTCGTTTGTTCCGGGTCGTCCACCGTGGCAACGAGTATGCTCAAGGTACCTGTACGTGTCTATTCACAACTCCGAAGGCTGTCGCCAACATCCAAAGACGGCGTCTCACTCACTCTTGAGGGCTATAAGTTGTTGCGTCACCAACGGTATATCGAGCATGCGCAGATGCACGCACGTATGCGTGAAGTGGGTGAACCAACAGAGAAGTGCCTGGTGGTGAAGCGAGCCAAAGATAACCGTCGATAGTGTGGGTCGGTATCAGCGCGAGACAAAATCGGCTCTGCGCAAAACAGGGAGAGGAGCACTTCGAATATCGCCGAATCAAAGTTGGTATCAAAGTAGGGAAGCTAGGATATGCCAAAATACAGAAGAAATACAAAAACCCAGAATTGAAGTAGCCTCCTTCCTCCCTCTCAAAACAAACAGAGGGCAAAAATAACCAAAAAGTACAAAAGAATCAAAGTATGAGAGTATGGGTAGAGCTGGGACGACGCCCCGGAACAAAACCGGAGCTGGCCAGACGGCAATGCAGATTCAGAAGCCAACGTGACATCCGTCACGGCAGAGAATCGACTGAGCTGGGAAAAGGAGTGATTTGTGAGGTGCAATGAAGTGAGTGCTGGGGGAGGCGAATGGACAGGATGTTGCCGATGGTGGAGGTGTTAGGCGCGGTTGAGGATGTACAACTGAATGAATGAGTGCATGGATGAACTGGGAACAGCGCGATCACTTTGATGCTGGCCGGGAAAATCGGATGCGTGGGTCGGAGGATGCGCCTGGCTGTTGGAGATCCCGTGGGCGATATGCCGGGGCCTTGCGCTTAGGCGGGCCGTCAGCAGCGCTCCATTGGCAGTTGCGAGGCTCCCAGAATCCAGTCGATGTCTCTGACTCTCGCTGAACTGCAGAGATCCACGCCGAGACTGGGCCGCTCTCAGCAGCAGGAGCAGCGCACTCGCTTCTGATGGACAACGTGTCGTTGCTGGTCACGGACTCGCTTGATGAATGCCGATTATCCTTGAAGGGAGAGGCTTCACCGGCAAGGTTCGCCGGGTGACTGGTATTTGAATTCGGTCGATCGGCGCCGCCTGCACCGCTTGAAGCACGCGATCGGCGGGTGTGGTCCATCGACGACAAAAGGCTCTGGTGCGTCGTTGGGACGCCCGGAGGCGGCAGATCAGATTCCGAAGACGAGAGCGACGCTCGACGGGATTGTCGAAAGCATGTCCCCGAAGGTGGTCGCAGGCGAAAAACAGATCGAGCAATGGTCTCGTCCGAAGCGCTTGTGCCTACGTTGCGTATCACAGCCTGGTCATGTAGTGCCCTCTTCGGCAGTGACGAGACGATCTCGGGCGAAAGATGAGCCGTGGGTCGTTCAATAAAGACACCCGAGGACAACGGTCGGCGAGCCGGCAATGGCAGGAAAAGCGGGTCGGTGACACCTTGAGTCGGTGTCTGTGAGTGGGCAGGAGACGGACCAGGTGAATGCGAGCCCAGAGAGGGCCCCCAGATCCACCGGAACAGATTCACCAGACTCGAGTGCACGGCTGTGGTCAGGTCCCAGGAGAAGACAAACATGGCGGCGATGCCCACGAGGACAAAGCCAAAGAACCACGCGACGATCGAGCAGAATATGAAGATGTCGGCGAGCTTGGGGGCGCGCTTTGCAAGGCGGTGCAGCACCATGAAGAACATGGGCGTGAACTTGATCAGGGCGACGGTGATGAGCACGGCAGAAACAAAGGCGAGTGTTTCCTCGGTGGGCACAGAGCGAACCAAGGAGAGCATTTTCGCCGAGAGGGACTGATAGTTTGCCCGGAGCACGAACCCAGTTGATGTGGTTGAAACGAGAATGAAGGCCATCGCCCAGCGCGGGCCAAAGAAGGGCAGCACCAGATTCAGCAGCAGCGCGCGAAGGATATAGTAGAGACACGATAAGCAGAGGAGAGCAGCCAGCGCCGAGAGGGCGAGCTCAGGGGTGGTGGGAGGGTATCGAGTGCTGGTCAACTTTCGGATCGGATGGACAGGAGACGACGAGTTGGATCTTGGCGGGAAAGGGCGAACGCCGGGCAGTGGGGAGAATCCTGGATCTCTGGTGACAGCTGGGTGTGCTAGGCTGGCCAATGAGCTATCCCAAGCAGAGGAGACCAGAGATGGCTTGCCAGTCGCGACGGGAAGAACCTCCGATCGGAGGGACGTTGACAATCGAGACCTTGGCGGCGGCGCCAGAGCGCGGGGGACGTCGATGTGGGAACGACGAGGACCAGGTCGATCTTCGGCAGCGCTTGGCTCCGAAAGAGGCCGCTGGATTTGGATCGCGGATCCGGTCGGCGCTTCGGGGGATCTGACAAAGCGTGCGGGTCGATGCTGCTTCTCCGTGGCAGATGGCAAGGAGCAAGGCTGTGGGTCACTGGCGAAATCCAGGGCAGATGCAGATGGTTGAGGCGTCGACGGCGAAGGAGAATGCAACGGTGTCTGCGGCGGTATCGGCGCGGCCTCCGAGTCGACCGTGTGCGGATCAGGCTTAGATGAGAGCAGTCGGCGGGTGAGTGATGCCGCGCGGGTCCTGACGAACGACGGCAGAGGAAGCGAGTCGAAAGAGGACGAGAGAAACGATGGACGCAAGAGCGTTGTGGGCAGCAGCCGAGAAGAGTCGCTGGGTCGTGGATCTTCCATCGAGCTCACGACGGCAGGCAGCAGCGAGCAGCAGCCGGATGGTTGGTTCGGGATAGTCGGCAGAGCAGGGGGGGTACTTGTGCCGAATCTGTCCGAGAGAAACGATGGCAGAGACGAGCTGAGGCTCAGCGCCACGACAAGAGGCGGCCGGGACGCTGGAGATATTCTTTGGAGAACACGAGCGGTATGTGCTTTGCGCCTTGCGGGCCGCAGCGGGCGACGGTGGGCAGCGGTCGGCGATGGACAAAGTTCGATGACGGGTAAAGGTCGGCGATGGCGGACTGGCCAGGACCAAGAACAATCAGCGGGAGCGTCACCGACGATCGGCCTTGTTCGCCTGTGGCGGCGGCTGGCTCGAGGGCGGCTCGATCCGCACGTGACAAGCACGCGTGTGGGGCAGCCACGTGCACGCAAAATCGGCCATGGTCGGTTGACGGCATTTGGTATCACCTTGAGCCGATTGACGGTGGTGGGTACCAGACAGTGTTGGTTCATTTGGTTTCATTCATTTATTTACACTTTTGGTCGCCCACTACTTACCTCGGGTCGTCGTCCTGATCGATCGTCGGAATCTGGTTCATCATGTCCAAATGCAGATCGGCGATGGGAAGAGGTGGTCAGATTCCAGCAATATGGGCAAACTGATCAGCGGCACAATCAACGGAACTTAGCATTTCCAGCAAACCTGATAGCCAGCCAAACAGGGAGGGAAACAAGGGTGTGGGGATGAGGAAGTGGTTCTCATAAGCTGATTTGCAGTGATAAAGGTCTGGAAGCCATGCGATCGAATTGTAGTCCTCCACATACCTCATTTCGTCCATCGTGGGCTGGTTGGTGCAGTCAGGACCTATAGTGAGCCCTGCTGCTTTATCGGTCAGCCGTGGGTGGCAGCTCATCGTATCACTTTTTGCAATCGGCAAAGCCATGAATACCTCACCAGCAGTATTGGTCAAGCTGGTTTCGGCGATGGAAGAGTTGTGTGCTTCATTGCGATGGACTGGTGCTTGTTGGATCGTCTCGGGGGTACTGGTGTTGAGCAATATCCCGAGCGACGGGCGACTATTTATCTCTCGTCTCTTGATGCCTCTCTGGTTGGAATCCTAGTCAAGCGTGGCTGTGTGTCAGCGAGATGACATGATCGTTTGGCTATCAGGCAAGACTCACCTTGACAAGATGTCTTCCCACGACTGATTGAGCGAGCGATGCGTTTCTGGATCTGAATCAAGGACGCCACTGCACAGTATCTCTGCCAGCCCAAAATGCGCTGGTTTTGAGGAGAATTTTTCTTCCCCAAGGGCAGAACCAGCCATCGCTGCTATTTTCTCGCCAGATGGCTCCCAAGAGAAAGACACCCCCCGACCCCGACCCGGGATCACCCAATGACTCTCCTGTGGCCAAGAAACCAACCATCAAATCATGTCCCTCCTGTGGCCTGACCAACCATGTTAGACCCTTCACCAAGAAGTGCACAGCCAGAATCGACAGCAGCCCTGCCTCTGGCTCTGCCTCGGTCGCTGAAATGGTCAGCCAAGCACCCCCTCCAGACGAGTCCAGCGACGACACTGCCTTCCCAGCCCCCGTGGTCGAGATGCCCGCACCCAAGGTCCCTGTATGTGCCACGTGTAAGCAAGAGGGTCATGCCAGAAGCAACACCCCAAAGTGCCGTTTCTATAAGCCACTCTGGAGCTCTACCTTGCCTGACTGTGGCCCAAACGAGCAAGTCAAGGACGACTACTCCACCGTCAAGTGCACTCTGGACGCCATCATCAAGAACGACACCTTGCACGACAAGATCGAGGAGACTGTCCGGGCCATGACACACGTGCAGTACGAAGCATCTCGTCTCCTGGAGCTGCATCTCAGGCGGTGCTTGGACAAGGGTATCACTCTCCCCGCCGTGTCGTCGAGTGAACCCGCGTTTGTTCGAAAGTGCTTCAATATGGTACACACCGGAACAGTGGGTGCCAGGACGAACACCCCAGAAGATGACAGGCACATCCTCGATACCTATGAGCTGTATCGAAGTACATGGAGTGAATCGTGTATCCTGCCTCCAGTGTCCCTTCCAAAGGGTACTGGGTCACAGGTCCTCACATTGGCTGTCAAGACCTATGCCGTCAACTGTGAGACCCACGTTCTCGATCGTTACTGGTCCCTTCTACGCCGATACTGCAATCTGGTCCTGGTTGCTCCCAAGGATGTGAAACGGCACACACACGTCGACGATTGTATGAAGCTGATGGAGAGTCCCCTCTCCAAGACACTCCTCGGTGATCTGAGGAAATCCTTCGCCCACCATGCCGACCAGCTCTACGGATATCGCTACGAAAGCCACCAGGACCTGTATCGAGTTGTATCGAAACTGGCCAGTGAAGTCTCTCGACTAACCCACCTGAAGGAGGCCCTCTTCATGGTGGTCTTTCAGAAGATGATCATTCCCAGGCTCGTGAGGGATACCGAAGATCTGAAAGGAGAGCGTGGGCGACTGAACGAGGAGATGTGTCAACCCATCCACCACATCGGGGCTGACAGACTCAAAGATCTCCAGACCCAGCACGAGGAGGTGTGCAAGCAGATCACCATCAACAGGAAACGGATCAAGCGATTGACCGACCGGCTTGCCCAGACCAAGAAGCGACACAAGGCCCCTCGAGCACAGTGCACATTGGTCCCTCTCTGCGATGCCCGAGCCAAGTATGTCAAGCTCGACACCAAAGCATTGTGGGAGATCCTTGGATACCAGACTGGCACTGGGCTCAAGTAGGACGACCTGAAGACCAAGGTCAATGACACCACCAAGCAAGAGACCTTCTGGCAGACCAACTTCAAGCTGGATCCGAGACTCTTTGGTGCCAGGGAGGAGGGGAAGCAGCTCTTTGGTTGCGAGATCACCACCGATGGGGTCGGGTGCTCGATCACCACACTCAGGTACAAGATCCTGAAGAAGGATCCTGATGTCAAGCCAGAAACCGTGGACAAGGACGACAAGACACCCAAGCTGACCCCCGAGAAGAAGATCCAGGCCAGAGTCGGTCCCATTGACGACTCTCGGACCACATGGATCGGGATCGACCCTGGTGTGGGATCGATCTTCACCGCTGTCATTCGGGCACCCGGTCAACCATCCATCCAGGAGCAAGACGGTGTCAAGGTGACCAAGGCACAGCGTGCAAACGAGAAGATCGTGTCGCTCTCCAACAAGGAGTACCAGCATCGATGTGGCACCACCCAAGCGACCAGGTGGATCCAGAGCACCCACAAGATCCTTGGTCTGCAGCAATGGATGAGCACCACACCAAGTCCCAAGATCCCTGGGTTGGCATCCTTCCTGCAATACATTCGCCATGTGTTCGATGGAGACATGCTGGACAAACAGCTGTACTTCAGCCTGACCCGGCGATGGCGATTCAAGCGACTCGATCTCTACGGCAAGCGACAGCGCACCGTCCACGGGATGTGCAAGCGAGTCGTCGACCAGGCACTGAAGGAGACCGAGGTGGTGATTGCCTTTGGGAATGCATCCTGGAAACAGGGGAGGGGATATGCATCCAGCCCACGGAGACTCAGGTTCGCCAAATACTTTGAGCAGTTCCACCATCACCAGAGACGACCACCAGACCGATCCGTCTCCAAGATCCATGTGTGCTCGGTGAACGAGTTCAACACATCCCAGGTGTGCTCACATTGTCGGGATGCCAAGCGACTCGAGTCACCCGAGTATCTTGATATCGAGAAACCACACTTTGTCCGGAGCTGTGCAAGCTGCCATACGCTGTGGGATCGAGACATCAATGCAGCCAGGAACATGATCTCGGTATGCCAGTCGATCATCGCCCATGGAGATCGACCGGGTGTATTCAAGACTGTGCTCCCGAAACCAACGAAATCAAAGAGATTGCCAACCAGGACGGGAAACAATCGCACGGCTTGCTCGCTGGGGCCTACAGTCAGTCAACGGGTTTCAGATATCTGAAGCCCGAAATGGGATCTGTCCCGTTTCTTTCTGGATTGACTGTAAGTATATTGTTCCTTGTGCATTTCGACAGTGGATGCCGGGTCGCCCATATTCTGGGCAGTCCACTTCGGGGTTGCCATCCCTCTTGGGATGGTCGATGGGAGGTGTTTGACTCCCTTGTGCAAAGTGTGTGTGTGTGTGTGTGTGTGCAAAGTGTGTGTGTGTGTGCGGATGTGTGTGTGTGTGACGGCGAGAGGCTTCTCGCCTTCCCTCGGGGGTCTCTCGCCAGAGACTGCTCTTCTCGCCGACCGAGGTGGCTCCGAGAGCGCGTTTTATCGTTCTCGCTCATTTTATTAACAAGAATTTTTTTCATAGTGTCAGCAAACAGCAGCCGTTCTTGCCTTGCGCTCGACCTCGCCCGATCCTAGATCATCTGCCCGGGGGCATTCCCGCTGCTCGCTCTCCGTCCCAGCCATGAGCCGCTCTCAGCCCGTGACCCAGTTTGCCTGTAGGTGCCGTCTCTGCTTGACCGGGCGTCGGCTGGCAGCACATTCAGCAACCGACACGCTGGCAGCGAGATCGACCCACACCCAGGCTCGCTCCTATCACGACCTGCGTCTGGACTGTCCTCGAGGACAGGATGCAGGCCGTGCCCAACGCCGTCGCCGGATCGAGCGATTCGCAGGCTGGCTGCCGGCTGCGCTTGTTTTTGCATGAGCTCTGCTGCGAATGGCTCTCTGCTCACGATTCCCGCTGCTGTAACCAGACCGATCCAACACGGGGCTCGTCGTGAGCAACGGTCCGCCCGAGAATGCCCCGATCACCGGTTTCAGCCCGTAAGTTTCTCCCGGTGCGATTAAACAAAGGCGCCCAAACTGTGAACTTTGCCATATACAAAGGGCCTGCACATGTGTGATTGCTCGACGTCCGGCCACCGCCGCATCTCAGCGGCACGATCAGAGGCAGCCGCGTGGCATCTGTCTTGGTTGCTGATCGCCTTCTGTCTCAATCGTCTTCTGTCTCAATCGCCTTCTGATCGAACAATGCCGACGACAACTACTCTGGCAGGTCCTCCGAGACCCGATCGTTCCTGTACAGCACGGACGGCAGATATCTTGCCTGGATCCTCGACACTGGGTGAGTTGTCCTGGGCCTTGTTGTCAGAAGCTACCGGCTGGAGAAACGTTGCTGTTGAAGCTGGCCCACCCTGCGCTCTGCCGCAATTCTATCGGGCCTGGATCATGCCTCCAGATGTGGTTTGTGTCGTTTGCGACAGTGATTCTCACTCATCATGTGCAAATCGATCCAAATTGCCGGCTTGGCTCTGCTCGAGCACAGCATCCAGGTTTCGGATGCCAACCAAGGCACGCTCGTGCAGAACATCGATCTGAAGAATGTGATCGAGATCCAATTCTCGCCCCGTGGCCAGTTCATCACAACCTGGGAACGATACAGTACGTTGACGCCGACCCAAGTCCTGATGCGCTGCTTACGGCGACGCGACAGCCCATTCTTGCGATCAATGCGGATCTGCGTGCAATCGATTGCGGCATTCGATCGTGGCATTCGATCATGGGTACACTGCGTTCGCATCCCCTTGCGACATATAACCCTCCCTCCCAATTCGCGAGCAGCACTCTCCAACTTTCTCTCACTGACCTGGGCTTGTTAAACTTCTCCCCGTTGACGCTACCAGACAAAACCCTCGATGCCGAAACCAACCCCCACAAGAACGTGACTATCTGGGATGTGGCAACCGGAGCAAAGCTGACTGGATTCACCCAGAAACAGCAGAATGCTTGGTGAGCACAGCCGCAATTGTATGCATCCCACAGAGGAGACAGTCCAAGTCCCCTCTCCCCGCCGCACCGTCGCGCTAGTTGTCCTGATATCTGTCGGAACTGCAGGAAGCTCGAATGGACCGAGGACGAGGCCTACTGCGGAATCATGGTCACTGGCGAGGTTCAATTTTACGACACCAGCAGTTTTTCAAAAGGTAATTGAGACTCAATGTCCTATGCTCCGACTATTGTCACAGGGGGATGTCGCAAGAGCAGAGCCTCCTCGGCAGCAGCAGCTGTCTCTCACACAGCAATATCTCGTATGCTCTGCTAATGGGGACACCGATTGTTAGGAATCGTCTCGCGCTTGAAGATTGAGAACATCAAGGATTTCTCGATTTCGCCTGGAAAGCGCTCCGTCGTGGCCGTCTTCATTCCTGAGAAGAATAGCCAGCCTGCCTCGGTCCGCCTCTATGACGTCCACAGCCTGGCCGGACAGCCTCTGGCCCAAAAGACTTTCTTCAGAGCCGATTCGATAGAATTCCACTGGAACCAGCTTGGTAGGATCGCGGGGCGCTTTCTTTGGATCCCGAGCCATCGCTTTGTGATTGCAACGATGACTGGAATGCGCATGCGGTCTTCGTGGTGATCGCTGCTGACGCATATCTGGTTTGGCCATCCAGGCACCCACATTCTCGTGCTTGCCCGAACCGACGTCGACAAAACCGGACAGTCCTACTACGGCGAAACCAGCCTGTACTTCCTCGCGATCGCCGGCAACTACGACTGCCGCGTCACCCTGGGTATGTGCGATTGCATCCGGCAGCACCGCTGTCCACCGTCTACTGTCTTTGTCCTGTCGCTCCGCCCCAGTGTCGCGCTGGCAGATCCTCTCGAGACACCAAAATGCGTCCTAACGCGGGCTCGGTCATCACACCCTCACCTGCGGAAACACAGACAAGCCCGGCCCCATCCACGACGTGTGCTGGAGCCCCAACTCTAAGGAGTTCATCGTTGTCTATGGCATCATGCCTGCCAAGGCCACCCTCTTTGATCATCGCGCCAACTCCATGTACGAGTTTGGCATGGCTCCCCGAAACTTTGTCAAATTCAACGCTCAGGGCAGACTCATCTGCATCGGCGGATTTGGAAACCTTGCCGGCGAGCTGGTACGGGCCTGAATCCCTCGCACGATCAGCCGTCTTGCAGATGCACATGCCTAGGGCCATGCTCTCTGGCACCTATTGTCCAAGCCTGGACTGGAACTACAGATTGAGTAGCTGATTGAACATGGGACTCTATCTCTGTCATTCCAGGATGTGTGGGATCGCATCGGCTTCAAGAAGCTTACCACAATCAACGCCACCAACTCGTCCAGCTGCCAGTGGTCTCCTGATGGGCGTCACATCATGACCTCGACTCTCTATAAGCGCATGAAGGTCGACAACGGCATCAAGATCTGGCACCACTCTGGCGCACTCGTTTACAAGCTCGACGTCAAGGAGATGCATCAGGTGAAAGAGCGATCCGCAGCAGATAGCTGTGAGAGCATCGAGAGGTTTCTGCCCATCTATGGTGCGCTCTCTCGTACTAACGCACTGTCCCCTGCTCCCACCTACGATATCAAACCAACCCATGTTAGATTGGCTGGAAACCTGCGCCTCCCGAGTTCTTCCCCCATCGCAATGCCCTGTCTCCTCCTCCTGCCACGCAGCTTGCTGCAGCCGCCCCCGCCAAACCAGTCGGCGTCTACCGCCCCCCAGGTGCTCGCGGCGGCCTCGGATCGCCCTCTTTGCGGCGCGGCGAGGATGGCACTCTGCAGGCTGTTAACTCTGCCCGCAGCGTGCCTGGTGCTTCGACCGTCCCCGGCGCTCCCTCGAACGACGGTAAGAAGTGGGCCAACATCGTGAGCCGCATCAGCACTGCGCTTGCTTCTCTGAAGTACCAGAGTACGGACGGAGCTGAGGGGCTTGAGCACCAATCGTCTGGATATAATCTGATGCTGTTGCCCGATCCCGCCGTCACATGCTGCGCATGGTGCTCTTGCTGGCTTCTGCAGGCAAGAGTCACAAGCGAAAGGAAGGATTCGGAACGCCATCGCCGGCCCCGTCTGCTCCGGCAACGCCCAAGCCTGGAGCTGCCAACGCCGACCTCGAGAAGCGCATCAAGAACCTCAACAAGAAGCTCAAGCAGATTTCGGAGATCAAGACCAAAATCGCTGCTGGCGAGAAGGTCGAACTGACCCAGATCCAAAAGGTCGAGTCCGAGGCCGGCCTGATGAAGGAGCTTGGCGAGCTCATGTCCATCGCAAAGTAAGGGGGTAGTGAGCCAACCGAGACTTCCCCCCCCCCGAGTCGCCGACCAATCAATCCCCCCCTGGTGCTGCAAGAGGACGGAGGCGAGACACAACACTGAGCGAGAGAAGAATGGGAGGTGCCATGGCGATGAATCGGCTCGTGCTGGATTGGAGAAGGAGTGCGGCTGGAGCTGCATTCGCTCAAATACAGCGCTATCCTCCTCCATCGTTGGGTACCCAATTCGTGTCGAAGTGTTTGGTGCCCACAGTCTGGATGCAGATTCAAGGGCTAGCTGTATTTGAGGGTGCTGGCTACTTATCCGGGTTCCTGAATGCATGCGTGCTCAGCGACGCTACCCAGCATGCCACCGCTATATCCATCGATGGAGTAGAGCCGTGTGCGGATAATACTCGCTCGGTGCGTCCGGCATCTCGCAGGCATACGCCGGGTGTCCGGTTCGGCCTTCCCAATCACAGCGTTGGCGGGAAAGCCATGACGGGCACCGCTCCCAACCAACGGCGAGACGCATGTGTGCCTCCATCACAATCGTCCCCGATCCTCAGCCTCCACCGATCATAACAGCCCGCGGCTCAATTTTGATCTCCAGCCTTTGAAGTTGCACTTCCGTACTATTTCCCATGAGCGAGCTCAAGAAACTCACCCTTGCCCAAATCAGCCAGCACAACAAGACCAATGACTGCTGGCTCGTTGTCGATAACAAAGTCTACGACGTCACTCACTTCCTAGAAAAGGTGAGTTGTCAGAGACGGCACCCAAAGCTGCGAGCCATGCGGGAGATCATACCCATGGGGCGAGACACGCGTGGAAATCCCGTCATGGAATGGGGTGATGTGGTGTAGACTGGCATACACAAACCCGATCCGCCCGGTAATCCCGACGGTGCAACTCACATTCCACGCTCGCCTTGCGACAGCATCCTGGTGGAAAGGAAGTCTTGCTCCAGAACGCAGGTGCGGGCGGCGAGAGCATATCCCGCGGCAATCAGCATGTTGCAGCTGGCGATTGTTTGTCGCTATTGATCCCTTGGGTCTCTGATATATTGAGCAAATGAGAAAGATCGACTAGGTATATACCACCGCGAGGATCAACCGCATCCTCAACATTACTCGCTCTGTTCATTTGCACAGGCAAGGACGGCACCTCGACATTCAAGGCGATGCCCCATCCTCCATCGGCCCGGACGCGGCTCGAGAGCATGTGCGTCGGCATTTTGGATGGCTAGCAGCACCCGGCATTGTCGAGATATATTTTAATAAATCGGCCATGGCAAGCGCGGCTTGCTACACCGTCTCCCCAGCCGAGTCAGCAAGCTCTGCCGAGCCGTTCTCGGCGAGGGGATTCTTGGGCGGCATCGACGGTTCGTCCGTCCAGTACTGCGCGAGACAAAACATCGTGCGATCGGCTTCGCTCCAGTCTGCCCAGTTGAACGAGCCGGTGCGCACGCGGTTGCGCCAGACAGGACCCGGCACAGGTGTCTGGGTCTTGGGATTGACGAATCCGAAGACGGGATACTTTTCTTTCTTGATCCAGGTACCAAACAAATACTGCGTCGAAAAGTCGCGAAACAGACTGACGTCCTTCTGGCTCTGAAGCATCCGCAGCTGCTCAACGACGGATTTGTTTTGGATCTCTCGATGGTGGAAGTGGAAGTGCGAGACGTGCGAGACGGCGTTTCGGAAGCCATCAAAGTTGGATCGCCAAAAGATCGCCTCCATCACGGCCCGATCGTCTGGACACGGAACGATGCGGCCATCAAAATAGGCAACGTGGCTCTTGATGCGGCGCTGCACTGCGGCATCGAGGTCGCTCCAGTCGAACTGCGAGAGGTGGAAGTTGAATCGCACGGAGCAGTAGCTCGCAACGACGGTGCAGATCTTGGAGACCCGGCCGTTGTAGATGTGCGTCCGCACCACGCCGTCGTCTTCGGCAAAGCGCTTCCGTGCGGATTGACCGTGAGACGGTGTCGGATCGGGGCTCTGGGCGATGGATTCCGATTGCTGCAAAGGTCGCTTGACTGGGGCTGGGGCTGGGACTGGGCCGTCGGTTGTGCTGTACTCAGAGGGCTCGGCGGACAGACGCACTCCAGGCACGGGCATGACTGCGGGAAAGACCAGCGAGATCTCATCCGACTGGGTGTAGACCAGGGAGCAATTGAATTTTGAAATCATATCTTTGGAGGTCTGGACCATGACGTCGGTCAGACGCTGGTCGTAGGGCTTGACGAGCCCCCGGGTGAACTTGCTGAAGCCGCATCCGTCGAGTCTGACGACAAGAGCGTGGTGTGCAGGGACGGCCTGTTCGAGGGAGCTTTCGAGGGCCTTGATCCTGCCAATTGGGGTGGATCGGCAAAAGCAACAGATCAGCCAGCATCCAATTGTATTTGGGATTGCAGCGATGCAGGATATGCCCAGATGTGGACATGGTGCAGGGAGATGGTCGCTTGCGATGGCGAGCGAAGCGAGTCCTTACTTGTCGCCGAGCTTGTCCTGGTATATGCTTTGAAGGGCGGCGAAGGCAGAATCGGGAAGGACACAGGTTGAGGCAGAGCCCATTGTGCGGAACGAGAGGAGCGGCCGGATGCTGGTGCTGAAGACCGATGCAGCGGTGTACCGGATCTGTCTGGGGCGGATGGCTCGGGAGCAGACGAACATCGAACGGGCCATATGTATATTGACGGCGACGGGGAAGACATCGGTGGCACGGCCGCTGCGCATGTGACGGACATGACACACGTGCAGGCTGGGCGGGTCGAGTGCGGGTCGAGTGCGGGTCGAGTGCGGGTCGAGTGTGGATCCGTGTGCACAGAACCACAAGGCTGCACAGAACACTGGCGCCACACAACTTGCGCGCACAGAACTTTTTTTCCGCTTTTGCTTTTTTCGTTTGCCCAAGTCGGTCCTGGCTGCGTCTCGCCCGATCGATCGATCTATCGACTGCTGCTGCTGCTGCTGCCGCACACCCCGCTGGCGTCCGAGACTGCGACCAGGTGAGAGCGATAGTCTGCGCTGCACACGCGGCTGTGACTGGCTGCGGTTGCGCAATTGCGGCGGCGGCGCCAGATCTGGCCGTGTCTGGGTTTGAGCAGATCGCATGAAGCGCCATGTCACCTCGCTTGCCCAGATCGCCATGATCTGAACTTGCATGCGTCCGTCCGTGGGGCGATCGACAGCGGGATGACGTTAGCTAGCCGTTCCAGATTCGCTGTATCTGACTCTATCGCCGTCTCTGCTCTGCCGGATGTAGCATCAGCCATTTAGCCGGCATCTGCTGAGCGCCCAGTCACATCGGCTCGCTCCTCGTCACCAACACAACTCTCCAACACAACTCTCCAGCACACATCACACATCCCCGTCAACGTCTCCAAGACATGTTCGCCCTATATCGCCGCTCGATCGGACGACTTCCGACCGCGGCTCTGCTCCGCTCGCCGTACACCGTCGCCTGCCAGTTCTCGTCGGCAGCTGTCTCACGATCGTCACTGGCCGAGGCTTCGCCATCACAACCTCTGCTGTCGGGCGACTTGTCATGGATCTCGAGATTCTACGGCTCGCTGGACTCGCAGAACTTCCGCCAGGCGTGGGCAAACTACTCGGTGCTGTCGTCCAAGGGATTGGGTTCGCTCCTGTCCGTGAACGAGTTCAACCAGATCATGGAGCTCCTCTACAGCAAAACCATCGGCCGACCCAGCACGCGCCATGTTCTGATCCGCCGTGTCTACGAGGACCTGACTCGTACACACCGCCCCAACCTCGAAAGCTACAAGCACATTCTTTTTGTGTGCTCGGTCGAGGGAAACGTTGCCGAGGCCGAAGCCGTTCTCTCGGAGATGAAGCGGGCCAAGATGCCGTATGAGAAGGACGAACTCATCATGACCTTCCTGGCAACGACCTACGCTCGCGCGGGAGACGCCGAGAAGACCAATGAGTATCTCAAGGCCCTGCGAAAGCGCTCGCTGTCCATCTTCCACCACAACCGCATCATGGGCGCGCTGGCCAAGTCGGGAAACCGCCAGGCCGCAACCGAGTTCTACAACCGCATGTGCAATCGCCGCCCCTATGCCGACCGTGTGACCATCCAGCCGCTGATGACTCTTGCCGAGAGCGAGAGCGATTACGACGCTGTCGTCGAGCTGTTCGAGCGCATGCGCCAGACCCTGGTGCCATCCGAGGGTGCCTATGCCTCGGTTCTGAAGGCCCACATTGAGCGCGGCGACCTCAACAGCGCTGTCGAGACCCTCACCCGGATGGAGGAGCAGAACTTCAACAAGAGCAGTCGCATCTTTGCACTGCAGCTCCAGGTAGCCCAGAGGCTCAACGAGGCCGACCTGTTCTGGAGCACCTACGCCAAGATTGTCGAGAAGGGTGTCAGTTTCTCAGACTCGATCTGTGGTCTTGTCGCGAGCCAGTGCGGCCCTGTGGCCCAGCCCGAGGAATTCTATGCCAAGATCGAGACGATTGCTTCGAGCGTCGATCTTCCTGTCTCGGCCGAGCTGCTGGGCCACCTCGCCCGCGGCTACGTCGTCAACGGTGACGAGTCCTCGCTCCAGGCTGTGTTGGAGCTCATCAAGACCAAACTGCCGGATGAGGCGGCCTCGTCGCAGATGCTGGAGGTGTACAACTCCTTGATCGCGACGTACTGCGACCAGGGCAAGGGTGACTCGGCTATCCAGCTGTTCGACCGCATCCTGGCCTCGGGTCTCTCGCCCAATGCCGCCAGCTACAACACCGTCCTGCAGCATTTTGCCACTCACGGCAAGGGCACCGAGGCCGAGGTCTGGATCGACACGATGAAGGGAGCAGGCGCCGCGGTCGACGAGATTGCCCAGGAGGTGGTGATCGAGTCGCTCGGCTTTGGCCACCCTGCGACATCAAAACTGCTAGAGTACTCGACCGGGAGTGCCTGACGCCCAGCGGCCTACCAGCACTTTGACTGAATATACATGCATGCCTGTCTGTACCGTTGGAGTGGCCCGGGTGGGGACTGCGAGATAGCGCCGCGCAAAGCTGTAAACATGGGGTGGATCAACAGATGGATGAGCAGCTGGGTGAACAGATGGATGAACAGATGGGTGAACAGATGGACGAGCACTGGACGAACAGGCGATGAGCAAGTGAATCGATGTCGCTCGTTAATACATCCGCGGCGCTGGCCGCACATCTCACCCACCGGCGGGTTGCGCTTTTTTTGGGAGTGGACGATGCCCCCACCTGGCTGGTTTGCTCCTGCGCTCCTTTCGCCTCCCACCGCCATCGCCTCCTGGCCATCGTCTTGCCCCTCCATCGTCTTGCCCCTCCATCCCGCTGCAGACCAAGCAGCCTCATTGCCCGCCCCTCCTCATACGTACCTGCTGCCCCAGAGCATTAACCCTCCTTTCCTACCCCCTTGCTGCATCCTCCGTTGCATTCCTGTCGCCAAGTCCTCGGCATTTCCTATTCGCTTGCAGCTCGCCCTTGCCCCGCTCTCGCACCCCTCGATCCTCCTACGCCTCCTACGCCTCCTGCCCAGCTGCTACCATGTCTGCCCCGTCGCCAGTCGTCCGGCTCGTCAAGCGCAGCTTCAGCTCCAGCCTCCCAGACCAACTCCAGGTCCAGCCCGGCGATGTCCTCGTCCAGCATCGCGGCTTCCCTGACGGATGGATCTTTGCCCAGCTGGCCACAAGCGGGGCCCACGGATTCGTTCCTCCGGGCATCAGCGTCGAGAGCAAGAACAGCAGCATTGCCCCGGCATCGATTCCTCCTGTCGCCTCGGCCCAGTTCCCCGCCCCGTTCAAGGTCACTCGAGCTTGGAGCCCCCTGAGCAGCGACGAGCTGACAACCGCGGCTGACGATCTGGTCCAGAAGCTGTTTGAGTACGAGGATGGCTGGGCGTTCGTTCTGCACTCCGAGACTCAGGCATTTGGATTCCACCCATCTGGCTTTCTCCAGTCTGCAGACGGACCCGAGGAGCAGGACGGCAACGCAGGCGACCTGCCCCTCTTGCCCTTCAAAGGTCCCCTGGAGCGCACCATCTCGCAGCATCGCATCCTGTCGTCTGCTCCTACCCTGATCGAGAACCAACGCAACCTCGACAGTCTCAAGTCCCCTCTCTCGCCGCGCCCCGTTGAGTCGCACTTCCTCCCTACCAGTGCAGCCAGCCTTGGGTCGCTCCTGAGCCGGCTTGTCCGTGTGCCGATTCCTGTTACGGACGAGCCCGAGACTGTCCATCCAGTTGCCCTCAAATGGAAGAACCTCAACCTCAAGCGCCAGTTGAGAGCGCCCTTGGTGTCGCAGATTGGCAACGTCAAGATTGCAATCGTTGGCGACCTTGGAATCGGAAAGGTAAGCAGTGCCGATGTGGCCCTTGAATTGGACGCAACCTCGAACTGTGGTTGAATGCGCAACCCATCGCTGTGGAGCTGCTTGGAACATGTCGAGCAGGCACGTTCAATACCAGAATCAAAAAGCAGCAACCCATCCCATCCCATCCCATCCGAACTGATCCCACTGCCCCCATACTCCTTTGTTCTCGCTAACATCGCAACCTTGATGTCGTCAGACTACTCTTGTCAAGCGCCTCTTCAGCCTCCCCGAGATTTACGAGATCGAGCCCAGCACCACCCATATCCTCGAGGGTGCCGCCTCTGGCTCGGGCGCCAACGCACCCGCCACCCGCGAACTGCGAGCCTCAACTGTTACCTCTGCTGACCAGATCTTTGGCGAGTCCAAGTACAACATCACAGTCATCGACACCCCTGGCTACGGCTACCAGACCGACGCCATGAAGACCATCCTCCCCGTGCTGCAATACCACGAGTCCCAGTTCAAGTCCACCGACAAGCTGTTTGCGCCCACGGCCCAGCCCGTGACCATCCAGAACCTGCTCAAGTCCGGCACCGGCGGCCACTCCCACGTCGACGTCTGTCTCTACGGCATCCTACATCGCCTCAAGGCCGTCGACATCGAGTACATCCGTCTCCTGTCGCCCTTTACCATTGTTATCCCTGTGATCTTGAAATCCGACAGTATGTCCAAGTCCGAGATCTTCCGGCTCAAGACCCAAATCCTCAAGACCTTCGACGACCTCAAGATCCCGCTGCTCACAGGCGGAATGACCTCGGCCGAGTTGACTCTCCTCGTAAAGTCCCGCGTCGAGGGCACCTTCCCGTTTGCTGTCTCGGGCCTTGGGTCAGAGGTCGACTCGGAGCGCGACGCTTCCAAGGTCCTGGACGAGTTTGAAGAGCTGGGTCAGTTCATCCTCTACCACCAGCTCGCCGAGTTGAGAGTCCTGACCTCCGAGAAGTTTACGACATGGAGACGACAGCTGTCCCACAACCAGAGCCCCTAGTACTCTTCCCGCATGTGCCGATATGCTGCTGCCTCCCTCCTCCGCGCTTCATTGCCGGCTATTCAAGTACCTTTCTGCCCTCGATATCTGCTCTGCAGCATCTGCGCAACGAAACGGGACACTGCTTTGAGCCAGGGCTGTCGTTCGGCCCCGAATATACGTGTCTATTACGGGCGATCCGATAAAGAACGGGGCACCCTTGATTTTGACCATTGATCAAATATTTTGTCCCCCCCCCCAATGCCATCGCGCTTGATGTGTGAAATCCCCAGAACAACAATGCCATGACATAGCCGCGATATCCCAAAGGCTGTCCCCATTCCGGCTCGGATCGCCCTCATGTGCTGCTATACGACACACCGTTCCCATGGACGGCGCTGAGTATATTGCGATACCGACGGAGAGTACACGCGAGCTAGCTACTTCCTGGCTGGATATCTGGCCAAGAGCTCGCGGACAGGGAGGGGAGAAGATACTCGGAAATCAGCAGCGCTGCCAGAGCACCTCCCGAAAGTACACCGTGGCTGGATGACAACCGAGGCAGCACCCTCGCACCGAGTCGGAGGTGTTTGGGCGAGAAAGTGCGGCCCATTAGCGGAGGTTGGGAGTGGGCTTGGGCTTGTTGTCAAGCACAGCTTCGATCTCGGCAATAATCTCGTCGGTCAAGAGAGGCACAAACTGGCGAGCCTTGAGGTTCTCCTCGAGCTACGAGACCTTGCTGGCGCCTGAGACGAACCAATCGAGCAAACAAAAGCGCCACCATGTGTCAGCACAGCTGGGTTTGCTCGTGAGCCAGGATGGACACTGCCAGGAGTCGCCAGGGTCGTGGACACATTACCCATGATGACAGTAGAAACGTTGGAGTTTTTGATGCACCAGGCGATGGCAAGCTGGCTGAGCGAGGCACCGATCTTCTTGGCAATGGGCTAGAGACAGCAGACCAGACAGCGTCGCACAGCAAAAAGCAGGCAGTTAGGCCCACGAGTCCAATGTCGGTGGTCGCTCTCGTTCGACGATCTCATCCATATGCTCGCTCCGCACTAAGCAAACCTACCTCAAGGCTGATCGCCTTTTGGATGTTCTGGCGGCCCTTTTCGGATTCCAAGTACTCGTTGCGGAGGTACTTGCCCATTTCAGTCTGGAGGTTGAGGCGCGAGTCCTCGGGGACGCCCTTGCTGTACTTGCCCGTGAGGATGCCCGAGGCAAGAGGGGACCAGATGGTGGTGCCTGGACAGACAAAGCACAGTGGATCAGAACGGCTGTTCTCGACCGCAGCGATGGCGGTCCCCGTGCGTCCCCCCGTCACCCTCGGGCGACTCGATGATGACAACACTCGATGCCATGCAGTGAGAGCACGGACTTACCCAGACCGTACTTCTGATAGAGAGGAGCGTACTCGACCTCGAACTGCAAATGGCCGTGGCGGACATGTTAGACGCGCAACCACAGATCGTTACGAAACGGCATGCTCGCACACGACCGGGCCTCTTACTCTCTCGCGGTGGAACATGTGGTACTGAGGCTGCTCCATCTGAATATCGATGAGATGGCATGGGTAAGTGGGAAAGAACGGTTAGTGGCGCCGCCGGCTATGGAGCGGCTGGTACAAACTCGCCCACGTCTCGTTGCTGGCAAGACAAACGTGCTCGATGTGTCCACTCACCAGAGGACCGATCAGACCGAGCTTCTCGGCAATACGATGGGCATCGGTGATCTGCTCAGCAGACCACTCCGAGGTGCCCCAGTAGAAAGCCTTGCCTTGGTCGATGACCCAGTTGAAGGCACGAACTGGAAGCGCAAAGCGTCGTGGGGGTTAGATGAGAATGCAGAATGCGTACCTGCGCGCCGATCCAAGTACTCGCGCAGCGTTTGCATGAGCCAGGGGCAAATGCCGCCAAACCCGTCATACTGGGCAGCAGTGGGGTGGCCAGTTGCTGCTTGTGTGTGCAAACAACGACAACGTACCGACTTCCTCCATGGGAGTTGAGGTGTCCGGGCGATGGGCAAAGATCAGGTCGACATAGTCCTGCAAGAGCCGCTCGAGTGAGCCACAGTCTACACAGCAGCATATCACAATATGTGCATCAGGCAGATGCATGTCGATCGCCTTACCAGGCCGAGGCGCTTGAGAGCAGCGTTGGTGCCCTCGATGATGTGCTTGCGGCTCAGACCACGCTGGTTGACACCTTCGCCACCCCAGAAGATCTGATCCACAGCCGAGTCGTTAGCGGGAAACAAGAACGGGCGGGATGGATCTGGACGCATACCCGATCAATGCGGTATTGGCCGGGGGGGGGTCAGTGCAAACGCCAGGGAGGATGAGGGCACCCCGGCTCACCTTGGTGCTGACGATGTAGGTCGAGCGATCCCAGCCAAACTTTTGGAAAGCCTTGCCAAAGAGCTCCTCGGACTTGCCAGCTGGCGTTGGTGAGAAGCAAAAGCGAGTCAGCTGGCAAGAACAACCAAACCAAACCAAACCAAACCAAAACACTGGACCGCAGGCAGGCGTCGGCAAGGGAGGGGGAGGAACGCTGCGGTACTTACAGGCATACGCCTCAGCGTTGTCAAAGAAGTTGACGCCGTTCTCGTAGGCAACTCGCATGCATTCGAGGGCGGCCTCTGCAAGCGGGGCGAAGCGGGTGAGCAACAGGAGCCGGGCAAAAGTTGCCAAAGCCCGCTCGATCAAAGACGGATCCATGCAGCGTGCCGGGGTCGGATGCTCTGCGCACCTTCCTGGACCGAGCCACCATAGGTGAGCCAGCCACCGAGCGAGAGCACGGAGACCTTCAGACCCGAGTTGCCGAGGTGGCGGTATTCCATCTTGGGGACTTCAGAAGCCATGGTGGGGATGACGGTGGCGGACGAACAGAAGGTTGGAGAGCGGGGAGGCTGAACGAGCAGATCTGCGCTGGGGTGGGGGAACAGCAGTCCTGCGTGCCAGGGGGGGGTATTTGTAGCCCGGCTCGATTTGTCAGGCTCGACCCACCTGCACCGCGCCAGTCGGAGATTGAGGGACCGCATGACGGTTTCCACGGCGCCGGGGCGGTGGGGCGCTCGGCTTTGATGTTTTTCCGTCGGTCCATGTGGGCCGGCTGTTCTGGGGCGACGGCCGGCGCAGCACCAGACAACAGAGCTCCTTGTGCTGGATCGCAGTCGCCTCTGCGAGTGATGTCATTGCAAGTCATGGCAAGAAGACACGCCTGCGATGAGGGAGGAAGACGCAGGACAGAGCAGAACAGAGTCGCTGGAACGGATTATATTGGTGCCGATCGGCATCATTCAGCCAGACCGATCAGCATTCTATCCACACTAGCCACACGACCCACATAGGGCATACAAGCCAGCATGCCGAGGTGTCCTGTTTCAAAATCGGTACGTTGTATATCGCATTTGCGCCTCGCACATCACAGCGGCATGCTTCCGCACCGCATGCACCAGAGAGTGCCCATCAACTCCGCTTGGTGATGTTGATGCCGGCAACCAGCTTCTCAAAGCCCTCCTTGATGTTTTTGCCTGCCGCACCGGCGTTCATCTGGAACGGATTGGGCGAGTTGGCGGACGCCACGCCGATCGTCGACATAGTCTGGGCCGAGCCGACCGGGATGCGGGTCTGGAAATACTCGACAATGCTTTGCTGCTCGGCTCGCTTGAGGCCCTGCGAGTGCACATCCGCCGTGAGAGCGACGGATGCCAATCCAGCGCCACAGCCAGAAAGTCACAAAGCTAGTTGTTGGCACAGGTATCGGCCTCTGCTTCTCCCGAACAGTAGCTACGCAGCAACCTACCTTGAGCTCCAAGACCTTCTGGAAGTTGCCCACGTTGTAGTCGCCAAAGAGCAAGAGATAGGTCTCGACCAGGCCCTCCATGGGCTCGTGCGAACTCAGCACCACCTTTAGGAGCTGCTCGACCTTCGAAACGCCCTTTCCGAGGAGCTTGATGTATCTGTGGGTGTGAAATGCACGTTGTGCTTGGGTAAGGTCGCCTTCTGCTGCAGCTTGATTGAGTTTGCATTGCACAACCACACTCCAGGTCATGATCGACGCTTCCGTCCATCGCCGACAATTTCATGGAGTGGATAGCCGCCAAAAGTCCCTCAGTCAGCCGGGAGTTGAGAGATATACTTACGTTGCAGGGGGCTGCACATCGGGGTCATTTCCAATGGTTGCAATGTGGAGAAGAATCGTTTTCAGCGCATACGTATCCAAGAGCATCTGGGTGGAAGATGTAGGTGTGTCAGAGAGTTATGTGAACAAGCTTTCGAGTGTGGCCGCTCAGGCTCGGCAAGCAGTCAGTCAACTCAGCGCCGCAGCGAATGCACGACCAATCGACGCTGCTGAGCTTGTTGGTTTGGGGACGGCGCGAACCTGTTCTGCTCCCACTTCGTTGATGGGCTTGCACTTGAAGATGTTGTTATTGAACTTTTGCAGCAACGAGCTGGTGGACACCAGTACAACAGCGACAGAAAACATCCTCCTGATTAGTTGCCGAGTCTGCTTCCTGCCGGCACGTTTGCGGATTGATCACAGACTCGCATGTCGGTCTGAGAGCTGCAAAGGCAGCACTCACTCTGAAAACTTGTCGCAGAAGGTGCGAAAGTACTTCTGCCCAGAGAGGGAGCTCCTCAGGACCGCGGCGCTGGCCGAGAGAACGTTGCCGATCTGTGTGACGTATTCGCTCTGATCGCCCACAGATTCGAGCGTACCCCAATTGCGCTTCGACATTGCGACGAGAGCTGGCTCGATGCTGTTTTCGAATCCGCGGATGAGGATCCTCATTGCTGTCCCCGTTACGCTGCTCGGTGGATGCGGAAGCAAAGCGCCAATCAGTTCCAGTTCTGCTGAAGAGACGCATCTATCGTTGACTGTGCGGATACTCACGTCACAAAGGCGTCGCTCTCGCCGCTCATGCTGATCATCGTTTTGAACTCGTCATCGATTTTCTCAACCAACTTCTCCTCGAGCTGCCAAGGGATGGTGAAATCGTGCACAAAGGATCCCAGCGTCAATCAGCGATGCGGAAATGGGCAGCTATATCGAGCCACAGATACGCCTCTGTGAACAACGCCACGCATTACAAACTCGTGGCCACACTGTGCCTACTTGTGATGTGGTTGAGGAGCAATAGTCCGCCGTGTTGATTATAGTGGCGATGATTCGGATATCTTCGTTTGTAAGCACCTTCTTCTCGTCCCTTCATGTCATGTAGAAGCGATGTAACCCATGAGCAGGCAGCCATATTTCCTGTCCAAGCACGGCCAAGCACCAAGTCTCTCCAAATCCAGCGACGGGTGTGGCAGAGGCGTTTCCAGTGCAGACGTAGATTGTGACTGCGACACATTTACACCCACCTCTGCATCTTCGCAGTCAAGTAGTCTGCATAGATGCGCAGATATTTGGAAAAAAGCCGCGCGAGATCGAGGAACGGCTTCCGCACAGAGTACTTTGAGCATTGCACAAGCGTCTGCCTGTAATAGTAGAACAGATCGGTGCTGGACGCAAGAACAGTGTCTTCTTCGCTGGAGAGGTCGCTTGATTTGTATCCCTCCATCATTCCTCGCAGATTACTGATGAGTCGCGTCGTTTCAGTTGTCGCAATGGCCGATGAGAGGCGAGGACCACGCGATGGGAACACCAGCGTCGTTTGACAGTGAGTTAGCAGTCGCCAGAACTCCTCGTCTTGATCCGGTACAACCCACTTGGCGTATGTATCCTCGCCCCAACTGCATCACGCGTCGTTCCGGATGATTCTCGATACTCACGCATCCTCGTAGTCAATGTAGTGCTTTAGGTACGGTTCAAAACACAGCGATATAGCCTTGTAGAATGGGCTCGCGGCCGTCGATTGCAGAGTCTCGCTGTCATCCATCATGGCCTGCAGTGTATCCTCGATCGAGCCGCTGAATCGCTTCTCAAGCTTGGCCTCAAAATCGATGGTGACATGGATGGCAGAAAGCAGGATCTTGACATCAGAGACGGCATCGGCTCGCAGCAGTACATCCGAGAGCTGTTTTCTGCAGATATAATGGTACAGGTCTGTGTTAGAACATGGGTCAACTATGCGGCGAGTCGTGCTCTCTCGCTGCCACGGCCGGTGAGCTCGATAGCCTGATGCCCAGATAGCGACACGTACTTGGTCTCCTGGCAAAACTTTAGCGACAGAGTCTCGGCAACCTTCCACGCGGGTATGAAAACCGAGCTATGTTCTTCGTCGTATGTCTTCAGCAGTCGCTTAAGCCACGCATATCGGCGTGACACATTGTCGAGCGATCCAACCTACATCCCACCAGTAGATGTGCGCCGAAAGGAACCGAGTAAGGTCAAGCGCAGACGGAATCGTGATCGCAAACGCCAGAGCTGGTGCAGAAGCAGATGCAAGCCGACAGAACCAGACCTCGGGATTGGCCTTGAAGATGGCACGATAGTCCTTGAGTTGCAGCTCGCAGTACCAGTCGATTATCTGCTTCCTGAGGAACAGATATCCCCAGACAGAGTTACTTTTAGGTAGCCGGATACGCTCCAACCAGAGCAGCGCTCACATCGCCCCCATATGCGCTGTTGCTGATTTCGCATCATTGACGGGGCACCATACCTGGCATCACCCTCGAGCACATCCAGCACAAGACAGGCATCATTCAGGGTGACTTTCATGGTTCGCAGCGCGCCGCCGACAAAGGCTGACTCAAAGTCATTGACGATCTGTCTCCGGAGATCGATCTGCAGCTGATTGATGATGTCGTAGAGCGAGAGGATTTGCCCAATGCTTTTGTACCCTCTGAAGTGCTCCAGGAGCTGCAGCATGACCTGTTGGTGAGAGGCAAGCGCTGGCCGTTAGAGCTGCGGACTGAAAGAGGTGTATCTTGCTTGGACAAGGCTCCGAACCTGCAGGAGCTGGGCTGCTTCAGCGTAGCGCTTCTTCAGAATCATCACCCTAAGCTGATCGATTGTGCTGACTGGGAGTTTAGTCCAAGGAAGCAGAGCAAAGGAGGAAAGCACCACATCGGCGCAGATGAGCATCTTGGAAGATCAAATCGATCGAGAGACGGCGCTCCAACCGGGGTGCACTCAGTTGAGCCATGTAGATGTGCCCAGAAACCGATTCGCACGGTTTCGCTCCCTGCCCTGTCCCAAGCCCGATTCAATGGGGGAGCCTCGGAAATGCTGCTGGCAGCACTTGACCCCACGGCCTCTGCATATCCCGGTCCAACCGACGACACCACGGATAGCAATGTGCATACCCAGCATCTGCAATCTCCGCAGAACGGTAATCGAGAATGTGATGTTCTGCTTGGCCTGGTCGAGCGACTTGATGTCCTTGGTAATCTCGTGGACGGTCTTTTCAGAGGATGCGGCCTTCTCCTTGATCTTTTTGATTCTATCGTACAGGGTCTAGGTCCATCGTCACAGGTAAGACTGCAGCCGTGTCGATATGCAGCCTGGGGGCTTGCGCTTAGCTGCCGCAGACAGGGGCTGCCTACCATAATCGCCTGCTTGGTCTCCTCCAGGTCCACTCGAGTCTGATTGTCATTGACTTGCGAATGCAGCAGCTCCTTGATCTCCCTGTCGAGCTTCTTGGTCTTGGAACGCAGCCGCTTGAGTACATCATCGATTGAGGAGAGGGCTTGCTCTGGAGGAGTGTGTTGGTTGCATGGCCCCCGACGAAGTAGAACGAAGGCATATCCGAAAGAGGTTGTCGATTTGCCAGGGTAAGCATTTGCAAAACTAGATAGCTCGGGCATGGCCCTTGCGACCGAGCAGCCATACATCGGGCCGTTTCCGAGGAATGATAGCCGGAGCCAGCAGCGGCCGTCATGCCAGGATGCTGACGGATCGGCGAGTCGCCCTCGGAAGCCATCGTTACCGTTTGGGAAGAGCTCGTTGATGTACGACACGGGATTGAACTCGCTGTGGTCCAAAGGATCCTTGGACTGCACAATCGTCGATATGCTCTGGTCTAGCTCGGGCGAAAGCACCAGCAGCCCATGGCTGACCATCATATCGTCGGCCTCGTCGTCGTGCGGCTCGGCGTGCGAGGGCCGCTCAGGAGTGGCGAGAGACATGACCAGGAATCCGATTCAGAGTCGAAGCTGGAGGGGGCGGCAGATGGCAGGGGCCAGCAGGACAGAGACGCAAGGACCACACGAGCGCTGAGCGACGAGGTTTGGAGCTGCTGTCCTGATCCAAGCGAGCCATTGTGGGCCTGCCAATCGGCGGCGCATCCCCCCGTACCGCCGACTGCACCGGATATCTACTCGACTGTAGGGGCACCAGCGCTGCGATCTCGGGGACAAGCATGTTGCATCGCATCGCATCGCTGGGCCTGCCGGTGCGATGCCCAGGGCCACGGCCAAGGGAGCAAACGCCGCGCCTGCAACACTCCTGCCATCTTTGTCCGCCATCTGCCTGCTCGCCCCGTCCAGCGCCGTCCCTGATCGCCAGCCACAGACATGAGCTCATCCGAAAGACCGTCCGACAAGGACATCATCAGCCAGGTGAGTGCAGGTGCGGCCAGATCTGCGTCGCTTTGAGGCATCCTGCCGGATCGGCAGCGCAACCGCTGATTCCAGGCACCTCCTGATTTGAAGATCCGCCCACCGACGGCGTCTCTTCTGTGCCCCGTATGATCTGCTGATTTCGTTTATTACCCCCTTGTGGTGCCGTTGCTGCGGTGCGGTGTCCAGTTCAACGCCTTGAAGCAGGAGCTCCAGGCGATCGCCCAAAAGATCGGCGAGCTCGAGATGGAGAAGGATGAGCACCAGCTCGTGGTTGACACCATCTCCCCTCTGCAAGGCGATCGCAAGTGCTTCCGGCTGGTTGGCGGCGTCCTGGTCGAGCGCACCGTCAAGGAAGTCCTGCCGGCCGTTTCGACCAACATGGACGGTGTAAGTGCGGCCGGCTGCTCGGGACGTCTGGAGGGAGATTGCCACGAGGGAGATTGCCACGAGGGAGAAACCAAGAGAAGCATCCTGTGCAGAGGGCTAGTAGCAGAAGTGTAGGCTGCAGACTGGACTGAGCCGGACTGGACTAAACTGGACTAAACTGGACTGAACTGGACTAACGATACGACACCTTTGGCTGATCCTATTTACGACGGACTGGCGACTGGCGACTGGCCGCTTGATTCGATCTTGGCTGTCCATCGACGGAATGCGACATCCCAACTGCTGGCGAACCTCTGCCGGCTTGAATCGGGCGCCTTGGCTAAACGACGGATATCTGATCTGGAATTATGCACAATGTATTACGGGAATCACCCGGTTGAACATGGGTGCTCGGATCGATCTCAACGACGACCAACGATGATCAACGCACCACGCACTCACAACTGGGTGGGCGCCACAGATTTCCAAGCTCATTCAGACCCTCGCCCAGCAGTACAAGAAGAAGGAGGACGACATGGTCGAGTTCCAGAAGAAGTGGAACATTCAGGTCAAGAACTAAGCGGACCTGAATCGTTGGGCTCCCCGGCCCGACCCTGACCATATCAATCTCCTTCTCCTTCCCGCAAACAACAACCCTATTGTCCTTCGAGACCCGCATGCCATCTCGCTCGAGACCGATTGTACAGCATATCCAATACAGAGTGCGACTTGCTCAGAAACACCCACAGTCGCCGCCGTCTCCCAAGCAGTTGCAATGGCGGCGGGAAATGATCAAGAGGAGGTAACGGGATCTACAGGCACGATATTGGAGCGAGTGTCATCGATATGGGTTCCCCGAGATGCCTCGTTGATGCAGCGACCGAGTATGCGATTGCGTCCAGCAAGCAGTCGGCCCAAGCTCTATTGATCACGATGTAAACCAGCAGAGGCATCGGAACTCGATGCAAGCTCATCGCCAGAGCGTGTGCTCGAGAGCCTCGATCACGGCGGCCATAGGATCTACTCGCTCTTGACGGTGTGGTAGTCCGCAGGAGTGTCGTCCTTCATGACCCAATAGATAAAGTAAAGGATACCGCTGATCACAACGGCTATCGAGACGATCGGATGGCGCAGGACGAAGATCTGAAAGGAAAGGGCTGCTGTTAGCTGGGTGGGCCCACAACGGGCAGACTCTGGGTCAGCACGTTTTCGGCGTGCGCAAGGCCAGCCATGCACTTGGCATTGTGCAGCAGACGCAGCTGGCCTTGGGGGATCGATTCGACCCCATCGACTTACTCCGAGAGGGCTGAGAACCTTGCCAACGCGGCGCATCTGGGTCGAGAACCACGAGTTGATGTACTTGGGCTGGAAGCCAGAGTCCGTCAGGTTAGCGACCTGGTCGCATTGGGACCTTGACGCTCAACAAAAGCTCTACTTACAGTCAGGGCTGCATCGTGCTTGGCGACGCTCACGGCTGCAGTAACAATGGCGCTCGATCTCAACTCGAATCGCTCGCCGTCCGCGCCAGTATCGTAGTACAGCTCGGTCTGGAATTGTCAAGTGATGCAGGTAAATGAGCCTGTGAGCGAACAAACGACCGGGCATGGCCATTCAAAGCAGTCGTCGGCAGACAGACGCACCTTGGGGTCCATAATGATGAGGGCCGGCAGGTTGTGAGTCTTGAGTTTGAAAACGCGCAAGATGTAGCTATCGAACTGCTCGCCATCCAGCCAGACAAACGAAACATCGGTGGCGTCGGACTTTTCAGCGAACTCGGTCGCAGCCAAGCGGATCTGCTTCAGAACACCCTGCTTCTGGCTTTGCTCGGATCCATGGACGATAGCCATGACAACCACGTTGTTGCCTCCCAGGATGCGCTGCGAATTGGCGCCGGTAACCTCCGGCACAACCGGGACCTTGTGCTTGGCAACCCACTGAGTGAGCGAGCCCTCGTCGCTGAGGCTGTCGCCGTAGAGAGCAAAGGTCGCGCCATCGTCTTTGGAGGCGACAATAATAGGTCCCGAGTTGTCAGCAATGTTGAACGACTTGAAGCCAGCGGCATCAGGGACGATGTAAAAGTGGGAATCGACGCGGTTGGCCTTGGCAACGTTGATGAAAGCGTGCTGTTTCAAGACGGATAACGTGAATGGTGGCATGCGCATCAGATGGAGAATGCGATCGGCATTTCGCACAAGGATGTTGCCGAAGAAACAGATTCAATAGTAACAGTCGGAACAGGATGCTGGCCTTCTTGGCCGTCAAGACACGCACCAGAGATTCCTCGGAAGCTCCGACAGGGTTGTAGACATAGAAGAACGAGATCTCATGGGACGAGCGAGCGGTGGCGATATCGCTGGCGAGAATCGGGGCAAAGACGGGCTTGCTGGAGGCGCGGTGCCAGACACGGATTAGAGTGATGCGGACGCGGATATGTTCTTTCGCAGCGACAGATGGAGCGAGAAGCCAGAGCCCCCACTTTCTCAGAGATACTTACTTGAAGACCTTGAGGGCGTAATCGCGAAGGGCGTCCAGGGTACGCGCACCTCGGTACTCTCCAATCTCGTTGGAGCCCTGTAGACTAGAGGCAGAGATGGCAGCACAAGTAAAGCAGGTCAGCGGAGGTTGGCTTAGACTCTGGAGACGAATGGCGCCTGTAGAGCAATGCGATTCGATTGCAAATGTCGTTGGTGCCACTCACATTTTCAGAGTGGGGAAACCGGCAATCTTGTACTTTTTCTGGAGGCCTGGATCCGAAAAGGATTCATCGATTGGATTCAGGGAGAGCCAGTGCGTTAGCATTGTGAGTTGACCCAGGAGGATAAAAGTCGCAAGCGCAAGGGAAGCTGCACGAAATCCATTGGACACGAGCGATCAAACAGGTATACGCACCAGTTTCGACGGTGCAATCGACCTTGCCCACATTGACTTTGTTTTTGAGCTCGCGGGCAAGAACCTCCCAGGTGGGTGCCAGCTACGTACGACGAAGGCAGGATCATCAGTCACCAAATACCCCATTCACGCCGTTGCCGCGGCGGGGCTGAACTGTTGATTGGGTCAGGATCTTACATTTTTGCAGTGGCCACACCAGGGAGCATGGAACATCTGATCAAGGCGGGTGATGGAGGGCATGTCAGCGACAACGACAGCGGCCGTTGGGTGGAAATTGTGCTGGAAATATATACATTCTCTGCGAGCAGGCAGAGGAGATGGTGCGGGTGAAGCCTCTGTCAGATCGACTTACCACAAACCAAGGTTGGCTGCTCGACGCCTGCATGAAGCGAATGATGAGCAAGAGTTCGTGAGTGAGCGATTCAGCCCTTTGGCAGCAGTCGACTGCATGAACAGCTCTGCGGGTTGATGCGCCATCACTGCGATCGAACATCCACAGCAAGCCTCGAAGCATATCCTACATCAGGGAAGGTGTTTTGGGTGAGATGAACCAACTCGCCCTTGGGATTGACGGACGAGCCCGAGGACTGGGACAGAGCCAGGGCCTTAAGCTTGTTGACATAGTCCTCCTTGGGTTTGCTGGCGATGGCCTTTTCTTTGGCGTACTTGATGAGAGTATCTTCATCGACAATGGCTCTGTCGGGAAGCTCCTCAACGAACTTGCCATCGACAAAGCTGTGCGGAACGGGAGGTCAGCGAGTACACGAGGGTGGGTCCAGATTGAAGCAGCGTCCTCGGAAACGAACAAGCCGCCAAGTATAGTGCCGCTTCCACGAGCCGAGTCACCGGCAAGAGTATCTTACAGTTTGAGAGTTGGGTATCCCTGGATGTTCTGGCCGTCACAGAAAGCTGTAGAGTCCCGGGATATGATGACGGGATAAGCATGCTAGTTCAAGTTTGGTGCCGCGCAGCCAGGAGTGACCCAGGGCGTGGCAAGATAAGCGAGCGGCTTGTCTAGCATCAGATATGACTTGCCCTCGTTCCGGGTGCATTCGACTTTGCGGACGTTGAAGTTGGGTGCGTATTCCTGGACGGCCTGCTGCATCTTGAGCCACTTGGGGGTCAGTCTTGTGGGTGTGGATAACAGAGCGAGCAGCCGTGTCGGCGATGGTTGGATATGTTCCCGTTAACGATGCGTGGGATTAGTCGTGGAGGCAGCAGTATAGGCGATCGAGGATGGTGCGATCAGCGATGGATAACGATGGCACAGGAGTCAGGGGGGGTTCGTTGCCAAAGCTCTGAGCAGGAGCGAATCGCCCGTTGGCGCACGGCTTAGATCGCAGATCAACGAGATCGGCAGAGACGGGGAATCCGAGATGGACCAGAGATGCGGCATGCACTCGATGCATTCACAGTACTTTTGGCAGTGGGGGCACCACTTGGTGCCGAAAAAGACGACCCAGGAGCCGGTGGAGATGCTGTCCTGGAACTCGACCTCTTCGATGAAGAGCACCGACTTTTCAGCCAGCTCATAGGCCTCCTTGACCGAGAGCTCGGCGGCAGCGCCGAGGGCCAAGAGCGAGACGAGATACAATCGGAGGAGACTCCAGAGCTTCATTTTGCACGGGGTGGTTGTCGGCAGCGTCGAGGCGGGAGGATGACGAAGGCGACAATGGAGGACAAGCAAATGGCTGGGGCTTGAAGAAGAAAGCCAGGCCGGGGCGCGGGTCGCGTCTTTGGGCGAGCGGGGAGCGAGAAGCGACCGACGACGCTGATCTCGCAGATCCAGGGTGCGGACGATGGATGCGGCGACCGGGTCTTGGGCGGCCATGTCTCGGATGTCTCGGATGTCTCGGATGTCTCGGATGTCTCGGATGGACCCATGGTTGCGGTCGATCTCGGCTGTCGTTTGTATCTGGCTGCCCGATGCATCAAAGTGTGCTGGGGACGCTCTCACCGGATTCGGTGTCTCGCCAGTCAAACCAAATGAAACCCGGCATATCGGTGTCATGTCCATCCCCACATCGCTCTCCTCCATCTCTCCCGTTGGGATTCCATCTCGCTATCGTCGGGCCAGCACCGCTGCCACATCTATCGGTCTCGGCCAGTGTCTGCATCGTATCCGCCGCATCCTGGTCCTTCCACTCGTCCGCTACCATGAATCTCCCTCGTGAGCTGCAGAAGCTTGAATGCCCGCATGCCGCTGTCCTGCAGCCCACACCGGATATCCCCTTCCCTCTCGACTCGCCAGAGGTCTTTCTCCAGATCCTTGGCTGGCTCCTGCACAGGTACCGTCGCTGCCTCTTCTCGTCTCCCCTCCCTGCCTTGGCCTTCAAGCGAGCAGCATCTGCTCCAACCCAACGCAGCCGAACTCAACTGAACGCAACCCAACAGATACGATCCAGACCTGGTCCGGGGGCTTTCTGAATACGAGCATCCCGAAGGTAGCCCATCCACACCAATTGATCAGAGCCCGTCCGTTCTGTTCGCTTGCTGCGCTGTCTCCGGCTTGAACCTGACTATGGACCTGTTTGCTCTCGTCGCCTGCCAATCTGACCTGTTCACATCGACAACCGCAATGAAGCACTTCGAACCATCTGCGCAATCGCCGGATTCACCACTCAAAAGGACGGCTCCGACATATTCACTGTGAGCGAGCAAACGGCAAAGCTATCGACAACCGCCTGTATCTTTAGACCGCTGCCGCCCAGGTGTGCTAACCCGCTTCATCCGCTGCAGGACTATGCTTCTCTGCATCGGCAACGTCAGCGGGTTCTCGAGCGAGCGATTCGGCTGATCCAGTCTGCGGCAGCGACCCAAGACCGTGGAGCCAACGCCGACGATCACCTGGTGAAAGGATCTGCGCTCCTGGATCGGATGGCCACGTCGCATCTGCCTGGACTGATGGAGTTTGAGGCTCGGTCGCTCTTCGATCCCGACACCCAACGGCTTGTCAAGCTGGAAAGACAGAGGCTCGGCAATCTGCCGAGGTATGCATTGCGAATGTGAACTCGTCTGCAATCGGAGGATGCTGTCACTGGCTTTTGGGCTCAATGCCCAGCAGCTGACGCCATGTGCCCCATCACTAGATCGTCGGTGTCGATAGCCACCCTGGATCGTGATCTCGAACAACTATTGATTGCCGAGCAGCGGCTTCTCGAAGAGCTGAGGCAACTCCGATCAAAGGTACGAATCGGTATTGAGGTCACAGCCCAAGCCCAACATTTGCGTGGCAGCCCTGGCTCTTGTCTGTCAATGAATCTTGTTGGGGATGCAAGTGCCAATATGCCCCGAGTAGCTCGTGCATTGGCTATTGACGCCGAACTGCAGATATGGCTGTCTGCTTTCTTGGTCTTGTTCCATGAGAGCGCCTCCCATTCTCAACTCTGCTCACTGCCTGCACCTCTCATTCCCGCTGGCACTCTGACGTTGGCTAGTTCACATACAAGCCGGATGACGACAGCTCGGCGATCTACCGCCACTTTGGCCCGGTCGTCAACGGCCTGGAGTCGTCGCTGAAGCAGTTCCTGGCCATCTTCCCCAACGAGATTGAGCCCTGGCTGGAAACAGCGCCAGCAGCCGATTCGCGAGGTAAAATCAATCCGCCCAAAGCACCCGTGAACCGCCAGCGCAGTCTCAAGCCATCACTTGGATGCTGTGGGACTACTCTCTGGCTTCGAATCGATGTCTCGGGCGAGCACCATCCATTCTATCCCTATGGCCTGACTGATCGAACCAACAACCTGTTCACTCCAGCTCTCTCTGTCGCCGTTGCAAGTGCATTCTCGACATGCCAACAGTTGCAAAAGGTCGGTACTCGCTCTACTGATCTGTCGATCGGCTCGCCAGACAGACCCTGCAACCTCACCCGACATGTGCTCCACCATCCCAGGTTCTGGATGTCTTCACGGCTTCGAAGCACTACCACGAGAGCCTCCAAGAAAGCCTTGAGAACATGGAGCGGGAATATGAATCGCTCTCGGCCGAGACACTACCGCAGCCATCGGCGGATTCCCCAGCCCCTGCCTTTGGCCACCTGGTCGCCAGGATGTTCTCCGAGATCGAAACATGCACAGCTATTTTGAACCGACGACAGGCATAGATCGCATTGGGGCCCATCAGTCCACAAAGCCGAATGGGGATACCTGTATTTGTACCCGGCATGCCACTTATTGTCTGGGTTCTGAATACAACGGATCGCCAGCCACTCAACAGGGCAAATGGCAGTTTGAGGTGGAGATCCTCGGTCGAGCCAGATCATGAGCGATCGTCGGTCAGCATTCGCGATGCCGGCTCCTGGCACACTTGTTCCACTTGCTCCGCTTGGTTGACACAAACGACGCTATCGAAGGAAAGCAGCAGTCGCCCGCTTGGTCCAACAGCCGACTGGTGTCTGCACAGGTCCGCTGCACGCTCTCCAAATGCTCTCCAAGATATTCGATAACACCCGCTGGCTCGTCTCGGGCGCCGTCCTTGCGACGATCCTCTACACCCGATCGCTTGAATCGCTCTACTGCTGTGTCGGAGGCGTGATGTGCGGCATTCTCGGTGAGTGTCGCCTGGGATTCTGAGGGAGCATCCTGCGAGATACGTCTCTGCCGAAGCACAACCGCCGCTGACCATTGTCTCGGTGAATAGCAAAGGTTCTCAAGCATGTCATTCGACAGCCACGACCAGGCCTAGAGGCTCGACGGCCAGCAGCCGCCCCAACGACCACAGCGTCCTCTGCAGTAAATGAGGGCCTGAACCCGGGCTTGACCCTGGTTCGCAAACTCAAGAGCTCGCTGCTCAGCTCCAAGGGCCAGTACGGCATGCCGTCGTCGCACTCACAAGCAACCGGGTTCTTTGCGAGCTACATCACCTTTGCTCTGCTCGATCGGGTGTCCGGCAGCCAGCCCTGGAAGTGGCCGGTGCTTGTGCTATTGAACGGGGCCGGCATCAGCGTTGCTATCTCTCGGGTCACTCTGCGATACCACACATGGCCGCAGGTGCTGGTGGGGCTCGTGGTCGGATATGCCTTTGGCTGGCTCTGGCTGCGGTGGTATGATGTAGTTCTGGCAGCGCTGCCTCACGGGATGAAATAGATGGTTTTGGATAAAAAGCAGCTCCGTCTCGCCTTGCCCTCCGATCTACTGCCTCCGATCAACTGCCCTCCGATCTACTGCCTCCGATCTACTGCCTCAGATCTACTGCCCTCCGATCTACTGCCTCAGATCTACTGCCCTCCGATCTACTGCCTCAGATCTACTGCCTCAGGTCTTGCCTGTCGCCTTCGATCTTTGATCCACCACCACCACCGACGCCGCCGCCGCCGCCGTTGCCGATACGGCCGCTCATCCGAGATGCGATCGTCGCCGAGTGACTTTGTGCTGGCCTATATCCGATCGGTGGGCTCGGCATCGTCAGGGGCTCTTGCCCAGGCCTTCCCCGTCCATCCAACAGCCGACTCGGTGCTGCCGGTGCTGCCGGTGCTGCCAGCGCTGCTGCAAGTCATCCAGACCATCCCGATCGCCGACATCGAGAGCATGGCCAGCCGGTACTCGCAGCCCCGGTGTCTGTCGCCCGTCATTGTCGCATACCTCAAGTATCTGCGGATCTATTCGTCCTTTACGAATCCCTTGACCCTGTTCGAGCCCTTTCTGAAGGTCTACGAGTAAGCTGCCCGTTCGAGCGACACATTTCGATACCCTCTGGGGCGCTCCAGAGCCAATTGTGTCGGCACTGGCCATGGCCGTCGCTCAATCCCCTGCTCGCCTGGCACCACTTGGTGGCCGCCAGTGCTGTCTTTGCGATTCTCCAGAACGATGAGCCCTTTTCGATTCTGCCGCTATGGAGACTCGTCTGCAAGAACCTCGTCAGCCTGGCGCTCGAGATTGACGAATACTGGAGGGCCCGCAACCAGGCCTCGACAAAGACGTCGGATGTGCAAGCGAAGCTGAATGCGTCGATACGGAACCTGGCTCCAGACCGGTCGGTGGCGATCTGAGAATGTCGGGATAGATTGCAGCGGGCAATCGATGCAGTGTCTATCGGTCGACACCTTGCCCTATGGGCATACTCACCTTTGCTCTTGACCTGCTTGCACCAGTGCCGAGACTGCTGAGGCCAGGGCCGGTCTGCTCGTGGCCGTCAATAGTGCATACTCGCTCTATTTCCAGGTTCGTCGAGCGTTCACCGGTCGAGCCCAAAGATCCATTTGCAGCGTCGGTTTGCGCCGAGCTCGATAGCCCATGCTGTCGTGCCGGCCACAGCAACTCTGACCAGTTTGGCGACGTTCGTTGCATCAAATCCATCTCGCTTGCCGCCTTTGGCATGACTCTGCTCCCTTGGGCTCGTCACGACTTTGACCGACACAACATGCCTCTCGCTCCACTCCCGGGATCTGCCCAGATGGACGAGCTGACCTTGGCCGAAAAGATGCAAAACCTCCTGCTGAACTTCAACATCGACTTTAGGAGCTTTTCTCGGCCGCAGGAGCTTCTGATGTACCACTACTATACCGGCAAGTATGCTCTCCTCAAGCACGACTGTCTCAAGGCCGCGCGGCAGCTGAGCGAGGCATATTCCTGCTGCCCAAGCTCGGCGCCGAGGAGCAAACGGTGGGTCGATCGCATTCTGCTTCCGCATGCACGATCAGCACGCTTGTTCTTGATGTAGACCTGCGGTTTCCGATGGCCTGCTTGTGATTGCATGAGAGGGGAGACTGCAAGCACCTCAGTCACAGTAGCGCTGACTGTCCTGAGCCATGGGTGACTCCAGACGGATCCTCATCAGCTTGATCATTGCCAAGCTCTGCCTCGGCGTCTTTCCGACCACGGCTCTATTGGCACACTTTGGACTCGTCGAGGTGTTTGACGGACTCATCGGCTCGGTGCTGCAAAACAACTACATGGGCTTCCTGGAGCACCTCGAGATGCAACGCGAGTTCCTGATCCGGCACGAGGCATATTCGCTTCTCAAGTTTCGTCTGACCACAGTGATCTACCGCAACGTCATCCGCAAGACGTGAGTCAGCGCGGCTATTGACAACCATGGCCCATGTACTCGCAGCATCGATATGAACGTGCCGCGACAGCTCCTTCGCCTCCCCTTGAGTCTGTCGCTGCGACCGCTTAACGCTGGCTCGGGTTGTGTTGGCTCCATCCGACAGATCCCTATTGGTCGATTCGTTCCCGGTGCTGCATCTGAGCAGTGTACTTGTGGCATTCGAGCTCGCGGGATTTTCCGATTTTACGATCGACGACATGGAGAGTCTCTGCGTTGGACTAATCGATCAGGTAGGCACAAGCGGAGCGGGAGCACTATTGCCTGGTCCAGTTACAGCACGCCTGGACACCATCGCCATAGCTCGCCGAAAACGATATTGACAACCTACCCTCGGTGACCCCGTATCCCAAAATCACAGGGATTCATCCGCGGATATATGATCCATAACCCGCAGCGCATGTGAGTATCCGAGCGCTCCTGGATCCGAGTGTTGCCCGTGCAGCTTGAGCCCAGCACATTACTTACACCCCCTTGCCCATGCGGCTGCTGCAGCGCTCTGTCCAAAACCAACCCGTTCCCACCTATATCCTCGGTGATGAACGCTTAGAGCCGCCGGCGCCCTGCAACGTGCGAGCAGTCATCGGGCACAGACGAGATGCAGAAGCGGATCGGTATCAAACCTGGGGCCACGGCAGGTGGATTTGTGCGGATACGCCAGGGTACTCCAGAGCTTTGACACTCGCCCCGCTTCTTGCAAACGACGTTGCGCGATTGTGTTGTACTGCAGAGTCAATCCAGAAGAAAAAGGGACAGTGCCCTCTTCTATGGCATCAGCGACCGATCGTCTTGAAAACACCCCGGTCGATCTCCTGTGGCGACAATCGACTGGCATGATGTCTCGATGTGCGAATGTGGTGCATGCCTTCGAGCAACTGAATCATGCTTTCGAGCGTCTGAACAGCCCCATGGTCTCTCGATATCCAGATACTTGACCTTCTCGAGTCGCCTGGCTTCCAGGCACTGTGAGCACACCGTTTGGTCGTTGGCAGTGTGTGTGTGTATTCAGGACCAGGAAGCGAGGACAGTTCCGACTCAAATCAGGGCGCCCCATTTCAAAAAAAGGGTACGTTGTAATCGTCCAGACCAAACGCACAGACAAACACATCTCAGTACATGTACTGCAGAAGCTTGGCCCAGTCCGCACTCAGGGCCAGATAGCTCGCCAGCTCGACGACCTGGTTGGTAGCCCCCAAGCAGTCTCCAATGACGCCACCAATGACCGAGTCAATGTAGGCACCCATGACCAGGGTCGTGACGATCGAGACGGCCCAGATGATGGCCATCTTCTCGACATCCCAGGCAAGCGAGATGCCGACAAACACGATCGTGGTGAGCGTCGTAAAGACCAGCCGCGGGATGGTGACCTTGAGGCTGAACTCTTTGCCCTTGGCGCTGACGTTTTCCACGTAGGGATAGGCCCAGAGGAGATAGGTGCAGCTCCAGCGACCCATGACGTGCGCGGTCACAAAGATGCCCGTCATGCCCGAGATCGAGAAGGGCGCCAGGGCAGCGAACCGGGCCAAGGCCGAGAGTTTCAGGGACACAACGAGGAGCAGACCGATTGCTCCGTAGGTGCCCAGCCGGGAGTCGCGCATGATGGTGAGGATCTGGGTGCGGCCCCAGCCACCACCAAAGCCATCGAAGGTATCGGCCAGTCCGTCTTCATGAAAAGCACCCGTCAGCCAGACCTGTGGGGAGGGGCGGGTGTAAAATGGACAGATGGTGAGGATGGCTGCCTCTGGCCCGATTCGACGGGGAATGTGCAAAGCCGAGACAGCATCGTCGCTGGAGGCTGCTGGAGGCTGCTGGAACAAGCAAATCAACTCACCGTCGAGAGTGTGTAAAAGTAGGCAGCAATGTTGGCATCCCAAAGACTCAGCGACAGGATGTACCAGAACGCACCAAAGAGGGCAACAAAGACGCCTGGGGCGAGGAGAGCGGGATGCGATCATGGCGAGGGCAAGGACGATCAGTGAATCGAGGACATGTACACAGGCTAGCGGCAAAGTATATGGGCCGTTTCAACTCTCGGCTGCACTCGGACTGAGCGAATCGGACTGAGCGGGTGGAGACAAAGAAGCGGACCGTACCGATAAGAGGAAAGTACGCTGTGCTGAGACTGAGCCAGTACATGTTGTGGTCGACCCACTCAGGGACGGGCAGGCGGGTGAAGAACATGATCCCCGAGAGAAAGGCACGGATTTCCTGGGCAAGAAACGACGAGGAGTGTTCCTCGGGCGGGACGATCTTCTTGGATGGCCTGTCGGAGGCGGCGTCGTCGGACATGGATGCAGGGATCGACGGTGAGTGGATCTGGTCGGGGACAGGAGGGGGGCTGGTCTCGATGGGCAGCGGGGTCGATCGGCGCAGATGGAGCGAAGAGCGAGAGTGCGATCTGGAAGGGCAGACCCAGAGCCAGACCCAGACCCAGACCCAACCAACGCGAGCCGAAACCTGGCAAGTGGCGCGCGCTGATCGGCAAAACGGCTCTGGCGATTTCCCGTCGCTCTGAAAGCGACGGGCAGGCCCCACCAGCATCGAACTGCTGCCGATCGCCCCAGCCGCAGGACCGGTCTGCGCTTGTAGTATTGTCTGGAATAGCACCCATCGCTCGAACCCACCATGCTCATCCTGAGTCCCGCCGAGATTCCCGTGGCCGATGCCGAGTGGCTCGCAAAGGCCCGCACCGAGATCGACTCCAAGACCAAGCCTCCCGGCTCGCTCGGCCGGCTGGAGGAGGTCGCCATCCGTCTGTGCGTTTTGCAACAGACCCTGTCTCCGTCGTAAGTCCCAGCCACTGTCGATGATGTCGTTCCTGTCGGACCGAGCTGCTGTTTGCATCGAGGGTAGGGCCATCTGGCCGACAGAGTGCGTGGTCGTCTGCATCCGAGGCCTTCGAGAATAAGATCGCTCGCGCTGACGTCCAGGGTTTGCAACTTGCCAGTGTCGAAAAGGGCAAGATTCTGCTGTTTGCCGCAGACCATGGTCTTGCTGATGAAGGTGTGAGCCAGTATCCCAAGATCGTAACCCAGGAGATGCTCCGGAACCTCGCGAACGGCGGCGCAGCGATCAAGTGAGTCCGGGAATGCTTGAACCAACGACGATGCCTCTCCTATGTCTCGGGATCTGCTGCATCTTCATCCTGTACAGTGATCGCAGACACTCGCTTTGATGGCCACTGCCGGTGCCGGTCTAACACAGTCCGTTGTCGGTTGGCTTTGATCCAGCGCTTTCTGTAATGCAAACGGCCTTGGGTTGGAGGTATGTAACTAGTCCGCTCTGGTAGCGGCGTTCCATGATCTCGACGGACTGAAGGCGAAGCGACTGCCTTGAGCAACTATCGAGAGGTCTATTCGTGGCCTTGGTTGCATATTCATGGCTTGATTGTCTGACATGGACTGACTACTGCTCCGGCCCGCCAGGTCATTGATGTCGGCGTCGATACCGCCCTGGTCTTTGAAGGAATCACCCGACAGAAGGACGCCTCTCCGCATGGGACCCAGTCGTCTCTGCAAGGGCTCGCCATGACCCAGGAGCAATTCGACAACGCCGTCCAGGCGGGCTATGACGCCGTCGACCGGGCCATCCGCGAGGGCCATCAGGCCATTGGCATTGGCGAGCTCGGCATCGGCAACACCGCTACGGCTGCGGCTCTCTTGGCTGCTGAGAGCGGCTTGGCCGGAAGTCGAGTTACGGGCCGGGGCACCGGCGTTGACGACCAGGGGCTCGAGCGCAAGACTAAGATTGTTGACGGAGTGGTCGAGAAGCACCAGGACCTGATTCGGACTGGCGACTGGACGCAGATCTTCAGAGCCCTCGGCGGCGTAAGTGCTGCTCCTGGCCAAGCACATGAGAGGGAAGGAGACTTGCTCGACCGCAGTCGCTTCAACAATCGCTATTGTGGTCGCTGTTGATCAACGAAGCCTGCAACACTCTCCGCTTACTGACAACCTTCCTCCCTCAATCATTCTACCTCGCCAGCTTGAGATTGTGGCCATGGCCGCTGCGGCTCGCCGTGCCGCCTTGAACCGCTTGGTGCTCATCGTCGACGGATTCATTTCAATGGCCGCCTTCCTCTATGCCCTCAAGGTTTACCCCGAAGATAGGGCGGCATTCTATCGATCTGCCTTCTTCAGCCACCAGAGCTCCGAGCAGGGTGTGGTTGTCGCCATGGAACGCATCGATCAGCTACTCGGTGAATCCGGTCGCTCGGCGCCTCTGCTCAACCTGGGCTTCCGTCTGGGCGAGGGGTAAGGAATGGGCGATGGGCGAGAGTTGCTGGAGAGGGAGGGAGCCAGAGAGCCGATAGCAAGCTTGCTCCGCGCATAGTGTGGGTGTGAAATCAAGGGCTTGATCACCCTGGCCTGTTTCGTTGCCCATACCCACTCGATCTAACTTGATGCGATGCGATCTCGTCTAATCCGGTCGGTTTCTGATTACGCTCTTTTGAATCTCTCCAGTACTGGTGCGGCCGTCGCTTTCCCTTTGCTCCGTGCTGCTGCCCACATGGCCTCGGACATGGCCACTTTTGCCAGCGCCGGTGTCAGCGAGGCCTGAGGCTTTGGTGATTCTACACATGTTGGCAGCTGCATCCGAGTGAGTGAATAAATCTGCGCTCGACCCGGGACAAAGCAGAGCGAACAGTTCTTAGAGTGCCTGTGTCGACCTGGGTTCATATGGCAGTGGTAGCAATGGCATCCCATTCATAGTGTGGGAACTGTATTGCCACACATCCAGCTCATCTTGGGCTGTTCGAAATCAGCGGAACTCTCCAATACCGATGTTCAGTGGTTGCAGTCAATACATCACAAGATCTCATAGCTGTGCTACCGACTTTGAAGCGGTTGCTGAGCACTGCCCAATAGTAGTACTGCTCAATGGCTGCGAAGGAAATGTGTTTCGCGCACCACCCTGGATAACGACAGTTTAGTCCGAGGATGGCGCCTGAATGTTGTAGTTGGCGCTGTAGCATCGAACCGTCAGAGGCAGGGAAAGGTCAAGGTTGGGCACGGTGTTGTTGGCACCGGGCTGGCCGTCGGTGCCGACGTTGGTGGTGTTCGGGAAGGCGAGGTGCTGCCACATGAGCGCTCGGTCGGGCTGCCCATCGTCCAGGCTCATTGAGGTAGTGATGACCTTCAGCCACTGGTTCTGCAGTTCGGCGAGGAAACGCAGCTCCTGGTCACCACCGGACTGTTTCTTGGTCGGGGGCTTGACGACGGCGCTGACGTTTTTCAGGATCGAGAGGTTGCCCGAGTTGAGGACAATGTCGTAGAGCTGACCCTTGCTGATGGGGAGGCCGAGGTGGTACTTTCTCGATGCGTCCATGGCTCGGCCCCAGTAGCCCGAGTCCGAGGACTTGTCACTAAGAGTGTTCCAGGTGGCCTTGATGTAGTTGGGGTTGATCGGTCCGCTGCCGGACGGGCCACCGGCCTGCTCAACAACCTTGGCAGCGAAGCCCTCCAGGCCTGTGAGCTCGGGCGAGTTGGCAGCGGAGAGGGCGCGAACATCAGGTAGGTACTGCACGAGTGGGTTGCATGGCTCCAGTCGGCGCAGCTTATTGAGGAAGACTGGGAGGTCGCCGGTGCCGGAGCAGAAGCCGACGATGTTGGTGGTGTAGCCGCGACCGTCGCCGATGTTCTGGATATACCCGTAGGCATTGTACCAGGGAACGACACCTGTAAAGGGTCCGGGGCCATTCTCTGCTACCCAGACGAGGCTGAGGATCGAGTAGATCTGGAGAGGCGTCATTTTGTGGCCATAGCCGGTGTCGAGGTCGCTGGGAAAGCTGAGAGGACCGACGGTGGGCCAGGGCTCTGGGACTTTGCCGTGGCAGTGCTTGGGTGGAAACCGTTTGTTGGACGAGGGGGTGGTTGTTTCGTTGCAGTTGATGAAGTTGAGCCAGCCGCAGTCAAGAGGCGAGCCGGGATATGGCGAGAGACACTGCACGCCGCTTGGAGGAGGCGCTGGAGGAGGACATGTCGAGGACGGCGAGGGAGCGGGCAGAGTCGGGGAAGGGGTGACGGTGCCAGAGCTGGAATGGCGGGCGAAGCCGCGAGAGACGGAGCAGAAGGCCAGCAGCGCGAAGAGCAGCACCTGGTACATGGTGGGATGGACAGGCAGATGCGACGGAGGCCGGGAAGAAGTCAAGGAGGAAGCCAAGGAAGATGCCAAGGAGGGAGGCAAGAAGAGGGATCGCTGGATGGGTGAGGATGGGCCGGGAAAGAGGCAGGCCTGGCAGCGAGGTGGGATGGTGGGGGGGGGAGGCGAGGCGCCATGGAAACTTACATATTGAAACGGGACACCTCACGCGGATGGTTACGTGTGGTGATTTGAGTGATGTTAGTCAATCTGGCGGAATGACGTCGATCGACGATCGCGCTGTTGCGATGGACTCGGCCGATGGTCTTGGAGGTTTGGACTGACTCCATGATATGATCCGACAGCGGCGATGATTTAACTTGCATGATATGATCCGACTGCGGCGATGATTTAACTCGCATGATATGATCCGACAGCGACGTGCTTGCATCTCTGCCTTTCCAACACTGTACACTTTACACATGAGCAACGGGACACTGCCCATTCCATGAACATGTAGTATGTGATGAGCTTGCGTCAAGCAGAGCCATAGGAAATAGAACAGATCACTTTGGCAGCCTCCGAGTGAAGACCACCGGTCGCTCTCCGGTCTCCACAATTGACATGCACACTGGACTCGGAGTGCCAGTGGCGAATGGTGCTCTTGGACACACTGGCGAATGGTCATGGCCAGCGCGCGATGTATTGGGTAACAAACCATTTGATCAACCCCTGTAATGCACCGCGGTAACACCTTCCTTAACTACTTTAACAACCCGTAACAACGCGCGACACCTTCCTTGACCACTTCGTTAACAACCCGGAACGGCCCGAGCAGCCGTAGCAGCAATCAGCGTCCGTCGTCCGTGCTCGGCCGACCGAGCCAGTCCCAGTCGTCGGTCCCGCTTGTCCTGCCTGGGCGGCCTTGTTGCAACCCAGCCCCGCCAAGTCCCCCGCCATCACAAACCCTCTCCCCTCGTGCCAGCAACGCCTCGGCCCAGCGAGCACCCCTTCGTCCTGCTCTTTCGCTCCTGCCCATCGGCTCCCGCCCTCGACCCCTCCCCCCCCCCACACCTCCAAGAGGACACCATGGGCCTCTTCTCCTCCTCCAAGCCCGACTTGGGCGACGATCCGGCGACCGATTTCGCCGACATTGCTGCTGCCGCTCAAGACATCCCGCTGCCCGAGATCCTGCCGCGGCCAGCCTCCCTCTACACCCTGCCGACGCTGCCGCCCGAGATCAACCCGACCGACCCCTTGGCCGTGGCCATCTACCACCATGAAAACAACCGCCTCGACATTGCCACATATTTCTTCTCCTACTCGGCGAGCCAGGGACACCCCATTGGCCTGTTCCTGTATGCCATGTCGCTGCGGCACGGCTGGGGCATCGAAAAGAACGAGGCGCTCGCCTTCAAGCTGCTGGAGAAGGCCGCCGGCTCGGCCGTCGACAACCTTGTCCATGGAGTCCAAACTACCCTGAGTCGGCGACCTACTCGGTCCAACAGCGGCTCGGCTCCGACTGCGGTCTTGCCGGCCTCTCGCCACGAGCCCATCACCCCTCCACCCCGAATCGCCTCGGCTCCCAAGAACACCTTCGGTGGTACCGGTGCCAACAGCAGCAGCAGCAGCAACTTCAACGGCTCGACGTCGACCGCCATCGCCAGAGAGGAGCTGACCCTGCCTATTTACGAAATGGCCATGTGCTTCAAGCAGGGCTGGGGCGTGCGGAAATCGGCACGGACGGCAGCCTACTATTTGACTGTCGCTGCCCAGCTCGGCGACGTCGATGCCCAGATGGCCCTGGGCGAATGCTACCTGGCCGGAGACGGGGTCAAGCAAAGCAAGAAGATGGCCGCCAAGTGGTTCCGGATGGCGCAGACCCAGGGAGCGCACATGGTGCAGATGCAGTGGATCTGGAAGGACAAGTACAACTGAGGCCCAGAGTCGACGACGACGACGAAACGGTGGGAGGAGGCTGCTGCTGGTGTCAGGTAGAGTCTCCTCGGACGCTGCAAGCCTTCTGCAGGTCTGTCGCAAGCGCTTCCACCGGGGAAACATGTGCGACATCCGTGCATTCTCCTTGCCCAACACCTTCGCAGCCTCGGCTCATTGGCCACGTCGGCGACCATCACTGTTGCGACGTCAAAGACTGCATTGCTGTCGGAGCGATAGCACTTGCAAAGCTGCGTGCTTCAGACGTGCAATCCGCTTGGAAACCTAGCAGAGGTGGCATTCGGCAATTGAGATCAAGGCCGCGTTCATGTTTCTGGGTCCGAATACACTCATGTACACGTCCTTGATTAATGGTGACCATACGCACGCTTTCAGCTGTCGAGCCTGTTGTTCCGTGACGCTACCCGATGGTTATCGGCTTTCAATCGGCCGTATTCTCGCCTGTCATGACTATGTGTTAATTCGCGCCTCCTATATTATGTGGAGCGAGATGCAAATCCACCACCGCTCGTTGGCATGGGCTCCATGTGCTCAAGATAGCGCCAGCCGAGGGCTTGAGATCAGCAACCAACCGCAGTCATTTCCTTCAAGAGCTACATCCGAAACGCATCCACATGCCTTTGCCGAGCTGCATCCAGCCGACTCTGCCATCAGGGCGTCGACTGCACCACAGACGGAATGCCCGTATCAGTCGTGCTCCGGACTTGCGGTCGAATCACAGGTCTTTGGTGTCCAATCGCTTTGGCAAGGGGTTGTCGCTGAACGATCTGGCGACCGCATACTGGTCAGAGCCGGAACCGTCGTCCTGGTCCAGCTGAGGATCCGACACGATGCGCTTTCGCAGTTGCGCTGTCGTTGCGCTGGTTTCGCCCGCGGTTTGCAGGCCCCCAGGCATCCCGGTGCGGTCAGCATGGGGGTCTGTTGCATGGTCCAGCATCCGGCGAGGTGGCTCAGATATTCTGCTTGTTTGCCGCGGAGTTCGCGGAGATGCTCCAGGGGCGGCCTCGGCTGCTTGGGCCGGCAGAGGCATCTTGCTGAGCAACGATCGGGTCCGATGGCTCTGAAGCCGGTATATCGATGTTGTCATGAGGGCATTGAAGGGAACATCCGCACTGCACACATCCCCAATTTCCACCCGCGACTGACATCCTCGCACATCGCTTGCCATCTTCGCACCCGAGCAAACCGACGCCCATTGATCCGCTTACCTTGCTGCCTCTCGATGTCGGGCTAAACGCAGTATCCAGGATGGCCGAGCCACTTGCGCAACTCGGTTCCCAAACACGCTTCGAAGGTCCCGGCAGGCTGGTTCGGAGACTCGGAGACAGATGTGTCCCATAGGGTTCGTCCCAATCCTTCATCTGTGCATCGACAAAGTCTGTGAACTCATCGACCTCTCTGGATATGCTGCCGACATACGACTTGGGGGAGGGATGGCCAGCCAGGGTATGCTGGGGGTAAGCATCCAACCAGAACTTGCTGTCAGATGAGCCAGACGAGACACTCGATCGACAACGACGAATCGACTCTGTCCCGCTCGTGTCCCCCCCTCCGTGGTTGAATCAGGTATCAGCAAGCTTACCTCAATGAGCCACATGCCGTTCCGAAGATCATCGATCTTGGCTTCCGGCCGCAACGACATGGAGGTATTTGCTCTCAGACCCAGGCCAGATGTGCTGGCGGTGGGCTGCTCTTCGTCGCTTGTAGTATCCACGAGCTCAGCGATCATTGCTTCGATGCATGTGGAGCTCTGCTCTTGAGGCTCGTGTGTCCTCAGCGGGCTTTCAACCGGAGGAATGACCTTGGTGAGAGGGACTTGGCAGCGCCACTGCAACCCCGCAGGCTCTCGAGCAGCGAGTAGGATGCTCTCACGCTCCTTGAGGGTCTTGTAGGTTTGCTCGGCGCTGATAGTGCCCGCGTGGGGGAGAGAAATCACGTCGTCTAGGATCAGATCGGGGCTGGTTGGACATGAAATCGAGCTGGATGGCGATCCCGCCGCACTGGAGCCGCACCAGTCCATAGGAAGCCGGTAGGAATCAAACGAAACTGGATTAAGTCCTGGTGCAGCTGCATTCGGCTGCCCCTGGACGCACGTGGTGCTTGATGACGCTTGAGGAGCCACATCAGAGGCCAGTGCCGACACCTCGACCGCACTGACTTGGACTGGCTCATTGGTCACGGCTCCAGAGGCGACGGTCACTGCGGACGGCAAGTTTGTCTCCACTGCCTCAGAGCCCTGCTGTGGGTGTGGGCCGACTGTTTGTGCTTGGTGATTGATCGGGAAAAGCCCAGATACATCGCCGTTGACAACGGGATGCGCTTCAGGGGAGGTATTTAGGACAGGCACGGATGTCTGCGCATGTTGCGGTGGTGGAGGATATCTCTCCTGTTCGAGCCCGACACAGAACCTGTCGATACGATGCCAGATTGTTCGTGCGAGAAATAATTAGCATGGGTGATCAGCCGATTCCATCGGCTCAGTGGCTCTGCTGGACGCAAGATGCCACGCTGACAAGCTGGCCCACCTGAGAAGGTCGTGAGACTGTTGCTGGTATGTCGGTGCGCGGATATAGTACTTGAATTCGATACAATCCTCGACAGGATCTCTATAGCCGCGCTGCTCAAGCGTCTCGAGTCGGTAAAAGCGGTTGTAGCCCCAACACTCGCCCACATCGAACTGAGAGCTGAACTCGCGAGTAAAGTTATGGCCGGTGATGGTGGGCACAAGCTTGATCTGGATCGTGAAGTAGCAGCCAAGATGCGGCAATCTTAAGTTAAAACAAGCGTTTGTGTGGCCGAGCGTGGTGGTCGGCGAATGGTACAGCGGGCCTCTGCGCGAGTGCGGCGATCAAGCGCAATCAAATGTGAAACAAATCGACACCCAAAAGTATCTGCAGTGGCATGGGCATGACCGACTGGGTCTGTGGCAGCAGCGGGAGGGAGTCCGGAAAACTTGCCAGTTCAATACGATATTGATAGGTCGCCGTTTTGCTAGTACCCTTGACGAGCTCAATGAACACCGACATGAAGTTGCCGCTTGACTGGCCGTTTCCTGCGCATATCGACGAAAGGCAGTTGCACGCTGTGGTAAGCCGATCGCGGCACGCATCCAAAGCATAACGAGCCAATCTGGTCAAAGTGACAGACACGCCGCCGCGGTCGGGACAGGTTGTGCGGTGATCCATACCACCGCAATAGACCTTGAGGCGCCAGAGCAGACCGGCTGCCAAGAAGGGCGGCGAGTAGAGTGGATCAGACGACGCGCGGGCCGTACTGAAGTTGTGGATGCGGAACGTGGATCCAATGTAGTCCGGGACAAACTCGTTTTGGAGCGATTCCACATGCAGCGGTCGAAACTCGGCAGGGCGAATTCGGTGTTGCTGAAGCAGAGACAGAGCGATTGCAGAGTTAGATAATGACTCGCGTAATGGCGGACTTCATTTTGTGCCCAACTCGGCGCTCAGACAGACATCATGCGCACGATGGGCCAGATCTTGGTAAACCTGTCTTCCACCTCGGCGCAACAGAGTATCGATCTCAAGCAGCATCCGAGCAGGCCGGAGCACCACTCCGCCCATACCTTGTCCATCAACTCGATGATTTTGGCCGAGTTGATGATCACCTCGGCCTGGGTGGTTTGCTCGACATGCTCCCGCACCTTCTCCAGCGTTGTCTTGATCAGTTCAGACTCGGAGAGGACGTCTCTCTTGTAGTCTGCGATAGTATTGGTGTCGGAAGCCATCAAACGAGGGACGGCGTGAGATTGGCCGACAAAGGACAAATCGAGTCAATGGCGTCCGCAGTGCTGGACTGGACAGAGACACGCTGAATGTTGAAGAGGGCCGGCGCCAAGCCATGTCCGCCAGCCGTACCTGAAATCATCTCAATTTGCTGAGCCGCGGCCCGTTCGAGTCTCATTATTGCGTCGTTCAGCACTGTCTGGTACTGGCCCAGGATCTAGTGGCAGGATAGAAGAAGGATAAACATCCCCTCCCCGAAAAACGAAGCAGCTCACCGAGATGGCCGGGATAGTGTGTGTCGTCAACAAAGTTGACGGCATCGAGCGAGCGGTATATCGCGGCCGAGTACACTTGCCTCGCGCTTTACGGCATGGACTGATGCGACCTTCTCATCAGCTGATGACAAAAGCTCACTGAAGCCGTCAAGTCGGGCCTCGAGCTCATGCCGCTTGTTGTCGATGAGCTGCTTCTGCGACTGAAAGACAGTCTCGAGCTTTTCGAATCGGTGGCCCTTATGCTATGAGGGTGAAGGGCGCGATGTCAGTGCGCGATATTAATGCACCGCATTAATGATAGGTCTGAGCACATCGAGCTCAAAAGAATACTGATCTGCACGATTGAGTGCACGTCTGTCTCTACACTGTCGCTTCATGGTCGCTATATGGCGAGACGAGCGACGTATTGTCGGCACCAGCTATCGGCACCACCAGGCCGTTGCTCCACTGAATGCGAATGTCTCCCCTCTCTCGCTTGACTGAACTTACGCCTGATCCAAAGATGGCGCAGTCGGCGCAAAGTGTGTCGAGACAGTCGATGCAGTAGTATTGGAAGGGCTGGGAATGGATTCTGCAGGTGCCCGCACTCTGCTCCTGGCTCTTGGCGACATACACTTGCAGCTCCTGGAAGGAAGACAAGCGAAGGGGGACGCACATGCGGGTTCAGGATTAATAGGAAACATGCCACGGCGTCGCCCTCTCTGTCACCCATGCCTCAGCGTTATGAACGGTGCGATCGGCTTGGCGGCTTGTCGCTATTGCAGGGAGCATGCAGTACCTGCACAAAGTCTCTGATGAATCGACACGGGATGAGGCTGCTGGCCGTCAGGGCCTTGCGACAGTGCGGACACTGCGAGCGGCCCCGCTGGAGCCATTTCTGGAGACCATGGTGAGCACATGAGCAACAATCGATAGCTGGCGCATGCTTATACTGACGATGGCGGACGGAAACCGCCGCACTGTCCGATTGCCTCTGGGGATTCCTGGGAGGGAGGGGAGCTGCCGCTGCAAAGTCGCATCGTCCTGGATGCCCTCCCTCCCCACCTGCCCGGGAGGCAAGCCATGGCCCGAAAATAAAAATAAGCGATAATAGCATCTGCGATGTGCTCTCACCTGCATGCAGCTTTCACATCCGGCCTTTCCGCACGATGGACACATCACCGGGTCGGCAAGCGCTTCAAAGCAGATGATACACTGGATGCTGTTGCGGATGACACAAATGGCCGACAGCCAGATCAGATCAGATCAGATCAAATCAGAGCAGAACAGAGCAGAATAGATGAGATCACATCAGCTTAAATAGCCCGTGGCAGCTCGTCCCTTGCCCGGGGCAGCTCGATCTGTGTGATGAGTCGCATGCCAATGAAGCCGCCTCGATTCCTTGACTGCGAAGCCCATTCTCGCCCCGAGGCTGGAGTCGAGTTCGGAAGCCATCCCGCCGCCAAGATCTCCGACTGGGATAAGATCGACAAACCCGTACAGATAGTCAAACTGGGTTGGTATGCTTGGCGAAGCCATATTCGGCTGGGTGGCAAGCCTCTGTCTTGACGCCGGGCTGCGAGAGGGGCCTGCTCGAATCTCGTCACGAAGCGACGAGATGCTGAGTCGGCTGGTGAAAGGCGACATGCTGTCGTCGCTGGGGTCCTCGCTGAAGGTGCCGGGATCGGGATCGCCGGGGATATTGAGGCCAAATGAGCGGAGGCGATTGAGGCGGCTGGCCGACATTGGAGCGGAATCGTCGGCAGCGTCGTGGAGCCGGCCCAAGCAGATGCAAGCAGATGCAAGCGAGAAAGCGCGCTGGGCCCTGGGAAAGTCGCTCTGGGGTTTGAGCCGGGGGTGCTGGACGGAGAGGCGGCGGCCTGTGAGGCATATCCACCGGCTCCGACTCCAGACGGCATTTCCGATGCTTGCTCGCTTTCATCGATTTGCAATTCACCGTCATACATGCATAACTGACATGCTCCATGAACCATTAATTCGCTGAGACGATGGAAGCCGGGTGTCGCTAGTCACAGGCGTTCCTGGAAGAAACGGGACACTTTGGTTATTGGTTTTTGATCAAATGGTTTGTTACCCAATACATCGCGCGCTGACCATGACCATTCGCCAGTGTGTCCAAGAGCACCATTCGCCACTGGCACTCCGAGTCCAGTGTGCATGTCAATTGTGGAGACCGGAGAGCGACCGGTGGTCTTCACTCGGAGGCTGCCAAAGTGATCTGTTCTATTTCCTATGGCTCTGCTTGACGCAAGCTCATCACATACTACATGTTCATGGAATGGGCAGTGTCCCGTTGCTCATGTGTAAAGTGTACAGTGTTGGAAAGGCAGAGATGCAAGCACGTCGCTGTCGGATCATATCATGCGAGTTAAATCATCGCCGCAGTCGGATCATATCATGCAAGTTAAATCATCGCCGCTGTCGGATCATATCATGGAGTCAGTCCAAACCTCCAAGACCATCGGCCGAGTCCATCGCAACAGCGCGATCGTCGATCGACGTCATTCCGCCAGATTGACTAACATCACTCAAATCACCACACGTAACCATCCGCGTGAGGTGTCCCGTTTCAATGTGTGCGCGCTTGCTATCGATCAGGATTGTGGATTGTGATGCGCCAACGGCATCCACCATGCATGGACACTGATCGATGGCGTTTTGGACACACTGGAGGACAAGGCAGAGCACAAGCAGCAATACAAAAAATCGAGGCCCATGTCCGATCAAAGCGGGCTGCGGATATGTGTATTCAAGTATCCAGAGCAGCTATAGTTCATGCTCTTGAGATCCCAGAGCGCTCTGTTCACTGAGGCAGAGTATAGCCGCATTCCTGGTCATGGTGTATATGGAAGACATCAGCCAGTGGACTCAATTCTGAGGGATCGTCCCCTCACGATTCGGCCATGACCTGTGCGTCGTGAGCCGCGGCCTCAAGCAGCTCCATCAACATCACAGAGGTGGCACTCGGCCATCTCCAACCGCACCAGCGAAAGGGATCATCCTTACCTTGAACGACTGCTTGAGGGCTTCCAAGGTCGACTTCAGATGGCCCAGCTTGCCATCGTCGACAACGCTGATGTTCATGTGGCCGATGCGGAAGTACTTCTGGGCATGCTCAGGGTGCAAGCCGCCAGCGATAACGACATTGTGTGAGCCCATCTTGGAGAGCAGTGCAGGCACAGTGACGCCCTCGGGAAGATACACGGCAGTCAAGGTGTTGGCAGCGATCTGGCGGTTGTGGGCGACGAGCTTGAGGCCCCAGCTCTCAACAAGATCCTTGATGCGGTTGGAGGCTTCGGCATGCTTCTCAAAGCGCGCCAGCATACCGCCCGGAGCATTGAGAAGTTGCTTGAGGCTGATATGGAGCGACATGATGAGCTGGACGGGAGGGGTCGCAAAGTAGCTGGGTTGTCGGGCCTCATATTTCTGCATGATCGGCAGCCACTTTTTGAAGGAGGCAAAGTAGGTCGAAGGCGGTGCTTTGCGGTGAAGGGCCACGTCCTAGCAGAGACATGGAAAGCAGAGGCAGCACCCAATAAACAAAAGGACGATGAGTCAGACTCGGCCGGTACACGAAGGATGGCTCTTGCGCATTGGTAGTGCAGAACCAGCAACACGCAGAGCCGATGAACGCCAGCATTTCTTGCCCATCATCGGCTCGGGTGACTTACGATCGCCCGACGACTCGCGACCAATACGCCGAGACCCGGTGGCACGCCGAGAGCCTTCTGGCTCGCCGTGAGAACTACGTCGATGCCTGAGAGATAAGGGCGATAAACCCAGCCAAGATCAGAAATCCAATGCGCACCGAGTCGCCGGTAGCACGTTTTACGGTTTCAAGACATACCCCACTCCTCTTGCTTCAGCACTTCGGCACCGACGGAGCAGACGCCGTCGACGGCAATGAGGGTCGAGGGACTCTTTTCTCGGATGATCTTGGCAAAGGCCTCGACATCGGTAAGGACGCCTGTGCTGGTGTCAACGTGGGTGAGAGTCACAAGCTTGTACGGAACCGGGGCTCGATCGAGGGCCGCGCGGAGTTCGTCGTCGGAGACTCTGGATCCGAACGGGGCTTTCAAAAAGGTGACCTTTCCGCCATACACTTCGATGCTGGATAGCGATGAGAGCGTCAGTGCTCTGCGGATACAAGTAAGCGTAGCGGGCGGTTGCGGAGGTCGACAGGGCTTTACCCCGCCCAGAGAATCGGACTACTTACCACTCGCCGAACCAGTCGCCAAAGATGCCGCTGACGATGACGAGGACGTGGTCTCCGGGTTCGACCAGATTGGCAGCAGTCATGTCCCAAGTCAAGGTGCCCGAGCCAGCAACAACGAACGGCTGGCCAGTCTGGGTACCAGACAGAGTTTGTATGGGCGTCAGTGGCAATACCAAGATCGGAGAGCTGGGGACAGGCAGAAGGCGCAAGGGTCGTGACTGCTTCGAGGTGTGCTTACGGGGGCAAAGAAGGCCTGGCGCAGAAGTTCAATTGTTTCGCCAAAGCACTCGATAAAGTTTGGAGCCACATGTGAAGTGGCCTGGGTGGCCATCGAGGCGAGGACCTGGACAGCGGCGACGAGAAGCGTCAGTTGAGAGGAAGGACCGAGAAGCAGGGCGGTACATGCTCACAGACAGCAGATGGGACGATCAAGCGCTCACATCGCCATCGCACTCCACGGGTCCTGTCGGCGATAGCGAGAGACGGTGTCGATGGCATGTTAGTTGACCAGGCAGAGACTCAGCGGAGAGTCGCGGATCAGTCGCCAAGGGGAATACAAGGCTGGGAGGATGGGCTCACCTGGGATCATGCACAGCTTGTGGCTTGCGTTGGACATGGCGATGGAGAGCAGGAGAATAGAGCAGACCGATGGGCAGATGGGCAGATGGGCAGATGGGCAGATGGGAGAGAGAGGCGCTTGCATGGGGCGGGTTGGGCGCCGGGGATGGTCTGGGGCGGGTTGGCATGTGGGTCGTGGTGACAAAGCCCGACGCCTGCGCTGCGCAGCAGTCAGGTGGGATGACCGGCGCATGAGCGGCGACAAGGAGAGACATGCGCAAGGAGCGACAGATGCAAATGACGGACGCATATGGCGGATGCGGCGGATGCGGTCGGCACGGGGAGGAGACAAGCGAGTAAGTGGATAAGCGAGCAGCCGGTGGGATCATGCAGGCACTGGGATCATGCTGGTGAGCTAGCATGGCGGCAACGAGGGCGCCGTTTCTGGCAGTGCGTTCCCGCGGTCCCTGTGGGAGCGGCGGGAAGCAGAGGAGCTCTTCTTCCTGATCGAGACGCCACCAAGGTCTCCAAGCACGACCACCTCACGAGGACCATCAAGTGCAGCATCACACGAGACTGTCAAGTGCTTCTCCGTCGCCATCTGCATCTGGTCTCGCGCTCTCAGTCGGCACGGCCTCGTTTGCTTGCCTTGGTCGCTCGCCACGGAGAATCGGCTCTCTCGACACGCTTACGGATTCGTTCACACGAGGCATTACTCAGCGATTTGTCTGTCCGCGGACCTGCAGCATCAACGCGGGTGCAAGACAGCTGATTCCAGCGCCTTTCACACGGTTACCGCCAGACGATTCTGGTGCATTTGTCTCTGTTCACGTATCCAATACCACCGCCACGCTCTGTCGACGTCCTGCTGGGTGCTCGGCACTTCCGCGATGCGCTCGACTCGCTCTGGCTCACTGGACACCCATCCCCTGCAGGCCACACAGCGGGCGGTCTTTGAGGTAGAGTGTTTTGACTGCATCCCGCACGTTGCAGTCCACTCCGCCCACGGCATGAGTATTGCGCTCGTGCTGGTTCGTACATGCTCTCTGATAAACCTATCTGCATAATTCATAGGTATTCGAAACTTGGTCCCATTCCAACTTTGACGGACTCCAGCAAATCCAGAATCTCGATCATCTCGCCGACCGTCTGCATCGATGGCTAGAGAATATGCCGCAACTACAATCGCCGACGCCGGCTACTCTTCGGTCGTGGATGCAAATGTGTGCCAGGAAATACGAGCCGCTGAGCCAGTGGTTCCGAGATACCGCAGATCATGGTGTGAGTCCGCCGGCTCCGTCGCCCGCTGGCTCTGGACTGCTATCAGGACCCATCCACATCCTTGCTCGAGGCAGCCGGTCCCCTGCCGGGCTCTATCAGCACCACATTCCGCCACCACTCGCCGCAACGGCCCCATCAGCATCCTCAGGTCTCGCCTTGCCAGCGGTTTAGCTTGTCGCTATGTCAACCCGGAGCTCGTGGGTGATAGCCTGATCGAATGACGATGCATCGGACCCGGTTTCTCGGCTATACTGGCTCTGGTTTGGCAGGCATTGAGCTGCCCTTGCCTTTGCGTCGCTGACACAAATATCGCCATGCTCTTCGGCATTCCACAGAGCTTTCGTCAGGATACAAGCCCAAGGCCTTGGCTCACTCATCCTCCAACATCAGCGATAGCCTCTCCGGCTACCCAGCCCTCAAAATCAGCCCCTATCTCCACACCCATCCGACCCTGGTGACAGAGTATCATCAGCCCACGCCGGTCATTTACACCCCGATTTCCCCGCCTTCGGGACAAGCAGTGTCAAGCCCGACTCAGGCCCAAAACGCTACTCCAAACCCGCTCAGAGAGACCCCTGAAGACCTGCTGAGCAGCTTCAGCCCCAGCCCGGAAGCGTCTGCCGCATATTTGACCCCGACAGTAGCCTTTGCAAACTTTAAAGGTGCCTTTAGTCTGCCCTCCACACCCAAGCTCTCGGTAACTCCTCAGGCGATGGATACGGGCACCCCAACGCTGTACCCATCGCCCACACTCGATGTCACTGATCCTTCAGTCCATCTTGTCTCCGGATCGACCCCGTTCATCGTCGAGGATGCACTTTCAGGCCAAGCTCTGCCTCTCATGGCGCCGCTGACCATAAACCGAGTGCCTGGACCAGATGCAGACTACCCTAGTTCGCAGCCGGACCAGCAGATACTAGGATCCAGCGGTCGGTGTGGATCCGTGGCCGTTCAACCCGACGAAACCATCTCGGCAGACTCAGAGTACTCCGGCCGTCCTGCATGGGTCCAGTTCTCGGCACACCAGCTTCAGCACCACCGCCATCGACAACTTCATATGCACCATCCGGGCTCCGAACAAGTCACTTCCCACTGCGTACCGAGCCCCCTAATCCATGAGGTCGTCATCCACCCCGCCTCGGGGCGTATGCAGGAAGTGATCGAGACAGCCTCATGGAGCGACGGTCGGGTTGGCATCGCATCGCATGTGCAAACCAGGAGCGTCCATATTTCCACCGAGGGTCCGCTTCTTCCCCAGCAATCTCTGCTGCCGACCCCACTTGCCTACGTGCCCACCTGTGCCCGTGGCCCACTGGTAGTTCCCTCGCACGACCTTGACGAGATGTTCCAGACCGTTATCCAGTACCATCGCCAACTGGAACTGAGCGTGAGAGCCGGCACCAGTGCAGGCGCCAGTGGTTTCCTGCTCTCTGGCGTCCCAGACAACAACAGCAGCAACAACAACAACTACGTCGGAGAACTTCTCTTGGAGCTGGAGCTGGCATTTTCTTCTCAATAGATCTCTGATTCTGGACCTATTTTGTGGACGAACTTCATATCCTTGACCCGAACAGCAGAACTGCCTCTGGCAGACTGAGTCAGCTCCTGCTTGGTGGATATAGCCGGTATTCTTGACCAAATCATTCTTGCCAGCGATGCAGCGATTGATAGAGATTCATTGTTGCAAATCCTCCCCTCTCCCCCACACACAAAGTTCAGTATTGCCGAAGAGCCAACCACCAGACAGGGAAGAATCAAGACGACAATACAACCGAACATACTCGATGAGTCCAAGTTGATTGTTCAGACAGACGAGAGAACCAACGTGCCGCCAAGTTCTCACAAAGGCCGTGCGATCAAAGATGGCTCGGCCGAGACAATGGCTCTTCCCCAATCAGCGCATATCGTGCACAGGTGTGCTTGAGGTGTGCTGCTCACCCATCACTGGGGGCCCTTCCCACCTGCTCAGTTCATATATATGATCACTGGTACACAAGGGGACAACGGCCATCGATAAACCTCTCCACAGCCTCTCGAAGGTGTTGTGTCCTGACTGCGTCGTCGGGCTCGCTTACAACTCTGCGGGCTTCAGATAGCCGCAGCATACTCTTACTTTCACATCTGCTGTGTCGACATACACCTTGGTTTCGAGATGGAGGAGCCCACAAACGACTTGCCGACAGCCGGTTCCCAGAACAACACCGATGCCGCTCAAAACTCTGGCAACGGTGCAGATCGCAAGATTCCCCGGAACGTCGGGGGCATCGAAAGCATGATGGCGCATCTCGAGAGGTCGCCCCTGGGCATACAGCGGGCTCAAACTGCGCCGTCAATCCCAAGGTCTGCTTACCGGAATCCGAGTCTTGTTATCCACGGCGGTGTCTGCGGAGGCGACCCACCCTCGCCTGATAGCCCATCAGCAAGTCAATACGTGCATGTCGGCTCTGTCGCCCCAAGCACCAGCGGAGCCATCAACAAGATGAAGGCCAGCCTGGCGAACAGGGAGCGGGAGAACCGCACCTACCGGAGACGATTTCCAAAGAGTGCACAGTCTCCCAGGTCACCGGATAGGGCAGGCGCCGTCTCGGTCAGGACCATCAACGAGAGCTCCAACGCCTGGTCCATGTCGTACTTCAACCGGCCCAGCAGCCCCCGGGCCGCTTACAGCAAGCTCCCCTTCCCGCCGAGGGAGCCCCAGATCCTGCCCAACCATCACTCGAACGAAATCGAGTCGCCGCAGTCCGCCCACCTGCTCATCTCTCGGGCTATCACCCCAAAGAAAGGAGAGGGATCGAGTCCACCCATGGGAGTACCAATCGCTACCCAGAGCGAGGTCCAGGTTCTGGATTTCTCACGCATGCTGCCCAAGGTGCCTTCGTTGCCGTCTCCAACCCCGCTTATCCAAACCTACCCTGTCGGAGCCCACAACTCGGGCTTTTACTCAAAGTACCAGATCAACAACTCCAAGTCACAGATGAAGACCCCGACCATCACGGCTATGATTCGGGACGCCGAGGGTTCTCATCGCAAGGGAGCCTCGGCAAACTCGGGCAACAGAGAAGATTCGGAGGACGACGAGAGCTCGGTAACAGCCGGGCCATTGATCAAGGAGAGGCAGAGTCTCTTTGTGGTCTCGGACTCGATCATCATCGACAACCATCTCAACATCCTGGCGGACCCGATCACAAACTGCGAAAAGGCAGTTGCAACACTCAGTTCGCTGCTGGCCTTCATGGATGAAAGCGGTACGCTTCGAACGAGCACCGGAACTTTGAATGTCTGGCTTGATGGATACCGGCACAATTGATGTATCGGCCGTGGCGTTGCTTGATCAGGGCAATCACGGATTTCGCTGTCGTGGACTCTGTACTGATGTCAGATGAACTCTGCCATTTGACTGACTGGTGGCTGTACAATCACTTGTTCTCGCAGCGACGTACGAGGCATGCGTCAACATGCTCTACGAGAAGGGAGCTGTCAATATCATCATCATGCTCATGAAGCAATTCCCAGAGAGCCCGACGCTTCAGATCAGTGCGACGTTTCTTCTCGAGCCTATCGTTCGATCAAACCGTACGTACATCTGTTGCAGTGTCATACACGCGAGCTTCGTGGCCGAGGTAGAAAATGCGCCCTTGCTCGACATTCACTCGCTTTGCTTGACTGCACACCCACAGCCCTGGCGGGAACCACGCTCATCAAGAACGACGGAGTCCATTTGCTGCTCAACGCCAACCGCACAGCCGGAAAAGGTACTCGAGCACTGCACAGCCCTGGCAAGCGCACGCCATGATCTGGTGCACTCGATACGATGTTGTTCAGTCTCTGCTCTGTCCAAGTTGTGCCCTAATCCCCTTGCTCGATGATTGCAGCGCTCGCAGAAGTGCGGCGAAAGAACATACGTCAGAGCGGCGTGTGTAAGGCACCTGGGAAGATTCGTCGCAGCAGCTCCTTCGGTATCCACGGCCCGGTGACCAATCTCTCGCTGTCCCTGCAGTCGCTGAACAATGACAGCGACGCGGAGGCCGATGTGCACGTCGCGACTTCAAGCGGTGCTAACGGGCGTGATAGCCTCATTAACGGACTGCTGACAAAATACTACGAGCCGTCGTTTCAAGGGCAGCTCGAGAAAATGGACATGCCCGGCCGCGCAGAGGTCATCCAGCATCTGCTGAACTTGTATGAAAAGATCGACCGAGTTCTCTACATCAGCACCACAGTGTCGCTTGACCTGGACTTGGATTATGCACTGTCGGAGATTCTGGACGACGCATATTTCATCCTACAGGCCGAATTGGTGATGGTGTTTCTGGTAGATCCGGAAACGGGCGAGCTGGTTCTGCGAGAGTCAAGCACTGCCAACGACAACGACAGATCGGGCCTCAAAGAAACACGCTTCCTCCTCAGCGAGGGCATCGCGGGCTACGTTGCCCAGAAGAACGAGCTGACCAACCTGCGCGACGTGCTCGGCCACCCAGAGTTTTCACGCAGCGTCGATACCAAGGATGGGCTCGTCGTACCACATTCGCTACTGAGCATCCCGATCAGGACCAAGGACGACGTCGTCAAGGGTGTCCTGCAAGCGGTCAACAAGGTCCGCGAGGACGGCAATCCGCTCAACTTTGATCAGGAGGATGTCTTTCTGTCGCAGGAGCTTGCCAAGCAGGCAGCCATCATCCTCAACAACTGCCAGATCTACGATGCCATGAAGAAGGCCCAAAAGCGAGTCGGTGTGCTTTTGGACACAACTCGGTCGCTTGGTTCAACCCTCGAGCTGGATCGGCTCATAAAGATGATCATGGAGGCGGCAAAGGAGCTGCTTGTAGCCGATCGGTGTACGCTCTTTCTCTTTGACTCACAGGAGAAGCAGCTATGCGCTCATATTCAGGGCAAGGACACGGACACAGTTCAGGAGATCCGTATTCCAATGGGATCGGGAATTGCTGGATACGTGTTTACATCTGGAGGTAGGAGGACCCAAGCTGCGCTAGGTCATGGCTTGTGTGTGCTTTCATGGTTTGCATATTGATGCATAGTTCTGTGCCGTCACAGAGTCGGTAAACATCCCTGATGCCTACAAGGACTCAAGGTAGGCATCCCGGTTTGTGGTACGAGCGGCGGTTTGCGGGGACTTGGCTTGGCTGTTGTTGCTGTCTCTGCGTTGGCGCTCACTATCCGATGCGCTGCTTTCATATCCGTAGGTTCAACCCCGAAGTGGATCGGCAGACCGGATATGTAACCAAGAACATCTTGTGTATGCCGATCAAGAACATCAGCGGTGAATGCATCGGGGTGACGCAGATGATCAATCGGCGAGGTGGTCCGTTTGGACTCGACGACGAGAAGATTCTAAGCTCGTTTTCGGCACAAGGTACAGACGATTGTGGATTGCTCCGTATCGATCGAGAACAGAGTCTGCTGCATATATCACCATACAATATCCAGAGGTGGATTTCTCGGCTGCTGGCGACCTGCCGACCAACATTCTGTCTTGCTGCCTCTGACTTTATTCAGCCGCGGTTGCCATCGAAAAGTCGTATCTGTTCAAGAAGACCGAGGATATGCGGAGCTATCTGCAGGGCATCCTGAGCAGTATCACAAACTGCGTCATTACCCTGAATGACGCAATGCACATGGTTGGTATCGGGGACAGCTGCTGACACATTACCACTAGCGGCTCGGTGCAGAAACTAGAGTACTTGCCCTTCAGGTTTGCAAAAAAAAAAAAAAAAAGCGGAGTCTGCGGGCCACTGAGCGACTTGGTATCTTGCCTTTGTCCTTGCTCAGCGCACCATGAACCGAAACTGGTTCATGAACGCCCTTGGACTGAATGAAGCCACGATGATGGAAAACCCAGTCACCGCGTGGATGACCGAGGAAAACTCTGCGCTCCTGAAGGACATCCTTGAGGTCAACTCAACACGTCTGCAGGTCTATGTCTCGGAGTATGAGCTCAAAGGGCCCAAGAGCACGACATACATCAACTATCAGATCATGCCCATTATCGGCGAGAAGCGCGGCGTTGTCCTCATTCTTGAAGACATATCCTCAGAGAAGCGCGCGATAATGACGCTTGGAAGGTAGGAGACGATCCATAATGTGCAACGCATGTTTGATCAACAATACTTGGCATCATCTGGGTTGTCCTTGGCTCCTGAGTCGGTTCACGTGAGACCATGCTAAAGCGGTGTGAACGCTTTCAGATACATGTCGCCAGCGCTGGCAAAGCAGGTGATGGAGGAAGATGGGAGCCAGCTCGGGGGCACGAGGAAGAAGGTGGCCATTGTGTTCAGCGACATCCGCTCGTTCACCAAAATGTCCGAGTCGATGGAGCCCCACGAAGTTGTCGAACTTTTGAATCACCATTTCAGCGACCAGGTCAATGCCATCCTGGCCGAGCAAGGTACGTATCTTCGCAGATGCCTTTGTATCTCGACTTTGTGTGTGCTAACCGCGCGATGCCATTCACAATAGGAATACTGGACAAGTATATTGGTAGGTCCTCATTGCTCTCACGCATATCTGATGCTTGAAGTCCGTTGCCTCTCCGTTGCCTCTCCGTTGACGATGTTTCCTTTTGTTTATGACTTGCTCCTCCATGGCTTGTGCCTCAGGCGACGCTACCATGGCCGTCTTTGGTGTGCCCTTTGTGAGCCCTGACGACTCGATACACGCATGCAACGCTGCCTTGCGGATGCAAGACAGTCTCAAGATCCTCAATCAAACAAGGGAAATGCAAGGCCTTCGCTCGATCAGCATCGGACTTGGCGTCAACACTGGGGTGGTAAGTGCCTTCCGGTGGACGCTTTGGCGCGACTGTGACAACAGATGCATCGCAGCCACGCACGACGAATCGCTCGCTTACTCCGGCTATTGGCTTCCGATTCGGGAAAGGTCCTCTCTGGAAACATTGGCTCGACAAAGCGCATGGAGTTCAGCTGCATCGGTGACGCAGTAAACTTGGCTTCGCGGACAGAGGGCCTCACCAAGCTCTACCACGTCACCATATTGATCACCGAGTTTACCAAGGCCGAAACCAACGACAATTTCATCACAAGAGAGGTCGATTGGGTGATCGTCACGGGAAAGTCTCAAAGAGTGGTTATACATGAGCTACTTGGGAAGAAGGGCGATCTTCTTTCGGACGACCTCATGGACGGATTGCTCCTCTATAAGCAGGGGCTGGAGCTCTACCGCTCGCGACAGTTTGCCAAGGCCATCACAAAGTTCCAGAAGGCCATCGACATTGCTGACGATGGGCCGTCAAAGACGCTGATGGATCGGTGCCGGCGGTTTATCGAGAATCCCCCTGAGGAGGACTGGGACGGTGTGTACATATGTGAAAGCAAATGATTACCGGAGCCATCTTGTGCTCCGCCATGTATGTAATAAACAAGCCGTCCTGGCCGAGGAAAGAGCAGCAATCGTGTGTGGCAATGAGAACTTCACCGTTGATCTTATGGTGTCAACGCATTATCAATATGGCCAGAGCCCGAACACGGCGTGGGCACGCATGATCGCGGCATGGGCGCCCATGTCGGATTGTCGGTTGGTACTTGTGTACGGCCGACTTGTTAGGCGACATGCGCCCGCTTTCCTCGGTGCATTCTTGAAAAGTGCGACTGGGAAGGTGTGTGTATTCAGGATCCAGACAAGGCAATCAGTGTCCTCGAAACAGGGTGCTTGTTTCATGTGCGAACGTTGCAGATCGCGCATCACATCAACATAGGGTGCTTTCAGTTGTCAATCGAACATGTCGGCAACAGCCTCGCCGTGCCTCCTTGGGCCGAACGTGGTCCAGAGAGTCGACATCGCACACGATATCTGCCGACATGGCTTTGGGATCCCGCTCCAGGCTTTTGGTGCAGCATGGATTGCTCACGCGAGTCTGCCTATGCAGCCTGAGGCGCGGCCAAGTCCACAATGCGATTTTCAACCATCGGCTGTCCGCAAATATAAACAGGAAATGCGGGTTGAATGCAATTATTAGTGAAATGACGATGCTACTGTCGGTCCGTGACCGGAACCAGAGCAACAATCGCCAACCTCAATCTCCGGAAGTTCGTCGTCCTCATCCTCGCTCAGGACCCCCTCGGCTTCTTTTGCGGCGGTCGACTTTTTCTTGTGCAGATTGTGCAGGCTGTGGGTCGACAAGTGGTGGTGGATTCCGTCTTTACTCTTCAAGCTGTCCTTCACCAGCCGTCGCCATTTGGTAAAGGCATCTCGGGCGAGGACCTTGTTTTCGCCGCAAAATACCCGGAATCGGTTGACGACTCGAATGCCAATGAAGAAGCGACGAATGATCGTTGAGATCAGAAGCCCTTGCTCCTTGTCGACAATCACCCGAGCCTTTCGCAGGCAGTCAAAGCCGTCGCGTCCATCGGCCAGGTATCTGCGATTCCCGTGCAATCAGAAGAAGCATGTGAGCGGCATGCGGGTGTTCCTTTCTGACTGATATTGCCTCGGGAGCAGACGCTGTAATGTGTGGCACTCGGGACGTACGAACGAGTTGCGAATGTATACTCTTTCTCAAGATCGAGTTTCTCAAGATAGGACGACTCGGGGCCGGCCTTGACAACATCGACGTTGGTGATGCGATGGTGTGGCGGCTTTGACTGGACGAATGGCATGCATGAGCATCGGAGGTGGTAGTGGACGGTCAAGGCTGTGCAAGTCGCCGTCGCCTGTCTCCACAAATCCAAAAGAGACAACCGGAACTCACTGAGTCATACTCAATCTTGAGCCCGGAAATCTGCGGGAAGCGACCTTCCGTCTTTGGCACTGCGGAGACGCCGTTCTCCAAGGCCTCCAAGACATCGCTGCCTTTCATCCTATTGACAAGCAGTGGTGACGAGCGAGATTGAGATGTCTCCATTACAGAACCCAACACAGTCGATGGTCCACGCAAAAGCGCACCCAACACGATATGCGTGGCTTACCCCAGAACAACACACGGATCGTCAAATGGAAAGATGTCGATGATGTTGCGGATGGTGATGTCGCCCGGGCCGTATGTTGAGTCGGAGCGGATGGTTCCGCCAACAATCATGGCGATATCGGTGTCGTAGGTAAACCTGCGGCGATCACGAGCCTCAGTGTCAGCGGATTAGAGGACAGCTGACAGAACCTTGCCCTACCTGATCAGATCCGACACAAAGTTGCCGATGTTTGACTCTCTCGTCCGGCAAACCGATCCGCGGGCATCCAGCACTGTCTTGGTCCGCCCGACCACCCGATCGAGCTTCTGGCCAAGACCTGACAGGCTTTGCTTGACGATCTCGAGGGCTTTTGGGTCTTCCGGCAGATCCTTGGTGACTTGCTTATGGAGAACTGCCAGGGATGTTGGTTCGGGTGAGCCCATGATCCGGTGCTGGCGGGCCAGCGCTCCGTCGCCAGTTGTCTGGCGCCGATCAGCCAAAGTCAAACGCAGCCGGCCAGCGAGCGACATTCCTCTCGCGAATCAAGCAAGCGTAGCCCATATTACCCTTGACGTGGGAGATGTACGCAGGCTTCTCTGGCGTTCGTCGCTGGATAGTCAACTCGTTGAGGGTTACATCTCGAAAGTCGCAGCTGGACTTGATTACGCGCACATTGCCCTCGTGAACAAACTTTTCAGGTTGGCTGACGTTGTCTCCACCGGCGAAGAAATCATGATCGTGTCCTTGGAGAGAAATGCGGTGTAAATACGGCACGCCAAGCCACAGAATTGCTCTGAATTCTCCCCGATGTGGCCTTGGAGCAGCTCCGTGGCAACGGCCCTGGATGGGACAGCACAGCCCTGGTGTGCTGTTGCGGCAATTACCTCCAAGGATCAAGTCAATCTCGGGCACCTCTCTCGCGAGACGCATGTCGTTTGGTACTCGCATATGCGTCAGGGCGATGATGATATCGACGCCTTCACCGCCCTCTTCGCCCCTGGGTTTCTTGAGCTTGCGAGAGAGTCCTCGGCCGACCTCGACAAAATCCATATAGTCCACAGGAGGCAGTCCCGATATCGTCTCGAGCCAGTCAGGCTCAACCAGACCAATGAAGCCAATGCGGAGGCCATACCGCTCCAGCACGACGTACTCTTGGCCGTTTGCCAGGAGCTGCTGCATCTGCCGGTCGGTCACATTGGACATGATCCACGGGAAGTTGGTCGAGTTCTTGAGATTGATGAGGGTCTCGACGCCAAAATCGAAATCTGCAGGGTATCGATATGCGTCAGATGCACGGTGTCTCGATCTTTGTCATTGATCGCACTTCTCAGCGATAGGATGCCATCGCTGTGGTGATCCACTGACGGCCAGAAGCCTGCAAGTGGCGCTCGTGCGTGCGCTCTTGATGGTTTCTGCACTCGTGCGAAACGCGGCAGGAGTACCATGATTCCCAAAGCAGGTTGCGTTGATGCCCAGATGGTTCATCGCCGGGAGCATGTGTCGGCCTTTGGTCACGCTCGACTCGACGCTCGGGTTAAATACGTCCTGAGACCGCAGCGGTGGGGCGAGCGGCGACCAAGGAATCCGTCAGCGATGCATCCGATACCGAGGTTTCACGCAGATGCGATATGGTGAGAACAAGAACAGCTTCCACAATATCTTGGCAAGAATCAACTACGATCCAGCACATGCGTATCGACCACGCTCCTACCCCGCCAAATGTGATGAGATGCTGCCTGCGGTTGTGTTGAGTTCGCTGCTCCTCAAGCCATGTTTTGACGGTGCAGGCAAATCGCGCGAATCCACCGACTGGCTCGTTGTGGAAGGGCTCGAGATGGTACTTTTACGGCCAATACGTGAGCGTGAAAGACATAACATCCGCAAACGAGTGCATACGGCCCGGACGCATTTGGTCGACGGACAGAGCCGCCAATCTCCCTTGGCCAAGCTCAATGACTCACCACATCGTTGAAGTGAACCAGAGGCAGAACGATCGTGGGCTGGTCCAGAAACTCAGAGTCGGCAGGACTGGTTCGACTGGCACCGCATCCCATCTTTGCGTTTCTCCAGAGGCAACAACCGAGAAGAAGAAAGAGTGCAGAACTCAGTGGCTCGGGGCCCTGTCGCTTGTTCAGCATCCTAATCCTGGCGGTAGTTGTGATTGGGGCTGTCGTGCGGCACTCTTGCATCGGCAGTGTGATTGACATCGTCGCTGGATGCACTCGACCCACAAACCGATGCAGTCTGATGCTTTTGCAAGCGAGAGAAGTCGGTCGGATCGTGGTCGAGAAGGATGTCCCGTTTTTTATTGGATCGCCTGTAATCCAGCACAAGCCCAGTTTCCAAGCAGTTAGAAGAGTACTGCAGCGCCGACCAATCGAAACAGCCATCGTGCTTTGGAGCCGATAGCCTCTGTGTTCTGAATGTGCGGTGCCCATGTATTCATCCAGTATTGACTGAACCAAAGAAATGAAACCGGACAGTGCATATGCGTTCCTTCGTTTCAGGCACCGCCTGTTGTGGATTTGGGAAGCACAGTCTCGCGATACACAGTCAGCAATCGAGGAAGCGACAGTCGGTGGTTATTTGGCACGTGGCCCTATACTGACGCTCCAAAAGGCGATGCCGAAATCTTGAGCGAGCGCTGAGCTAATGCTCCTTTCCATGAGCAATATCAACGATTCGGTTCTCGACCTCAGGCTGGCGACAAAATAGCTCCATGTCAGAGCCGAAGCAATGTATGTTGCAAGCCAGGGCCCATATCGAGCACCGGCACCGGATCCAACAGACGACGGCCGAGAGAAAACGTCGGAGGCCCTGACCAAGTCATCACACGAACCAAGGCCAACTCAATCCTACCTCGATTTCAGGGACATCCCACTCAGACTCATCTTCGCTGAATACGAACGGCGGCGTTGCGACGCGATAGGGTCTCTCAGAGAGGGGCCGAGGGGCAGGAGCCGCAGTGTGCTGCGAAAAGTTATGGTGGTGCAGATGGTCCTTGCTCTGGAAGCTGTCCTTCACCAAACGCCGCCACTTGGTGAAGGCGTCCCTGGATATCTTCTCCTGCTCGGAGCGGATGGCCCGGAATCGATTAACCACCTTGATGCCGATAAAGAATCGCCTCAAGATGGTTGAAAGAAGCATGCCGCTCTCCGAGTCGACAACCAGAGTGGACTTTGTTAAGCTCTCAAAGCCATCGTGGCCTTGGCTGAGATACCTGAGCATCAAACCCAAACGAATGAGAGAGGGGCCAAGTTTGTTGGATAACGTTTGACCCAAGATCCAGTGTGCTGCAGCGGTACGTCCGACCGAGCGCCCGTTACTCACTCGCGGGTGGCGACGGTGTAGAACTTGTCCATTTCCAGCTTCTCCAGCAGGCACGTTTCTGGACCTGAGCGAATAATGTGCACATCTACGATGCGCTTGTACGGAGGCAGTCTCTGTTGTGGGTAGGCAGCCACATTGGGAGGGAAGGTGAGTAATACCACTGTAGAGCTCGCCATGCAGCACACACGACCGCACCCTCGCGTACCGAATCGAAGCGGATCTTGAGGCCAGAGACTTGCGGGAAACGGCCCTCGGTTTTGGGGAGAGCCGAGAAACCATTCTCGAGGGCGTCGTACAAATCACTGCCCTTGATTCTGGCGGCCAAGACGTCCGTGTGTCAAAAGCGGGTCTCTCGAGCATGGAGCGTTCGTCCGCGAAACTCCAAGAGGCTCTAGGTGGAAACAACCAGTCCAGTACCGAAGCCAGATTGACAGCACCAGATTCCATCGCACCTACCTGATGACCACACACGGATCGTCGAAGGGGAAGATATCGATGATATCTCGAATGGTCAAGTTGCCGGGGCCGTACGTTGTGTCAGAGCGAATCGTGCCTCCAACAACCAAGCCAATGTCGGAATTATAGGTGATTCTAGCGGAACACAATAGGCGGCATGAGTCATGACGATCAGAGCGGATCGATAGCCGTATCGCCGGGTGATCACACGGCCCGATCCAGATATCAGATTGGTTGCGAAAATACAACCAACCAGCCTGCCAGCTGGTCGGCGCAAGCTCACCTCAGTAAATCCGTGGCTAGATTCCCCATGTTGGACTCGCGCGTTCGACAGATGGATCCTCGGGCATCCAGCATGACCCTGGTGCGGCCAATGACCTGCTGGAGCTTCTGGCCCATTCCCGCGAGGCAGTGCTTGACAAGTTCCAGGGCCTCGGGATCCTCAGGAAGGCTTTCGACGATTTCCTTGCGGGTCACTGTCGAGGCAGTTCTCCGTTAGTCGTCTGGTCGCCCAGGGCTTTCTGCCCTGGCTCAGGTCGCAAATAAATATCGATGCGCTGCAGACAGCATGCCCTACCGACCTTTGATCGAACGAATTCGCGCAGGCGCTCCGTCGGACTTGGGTTGGATAGTCACTTCATTGAGGGACAGCTCACGAAAATCGCATCCGGTCTTGATGACCCGCACTTTGCCCTCGTAAACGTTCTTTTCGATCTCGACGACACCGTCGCTGTTGATGAAAAAGTCGTGATCGTGGCCTGGGCGCAATATACAGAGTGGACAACTCTCAGCGATGCTGCATACACCCTGGCTCTGGGAGAGATCCTGGTGCCGGAAACCAAGCGCCTGCACAAACGAGTGCACAGAAGCTTACCGCCCAGGATCAGATCAATCTCGGGCACCTCGTTGGACAGGCGCTGGTCGTTTGGGAAGCGCATGTGCGTCAGTGCGAAAACGAGGTCAACGCCTTCGCCGCCGTCGTCGCCCAGGGGTCGCTTGAGCCTGCGGGCCAGATCCCTTCCGGTCGTGACAAAATCGCGATACTCGACCGGGGGCAAGTGAGTGATGGTCTCGAGCCAGTCGGGCTCGACCAAGCCGATGAAGCCGATGCGGAGGCCGTATCGCTCCAGGACGACGTACTCTCGCCCGTTGGCGAGGAAGCGATTCATCTGCGTCGACCACACGTTGGACATGATCCACGGGTAGTTGGTCGCTGCGGTGAGGTTCATCAGGGTCTCGACGCCAAAGTCAAAGTCTGCAGGCATCAGGGCGGCAGAGTGCGAGGCTGTTCAGTACATGCTGTTTTGCTGCAATGCGCTCTTGTTCCAATACTGTTCGCAGCCCATGGCCTCATCGGTGCGGAAAGAGCAGACTTGCCGTGGTTGCCGTAGCAGGAGACATCGATGCCAAGATAGTTCAGGGCCGGAAGCATGTGCTTGCCCTTGGTGATGCTCGACTCGACACTTGGGTTGAAGACATCCTGATCCACAGATGCGCAAGCACAGCCCGGTCAGCAGCGCGGGGGAGGGGCAGGATGCATCATATCATGGCGGTGCCGGCGATTGTCGCAAGGAGCACAGGCAACACGACCTACCCCGCCAAAGGTGAAGAGATACTCGGGCCGGTTGAACTTGGTTTTTTGATCCTCGATCCAGGACTTTGCGGTGTTGGCGAACCTTGCGAACCCGCCGACAGGCTCGGTGCGGAAGGGCTCCAGATGGTACTGCGTCGCAGGAGTCAGCAAAATGTCCGAAGGTCGCTGCGGGTGAGCGGGCGTGATGCGGGGCGACAATCATGCCACAGCAAATGTCCGCGGAGAGACGTCCAGGGCCACACAGCGCGCCGGCTCGCTCGACTGGCCTACCACGTCGTTGAAGTGCAGCAGGGGCAGGATAATGTCGTCGCTCATGTCGTAGACTTGTGTCGGGGCGATTCGGGAGCAACGGGCATCCTCGGTTCGGCCTGTCCAGGCCACAGCGCCAAAAACCGGGACGGCACATCCTCCACGTGATAGCTGCGCCACACATGACTCCAGACCAGTCACCGGTGCTTGGGTCGGCTCGGTGTCCAGGGATGCTGCTGATGGATACGATGCGAGCCACGCGCCGCAACAAACAGCCAGGACATGCTCAATCGATGGAATGGCAGTCGCAGAGATAATGGGGCCGTGGACGGCACAGCCCCACGGAGTGACCCCACGAGACGGACACCCAGGGAGATGACCTGAATCGCTGGGCGGTCGTGTGGGCGGGCGGATGGATGGGCGTGTGTGTCTTCAGGGGCCCACAAAAAGTCGCCAGGGATTCCAGCCAAGAGCGCCCTCCTGTTTGCAATCGGTCTATTTTCCCTCAGTCATGGAGCCGACCGACAGCCAGCACCCAAGCGCAGGATCGCCCAGGAGCACTCTTGGAGATCACCGAGTCGATATTGCCAGTGCCAGACAAGAATCAAGACCAGATGCTGCCTCCTCGTCTCTTGGCCAGGTAGATCGCTGGAACACAGGCGCATGGCTTCGGCGGTGATTGGGTCCTGTGTGCTTTCGTAACAGCAGGATGTGCACAGGCGGCGCCACAGCATCAACGATGATCTGGCTGATCCACCGATCGCACATTCTCCAGCCAGGTTACGATCACGGCTCTCGGGAAGGCACTCCCCGGAGCCACAAAAGGCGTAAGGACACCACCGCCATGATCCAAGAGCTGATCCAGAGCGGCCTTGGTGATCACGACGGGCATACTCATGACGCAACCTGCCGCCATCTTTATCCTTAACCCCCAGACCGGCTATTCCAGAGCGGCATCAGAACTGTGATCGCCGCCAACAGGTTGCGCAACACGCACGGTACGCGGCATGGACTGTCGAGAGACGAGCGGGGTGATGATCAAGTGATGGGAATGTGGATTGACTTTCTGATGATGTTTTGCTTGTCGGATTGGCGGCTGTGACGGCACCACACCCAGGCTCTCGCCCCCACCGAATCGGCGCACCGCCAGGAGTCGACGTCAATGCAGAAAATCCTGATCTCGAGTCGCGGTTCAGTGTAAGCGGTCCGTCATCTGTGGTGAATGCGGCTTCCAAGCCGTCGTTGGAAGCAGCCCCTGACCACCACCAATGATCGATAACAACGATGCAAACCTGACTGTAGGACGAAGTGTCGGTCACGATCGTCGACTACGGCGCTCGTCCTGGTAAGTACATATAGGATTCATATTTGACACACTTGAGGCGACCAGGCTCTGCTCCCGAGATCTCTGTCCTCGTGAGAAGCAAGTCCAAAGTGCGACTTGTGATGGCGATGCCCACATTTCCTCTCGACAGACTCGCACTCCATCCGCGAATGTACCAGCGCCGAGTTCGCGACGTTCTTGAAGCGAAAGGTTTGCCCGTCCGAGATGCGCATGCTGTGCTGTGGTTTGAAGTAGCGAGCCAGCTGTTTTGCAGTATCGACACTGTGGGGCGGCCGCATCAGCAGTCAGCGGCTAAAACACAAGCTGCACGATCCGGATGTTTGACAGAGACCGGAGTGGTCAAAGGTTCGATGGATTATCGTGAGTGGAATCAACTACCATGTAGTGAAGCTGCTGACGCAGCAGTTTGGTAAGGGTTCCTGGTGGTAGCAACAACAGCTATGTACCGAGCCCGGACAAGCCGCACAGAGCATCGATAGGAAGTGAGGAGCCAATCCAATCTCACCCCCGATATAACTATCTATCCTCTCTCACACAGATATCCACCCACTGGCTGTGGAGGATGTCTTGCACTCGTCGCAGAGGTAGTATCTGTGGCATTCAGCAGAGGCGACTGCGACTGCATTGAAAATCTCGCCAGTCGCAGTATTTCATGCGCGCTGCAGGCAAGCAGTCGGTCTCCTCCGGAAATATGCTTATGTCGACATGTATGGGCATGTCTCACAGGATCAAGACAGAGTTTTACGAGTCGTTCGTGTACATGGCATTGAGATCCATACAACTTGTGCAGAATGGCGAGGCCACTGGAGCAAGGCATCCCAAAGTCTTGTCTGAGCAAGTCAACTTTTTCTTGTTCAAAGGTGAGGAAGACAGGCGGGCGCCAGACGGACACCAGTAAATCCAGAACAGGGGCTCTCTGTATCGACCATGTCCGCTGACTCGTCATCTGTTTCGATTAGACACGTTCATTTCGATCTTCGAGTCACCTCCGATCAACTTCACCGCCCCGATCCTTGATCGACTACAGCATCACAACATCCCAATGCGCAAGTCCGAGGATGTTTCGTTTGCTCTCTGCAGCGTACTGGACTCGGTCGTCGACCACTACTTTCCCGTCCTCGATGCCTTCCAGGAGTATATAGCCGGCCTCGAGCAGATCATCATTGTCAAGCCAAATCCAAAGGTTACCAAGGGTAGGGTCTCATCAAACCGTCGAGAGATAACGTGGGGGGTGCTGTTTGACAACAGCGCACTCGTGGTCAGGGGAAGCGGCCTGTGGGTACCTGCCTTTCTCGATTTCATATCCTCGAGCGGCAGAGCTCGCACAGTCATCGAACGGCGACGGTGGCATTCAAATGCCTCGCCCTCTAAACTAACAGGAAACGTGGGCTATTCAGACATATACTTTATGACCAAGGAGGTCTCTCGGGTCAAGCGAATGCTGCTGCCCATCCGCGATGCCGTGGATGGCTTGATCCGCGAGTTTGACTCGATGTCCTTGCATGGGCATGTGTCAGGAAGTCAGCATCCCAAGACTGGAGCCAACTTGGTGACGAACCTCACAAGAATCTATCTGCGCGATGTCGAGGTAGCCCACAGTGTCCGCGAGCAATGATTTGCTCGCAAGCGGGTGAGTATCGAGGGCTTGACCGCCACGACTAAACAACTCGCGCGACTATCTGCGGCCATGGCCGTCCAGGATCACTTGACGAGAATATTTGCGATCCTGGACACGATCGAGGAAGATGCCCGGGAGCTCATTAACTATGTAAGACCGGATCCAACGCCCTGTGAGCCTGTTGCGATGCATAATCAAGTCCCAGCACATCGACCCCCCCCCGTAAACGAATTGATAACTGTGGATATGTGAGACACGGCTGCAGAGCGCTTACACTGCGTCTGTGTCGATGGCAGATCTTCAACATGATATCAAACTCAACAAACGAGGCGAGTATATGGGCATCGGCACAGACAGCGTGAACTGGTTCGACACTGTCGAGGGAGGCACTGTGACAGTCGACGCATTGCTCGACTGAAGGAACAGCGTTCTTTGGAGGCAACCAACCCTGCCTTTCCAAGCTGCTGACCGACCGCATTTGCAAATGGCAGTCTATGAAAACCCTCGCGATCGTGTCGCTGATATTCCTGCCTCTGAGCTTTCTGAGCGGATACTTTGGAATGAACTTTGAGTACTTTGATGGTAAGGTGCTGTGCAGCGCAGAGGTGCGGACATGATTCCCAAGTCTGGTTCGCATTCACCCACCCACTCACTCACTCACTCACTCACTCACTCACTCACTCACTCACTCACTCACTCACTCACTCACTCACTCACTCACTCACTCACTCACTCACTCACTCACCCACTCACTCACTCACAGCGATTCACCTGCCTAATGGTCTGGCTGTGTTCTGGGGCCTGTGCGGCACCGTTGTGGTGATCATGCTCGTGGTGCTGAGACTCGCCCACTATTTCTGAGCCAGTAAATAACAGGACATCCTGGATTTTGGTCGCACTGTCCACGAGATGTGCCAGCGAGCCATTGACCAGGCGCCATGGGAGACCGACATTGTGATTGCCTTTGGGAATGCCCCTGGAAGCAAAGGAAGGGACATGCATCCAGTCCACGGAGACTCCGGTGTGCTCGGTGAACGAGTTCAACACATCCCAGGGGTGCTCACAGTGCCAGGCAATTCAAGATGGCCGAGTATCTCGATATCGATACACCATGGAACTGTCCAGAGGGCCGAGTGAATGCACCCCACAAAGATATTGCCAACCAGGACGGGAAGCAGTCGCACGGCTTGCTCATCGGAGCCAGCAGACGCTCGTAATGGAACCCTGTCACATTTCATTTTGGAAACGCCATGACTCTGAGACAGCCACCAGACAGCCACGGTGTGGCCTGTGTGGCTTGCGTGGCTTGTGTGGCTTGGGTGATCAGCCATCGACCCTGGTTTCTGGTCGCCGCATTTTTTATCTGAGATCGGCGCGGTCTGATCCATCGTTCGCCGCTCTCCAAGACAGGCTCATTGCAGCTGCGATGCTGTCCAGTCGTCGCATCGCTCGCATCGCTCGCCTCACCCTCGTTCGTTCAGACAGCGTGTCGACAGGTAGGTTTCCAGAAGTTGCCGCCGCAGCAGCGATTTTGGAGCAGAGCCTCCCAAAGGACGCGGGGAGGGCGTTTGCCAGTAGTCCAGACCCACCTCCCATTGCGCTTCTTCGGCCAGCCAACGGAGGATACCCTGCCTTCCTATCGGGAGTGTCCTTCGGCTGCGGTACGCCCGCAGTGTGGCCAAGAGTAAATCCGATCAAACTCATTCGCCGGCATGTTTTGAGTATGCTCCCACGGCATGACATCGGCAGTTCTTGTTTGATACATCTCGAGACTTCCTTGAGCCCTCGTTCCCGAGAGAGAGTGGCGATCGTCAGTGAGCTTTCCGGGCTTGCGCGGGCAAATGGACGACGGAATGAGAGGTAGCATCCATTCATGCACAGGCGAGAGACACCGCCATCCTTCGCGGATCAATTCTCGCTCTTGGTTCACAACAATACGGTGTATTGGGGAGGGAAGCGATTTTGGCAGGGGATCATCCCTGCACATCGACTACATCTGTTGCACGACTTTTTTTCGACAGAGAGAGACATGGACAAAGAATAGAGACGGACAACAAAAAAATGTAAGGGGGGATCTGTAGAGCGGGGCAAGATCGGAGCGAGCACGACCTCTCATTCGGAACTCGTACGGTCCGAGGCTGTATAAGGGGAGGGAGAAGGGGGAGGCATGGCTGCAAAGAGCTGTGGCGGTAGCGTCGTATTCGACTGCGAGGACTCGATCGTGTCGACAGCAAGGCGCAGCGAGTCTAGATCAACAGCATCGACAGCGTACCGAGCGCCAGCATTGTAGCTCCGAGGACCGGAATGCTGGCTCGAGGAACACCCATGGATCTGGATGTGGGAGTTGTGTTCGACGACGGCAGGTTCTGGAAGGTGAGCTTGGTCGCAGCGGCGAACTGGGACGAGCGGAAAACACAGAGCTCGTCGTGGGTGCAGCCGACGACGACTTGTGGAGCCGACCAGGCCTGTGGGAAGTACAGCTGCAGATAGCGGTTGAAAACCAAGGAGCGCTGAAGGCGGTTCTCGCCCTGGGCCTGGGCGGGGCAGGTGGTATCCAAGATCGAGTCCACGGCCGTGTCCATGCTGCCGACCATATAGGTCACCGACTGGCCTTGGTATTGGGTGGAGATTGTGCCGGCAGTGAACTGCGAGAGATAGGTGAAGGGCACCTGGGTCTGGACGTCGCTCAAGCCGTACTTGTCCTGGTCGTAGCCGGGGCAGGAGGGGCTCGGGTTGTAGTTGGTGGTAAAGTTACTTATGCTGAGGGAGCAGCCCGAGGGATTGCACTCGTTCGAGATGGCCTTGAACGAGATGCCAGACTTGACTCGGTGGGTGTCCAGGTACATGAAGCTGCCCGGGGCGCCAACCACAAAGCCCACGTTGGTGTTGAGCTTGGACGAGAGCGCAACGGTGGAGCCGCCGAGATAGCGCTGGACAAACTGGCCGCCAGCTGAGTATCCGACGACATACACCTGGCCGAGGTTGGCGAAGCTGGATCGGACAATCTGCAGCAGGCGATCGGCCATGCTGAAGGAGTAGATCGAGGAGAGCTGGGCGCTGGGGTCGCCCTCCTGCCAACCGTTGCAATCCCACATGAGAGTGTTGGCCTGGATGGGGATGGACTTGTCACAAGCAAAGTACGGGGCGACGACGGCGATGGACGAATCGTATGAGGTCAAAGCGACCATGTTGCCGAAGCTGGTCTGAACATCGCCGGCGATGCCTGAAGAAACCAAGGATGCGAGTAGGACAGAATCAAAGTTTGGGATGAGATCAATGTGGACAGGTGGTGATGGGAGCATGTTGGAGCCAGGAGTACGGATCAGGGTGGGGACCACGCAATCGAGTGAATGCCATGCAATCGAGTGAATGCCATGCAATCGAGTGAATGCCATGCAATCGAGTGAATGCCATGCAATCGAGTGAATGCCATGCAATCGAGTGAATGCCATGCAATCGAGTGAATGCCATGCAATCGAGTGAATGCCATGCAGTGGAACAGTGCACCAGGCCAACGGCACAGGCACAGCACGGGCCAACGGCACAGCCAACCCAGCTCGGGGGAGCACTCACCGTGAATGACCATAAAGACGGTCTTGATGGACGGGTTCGAGGTGGTGATGTCGACGCTCGAGGCATATGGGAAAGTGTAGGAGGAGTTCTGGAAGGAGATAGAAACGGTAAGAAGAGGGCCCCAGAACATCAGGCGGACTCGTCAATGCAGCGACGGACAGGAGAGCAGTGGAGGGGCATACGCACCACGGTGATGTAGTTGAGGGTCAGCCCGAGCACGCCAGCGTGGGCAGCGCAGAGGGCGACCAGAAAACCGAACAGCGATTTCATCTCGGTGATGAGGGTCTGAGGGACAGGGATTGTTTGGAGGGGGTCGAGGAAAGGCACTCGCTCTGTGGAGACGGAGGACAGGACAACGGAGAGTCGGCGGATGAGACCCAGCTGGCGAGGATGGACAAAGGGGAGATCGAAGCAGCGATCAGGGCAGAGAAGAGTGCGAAAGCGAATCGGACCCATCCAGGACAGAAAACCTCTGCGGGAACCGAGCCGAGCCGGGGCGGGGCGGGGCCGGTGGCCGCACGTTTGTTGACACTGCCGGCAAGGCATCGATTGCTGCCGACGAGATATCCGACACTGCCGACGAGATATCCGACTGCGTCGACGACGGGTGCTTACCTGGTCGTCTCTGCGGTGAGTTCTGGGCGGCGGCGATGGCAGAACATCCGTTGTCGTTCTTATAGACCGCTCTCGTCAAGGCCCTTTGTTTTCTGCCCTTCGCAGAACGCCGCACCGCCAAATCGGAGCAGGAAAGTGCCACACGCTGTTCTGCCGGGCTGTGTCGCGGCCCGACTGAGCGACCCAAGAGAGATCCACATGCGCTCTCTGTCGGCCGTGGCATCGCGCATATGCACCGCCGGTGTTGTCGGTGTTGTCGATGTTGTCGATCGCAGTGCCAAGACCAGCACTTGTGATGACTATCCCTCTTTCCGGTCCTCGCTGGCGTCGCTCTCCGGCGGCATCTTTCCCCCCATTCCATCCTGTTTCGCCATCCCCATGATCGCCGGGCGGTCCCCTCTCCGGCCTTCATTGTGCGGGGAATACGGATCAAGCGGCTGCTGACCAAGTCGTTGTGCACCCGTTGTGCACGGGCTGCTGCATCGGATGACCCACCCCTCGGCTCTTTCTGCCAGCGCTGCTCAGTCGCTGAGCACCGGGAGCGACGTGCATGGGGGCAGGTGACCCAGGATGTCTGTCCGCCCTCGCATCGACCGGGGCGCACCTTTCAAGGTGGCACCCTCGATGATGTGCTGCAGGTCGCCATCGGAGACGCCACGCAGCATTGCTGTTGTGCCTGATCTGATGCGGGCCAGGCACAACAGCAGAGATCGAGCCAGGTGGGGAGGGACAGGCGACCGCTCTGCCGGGCGTGGACAGCGCTCGACCGGCAGGCAGCCAAGCCAGTCGGCTCTGTCAGCGCCAACCGAGCACGTACGACGATCAGGAGGCCGTCGCAAGCAGCAGGAAAGGTGTGCTTATTGAGCAATAAACCGCAGCAGCAGTCGAGGGGGGGGGCGAACGGGAGACAAACGAGGGCGGGCAAAGCAAATGGGAAAGGCCACGAGCCACAGAGCAGAGAAAAGCAGAGCAGAGCAGAGCAGAGCAGAGCAGAACAGTCAGACCACGAAGCGACCAATCGAGCAAGGCCAGATTCGGGAGCATAGGGCTCGACAGGCAGGCGGCAGCAGACACGAGCGATAGAGCGATAGAGCGCCGGTGTTCGAGGACCAGGGATGCAGATTGTTGGGGAAGTGCACAGGAGGAGCACCGGTCATCGTGGATGCATGGGCGGGTCGGGTCGCCACTCTTGGTGGTTGGTATTGCGCCATGGACTGGGCAGCTACATCGGCGGTGGGGATTGTGTCTGTCCATGAACGCATTGACGAGAAGAATCGCATCGAGGGACCAATTCGTGCTTGTGCCGACAGATTGAAGCAGAAGAAAGGGCGAGTCGGCAGCGTCGATTCAAGTCGAACCTTGGGCAGAGCCACAAACAGTACTCATGCAGAGCCACAAACAGTACTCATGCAGAGCCACAAATAGTACTCATGCAGAGCCACAAGAACAATCCAAGAAAGCACCGGGGCGGGGCAGATCGGCGGTGCCAGCGGACAACACCCTTCCGTCGAAATCAGCAAACACGTAACAAACTCATCGGCGATGGCAGGTATCGGCCCGGATGTCGATCAAGCTGCGTCGGTCATCGGCAGCTGGCGCTGCTGGGTTGGGTCCCCCCTCGGTCATCGGGAGTGGTCCCGAGAGTGAGAAAAGTGCAGCAGCTGAAGCGCCGCCGAGCCAGAGCCGTCGAGCGACCCCAGGCGGCCTCGTCCGTGCACATCGTGGTCGTCCTCCCGGTCCGACAGAGGGTCGTGGCCGTCGCTGTAGGGCTCCAACTTGGGCGTCTGGTAGTCGTGGGCGCCATCAGAGTGCTCGCTCGCATAGCCTTGGTGGCTGGAGACGGGCTGGCACAGACGCTTCCCGGCCCTGGGCTTGAGCTCGGTGAACTGGAGCCGATAGGCATCCAGCGCCTTCTGCAGCACAACCTTGTTGCCGCTCAGCTTGGACGGATTCCGCAGAGCAAGCTTCCATCCCAGCTCGTTCAAGGCATTCTCGTAGTCGTACCGGGGCCCGCGCTGGCCCGCGGGGAGATCGACCGACCGCGGGTAGACGGCGTTGATGCGCTTAAAGTCAAACTCCAGCTCGTCGGTGTTGATGTCGTCAATGTCGACCTGGATCTCAACCTGCGTCGGCGCGCCGTTCGCAATCACCTCAAAGGACAGGAACTCGCCCGACTTCATGCGCTTGAAGCTGCGTTCGTCCGGCTCGATGTCGGTCTCGTCCTCGTCGTGGCTGTCGTCGAGCTGTTGGCCACCCGAGGCCCGGCCGTTCCTGGCGATCCCCTTGCGTGGCAGCTCTTGCTTGACCACAATGGCTGCTCTCCGCACGCCGCTATCGCCTGGCACGGGACTGCCTGGGGCCGAGTCGACGCCCGAGGACCGATCGCTTCGCTTCCGCAGCGTGCCCTTGACCAGCTTCTCCTGCCGCACGACCCGCCGCGACCGGAGCTCGGGGAAGCGGTTGCGGAAGCTATCGACGGCGCGCTGGATCAGGCCGCGCTTCGTGGCGAGGGCATCGTAGTTGAGATAGGTCAGCTTCCAGCCAATGGCATTGACTTGGTTCTCGTATTCGTAGCGGTTGCCCGTATAGGCCTCCTTGGGGACGTAGGCGCGCGGATAGACGCAGTTGTTGAGCTTGAACTCTTCCGTCAGCACCTCGTTCGAGAGGTTGTCGATGTCAGTGCGGATGTGGTACGTGGTCGAGAGGCCCTTGTGGGTATATACAAACGTGATCCACTCGATTCCGTCCTTGTACTCGACGATCGGGATGGTGGCCGGCACCGTGGCCGTCTTGGTGCCGTTGTTGGGAATGGGCGTGGGATCGACGACGTGCTCCAGATCAGTCGTGGGTATCCGCGCCGGCAGTTTGTCGAGAAAGACCCCCGCTGCATTGGCACCACCACCGTTGCTGCTGCTGCCGTCGAGGAGGGCCTCCCGGGAGCGCGTGGGCGTCCGCAGCGAAGGATTGGGCGACGAGGGCTTGGAGCCGCCGATGACGGGCGAGCCAGGTGGTCGTTTGGATCGCAGCGATGATGCCGACGGCGATCGCTGGAACCGGTCCTGGCCGAATCCCTCTGGGCCGGGCGAGGCAATGCCGTGCAGCTTGGGCGTCAGGGGAGCAGCTTTGCTTGTCGCCGCGAGCGACGAGGCGGCTGATGCGCGGAGGACATCGGCAGGATTGGACGTGCCCGGCGACGACGAGGCATGTGAGCTTGCCTCGGAGACGGCCCGCGAGTTGCGCTTCTCACGGGCCTTGACGACCAGCGAGTGGAGCTGATCCAGCTGGTCCGCCGAGAGCGAGTCCAAGGCATTTTCGATCACCAAGGGGACCGAGGTCAGTAGAGCCCCCAGCGCCGAGAACGAGTTGAGTGACAGCGAGTGATCTGGCTTGGCTGCCGAGGCCGCGGAGGAATAGTGGCCGTGATGGGTCGAGAATGGCGATGCCGTCGACGAATGCAGGCTTTGCGAAAGCGACGACGAGAGGACCGAACGGGTGGTCGAGACCGAGCCTGTTCCTGTGCCCGAGCCCGAGGTCCCTTGCTTGACAGCCTCCTTGATTTGCGACAGGATAGCAGCCGAGGATGGCGTGGAGTGTGAGGCCAGGAAGTTGCTGCCGGAGGAAGGCCGTGACTTTGGAAGCGGCGAATAGCTGGGGCTGGAGCCCGATGGGTTGGCGAGCATGGTCAATTGATGTGCGGCGAGGGCCGAGGACTGTGTTGGGCTGAGGAGGGTGGCCGCGGGCTGGTCGGCGGGTGCGGAGGCTGGTATAGAGGATGTCGGCAGCGAGGCTGACGTAGCGAGGGACGACAGCGAGTCCAGGGCCTTTGCGGCGGTCCACTTTGGATCGACAGGAGAGGTCGACAAGGACGACGCTGATCGCAGGTCAGCCATGATGGCGGGTTGAGGGATGCGAAAGGCTTTTGGCAAGAGGGCACGAAGCGGCAGAGAACTACACGGGATGGAACGGAGACGGAGACGAAGCGTTGAGAGGCGGCGTTAGGCGGCGTCGACAGAATGCACCTCGGCGGAACAGCACCAATGGGCAGGAATCCGGGTGCAGGCGATTGCGCAGACAAACAGGAGGGTCCGGGAGCGACGACACCGGCTGCAAGACTGGTACCGAGCCATGCACAGATGAGGATGGGCCGGGCTGTGGCGGGTGACTTACCCTGGTACTAGAGAGTGTTGCTGGCCGAAACAAAAACAGCGTGGGAGACAACGAAACGAAACGAAACGAAACGAAGCGAAACGAAACGAAGCGAGACGAGACGAGACGAAGCAGACCCTGGATAAAGGAGGGTGCGGTGCCCAGCCAAGAGCTCACGGGGTGTGCACGCTTGGAAGTTGCGACGATGACGGGGGCTGAAGACAGCGGCGGGTTTGTTGAGCTCGATCGAAGCGGCAAAAGATTGTCCCGGTTTTGACTATTATTGTTGTTATTTTCCTGCTGGCGGATTGGGGCTGTCGCCTGGACGCGAAGAACAGCGAGGGCAAAGGAAGGATTCTCTGTCGGTTTCTGTGGGGGGGGGGCCAATCGACGGATGGGCTGGTGTCTATTGTTGACAGAGGCCGGACGAAGAGTGCAAGCAAATACAGGAGCCCGAGGAGCAAATGCAGCGCAGAGGAGATGCATCCACGAGGTGAGACGAAGCGCAAGGTCTGTATCAACCAGGCCCCTTCGCTTGGTGTGACTTTTTTTTTTTCTTCTTCTTCTCTCTCGGTCCCTTGCTTGTTTGCTTTCCACGGTTTCCTGCGCGTTTGGGTTTGTCGGAAAAAACTCCCCACCAGACACATCCCAGCCAATCTCTGCCGAGGACACAAGAGCGTCGACTTCAGCCGGTCGGTCACACATGCGCTGCATTTTTTCTTTCCGTTGCCGTTGCACGGAGGGGCAAGGGCAGTGCAGGGATGCAGGGGGGGGTGACGGTGGTCAATCAGTGCGAGTCTTGTCTGGTACTTGAGGTGCTGGTGTCGCCAGAGTTGTGTACATCGAGCTGTCGAATGCAGAGCGCCAAGAACGCTGCATTCGCGGCCTCCAAAAGTAACCGAGCGATGCATGAGTGTCCTCTCGCCGTCGGTCGATCCTCGCTGGACTGCGTGACCGCCCACAATGCAAACCAGAGACCAATGGCCGGGGGTTATCCGGTCGTCCTCGCCCACAGAACAACCCTGTGCCATTGTGTAATCGCGACGGGCTGCCCTTCGAAAGCAATGGTTGTTTCACGGCTCGAAAGAGAGTGCGCCTTCGCTGTCCGAGTAGATTTGTATTATGAGCAGGCGGCAGTGTAGTGGCAAGGGCAGGCAGAGCAGGCAGAACAGGCAGCACAGACGCAGGGAATCGAGTATGTGGAGGAGGGGGAGGCTTGGCCATCAGAGAGGGCGATCAGGAAACGACAGGTACAAGGGGGGTGGAAACCGCACACGGGCGGGATCTAGAGGGACATTTTGGCCTTGAGGCTGATGAAAGAGAGGGGAAAGATGCCAGATCTTTTCGACGTCTCTGCATCAAGGTCGAGGACGGAAGGGGAAGCGGATAAGTCTGTGGATCTTGGATGAAGGTGTACATGATGCAGAGCGATGTAGAGCGATGTGCCGCCATGGCCTGGCCAAGGACCAGCCCCCCTTCACAACTCCCACTCGATGTGCACCGTATTGCGCAGCTCGACGGCAACAACTCACCATTAATACCAAAGCAATATCCATCCGAAAACTGGTGGTAGATGGCAACGAGGTCGCCGATGGCCAGGTCGATCTCGTCGCTCGCCCGTGCAGAGTACGGATAGACGACCTTGCCCAACAGCACCACGACTCGCTGCTGGGAATCGGCCACATCCAAGCCTCCACCCAGGGAATTAGACACCGGTGGCTCGGATGAGACTGGCCGAGAGTGGGCAGGATCGGCTTGCGTCGACGTTTGGGTGGCCAATGCTATCGATCCAGGTGCGTTTGGTGCCATTGCGGTCGAGGTCATAGAGGGTTGCGTCGGTGATGGAAAGCGAGAGGCACTCGTGGGTGACGACACAGGATGCGGCAATAATGACTCGCTCGTCGACGCTGGTGGCGACGACGTCAGGCTGGCGTCGCTGAGCATGGGTGTGGGCAGCAGCGACGGGTGGATGGGTGAGGGTGAAGTTGGCAGGCTCGGCGTGGACGTGTGCCCCACGCTTGGGGTCATGAAAGGGGTGCTTGGGGCCGAGGGAATGGTGCTCTCGCCCGTCACCGACGAGGGTGCAGAAAATGCCCGGATGATCGTATCCGTCAGCCCAGCATCGGGGTGCTGGAGTTGCCCGTTGCTGCCGGACCCGCCCTGAAAAAGCGGCGTCGAGATGTTCTGGAGAACAGGGGCGCCGGGCGGCGGACCGGCAGGCTGCGACGATCCGGACGATGTGCTCTGCTTGTTGGACTCGGTTTCGCTCCGGGACTGCGGCGGTGATATTCGGACCGTGACGGTTTGTGTAGTGTCGTCGATGCTGAAGTGCGGGGCAGTGGTGATGGCCGCGGTGGCCGTAGCTATGGCCGTAGCTGTGGCCGTAGCTGTGCTAGTGCTAGTGCTAGCTGCGGCGGTAGTTGCAGTGGTATTGGCTGTGGCGGCAGCGGCGAGTCCGGTGAAGTCGGTCTCGAACTTTGGGCCCATATCCAGCAGTTCCAGGCCAACGGGCTGGACACCCGCGGCATCTCTCGATCCACTGTGTATCGTCGGGGCGGCGTTGAGGGGTCCTGGACGGGAGTCCGGGTTGCTCGCATGGGCATCCAAGGCCGGGAAGAGATGCGGATGCACGAGGATTTCATCGCCGGGGAGAATGAACGGCAATTGGTCGAGGGAGCTCGCAGAGTCGCTGGAGATGGCCGGAGGCAGATGCTCCTGGTACGGCGCCCGTCCTGCCTGCAGCAGACCCAGCGAGCCGTAGTCGAATACGATGCCGGGATGCTGCTGCAACGAGTCTCGGCGAGGAGCGGCCTTGAGAACCAGCTGGTCGGCAGATGCCAAGACCTGCTCCCGACAGGAGGCGCAAGGGTTCGTTTCCGAGAGGAGATCGCCGGTGCACTGGCAGAGCGCCTCCGCCGAGGCCGACTTGGCAGGGCCGGGTGGATTGGAGGCGCTGCCTGGATGTCGAGACTGATATGTCTGATGCGAAACATGGTGCGAAACATGGTGCGACATGGAGCCGTATCGGCCAGACACTGTGGCCCGCGCGGGGGCTTCAGGGCCGCGGCGCTGGGGATTGATGCTCGACAGGCGCTGCGGCTCCAGAATCGACCGAAGAGACGAGTTTGAAGAGGCTCTTGCCACCCTTGGGCCGCGTGATCCCTTGGAATTGTTGGAGACGGCCCGGCGATCCCGCCGGGACGAAATGCACAGGCTGCACACAATGAGAACAACGCCCATGGAGATCAGGCCCACAGAGGCCAGCAGGACCCAGATGAACTGGCTCAAGCTGGAGCTGGAAGCCGAGTTGAGAGCGTTTCCGGACGTCGGCGATGATGTCAGCGGGACCGGGCTGGTGGAACTAGTGGTGGTGGACAAGGCGGTGGCAGCGGGCGTTGATGATGTAGCCGGGAGCGTAAGATTGGTTGTGGTTGTGGGCATGACCAAGGGAGGCTGGGTGGTTGTGATGGGGTTGCCGTTGACACGGACGGCGTCTGGTGCGTCCAAGAGTGTTGTTGAGATCCCCAGGGATAGCCGTTGTGGGCCAGATGTTTGAAAGGTGTCAGTAATGGTACAGGTGGGTCCTTGGCGACGCGAATGGGACCGGCAGGAGGGACATGGGCAGCCCGTTAATGGGAGGGCCGGGATACTTACAGAGGGAAAAGTAGTAAGAGCCAGTTGCATTATATGTTCCTCCAGTCCTGTCGATGGGCCGTGAGTCAGCGAACAAGGTGGGACAGGGCGAGAGCAGGAGGTGCGGAGTGAGGCACCAGGGAGGGAGATGCAGGAAACCCGGCGAGGCAGATCCGGATGCTCATCAAGAGGACTCGAGGAGAATAGACGGTGCCGGGCATAGACGGGGAGGGTCTGACTCACCGATAGTCGCCCTCATAGGGGCAGTCCGAGTCGAGGTTCGCCGACGGCGAATAGGGCCGGGCGCTGAACTTTTTGAAGCAAGCGCAAGCGCCCGAGGCATAGATGGCGTAGTTGTTGGACTTGCCGTTGTAGCACCAAATCAGACAGTCGCGGGGAGTGTCCAGCGGCGCCGATGTGGCGAACGGAGCGGGCGGGTCGGCTGTGGTGGATGTGGTTGCTGTCGCAGCAGTTGTCGGGGCCAGGATGGATGTGCTTGCAGGGACGTCCGGTGAATCGTCTGTTGGATCGCTGGTGGGGTCGTCATACTGGTAGAAGTAGCATCCGATGTACCGAGCGGTAAAATCAATGCTGCCGGGCATGGAATTGGTACAGATGTGTGCAAAGAGAGACGCAGGCGATGAAAGTCGAGGAGTGGAGCCGGGAGGAAATGGCCGGGTGAGACAAGATCAGTTGGTGGAGAGACAGAGAGGGAGCCGTCGAAACGAGAGCAGAGGAGGGTCCAAAGGAGCCGATGAAAAGACAGGATCAGTGGTGACGAAGCGCCGGGTTCAGGGACGCAACAGCAGCCTGGATCGGGGAGGATCCAGCGAGGAAGCCGAGGGAGGCGTGCGGTGGCAACGGACAACAAGCAGGCCGCTCGTGTCGGCAGCGACGGGGACGGGAGACTGGGAGATGGGCAGGGCCGAATGACGGAGAGCGGCGTTCCCTCTGGGGCTGGGTTGCGAGTCGAGGCTGGCGAGAGAGCGGCGTCGCATCGAGTTTCTGGGGTTACCAGAGCCGGGGGATCGGGAAACGAAGGGAGGGCGATGGATAAAACAACGGTCGGCGACAGGGACCGTCGATGAAGGCAGTGGACAACGGCGACAGCGATAACGGCAGCAGCCCAAGGACGCCAAGGCAAGGCAAGAGGAGAAGCGTCACGGCAAGCAGACGGGGCTGGGGGGAAAGGGATCGCCTCGGGAGAATGTGCACTGTCCAAGGGCCGATCGACGGGAGCAGCAGAGGTATCTTGCAACGCTGCGGCGATGGACACCCCAGGGAGAGGAGCCTGGAGAGGGCGGAAAGGCGACAACCAAAGAAGCGCGGCGCCCAGTCCGAGGGCTGGCGGGAGGGGGAACAGGGATGGACTGAGGGGAGAGACGCCGCCTGGGAAAAAGCGAGGCCGGCTAGTTAAGGGAATACCGATTTGGCGTGGGTGGGTGGATGCGTGGGTGAAAAAGAAACGGAGACGCAAACCCAAAGCCAACAGACGAAGCCGACAACAGTGACGGCGCTGCGACAGTGCAGCGGCAACGACCGAGAGATGTACCACGCGAGATGAAGGGATGCAGCAACAGGATCAAGCACTGTCGTTGAACGCGGCGTCACCAAGCAGGACAGGTGGGTCTGGAGCGACTGGTGCGGCTCCGCTGCTTTGGCGATGCCGCACACTGCCCAAGTCGAGTATGGGCCGAGAGGTCGGTCGGCAAGAGCATCGCAGTCGACTGTCATCGCATTGGACAACAGCATCGCAGGCGATGAATACGACGATTGAGGCAAGCGCCGTCCAGCACACCCAAATCAATCCCCCCCCCCAATCTCCCAAGACAACCCTCACCCACCCACCATGAAGCGCCCCGTGTGCAACGTCGGTGGACGTACAGCCGGCGCAAGGGCCCCCCACAGACGCGGGCCTGTGCTGCCGTGGGACCAACGCGCGGGCGCGCTGCAGCTCTGACAGCTCTGACAGTGGCGCCATGTGCGCTGCGCAGAGCGCGCACCCGGCACCGGCGCCGTGCCACCGAGCCAGCGGTCACCGGGTTCCACAGCCACACCCGTGACTGCCCGCCTCGTGTGGGGCCCTCCCTTGCCTTGCTGCACAGCGATCGCCGCCTGGCTCGCGTCCGTGTCTGCTCCGCGAACATGACCTGCGCTGTGCAAGGTCGATGTCGGCCGGAGGTGTGCTTGTGCAGCGTGCTCGAGCCCTGGTGCGAGCCTCTCTCGCAAGGACGATCAGTCAGGCGACCGCGGTTGTGGCGGGGGGTCAGGTGCCGTAGTGCTGATCTGTCCTTTGCCGGGGGTCGGTCGCAGCCACAACGACCTGCTCACGTTCTTCTGCGACATGCGTTGAGGGCCACCCGCCTTGGCGAAGAGAAACCGCACCCTCGTCGTGCTCGGTCATCCGCGTTCCTCTTCCACGCGAGTCCGCTGTGGGGTTCTCCCTCTGGCAATTCCCTCTGGCTGTTCCATCCGCATCACGCGCCTGGTTGTGATTGTTGTGGTGGGGAAGAGAATCATTTGTTTTTGCAAAACTGGAGTCGGCGGCGCACACAATCAAGAATATCGCCACACTGCCGCTCAACAGGGCCGCATCCGCATGACCGCATGCGTTTACGAGGCGCCTGGGGGATGCCGATGGGTGGGGGAGAACAAGAAATAATGAGGACAGGTCAGCGAGATGACATGTCCGTTGTGCACCCCCACGAGACATTATTGCACTGCCAAACTTGGCCGCAGACGCTGACGCATATCGTGGCCACCCCCGCTGCGGTACTTACGATAGACAGAGGGATCGATGGTGTCGGGGAGCTGAGTGATGTTGACCTCGAATCGGTCCTGGACCTGATTCAGGATCTTGAGGTCCTCGTCGTTGCCCTTGGTGGCAAAGGTGATGGCCAGACCCTTGGTACCGAAACGACCAGCACGGCCGACCTGGAAAGCAAAAACAGCAGTGCAGCGAAACGGAAATGAGTCGGTCAGTCAGTTAGTCAGTCAGTCAGTCAATCAGTCAGTCAGTCAGTCAGTCAGTCAGTCAGTCAGTGCAAACTACCCAGTGCGATCACATTTATTCGCCACGGTGGGGGGGGGGTCGTCAGCCACAGCAAACGAGGCTTACGCGGTGCAGGTAGCTATCAGCATTGTCAGGCATGTCGTAGTTGATGACAATGTTGACGCGCTCGATATCGATACCACGACCAAAAATGTCGGTGGCAACCATGATGCGCTTGCTAAAGTCCTTGAACTGCTTGTAGCGGTTGATTCTGCAGAACAGACGAAGCAACAGAGAAAGTCGGATGAGCACAAATGGCGCTCTTCGCTCCGGATGATCCCGTGGGGCGCCTGTGAGGCACCTGCCCTCCACCGCGCTGCAATCGCCGTGGCTCGACTACTGACCGCTCGTCCTGCTTCATCTGGGAGTGGATGCAGATGGAGGGGAAGCTGCACTCGCGCAGGAGTTTGTCGAGCTCAATGGCGCGCTGCACCGACTTGACAAAGATGACGACCTGGTTGAACTCGAGGTTGTCGAGCAGATCGCTGAGCTTGCGGTTCTTTTGTCGCTCCTCAAGCTCGACATAGTGCTGTTGCAGACCGTGCAGGGTCAGCTTGGTCTCGTCATCGATGAAGATCTCGAGGGGCTGCGTCGACGTCGCCGAGGTGAGGATACAGAGCGCCAGGAGAGGTCGTTAGTGGCTGTGCACGACTTGTTCAAGTAGGCCCCACGCGCGGTCGAGGCAGGTCAAAGGGCTGCTTACACGCTCAAAGCCGCTGTGTGCTTACCGTTTGCATGAACTTTTTGCAGATGGGACGGATCTCCTTGCTCAGAGTGGCACTGAACATCATGACCTGCTTGTGATGAGGAGTGGAGCGGAAAATGTCCTGGACATCCCTGCGCATGTCTGCGGCGGTGGTGGTAGCAAAGAGCAACAGAGTCAGCAACAGGACCACTGCCAAGCAGGCCAACGTGCAGTGCTTCAGCTTTCCGGCGAAGGCAAACTCGAGAGACGGCGGCACTGGGCCAAGCCGACACATACCGAGAGCTTCCAGCATCTTGTCACACTCATCGAGCACAAAGTGCTTAACGTTGCCGAGCTTGAGCTCCTTGTCGCGGATGAGCTGGGCGACACGGCCGGGGGTGCCGACGACAATCTGGGGCTTGTCGTTTCTGAGGCTCTCGATGTTTTGCTTGACAGAGATGCCGCCGTACAGGACCACGGTCTTGACATCCGGCAGGTACTTGGAGAATCGAGCGTACTCGGCCTGGATCTGGTAGGCGAGCTCACGCGTGTGGCAGAGGACAATGACCGAGGGACCCTCGGCGCCGGATCCAGGCTCGAGCTGCTGCATGGTCGCAAGGACAAAGACGGCCGTCTTGCCCATACCAGACTTGGCCTGGCACAGCACGTCCATGCCGAAGATGGCCTGGGGGATACACTCTTGCTGGACTGTCATGGGGGATGGTGGAGATGAGTCACGGGACGGTGGTATCGAAGGGTGCAGCGGAGGTGGCGACGGCGATGGCGACGGCTCTAGACTTTGAAGCAAGCTTGAGGGGCCGCACCTTCCGAAGGATGCTCGAAACCGCAGTCGGCCGTGGCACGGAGGAGCTCGGGCTTCAGCAAAAAGTCTCTGAATCCAGTGGCGTGGATGCCGACGTAGGAGCCCTTCTTGGTTTCCTTCTGGGCGACAGAGTCATCGACCGAAGCAGCGTGGACCTCCTGCTGGGTGGTCTCGTCTTCCTCGTCGTAGTCAATGAGTTCTTCAGCGTCAGCCATTTTGGAGAAGGGTGGAGGAGACGGGGTGTCTGTGGAGAGTCGACATTTGGAGGTCCAAGAGACGTTTCGGGTGAGGAACGGGCAAAGGAACCGCGGGATTTATGACAGGACCCGAATGGCACAGCAGCAACGTTAGCTTGTCAGCAGGGAACAGATCGAGCTCGAAGGGAGAGAGGAGGAGAGGTGGGCGAAAGAAAGGGAGAGAAATCGTTGAAGATCGGGGCGTCTGGGTGCGGTGTCGCCGAGAACTGTGTTGTGTGGCGACAGTGAGTGTTCTTGCGAACGACAGGGCACCGAGCCACATCCGTGGTGTCGGCAGCCGCTGGGGATTGACGAGCAATGGACGTGTTTGCTCCCCCGGGATAGTCGGCGGGGCAAGCCCATGCGACAGCGGTGCCCAGGAGCGCTGGCCGGAACAAGCCACCAAAGGACAGAGCAGCGGAGGGAGCCAGAGTTCGACGCAGGGAGCCAGCGTTGGAGCGACGCGCATGGCCGAGTTGCCAGCCAAGGCAAGGCAAGCCAAGCCAAAACCGCAAACGATGCAGCCGAGCCGAGCCAAAACCGAACAGAACCGAGCCGATCCAAAGAGCCCAGCTGGATCGCTGGCTGTGGGACAGACAAGATCGTCCGTTGATACGATGGCCGGCGGATCGACTCGGGTTGCATGTCCGCGCGATGTGATCGCTCCAGACACCAGGCTCCCCGAGATCTCGTCCTGTCCTCCATCCGTGCCGCTTTCCTTTTGGTTTGCGCTCGCCCAGCCAGGTTGCTGTGCCGTTCTGCATTCTTGCACGCTCGCACAAGGACGGCCAAGCGTCGAAGCGACATCGTTGCCCTGGCGGACTTGCTGTCAGTCCGATCCGCAGGGGCGAGGGCCGGTCGTGGGTAGGGGGTGGAGCGACGGCCAGAGGATGACCCGGAGCTGAGCAAAGCGGGCACATCCGAGAGAGGTCGGGGAGAGGGACAGCAAGGCTCTCGAGGTCATGGCTGCTGTGGGGCCGTGGGTCAGACCGAGGCGGTGGGTAGGCGATATCGGCAGGGGGTGATCTTGCTTCCATCTCGACGTGATCGCGGACACATTCAGGCAGCTTCCAGCAACACCAGCGCGGATCGAACGAGAAAACAGGCGGTTCTGCCTGGCCAGCGGCAGCCGTGAAACACATGAAGGAAACGAGGGGGGAGCTGGAGCCCCATGGTGGATGGATAGATGGATGGATGGATGGATGGATGGATGGAGGGATGGATGGATCGATGGATGGACGGCGATACCTTTGGGCGGGTTGGCGAGATGAGGAGAGGCAGGTGCTGGAATCGGCGCTGGCAAGATCGCGATCAGATGTCCTGTGGTCTGCGCTGGTTGCGGGGAGCGGCTGCCCTTTTGTGGGCCAGGGGGCTGAGTCGCGCGGGAAAGCACACAGTCGGCCGTCGCTCTGTTGGCCGGCCCGCCAACCGCCCTGGGCAGCGTCGCCTCGGCGTCGTTGGCCCAGCATCGAGACAGCCCGCATCGCCGGTAGGACTGTGGGGGCACTCCAGCGCCAGGACCATGTCGCTCATGAGTCGCGGCTGGCTGGCCGGTCTGTCGGCACCTTGGCCAGGAATGGCCCCTCAGTACACGGACACCAACAATCAGACTGCCCTCCCAAAACACGCACTGCACTGGCACGATTGCCACCGCCGGCCTCGCCCAAGCCTGTCCGGGGCAGCAACGGATGCACACCGATGCATGCCCGCTGCGGTGCTCCTGCAGGCCGGCCTGTTCCTGGCGGTACTGCTCGTTGTGCTGGAGTGTTGGCCATGGCGGTGGGAATCGGCGATGGGAGAGCGGGCGTGACCTGCACATGACCGAGAAGGCTCTCGCTCTGGGCTGCAGCCGTCTTGCGCTGGGCCTGCTCTCGCGCTTCCTCAGGCGATCCAGCCCGATCAACTTCCGGCCAGCAGTCGCAGCACAGCGCAACCGCAGAGACAGCAGGGACAGCAGCAGCAGACACAGAAGCAACAGCACGCCGGCGATGCAGAACTTTTACGCAAAGGAGAAAAACTTCCTCGTCGTCGAGCCGGGATCATGGAGGTCCAAGGCCGGCACCGCTGACTATCTCGAGCAATATCCCTGCGTAAGCGCTGCGGCCATGCTTTCTGACTCTGCTCGCAGCCATGGAGCGACCGCTCGACAGGCACATGCCATGGCTCTTAGTTAGTGCATGAATGAAGCCATCGAGAAACCGCCCGCGCCATATCGTCCAATGAACAGGGCTGATCACCATCTGATACCATGTTCCTTTGTCATTCTGGCTCTGGATCACCGCCATCCCCCCCTGTCGGATCACTGTATCTGTTCACCGTCGTGGCGACGACGTTTCAATGCCGTATTGATGCACCTCGGACTCCATGAACACACGGGCATATCACCACCGGACACATCGAATTTATCGATCGGGATCTGGGACTGGGGTCTCCAGCACATCCACTCCCGCATTGGCGTCAAGTACGTCCCGGTTCACACCGAGTCTGCGCCCTCCGAAGATCCATCGATGGACTCGCCGTCGCATGTCTCGGACACTGTCAAGGCTGTCTACCAGCCCCTCGACAGCGAGTCCGATCCGCCCATCGATCAGTCGGTGCCCACGGATCCAGAGGCTCTCAGGGCCGTGCGGCCGATCCAAGGCGGTCTCGTCGCCGATTGGGGTGCTTTCGAAGCATTGCTGTAAGGCCATCATTGTTGGCAGAAAAGCATCGGCATTTCGTACTGATCGCTCAACCAGCGGGTGGGTCTTGAGGTGGTGTCCCAGGGCGAACCATCCTCGATCGCTGCCCGGCCTCCGCTCTGACCAACACAACCGTCTTCACAGCGACGACATTTTGATCCGGCAACTGGCCGTTAACCGGGCAAAGAACGAGAGCTTGGTGGTGCTCTCGCTCCCGGTGCGCTGGAACAAGTTTGAGCACGAGCGGCTGGCCCAAATCATGTTCGAGTCCCTCAACTGCCCTGGCATCCTCGTTGTTGAACAGCCGCTAATGGCGCTCTACGGCGCAAACCTCTCTACTGGGCTCGTTATCGACATTGGCCACGAAACAACAGGTCGGTGCGAATGGCAATCTGGTGCAGAACCGGCGCGTCGGAACTATGTATGCTTGGAAACGGGCCGCCAGCTCCTGCCACTCCGACCCGACTGGTTGCCGCCGGCGAGCATGTGATGGCGGATGTGTTGTCTGATATACGGCGTTGGATACGTGCTGTCGGATTTGCGTTGCCTGGTTATTACTGGCTTATCGACGAGCTCTCATTGCCGCATCCCACTTACCGTCCCCGCTCCGCCGAAATGTTTCAATCCTGCGACTCTCCGGTCGTCCAGATATTACTCCGGTCATCGACAATGTTGTGGTCCGGCATGCCTCCATCACCCTCGATCTCGGCGGATCCGATATCGACCAATACCTTCTCTCGCTCCTCCGCGAGGACCCTCAGGTCGCCCAGGACTACGGACACGCCCCCGACCTCAAGCTGGCCCGCGCCATCAAAGAGTCCAAGTTTTGCGATATCCGGCCAGCGACCATCGCCAAGGTCGACACCGAGACGGAACGCAAGCCGTTCACATTCGACGGCAAAACAGTGAGTTGTCTGTACTGTTTGTGATAGGCTACTGAAAACGACTGCGGTCGCCGGCAGCAGAGCCTCTGTTCTGTTCGAGCACCATGCCGACTGTGAACGTTGTGACTTCAGCGAGCCGATATCAGCGACAATATCAAGCCCGTGAAGCTCACTATGTCTCCTACAACTTTGTTTTTGGCCGCATCGCACCCAGATCAACCTTGGCCTCAACCGCCATTTGTGTGCAAACGTTCTCTTTGACCCGCTGCTCGTCGGAAAGTCCATCCCTAATCTGTGCGAAGGCATCCAGCTTGCCATCTCGGCAATCAATGATCTCGACAAGCGATTTGCTTTGTGGGAGTCCCTTCTGATCACTGGCGGATCGTCAAACCTGATAGGTGAGTGCCTCAACGTCCTCCCCCCAGACCACAGTCAATTCAGCTGCAGACACTCTGGGGTGTGCCGAGGTCGCTCGCGCTTCTGTTCCTCTGACCACACACCTTTCAGGCCTGAAGGATCGGCTCGAGTCCGAGATTGCACCTTATATTTCTGCGTCCGAGACGGCCAACGAGTATCAGCCCAAGGAAATCAAGTTTCTCAGGCTGTCTGAGTACTTTGTCAACTTCAAGGACCAGCCCCACGATGCCGCTTTTATCGGTGCCTCGTTGGTTGCGAAGGTGTGTTCACGGAGGCAGAAGTGGCTCCTGAGTCATGAATGCACAGGCTGCCGTATCGCACCTGTTGGATGCCCATTCGATGCCTGCTTCGAATGCCTACGCTGGACATTGCACCATCGGGACATCTCTGTTTGGCATCGTGGCATTGGCCGGTGGCTAGATACATAGCAGTTGTCCTCGCAAAACTCACTGGCACCGCTTCCTCTGCATGTCCGGACCAGCTCATGTTCCCCGAGTCCAAGAACTATGTATCCAAGGTGAGTACTCCGTGGCGGCCGGGGGTTGGCGCTCCAGGAGCAGTGTTATTGAACGATCAGTCGATGTTCGAGTCACCAAGCAGAGCATACAAACGGCCACTGAAGGCTCCTCGCCCTCAACTCACGCATGATTACCACCGTACACCACACACAGGTTGATTACAACGAACTGGGACCAGCATGTGTACATCTGAAAGCATAATTCCGTTGCGCTCCTGTTGAGGCTCGCTTTCTCTCCCTCCAAGCGAGCACACCACACTTGGGAATGGTTGTCGCGATAGTCCAGGGCCAGAAGATGCGCTGAACAAGCGACAAATCTACATCTAGGATTGATTCTCTATCGGGTCGCCGGACTGTTTTCGGAGACGTCCGTCTGCTTCTAGCGTTTCCGTGCATACCTGTCGCAAATGAGACCCAAAGACGTAGTGTAAGACCAGACGCGACAGTTGATGGCAGACAACAATACAGCTCTCGTTCTTTTGCCATCTCTGTGTGAGACTACGGCTCACCTTTCGGAACTTGTCGAGCTTGAAATCCAGGGCCGGCTCGATGCTGCCGCGCGGAACCAGATACTCGAGCAGGAGCCCTATCCAGTAGTGCACCGCAATGATCATGCAGGCCAGCTTTCCGGCAACCGCACCGCAGCGATTGAAGAGCAGCAGACGATCGTATAGGTCTGGTGTGTGCAGCTCAAGAGCCGCCGCATAGACCCGCTCGGTTCGCTCGGCCACATCTGCCCAGCTGTACATGGCCCGAATGCGCTCGTGCTTGCGGAAGGGAAGATCTGGTGGATCTCGTTTGACCTGGTCGATGGCTCGCACGACCGTCTCGACGAGACCTGAGAGAAGCGTCAGCAACAAACCAACAGCTCGTCTGCCGCAGGGTCTGTATCTTCTGTAACCACTGCCTCATCCAAGAGTCGTCTGCACTTTGGGCTCATCCTTACCGTCGTACGTCGGCTCAGAGAGCATCACCATGTCATCAGGCAGTACTTCGGGAATGCCGCCTACCTTGGTGCTGACTACCAGCAGGCTGAGTGGCAGAGCGCCTGTCAGTATCCAGGGGCAGCATCCAGGACCGGCATCCGGGTCGAGCGAACAGCATGCCTATTGTTGTATCGCTCGCCCGGCTCCGAGATTGCCCGCAACTCACCCGCAGCATGCAGCCTCGACGATGGCTATGCAAAAGGCCTCGGTCAGCGATGTGTTGAGAAAAATATCACCCTGGACGAGAACCTGCCAAGCAATCCCATAGGGGCAACCATCAGTCTTCAACGCAGAGAGTACATCGAGGACATGGGTGATCGACACATGAGATCCCCAGCAGACGCTGCAACATCCAAATGCCGACCTCGCGAACTTGAGAATAGCTGATACTTCCGAGCACCTGGACTCGCTCCTGCAGTCCGTGCTCCTCTCTCATCTGCTCGAGATCGACTCGTTTCGGTCCGTCGCCGCCGATGATGAACTGCACACTCGGGTAGAGACTGCATATCCTGGGAATGATGGCCACGAGGAGATCGGTGCCCTTCCGGAAGACCAAGCGACTTGCCACCACGATTGTGACTGCGTGGAGGAGAAAGCGAAGAACAGGCAGAGACAAGTGTCCCAAGGCCGGATGAGTCGGGTTGTGCTTCGCCTCGATCCCGAATTAGCAGTTGCAAAGCATGCTGCCGCAGATGTCGGCAGAAGGCATCGGCGGTGTGATCGGCTCACTTTTGCCAGGGTCTCGTTTGGATGGATCGGGCGTGAAATCGGCTGCCACAACGGCATTGGGAATGACGCTCACGATGCTGGGATCCAAAGACGCCCTCAAGACAGTGTTTTCTTTGCTGTGTGCGGGGACGGAGATAGGAGTGGCGATAGATCTTATCAGCAGAGATCGTCCGGGCTTGCTCCTGTGCTGGTTCTTTCGACTCGGTGATGATCGTGTGCCGACTCGTTCATGACTCGAAGGGCTCGACACTTCACCGAGCGGCTTGCGGCGGGGGGGGGGCGTCTCACCTGGTATTGGAGACGCAGATGACATGATCGATATCTGAGAGCGTGAACTTGAGCAGCTTGTTGGTCAGGATCGAGCTCGCATCGGCAAAGCCAAAGAGCGAATGGTCCGTGAAGCATGTCTTGAGGCCGAGCGCCCTGGCATGGAGAATAGCTTCATGGCACATACTGGAAAATGCCTGGAAGGCACGACATCCGGAAGAATTTCCCAGCGGGGCCGGACACAACAGCAATTAAGGAAAGGCGAAGAGCATCAGGGTCAACTGCAAGGAGTCAACTGCAAGGAGTCAACTGCAAGGAGTCAACTGCAAGGAGTCAACTGCAAGGAGTCAACTGCAAGGAGTCAACTGCAAGGGTCAACTGCAAGAGATCGATTGTCGATTGTCGAATGCTGTGGATAGCCGAGCGCTGCTCATTCATCGAGCGACATTCAATGGCAGTCAGGGAGTGCAGACAACGGTAAACGCACCTGGTGCCCGTGGACAATCTCGATGCCCTCCCGGAGAAGAATGTGTCGGAACAGGGGGAAGAATGCATACAGAGTCGGCAGCGACACTTGATCGTACACAATCCAGTGCGGAACATGATAGACCTTGACCCCGGTCGTGAGGTAGCGCACGCCCTTCCGGCCTCCATAGCCATGCGTGACGATGACCACCTTATGGCCTCGCTTGAAGAGCTGCAGCGAAAGGAGGTAGAGGTGGCTCTCGATGCCGCCCATGTTTGGGTAGAAGAAATCGCAGACCATGCTGGGGACAGGACGAAGCCGCAGACGAGGTGAGTCCTGTGCGCCGGCATTCAAGACCAACGGATGAATCTGAGGCGCTTCGATAGCCAGAGGATAGTTTCCGGCAATCCCTACCATATTCTCATGGCGTCGTCGAAGGCGGGGAGATGGGAGCTGCAGCGGCGCTCAGATCGCAGACGAAAGCCGTGCCGTGCCCTTCGGCAAGACAATTCGCTTCATGGGGCCGCTGTTTCGCGGGGTCCTCGCTCTCCGGCTCTGCATCGTGCGTCCGCCAGCTGCCCCCCCCCGGACGAACTCATGGGCACATTCTCTGGCTGCAGCGATCCGTAGGCGAGCCAGATGGCCGGCCTCGGCAGCAGCGATCCCTTGGCACGGATGCCCAAGGGTGGTCCGTGGCTGTGTCCCACAGCACAAAAACGACCGCCCGAACCCAGCATTGTCGGCCTGGGCGCTTTCTTTCTCCCGCCTTTGCAATCCCGCAACCGCAACTGGGACTGCCTGCGGCTTTCGCCTGCGTCGCCTGCGTCGTCTGTGGTGTCTCGGTGCTGCTTCTAAGCTCCCTGAAACCCGGTCCTGCTGGTATTCCCGAAGCACCGCCATTCCCTGTTCCCTTTGAACTGATACTGTCGCCATGACCGCCAAAGACCCTGGACACTTGGGTGAGCATATCTCGGCTGTACATATCTCGGCACTGCATATCTCGGCCGTGCATATCCCACTCTCACCGGCCTGTCATTGTCGCTGCCATGTCTGCGGTCGAGTTGGCGTCCAGCGGGAGTCTCGCACTTTGCCACAAGTCATGAGACAGCACACGGACTGCGGATGGACTAAAACAGCGGCCGTATTATCCCATCGCCATTAGAGAACCTCTCGGATGAGCAGCAGCAGGTAACGGCCGCATTCTCTGTCGTGCATCCGCTCTCGGTTATGAATCGCATGGGCCCATATTCGCCCATTCCCGCGCCCGTCCACCAACGCCGGATCTGCTGCGGGTTGGCGCTTTGTAGGCTCTGCGGCAGATGTGGGCCCAGCTCTTCGACGCCCTCGAGAAGGCCTCGGCACACAACAGCGAAACCTCGACCCAGGAGATCGCCGAGGATGCCAAGCTCGAAGCGGCCGAGGCCAAGGCTCCCAAGAGCTTGATAGCGAGTGTGTTCCGGTCTCGTCGCAACGACGACTCTTCCCGCTCAGGCACCTCAGGGCGATCCAAGAGCACAACGAGAAAGGCCGACGAAGTCGACTCGTTTCCTGTTCCCAAGGCCACGCTGCTCGAGGAGCTCTTTCTGCTCGTGGCCTACGACAACCCCGACGCCATGGTGCTCCGTTTCCTGCGTGCCCGCAAGTGGGACGTTGACGCTGCCATCGCCATGCTGATGCAATGCATCCGCTGGCGGATCGAGTTTGGCGTGCGCTCGATCATGGAGGGCGGCGAGAGCCTCGTTTCCGTGACCGAGCTGAGCGCCGGAAAGGGATATTTCCGTGGATACGACATGAAGGATCGACCTTGCGTGTAAGTCGCGAGCATCCAGGACCTGGACATGGACCCGGCGTTTGGCTGCTGCTCGGCCGCAGATCATGACGGCAATTCATGAGTGCCGAAGACACCTGACGCGATCTTGGTCTGGATTTTGCAATGGGGACCGGCGTCTCACAGGTTTGTGCGGCCTCGGCTGCATATGAAGGACGACTGCGACCTCGCCGCACTGGAGAAGTTTGTGGTGCTGACAATCGAGTCTGGACGAAACATGCTCAAGTATCCCGTCGAGACGATCTGCCTGGTCTTTGACATGACGGATTTCGGCCTGAGAAACATGGTGCGATGTCGCTGTGCTGGCCGCTTCCGACAGGCATGGCACAAGGCTTGCGTCTGCGTCTGCTTCTATCATCGAATCGTGTCGAAATTGGCTCGGCTGCTATCCCGTGCGCCATGGGGTCTGTCGAGAATAGCACGCTAACCCGTGGGCGTTGGTTTGTGTGGCAGGACTACAAGCTTGCCAAGTTCATGACCTCCTGCCTGGTACGTCCCACATCCCTTTGGTCGAGCACTGCTCCGAGATGCGGGCAGCCGATATGGCTCTTGGACATCTCTGCGCTGCTCTGGCTCTGCATCATGAATCTGACCGCGGTACTCTGCCATCTCGTCCTGCTGAACGACACGCGGCTGCTTTTCAAATATCAGGAGGCCTACTATCCCGAGTCGCTCGGAGTGGCGCTGATTGTGAATGCCCCCTGGATATTCAACGGTGCGAATATGACTGTGCGGTGCCATCGGGCCCGCGCACTGCATCTTGGTGTCGATTGTGCTGCCATTGCGGGCCTGATCCCAGCGACAACGACTCCGACATGGCGATATCAGACCCGGACCTGACTTGCTAGCCTCCAACAGGTTGCTGGACTATCATCCAGCCATGGCTTGATCCCGTCGTTGCGTCCAAGATCCACTTTGTCAAGGCTGCCGAGCTGGCCGATTACATTCCGCTGAGCAACTTGCCCGCCGACCTCGACGGCCAAGACGACTATGTGTTTGCATACGTTCCCGCGAGCGAGAGTGAACTCAAGACCGTGCAAGAGCTTCGTGCGGACACGAGCACCAAGGCCCTGCGACACCAGGAGTGGATGATGGATATTCATGCATTCATGAAGATCACGCAAGAATGGAGTGCCTCGACCCAGGAGGACACAGTCAAGAGTCTAAGTGTCGAACGAAGTCTGGCCTCGGAGCGAGTCCGGATGACATTCACGGCCCTTGTTCCGTTCATCAGGTGCGATCGAGACCCAGCCGGATCGTGGACGTGGGAATACTACATCCTCGCTGACGATTGCTCGTTGGTAATGGCATGCACTGACGGCTGTCTCCACTCTCGTCTCTCCTGCACCATCGGATTGTGCTGCACCAGGTCCAAGACGTACCTCCACCGCACCGGCACTGTCCACGAGGCCGGGATCACATATTGATACTGTGGGAACGGGCTGCTGTCACGAATACAAGGCTTGTCCAAAACGAAGCGAAGCGCCCTGTTTGAGCCAGGGCAGTTGCTTCTCTGGGCCCCGAATACACATCCATTCATTCGTCCTCCATGACCTAGTGCATTCATGGTGCCTGGAGGCCAAGTGGCTCGTTCGACCCGATCATCTCGATATCGCGGGCGGAGTGTACACTTTATTCAGAAAAAAACGGGACAATATAGCCGTTTCCATGAACATGTAGTATGTGAGGTGCTTGCGTCAAGCAAAGCCATAAGTAATACAATCAAATCACTTTGGCAGCCTCCGAGTGAAGACCGCCGGTCGCTCTCCGATCTCCACAATCGACCTGCATACTGTGATCATGTTGCGCGCCGCGTTGACGTCGCGATTCCACACCGTCTGGCGAATGGTCATGGCCAGCGCGCGATAACATTGGGTAACAAAATATTCGATGAATGGTCAAAAACCTGGGTGTCCCGTTTTTTATTGGATCGCCCGCAACCACACAGCTTGCACCAGCACACACACAATGGCCACCGGCTCGCGCACGCGATTGGCCCGCGACGCAGCCAATCGGCCGCCGATCACACACGTGTGTGGCGTGCTGATCACTGCGCCACGCTGTTCCCAGCGGGTATATCTTGGTCGAGCGGCGCGATCTTCCTTTGGTTCTCTGACGCAAAGGCTGCTTCGAAGCGTCTTGCGGCGAGGGCCAGCAGATACGTCTGGGGCGCCCGGGTGCCGCCGGACGTCAAAAGATCATGCCAAGACAAACGAAAGTCTTTCTCAAAGGTCGTTTCATTACTCGATAATAGCGTCGTTTTGGAACATCACCCAAGGAAGACATATTTCTCTGCTCGAGGCGCGCCGACGCTGTTGCCGATCGTTTGGGCTCGGGAGAGCGTGGGAGTTTCTCTGATACGCACACCAGCCACTGCCGCATTTGGCGAGCTGTTTCGAATCGGACGGCGCTGCCTCCGTGTGCTTGGCCCAAGATGTCGCATGCGATGGATGTGTACGATCCTCCTGACCACGCGAGGTAAGCATCAAGCAAGAGAGCCTTTCGCGACCGATAACTTTTGCCAAGGCGGCGATGAGTGTTTTATGATATGTTAGACTTCGGAACTCATGTTGACGATAGCAATTTTTGGATGAGCCGACCACCGTGCGCTTAGCGACAAACCTCCTCCCATCGTGGCGACTGCCGTCCTAATCCATCGTTTTGCGTTGGCTGACACAGGGATGCACTCGCTGCAGAGCGATACACGAAGCAAAGTGAGCGGCGGGGCGAGTTGTCGGCGTATGATGTACAGATGAGACGACAGGCAGCATGAGTTGATGCAAACGGGGCTACGCGGTGGAAGGGATTCGATGCCTCAGCGGTTGGAGGGAGCAGCGGCGAGTGGGCTTTTTGCAGATGTGCGGGGGCTAGCTATCCATCGCGTGCAGACAGCTTGGGGCGAACCTTTTCGTTTCACCCAACACTATATTGGAGCAAGTATCGCTCGTGCGGAAGAAAGACGACATCGCTCCCTCTGCTGCTACTGCACCTCGGCCTCCAGCGCCGACAGACAAGCGCCAATCAGGTGCAGACTTCCGGTAACCAGAACCCGGATGCTGTCGTCGGCTGCAGCGGCTGTGCGCTGGAACTCGAGGACCTGGTCGACTGCCTCCTCGAATGACGCAGACACGGTCAGACTGCTCTCGTCTGCGAGATCGCTGCCCACCAAAGTCTTGTAGTCCTGGATGAGTTTCTTCTGAGCGCCAAGGGCGGCGTCTCGAACCACGGTGTTGTTGATCTGGTCGACATCTGCGAGAGCACGGCACGGCATGGCACGATGGATATGAGTCGACAATGCTGGTGCGAATCGCATACAACCGAGGCAGGAGCCGCATCGAATCGGGCAGAAAGCCAAAGTGCGCCAGCGACAAATATCCGCCGTTAGGGCGCCAGTCTCGCGCACTTACTCAGTCTGTTCGAGCCGGGCTTGAAGGCATCATTGGTGGAGAAGATGACCCGAGAGAACTGGATCCGGCCGCTGGTGACGAGCTCGGCGAGCGGCTTGAGCAAGTTCAGGCCCTCGCGTCCGTTGGTGCAGTTGAAGATCAGGATGTTCTTGTGGGGGCTGGCCAAGATTATGCAGTCAGCCCGGCGCTCGAGAGGCCCGCCCCACACCCACACCAGCGGAGCAGAGTGCGGTTATCCGGAGACCGGATGATGGCAACTCTCACTTACTTGCTACCCTGGACATTGCTGCCAGCGATCTGCTTGAACCAGTCGGCGCATACACTCAGACTCTCGTTGGTGTGCGCTCCGTCGAGGTACCACTGCACGCCCGGAGCCTTGGCCGACACAAATGTCTGAGCACGTCCAGGCCAGCGAGCTAGCTCTAGCCCTGCGTCAAAGACGCTGTCGTCTTCGTTCACTCGCTGGTATGGCAGCGGGAACTGCATGCGGCCAGAAGCCTGCATTTCCTGGATCCATCGTCGGCAGAGTGCCACAGCCAGCGAGGCGTTGATCTTTTGGTGCTCGCCGGCCAGTCCAAGCTTGATCTTCGAGAAGCGATCGATGCTGGACAGCGGGAGAATGGAGCACAGCTTCGGGTCGAGATTGCCGCCGTTGTTTTCCTTGCTGACCGACTCGATGGTCTCCAGCGCTTCTTTGGGCTGATTGACCGAGTAGACGGGTACCCCAGGCTGGCGGTCGATCAAGCAGAGGTCAATAGAGCCGCCGTCGATGCACTGATTAAAGCGTTGGGGGCACATCGGCTGTTTGCGATGTACCCTGCACAGAAGCCCGTCGTTACCTTGATGATGCCGGCCTTGTTCCAGGCAATCTCGCCGATAGTCGTTCCGAGGAGCGGGACGTGATCCATGCCCAGGGAGGTGATGCCGCAGACGACAGGCCTCTCGATCAGGTTGGTAGCGTCGTACTTGCCGCCGATTCCCACCTCCAATACACACACATCGACGCCCTCGGAGAGGAAGACATGGAATGCCAAAAGAGTCAGGCAGCGGAAGTACACAGGGACTTGCGGGTAGCCCGGCGTGATCTGTTCCTGCTTGTCCGGGTGGCTCATCAGTATGCAGGACGATGGCGATGGCATCACAGACAGACCATCGCACTCGCCGCGCCGTCGGGTGCTGCATCGGCTACCCCGAGAGCACGACTGAGGCTGCGAGAAGTGCACGAGTTGGTTCGAGGCACGGGCACGGCTGACTTGCCTTGGTTGCTTCAAGGGCATCCCAGACTTGGAAAAAGTACTTGGTGAACTGCGCCTCTGATATGGGAACGCCGTTGATTCGGATGCGCTCGCGAACGGCAAGCAGGTGGGGTGAGGTATAGAGACCTGGGCATGGGCACGAGGCGCTGCGTCAGTATCCTGGACGAGGCCAACCTGTTGGGCCTTGAAGCTAGGCGGTACCGCCAGTAAGCTTGCACTCAGTCCTCAGGATCTGGCAAGACCGCTCGCCAGGACAGCAGGCCCAGTAGCCACACGCGATCCCACCTGTCTTGAGAGGCTTCTCGCTGCCATCCTCGACAACAGCCACTCCTCTCATGATGGACTCGCAGAAGGCCGAGGTGGAGCCCTTTCCCTTCGTGCCGGCAATGTGGATGACATTCAGTTTGTTGAGTTCCGGGACCTGCAGTGGTGACGAAATGCAGCGGCCGCAAAGACGGTGGTGTCATTGTTACAAACTGGAAGGTGAAGCAATCAGCGTGTGGCCGAAGCAGGAGCGCAGGAACGCAGTGCATCGGTCGGCATCCGATCGCCGACTCCAGTCCGCACACCGCTGGATCTAGCCGCACGAGACGCCAGAGATGAACGACCTTGTGGCCGATCCGTTCCAGAAACTCGGTCATTTCCGGGATGTTTCTGAGATTGAGCGAGTTGCCGGCCTTGCGGATGGCTTCGAGTGTGGCGGCATTGCTCTGCAGGTTGTTAAGCCTGTTGACAGCATCCTAGGGGTAAGGTCGTCGAGTCACAGGCAATCGGTCGTTGAGTTAGAGATGGCCAAGCCGAAGTTGGACATGGAGAGGGAGTGATCCCGCCCAATACTCGGCCTTGCGGCGGTCGACATACGGCATAGGATCGCGAGGACATGGATCGTTGTACCGCCAGGCGGATGGCAGAAGCGACGGGCAGACGATAGAAACGGATCGGGCCAAGGCGCGGCAGAGGCATTCAGCCGGTCGCAGCGAGCAGCAGAGCGGGCGAGATAGAGGCGATAAGCGAGGCGGGGGGGAAAGCGATTTGCAAGCAGCAGGACCGATCTTTGGGGGTGAGGCGCGGGCTTTGTTGCCGGGAGCGGGCATGTGCATCAGAGGGCCGAGTCGGCAACAGCGAGACGACGAGGGCACCAATGGAGCAGAGCAGCGGCATCTGCGAATGAGACAGAGCGACGTTGTCGATAACAACCGGCGAAGCAGCGCATGGCCAATGTCGTTCGTCCGGACATGGTCCCGGAACGACCAATGTCGCCGCGGGGTCATGGCCCTTGCGCGGGCCAGGCTCTTTCCTCCATCAACCCTGGCCATCAGCCTCGGCCATCAACCCTGGCCATCAATCTCGGCCTTCACCGCCCAACACCATGCCGTCGGAGCCACAGGAGCCCCGCGAGTCCCTCCAACGCACGTCCCGCGAACCGCTTGCAACTCGAGAGCAGTGGCAGGCTTTTCGCATGTGGGCTACCTTCTTCCTGCTTGGAGTCGTGAGTCTGAGGTCGGTATTGTCCCGACACCCGATGGCCATCCTACCCGCCTTTGCTCTGCATCCTTCCCGTCTCACGATGTCGCTGCACCGAACCTGCATGAACGTTAAACAGTCGTTCGCGATCACGGTCCTCAGTGGCTGGAACGCCTGGATCAACGCTGCCCTGTACTTCATGCAGCGCTTCCAAGGTAAGCAGCTTGTTACCGATCCCATCTGCGCTGCTGCTGCTGTCGCTGGCTCGCTTAGACCGTCGTGTGCTCTGGCACCAGATAAATGGCAACAGATAAATGGCAACAGATACATGGCATGGACATGATATCTGACACTTCCGCAACGACGCCGCTGCTCGACACATCAGGAACATCGATCGAGAACAGCTTCCAGTCCTATTTCTCGCTGGCGTTCATGGTCGCGAATCTCGGGACACTCGGTGCGTATGCATGGATCGATAGTCGAGCAGCTCTCTATACCTGACCGCGACCCATCATGATGTGCAAGGCCGGGCAGAGTACGTCGCCGAACACTCAACCAGCCCGAGTTAACCAGCTCCTCTCGATCAACTCGCTGCTATCCTTGTGGGTCCGCCAGGGTATCTATCCATCATTCTCGCAATCTTTGTTCAAGCTCATTCGCTTTGGCTCTGATTCCCAGCCGGTTGACCTGCTATGCCTTTCTTCCAGACTGATCCTTTCGCTCAAGACCACTTCTGAGGTACCGGCCGAGCTCTCATGTGCAACTAGCAAGCGACTCGCTTGTCGTCCTGAATCTCTACGTTCGGATATCTCATCTGCCCGACAATCCCTACCTTTCCCAGGTTGCCATCAATCTGCGTATCTTTGGCGGCGGCGCTCTCAACACCGCTCTCTTCCTGGTGGCTGCGCTGATGGTTCCGTCGTCGCTGTCGGCTCAAACCTACTTTGGCATCACGCTGGCGATGGTGGCCCTCTCGGGCGTCGCCTCAGCGCTAATGTCCAGCGTTTTTGCCATCGTGGCCAATGTCGAGGGCATTTTCACCCAGGCCGTGGTGTCGGGTCAAGGTACTGTTCCCGGTGTCAAGTCTGGTTTGTTCGTGTTGCCGTTGAAGCAGCCGAGCCGGCATGATGCCACCCAGATGTGCTGACCATCACCTGCGATCGCTTCGTGCTCCATGCTTCACAACAGGTTTCTCGGGAATCCTGTTCTCCGTTATCCAGATGATGCTTATCAAGTCCCGTGGTCCTGACGAGCCCTCGGAGCCGGGTCCGATCGTGAGATACTTTCTCTTCGCGGTGGTCACTGGCCTAGCATCTCTCGCCGCTTACGGCTATGAACTCTTCGCCAAGTCTGCACAAGCCCACCACTTCATGCCGGTGCCGACGACCGAGGCTTCCGGGCTTGATCCATCGATCCAGGGCAGCACCGAGTCCCTTCCGATGCTCGCATCTCTGCAAACCGATGATGATGCTCTACACCCCACCGGAAGCCAGGCCAACCTCTTGGTTTATCGCCAAATCCGTATCCCTGTGCTGTCGCTGTTCTTGACGTTTGTCTTGACTCTGGCCGTGTTCCCGTCCATTACGACGCTGATCGTTTCGGTTGGTCATGCCGATGCGGCAGGATCGCCCGATGCACTCATCGCCCTCCACTTTCTGGTTTTCACCGTCGGGGATTGGATCGGCAAGTCTCTGCCCGGGATCGCACTCTTCCAGATCCGGTCGGTTCGGGCCCTCAAGTGGACTGCCTTGAGCCGCATCCTCATCCTGGTGCTGATATTTTGCTGCAACACCCGGTTTATCGATCCTCTGACGGGACTGCCGCGGGCTCGTGTCTTTCCCCTCCTGTTCGGCGACGGCGGCTATCTCATCATCCTCTTTATCCTGGCTCTCTCCGGAGGTGCCCTCGCAACGCTGCTCATGATGGTTGCCCCGACTCTCATCCGGGTGCACTCTGACGCACCATCCAACGAGCCCTCCGGATCTGTGTATACCCACGGCGAAGCGGCCAACGAATCCGACGTCGCAGAGATTGTCGTTCACGATGACGCCGACGACCTCGCCACGATCTTTTACCGTCAAAAAGTCGGCGATATGATGGTGTTCTCGCTGACGACCGGGCTTGCCGTCGGCTCGGCGAGCTCGTTTTTGGTCCATGGCCTCCTGTGTGGCTGCAACCCGTTTTTCTCTTGATCGCATATCCCGAGCTGATCCGAGCTCTCAAGCGTCGATGGGACTGCAAGGCTCGGAATACAGTGTGTGAAGCCATTCATGCAGATAACGCACGTTGATGCGACCTGCGGCAGGTGCTGATGCCGGATCGGCGAGCTGGCTCAGACGAAGCCGTCCCACGGGCGGGTGTATTCGGGTCCCGGCAAAAAACAACGGTCCTGGCTCAAAACAGGGTGTCTCGTTTCAAAAATGGATACGCTGTAGAAGCTCCGCACGTTCAGACGGTGGATTTTCAAGGACAGGATTCTGGCGGCACTGGATGGCTCTATGCATCTCTAGATTTGCCTTTCCACTCGTTCCACGGAGGCGAGCTCTCTTTCCGAGACCGGCACTGCAGGTGAACGACATCCAGGAGCGGCTTGTTTGGGCTTTGGGATCCGGTGTCGACTGGGGGATAGTATATGCAGTGTGGCTCGTTGAAGGGGCGGGTGCACTCGGTACATGGCCGGTCGGAGGTGATGTGAACTGCATGCGAATCACTTTGAAAGTTGGACCACTCCTGATTCACCTGGAGCCGTGAAAAATCATGACCAAGGCAGCAGGGGCGGCGGGTAAGTTGAAGCGACATGGATGGTGTGGGAATGGAACAGAACGGATGATGCAAAGTGAAGTGTGAGACGAGAAGTCCTCCGTGACGGAGGCATCGAACAAACGTGTCGACACTGTCGGGGCAAGCGCTCTCCACTCCATGTCCCTTTACCTGGTAGTTCTCAATCTTGCTGATGGACTTGATCACTTGTCCCTCACGACAGTCGTTGAGGCTCTTCCGAATCGACGCCTCCAAAAACCCGCTCACCGCAGCGAGTGACCAATGGCCCGGCAGAACACTGAGGATCTGTGGCCATCAAGCGGGCTCGTCAGCACAGGTCGAGACAAAGCAAGTAACGCTGTCACTCTTACGTATCGCAGTCGAATGCAGCCACTCGAACAGCGCTTCCCACCTGGACGCTGTCCAAACTGGGCCAGTGCGTGTTGACTAGTCGGAGGATTTCCTTTGAAAAGTAGTCCGGCTGTTCCGAATGCAGATACAGCTCGATCAGCATCATGGTCAGCTTCCTTCGCATCCGATCCGCATCGGTCATGTTAAGTTCATGTGTGATGGCGATACTGGATCGGCCCTCAGTTTCGGACAGGGTCGGTTGCGGGTGTTCTCCGAGCGTTTGGCTGGAGCAGTATTGCTCGGCGCTGTGAAAGTCTTGGAGATCCAGGGCCAGGAGGGACAGAACGTGCGAGTGATCTCCGAGCTGAGAACCACAAAAGGTACTCTGTGAGCCGCTGAGACCGGTACGGGATGTTCTGATCCGCTTGACTTAACAACACACGCGCGACCCTGGCCACTCACCTTCGAGTGCAACACCGCACGCTCGGCAAAGAGCCCGATGCATGACTTTTCAACACGATCCTTGATATGCTGAGCGTCGTAGCTTGAGGACTGAGTCAGAAACAAGATCAGCTTGTGGCGAGCACGCGCGAGAGAGTCGTTTTGGCTGGCCAGGAAGCTCAGGAATGACCCGCGCGGCGAGAGCGTCCAGTATCGACTTCCTAAAGAGCAAATCTGGATTAGTGCCCCGTTATCGTCTGATGACTGGACGAGCGAGCCAAGCCACATCGCTTCACAGTCACTGGAAAGCGAACATGGCCCCAAAGCAGCACCGATCACTGAGCGAGGGAATCTTGTGGGCAACTCGCCCTTCGTTGGCACATACTATGCTGCTCAATTGCATCCGCGGTAAGATAGAGGAGAGTGTTGTCCAGATAGATCTCTGCCAGTTCGGTGTGGATTGCGGGTGTCTGTCGAATCGGGGCCATGCGGAGGGAAGCAACCCAAACTCATGTGGTCAGCTGCCGGCCGGATCAAGTTGGCATGGCCACACACTTACAATTGAATGTCTGGTGACTGCATCAGACGCGATGGGCTGGTCTGCACGCACTGCTCCAGCGGCTGCAAATCGACTGTCGAAATCGATGCGCACCTGTCGCCGCTCGATATTGATTGCGTGTTCCAGATAGGCCCGCACAGCATCGACACCGAATGGACGCAGATGGTCAAGTACTTGGCTGGGCTCAAACTGGGCGACCTTGGCCTTCTTGCTCGTGAATATCTGTGGGCGTTTCACAACGTTAACCGTTTGCCACAAGGGTTGCAAACCAGCACTTGCCAGCGCAGGCACAGTCGAGAGACCGAGGGTTAAGGGTAACTGGCTGTACAGTCGGTCTGATTCGTGGAGCTGGATGAAGCCAAGGCCATGGCAGGAGCCAGAGTTGTCGGGGTGAACGTTACCTGAACACCCAGGGCCGAGTCTTGTTTCAGAATCCATTGTGTGTACTCCCACGCCAGCTCCTTGTCGTCGAGCTCGAGGATGTAGTCCATTATTTCGACCAAGCCGCCTCTGGCGTCCGGATCAATAAACTCCTTTGTGTAGATCCTAGATTTGTATGAGCGGGACATGTGTTAGAATGCCATCGCTCCAGGAAATGTTTCATATCCAACAAATCTGACTGTGCGATCGTAAGCGGACACACTTTTTCCATGTTTCCAGAGCCCGAGCCGGGATGTGCCGGGATTTGAAGAGAAGGCCGACTCCGTAAAATAGCTATTGTTCGAATTGGCGCCGAGCGGCATTATCGAGGATGTTAGCGTCGATCAATGTTGATTGTACAATCAAAGTCGGGATGGCGGAAGCGCACAGGCAACTGATGACTACCTTTCTTTCCAGTAGGAACTGCTCGCACTCTTCGAGAGCGCAAACGTTCTCGCCGTTCAAGAAATCGTAGAGGGCGTCGCGATCCATCTCTGCGTAGATCTTGAGGATCGACGAATCGATATCCTGACCAAGGGGGATGCGTTTGGTTACCAGGGGCTCGCCGCGTCGATCACATGGACTTCTCCAATGGTCGTGGACAATGTGGCCACTCACCTCTCGTCCGCCGTGCAGCTCGCGGTAGTGTACAAGATACTTCTTCAGCATTTCCTAGAGCGAGAAGACACTCAATCAGGTGGTGTCCATCAGCGGGGCGGCTTGCTATAGCCACATATACATGTGGCAAACTCTGTGTTCGCATGAGTCCAGGTCGGATGCATCCACATCCACATCCACATCTGCTTACTTTGGCGGACGTTCGCAGTACCGCTCTATATGACTCCTTGACGTCTTCCTCAGCATCAGGATAGCTGTGCTGTAGATTGTAAGATACTGTCCGCGCGACAGGGATCGTCAGGGCGATGCATATAGCGCAACAAAGCCCGGCTATGCACGATTCACTCCGGCAGAGGACTGAAGCTCTTTACAACACAGGAAAACAATGGTTCCCTCCCCAATGCGTCGCGGAGGCGATTGCTAAACCACGACAGTGGTTGCATCCAAAAACTACTGAACGCCTACCAAGCTCCTCGATTGATGAGAGCGCCTCCAGCTCAACGCCTGCGCTATCGATGGATGCGCTTGAAGTTTGCCGCTCGTAAGCTTTGCTGGGCTGCAGCTCGGGAAACAAGCTGATGAGATAGGCCGGATCGAGGTCTCCCTTCTGGAACAGGGTCATGGCGTCGTCAAACAGAGTGTCTTTGAAGTACACCAGCCCGCCCCGTTCATAGAGGCTTTTAAGCTTTCGTTTCTGTGGTCAGCAATGCAGACAGCAAAACTGGGATGAGTACTCCAGCAGCAAACTCCATCCCAAGTTCGTCCATGATGTGAGTCCCGCTTGGTTGTGAGGGAACGTCTCAGCAGTTTCGCGCTGACCTTAGCGTCCGATCCGTCATGCCGGTTCCACTGGATGACTTGCTCGCCGAGGGCAACGGCCCGTGAGATTTGTTTTTGTATCAATAGTTCGGATATCTACACCCACGAAGCAGCAATCACGATGCATGACTTAGTCAATCGAAATCGCACAGGTTGCATTTACCGACGCGCTGCTCATCTCTGATGCAGTCGAGTCTCCCCACAGATACAGTCGTAACAGGCGGTAGTGAAACGAGTGACTCCATGACGGTGAGGGGGGGGAGGACAGCAGCTCGATGTTTCGCACCTGGCCCTCGAGCGACATCATCTTGAGTCCAATGATGGTGTCCTTTCCAGCCGCGACAACGTGAATCGACGAGCTTTCTTTGGGATCGCCTTTGCTGATTTCGAGATTGAAGGTGGCCTCGCTCAGGGATTTCAGCTCCATGCTCCGTGGGAACATGATGTGCTGCACACGCTGTTGGTTGAAGATGTTGTGAATCTCGATCACGTTGGACTTGAGGAGGGCAATTACGTACGGGAACTGGAAAGCTATGATGGTTGCCGCGACTCACAGTTAGAGTATACTATGATCGCACCACACTGCCGGGAGCAACTGCTGGCTCGGCAAAAGTACCGTCCGAGGAGCAACCAGTTACGGCCAGTCTCTTACCAACGGATTTCGGCATCGCCGGCCACTCCAGTGTTCCTGATCGAGCCGAACGCCGAGCAGATTAGTAAATGAGAAGGAGAGCATTCGCGATGGTCAAATACTCAAAGGAACTGAGAGACTGCCCAAGACACTCACCGCGAATGGCATCGCCGTTTCCGGTGACGAACATGCCTAGCCCTGTTTGCTGAGGTGTGCCAATGACCAGGAGGAACTCATCCTCCTGAATCGCAACAACCATGGGCCTCATGAGCTGCCGGTCGTACGGAAACAGCTGAAACTCTTGGCTGGTCTCGACATTCAGTATCTTGTAGCTCGACTGATCGGCTGCGCATATGTGGTTTTTGTATCGCGCCATCGCAATTGCTCCATCCGACATGGGGATATCCTGATGTTATGAAAGCAGTTGGGGACGGAGCATATGGCACACTTGTCAGTGCCACACGGAAGTGCACTAGCAAAGTGCTTTCGCTGCCGTTGTCTGCCAATAACTGGAGCTCTGCATGCTGAGTGGGGGGGCCTCAGCTCTGTCTCTCCATCGGCGACAACTGCAAGGTCGCATGGGAGCATATGCGCACATGTTACATCGCCCAGCAGCAAGCTTCCCTCGGCCTGCTCTGCCATGGCCCTGGATTCTGCTTCGCAGCGATACCTTTTCTGTCATCAGCGAGTCCCCGAGACGAAGGCAGTGTGCGCTACGGCGTTTGGCGACAGTGAAGTGCATCGGGCTTTGAATAAACTTGTCGACACAGATCGACAGTATGGGCTTGATCGGAGCAATCACATTGACGGATATCATCTCGAGGGTGTCGATGTTGTAAAAGGTCACGGTTGTGTCTAACCGGCGGAGGTGTGGGTTGAGCAGCAGTCGAGTTCGGAGGTGAGTGGGCAAATGCCGGCGATAACGGAGCAGTCATGGTGGTTGATAGGTCAAGAAACAGGCAACAATTCAATTGCCGGGGTGTCAGCGCATCTTGGGCACTGGCTTTGAAGTTGTCAAGACTGCCAAGAGCCTCGTCTGCTGCAGAGCACACACATCTGCCCGCCAAGCGGTAGATGGTATTTTAACCCGAGATATGCATTGGTAGTAGGGGACGAATGACTCCACACCTGAGAACACAATAAGCCTCGCTTCCGTTGGTACGGCCACGATGGTCTCGATCGGCTTGCGTGAAGAATTGATGTGGACCTTTTGGACCAGGGTCGAGGGCATTCCGCCGATCGTCACGGTCGAGATCTTGCTCCCTTCGGACGACTTGATCTGGGTCGAGGACTTGCGATGGCAGGAACGAGCGAGTCGTTGTCAGGAAGAGCGATCCAGAATATCGATGCCGGCGTGGATAACGGTGCTTTCTTGGATATGACGCTGTACCAATTCCCCGGGCCATTCTGTTTGAAGAGGGGGCTCCGTCCGCAGCTCAAGCAGGCCAACAATAGAATCCAGCCCTCCGTCAACTTACCATCTGGGCATCGCTGCTCGCATCGAGACTGTACTTAATAATGCACCCGTCAGAGGTGCCGATGTAGAGCGTCGTGTCTGTGATATCAAGGACGGGGGGGGGCGTCAGCATGATATGATGTGCGATTCGGCTGTCTGAGAGCCCACGCCGATCGGCTGGGCGGTCACATCCAGGCGAGGCGGATCATGTCTTGATGGTGAGGCCGAATCAGAACAGTCGATTGCGGCACTCGAACCCAGGATCAAAGAATATTGCTGATTTTTCAGCAGGCAAACGCACCACACAACTCAGCCGTCTCGATTGAGACTCGAGTGAGCGACCCTTGCCCTGGTTGGGTGGCTCCGGCTTGTCCAGACCCGGATGCTGGACTGGTGCCGGCGGCAACGGCCCCGAGATTGGAGAGCGACGCCGAGGCTTGCAGCTTCGAGAATAGCGAGAGCGGGGCGCTTCCGTGCGAGCGGGACGAAGCAGTCGAGCCGGCCGTCGAGTCGTTGCTTTCCAGGGGCACATTGTGCGGCACTAACGAGATGAGCGAGTACGGTGCAAAGGTCATGGCTGCGGAGGCAATGGCAGCAATGCTGGCGAGCCGGGTGGACAGGGGTTGGGTGTGCGAGTCGTCTGGGGACTTCTTGCGGGTATGCTGGCCGCGAGCCGATGCAAGGCGGCGACCGGGGACTGCAGGATGGATCTCTGGCGGGGGCGAGAGGCAAGTCCGGTGCAGCAGGAGCAGCGGCAGCGGAAAACCCTGGCTAAGCGGCAGCCGACAAGATGGTGGCCGATCCGCGAAGAAGCGGCGCTGGGTTCTTGGCAGCCCTCAAGAGCCAGGGATGGCGCCGACAAGCAAGGCGCACCTGGTCGCGAGAGCACACAGGCCAGGCTACCGAATCCATCTCCAAAGCGGCGGCAGCATCGAGCAGCGATGGCATCATGGTGTATTCTATCGATATCGAGACTGCACATTGGTGCGGTGCTGCATCTGGCTCGGGTGCGGGCCTCCTTGAGCGCATCGAGGACCAGCCTCGGAGCATGCAGGACATGGGCGGCAGTGTGCACCTCGATTGTGGTCTGTTACTGGGTCGGGCTCTTCTCAAAGAACTCAAGTACCCTGATGGCATTCTGGCGCCCGATAAGCTCCGCCAGCTTCTCCAGATCCATATTCGCCAGCTCCATGAGCGAGCCAACCGAGTTCAGCACCGTCCTGTAGTTGCGGCTGGTAATGCCCGGAATCGCTCGGAGGAGATCCATAGGCATCAGGCTGTAGACACTATCGGTCATTGCGGACTCGACGCCGATGGCAGCTGCAGCCGCAGCATTGGGCTCGGGCTGGTTCTCCTGAAAACGCAGAGTTCAGTTCGTGGGTCAGCTTCGCTAATGCACCATGGTCGAGATCAAAGCCATCGCCTCCGGTTGGCTCAAATCCCACGATTCGTGCGTGCCCGCCCTCCAAGTGACGGTCCAGCGCACCTTGAGGTCTTGGAAGATATCTGCCGTGGCCTTTGGGCTCGAACTCCAGATAATCTTGAGCTTGGGCAGGTTCAGACACAGCAGGGCAATCTTGCTCCTCACGTCGTCGTTGCGGCCTCCTTCGATGACACGGGCACTGCCGAGTCCCTGGAAGGTGAACGAGCGCTCCTCGTCAAACTCGATCAGGAGGATGGGTATCAGATAGTGGTGGCACATGGCCTCGCACTGGGTGTAAAGGCGCCCGCTCTTGAACGAGGCGATGAGATCAGGAATGCTCTTGCGCTCCACACAAATCTGCGGGGACAGCACATAGTCGCCGACCTCGAGCGTGGTGGGCACGACCTTCATCCCGCGAGCATGAACCAACGACGGCAGCGAGGACCCGAATTCGCGGGTGTCGACAACTACAAGGTTAGTTTCCGAGGCCGGGATGGTGCGCTGTCCACCGGCGACGCGAGTTGTGAGGTTGTTCCATATCTGCTGTTCTGGATCTGCCCGGACTCGGCCGTCCTGCTCGACTGGGATGGCCATGATCTGGGGGCAGAGGATGCAGCAGTACCGATTAGAGACATGGCGAGCACAAATCTACATTGCGCACACAGACGGACAACCTCGTTGTCGGTTACCGTGCAGAACTCACACTCTTCTGGTAAATCAGCTTCTCGAAGGCATTTTTCTCGCGGCGGAGCGACGACAGGTAGATTTGCTCCTCGACCGAGTTGTCGTAGATCAGAAAGTAAACCTTGACATGGATATCTGGATTCATGGCCTTGAAGAGCTACAATGCACCAACGGCATGGTGAGTCGGCGATCTGCGACATCGAAACACCAAGCCAGATTGCTGGAGCCACCGTCCGGCTGCCCAGCAGGGAGGTGTGGTCCTCATCAGACCTGAAGTCTGCCCGGCTGACTCGTGCGCCTACCTCGACTCGACGAATGAAGCCCACATCCACATCATACATAATGATCCAACGTGGCCTAAGCTCCTCGAGCATACGCGCATCGTCGTCGCCGCGAGCGATCCTGTCGCCCGAGATGGACGTTGACGTGGAGGCATACGGACGAATCATGGTGATGCTGTCGAGCGAAATGAGGCCGCTGTCGACTGAGGTATCGTCTTCCGTCGTTGGCCATAGTACTGGCGGCGCATCGATGCCGTCGGTCAGATTCGGCAGTTCGTCTTGTTTACTCAGGCTGCGAGTGTGTTGCCAGATCGGATGGAAATGGGCACATCCGAGCAACAGAGTCGGCAGAGTAGAGAGCTGTCAGACACCATCGTCAAATGCATCAAATCGAGTCCAGCAAGCACAGCGTGGCGCACAAACCGTACAACTCTGCAACCTCGAAGGCATCTTCATCGAACGACTTTGAATCTCTTGCGGGTCGAGAGGACGGCAACGACGCCGCGACGCTCGCTCCTCGGACCCGGCGTCTCTTGGTGGGCGGTGGGCCCGATCGCTTTGAGTCAGACCATCCTGACGGGTTTGGCTCTCCGCCGTAGCCATCGCCGCTGGGCCGCACAGCAGGTCTCGGATTTCCACTTGAGAAGGACCGCTTCCAATGAAAGTACCGCCCAAGAAGCCGGTGCAGCATAATTCCACATCCCTCTGTACAGAACCGAGAGTAGTCAGGAGGAGCTTGGTCGGCGCTGGTCGGCTGGGCTGTGGCAGCCGGAGGGGCAGCATCCGGATCAGACTTGATGATGGTGCAGTCAAAGTCGGAGAGAATATCCCGCAGCTGGTTGGCAATGCGGTCTCCGTTGGTCATGATCAGCACAGGCCCGCAATCTGAGTGAAGTAGATCGAGGGATGGTTGGTTGGAATTGTGTCAAAGTCATTATGCAGATCTCTCGGCCGGCGGGACCCACTCGGTCGCTGTCCTGAAACTATTCGACAGATGATGGCGGGCACTCGTATTTGGGAATGCGACAAGCCCCATCGCCGAAGACCTCCGATGGGGCATGATCAACAACCTCGCATCTGCAATGGATACCTACCCTCTTCATTGAGGGCCCGGCTCTTTCTCTCCGACTCGATTTCTCGGATAATGTCCTTGAGAACCTTCCATTTGGGCTGCTCCTCCAGGATGGGCTGAAACTGGAATCGAAGCGACGATCCCTCGCGGCGCTCGGGTGCATCGATCTTCTTGTAAACGCGCTGCTTGGCCAGGGTGATCAAGGAGTCGGCAGCTTCGAGGAACAGCCAGGTGCTGGCTTGGTCCGACCTGAAGATGGAGCTGAATGCCGCCGAGTTGGCTGCCAGGATGGTATCCAGGAACGAGTAGAACGTCACGCAGTCGTACTGCGTCAAGTATCTTCAGGTTGGAGGCGTTAGCTCGGTGCGATTCTTTGCGGCGGACTCATGAAGCACACAGGTTGCTTCTGACCAAACTCACTCCAAGAGGGTCCTGAGCGTTCGGATGTCCCGCAGTGCCTGTCTGGCACGCCCTGTGATTCGATGCAAGACAGGGTCGACTTGAGAAGCCAGGAGCAGATCGAACGATCGAAAGAGACTGTTTTCGATTGTGAGCTCCTCTGTCTCGAGCTGGAGGAAAGACGCAAGAGCCATGAGTAGGTGCTCATCGAGACAAGCGGGAAGCATGGGCGAGTATGCTTTCGCTGCCAATGGAACGGGCTGTACCGATGCATTGGATCGCTTGATGTCGGCGAGGCAGGACTCCATGCACTCCAAGATTGCAGCTTGGATCATCTTCATCTTCATGGTGAGCGGCACTTTGATCTCGATTACATCGACCGAGCCCTGCTTCGCCAGCGTCGTGGCAACATCATTCTGGAACCTGAATGATATTCCAGAAAACTCAGCAACGCGACTATGATGGACCCGTGGCTGTTCCGAATGTTTGCGGCTGTCTGGACATGCCCAGAGACGAGAAACATACCGCGGCCACAGAAACACTCGCCGAAGATACAGGGTTCGCATTGCCCGCTCGAGCTTCAAGAGGCCGACAAACAGCTCAGGATCATCCGAAAAGGCCTTAATGAAGCCCACCTGGTGCCCAGATGGTGCCCAGAGGTTCGAGTGAGCAATGCGCGACGGGCCCCGGGTGTCCAATGTGGAAGCGGCGAAAGCCGGATGGGATCAACACTCAATGCAGAGGCACGGCAACTGAGACGAATGCCAACCTTATTGTCTGTTCGGAACAGTCGTAGAATGAATGCTTCGGTCGAAGTCTCTGTGACCCTGAGTTCGAAAAGGTGCAGGTGGCTGTCAGGATCGAATCATGTCGGATGGGATGCGACAGCTTTGGCGAACGGTGCGAGAGATGGAGCGCGGGTAAGCGGCATGAGGGCCGACTTGCCTATGGGCATGGTTGACGATGATTCCAGTGATCTTTTCGACCGGGACGACCTTGTTGAGCAAGTCGACGACGAGAACTCGCGAGGATACGCTGACAACACCTCCGCCCAGATAGATTAGCGATCTGGAGGCCAGGTAGATGGCCCGGGTGCAATAACGAGAAGGTTAGACACTGGCCACGAACATCACGGGGATTGAATTTGACAGACATGCAGGGCAGCAGTGTTAGCGAGTGGAGCATGCCTCTCTGCCGACGTCGCCTGATTGATGACGTTGATGTGGGCTTTGGTATGTGGATCGTCGAGGGCCAGGTCGTCCAGATACGACTCGGCCTCTCGCAAGGGAGTGTTGATGAGGAGGACCAGGTTGGACGGGCTGGCGTAGATCTTGAGGAAGGTCAAAATGACGCTGCGGATGCCGAGACCCTTGGCGGCAATCATGAGGCCGTCTCCGTCCTCGGGCGAGGAATAGGGCAGCTGCATTGGCAGCGGGTTGTCTGGGCTGGGGCTGGCGAGGGGATCCTGAGGCAGCGACCCGGGCGGCAGAAAGTCGGCAGCCATCTTCTGGTGGAAGTCAAGGAGCTTCATTGCTGCGGCTGCGGATAGCGATGGGGATTGTGATGGAGATTGCGATGGAGGATGGGGATTGTGATGGCGATGGGGATTGTGATGGCGATGGGGATTGTGTCGCCAAGGCAAAGCCAGGAAGCAAACATGGGTCGGACTGCGCAGAGAGTGGCTCGAGTGCGGCTGGAGCCGGAAGGCGGGGCAGCCACAGAATGGCTGTGCGAGAGCGAGGAGCGAGGTGGCGGGCGAGGCGGCGGGCGAGGTCATCTGGTGGCGAATGACCAGTCGGCGACGCCACGTGAGCACGCCGAGGAGCGTGGACGAGAGAGTGGACGAGAGCATGGACGAGGGCATGGCGAGAGCCGATTGCGCGAGCGAGAGCGTGGCGAGACGCCAGCGAGGCGAGAGCGAGACGAGAGCGTGACGCACACACACACCCGCCCGCCCCTTGTCGGCCTTTGAAATCTTGGCGGTCCAGCTGCCCCACCTGCGCAACGCCGCTCTTCGCCCCCTCTGTCCGCCATCGCCCTTCTTCGCCGTCCTTCGCCCGTCTTCGCCCCCTCGGTCGCATCGCATCGCTTCGTGCTTTGAAATCCTCCCGTCGCCGACTGCCGCTCATCTTCTGCGCTCTCCCTCGCTTCCTATCCCCGGCCTCCAAGTTACCTCGTCTGCCCTCTTCCAAAGGCCCATCTGATTGAATCTCGACTGCGATATCCCTCTGCCGCCATGCCTGCTACCCAGACCTTCAAGCAAGAGCATCCGTTTGGTAAGCTGGATCGCTGCTTCCACGTCGCCCGTGGTATCGAGTGCATCTGCACGTACAGCCTTCCGACACCAGCATTGCTCCACCCAAGGGCATTCTTGTGGATTCTGCAAGCTGGATTGATGCAGCCTCGCGTGAACGACCCGCCGCAGTCCCTGGGCTGAGCCGCGGTGCTTGCACAATGGACGCTTTGCTTGATATTATCGGCTTATCACTTCCAGAGAAACGGCAATCCGAAGCCAAGAGGATTCTGTCAAGCTACCCAGACAGTAAGTCGGTCCTGCATGTCGTATCCCGCAGAGGGCCTTCCATCCACCTATCTGTCCGTCCGCGGCTTGCTGACCCGTCCCTCGCTCTGGCATCCAGGGATCCCGATGTAAGCGCCCGGACACCACCAGTCCGACAGCCATCCTCGTCCCAGTCACCCCTCCGGCTGGGGTGGTGCGCTGCCGATGCATCCATGATAGCCCATTCATGTGCCATACCTGCCATACCTGCCACCCTTTGTGCTGGGATGGTCGGACACGGATAAGCTGTTGATACGCCCTTGCTTCGTCCATCTCTCCCCTCTCCAGCATCGTGGAGCGTGCCCCCACAGCCTCGAAGACCCTGCCTGAAATGGACAAGGTGGGTATCTGTCGTCTGGTCCGGTGTGTTTGCCCGCCTCAGGCATGCTTCCTGTGCTGCGGGCTGTGATGCTTCCTGTCTCTGCCCCATCGATGCCGGTATCGCTTCCACTAACGGGCGACTGTGCAAAAACAGAAAAAGTTCCTCTGTCCTGGTGAAATCACCGTCGGCCAGTTCCTCTACGTCGTTCGCAAGCGCCTAAAGCTGGAGTCTGAGCAGGCCCTGTTCCTCTATGTGAAGAACGTCCTGCCTCCGGTGGCGACGCCGCTCAGCACCGTCTACAACGAGCACAAGGTTTGTCGGCTGCTGCGCTTGAACTGCACCATTATGATGCCATACACGCAGCACTGGCCGTTTGTCGGGATGTGCTGGCTTCTTGGGGATGTCCGTCCCGTATCTCGATTCTAACTGTGCTGCTCTCAATGCCATTGCTATTTTTGCTGCTGGGCCGTGCCTTGGCGATCGATGAATGGCGAACTGCTCTCGTTCTGGCTATCGGGCATCTTCGTTGTCGAATATGGACGCCTGGATCGCTGACTCGCGTCGGACACCCCGGATCGAAATATCGAACAAACCCTACAATATCGACTCGGCCACAATGCTCCAGGATGAGGACGGATTCCTCTACGTCGTCTATGCCACCGAAAACACATTTGGAGGCATCTAAGCAATGGCCTTTGCTGAATCCTTGGTGCGTTGCTGTCGGATTAGGCCTGTCGATCCAGGAAGCCTCTCGGCCCCAGTGAAAGGCCTCCTCCGACGCACGTTGCTCCTCCGAACCACCTCTCAAAGAGACCTAAATGGCGTTTTTCAAGCTCTCCCGCCTGCCCCAGGATTGCCTGCTTTTTGTGTCCATATTCCTTGCGCATGCTCCATTCTCTATATCCAATTTTGCAGACCAGCCAGCCAACCAAACCAAGCCAAGCCAGCGCCACTCCAACTTTTGTTTTTAACGGCATCACCTGCGAATTGCCCGCTGCCCCTCACGCCTCCGCGGGTTGATGGTCGATTTTGTTTCTCGTCAGCACATGTATCTATTCTCTCTCGTTGCTGCGATGTCCGTCTTTCCGTTGTTGGCTTGGAATACAGCGCTTCCATGAGAAATGGAACATGCATCCCGACAGCGTTGATTGATCAGCGAGATCGCTCTTGGTCGCTGACGAGCCGGCTGCCAGCCAGCGGATTCATGGCCGCGGCGATGGCGGCCTCGCTCGCGATCCTGCATGAGAGCGGCACGACCGCAATGCGAAAGCGCCAGCGTGCCCTGTTTCGTTTTGATTCGCGTTCCTGCTGCGACCAGACCAGACCCGATCTGATCTGATCTGATCTGATCTGATTTGATCTGATCGCACCCCGAGTCGCCCCTGCCCATCGCCAGTAGCTACTCCAGATGAAGCACCCCATCGAATCCAGCGATCCATCCCCGGCCGCAGCGGAGGAGCACACCGCGCCCAAGCGCCCCAAGATCGAGAGCACGGAGCACCCAGCCTCAGCCCCAGATCCAGACTCGTCCACAGACTCGCCTGCAGCCCCGCCCACCACCGAGTCTTCAGATCAACCCAAGAGCAAGCTTCAGAAAGAGGGCGGACGTGACAAGGGTGGCAAGCAGAAGGCCGGAAAGTGGAAGCGAGAGAAAATCGAATGGACGCCTCGCGAGAAGAAAGAAGGCGACGAAGAAAGCGATCGCCGACCCAAACGCAAGGTTGCCCTGCTCATGTCCTTCTGCGGCACTGGGTACAAGGGCATGCAGATGTAAGCAGGATATCCGAGGCAAACACTCTGCGTCATGAGATTCATCCTTTCTATTCGCTCTTTCCCCGTTCTCGGGCACAACCGGTCGCCTCGACAGCCAGTATCGCTGTGTGCGTGAGTTGCGGAGGGGGGGGTGCAATCTGAGTCCTATCCATCCAGCCTCTTACCCTGCGTTTCGCTGCTACCTCACTGCGCCCAACACATCTACAGCAATCCGGGCTCGCAGACAATCGAGGGAGAGCTCTTCAAGGCCTTGGCCACAGTCGGGGCGGTCAGCAAAGACAACTGCTCCGGCGACAGCGCCGATCCGCACAAGGTACGGCCCTCTTCCGCAGATCCGACGGCCCTGATCAGAGGGTAGATCTGCTGGACGTATCGGTCGAATGCTTGAGCGCCACCATGCCATTTCTGCGCCTTCTGTTGCCCGGATGTTTGTCATGGACCTCTGCTCCACTTCGACTCAGTTCCTTCCGTTCATCGTTTCAGATCTCGTTCATGCGAGCGGCCAGAACCGATAAGGGCGTTCATGCTGCCGGACAAGTTGTTTCCCTCAAGATGATCATCGAAGACAGCGACATCATCAAGCAACTGAACGATAGCCTTCCTGCGCAGATCCGAGTTTGGGGTAAGCTCGCCCACTCCCGCCTGTGTCCCGAACTGTTGCTGTAATCAGCTGCACTGCTGCAGTGCATCTATGCCGGGCTGTTGTGTACTCGCCGAATAGACTTCTCACAGCCTCTGTTTCATGCCCTTGAACCAACTCATTATTCGATCCCAGACTATGTCCGAGTCACCAACGGCTTCCACGCCAAGAACCAGTGCGACTCACGCATATACGAGTATCTCTTGCCTACATATGTCCTCGAGTCGCCCGAGCCCCGATTGTACCCCAACTCCACTATCGCCCGCAAGAGTGGAATCCTCGAGGAAACAAAAGCGCCACGAGACGATCAAGGCTTCATCGTCTTTGGCTCCGGCTCTGGCTCCGGTTCCGAAAATACTTGGGATCCAGCAGAGGCAAAGCGCTACCGTGTCCCCCGAGACAAGCTCGAGCGACTTGCGCTGATCCTACAGCAGTACAAGGGAACCAACAACTACCACAACTTCACGGTTGGCAAGCGCTTCAGCGAAAAGAGCGCCACTCGGTACATCATCTCGTTTGAAGTAAGCGGCGGTAGCGAGACACAAGCACGAGCGAGTCTAATTCTGAAACAATTGAATGTGTGCATTGACTAACTGCCTCAACGCCTTGACATCCGATTCCCGCGCTGCATACTGCATACTGCATACTGCACACTGCACCAGGCTGGGACGCCCTTTGTCGAGGGGGATCTCGAGTGGGTCAGCCTGAAGGTTCATGGCCAGGCGTTTATGATCCACCAGATCCGAAAAATGGTCGGCAAGTATCCTTTGGGGACTCCGTTGATCAGCAAAGCATCTGTGTGCACCCGGTGGCAAGATTGCTGACACACATGGGGTGCATTGGCACGGCCAATCGAAATTGTGTTGCTTGCAGGTCTTGCTGTCATGATGGTGCGCACCGAGACCCCGATCTCGCTTATGACCGAGACGTTCACGAATGTCAAGATCAACATCCCGAAAGTTCCCGGTCTTGGCCTTCTCCTTGAACAGGTCGGCTAGAATACCGGCATGCTCGCAGAATCAGGCGCCGTGGCTAGCCCTCATAGATACGGCGTACCAGTGCCCGCGTTTATCGCATTCGTTGACTTTGTTTCTCGCACCCATGCTGCAGACCATCTTCAAGGCCTACAATGACAAGATCGCGAGCAAGGAGGAGCGGCCACCAGTGGCATTCACTCCTTATCAGGTATGAACATTGAGCGCTTTCCAGCCGCTGGCTTAAAGCCTTTCTATGAATCCAGCATGAATGCGGCTCGTGGTTGCCCGCCTCTGTTCAATACTGCCCTCCCGTCGAGACTCCCATCAAAGGGCGCAGCGGCTAACACGGACAGTGTTGGATGTGGATGCACTATCTTGGGTATTCAGGAGTCGATTGACAAGTTCAAGCGAGAGTGGATCTACTCCAAGATCGTCGAGGAAGAGCTTGCCGAGTCAACGTAAGTGCTCTGGGCTATGACCACACGAATCAAGACTGTCACTGAACCCGGAATATCGTTATGCAGAGGTGCTGGATAACTCAATCCCATGTTCCTCGCCTCGCTCGCACCTTCATCATTACAGGTTCCATCAGTGGCTCGATGTTATCGACTCCCACTCTGGCGAGTACTCGTGGTGGCTGAGGGCCGATGGCAAGATCAACTTGGACGAAAAGCCTGCATTTTCCAATGCCAACGGCAAGGGCAACCCCAACGCTGGTGCTGCTGATTCGGACGAGGAGGGCGGTCAGGACGATTAGCGATTGCCTCAAGCCTCGCTCCCCGACCGAGGATAGAGCTCTGCGAGTCGTGCAAAATGCAGTGCCACACCTTGTTTGAACGACTGGTGGTGTGGCCTGGATCGGGCTTGGACACGCATCCACACGTCCACACTCTGGTGGAGTGGACGATTGCTGGTTGAACTCCGACAGCTGGCTCGCATCCCACCCAAATCTCGACGGCGATGGCCGTCATACGACCGAATACACCAGTAACATCCACTATACAATTGGGGGGGGGATAGCATCGCCCGCCATCGGGCAATGGGATGCACCTTTGGCGAGTACCGACAGCTGTCCAAGATGAACGTGTTCGGAGACCATAGTGGAGTGAGGTGGCCAGGGTGGCCAGCAGATATTCATTCGTTTACCGCCATCAACGACAACAACAACAGCAACGACAGCGACAGCTCATCCCTGCTCGGCCTCTACGGGGAGTTGTGGATCAGGCCATGGGCTCGTAATCGGCTGGCGTATTCCTCGATTCGCCGCTCCTTCAACACAAGCAGCTGCTCGAGCTTGGTGACCTTCAACTGGAGGACCTACAAACGTTTGGTTAAAACACGAGGAGTCGGCCGATATTGGACCTGGTGAGCCAAGAGCATTTCGGAGAGCACTGCCTCAGGCTGCGGATACCACCTGCGACGCACCTGGATGGTTTCTTGTAACTCGATGATGATCTGGTCCTTGTTCATGCCACCGAGTGATGGCCCTCCGGCGCCACTGGACGAAATTGGCGGTTTGGGTGACTGACCTGGACGATTCGGAGTTGGCAGTCAGTAGGAGACAGCAAGTGTGTATGCAATCCGCCGGGACTGCTTTGCCACCACCAAGGACAGTGTCGTCGTCGGTGGTCGCAAAGTCGTGCGAGCCCATACCGCTGACAGCGGCTGACCCTGCAAGGCCGCTGACTGAGGGGCCGAGTTTCGATCCGCCATCAGCAGCCGCAACCGGCGATGGCGATGCCAGGGCAGCACCAGTCCCTTCGTTTGAGTCTCCAGGTCGCCGAGCGACGACAGAGTCCCGCTTGCGAGGCTGAACCGGATTCCCATACTGATCCACCATTGGCGATGATCCGGAGCCCTGCAGAGCCTGAGGCAGGGCCGGTATCGGCTTGGACCTGGTTGCCAGGTATATTTCAAGCTGTGGCAGCGAAGCCCAAACACTGCCGTATCAGCTATGTTGTAAGCAGTGCCTTCATTTGATTGAGATGACTGCATGTACAATGTGCGCTCATTCGGCATATGCCCCACCTTCTGCCGCAGCTCCCAGAGGAGATACTCGACATAGCCCGGCTTATTCGAGACAATGCAGTTGATGACTTCGTCGGACGCACAGTATCCGAGCTTTCGGAAAACCTTCTCTGCCCATCCAAACCGTTGTCGGAAGCAAGCCAAAGTCAGGTTGGAGCGCTGGGCACCTTGATTGACATGCCATCTTTCCCATGGCTGCAGCACGGGCAGCACCGCCAAAAGCATACAAGGACACGGGAACATATTCGGGTATCCTCGCGACCGACTCACGATTCAGCGTATTCCAATTGTAGAGCTTCTGTGAGACCGAGTTTGCTGGCGGATAGTTGTGCAAGTCCACGAGCTTACTGGCAAAGTGTCTGACCACCTCTGCAGCAGCCACTGATCGACATAACGATGCGTGAATACCCAAACTCGCGCCGTTGGATACCGCAGAATAGATCCACAGCACTTGAATGCCGATCGAACGAGCCGAAATGACAAAGCGGCTGCATGCAGTCATGGAATTCGCGTCGATCGCGCCGGTCAGAGGACAATGCGGACGATTGACACGTTCGGAAGTGCTCCCCACCTCCGTCGCTGAAATCCCGGGTGATGTTCTTTTTGGGCCGCGAGAGCGGGATCTCGTCGATCCAGGCGTAGAGGTTCTGAATTTCATCCTCGGTCAGCTCACGCATTGTCCCGGATACTGTTGGCAATTCATCGGGCATGATGGGATGTGGAGTAGCGAATCTGTGATGGACTAAGAACGCGAACTGCGACCAAGTGCCCGAAGGAGAGGATGTATCGAAAGCTTCAGGGCGGCGAGATGATTCCGGGAAGATCACCGCCCAGAGTGATGGTCATTGTCCAAATTGTGACTCCTGTCGATCCGCCGACCGAGTCGCTTGACACACACTGTTCTGCTGGGCTGTCCGAGACCAGGAAGCACAGTGAATCGAGCGCGGGCGAATCGATTCTGGCTCCAGAGGGCCAACACATGCGCTACCGGAAGCACTGACGAGCCGGTCGGTCGACATTCTCGGTCGTTATGGGACAGCGAGACTGTATTTATGGAGCAGTGCAATGCCAGATACAGTGCCGATGTCGGAGGTGGCACTCGGGTATGGCTCAGGAATCAGGGCCACCTGCCGAGTTCCCGGAGGCTACGGATGCCATTTTGGTTTCCCTGGTCAGCGGACTTGCGGAACCAGAAGACGGCAATGTCGATATCACTTTCAACACCCCAGCCATTCTGGTAGCAGTTGCCGAGCCAGTTCTGTCCGTACTTGATTGCCCTGCTCGGCTGATTTTTGGAACCACTCGGCTGCCTTGATGTAGTCTTGGGTAGTCCCGCGGCCGTTATAATAGCTCACACCGACCATCAGCTGCCCGTACGGGTTGCCTTGGTGTGCCGACTTGCCGAGCCACTCGAATGCTTTCTCGTTGTCGGTCAATACCCCACAGCCACACAAGTAGCACACTCCGACCCAGAACTGGCTGTCGCTGTGGCCTTCGTTTGCAAGCTGCTCAAATATACCGACCGCCTCCTTTCGATTCTCTGTGGTTCCGAATCCAAGGAACTGACACACAATCATGAGATGATTGCAAAGCCAGTCTCGATTCGATCCCAACCGACACAGCTCGAAGAGCTTGCGGGAGGCAGCAGAGCCGGACTTGATGTTGCTCCAACAGGCTCGCAGGCACTCGTTCTCGCCGAGCTTGAACTCAATCGACTTGCTCTCTCGGATGGCTTTGACTCCTCTCTGCCTGTCCTGTTGGGTACCACGGCCGAGGTAATACATCCACCCAACCATATGGGTGGCGATGGGCTTGATGACTGGATCGGCGGACTTGCTGCTGACCTCGTGCCAGTGGCTCAAGGCATCAACGTCGCTCTGCTCGACTCCGTGGCCGATGAATGAGAACCATCCGCGGAGGAATATGATATGAAGACGGCCATCTTCATGTCCTTGTTCGGCGGCCTTGGAATACCACTCGATGGCAGTCTCGTAGCTTTGTTCGACACATCCGCCATTCTCATAGCATCGACCAATCGCGACTTGGGCTTGAGGGATCCCGTCGTCTGCAAGTCTGCGATACAGTTCGGATGCCTTGGCATGGTCTTGGCCGACTCCAACCCCATCGAGATAGCACTCAGCCAGATGGAGCTGGGCCATTGCGTGTTTTATGTTGGCGGCGGTGGAGAGGTGGTGGAAGATTTCTTGTTGCATTGCCTTCCGTTTGTACCAACTCATTGACCGCTGACGAGCGACATCGGCCTGGAGGATCCGGGCCAGGAGATACGATGCGGCCGCATTACCCTTCCCGGCTTGAATATTAAGCCAGGATCGGCTGGCTGTGTCGCGCTCATCACAGTGCAGCGAGAGGGCAATCTTATCGCTGGGTGTGAGGCCGATTCGCAGGTGTCCATCCGGATGACACAGCTCTGCTCCCTGGCACCAGTTGAGGAAGCGAGGCACCTTAGAGCTCAAGATAGGACGGGCTCGTTTGCACACTCGAAGCAGGGTCCTAATTGTCGAAAAATCGAGGGCAAGCTGGAAGGCGTCGTCGAAGCAAACGATGGTGAAGATGTCGGGGTTGTGTCCGAGCGAGAGCTGGGTGATATCGGGCGTCGACGAGGCTGTTCTGGCTTCGATACTCTCGCTCAATGCGGCGAGTGGCTCGACCTGGGAGCGGTGAGCTGATGCCGCATTTGAAGCAGGCTCATCCAGGCTGGCCATGCTGACGGGGCAGGAGAGAGGCAAGTGGGTGATGGCGATGGACAGGAGGCAGCGAGGCAGGATGCAAACCAAATCCCAGCACGCCAAACCAAAGCATGCGGACGCCAAGGGTCACACCATGTGCCCTGAAGCGCGACATACGAGCGCAGCCAGCCGCAGCCAGCAACCGCCCGTCCCACCAGAGTGTGGATATGCAGATGTATCCAGGCCCGATTCAGCCCAATACAGGCCCTGTCCACACCACTGGCCGTTTGAATAAAGTGGGACACTACTTTTTTGCGCGTCCGCAAGTTTCTTCGCTCACTTCCCGACCGAGGGGTTCAAGATTCTCGCCCCGGATCAAATCATATCGGCGACAATGTGGTCGATAACGGCCAACCCTCTTGCCGTTGGTCTCAGTTTGCGTCCGTCTTGGCTCCACATGATCAGCCCGAGTTCAATGAAGTGATCCAATGCTTCCCCATCCAGGAACTGATTGTTGTTTTAAGACATGTTAGTGGCTGCCCCACATCAAGTGAAGCTTGTGCTGTGGCTTCATGTGAATTAGTGCATCCCAACAGCCGTCGAACGGTCCTTTCACCTGGTGCAGTGGTACTCCTTTCGAGAAACGTTCAAATGTATCGCACGATACACCTTCGTAGGTCCGCAGGCCAAACACAACAATCTCCTGAGATGTGTGAGGATGGACGCATTGGTGGAAGCCATGAGCCACTTCGAGTCGCATCAAGTTGCCGACATTCTGTCCACCTTTTGCCCGTGTGTCGGCGAGCTCGTACAGCAAATTGCCAAGGCGCAGTCTCATGGCAGCCATCCATACAGACTGGTTGCCAACATGCACTTACCTTCATGGCGTCCTCCTCGGATATTCTTGTGATTCTGCGTACACTGATGAATCGGCGGCACGGTGATGAGACGATGGGCACTAGACCTCCCTTCAGCTTGGAGATGCTCCGAGCCTGTTCATTCCTCGATGCAATCTACCCACCCGTGCCCATGTGATTCACACTGCTTCATCCAAGCGTTCGGGCTCTGCACACAAAAGGTTCGGTATCGCTCGGGAGACTTCCAGGAGTGTCGCCGGCCGTGAGCACCTGGCCCGACACCAATGTACTCGTGGCCCTCCCAGTATGCTGTGTTGTGGCGGCTCTTTCGTGGCGGAGCGAATCGGGTATTGTAGAAAGACGACACTTCGTATTGTTGGAAGCCGCACTGTGCAGCTGTCTCTCGGGTGGCTTCGTAAAAATCTGCGAGCACATCGCTGTCGTATTCGGCCACTTGTTTCTGGGCGACCCACTTGTGCAGCGGAGTGCCTCTTTCGACCTGCAGCTGGTACAGACTCATGTGGGCACTATTCATCGAGGCGATGATCTGCAGAGCCGAGCGGACAGAGGCTGAGCACCACAAGGGTCGGGATCGTGCGAGCTGGACAAGTACTGTGCTTGCGATATTCCCCCGAAGCAATAGTGCTTGCGCCCCAGCCGACGGCGATTGCACCACAACCTTACCTGCAGTTCTTTCCTCCACTCGTCCACCGTCTGCCCCGGACGACCCCAGATCATGTCGAGCGAAACATTGTCAAATATTCGCATCGCCATCTCGGCCGATCTGAGCCCGTCGGCGGCGCTGTGGTCACGTCCAAAAAATGCCAGATCCTGGTCGTTTAGGGACTGCCACCGCAATCAAAGTACCCGCCAACGCATGACGCAGGTCGAAGGTTTGGTGAGTCAGCCTATCCGTCATGGTGCCCCTGTCGCAATCACTAATTGCTGTTGATCACAGCGGCGATATCGTGTCGCCCGCCTCGCTCACCTGCAGCCCCAGCGACAGCCGATTGACTCCTGCTTGCTTGAAGGCGGAGAGCTTGTCCAAGCTCATCGACTGCGTCCAGCGAAGGGAACGACGACGTTAAGTATCTTCGGTATTGCGGTCGCTGGGCAGATCTGACAGCCGAGGGCTTCTTGCGGCTATTGAGACTGCAACGCACCGTTGGATTCGCCTCCAGCGATATCTCGACATGAGGATCGACGCTGCATGACTGAGAGATCATCTCGCAAATCGACTCGACGGTTGATGGCTATGGTTCCAAACCGGAGACAAAGGACCGGCCGTGCAAGTCAGAGTCTGATCCGTCGAACAACGATAGTCAACCATAATCAAGCAACGAGAATGATGAGGCTACCATGCAGCTCCGATTATCGTAGGGTCACTTTGGGGTCGCCCGACTGGCATTGGCTCAATCGATTATGCTGGCTGCATTGCGCAATATCTCTCACCAGCATCAGCGACGGTGTGCCGCCTCCAAAGTAGATTGATCGAATGTGCGGTTTGCTCCGAGAGGGCAAATCCTCTGCAGCTGCCTCCGGTTTCGAACCCTGCTCATCCCAGGGAAGCGACCGGCTCTCCTGTCGAACCTGACCTACGGCTTCGCCCAGGTGAGAATAGAGCTGGCTGGGATCTGTCCGGAGAGCATGTGCCAGGTCGATCTCGATGCATTTGAGCATCCGGTCATGGTCCTGGCCACTGGATCCGAGTTGGGAACGATCAGCGGGGAAGCAGGAGCCGACTCGCCCCGGGACAGAGGGTAGCAAGCAACAGAGATCCACCCATCAAGGGCCGTACTTGACTGGGATGTGGTACTTGTTGAAGGAGCAATACGTGCACTTGGCCTCACAGTAGGGCCAGTGGATGTAGATCGATGTGGGAGCCGGGTCGAGTTTTGCAGGCGATGAGGCAGCCGAAATGCACCGTCTCAGTCCAGGCGCGGCCCTGGCGGGATGGGCGAGCAGGCATTTACTGGACGCCGCTCGGGCAGCAGCGACGAGCATAATGATATCAAGGGTGACAGCGTCCGGGAGGCCGAGGCAGAGAGGGTAGATCCAGGTGCAAGGCGGGCTGCTGAACCGCGAGAACCTGGTTCCGCACTTGGCGATTCTTGCCTCCGCACTTTCCATTGCTTCTCTCCTGCACCGCACCCTCGACTTTCATGTCGCTACTCCGCACGGCGATGATTTTCGTTCGCAGACAGCGCAGTGTGCCCCAAGGCATCCATCAATGGGCGTGTCCTGTTACTGAAATATGGAGTGGTCGGTGCGGCTGATAGGGAGGCGGGTGGACATGTGTATTCAGAAACCAGCGAACGCAACCAATGTCCTCGAAATCAGGTGGTCCTGTTTCGGTTTGCGAACGCTGTGAGCCGGAGGGCATCTGCTGTGATCAGGATGCATCAAACAACGACATCGCCGGCGGTGGATGCGACTTTCTTCTGGCTGAGGGTGATCTGCATCGGAATGGAAGTGAGGGGCATCGTAAGTAAGGGAATGTGCATGCGGTACCTGCTGGCTGCTGCCTGGTGGTCGACAAAGGGTGCGCATCCATGGTCGGCCCCCTCCATGCTCGAGAGGCTTACTTTGTCGCCCAGGCTCAGGGCAACGCCCTGGGTCTTGCTTCGGATGCGGATGTGGCCCGAAATGACATTATCTTGCTGTTCCAGGCAGATGTTGGCCAAGGCATCCTCGCCAAAGATGCTGCGGGCATACAGGTTGGCAGCCAAGAAGCCACAGTCACCCGAAAGCGCGTGCTCAGGGGTCAGGCAAGCCATGTTGGTGCTCTTCATGATGTGGTTGAGATACTCGCGCAGGTCGCTGGAGCAAAGTGAAAACAGACATGATCAGCGATGCCGCACCTTCAGAAACACGGACGACGACCACCGCGGCGGCAATACTCACGTAATATTGGTGTTCACCAGGACCTTGTTCTCCCATTCAAATTCGATCCACATCGACCGGAACTGGGTTTCGGTGCAGTAGGCCGGGTTGATGTAGTCCATGATATCGATGTGGATGTCGTTGAGGATGACACAGTGGGTGTCGAGCGCAGAGGAGCCATCGTAGACAATGTTGCCAAAGATCACACCCGTCTCGGTCGATGAAACCTTGATGTTGGCCTTGATGCTGTGGAAGCCGTGGGGAGGAATGGTCTGGGGAGACGGGCGCTCGACCAGCTTGAGGTCGCCCAGGGTGGAGAACTCGAGGGTGAGGTTCTGCAGGGTTTCGCCGGTCTGGTTGACGATCAGGACGTCCAGGAGAATGTCGTACTGATGCACATTCACGTAAGCTTCGGCATAGACGGGATCAGAGAAACCTGGACAAGAGCCGGTGATGTGTGAGCGAGAGTCGCTGTCTGCTGGAGTCACTGCAAATATACATCGTCGTGCACTCACCTGTCAGCTGAACGATGCGGTTGAGCTTGGAGACCAGCGCTTCGTTTCGCTCGGTCTGACCAGTGGCGCGATCCAGATCCAAGTCCTGTCGGTGGAAGGTGCCGGTGCAGAGGAGGGAGTGGCCGTGCCATCACAGGTTTTAGCAACACGGATCGTCTAGGAACAACGCACGGCAGAGTGAAGCAATACAGGAAACAGCCAGCTCATTCACTGAAGCAGTGTAGGGAGGCGGAGCGACGCCAATCGACACCCCGATGTTGCCAATGCGGCCAGCAACGAGCCGCACAAGCAAAGAAACGACAGACAGACACTATTGCTGGATCCGGCGCTGCAGATCAGGATCGCGGAGAGCCACGCACCTCGTCGATGCCATCGCCGCCAGTCTTCTTGGTCTTGAGCAAGCGGAAGGAAATGGCGTCGTCGACATGGACCTTGACGGATTTCTTGGACTTTTTCTTTTCCTCGACGAGTTTCTGTTGGAGTCGCGACCCATCATCGATAATTAGTATCAGTCCTGGCTCCCCTTGCTCGGCATGACCCACTTTGCTGCAACGATGGATCTTCACCTGCTCGGCGTTGATCAACTGGGTAAAAGCCCTGCGACAGTCCTGGAGGAACACGTCCTTCAGGATGCCCTCGCTGCCTGGCGTGGCCGAGAGAACTCGCAGGCAAGAGATGATGCGTTCGTTGGAGTCTTCGTCGATGGGCGAGGACGAAAACTCGGAGCGGCCGACACGGATGATGCTTGTCATGATCAGCATGGCCTGGACACAGTCGCGAGGATTATATGGTGAGCGATCCGATAAATCGCGCCACGCACGACTTGAGCACCTCCATATGATGTCGGCGAAGCAAGCCACGCAAAATCATACTCGGTGGACATGATCCCGCCAACATGCAATGACTCCCGCGCACTTCCATCCGAACAAACCTCGGAACGGAGCGAGTTGGTTTTGAGGAAGTCCTGGCTCAACTCAGCATACCGCAGCACTAGCTTGACAAGCGACGAGGACAGAACAGCGCCAAGGAAATAATCGCCGTTGAGGAGAAGGCCACGCAGCGGCGGCTTCGCTGAGGACTTGCGGGCATCAGCCTTGGACTGAGTGTCTCGGGAGGTGAAGGCACTCTCAGTGGCGTAGGTGCCGTCGGCCAAGACGCGGCGCGAAGCGGCAGGAGCTTGGCTGCTTGGGGTTTCGCCCTTGGCCTCGCCAGAGTCGGCTTCGTCTTCCTCGAGCAAGCGCTAAAGACAGTGGAGGCGTTAGAATGCGCATCCGCTTGCTCCAAGCAGGTCAGTCATGTTAAAACAGAGCACAGTGTGAGGTTGTACCTGTTCCGAGGCAAGGATGGGAAGTTCACCCAGACCGGCACGGATTTGCTCAAAGGCACGATCGATGGCTGCGCAACAAAGCATCTGGACGTCAATCGCTGGGCCATGCGTGCAGTTTGGCGCTTCCGATCAAATGTGCTATCGCCGAACCCGCCTGCAGCATGCGGCATTTAGATGTGCATGGATATACATACCTGGACCATCCAGAGCATATTCACCAATGATCCACAGAGCACCGCGGAAGACTCGGCCGGTCTTCATGTCGGTAAAGCTGTCGAGCAGACGAGTGACGATGCTCTGACGAAGACCTGGGAACTTTTCAATGACCTCTCTGTGGATTGTCATGAGCGCAGAAAGCGTTAGTAGCGCTCAAAGCCCTGAGATGTTTGGAAGTGCAAAGCTGGCAAGCTGGGGTCCATCCTGTCGAGAGAGCAGCGACACTCTCCGCCCGAGAATGGATATCGATAACAGGGAATCCACTCCATCGGCGACACACTCAGACGACACACACAGACGACACACTCAGACGACACACTCAAACACGCAATGGACGCACCTCACAAACGAGATGACATCCACGGCCGAGGAGTTGCTGGTTTCGCCCAGGAACTCCATCAGAACATGCACGACGCTCTCGGCGACCTTGGAAAACTTCATTGCGCACGAGTGCACGGCGTGGATAAGGAGCTGACGGTATTCGTTGTTCTGTTCGAGGACATCAAGACGAGCAGTGAGCCAATTTGGCATTGCGGTGCAACCTTACAAGCCAAGATATGCAGGCTCGGTATCTGTCTGAGACAGAGCAGGACACAATGCCTTCAACCAGCTGCGGCTGAGCCTGGCGCAGTGCACCACAGGATCAAGTCCGTACCTTCTCGTACTCAGCCTCGTGGGTCTTGACAAGCTCCTTCTTCAGGAAGTTGACAATCTCGTCGACGTTGCGACTGGACACCATTTCCATGGTGATCTTGAGGCATTTGCGACGCACGTCAATATCGGGGCTGGACGGCACAGGATACCATTAATCGACGGTGAACTCAAGCGTGGCAGGGTGGAGGATAATCGGGACGAATGTGCAACTGACAGTCAAGTCGCACCTGGAGAGGACGCGCAGAATGTCCATAGCGAGATCATCCAGAACGCTCTCGTGGCGCTCGCGCAGCTCATTCAGGCGGTCGAGAACAATAAGCTTGACGTTGTTATCGGACTCCTTGATGACAAGCTCGATATAGCACGATGCAGCGGCTGTAACAAGCCAGGATCGTTAGTCTGCTGTGTATCGCAACAGCCTCATCATCGATATGATGCACCAGGCCAGCTACCCTCCTCCCCTGTCACAGGCAAGAGTCTTACCCTTCACGGCAGAGGAGTGGGAAGTCAGAACAACCAGGGTCGTGGCGGCCTCGTACTTGACGGTGGGGGCCGACGAGTGCAGCAGCGAAAAGATACACTGGATGTACTTGGCCTGGGTGATGGCGCCATCAGGATATCCGGCAGCACATGAATCGTCAGCAAAGGAAAAGCCCAACAGCGGAGTCAGTCGAAAGTAATCGCCAGAGTCCGTGTTGGTGCGGTTGTCGTGGCTTTGTTGGGGGCTCCGGCTCGTTGGAGGAGCGCCGGCATGGCAAGCCCGACATGTATGAACCGTGGTCGCTTGAACATACGACAGCAATGCGTCTGCATACCTTGTCTGCGTTGGGATTGCGGCAGTCCTTGCGGATAAACTCGATGATCGACAGCTGGAGGAGCTCATCAAAGGTGACGATCTGGGAAAAGACCTGGTTGACATACTGCGCCGCCAGCTGAGGGCGGGTGTTCATCAGCATGACGAATCCGTTGCGGCGGCTGTTCATATCGTTCTCCTATTGAACGGAGAGAGGGCAGATCGAACGGTAAGCATGGCGTTTGAATGAGAAGCCAGTCCATATCTGGATAGATGTGATTGGCGAGGAGAAGATGCACCCACTGCAACGCCTGCCATCCCAGGTATTCTCGATCACACGAGCGCCGCTTCGCCAGCTGGTTGATAGCACTCCGGGGCGGGTCATCGAATTGCGTCTGACGCTGTCCTTACGTTGAGAAGGTAGTTGGAGATGAGGTCGGGGGCGTCCGGGATCAGGAACTCAAAGTTCTTGAAGATGGTGTAAATGGCCAGGATGGCGTTTTTGCGGACGTACGAGTGGCGATGTTCCTGCAGGAGAGTCGTTCGTATGATGGATCAGACGATGGATGCAGAGCCAAGCTGCGCGGAGATCCAGGCGAAGGATGCAGCCACAGCATCCAGAAACAGCAGCCATTGGCGGCACAGAGATCGAGGGCGAAGTGTAGATCCGTGGCCAAGAGGACAGAGGCTTTGCCGGGGAACGCTGCGTACCAGGCACTGGCGGACGGAGGGAATGGTCGGCTCAAGCAGCTCGGGCTCGCGCAGCTTGCACAAGAAGCGCAGGGTGGCACCACGAATGAACTCGTTGGGGTGCTGGAGGTCGTTTCGGAGGGCGTTGCTGAAGGTGGGGAGGGGTGCTGGCTTGTTAGCAGGTCAGAACGGGAGGCCCAGGCGTCCCCGCTCAGCCGAATTGAGTATGCTGGTGCTCGGCATCATCAAAACCATTCCAGCATCAGACATGTGACAGAGTGTGCGTGAGGCAGTCGAGAATGGTGGTGCTGCTTTCCGGGGGCATTGTCGTCGCTCACCAGACCAGGATCATCTCCTGCTTCAGCTTGCCATCTGGGTTGTGCTTGGGACAAATCTCCCAGTAGATCAGCAGCAGCTTCTTCAGCGCCTTGTTGCGCGAGGGCATGATGAATCGGATGACGTGCATCAACAGCGACTGCAGAGGGTCGCCGTTGAGCATGATCATCAGAATCTTCTTCATCGTCTCGATCTTGGCCTCGTCCTTTCCATTCTCCAGAGCGCTTTTCAGATCCTGGACCGAGGGCTGATCTCTGTCGTCTGCATCCGGGCGGGGGGAAGGGAAGAGTTCAGCGAGGCTATTGGGCTTGCCACACTAGATCACACGATACGGACACGCCGGCCGGGCTCTCGAGTTATCGCCCAGCCTCGTTAGCTCCAAGGTTTGGCAGGTGCGGCTGTGGGATAGGATAGACGCATGCTTGTGGGTCTGCAAGTGCATGGGTAAACGGGAGACCAGAGCTAGAAGATAGATTACCGTCTTGCTGTACGACCGTGTAGGAGATATTGTTGTCGGCCATGGCGAACGATTGCACCGGGGGGGGGACAGAGCAGTGCGATGTGTATGCTGGTGTGAAGAGCAGCAACGAGCCAAAGCGGCAAAGATGGCGAAATCTTGGAATCTCCTCTGGCCAGGGCCGGATCGAGCCAGGGCAAGCGCCGGATCGAGCCGAGAGAGCGAGAGCGAGAAGGGTGGAGAGCGAGCCGAGAGCGAGCCGAGAGCGAATCCTCTACAGGCACCATTGTTGCACAGCTCAAACGAGACGAGACACCCAAGCTGTGGAGTACACTGGATTCAGGGGGAAATGGGACACCTGCCCACAACCCATTTGTCGGTGTAGTATGTGATGTGCTTGCGTCTAACTATGCCATAGGAAATAGAACAGATCACTTTGGCAGCCTCCGAGTGAAGACCACCGGTCGCTCTCCGGTCTCCACAATCGACCTGCACACTGGTCTCGGAGTATCAGCGGCGAATGGGCCAACACGACTGGAATGAGGTGGAGATGTGCGTGTATTCAGCTGCCCGCAGAGCGGGGTATCATTTTGGCCAGGAACAAAGTCGTGAGAGTGGTGAGAGAAAGAGATGGGGAAAAGGAAGGAAGACGCAAAGCACAAAACGCAAAGCACAAAACGCAAAACGCAAAAGCAGCAGACTTGGCGGATATGCTTTGGTCTTAGACGGCAAGAGACGGCTTGGCAGGCTCGTTGGTCGTGACCACGGCCTCTGGTTCTTTGGTGGCATCTTTCTTGGGGTGGTGGTACTGCTTGACGCCCAGGGAGAGCAGCAGCGCAACGCCGATGAAGGGAATGACGTACTTGAGCGTGAGAGAGAATGCGCCCACAAAGGCATTAACGGCGATGGTGTGCAGGGCAGGGCTGGACTGGAGAGCAACGATCGCCTGAGGAGAGGCTTCGATCGCGGTGACCAGCTGGGGCGGGAGATTGGTACCCTGGAGCTGCGAAGTAATCTGGTTGTTGAAAATGGCACCAGTGATGGCAAGACCAAAGCAGCTATTGAAGAGGGCAGCGATGAAGCGGGACGGGTGTGGAGCAAAGCGAAGCGACAAGGGTCAGTCTGTGGTTCCCCCGATTGAGACACCCGCCCTCCCAAAAGTCTGCATGGGCGGCATTGCTTCGCCTATGACGATAGCCCAGGCACACTCACCCTCCAAGGGTCTGGCAAAAGTTGACCAGCGAGGTTGCAATCGCAATCAGAGACTTGTTGACGCTGGCCTGGGCTGCGAGGACACGGATCTGGACAACCGAGCCGACGCCCATGCCGGTGATGAGCAGGAAGCCGATAAGGGCGCCGTTCGAGGAGTTTATGTCCAAGAGCGAGCACAAATACGTGCCAACGCCCATGAGGATGAAGCCAATGTAGAAAAAGTAGGTGTAGTAGCCGGTCTTGGAGACGAGGAGACCTGTAGGAAGCACGGAGATATATGGTTTGCATGGTCAGCGGCATGACTTGCAGCTTTGCGGATCATGGATAAGCGTGAAGGAGCATTATCAGACATCAGGGGGCATATGCCGCACGGCAGTATCAGCCAATCAACTTGTCCTTACCACTTCCAATACTACAGACAACGACACCAATGACGAGCGGGAACATGGCAATGCCCGAATCGGTGGCGCTCTTTCCAAGAGCCACCTGGAAAAAGGTTGGCAGGTAGAAGACGAGCGAGATGAAAGAGGCACCAAAGAAGGCAGCAAGGCCATAGATCAGGATGATGCTTCTGTTCACAAAGACCTTGGGAGGGACGACGGGCTCGACGGCAAACTTGACTTCGATGACGACAAAGGCGATGGCCAGGACACCGCCGACGATGAATAGGGCAATGGTCTGGGGGTCGTTCCAGTTCCAGACATTGCCGCCGGACTGAAGCGGCAACAGGATGCAGACGATGGCACCCATGAGCACGATGGAGCCGAGGTAGTCGATTCGCTTGAGCTTCTCGGTGATGGAACCCTTGGTGTGTGGGAAGTTGAGGAAGAGAAGAGCAGCGATGACGGTGATCAGGCCGACGGGCAGGTTGATGTAGAAACACCAGCGCCAGGTGAGGTGGTCGGTGACTGGGATGCGGGAGTGAGACGAGCGACATCATTGGCGGCAGGACCGAGAGGTCAGAGATGAGAGGCAGCAATTGTCAGTATGTGCTATAAAGCGGCATCAGGCGTGCAGACTGGGCTAGGCTGGGCTGCATCGAGTGGCATTGCTCCGTTCCGAGCATTCGACTGGACCCACTGGCCCATCCTTACACATGTACATGCTACTTACAGAGACCGCCAAGCAGAGGACCGATGACAGAAGCGAGGCCAAAGACAGCGCCGATCATGCCTTGGTACTTTCCACGGTCACGGAACTCGACGAGATCCGAGATGATGATCAGGACCAGATTGAAGATACCGCCACCACCAACACCGGCGATGGCGCGACCGACAATCAGCATGTCCAAGGTCTGTTGACAGCGGAAGCCAGGGAGATGTGGAGTGAGTATGGCGGCGACAAGGAGCGCTGGCCGCACCGGGATGTGCAAAGTGCTTGCGACTGCCAGCGCCGGGTCGGGGATAGATCGAGCTTACCGCTGCGGCACCGCAGATGGCGCTTCCAACCTCGAATGTGATGACAGCAAACAAGAAGGTGGAGCGACGGCCGAAGATATCAGAGAGCTTTCCGTATGTGGGCGAGAAGGCGGCCGTGGTGAGGAGGAAGGCCGTTCCGATCCATGGAATGCGCTGGAAGTCCGAGAACTCGGCGGCAATCTTGGGAATGGCTGTGGAGACGATGGTTTGGTCCAGGGCGGCGAGGAAGATGGCCAGGGCAAGGCTGGAGGAGGAGGGGCCGGGCGTACAGGCGGAGCTAATGTCAGTCCATGGTGTCTGTTGCAGTGCGCTGCACTGCACCGTGCATCCAGATGGATGCTGGCGATTGCATGATATGGGCCGTCGACCCGCTCGACTGGCCGGTACTTACCCAACAAAGACCAGGGCGAAGCGGGCGCCCTTCAGCTCGATAACTGGGTGCGCCTCGATTTCGTTTTCCTCGCTGGAGCCGGCCTGGGGCTCCTCGGGCTTGGGCTCGCCAAGGGTCACGACCGACGTTTCGGATGACTCGGGGTTGGCCGTGGTCATTGGGACTGGATGGGTGAGAGGGAATGCAATGCAAACTTGAGGATGCAGTTGGTGGATGGCAAGAGCCGAGGACGATCCTGCGGCGGTCTTGGGGGATTTTATCGTTCGCTCGGTCCTGCTGATCCCACGGACACCCCCGGCTTGGCTCGAAGTGGACACAGAGGACGCGTCGCCAGGCAGCGGGCCAATCGGCGGCGGAGATGCAGCCGCATGTTGAGCAAGCATGAGCCATCAGCACAAAAGCGTCTGTGCTGCTCTTGCTGCTCTTGCTGCCGTTGCATCCACGTTGCTCTTGCTGGCGCCTGTTGTTGCCTGGTCGTGACGCTGCCTGCTCCACCGTAATTGGCTGCCAGAATAAGCAAGGATCCAAGAGTATTTCCGCCACTCTGCAGCAACTCTGTATCGCGGATGTCACCAAGCAAAAGCTCCAGCTGGCGGAATAACCCGGCGGCCAGCGCCCGGAAGACTGAACCCTCTGGTCCCAGCGCGGCCGGCGCGGAGATTGGCTTTGAAATCGACGCTGGGCCTGGTTGTCACGGCTGCGTGGCTGCAAGGGCCTGACGGATCTCTTGGTCCGCGGAGGGAGCCGTTGCGCCAAGCGTCCTGATGCAGATGTTGCTGTGTCGCTTGTCGGCATCTGGACGGGGCAGGGGTCGACCGAGACACAGGGCAGCAACAGCGTCACCACGGAGATCGGTGCCGATGCGTGAGTGCCGAATGCACGGCAGGCGAGGCATCGAGTCTCGATCGATCGATCGGCCGACACGAGACCGACAACGAGGGTGCGGCTGGGGCAGCACCCTGCGTGGTCGGAAGGATCGGTGCTGTGGCAGGCGGGGGTCGCCTGCTGGGGTGTATACTCATGGGGATTGTGCCCAGCATGCAAGGGATCAACACGACCCGTCAGCCAAGTCACCATGACTCGCCAGTGCCAGATCATAGCATGCTATATTGTAACTTTTTTTTTTCAATCCGCGATGCTGCGCCGGCCCCGGGGTTGCCAGAGCATCAGCGAGACCAGCGCATCATTCACAAGGACGCTGCACGGCGGAGGAAGAGAAGAGGTAACGAGCGGGGCATTTGGAGATGGATGAGTATCGAGTGTGTTGGCCCGTATGGTGGGCAAAGAGAGACGGGTTCCTTGTGGATGAATCAATACAGATTGGCGATAAGGGCCAAGCCTGAGAGTGCAGCCATAGCCACGGCACCCATGGGAACGGCGGCTCCAGCATCGCTGGTGGATGAAGAGGTGGGCGAGCTCGACACAGCGGCGCTGGAGGTCAGGGCGGCGCTTGTGCTCAGGGCAGTTCCAGAGGATGGAGCATCACTTCCAGTGGGGACTAGGAACGTAACGGTGGAGTTGCTAGAGGCATGTAGAATGCACAATTAGAGTCGTAAAGCAGGACAGGGACGCTCCTCGGACGCAATCATTAGAGAAGCCGGACGACTGACAATGAGCTGATCGCCAAGATACTTACGCTGGATAGCAGATGCCTCCGGCGTCGACAATCCGGCCCAGAACACACTTGAGCCCGCTATCGCACTGCGGAGGGTTGGCGATGAATCCGCCGCAGTGCTGGCCCACACCGACGGCAAGGACACCCGAAGCTGGCAGAAACGGCAATGGCGTGCAGATGTCAGCGAAAGAGATTATGTGCTGTGGCACTGGCTGCTGGCGGACAGCACGAACAGAGCGAGCGTACCGAGGAAGCCAGCGGCAAGAATAGACTTGATGAGCACCATGATGGACAGACGGAGACAACGGAGCGGGCGAGGACGGCGAGGACGGCGAGGAGATGGGCAGAGCGAGTGGGGAAGGAACGAACGAACGAACGAAGGACGGAAGGAAGGACCAAAGGAAGGAACAGAGCCGCCTGCGAAAGGCCGGAGGCGAGGCAAGAGCGCGGTGCCGCCTCGCGCCTTGTGGCAGGAGGCACCTGTGGCGCAGCCCGCGAGAGCTGAGCGAGACGAGGCGTGTGGGGAAGCACCATCGATGCGGACCTGGAAGAATGACGCTGTCGCTGGGCGGGCGGGAGGCGGCTGGGGGGGGGTGATGTGGAGAGTGGAGAGAGTGATACGGGCTCAGATGCAGGCCGACAACCGAGGTACGGATGCAGACGGGATGGCTGCAGACGGCGGGCGCGAGCGGGACGGTGTTTGGCGAGAGCATCTGGCGAGAGCGTCTCGACCGACGCGGTTGGGGGCACATGAGCCCCTCGACAAGGACTGGGTTCCAGCACCGTCAGATGACTGAAAGCGCAAATGAATGTGGGATCAAATCAAATCGGCTCAAGACCTATATTCGCAGCATGCACTTTCGACTCCAACTCCAACTGCACGTTCGACCCGACTGCGAATTCACTTCGACCCGACTGCGATTGTAATTTCGACTGATTGCGGCTGCGATTGCAGCTCCAAGCTTGTTTCCATGACACTGATTCGATTCCGAGACCTCGCTTCACTTGTGTGGTCCATGGCACGACCGAGGGGATTTTGCGGTGGTTTGGTGGAGGGGGTATCCGATGCTGGAGCCAGCGATTCGCCCAGCCGACGGAGCGAGAAGAGGCTTGCTCCAGCTTCGCGCAGGCAGGCTCGCCGGCTGTGAAGTTAGATGGGGCGACAGACGCCGCCAGCATCGGGGATACGGCCCAGGGCGCATCGGAGACCAGAGTCGCACTGGGCAGCATTGCTGATGTGGCCGCCGCAGTGCTCGCCGACACCGGCAGCAAGGGCGCTTGAGGCAGCTGCGTCAAGCGACGAGGAGATGTTAGCAGGCCAGCAGCAAGCGTGCGCCTGCCATGCGAGCCGGCAGCGACAGCGCAACGATGTGTGCGAGCAGCATCACAGAGGTGCCAACGAGCGCGGGCGGCAGCGACAACGAACCAAGGAGAGCGGCAAGGGCGAGGTACTTGATTGCGTTCATCTCGGCGGCTGGCGGATGGCAGATGCGACGAGGCGGATGCGATGAGGAGACGGGGCGACGAGGCAGATGCGAGGCAGATGCGAGGCGGGTGGGGTATTTGTAGTCCCGCAGCCACCCACCCCCATGCATGTGCATCGCTCCGGCGAGCCAAGCGATGCTCGGTGGCGCACATCGAGGACCAGTCCCGCTGGAGCACCAAACCACTCTGGAAGTGCTTGCGGTCATGTGGCGGCCTCTGCTTGTGCGCTCTCGCCCGGAGCATCTCGGTGCCGTCTCGGCGCTGTCTCGGCACCGTCTCGGCGCTGTCTCGCCGCCCTCGCTCCTCTTTGTGTCATCGGGTTTGTTTGTCTGCCGTCGGTGTTCTTTTGTCTTTTTCAGTCAAGTCATCATCGCCATCTGACTCTGGTCTGCTTCTGACCTGCCTCTGGTCTGACCCTGGCCCCAGCCCAAAGCCCTGTCCTCTGCCGTCTGTCTGCGCTGTGATCGCCGTTGCAGAGCCCCTTCCCCGGTCGGCCCGAATCCGCTCTCCCACTTCCGCGCTGCTCCCCCCCCGCTTGTCTCTCTCTCTGCCATCCGCACCAGCCGCCACGACTCTTGATGCGGCAACACTTCCCGGCCAGCCTGACCGACGGGGAAACGCAGATATAATCGCTGGGCTTTGACCACAGCTCGTCCAAGTTCGTATCCACCCACCGACACCCCGCTGTCTTCTGTATGCGCTCGCCGCTCCCGGCCCCCGGCTCGTTGGCCCTCGGGCAGTCCGGGGCTTGGCTGGCTGTCTGGCTGGCTGGCTGGGCTGCTTCTCGAATGGGCGATCTCTCCCTCGCACGAATCTCGCTTTCGCGGCTCCACGTTGCGCCGGACACCCGTAGTATCGATCTCGGCGGCCTCCTCACCTGTGTTCCTTACCTGTGTTTCTCTCTTGCACCTCTCTTGCACCTATTTGCACCTCTCTTGCACTTCGTCCTTCCTTCCAACCGCTCTGCAGCAACTTTGCCCTCGATCCCTGTTCGTCTCCAACCGTTTCTCCAGCCGCCATACTATGAGCGTTCCTACCGGCAACAGCGGCGAGATGAGTCCGCCCATCTCCGTGCCGCCATTCTTCCACCAGTGCGACACCAGCGACGTCCTGTCACTTGTCGTCGGAATGATGAATCGGCTCATAGCCCACAACGACGGAATACCGCTAACACACGACAACCTCACCCGATTCCACTCGCGGGCTGCTCCCAGGTGAGTGCTTGCCCCCCCCCTCCTTCCTCTTCGAGCACAACGTTGCTGTCAAGGCACATCTATCCAAAGTCTTGCATTTCTTTGCGACCACTGCAGCTGAATCTCTGGTCGTCTTGGCCAGCCAAGCTCCGTCTCCGGAACCACAACTCTGTTGGGTCTCCTGTCACTCATTGCCTTTCGTCCTTTCTTGCCTCGGATTCTGACAGCATATCCGTGCTCGACTACTTGCAACGAATTGTCCGATACGCCTCGATCGAAAAATCCGTGCTGCTGCTGCTACTGATCTATATCGACCGCATCTGCGAGATCCATCCATCTTTCACCATCTCGAGTCTGACATCACATCGGTACGGCGCCCGTGTGCCTGTCGCCGACGAGGAGCGCCATGTTGGCTGGATCGACTTTGGGCTGTCTTTCACAATCGTGATGGTTACCGAGCTCTCTGGGTTGTCGACATCCTCCTTCAGGCCGAGGCGTGGCAAGGTCCTGCTGCTCACCGTCCATGCATCCTTGGTCTCGCAGGTTTCTCATCTCGGCCATCACCGCCGGCAGCAAGGCGCTATCGGACATATACTGCACCAACACGCACTTTGCCAGGGTCGGCGGAGTTTCTGTTCAAGAACTCAATCTGCTGGAGCTCGAGGTGCGTGGTGCTCGCTCGCCCAAGCCTTGCGCTGTCCAAATGTGATCCTGTGCCTCTTCGAGTTGTCCTCGTTGGCTAATCTGGCTCGCTGCCGCATCCTTTCGGTGTGGGCAACTCTACTGCTCGGTTTCAACCATCCCTGCGCGGACTTGCGGCTTCGACTGGTCCAGTTTTGCCAGATGATCAACTGGCGCCTCTCGTGCTCGGTCGAACTGCTGCAGCAATACTACATCAACCTTGTGCGGACAAACCCCAACTTCACGCTGGCCACGGTCACTTACGACATGTCTCCGGCTGAACAGCTCTCGTCCTCTGTCTCGAGTCAGGACTCGCGGGAGCCACACTCGACCACTCCCGACCCTGCCTTCTCGCCCTCCCGAAACGCCACATCGGTGAATCCCAGTGTTCCCACCAGCACCATCGGCGGCTCGGGCAACTCGCGCAAGTCGACCCACTCTAATTTATCACACATCACCACGTCCTCGTCATACACGAATGGCTCGACGCACTCCAGCATGTCTGGTTACAGCGCCGAGTCCGAATCGGCCAATTCGGTATAATCGCTCGGTTGATCTCGCCTATGTCGCTACCTTTGCGATGGCCCCCGTCTCGCAAGGCTTCCCAATCTGCTGCCCTGATCCCATCCTCCCAACCCCGCTCCTCGTTGCTCCGTCTTGGTCCATGGCTTGCCTATGGACAAAACCAAGCCGTCTCCTTTGCCCATGTCCCATGCCCATGCCCGAGCTTCGCGTGAAATGCACCGCTCCTTGCCGCAGCCCATGTCGATTCTCGCACTCGGGTTCCTTGACCACCCACTGATCGCCCCATGCACCGGCCCTCCGCTTCCTGGCCACGTTCTGCCCAACCCCGCTCCTCGCCCACTAATATATCCTACAGCCATGGCGCTCTCTGATGCGTCGCCGTGAATCTGAGGACAACCACAACACCATCCACTGCCCATTCATCCACCCATCCGTTCATCCTTCCTTCCATCTCTCCGTCCTTCCGTCCGTCCACTCAGCCAACCCACCCTCCACTCCTGGCTGACCCCTCCCCTCCCCTCGATATCTCGCATGTTGGCAGCACCGGTGCTGTTTGCAAGTTGTCCTCGAAGCCACGGTGGCGACGCACTGAGACCTGGAGCTGTGCGAGCGAGCAACCGCACAATTCAAATGCTGCGACGACTGTGGGCTCGGTTGGGATAAATGGAACTGCTGCCCTCCAGAGAAGGTTGTCGCGGGTGTGTCCATGAGGATGTCCCCGAGCTGTTCCCCACAGCTCGAACGAGGCTACACCTGTTGCCCGTTTATTATTCGGCAAGGTGTCCCGGCCGAATGCCCGAGTATTGGACGAGCGAGCGATTTCCGCATATTCGCTCGTATAATCAATTTTATTTGAATACAGCTTGTATCAATACGCTTACATGCACAACAGTGCTTCTAGGCCATGTTGCAGCATACGGAGGAATCACCGGGACTGGAGACTTCAGGGGTCGGGGTCGGGGGTCGGGGTCAGGGGGCGAGACAAGCGGACAGCTCGGGATGCGACAATTAGAGCTCGCAGTAGAGCACCTGTTCGCGTCCCAGGCTCACGGCATCCATAATGGATCCCATGCCGCCAGTGATCGACAAGACAGTGCTGGTTCCGGAGAATGACAGGTTCTCTGTCGACAGGATTTCGGAGAGCAGGTGGAGCAGAGTGATGTTAGTAGTTGCGCCAGGACTGTGGGATCGGGCCTGTCGAGTGGAGCAGCTGCAGCGGCCGAGCGGCTCCAGCATCCAAAAACAGAAACTCTCATGCGAAACTGGTTGAGCCCTGCGCGCTCGCAACATACCCTGCTTTCCGCCCGTGCGGTTGGCAAAGACCACGATCACGGTTTTGTCAGGAACCTCTCTGGTGCTGTCGATCACGGGTCGGAGTCGTTGTCCCCAAGCCTTGACGGTTCCGAAGGACGGATCTTCTTCTTCGAGACCTTCGTCCAGCTCTGTACGGGTCCACGCCATCGGGCAGAGAATCAGCTGCGAGCCGGAATCCGCCTGGAAGCGTGTAAAATCGCACATCCACCGGTTGGCCTCGAGCTGGTGCGTGCTCAGGTCCAGGGAGATTCCAAAGCCAACCTGAGGGAAATTCAAGGACGAGGGGGATGTCCCGTGTTCGAATCGAGATATTTGTTAGAACGCTGGAGCGCGGGGTTAGGTTCGCTTCATGTGTTGCCATGAATGTCGGGGCGCATTTCGCCATTTGCATTCGTTCTTATAGTCCGCCACCGAACGCACACCAGGGCGCTGCCGATACTCACCCTGCCAAGCGACGGGACATCGAGGTACTTGAAGCCATCGCCTTGGTCGGCCCAGCCCTCGTCATTCTTGGAGAGAAGGTGCCTGTGGTAGGTAAACAAGAGCTCGCCGGTCGGGCCGACAAAGCAGGCGGCGTTGTAGAACTTTTCCTTGCCATCCTCCACTGCCAAGTTGTCGAGGGGGGATAGGGAAACGAGAGATAGGGGGTGGCAAGCAAAGAGCGTCGGTAAGCAAAAGAGCGTCGGTAAGCAAAGCGGTGTATGCACGCGAGGGGTGTTAGCACGCGAAGGGCGTTAGCACGCGAGGGGTATGAACGAAAGGGGGTCCCGTGCAAGACATTTCCCCCCCTCCTGCCTGCACTCTGCTTTTGGCAGCAACACTGCCGTCTGAGCCGGCTGCAGCGATGGGTTTTATTAGGCTGCTCGAAACCGCCTGGCGCCTCTGGATACGCACCGACAATTCGTGGGTAGCCAACCAGGACAAAAGTCTTGAGTCTGATAGCTGTTAGCAAGGGGTAAGTGGGCAACAAGGGAGACATCAGCAACCTGCGCGGCATCGATATAAAGAAAAGCACACCAAGAACCATGTGATGGCACAAGCACTTGACAGACGGCGAAGACACTCGAGCTCGAGGACGTCTGGTGACTATTGGACAGCAAGCTAGCTCCCCCCCCCCTGTGCCGACTGAGCTGGTCGGGGCAGGCAGGCAGGGAAACAGGGCAGGGCAGGACCGAGCGAGCTGCCAGCAGTCAAACTTACCCTGAGCCTTGGCCCACTGGACGGTCTCACCGGTTTCTCCGTCTTCTGCAAACGGGCGGATTTGTTCACGGTCTTTGAAGGTGTATCCGGTGAACCCCAACTCGGGCAGCACGAGCACATCGAGTTTATCATCTTCGCTGAGGTGGGCCAGCATCTGCGTGGCCTTGGCCATGTTTTGCTTGGGCTGACCGTGCTTGGGGTCGAACTGGAGACAGGAGACCTTCATCGGGACTGGGCTGTGAGGGGGGGGAGGAGCGACTGCTGTGGGGAGAGGATTTGGGAGGCAGACAGAGATCTGAGGGCTCAGGGGCAAGTGGTCGACGGGCAGTTGGGACCGAGACCAAGGGAAAGGACAGGGGGGAACGAGTCGCGAGCCAGTCAAGGCATGACAAGCCAGCCACCAAGCCGACCGAGAACGCACCGAGAGCGCACCGAGAGCGCGCCGAGAGCCACACTCCCGCGCTCTCGCTCCTCGCACTTATTTTTTCGATCGAGATTTTCGGCCATCGGTTTGCTCGCCTTTGCCTGTCTCCTCAGCCACAGCCAGCTCACCATCACCCACGGGCACGGGGCTCGTCCGCACCGCCGGCGCAATCCAAACCGCACCTCTCGCTCTGCACCGATCGTGTCGATCCTCCCCGTCTCTGGCACCTCTCTCGCTGCTGCATATCCAGGCCGTCAATGAAGGTTCGCCTTGGCTTGTGCAGTGACTGCAGGACTTGGCTGCTGGCTGGGTCGACCAGCCGTCTACTTGCTCCATCGGCGTGGCCGACAGCCGGACTTTTGCCTGGCCTGGAGATCGAGGCGGTGCCCGTTGCAAGCTTGCCCCGTTTGGTGTGCTAACGTTCGCTGTGGGGCGCTCGATCGGCCCGCTCCAACCCGCTGCCGTGCAGTTCGGAAAGTACATCCAGTCACAACAGTCAGAGTGGGGCGGCCCACACTACCTGAACTACAAGGCCCTCAAGAAGATCATTCCCGATGTCGATGAGTCGACCGAGCCCCACTTCACAACCTTGGCGGCATCGAATCCGCCGGGCACGGCACTTGCCCATCCCGACAATGAGCTGCAGGCCCTGAAGACACACTTTTTCTTCAAGCTCGAGCGAGAGCTCGAGAAGGTCGGCGAGCGTGTGTCCTTGCATGGGGTGCTCGGTGTGCGGCCCGCACGGATGCCCGGCTGGTAGTCGTAGCCGCTGCGATAGTGCTGCGATAGTGCAAGCGAGGCAGGAGAAGGCAGCATATGCGCGGGTCGTCACTGGACAGAGTTCAGTTGTTGTTCCCCCAGAAACCAGCGTCAGGCCGACTGACATCTGCCGATGGACACCACTGTTGGACAGGTCAACACCTTTTACCTGCAAAAGGAACGTGAGTTCAAGGTGCGGCTGAGAACCCTCGTCGAGAAGAAGCGGATCTTGGTCGAACGCAAGGGCCAGCCGAGCCAGGGCCTCGTCGACGGTCTGCGCGAGGCCTTCTTTCAGTTCCAGCACGACCTGACCAAGCTGCAGGTGAGGAAGCCGAAAGGCATGTGTGACTGCGGAATAGCCAGACGTCGCAGGGCGCCATGGCGCCTCGTTGGGCAGCGTCCGTGCTATCGGCGCAAAGCGCCGCCGGTGCGCTTCCTGCCGTGGTGTCTCGCAGTGGGGTCTTGCCGTGTGATGTTTGGCTGCCTGGCCTCCTCCGTCGAATCATGGCCTGCATTATGCTCGGCGGTACTTTGTCGTTGTTGGTTTGAAGCCCTTTGAGCTGCCCTGCTGCCTCGCTGCGCTCTAATCCAGCTCTGGACATACTAGAAATTCGTCGAGATCAATGCCACGGGCTTCCGGAAGATCCTGAAGAAGTTTGACAAGCGAGCAAAGTCAACAACCAAGGAACTGTATCTCTCGCGGCAGGTCGAGATCCAGCCATGCTTCAACAACGAGGTCCTGACAGAACTCTCGGATATTGCCACGGCCAACATTGCGGACCTGGATGCCATCACGGCCAGTGCCTCCGAGTCCGAAATTGCGACGCAGAATCCCCTGAAGAAGTATCCTGGCGAGACAGTCGTGCATGAGGACCTCGAGACCGAGTTTTCCAAGCTTGTTCTGAACGGGCGCACCGCCGAGGTACAAGAGTTCCTCGAGAAGCGCAAGAGCAACCCTGTGTTGCTGGAAGACACCCAGTTCCTCTCGCGTGTCTTCCTTGCCGTGTGCGCCGACGCCTCGATGGAGTGCTCCGATCTCTTGCTGGCGACGACGGAGGTCGACTGCAACCTCACCGACGATATCAGCGACCAGACCTCCCTCCATGAGTCTGCCTCGAGTGGCCGCCTGGACTTGCTCAAGCTCGTCACCACAAAATATGAAGGCAACATCAACGCCAAGGACGTCTATGGCCGCAAGCCCCTGCACTATGCTGCCATGCATGGCCACGAAGCATGCGCCCTGTTTCTGCTCGAATCAGGCACCAATGTCGATTCGCTCGACCACGACGGATGGACGCCGCTCATCCACGCCATTGCCGGTGGCCACACCAAGTCTGCTCAGATTCTGATCGACCACGATGCCACTATCGAGGCCAAGTCGGCGACATCGCCGATCCCGCTATCACTGGCGTGCGAGTATGGCCATAAGGACATTGTGGCACTGCTGCTTGCCAGGGGAGCGACGCTGTTGCCTAACGCCAATGGCCTCTCGCCTCTGCACCTGACCTCGCGCGAGGGCTTCCACGAGATCTCGGCTCTGCTCATCGCCCACGGCGCCGATGTCGAGGCTCGGGATGTCTTCAACGGCTGGACACCTGTCTTTTTCTCGGCGAGCGAGGGCCACCTCGATTGCGTCCGTGTGCTACTCGAGGCTGGCGCCAAGGTCAACGTTAAGGACGAGAACGACTGGCTTCCGTGGACGTTTGCGCTGCATCGGGGCCACATTAAGGTTGCCCAGCTGCTCGAGGTGCAAGCCTCGCAAACCGAAGCTGCAGAGCCCGTCAGCGCCACCCAGAGCAAGAAGATGCTTCCACCCGGTAGCACCAAGATGGTAGGCATCGGCAGCAAGACTCCCGGAAGCGGCTTCATCAACAAGGAACTGACGATGGACATTGAGATGGAAGACATCCCTGCGCTGTCTCTGCCTCCGCCTATCATCCCGTTCAGGATCTAGTACGTACCCATCTGCACTGCACACTTTCATGGCGGGGGGGGGTGTCTGCGCGCCAGTTTGTCTCTCGTGTTTCACAAGGGACATTTTTGTGGCAACGGCATCTTGGCTGTGGCTGCCGGCTTCGCTCGGCCAACTTGCTGCGGACTGACAGCTCGTTCCTCTCACATGGCCGCACCTGGGCTCTACAGCGGACATAATTACCTGGACAAAAAGTACCACCTGCGCATTCATTTTAAGAGCTTCTTGTCCAAGGGCAGCGGTGGCTCGCCGATCAATCTCTTTGGCTCCCGACAGCTCAGCTCGCTGAGAATGATGATCACAAGCAAGCCTGAGTGCTCGATCCCGTACAGCGTGATTCTCCCGCTCAAGGACGAGACCGAGAACTATTCGTTCATGGTCGATGACCTGTCCTCCTTCTCGCTCCAGTTCGATATCTTCCCAACCTTTGGCACCAAAGTTGTGGGACGAGCTGTGGCGCTCCCAAGCCAGCTTGAGCTCGCCATGCGACAGAGCGTGCACAACGGCAGCGAGTACCAGAAGTGCATTTGCCCGCTGTTTGATACGCATCTGCGTGTCGTGGGCGAGCTTGCCTTTGAGTTTGCTGTCGTCGGCGCATTCAGCCATCCGAGTCTGCAGATCGGCGGCAAAGTTGAAACCTACTGGAAGAGTACCAAGGTACGTATTGCAAGGGGGGGGGTACAGGGGATCTGCTGCACGAACAATTTTGGTTGTAGCTGCAGCATCCCGGTTCGGTAAATGAGTTTCTTTGTGGGCTTAATGATGGCCTTGCAGAAATCGCGCTGGGGATCCATTGATAAAGCGGATGCCTGGCGCTCTCTCGTTCCGGGACACACATATGCTGCTGATCCGAGCCGAGGCCGTTACCTCTACGAGCCGCTTGAGCCCGCACTGACTTTGCCTTGATTGCCTCGCCTTGCCTTGTCTTTCCTTGGCCTGTCTCACCAGGTCGTCAACAACACAAAATCCGAGTCAGGCATCCAGTCGTTCATTACGGCCTCGTCGCTGGCAGAGGAGTACGTTCAGCTCACGGTGCAGATCACCAAGGACCTGATCCCGGTCGTCTATCCGACGTGGTTCCTTCCCTCGCCTTCGGAAGACTATCTCCTTGCCATTTCGAATGTCACTTACGCCAAGGCCCAGCGGATCTTCCGCCAGTTTTCGGGCACGTCTGCCGCCGCTGCTGCCACCGCCGGGGAGGGCTCGTCCAAACCTGCGTCCCCGCTCGACACACCCGGACTGGAGAAGCTGTCGAGCACGAACCTGGCCAAGTTGGTGCATAGCGATGTGCTAACTCTGGAGCATGTTCTGCAGGTGCGGCGCCGTGAGGATGTTGCATCTTGTTGTTGACGGTGGTGTGTCTACGAATGGGCTGCCCGACGGCCGTGAGTGGCGGATGTGCGCTCCGGCAGCAGTTGCTGCTGTCGCTGGATCGAGACTGACCTTGACCACCTTGCTTCCAGAAACTGCCACCATCTATCGGCGTGTCCATCAATGTCAAATACCCAACCATCAGCGAGATTCAAAGGTACCACGTGACGGAGCTGCTGGATGTCAACACCTTCGTCGACAACGTCCTTCAAAAGGTATACGACCACGCCAACCAGCGCTCGATCATCTTCTCGTCGTTCAACCCGGCTGTCTGCACATCGCTCAACTGGAAGCAGCCAAACTACGGTGTCTTTTTCGCGACCCGTTGCGGCTACCGCGACGACTCGAGTGTCTCGGCCGTCGGGGGCGTCACCGACCAGCAGCAGTTGGCCAGCAACGTTGACGAAGAGGAGGAAGACGAGATGGACATTCGCTGCCTGAGCATCAAGCAGGCCGTCAAGTTTGCCAAAAGCAGCAACTTCCTGGGCGTGATCTGCGAGGCTCGTCCATTGGTATGTATCTCTGTGTTCGCGCTTGAATTCTGCTCGCCGCAGACCTGCTGTGTCGGATGCGTTGATGCTGACGCCAAATTTTGACGTTGTTGCGCGACCCAGGTCCAGATTCCCATCCTGATCAACACCATCAAGGAAAGCGGCCTGATTCTGGCGACCTTCGGCAGCTGCAACAAGAGCCTGGACAATGTCCGGCAACAGGAAAAGAACAAGGTCGATGCCATCATCGTCGACAATGTCTTCCGATACAACGTTACGGCATAGTGCCCGCGCTGACGGCGCCATGTCTGTGCGCAGACTCGGTCTGCTCCGAGTTTGCCGCCTGCCTTCGAACTAATACACATCATTCCAATAAATAACGGGACACCTCGCATTTTGATCGTTGAACAAATATTTTGTCGCCTCAATACATCGCGCACTGGCCATGACCATTCAGTGATTTGAATCAAGGACGCCATTGTAGGCATCGCTCCTGCCCAAGGGCAGAACCTGACCCGGCGACGGCGAATCAAGCGACTCGATCTCCCCAGGAGACTCAGGTTCGCTCGGTATTTCGAGCAATTCATTCATGTGTGCTCGGTGAACGAGTTGATCACACTCCCACATCGCCTCAAGAGATCGACCGGGTGTATTCAAGACTGTGCTTCCCAAACCAACCAAAACAAAGAGATTGCCAACCAAGACAGGAGTGCAATGCCATGGCCTGCCCGCTGGGCCTACGGAAGTCAGAAAGTGTCTGACCCATTTCTTTCTGGATTAACTGTAATACACCATCTCGGCGCATGCTCCGTCGTCCTGTCCATGCAGTGATGCGAGGGTGAGTGAATGAGCGAGAACGAAAAAACGCGCTCTCGGAGCCACCTCGGTCGGCGAGAAGAGCAGTCTCTGGCGAGAGACCCCCGAGGGAAGGCGAGAAGCCTCTCGCCGTCACACACACACATCCGCACACACACACTTTGCACAAGGGAGTCAACCACCTCCCATCGACCATCCCAAGAGGGATGGCAACCCCGAAGTGGACTGCCCAGAATATGGGCGACCCGGCGTCTACTGTCGAAATGAACAACAGTGCGAGATACTTACAGTCTATCCAGAAAGAAACGGGACAGTTCCTTCCTGGCTTCAGATGTCTGAAGCCCGCTGACTGACTGTAGGCCCAGTGGGTAGGCCATGGCATTGCACTCCTGTCTTCGTTGGCAATCGAGTGGTTTTGGTTGGTTTGGGAAGCACAGTCTTGAATACACCCGGTCGATCTCCTGTGACGATGATCGACTGGCATACCGAGATCATGTTCCTGGCTGCATCGATGTCTCGATCCCACAGCGTATGACAGCTTGCACAGCTCCGTACATAATGTGGTTTCTCGATATCAAGATGCTCGACCTTCTCGAGTCGCTTGAATTCCCGGCAGTGTGAGCATACCTGGGATGTGTTGAACTCGTTCACCGAGCACACATGGATCTTGGAGACGGATCGGTCTGGTGGTCGTCTCTGGTGGTGGTGGAACTGCTCAAAGTACTTGGCAAACCTGAGTCTCCTGGGACTGGAAGCATATCCCTTCCCTTGCTTCCAGGAGGCATTCCCAAAGGCAATCACCACTTCGGTCTCCCTTGGTGCCTGGTCGATGACTTGCTTGCACATCTCGTGGACAGTGCGCTGTCGCTTGCCGTAGAGATCGAGTCGCTTGAATCGCCGTCGCCGAGTCAGGCTGAAGTACAGCTGTTTGTCCAGCATGTCTCCATCGAACACATGGCGAATGTATCGCAGGAAGGAAGACACCCCGGGGATCTTGGGGCTCGGTGTGGTGCTCATCCATTCCTGCAGACCAAGGATCTTGTGGGTGCTCTGGATCCACTTGGTCGCCTGGGGGGTGTCTTTCTCTTGGGAGCCATCTGGCGAGAAAATAGCGACCATGGCTGGTTCTGCCCTTGGGGAAGAAAGAATCTCCTCAAAACCAGCGCATTTTGGGCTGGCAGAGATACTGCGCAGTGGCGTCCTTGATTCGGATCCAGAAACGCATCGCTCGCTCAATCAGTCGTGGGAAGACATCTTGTCAAGGTGAGTCTTGCCTGATAGCCAAACGATCATGTCATCTCGCTGACACACAGCCACGCTTGACTAGGTTTCCAACCAGAGAGATTCAGATGGTGGTGGTTCTTGTCCGCAATCGGAGTGGAACTTCCAACAATGATACAATTGGTCATTCCTCCACACCAATTGCCCACCACCACCGTCAATCGGCTCAAGGTGATACCAAATGCCGCCAACCGACCATAGCCGGATTCCAACTTTGCTGCTCCACATTCGACGTGACTTTCAGGTGACCGAGATGAGCAGCCGTGAGGGGTCGGAAAAAATTGATAGTGATATGTATCTGTGTGTGTGTGGCCAGGATCTTCTCTCTCGTTTTGTCTGGCCTCGTCTCGGTGCAGCGAGAGCGGCTCCTCTGCGCAGTCGCCTTCGTATCCAACGGGTTGCAATGTCAACTGCACCCCGTCCAGCACAATGCCGAACAGCGCTTTGCTTACATCTCGGCCTCACGAGCCGCACGCTGATCATGGCCGAGGAGCAGAGAAGCAAAATCCAGAAGCTCGACGAGGCTGTCGTCAACCGCATCGCCGCTGGAGAGGTGAGGAGCCCTGGTTCGTCGGGGTTCGTCGGTCATGCCGCGGCTGGGATTCGCTCTGCGCTGCTGGGCAACCAGCGAACATCAACATGCCCTCCACTCACGATACTGCCTCGGTCTGGTTTCCGATCATGGTACCTCGGCCTGTTGCTGCTCTCATCGTGACCATCGCACCGGGCTGCAGATTATTCACAGACCCGCAAATGCCTTGAAAGAAATGATCGAGAATTCGCTGGACGCAAAGGCAACGGCTATCACTGTCGTCGCCAAGGACGGCGGCCTCAAGCTCCTGCAAATCACTGACAATGGGAGTGGCATCGACAAGGATGACATGGATCTCGGTAGGCGGCTGCGGCGGTGGCGGCCGGGCCAGAAACTCATGCACTCCAGCGAACGAGGGTCGTGATTGCGTCCCCGAGCGCCCGACTCACAGCCACCGCCCTCCTCCGACATGGCTATCCGCTTGTCGGGCAGTTTGCGAGCGCTTTGCGACAAGCAAGCTGCGCAAGTATGAAGATCTCAACTCCATCTGCACATACGGGTTCCGAGGAGAAGCCCTCGCCAGCATCAGCCACGTCGCGCATGTTTCCATCACCACCAAGACGGCCTCGTCGCCGTGCGCCTGGAAGTATGTTGCGATGAATCCAATACTGGAGAGCCCTTTGCTATTCCGTTCAGACTGTCGCCATTGACTGGTCATACTCGGTGGCAAACACAGAGGCGGATTCCGCAACGACATTGTGCCTCCTCGCTCACCGTCTGGCTTGTGTTTGATCCAGAGCCCATTACGCCGATGGAAAGATGACGCCGCCCAAACCCGGGACCAAAGCAGAGCCCAAGGCGTGTGCGGGAAACAACGGAACCCAGATCACGGTAGGCGAGCGACGAGCAGACCGCCGAGGGTGAACGCATTCTTTAGCTCTGACTTTTGCGTGCTCCTGCCGACTCAACCCAGGTCGAGGATCTGTTCTTCAATGTGGCGACACGTCGTAAGGCGCTCAAGAATACCTCAGAAGAGTACTCCAAGGTCGGGCTCCTTCTACAGACCGTCGTGCTGGCCAAGAGAGCGTTTGTCTGTGTCACGGCGCTGCGAACTGGATTTGGCCCTGATGAGCTGCCGAGCTGACACGAGCGCCGCGCTTGTATTCGCAACAGATTCTGGACATTGTCCAAAAGTATGCCATCCACAACGCTGGAGTCAGCTTTACATGCAAAAAGGTCAGGAATCGCCCGAGATCGGAATGTCGGTGGTTGACGGCTTGTTTGTCGCATCGGCGACAATCGCATGTGTCTTAGCATTTGCATCCGAGTGCCGATCCTGGCATATGGACCTATGCAGCCGGCCGACTGCGTTGACTGATTTGCCCTTGGCCCGCCTGTGATTGTCCGCAGCACGGACACACTACCTCAGATTTGTTCACGTCATCGACAGCGACCACGATCGACAACATTCGCGCGGTGTACGGCCCACAGATCGCCAAGGAGTTGTTGGAGATATCCCACGAATCGATCCCAGTGGGACTTTTCAATGAAGGGAAACATCTCGAATGCCAACTACAACACAAAAAAGATGATCTTCCTGCTGTTTATCAACCGTATGTTGCCTCACGACCTGCCGCCGCCATGTGCATCCAGAATGGGCTCGTTTCTTTGATACGGTGTATGCTCTTGGCGCTGTTTTCTTTTACAACCCCACTTGATTGACGATGCCGTGCCCGAACGGTTCATCAACCGCACCGTTTCCGGATTAACGGAAAAGATCGTGCCGTAGATAGCATCAATTTGAAACGGGCAATCGAGAATGTCTATCAGGCCTATCTTCCAAAGGGCACCCATCCGTTTGTGTATATGAGCCTCGAGATCAAGCCTCAGAACGTCGACGTGAATGTTCATCCAACAAAGCGAGAGGTATCGTCGCTGAGCAGCAGCCGTTGCGTGCCTACCGACCTTGGTCTCAGTGATGCTCATCCCTCTGGCTGTCTCACCCTCAGGTCCACTTTCTGAACGAGGATAGCATTATCGAGACAATCTGCGAAGCGCTTCAGGAGTCGCTCAAGGACGCCAACTCGTCACGGATATTTTATACCCAGGTTGGCATCGCCGCGGCAGCCTGTACCGGCGTATCCACCGTACGACGGATCTTGTGAACAATGCTGTCATGCGAGCGCACGGGGCGCTCGTCCGCCAGACCAGAGCGATCAAACTGAGCCTTCGACATCGTTTTGTTTCTGTTGCAGACCCTTCTACCGGGCAGTAGCATCCCGACGATATCCGCCGAGGCTGCATCTACATTGTGTAAGTGGAACTTTTAGCTGACCGGATGATGTGGCTCGATTGGCGCTTCTTGAAGTGGGTGCATGGCTTGGGTGCAACCGATCGATTGCTCAGGAGTCGCCGGGCACCACACCATCAGCATGCATAGTGTGTGTCCTTCCTTGACCGATACAGTGCCCCGCTCACTCCGTGCGCTCGCCTGCTATGACAGCCTCGTCCAAGCCCTACCAACACGACCTTGTTCGGACTGACAGCAAGACTCGTACCCTGGATGCGTTCATCACCCGCGCTGACACCCCTGGAGCAGTGGCGCAATCCCTCAACTCTTCTCGGACTCGAACAACCTCCATCGAGCTCTTGGGCAGCCAAGTCAATCTGTCCGACAAGCCCGACGACCGCACCGCCGCGGTTGATGTCGATACCGTTGCTGACCCGATGTCTGTAGATGATCACGAGCCTGTCGCTCGTGTTCCAGCAAAGCGCAAAATTGAAGAGGCCCTCGGTAACTCTGCAAGTGGCGCTGTTGGTGGCGAACAACCTGAGGCAGATGCACCTTTGAGATCGGCGACCGACGAAGGCGAACAAGTGTCAATTCGTTCGGGCCCGCACGAGCACGATCGTGCCGCAACCAAGGTGCGCTTCGAGAGCGACATAACACCGTCCACGGAGAGTGTCCGCGACTGGGTCGACGTGCGCTTGATAAGCATTCTGGAGCTTCGGTCTGAAGTTCAGGAGAAGAGTCATGCTGGTAAGCGATCGAGCGAGCCATTTGCGTTCATCACTTGATCAGCAGTCGGACTCGGGTGATTCCAACTTGCTGGGAATAATGACACTGACACCATGACACTATGACCACGTTGTGCACGTCGACGACATCAACGGCTCCCACAATCGACCGCCCCCTCCTTTTACTGCCACCAACAACGATCAAGCTCTGACCGAACTGTTCCGCCGCCATGTGTGGGTCGGCATCGCCAAAGAGCCGCTGGCTGTTGTGCAACACCAAACTGGACTTTACTTGGTCAACTACCATGAGTTGAGGTACTCATGAGCTCATTGCCGGAGCGCACTCCCATAGTGGGGTATCAGGGGCTTCATCGCTGATTGCGCCCGACACAAGCGCCTCATCGGCTCTAACACGCTATCCTGTATCGACGGCCTGTCGCTTTGACTGGCCCTCTACGACAGCTGTCACTTGTTTTACCAACTTGCGCTGAAGGCATTTATGAACTTTGGAATCATGACACTATCGGCGCCCGTATCGATATCGAGCCTTCTGTCGATGGCGCTGGAGGATCCCGAGCTGATCAGCGAGATCCCAGTGGAATCCAGCGCCGAGGAGATTGCTGAGGTAAGGTTTCGATCCGAGAAAAGCGAGCAAGCCTCAACAACGCAGGCGACAGGCAGTCATAACTCTGCAATCTTGTTCCTCCGTCAACAGTCCGTCGTCGCAACCATACTCTCGAAGCGAGAGCTACTGTCGGAGTATTTCGCCATCGGCATAAGCGAGGAAGGATACCTGACGACACTGCCGATTCTGCTCAAGGGCTACGTCCCCAACATGGCCAAGCTGCCGCTATTTCTGCTTCGGCTTGGAACCGAGGTGAGTTGGTTTGTCTTCGATACTGGTCCGATCAGAGTAGCAAAATACACTACTGCTCGCCGAGTTGGCTGAATGACGCTCGTGCATCCTCGCAATACCCAGGTTGGCTGGGAAGCCGAGAAGGAGTGCTTCGAGGCCCTCTGCTGGGAGATTGGTTTGTTCTACTCGGTCGAAGAACCCGTCATCATCCCAGGATTGCTGGAAAGCACAGAGGGATCCCAAGGCAGGGTAGCAAGTGCAGGAACGCCGGACGACACCGGGTCAACACCAAGGTCCGAACACGCATCGCAACAATCGACGCCGGGAGTCAGCCCAAAGCACCCAGAGCTTGAAGACTATTACTGGACCATCGAGCATGTTGTCTTTCCAGCATTCCGATGCCATCTAGTTGTACCAAAGGAAATCGCAACGAGCGGCAGCGTCGTCGAAATTGCCAATCTGAAGGACCTCTACAAAGTGTTCGAACGATGTTGAGGCAGCACGACTCAGCCCTGGGCGATGCTGAGAACTTGGCCCATGACTCCCGTTGTGTCGAACCTGCGGCGTGCAGATAGCTGCAAGGCGATGCCTGCTCGGACAGGTCGTCCTGTCGGAAAACTGCCGAACCTGAACGACAGCGCCGGAACGTCTGGGTCGGCGACAGTGCCCTGGATGCATGGTCGCGATAGTGCATGTTGCTGACAGCAGGCTGGGAAGCGATATATTGGCATCATAGATAAAGTCGGCTGAGGATTAACAGCGGGTACATCGGAAGTGGTGTTCGTGGGGGGCAGAGAGTGATAGTTGTTTGGACAGGTTCTGTCTGCTCAGACTTGGGGATCCGATTGAGCTGGCGTCTTGGGCTGCGACTTTCGGCGCTGAAGGTATCGATAAAGGGCGAAGCCGATGATGAGGAGCACGAGGGCACCGAAGGCAGCGCCGATGGCAATCGCCTCGATCGATGCCCCAGAGTTGCAGACCGGTTTGCCGAGGGAATTGACGCCTGTGCCAGAGGAACAGTCGTCCGCTCGGGCGGGCAGAGGCGCCAGGAGAACCAGCAGCCAAATGAGAAGCTGGCCAAAAATGGCGGGATGGTGCTTTGGGTATGCGGAATGAGGCCTCGAAGAGAACATGTTGGCGAGACGCAGACGGGGAAGAGAGTTGTTGGGCTTGGGCGCATGAAGCGGGGAGCCAGTCACTTTTGAGGCAGGGGGTGCGGAGAAATCGGAAGCGTCGAGTTTGTCCGTCGAAAAGCAGAACCATCGAGCCGGATATTCTTGGAGCTGTTGCGTTGGCCGTGATGCTCACCCAGATGGCCATGTTCGGTGGCAGACACTGTCGCCAGAGAGCAGCATTCGACTCTGCACCGGATGAGGTGGGAGTGCATCCGCCGCTGATTCCTGAATACTCATGTCACTCTGTGCCCGATGGCGTTTTCTTTGGATGCTTTGCCACTGTCGCTTTGCTTGCCTCTTCCCCCCGTTCCTTCGCTTCATCACCCCGTTCCGTCGCCCTGTTCCATCAGCCTGTTCCGTCGCCCCTCCCACGCTGTCCCCATCGCAACCATGTCCGCCAATGCCCACCCCTCCATCGGTCCAACTCAGCCATCTCCCAGACCGTGCCCAGACATCTTCACCATAATCTGCTGCAACGACAGCTTCCAGCTCGCCCTCAGCCTCGCCGACATTGAGACCCTGCTCCTCGTCTGCAAGCGGGCCCAGCCACTCCTGGACTCCAAAGTGAATCGGCTTCGACACTGGTGCAAGGAGAACCGGCTGCACTCTCCAGACAGGCCGCTGCCGGATCTCATCTCTGCCAACGACTTGATTGCCATCTCGCTGCACTATGGCGGCCAAGAGACTGCCGACCGATCCTGGCTCGTTGCCTTGGCTGACCAGGGAAACCCTGCTGCGTCATATCTGCTGGCACGAATCCTGCAAGCCAATCTCGCTCACCGGCAGCCAGTGACTCGGTCCAAGCGGCGAGAAACTCAACAAGAAATCGCCCAGCACCTGGAAACGGCTGCCAACGCAAAGCATCCAATGGCACAATTCCACCTGGCCCACTCCTACCGCAACGGACTCGGAGTCTTCCAAGACTACACCAAGGCCGTCGAGCTGTACCGCACACTTGCAGATCGTGGGATGCCTCAGGCTCAAATCGCCCTTGGCTGCTGCTATGAAGGCGGCGAGAGTGTCGACCAAGACTTTGACACAGCCATTGAGTGGCATTCCAAGGCCGCAGATCAAGGCAGTGAAGACGGTCGACTCCATATCGTGTTCTTCCGTGGCTGGCTCTCGTTCATCGGCCATGGTGTCGAACAGAGCGACGCCGATGCCTTCAACCGCTGGCAGGAGGTCAGCACTCAATCCACCGACCCGGTCATCAAGCCCATCGCCACGCACATGGTTGGGTGGATGCACTATCTCGGCCGGGGTACTGTGCGTGACGAGCAGAAGGGAGTCAAGATCATCCGGGAGAACAGATCGGATGAGTTTCCCTTGGGAGAAGAGGAGTGTCTCGCTGGTGAAAGTACGAACGTACGTCCCGACTCCAGCATCCTCGCATCTCGAAAATTCGTCGAGCTGTGCCAGCTGGGATCAGAGCAAGACTGGCTGTGTCGCCACCTCACGGCCATATGCTTCTCCTATGGATTCGGAACGTCATGGGACATGAATCAGGCAGTGGATACATTCGAGCAGCTCGCAAGCGACGGACATGGCGACGGTCAGTTCTGGATTGGATTGTGCCATTACTCAGGATGGGGAGAATGCTATGAAAGCTCGATTGCACTCGAGTGGTTCAGCAGGTCAGCCAACCAAGGAAACTCCTACGGGCAGTGGATGCTTGGTCATTGCTATCACCAAGGAGCAGGAGTGGCAACAGACTACTACAAGGCCGTCGAGTGGTTCCGCAAGTCGGCCGAACAGGGAAATCGGTATGGGCAGAACGCTCTCGGCAACTGCTATCAGAACGGCGAGGGTGTTGCCAAGGATGTCGACGCCGCTGTCTTCTGGTTCAGTAAGGCGGCCGGATAGGGTCTGCGATGGTCTCTGGACAAACTCTTGCAGAATGTCTGCTCCCTCCTGGGTCATCTTGCACAGATTCTACAAGTCGACATGGTGCTGTCATTCTATTTATACAGTTGTGTGGGGCGGCTGTTGACAGGCTGGGGATGCGATCGGCTGAGTGTTCCAGCCGTGGGTGCTGCTGCTGGTGTCGGTGTCACTTGTCGCCCAACTTGCATGTCGGCTTGCCTCACAGCCGACCACAGCCACGCGGAAGAAACAGCACCGCGGGCGAACCACAGTGCTACAAAGACAATAAAGATCGTCGCATGAAGTCCAGCAGCCACATTGTCCAGGAACACAACCAGGGCGCCGAGCGACGTGAATACAAGCAGAAGCAAGTCCGCAAGAACCCATATCTTCCAGAGGCCGAGGCTGCGGCCCCGGATCTTCAGGCAGCGATGGGCGGCCACCAGTCGGCGATGACGGCCGCAGCCCAGAAGGCCGTCCAGGACGAGGACCAGGATGAAAGGCATGAACAGCGACCACGACAGCAGTGGTCGCCAAGGCGGATAGTACAGCGCCACGATGCCAAAGGCGCCGGTGGTGGCCAGGACGACCTTGGAGACAATGAACACCGTCCAAATGACGAACAGTCGCCATCTTCTCGACCATAACGTCGGCCCGGTAGCGGCTTGATCATCCATGTTGACGAGCCAGGAACAGATCTTGTCCTTGTCGATGGAGCTTGCAATGCTGTCCGGACCCACCCGGGTTCGGGCATCAGACTTTTTCCTCAGTGCAAGGCGAGCGAGCGCCCTGGCGACGCTGGCCACCATGAGCCCGAGTAGGACAACAAACTCGAGCAGCCCCAGCCCCGTGAGCGTCCATAGCCAAATGCGATGCCAGCCCAGATAGGCGAGGCTGATCGAGTAAAGTGTCATTGGAGCGGGTATGTCGTGGGAGATCCACACGTAGATGCTGCTGCAGGAATCGATTCCAAAATCCACGGTGATCGATCCGCGACTTGCTGCAGAATCGTACGCCGCACTTTGCCACCGGACGGTCTGGTTCTCGTATCCGGGACAGGCCACGGTGGCGTTACTTGTGCTGCAGTCGGCAGAGAGCGTGCCGTTGACATCCGAGGCGATCGGGCAGCCAAAGGAAACGGCGTAGAGCAGAGGTGCCGCCGAGAGGCCGACGCGCAGGGTCCCCAGAAACGGCGAGACGTAGAACTGGTCCCAGCTCAGGGTGGCGCGCCAGTCTGACTTGCGGGGCAATACCAGGATTTGCGTGGCTGCCGTCGAGATGTTGCGAGCGGTTGTTCGCGAGTCTGGGATGGTGAAGGTCGAGTCGCTGACTTCGGAATAGGGAGTGACTCGAGAGCAGTTCCACTCTCGCGCCGAAAACACTGCATAAGATAGGTTGCGGAGTGGCCACAGCACCGGGTCCTTCTCGATCAGGGCCTGGATCTTTTGGAACTGCGTGGTGAAGGTCTCGGACATGGTGCCCATGGCCATGGCGTGCAGCACGAGCTGATCAAAGGCGAGGGCGTTCTTTGTGGTGTTGCCTTGGACGAGGACAGGGACTTGCTGGCGAATCTCCCACAGCGCTCCCGAGAAGACGCCGCTGTCTGAGGACCGACAGGCGAGCGTTAGCAAAATGGTGCGGACAACGCCACCCGGCTGAGATTAGCAGATGAAAACAGAGTGCTCGCGAAGCATGCCCACTGCGTGTGTTCCCAGAGGGCGTGCGCTCGGCATGCTCACCTGTATGGATCTCGCCAACCATGTCGGCGCACGTCATGTTGTTGATGACGGACCGGTATGGGCGGCCGTCGTACTGGGTGCGAAAGTCGGGACGGTTGCAGTGGATCGCGGCAAAGTAGTCCGCCCAGCCTTCGTTGAGAGCGCCGGGGTCGCTGAGCAGGCCCTTGTCGCCGAAGGAGTAAAAGGGCAGGTCCGGGATGTACTTTGCGACGATGGCGTGGGTCATCTCGTGGAAGACAGTGCAGTCTGCCAGACCCCACGAGTACTGGTCGTCGACACCAAACGCAAAGTAGTTGAAGGGCGACTCGAGGATGGACACGCACGCACCGCCAGTACAGTTGCGAAACTCGACGCTGTTGACGGGTGGCTGGAACTGCGAATTGGAAAAATAGGCATTCTGGTAGGCCGTCGAGTTGTAGAACATGATCGGGAACGAGTCATTCTTGCCGTATCCGTTGCTGAGCTGCGTCATAAAGTCGTCGTAGTTGTCGCCAGGCCCGGGAAGGGTCTGCATCTGCTGGTAGTTGACGACGAAGCGCATGGGATGATCCCAGTGCGTTGCAGTACGGTTGGTGACCGGGTCGCGCTGCAGACAACCTGGGCCTGACCCGACCAGACAAAAGTTGGTGTCGTTGATGATGTTTTTCATGAACTGGAGATGCTCCGTGATATAGTAGTACGCTTGAAGCTCGACAAAGTCGGTGTATCCGCTGAGGGAGGTGCTGGTAAAGTCGGTGGTCGATCCCCACAGACCGTCGCCAGGCTGGCGGACGATGGGCGCAAAAACCGGCGCCTGAGTCCACATCATGTGCACGAGCCCGCCCTGGAAACCGTCGGCTGTCCAGTTCTGAGGCCGAGCCGAGCCGAGCCGAGCCGAGCCGAGCAGAGCCGGGTCCAAGACAGCGGCGGGAAGCAAGAAGCGAGTTAGTATCGGCAATGCAGCATGGTATGGTTCGGCGACTGAAGGATCGGGACTTTGGGGCCACCGGTCTTGAGTAACGTGTCGTTGTTGCCATGGAGATAGCTATCAGGACAAGACAGCGATGCGACGGTCATGGGGCCTTCACTGGGCTATGGGTGTCTGTACTTACCCGGCTGGCATCCAGGTAACGGCCGTCTGTCGTGAAGCGGTAGTTGCGCACGGAATACGAGGGTGCGCCGTTGGCGGTGGCGTAGGGTCCGGCGCAATAGACCATGTCCTCAGTGCAGTTGCCCAGGGGCTTGGATCCATTGAAGCACCCGTAGTTGAAACAGGTGTTGAAGCTGCGAAAGTCGGAGCCATAGATTCCAAGTCCGCCATTGTACTTTGTCGGCGACTGGACGTTGCGGAGGGCGACCTTGGTTGGCGCGGTGCCAAGAGCCACCATGCCTGGCTCGGGATAGACCAGACCCGAGTCTTGCATTACACTCGGCATCGACGAGACGAGAACACCGGACTGGGCATCGATCCATCGGATGGTGCGCCCCGGTGCGGGCTCGGCAATGTCGACAATCTTCCAGACAGGGCGGATGGTGTCGAGGGTGGTGTCGACAAAATAACCCTTCTGGCAGTAGAACTCGCTCGTGTCCTTGGAGAGGTGCTGAGAGTTGTCACGCGAGATTTGCAGGGCCTCCTGCTCGGTGATGTTGAAGGTGTACGGGCTGGGGTCGGAAGTGTAAGTGTTCGGGGCGGTGTCGTTGTATTCGTAGTAGCCCCGCTTACGAAGAGCATGCGGGTTGAGGTGATGCCCGATCTCGATACTGTTCCACTGCTCGGTTTCGTGGGAATAGGAGAAGACCCGGTCGGCACCGGTGACAGGGATGCCGTCGATCTGAGGACGCACCCGAACGACGCTGTGGGTATGAATGGATGCGATGGAGATGTCGTATCCGGAGCCGTGCTGATGCAGAGAGGGGTCCAGCGACCGGTAAGCCTCGGACTGGAGGACATGCAGATCGAAAGCCTCGTGGGAGGGCTCACTGGAGGTGCCCAGGCGTAGGGGCAACCACCAGGATTGGGCCAGGTCGATTGGGGGATGTCAAGCCGGGCGGGTGCATTTGAGGTTGTTGGACGTTAGAATGTTGGGCGGACTGTGTTGAGCAATGCCACCCAGAGCCAAGCGATGCTGTCAAGGACGTCGTACCTCGTCCATTTCGGTAGCAAGCTGGATTCATGCGAACTGAGGAACCCTGCAGGACGGAAGAGTGCTCATCATTAGCGAGTGGCCCTTCACGTAAGCGGGTGGTGGCAGCAGGTGTGTTGGCTTGCTGGCTGGCGGACGGGCGGTCGGCAGACTGGTGGCCATGCTTACGCTTCCGGAGATGGTGCTGGGAGGCATCGACACGGGCATCGCCACGGGCATCGACCTGGGCATCGAGCGTCGAGACCATCCAAAGGGCCAGGGCGAGTGCAAGCGACGGCCGAGTCATGCTGACGACAGGGCATGCGATGTGTCGGCAGCGGACGAAGGACTTGGACGAGAGCGCCAGGAGCCCCGAGGATCAACGGCCAGCGGGAGCCGCACAGCCAAAAGCAGGCGTTTGTTTGGCTGGGCGGTGGCGAGGCGGTCGCACGGCGGCCAAAAACACGCGGTGAAAGTTGCACTGGCCGGGACGTGGCTGGCTGCGGGCAAGCCGGGAGGGACGGCATGCCGCTGGCAAGCGAAATCGAAATGAAGAGTTGGCGTGCGAAAGTGATATGGGTGCGGGTGGATGCGGTTCGGAATGGGCAGTGTCGGGAGATGGTCTGGTTCTTGAGGGCGATACCGAAGTTGTTTGAACTGGTGAAATCAGCCAAGCTATCCGATTGGTGAGTTGGTCCGATTGGTGAATTTGGCTGGATTGGTCAGACTGGTCGAGCTGGCGAATGTGGGAAATCGAATCGAACTGGATATGCACTGGATTTGGTAATGTCACAGGATCCAAGGGAAACAGCTGGCGGGGTGCTGTTGCCGAGGAGTCGTCTGGGAGAGCATGAACGGTCTGGGTGAGCGGGATGGACAGACTGGGCGAGCGGCGGGTTGGGCTTGACTCCCCCACTTTGGCGATTGGTGCAGCGGGAGGGGGGAGATGGCTGGCAGATCGCACGCACCACAACAGAGGTCGTCGCAGAGATGAAACATCTCCCGGAGCAAGGCGGAGGAGGCAGTCCTTCCTGCGAGCCGCGCTGCGAGCCGCGCTGCGAGCTGGAATGCGTTCTTGATGGATATGATTGGGACCGGTGCGAGCCAAGCAGGTCGCTCGAGCAAGCAAGCAGTGCAGGAGCGGCGGCGATGTGGCAGGCCCTGCATCCATGCCCATGCCCATGCTCATCGATAGCGGCTGCGACATGAACACAGGCGTTGGGTGCATGGCGACAGGGCGACAGGAACGAACAAAAGCTTGCTCGGCGCGGGGAAGCGCCAGTTTTGCGATTCGGCGAGGGCGAGGCGGTGGTTGGAACCAGAGCCGGTGGTGGCGCTGGATCCACGGGGCGCGCACAGAGCAGAGCCGGGACACAGCACAGTGCGTGTGCGGCTTGCGGGGGTGGGGGCGTCCATACACACAGCGCATCGACACAGCTGACGGACACTGCACAGACACTGCACAGACACAGTTCACAGACACAGTCCCCATCCGCCACAGACGCAGCACAAACGCAGACACAGTCACAATGCGCGTTGCTCCGCCTTCGTCTCGTCGTTCCATTCGCACCCCGGTCGTCGCTCTTCTGCCACCCCCTCGCCATCTTCTTCGTCTTGCACGTCTATTTATCATCGTCGATACCCCCCCCCAGCCGAGCCCTCTCCTGCAGCCTCATTGCGTAATCCGTCCCGGGACTCGAGCTCTCTGTCGCCGAAAGCAAGCCGCCACCGACCTGGTCTCCGACTCCACCACCAACCCGATAACAACCCAGCCGGCCCCATCGACTCATCGACCATCGGTCGTCAACAAGAATCTCTTATTTATATCGCTATCGAGGGCGCACCCCAATGAACCGAGGTAACTGACCCCCCGGCCTTGCTTTGACTCAGATGCGCTTCCTTACCCAAAGAATCCCACCACCCCCCCCGTCGGAAACAGACATGGGCCTCTGCTGTGATCACCAGCGGATCGCTGCAGTGCCCTGCTCCCTTCGGCATCCCTTTGGCTTTCCCTTCCGCATCCCTTTGGCTTTCCTTTCGGCTTTCCCTTTGGTCTCTCTGCCGCTCCCTGCGTTGTCCTTGCTCCTGTCCGTCGCTACCTCTCTTCTCGCCACCTGCCTGGTACATCGCCGAATTTTCCTTTCAGCTCACCGCTATATCCAACCCCTCCGGTCTTGCACCGCATCCAACGCTTCCGTCGAACTCAACCTTCGTCAACGCTTCCCCCGTCCGACCAGGATCTCTGCTCTTCTTTGCTTAAAACGAGTATGACAATGGACCTCCCCATCGGCAACATCACGATCCAAAAAACCGCTTCCTATGTTTTGCCCACCGCCGACGGCGCTCTTGCCAACGGCAATGACCCATACGACCCTGCCATCAACCTTCCCATCGAAGTCCTGCTGCAGAACGTCATCGCCGAGCGCAATGCCCTTCGGCTGCAGAACGACCAGCTCTGGAAAATCATCGAAAAGCAGCGGCACATCATCCAGCAGCTACAGAGTAATGCCCCTCCCACTTCGTCCCATCCAGAATCACAGCAGCCCTTCGACAGCACCTCGGGCTTGCACCAGCCGCACCCTCCGACCGGTTCATTGCCCAGGCGAGGCTCCGGTCGAGAGCGGGCCGCCACCACATCCACCCTCGAGCGCAAGCGATCCGTCCCCCTACTCTCCAACGCCAGCGACCGCACCAGCCCTGAATTCGCCCAGTCCTCGCTCGACAAGTCCTTCCCTGCCCTGATAAGCCCCATGGGCTCCATTCTCGAGAACGATGTCCTGCAGCGGCCACCGTCGCCGGCAGAGTACAAGTCCTCGCAGCCGCTGTCGCTCCCGCCTGTCTCCAAGGTCACCTCGCTCACCTCTCTGCAAACCCTCCCCAGCAAGCCCGCCAGCACCGCAGACTTTTCCTCCATCGACTGGCACGACACTCCGGCTTCACCCATCCTGTTCGGCGACGAGCCAGCATCGGCCCCGCCGCGGAAGGAGGCCTCCAAGAGTCGGAGTGGCAGCGCCAGTGCACGCAAGAAGAAGCCTCGTCAGGACAGCGACCTGTTCCTCGAGACGGCTGCTCCGCGTACCTCCAGCCAGAAGAAAGATCGTCTGTCCAAGCGCGACGGCGAGTCTCTGAGCGACCTCGACTCTGGGCCCTCTCGGCCTGCCTCGGCCCGAGCCAGAGACAGGGCCTCCCCTCGACCTCTTGCCGACGATGCCGACCCCGGCGACCTCGCCGTCGCTGCGGCTGACCGAACTCGCGAGCCCAAAGACCGGCGGCCGTACAGCGCCGGCCAGCGCCTGGACGATAGTCCCGTCGCCGATGAGCGGCCCAGCAGTGCCCGCGAGGGACACAAGAGCCGATCACATCGCGGCTCGCAAAAGCCGCGGCCCACCGATACTGACCTTGCGGCCTCAGCTGCACCCTCAGAGAAGCCGCTGGCTGCCGATCTGGCGGCTGCCTCGGTCGTTCGTGCGGTACAATCGCCCCCTCTGGTGACTCCGGTCGAGATCCCCGAGTCCGCGGTGTACGTCTCGCCGCGCCCAGAGTCTGCGCCCTCACCCACCGACGATTTCATGGTGCAGGCGTCTGGACGGTCGTCCTCCTCCAAGGCCGACAGCCCCGACTCGCTCACCGAGCCCACCGAGCCCACCGAGCCCACCGAGCCCACCGAGCCATCCGCGACCGTGCCTATCCTGCAGTTCCGCCCGCCATCGGCCAAAGCCAATCACGCCAGCCCCAGCGATGCTCCCATGAGCCGACCCGAGCCCCATCTGCTGGGCAGCTTCCCCGAGTCAGCCGCTGGCGCTCCTGTCCAGCCATACGAGTCCATCTCATCGCTGACTTCGGCCCAGTCAGACGATCTCCTTTCGGCAGGCGAGTTCACGCCACAACCCCTGACTCCATGCTTGCCCGCAAACGCTACCTTCGACTCGGCCGAGAAGCTTGACATCCAGGTCATCGGCTCAACGATCAAATCCAACCCGAAAGGCGCCGACATGACCAGCTTCATCATCTCCATCAAGGACGAGTCCACGCAGAGAGAGTACTGGAGGGTTGCCAAGCTGTACTCGGACTTTCAGACCCTCGACACCAAGGTGAGATTCTTGTCATGAGAAGACCCGCTGTTGCGGGATGGTGTGTTGCTGCTGCGTCCTCGGCCGCTGTCCCGATCGATTCAGTGCGACCGGCTTCCGCTCGGCAGCGGTGCAGCTTGCACTAGATCCTCTTGTGGAGAGCCAATGCATCTAATGCACATGGTCTTGGTCCTCCAGCTCAAATCGAATCAGAGCCGCGGGGTCGTCGGAAAACTCGGCAAATTGCCCGAAAAGACCCTGTTCACTTCGCATGCCCCGCTCAAGAATGACCAGCGAAAGGTATGTCGATGCGATATTTTATGCATGCTTGCAACCTGTGGCCGAGGATGCCTGTCCAACAACACTTGCAGAGCAACGCTTGTTGACATCATTCGTCGCGGACATGACTGCTATGCCTTCAGGTTGCGCTGGAGTTCTATCTTCAAGGAGCCAAGTCGCTCATGCCCACGAACCGCCACTTTATCCACTTCCTGTCCACCGATCTCGTCACAACTGCTCCGCCCAAGAAGGCAGTATCTGTAAGTCAATCTCCATCGCAGAAACAAGCGTTTGTCTCGGAAACACACTTCCGCGGCACACCGCTCCTGTCTCTGACGCTTACATTCTCAACCCAGGTTGGCACCAACGTCAAGGAGGGGTATCTGACAAAGCGAGGCAAAAACTTTGGTGGATGGAAATCGCGGTACTTTGAGCTCCACGACGGCGTCCTGGACTACTACGAAGCGGTGAGTTGGATCCGCTGCTTGTGAGCTCGGTCTCGAATGTGACGTACCACTGGAAGCATCACGAGTCCTGCGGACAACCTGTCGTTTGCCGTTTCGTGATCCCCATGCCCTAACACGGAATCGCCGCTTCACCTCCCCCCAACAGCACGGAAAGGACTTTCTTGGTGCTCTCCAGCTCAAGTTCTGCACGGTCTCGGATCAGCTCCCATCAGGACTACCAGCGGATAACGAGTACCGCCATGCCTTTGTCATCACGGAGCACAAAAAGGGCAGTCTCGTTGGCAACGAGGTCGCGCCGGATGCCAAGGTCCATGCGCGCCACATTTTCTGCGCCGAGAGCGACGTGGAGCGGGACGACTGGGTGCAAAAGATTGCCGCGCAGATGCTGAAGGTCTTTGGCCGTCAGAACTTTGGCAACATCAGCTCGATCTTTGTTCCTCCGGAGCCCGCCGAGTCTGGGGCACTAGCGCCAGCGTCGATGCCGATCTCGGCGTTGACACCGTCCCCAGCAGACAACAGACCAGTTCCGACCCCAGGATCTGGATCGGACTCGCCCTTACCCGACAATGCCGATGCTGCGAAGCGATCACCCGACTCAGCCGCAGCCGGTCCCAGTGCTGCAGCAGGCACGCCGAATCCATCCGACTCGGCAACAGTCGGTGCGATTGGCGGGACAATCGGCAATGGTGTTCGACGCATGCAAGCCCTCGATCCCACTATCAATCAGCCTGGTCAGAAGCTACTGAACAAGGTGGATGAAGACCAGCGGATCATGGAGCAACCCGAGCCGGTGCTCCTCGTCCCTGCTGTCGTACTCGACGAGAAGCGCCTCGCGGGCAATTCGTCAACCTCCAGTCTTGTACAATCCACTGACAGCCGGCGCGAGGAGCGGAAGAAGAAGCTCAAGAATCCGTCGTTCAGCTGGGGGCGAAAAAAGTCGATCTCGGCGGCCGTGCCAGCAGGTACAGCGAAGGGGTTTCCCTTCATGAATGAGCTTGATTAGGCAGCAGTCGTTTCGGACACGGGGTTTAGCGATGCCTGACGTCAAACCACCTCCCCCACTGGAGTGCCCCCCCCCCAGCCACCCTTGACTGCTGTGCATCCATCACCTCCCCTCTGTCCGTCTCTCACACCGATCCCTTCTGCCTGCTCATTCCATTCCATTTCCATTTCCATTTTCCAGAACCCAAGCTTCCCGAAGTCACCCAGCCCGTATTTGGTGCACCGCTGCAGCGGGCAGTGGAGCTCGCGGCTGGAAAGTTCGCGGTTCCTCTTCCCTCAGTCATCTACCGCTGTGTCGAGTTCTTGGAGACGAGAAACGGTAGGGCCATCGGTTTCTTCTCTGCCGAACCGTACAGCCTATCCCTGCGGGGCCGCCTGATCACCCGCACGACTTTGCTCACCCACCTATTCTGCCCGCTCAGCATTCTTGGAAGAGGGCATATACCGGCTGTCCGGTAGTGCGGCTCTGATTCAGCAGCTCAAAGAGCGCTTCAACGCCGGTAAGCTCGGGACCCTCAGCATTGAGCAACAACGTACCGTTCCTGTGCTTCCAGGCATCGACTCTTTGGTGGTGATCTGTGCAACCCAACGCTAGTCACATTCGCTCTGACGATATGCCACCGATTCTCTCTCTTGAATCAACAGAGGGCGATGTCGAGCTGGTCAACCCAGAGACGTTCTACGACGTGCACGCCATCTCTGGTCTGCTCAAGCTCTATCTCCGCGAGCTCCCTAATCCAATCCTGACTCGCGAGCTGCAGAGGTCGTTCCTCAATATCACAGGTATGACCCCCCCCCACGTCGCATTGTGGCACCCCCTTTGCTTGCCGTGCAGTCTCCATCGTTGCTTCTTCCGTGTTCGATCGGGTGTTTAAACTTTGCTGCCAAACCAACAGACATCCCGGACCGCAATCATCGCATCCCCATATTGGCCCAACTTGTCGAGGAGCTGCCTGCCCCAAACTACACGCTGCTCCATGTCTTACTCGCACACCTCATCCGCATCCTTCGCCACTCGGATGTCAACCGCATGACAGTCCGCAACATGACGATCGTCTTTGCTCCGACCCTGGGCATCCCTGCTGGAGTGTTCGCCTTGATGATGACTGAATACTCTGTGATCTTCCGGTGGCTCTCTGCCGACGACCGGCCCCAGAACAGACGCCCGAGCTCGCCCAAGCTCATGCGCTCGTCGACACTGCCATCGCCCCGGACTTCGGCCAAGGAGCTTCCCACCGACGAAGACGCAGATGACCGGCCTGGCGGCCCACACAAGAGCTTCGCACCGGCAATAGCACAGATCGACGAGAGCACGGCCGAAGGCTCGGCTGTGCCTGAAGCGCTGCCCCTGGACCTGAGCGACTCTGGAATGCTGAGCACCGACGAGGCCCCTCCCCGGCGGCGACTGACCAATGAAAGCCAGATCAAGCGCAGACACAGCGCCGGCATGAGCAACATCACAGGCGCCGTCCAGGTCGACATCAACAATCCCTCAGCACAACGACCGTGAGTACCCAATCTGCTGTCTTGGGCCATCCCCGATATGCACCGCGATGGTTCCTGGCCTTGAATCTGTACGATCCCTGTCTCTCGCCGTGCTCTCGTGTTAACAATGCCTCTCTGTCGACCCAGACTGGCCAATGATGGCACCACCATCATGGACGACATCGAAGCCGGTCGACTCACAGCCTCCCTGGAACGAGCCGGCTATACTAACGGGCACTCTTCCCGTGGCAGCCCGAGTCCCGTCGGCAAGGACGATAGCCCTAGTCACCGCGACGCCAGCTCGACGACAGCCCTGAGCAGCGCGGTGACCGTTGATAAAGCAGCACTCGCTGATTCCTCGACCCAGGCAACCAGCAGTTTCTTTGGCATCGAAAACCAGTACGAGTCGGACGACTTGCTCCGGTCCACCGCTCAGGACGAGTCAGACGATCGACAACCTGCCGTCAGTCACGGCGAGGATGACGAGGTCGTTGTCTATGAGGATCAAGACGATGGCCCTTATATCAGCTCGCCCGGCGCCGAGTCCAAGCGCCACTTTTCGATGGACGAAGGCGAGGAAGTGGTCATCGGCGGCGACGACTAAAGCCCCTTCAAACGCGCGGTCGGTATGTACTCGGCTCGGGCGGCTTTGATCGCTCTCGGAACCGGTCGGCCGCCTTCTGGATGCATATGCCACGACCGGGGCGACCTCTCTGCCGTGGCTTCCCACTACCACTACCACCACCACCACTACCACCACTACCACTACCACCACTACCACCACTACCACCACTACCACCACCACCGCCGCCGCCGCAAACGGCAGCCTCCGGTATATCTATTTGTGATCCAGTTGACTCTCCCCATCTCCACGAGCACTCCCTGCCTGTGGCACCAACCTGTATCATATCACCCTCACTTCCCGGCTCCAGTAGACTATTGGTATGAGGAAACGAATCCCACTCTCCCCCCCCCTGCTTTCTTCCATCTTTTTTGGCAGCCGCTGCTGCGGCGATATGCGGAGGAGACTCGTCGCTGTCTCACCTCTCCCGAGCTCCCCATGTTTGTGACATTGGTTGAAAGTGCTCTTCCTGGAGCATATCAAACTTGCTCTGTCCAACTCGCTTGTTGCTCCACCTTCGCAACCAACCCATCCCCTTCCCACTTCCACTCACCGCCTTGCTTCAGCCTGCATGCTATTGCCCTTTTGCTTTCCTCGATCGTCGGTAGCGTTCTTGCTCTCTCGTGCTTTTGCTTTTGCTTTTGTCTTTTTTCCTTTCCCTCCTTCCCTTTTCTTCCTCTCCAGTAGGTATAATTCGCCTGGGGTTCTTGTTAGCTCTCCTCTGTTTGCAGATCCTCTCTTTTCTCGCTCTTACTTTTTTGGTTGAATTGTTCGTTTGCTCCAGCACTCACAAAAAACGAAACAGGGATGCGTCCTGTGTCTGAGGCCCAGTAGTCGCTTTCTTGTTCTGGAATGCATGCACATCTTCTATCCACCGCCAATATAAAAGTGATTCCGCCACTGCAGTATTCTCTCGGTTCCTGTACCACCGCACTGTGGGCTGTGGATCCTGATTTCTCTACGCCCATCAGGGGAGTGAGCGAAAGGGAAAAAAAAGAATGCGTGTATTTCGATATAGCGGAGGTATCTATAGATGGTGTGTGTCCAAAAATGATGAAGGGGGGGTTGTGGCCACTCCATGAAGGCTCCAGCAGAGCGTCGGAACGAATGAATTGGTTTCAGTGCTTGTGTGAAGACAAGAGGAGGCAGGAAACAAGAAATGAGAGAGGCGGACGGGTTCGATAACGAGACTGGGCGTGGGTGGTGCAGAGAGAATGGTCCCCCGCGCCAGAAAAAAGCATGCAAGGGCGCTCCATCTTCACAAGGGTGTCATGAACGGTTGCACTCGGAAGTCAGCGGAGGTGGTGCGGTCTCGGATGGATGTGGCTCGCACTGAGGATCGGCGTCTTCGATCGAGCCGCTGTCTTTGGGGGCTGAGCCATCCAAGTCTGGACCAGTGGTCGACATCGTGGACGATAGATTGGGCAGGTCTGTGAGGGTCGGGAAGCGCGAGCCCATCGTGACCGTTGCGGCTGCCAAAGCGGCTGCAGTGACGGCGAGATCGAACCTGGCAGGGTTCAGTGTATCATGTGGGACGGGCGGGGCCAAGCCAGCGAGATCTAGGAGAAAACAAAAAGAGTCGCAGATGAGTGCATGCAACACACTGGGATCTGGAACCGACCGCGCTGTCTGGGAATATGGTCAAGATAGGCTAGCATGGCCTCCAAAGCGAATGTAAGCTGCACACGCGAGCCTGTACCTGTTGGAGCGGCATAAGGCGGACAGAAGGACAGCGCCGCCAAAGCCTGGAGAATATCTTCGTTCGGAGGGGTCGATAAAAGTGAGGGGTGTTGCTGTGCAAGTAACGACAGCGCCGGTGGACAGGCTGGAGGATGGGCACCGAGATGCAGCGAGGCGTAGAACCGGGCCAACGCTGTGTTCATCGCGGCGGCGGCCGCCGCTGACAAGGCGGATTCGTGAGCCGCAGGATGCGACAGCGCGGGGAGACGGACTTGGGGCAGAATTGGCCGGTGCTTCTTTGCCGGCGGCGGTGGGTTTGAGGGCTTCGGGGCAAGCGGTCGCTTTACCAGGGGAGCCGCCTTTGCGATAGCAGAGACGGTTGTGTCCGTGGACGCTTGTATGGACGAAATCATCGAGCTCGAGGGAGCTACGGAAGCAGGCGGCGAGGACTTGGTGGGCGAGATCTGCGTCGGAGCTGGGCGTGGGATGTCAAATGCTATGGTCGGTGACGTCGATGTTGGCGAACGGGATGGCTCGGAGACACATGATGACAGCACGATTGGCCCGCTCGCCTCTTCAGGGAGGCTGGGTCGCACGCTCGGTGACCGCGCTGATGTTGCTGATGCTGGCGCTGGTGTAGTCGTTGATGATTGGTGGCTGATTCCTCCAGAATGACCGGTGGAGGGTGCCGTTCGACTGGTCAAGGCAGCTCCATTGGATGATGAGCCCGATTGAGACTTCTCGGTTGATGTGGCGGAGCCCTCGGTTGCCAAAGCATCGATGTCGATCGGAGACGCAGGCCGGAAGGGGACTTTGACTGGTTGCGGCAGTTTGGGTTGCGGTTGCGGCTGCGATCCAGACATTGACCGATCCTCTGGATGCTTCCCCGCCAGATCGCACGGACTCGGGGCGAGATCGGTTGACGCAGACTCTGCGCTGGAAGGCAAAGAGGACTCTGAGGACGATGGCCGAGAACGGGTGGCGGCTGAGGGCTTTGACGTCCGCATGCCCGGCCGTTTGCTGGGATCGGCCGTCTTGGCTCCATTGGCCAGCAGCATATCAATATTTTTGAGGATGGACGGCCGCCCTCGCTTTCGCCGGAAAGCATCGACACAGGAGTCGGCCTTGTTGAGTCGAATGCAGCGCTGGCAGGGCCGCTTGGCTTCGCAGGCAACATGCGCGGCTTTGCAATCAACGCAAGCATGGTTGACATATGCCTTCTTTTCTGGCTTTGCCGATCGCTTGACGATGCCGAGAGGAAGCTTGAACGATGGGGGTAGTTTGGGTGTCGCGACACTGGCGGAAGACGCCGCGACCTGATGGGCCACCAACGGACTCGGAAAGAGAGATGCTGGCAAATCAGGCGGATGGACTCCGATGGCTGTGGCTGCAGCCAAGGCGGCAGCCTCGGCGATGTGTGTGTCGGTGACGGACTGGAGGGCCTCGACCTGCCGCGCGGCGGCTAGGAATTGGATGTGCTCGGACAGCTGATGGAGATATTGCCCCAACGTTGGCGTTGATGATGGTGGTGTCGAAGGTGATCCCGGTGGCACCAACGATGTGTGCAGATGCGCCGTTCAATCAGAGCGTCCGCAAGAGCAATGAGCAGACACCAAAATAAGCATACCGCATGGTGAATAAGGATACGTGCTCTCGTTTCTTGCATGACAGACCACGAGGCTGTTCGTCAGGCAGGGTTGCCGTGGACGGAGATGCAGGCAATGGAGACCACGGGCAGAAGGACACTCACCTCGGAGTCACCTGGGACGTGCTTCAAAAGCTTTGCAACTTCAGCAAGGGTCGTCGGCGAGAGGAATCCCAGAGCCCCGAGGGACGACGATAGCGACGCCAGGTCCAGCGAGTCCAGGTTCGGAAAGCAGCGCGATGCGATGGTTGCAGCATTCGCCAGCTGCTGTGCTGCCAAGATTTCCGCTGGCGTCAGAACGCTTGTGCCGACCGGAGGAGTGGGGAGGGGAGAGGGCTGAATAGACGGAGAGGGCTGAATAGACGGAGACGGCTGGGTGGGCAACACAGAAGTTGCCGAGGACGCCGGAGATATCCGCGGCGCAGTGGCTGCCGAGGGCAACAGGGGAGGGGAGATCGGGCAGCCTCCAAACAGCGACCACAAGTTGAGGGACGACGGCGGCGCTACTGAGCCAAGCGGGTCGGCAGGGACATCTGCCGATGCCGTATCCGGGACCGAAGACGAAGACGATGTCGGAGATTCGGCCGTAAGCGCAGGGAGCGGTGGCTCGGATTCATGTTCGGAATCAAGCGACGGGAGAGTTGGCAGCAGCAGCGAGAGAGGTGCAGTATGCTGCACAGGATCGAGCAGAGGGCCAGTGGCCGCGAGTACCGACGGGGAGGGGCAGGTTTCCGAGGTCGGAACCATACGGTGGGCACGCAGGGGAGTCGGCTGGAGGAATGTCTAGCTCGCCGATCGATAGGGCAGTTCCAGATGCAGTTGGGGTGTGGCTGAGACGGCCGTGGATGATATGTCGTGGCTGATATGTCGTGGTTGAGATGGCGTGGTTGAGATGACGTGGTTGAGATGGCGTGGTTGAGATGAGTTCCAAGTTGCGCTGATGATTCGACGGCGAACGACCAGAGAGGTCGGGCTCGGGTTCGCCGGCAGCGAGAAGAGCCGCCGAGACAGGCACGAGACGGGCGCGAGAGCAGCGGCGAGAGCAGCGGCGAGAGCAGCGGCGAGAGGACGGGCACGTGGGTGGGCATTCTGTGGCGGGCGTTCTGTGGCGCTGTCCGACGAATGGTAAGCACAGCGAGTATTCGAAATGCCCTCACCGACAGATACGCCCCGCAACAGATGTCCACGTCCCAGCCCCGCGATTGATGTCGCCGCAGCACAGCGTCCGCCGTATCATCCTGCGGTGCTCCCGGAGACGGCAGCAGCAGCATCAGCAGCAGCATCAGCAGCAGCATCAGCAGCAGCATCAGCAGCAGCATCAGCAGCAGCATCAGCAGCAGCAGCATCAGCATCAGCAGCCCAAGCAAGCCCGGTCGGAGTTTGAAGCACTGCGCTGCGCAGTGCCGACAGTGCCACAGAGAAAATTTTTTTTTCAGGCGCCGCGCAGGGCGGAGTGTACGTGTGTGTGTGTGCGAGGAGCCGTTCTCGCCGGGCTCTCGCTGTCCACACGGCGTGCTGTGTGGTCTGCTGTCGGGCGGCCCTCGCGGCGCTCTCGCCGCGCCGCCGCCTCGCTCCCGGCTTTCGTATTTCAGTCCCGCGCTTCCCTTCCGTTTGCGTCCCTGCTCTTTACCCTCTGTCGTCTCGATCCATACTTCCCAGGGCCCATCCGCTGCCGTTGCTACTGCTCCTAGTCCCCGCCTGCCATGTACCCCGTCGACTTTAGCACTGCCCCGCTTGCCTCGCCCTCCGAGACCACAGAGCAGCGAGATGCCCGCCTCCAGGCGCTCCTCAGCGACACTGCCGACGACGGCCTGACTGCCGAGCAGCTCATGGACCCGACCATCTCCGGCGGCTTGACCTACAATGACTTCCTGATCCTGCCCGGATATATCGACTTTGGCGCCGATGTTGTCTCGCTGGACATCCAGGTCACCAAGCGCTTCAAGATTAAGACGCCCTTCCTCTCGAGCCCGATGGACACTGTCACTGGTACGCCAATTGCGGCATGGCACACCCGATATGCGCAATGCCATAGCTTCTCTCGGGCCGAACCGTGATTTCACAGTGCCATTGGGATCTGGCGCGGCTCTGCCGTTGCCTGCCGGCATTGGGAGAGGGCGGCCAAGAGCGGAGGCTGCTCAATGTCTCGCCACTCGACGCAACGCGTCCATGTGCATCGGCCCTCGATGGGAGTGGGTGCCTCGGAGCGCGGGCTCTGCCGAACGAACGCTCATCTCCACGACTCTGCCCTCGCGGCCTCTCCAGAGACCGACATGGCCATCCACATGGCCCTGAACGGCGGCCTCGGCGTCATCCACCACAACTGCTCGGTCGAGGAGCAGGCCAACATGGTTCGCCTCGTCAAGAAGTTCGAGAACGGCTTCATCGCCGATCCCATGTGCCTCAGCCCCGACCACACCGTCCAGGACGTTGTCAACATCAAGGCCCGATACGGTTTCTGCGGCATCCCCATCACCGGTACATACTCGTGCCCGAATGCGGCGGGCTGCATTCGTTTCCAGTGACGAGATTGTCCGTGCAGCGATGCGCACGCACATCACTTGCTCTCGGGTCTCACCTTCGTGTACCTGCTCCGTCGTGTCTGCACAGAGACCGGCAAGATGCACTCCAAGATCGTCGGCATCGTCACCTCCCGCGACATTGATTTCCTGCAGTCCAGCGAGGAGCGCTCCCGCCCGCTGAGGGAGATTATGACCACCGACCTCGTCGTCGCCAAGCAGGGCATCTCCCTCTCCGAGGCCAACGCTCTCCTCAAAAAGTCCCGCAAGGGCAAGCTCCCTATCGTCGACGAGGAGGGCCGCCTCACCTCGCTCCTCGCCCGTTCCGATTTGATCAAGACCCGTGACTACCCCTGGGCCTCCAAGAAGAACCAGTCCAAGCAGCTCCTCTGTGCCGCCGCCATCAGCACCCACTTTGAGGACAAGAAGCGCCTGGCTGCCCTCGTCGACGCCGGCCTCGACATTGTCTTCCTGGATTCGTCGCAGGGCAACTCGAGCTACCAGGTCGAGATGATCCGCCACATCAAGGACGCCTACCCTCACGTTGATGTCGTCGCCGGCAACGTTGTCACCAAGGAGCAGGCGCGCCGTCTTATCCAGGCCGGCGCCGATGGCCTCCGTATCGGCATGGGTAGCGGCTCCATCTGCATCACCCAGGAAGGTATGTATCGGGAGCCCGGCGAGACTGCCTCCAAGTCCCTCTGATGGCCGGTGTGGAATCTTTGAGCCTGTGCCACCTTGATTGCCCATTAGACGCCATGCAATGTGCTCACTCTTCGCACTCTTCGTCCAGTCATGGCCTGCGGTCGTCCCCAGGGCACTGCTGTCTTCCGTGTCGCTCAGTTTGCCCGTCAGTTTGGCGTCCCCGTCATTGCCGATGGTGGTATCGGCAACGTCGGCCACATTGTCAAGGCTCTGTCCCTCGGCGCCTCCGCCGTCATGATGGGCTCTCTCCTGGCCGGCACCACCGAGTCCCCTGGCGAGTACTTTTACAACGAGGGCCAGCGCCTGAAGAAATACCGCGGCATGGGTTCTCTCGATGCCATGGAGAAGGGCGACGCTGCTGGCAAGCGCTACTACTCCGAAGGCGACAAGATCAAGGTCGCCCAGGGCGTCACCGGCACCGTCGTCGACAAGGGCACCGTCAAGAAGTTCCTGGGCTACCTCACTTCCGGTGTCCAGCACAGTCTCCAGGACATTGGCTGCCGCAGCATCAGCGAGCTCAGCCAGAAGGTCGTTGACGGCGTCGTGCGATTCGAGAAGCGCACCGCAAGTGCCCAGTTGGAAGGCGGTGTCCACGGCCTCTACTCGTACGAGAAGCGCCTCTTTGCTTAGGCGAGCTGTTGCTCGGGCGGATCTTGGTTCAGCATAGCAACTCTACTTGTCATGTTATACTGCGTCCCATTTTATTATTGCTGCCGATCTTGAATATCCATCTGCAGCGATATTGCTCGAGCATGCATTGCGAAACCGCGATCACTCTGAGCCTTTAGCCCATCCTCTGTTCCCTTGTGGCAGCGGCTGCGATGGCTGCTGCGCGGGGCAGCCCTGTTATCCACTTTCCACCGACCTTCCACATTGAGACTCTAGATTCAGGTCTGCAAATCCACACCGACTGATCATAAAATGCATTCCTCCATGGACTCTGTCCATTATTTGACACCCTCAATAAACGACAATTGCCGAAATAATGCAGCGATGCGGTGGAACATGATGGGGTTGGACATTACTCAGCTGAAATACCCTCCCCCACATGATCGCAGAACGAGGAATAATGACTGCCAACATATCCTTCCCTACCGATCGATTTAATAATTCTCCAATGCCGTGTTACGCATTGAAGATGGCGCTCTATGCAAGACTTGTTCGACTCACGCTCGGCAAAGCCACGGGAGGTCGACGCAATCAACATTCTTGAGATCCATGATTGTTTGGACGAAAGACTTCAACCACCTTTCCAACACTCACGACAACGACTGTGATCCAGAGATAGACTAGGGCCATGATCGATCTGACTGCTGTGACGATGCTGGTGGAAATGTGCCAAGATTCGTCGTTGGATATGGAATCCGCGGCTTGCTTTTCGTCCGCAGCTTGATCGGACACTTGGGCCTGTTCTTGGGTCGAAGGCTTGTGTCGTTCAGAAATTGGTTCTGGCTCCGCAAAGTATCCACCTGATAGTGGAAGCTTCCTCAGCTCTTCTACCAATTTAACGACGGAGTCCTGTTCTGGGAGGTCGCCGCCTGGACTGATTTCGTCTGAAGCATCCGGCAGCTTCACGATATCCATTTCAGCTTGATATTGTTCCCTGATTCGACTGAATGCGAGTTGGACCCTTGCGGCAATTGAGGCACTTTTTGGAGAGGTAGGCAGGGTTGAACGCTCCATTTCATCCAAATACTCAAAGACTGCGTGATTGGTGAACGCCAGACTGTGATCCCTGATATATGAACCAAAGCTTGACAAGGCAGCTTTTAATGTGGATAGCTCAGCTTCAAGATCCTCGGCAACTCGTTTCTGATCGGCGATCCTCTCTTCCAAAGCATCTTGATTCAGTTTTTCAATATCAAGTTGTTTTGAAAGCTGCGACGCCAATCCGTTCGGCTTGTATCTGAGCTCCCAGTCAATGCGCATGTGTTCATCCGAGCGATGTTCGCACGCTAGACACAGGCCGTTATGCATTACTTCGCACTGAAAATGATCATTTTGCACTTCAGGCTCAGTTTCGTGTTGGACTGAGGGACACGTGCAGTTTAGATGACACCGGCTTGGGTAATCGGTTTGATCAACACCATTTTCGTCGCGGAAAAGTTTGACACAGTCTTGGTGAGAGCAGACGGTCGTCTGGAAAGGAAGTATATGCCTTTGTGGAATTTCATCGGAGGCATCGAGATGCTGCTGAATATTGGCCAATTCTCGTTTTTTCTGATCAAGTTCTTGATCGAGACTGGCTATTGCGCTTTGTGTTGCTCGTAGAGAGTTTTCAACAACAACGCTCGCCTCTTGGATTCTGGCCAAAGCCTTCCTTGCTCGAAATTATACCTTTACGATGAGAAATCACAAACCCCGATCCAAGTGTCATCCGGGGTGAGCTATCCTGGAACTTCAGACGAAGGTGAGGTGATTGAAGTCAGTATCGAAAATCAAGCCAAGATCAGATCCAAATGGCTTTGAGGATGATAAATCAAACCCTGGATGAGCTCAAGGCAGAGCAGCAGCAGATATTGGCCATCAGCGCCCATTTTGCATTGTTCGTCAAGGCAAATGGCATTGTCCATTTCAATGACGCCATCCTCAACTATATTGATCACTTGATTAAACAAGCTCGGGACTCAACCTCGGCTACTCAAGATCAGCTCTCATACCAAGCAAAAATCGACGGTCTCGAAAAAATGAGAGAAAAATACAATATCGAGAGGAAGCTCTTGACGGAAGGAGTCGAGGTTTCAAAAGCTGTCCCAACTCCAGAAGAAATCGAAGAGCTGATCAAAACGCTTTCAACCCTCAAGTACAACGGAGAATTCTTTGGTAAGTTTACAAAGATCTCTGGAAGGATTCCTCCCCCACGCCATGGAGTCATCATCACCAATCAACTCCAGCAACCATCTCCACCCAAGCCACCCCAGACCTCAAGGTCCTTCACGCAACTCGCGAGCCAAACCATGTCCACACTTGCCAACGGGGTTCAAAATCTGAGCATTTTCTGATTTCGGGATACTTCGCTTATCAGTGGTGATCATGTTTGATTATATAGTTTTGCTTTCGATTTGCTTGACTGTTCACGAGTATGTGAAAGAATTTAGTTCCAAGTATTAGTTCTTCTCAAAATGATGTCCTTCCATTTGAATAATAATCATCCGGGTCCAGATGTTTTCAGCAGTTCATAAGGCCGAGCGAATATGTACCCCTTGATAGGCCAACTCCCTCCTCTCTCCCGACTGGATTCCAGTTGTCCCAAGGCTTTCACCCGACCTTTCTGTCCGTACCGTATGAGTGGCTAGGCAGGGTACCCAGTGTCTTCCTCGCCACCGATTCCTGAATGCTCATGTCGCTCTGTGCCCAGACTGCTTTCGTTGGACAGGAGCGTCGGGTCATGGGGCCGTTTCTTTCCCGTCTGGCGCTCTCTGGTTGGCCGGTGCAGCCAGCATCCGCTCTCGCTGCCCTCTGCTCCCTTTCGCCCCACTGATCTCATCTCCTCCTGTTGCGGACGAGGGCCTTGAAGACCGCACTCACCTCATTGACAAGATTGCCCCGCGCCCTCGCCAACAGCACCACAAAATGAAGCTCCTCGGCGTCTCGGTCGTTCTGCTGGCGTGCATGACCCTGGGCATCGAAGCTCGCCATCGCGCCGGGCCTTGGAGCGGCTATCGGGGTGCCACCCACCAAGTGCAGTCGCAAATGGAGGCCGAGCATCTCGCCTACAAAGCCCCTCCGCAGCCCGATGGCTCTGCCTCCTCGTCCTCTTCCTCGTCATCGTCCGAAACGCTCAACGACAACGACATCTATTACTACTTTGCCCTGCACGACCAGAACCACGACGGCTTTCTCGACGGCCACGAGATTCGGAACGCACTCACGACCTTTGGTCCGGCCCAGGGCTCAGACCGCAAGTCGATCGACCAGATCGAGAGAGAGGTCGACGAAGCGCTTGCACAAGCAGACACCAACAACGACGGGCTGGTCTCGTGGGATGAATATCTTGGCTCACAGCTGCGAGGCTAGGCGACGGCGTCGCTGTGCGCGCTGGTCCTGCCCTGTTCGAGAGATGGGTCTGCTGATAGGCAATATAGTTCCTGGGCCTCTGCCACCCCGCCCCGCTATTTGTTTGGAGACAGACCAGATCGGACCAAGATACGATCGCCCAGTGCGTCCGAGCTCTCCAATCGCAAATCTTTCGTTTATTGGATGGGCAAGCGTGTAATCGCTCAACAGACCATGGCGCTCGAGCAGCAGCAGGCTTAAGCCAGACTAACTTCGACACCAAAGGCAACGGCGAGCTTGACGAAACGAGCAATGTGCTCAAAGTCGATGTGAGAAACGTCGTCGTCGGTGCTGATCGGTGAAAGCAGCAGATGGAGAGCCGTGAGCTTTCGCTGTACTGCTATATCGAGACAGGCGCAGCGCCAACCAGCATGAGCGACCTGCATCGATTCAGGCAAGACCAGGAACAAACTTACGTGTGGATGTAGGGCGAGTGGTCGTCAAAGGCAGCCTCGAAGGTAAAGACCGAGGGGTAGCCGGCCTTGGTCCACGAAGCGTGGTCGGAGCATCCGTAGCTGGGGATGGAGCAAGCCGGGGTTAGTGCAGCTTGGATCCCAGAGCTGCCGATGCCATCCAAAGAGAACACTGCCGACGTGGAACGTGCGTTCTATGAACCGAAACGGAAGAGCTCGCCGATACATACCCGCACTTGGTGTCGATCCACTTGACACTGCTGTATTCCTCCGAAAGCTTTCGCAGATACGTGGTGAGGCTGTCATCGACAAAGTCGGTGGAGATACCGATAACGGGCTCCTTGTCTTCAGGGGTGAAGCCGGTCATATCGATCTGGTACATGCCAGCGACGGACACGCCGTCTTCCTGGTACTTGGCGACAACCTTCTGGGAACCAAGGAGACCTGCGTCGCTCGGGAGCAGCCACATCAAATCAATCAGACGCGCCATAGAGCATCGGATCATCTTTGCCCATCGCAACACATCGCAACACATCGCAACACGCCAGTCAATCTGCTCGATCCTCACCTCCTTCTTCGGCAGAGTACCAGTGGAACTCGATTGGGCGCTCAGGAACAAATCCATTTGCAACAAGGATGCGGAAGGCCTCAAAGACAGTGGTGGTGCCGCTGCCATCGTCGTCGGCGCCGGGCGATCGGCCCCACCAGGGGTTCCACTGGTTGACAGAGTCGAGGTGGCCGCCAATGATGACAATGCCGCCCTTCTTTGCCTCAGACACCGCAGCAGCCTCGAGACGGGCGATAATGCTGAACTGGGGCCACGAGTGCTTAAACTTGGAAACGGTCACCTTGACGTCCTCGGAAGCCGAGGAGGCCACGTCCGTGATCTGGGTGTGGAGCCACTCGGAAGCATCCTTGCCTACGGGGACCAGCGGGAGCAGAGCGTGAGTCGGCCGGATGGCATCCATCGCATCCATCGCAACGCTGCTTTGGTTCGACAGGGAATGACAGGTATACGCTCGAGACCTACCGTGCTGGGTTTGGAAGTAACGGGTCTTGAACGAGCTGAACTCGGTCAAAAAGTTCTCCATGATGCTCTGCGAGATATTCTGGGAGAGCGGGTTGACGACATAGGGGTACTTGACCTCCTTGGGAACAGCTAGCGTCGGCCGAAAGCGTGTTCAGCACAACCACCATTGTTACGTTGCGAGAACGAGCGTGCAGGATGGAATCACCGAGTCAGAGATCAGCATGGCAACAGTACTGAACAGCGGGCAATCCAGAGACCTTCCACACAGCGACAGCAGCTCAATCGGGCCGTCCAGCACCATTCAATGTGCAAGACACTCACGGATCTTTTCGGGCTTCTTGAGGTTGGAGACACCCTCCAGATCTCCGTCGGTGACGTCCATGAAGGTGCGTCCGGCTCGGATCAGATCAAAGATCTGGGTCTCGTCCATCCAGACGCGCTCCGAGTCGGACAGGGCAATGAGACGCTTCGAGGCCTGGTAGAGGTTGAAGACCTGGTCCGAGTGCTTGGGCCGCGACGGAGCGAGGCGGCGAGCAGCAGAGTCGTCCTGACGATGGCGACCGTGGTGGCCGTCGTGGTGGCCGTCGTGGTGGCTGTAGAAGCGATGGTGGCTGGCATCAGAGCGAGCGTCGTCCACCATCAGCTGCTGACCAGCCGGGCCCTCCCAGAGGCCAAGGGCGGTTGAGGAGAGCGACAGAAGCGCGAGCACGAAATGAGATCGAATAAGCATAGTGGCAACGGGAAGAACGGCCAGCCAAATGAGGGTGGAGAGCAGGGGTGGTGGAAAGGGGAATATTCAGCAACGGAAATGAGAACGGCAGAAGGCGTGGATGAAGAGCAGTTAGTTGATCAGGAGCGATGAGGGCTGGTATCGACGAACAGGGGCTGGGCGATGGAGGGAGAGATGTCCGGCGGGTGAAGGCAATGACGCAAGCGCCATGCCATGGGCAAGAAGCCGGGGCGGCTGGGGCGCGTGTCCGAACCCTGGTCACGGGGCTCTGCTGCGGCTCAGACACCCGCGCGCCCCGTGGTCGTTCGCCGTGGGAACGAGTGTCTCGTTTCGCTCTGTGGCGTCTCGTTTCGTTCTGGATACAGTGCTGCGGGCTCATGGGGATGGGCGAGCGGTCCAGCCGATGGCGTGGTGTCTGGCGGCTCGATACATGGACAGCACGAGTCCCCTGTCCAGACGATAGACCAGGACTGCGCTCACAAACCAACGAAAACAAAACGATGGCCAACCAGGACGGGAAACAATCACACGGAAGCCCACGGACTTCGGGACTCTGATGCCAGAGAAAAGAGGCACTGTTCTGGGGGGGGGTTTTCTGGAATGACTGTATTTTCAAGTTGGGACGGGGGGTTTTCGGTCATTTTCATTTTGTTCAATTTTTCGCATTCGTTTCCAAAACACGCTAGAGAGATTGCTATGGGGTCTGAGGCGTTCGAAGCCTGGCTTCTCAATAAATAGTAGAATAGTAGTCACAAGGAGGTTGCGTGAGCGGACGCAAGATTGTGGTCAACAAAGGATAGGAACAGACGACGAGACAATGGGAGAGAGAGAGAGAGATCGAGGAGGCAATAGAGGAGTAGGAGAGGGGAGAGAGAGAGAGAGAAATGGAGGAAACGGAGCAGAAGGCCAACCAGAGTACATGTGACAGATCGACGACGAGGCCGAAGCGCCGAGAATATACGGCAGAGCATCCCGGAGAACACCAGCAAGACAATGCAGCAGCCAGAAGCCGCACAGAGCACCGGCAAGGGCATTCAATCGGCTTCGCCAGGACTGCGCAGCCGATATCGACTCGGCGCCATCTTGTATCTTGTGCACAGCACGAAAGGCAGGGCGCTGATGAGAGTTTGGGTTGCGTGAGGATGGAGGAGGACACGATGGCCGCGCCGGCAAGCCAGCATGGCCCAGTCCAGTCCTCCGTGCCGACAAAGTGCCGGGCGCGGGTGGTGCTCTAAATGTCTAGCTTCCATGACAGGTCCAGGATGCTGTCCAGGTCGACGAGGGGCTCGGCTACCGCGCCGGTCTTGCCGCCCGGCACAGACGAGCCCAGTCCGCTGCTGGGTCCGGGTACGCCGTCTTCGGGCAGCTCGAACCGGCCATTCAGCTCGCCAAACAGGTCGCTCACAAAGGATTCGGAGTGGGTCTTTTTGATCTCGGGTATCATCATGTACGCGTCCGCGTCGGGGTGGCCCAGGCCGGTATCGAAAGAGTTTTGCGTGCTCGACGGCAGGGCCGATGTCGAGACGTTCTTGTGGTGCCCGAGGAGCCGAACCGATCCATTCGGAGCCGTGTGGCGGCTGGCCTCGTCGCTGGACATGAACTTGATGGACTTGCTCCGGAAGAGCTTGGCCTTGGACTTGAGCTTCTCGATGCTCGAGGACACGAGCTGCTTCTTTTCGTCGAAAAAGTTGGACGACATGGTCACACTTCGCTCGATCAGCGGCGGGGAGAACGGGCGGTTTGATAACGAGCTCTGTTCAGAGTGAGAGCGCACACTCATCGACCGCGAGGACAGCTTGCTGGACGATGACGAGGACGGACTGCGGCCAAGCTCACTGAGGTCGGTGGAGGAGACCATGCCAAGCCGCGAGCGCCGCTTGTTGGCTCGTGCCCGGAACTTGGAATTGCCGCCAAGGAAAGGAGTGTCCTTTTGGAATCGACGGAAGTACTGCATCACGTTCTGGTCCCGGATGCTTTTGGTGTCGAGATCGTTAGAGAGGTTGGCGTCTTGGGGCATCTCCGACAGCTGGGCAACAATGTCTTTGGGATTCAGGGATGTGGAGATACTCGGGGAGGTGGGCGAGGCAGCCGAAAACTCGGCCGCGGACGGGCCAGAGGCAGTCGCCAGCGTTGTCGACGACATCGAGGTGGTCCGCGAGGGGATGTCCAGAGGCGGCATTACATCCAGCGAGTCCGTATTGACAATGGCATCGTTGGCAACAGTCCAGGTGTCAAGCTCCAGTAGACTGACGAGCGAGGTGATTTGTAACGGGGGCAGCAGCGAGGTGCGCGAGGACTCGGTCGAAGCCACAACCGTAGCCTGGTTGGCAATGTCGATGGGGCTGAGTGGCGCCAGGGGACCCAGGAGCGGACTCAAGGGGCTCTTGGAGTTGCTGGGCTTTGGCGGGGCCTCCGGCACGACCTCAGGCGTGACAGTCGAGATCTTGAGCGGCGCACGCACCAGCGACGAGGTGCGCTTGCTAGCCTCAATCTTCGGGGCTGTCGACTGGGGGCTGCTCTTGGCTGCCGACGCACCGCTGCGCAAAGACGAGGTTGATTTGTTGCTCGAGACAGACTGCTTTGACGACTGCGATGCCGAGCGCGACATGGCGGGTGAGGCCAGAACAGGGACAGGGACAGCCGACCGCGGAGGCTCGACAAGAGCGGCACTGGGGTCGCTGGCCGGGCTCAGAGACTGAGGCGCAACCAGGGGCAGCTTTGGGGATGTGGTGGATGTGGGAGAGAGATACAGGTTGCCAAGGGGAGTGTTGTCGTCATCGTCATGGTCGGCGTCGCGGGTAGGAGACGGCGACTGGGGATTTGGAGGGGGGCTTGTCTTGCGGGTCGGGCTTGTCCGCGGTGACGGGCTGGTCTTGGGAGGAGAGCCGGGCTGCCGAGGCGATACCAGGATCGAGCTGTCGACTTTGACAGGGGTGAGGCCGGCAGTGTGTGATGAAGCTGCGGCAGCAGCAGGCTCTGGCGAGGCCTTGGACTCGGCTGACCGGAGCCGGGGTTGCATCCTGTCGCCAGCAGACTCATCCTCGCTCTCCTCGGACTCGGTTTCGTCGTCGTCATCCTTGTCCTCCTCCTCGCTGGTGTCTGAGGAATAGCCAGAGTCACGGGTGACCTGCGATTCGGGCTCGGTGATGGGGATGCCGGTAAGCTGCTTTGCATACTTTGCCAGGGAGCCAAAGTTTATCTCGAGCTCCTTTGGGCTCAGCATGATGCCGGACTTGCGGTGCTCCTGCAGGCGAGAAACAGCGAGCAGTCCCAGCGGGGCAGCATCGACGGTGAGCATGGCGAGTATGGTGAGCGTGGTGAGGATGAAAGTAGGAATTTGGTTGTGTTGCACAGCGGGAACGATGCGATACACAGCGACGGTGCAGATTGCCATCGAGTCGATGAAGCATCGCAGTGAGAGAGGCGAAATGGCGTCGGAGCGTGAGCGATTGGATCCAGAGTAAGAGGAGGTGGGCAATCGAGACATGGAGTGGTTAGCGAAATGGGACACAAGAGCTGGCTGGCTGATGCGATAGCTGCGAGGGTTGACGCTGTCACAGACACCGACCTGAATCTTCTTGGCCTGCTGCTTGGCTGCGAGGATGCCCATGTCCATGGCTCGCTGCAGCGTGGCGCCGTGTTGGGGCAGCAGTATCGACCAGGCAGCATAGACGCCTGTGACGAGGTTCTGGATGAGAACGAGCTTGCGCATGTAAGCGGGAGTCATGCGGGCTTGCTGCAGCTTGAAGGTGGAGACGCACGCCAGCTGGACGGGATCGTAAAAGTACTGGACGCTGTCCGAGGGCTGCAGTGCGAGCGGGATGAGGGTCGACTTTGAAGCCAGGACGTCGATTCGCTTGGGCTTTGTGGCGGCCGGGACGGCCGGCGGGGCAGGAGCAACCGCAGCTCCCATGGGACCAGGCATGGCAGAGAGTTGGGCGGTGGTGGTGGTGCTTGAGGGTAAAATCAGCCAGAGAGGAGAGCCAGAGGCCAGGGACAACAGACCAGAGCAAGATCGGGCGAGAGCGAGCGGGAACGGCCAAACAGGAAGCGCTGCGATATATCTTCAGAAGAAGAAGAACAAAAATAATGGGAATAGCCCAAAGGAGCGAGGGGACGGCGGTGGTGGGGGGGGGCCGTTGGGGGCCGTTGGAGGGGGGTGCTGGTACAGGCCAGATGGAAAGACAAGAGGTCAAGAGCAGAAAAAAAGGCAGGCCGACAGGCGGGACGATATGGCCGATGGGCGGACATACAGCCGCCCAGGGCAGGCGCGGTCCGCCGCGTGCGCGCTGCCGGCGCCGTCGCACCACGCCCGTGCGCGCGTCGTTTGTTTGCGCGGCGCGTGTGTGGTGTGCCGCAGACTGTGTGCTGTGTGTCGCTTGCGCCGTGCGCGTACCCATTCGGTGCGACTCTCGTACCACATCTTCTGTAAAGCGCGTCCCCACAGCCAGTGTCGACTGTGGACAGTCTGCACTCCCCATTGCCCCCAGCTCTTTGTCGCCGTGCCCCAGGCTGCACGACCGATCGCGCCCTCTGTGTCCCCGCGCCCGTGCCGCGCTTGTCCCACACCCGCGGCCCCGTCCCACCACGATCGCGTCGCTGCCCCGCCACGCACCAGTCCATGCACCAGTCCACGGCCAGTCCATGGCTGGTCCCTCCACCGCCTGGCCACCGCTGTCGCAGAGTTCTGCGATTCACCCTGCGATTCACCTGCATTTCACTCTGCATTTCACTCTGCATTTCACTCTGCATTTCACTCTGCATTTCACTCTGCATTTCACTCTGCGATTCACTCTGCGATTCACTCTGCATTTCATCCCCTCCGCTTGCAAGCCGGATATCCTCGGGCACAAACTGTCTGTGCCGTGTTTGTCTCTGTCTTGCTTCCCTGTTCAGTCCATCCAATGCATCCGCGGTGTCCCTGGCTGCTGTTGCTCGGGCTCGTCTCGTTGGTCAAGCAGGATCGCAAGATCCCGCTGGCCCCGCGACGTCGTCTGGTGGATGTACTCGTCCTGCGGCAGCCCCAGGTTATCGTCGTCAAACAGGCGGTTGCGGCAACCACGGTCTTGCCTGGGCTGGTCGTTCTCCCGGGTCCGTGTGCTGTCGTCGGCTGGGTCGGCTGTCTTTGGCTTGGGAAGCTCGCATGTACCGTCGCTGTCGGCTTGAGCGTCCCGGCTGCCAACATCGGCCCGCAGCCGCTGGGCACAGACCTCGGCCGTCCATACGTCCTTGGTCACCTCGGCCACCCCGGCCGCGCGCTCTTGCCACCAGTCCCAGTCCCGAGCCTGATTGCTGGTAACCGTGGGAGGCGCAAAGACCAGGGGCGGCGGCGGCGGCGGCGGATACGGCACCAGCCCCAGCGACGGATCCGGGTCATCGGGTGGAGCTCGGTCGCTCGGGATGTAGTGGCCCCGCACCATCGGCCGCATCTCGAGCCCATCCGGCTCTGGCCCCACGCCGCGGCGCTCCGGTGCGGTCCAGCGATGTGTCGAGTCCGTGTGGGCAACTTGGCCGGGTCGGGTTGATGTGCTGGCCCGAGCTGCTTGGCGGACGCTGACGGTTCGACGGGCCGGCTCCCCTTCTCCGCCGTGGATCGGCTCGCTGGTCCAATGCCATCGAATCCGGTGGAGCAGCAGCATCGAAAACAGCATTAGCGCCTTCGTGCGAGATGCCGCGGTGCTGTGGTCGCACGCCCATGTTACTTACCGGCTCGACAGCACCGAGGGCCGTCCATGCAATCCGGTCTCGTGCTTTGGGCTGGTCGAGTTACTTCCTATCGACATGCTTGGCCAGAGCCCAGGCTCGAGAAATAGATGAGGCATTGCATTCCAAATCAAACCTGCAAAGTACCCAAACGACGGCAGCGCGTTGCTGCGTCGATGCGAGGCCAGTTCACGCTCTCGTTCTCTCAAGACGTCATTCGCTGCCGCAACGACAGCCTGGAACTGCCGCTCGGCACTTTGCGGCTCGAGAAGCGATGTGGGCGAGCCTGCGTCGAGTACTGGCGAGGTCGCACAGACGGATGTGCTACCATATCCGAGGGCCTCGGCTGCTGCAATGACGGCTCGGAGCTGGGCCGCCCCAACAGCCTCTTCCTCGGCTTGGTCGTCACGGATCTTCCCTGGATGGTCAAAGTCGCTCGGGCTTGCTGAAGCCGTGGTTGCTGTGTTGGCAGCAACCTCGTCAAGCAAACAACCAGGATTCACATTGTCCACGGTTGACGTTTCTTCAGTCGCAACGCTTGGCCGAACATCACCCGACATCATTGGTGGCCACTCGTCCAGACGAGGGAACGAGCTCAGGCCGCCCTCCCCACAACTGGATGAGCCAAACCACCACGGATCTTGAGGCTGCTTCCGCGTCTTGCCTCTTTGGAAGCTGCGGTGTTGTCGGAAATACTCCTCGATTTCAAAGTCGTCGCAGGGCTCCACATCTTCGCGCTCGAGAGGATGGCTCGGTCGAAACGGGACGGGTCTGAGGTTGCCCGAGACTCGCCCCGCCATCCGACTGGGCAGCGTCGAGGTGCTTTGACGCATGGTTGGGTCTTCATGCAATCGGGTGTCTGTCTCTGCTTCAGCGTCATGCGAAAGAGGCGGAAACAGCTCCAGAGCCGACTCGACCCTGCGTGAGAGTTGCCTCACAAGGGCGCCTTCGATTAGTCGATCGATGTCGAGTACAGGCGACTCGGACTCGGCTTCGTCAAAGGGCTCTGTGTCGCGACTGCTCAGGTGCTCAGAGCCACTCTCCATCGAGTCAGCAATGTCAAGGGCAACCAGGACACTGGGGCGATGGCATCGCTTGGAAATACGAATATCTTGACGGCAAGTCTCAGACTGAACGAGATCTTTGTCATTGCAGGACTGCACAGATGCACGCAGCGTGGCAACGGAATCTCTGGCGTCTTGGACCGGACCCAAGTGGGCCCAAACCTTTGCCTTGATGCCCTCTATACTGACACCGACTTGTCTATCGTCGAACGGACCCATGTTGATGTCGAACAGATTTGTGCTGGTATCGAATGGATCGCCACCCATGTCGTTGTTTGAGGCCGTAAACGTCTTTCCCGAGTGCGCCACGACGGTGGTGCTGAGGGCCGCGAGGTCCATCGTGGTTCGGTCGGGATCAAGATCGCGCAGGTGGTCCAGCGATCGCGAGGCAGGATGCCGCCTGGGTCTTCCCGGCGACCGCTCATCGTCCGAATCGCTCTCGGAGGAGTCGGTGGACCGGCTCTGGTCCTTTCGCTTGGTCTTCCATAGGCGGCTCAGAGTGCCGGCCAGCCGAGACTCGCGCTTGTGGGAGTGTGGGAATTCACCGGCATGATGGGATGCAGGAACATGGGGCCCCATTCTCGTGTGTTTGCTGGCCTCTCGCCGATGGATGCCCTCGGGCAGCGAATGCGACACTGCGTTGCGGCGCATCGGGTACAAAGAATCGTGCGATACTCGCTTTCCAGCAGGCTCGTCCGACCGGCTAATCCAATCTTCTTTCTCTTCCCTTTCTTCATCTTCCCACCAAGGCGAGCGGGAGTGTGGGTGTGCATGCAGCCTCTGAGCCACATGCTCGAGTCCGTGTGCGAGCAAGCTCTTGACCCGGGCAGAGGCCATGCGCGAGCGAGAGCCGGTGTGGGGCAACTGGCTCCGGCTTGCTCCCGACGGCCCGGGCTCGTCGTCATCGTTGTCTTCTCGGACACGGCTAGTTTGTCGTTGGTGTGCTCCGTAAGTGGCCTCGGGAGGGACCAGAAATCGGGAATCCAAGCCTGGTTTCATTTGTCCTGGGATCGACCTGCAGAAGCGCTGTTGTCGGAGATGATGGCGGTGGGCAAGGGCAGACAGATGAATGCGGTCCTTCTGGGTGCATCACGGGTGTTGTTGGGCATTCTGGGGATAGCGCCAAAGCCTGCAGCCCAGGTTCCCAAGCCAAGGCGAAGGGCGGTAAAGAGGCGGGAACCAAATTGTGGATGGGGTGATGTTGATCGATCTCCTGGCTGAATGACGTCGACGCTTGCGATGGGCTCGGGGCCAATGAGATATCGACCACAGAGTTGTGGGAGTCTTTGATGGACTCCATGGGACAGACGCCCAGGGGACCGATATCCCCCGCTTGGTCCGCCTCGGCCATGAACATGTCCTGGCAACCATGGCATTCCCGCAGCGAACGGACAAGGACAAGGACATGCCCGCGCTCGCTTCGGCGGCCGTTCTGTCACATGCGATTCCTGCATTCCTCCCAGGCCCGACCAGCATCGGCGACCTGCGCCCTCTGGCCTGGCTTCATCGGCGCTTTGGCTTTCATCGGCGCTCGACCCCGATCTGCATCCAACCGACCCTCATCCCACACCCACACCCACACCCACGCCCCCGGCAACGTTTCCCACTATGATGGCCGCCAGCCAGCCCGACATAGCCTCGTCGATCGCCACAAGGATCATCGCCGACAGCGACCTCCAGGACATTGCCCGCCTCGTCTGTCTGCAAAAGTGGGCCGAGGCCTGGACCCGGTGCCAGGCGCTGCTGCCGGCGCTCTCTGCAACACTCCTCTACCAGCCGGCCTACTGCAAAGCGTTCTGGCTCTCGTACCTGACGATCGTGGCCCACACCAACAGGAGCAATCCGCTGCAGGAATGGAGCTCGATCATGGACTTTTATGGCGATGTGGGCCTCATTGATCTAGAGCTGGTTGTGATGGGGTAAGGATGAGCCAATGCCGTCCCTGTGGGGCTGCTGTTTGTCCGTCGAGCCTGGAGCTATGCACAAAGCTCGTCGAAGCAGCCCTGATCGACTCTGCATCAGCAGTAACCGACCGACCGACCGACCGACCGACCGACCGACCGACCAACCGCTGATTGCTCGCCTGTTCTCTTGCTTGTTCTCTTGCTTGCTTGCTTGCCTGCTTTCACCGTGCCGGTCATCACACAGGGCGGGCATCTACCAAACACACAATGAGCTTCAGTCGGCCAAAGACCTGATCGAACTATGGATCGCAACGCAGCCCGACAGCTTCTTTGAGCAGCTGCCACAGTCCAGCCAATCCATGAAAGCCTACGAGCAGCTCCTGGAACTCTATCTTTTGCATATCTGCACGGGCCTGAAGGACTGGGAGGCCGCCGAAGAGTTTCTCGACTTTGACGAAGTACTGACCGCAGAGCGCAAGGAGGTGAGTTCCTTCCCCAGCCCATTCGACCGTCATCCAGCCTCGGCCATGATGCGCCCCGCTCGGTTGGATTGACAGCGGAATGCTGATAACCGCTACTCTTGTCTAGCTCTATCGACAAAACCTCGGCGAGCTCCGCCAGGCCGTCGAGCGCCCGGCTGCTGCTGCACCCAGACCGGCCGCATTGGCTTGCCCCCGCTCTGCTACTGAAGCCAAGGAGCCAACGCAGAATACAACGGGCGCCCAGGCTCGTGCTGCCGCTCGCATCGACGGCAGCATCGAGGATCTGCGCCAGAACCAGGATGGCGAGCCATCCAACGACTCGTGGCTCATGCAGCTCCGGCAATCTGCAGCGATTCAGATGCTGTTGGGCAACCGGCGTGCCGCTGCAGCTGTTTTCCTGGCTGTCCTGGCGGCAATCCTGATTCCCAGAGCACTGAGGAAGCGCCGAGGATCAGAGCATGGGTGGCTGGCGGTTGTGGCCGCAAAGATCGGCCATATGGTGAGAGCGGCGCTCCGAGGAGTGATATAGTGCTCAAGGGAGTAATTTAGTACTCGCAGGGAGCGATGGAGTACTGGCGGTGAGTGAAGCAAGAATATCTTGCTTTCGGGTTCGTTGGATGTTCTTCTCACCCTGAGAGCCAGTGAATATACACAAGATGTCATTTTTTGCAAAAGAATACAGTGGTGATGGTGCCGGAATCATGGTCGCGCACAGAGATGGATCAGACACAGCCCGAAACGCATGCTCGACAAAATGGCCGTCGTGAACAGGAAGAATCGTGTCTGGGAGGAGCACAGTGTCCGTCTTCGGGACCAGCTTGGCTCTCGGTATCAACTTCTCGCATAATGACCGAATGAGTTGAATCAGGCACCAAAGAGGTCGTCGTTCAGGGTCGTCGTCCCGGCCGTCTGGACTGTTGCCAGCACGATCTCTCCGACCTGGCTTTTGATTGCTTCCAGCGGCTGGCGAGCATCAACGACCTGATCCCATCGAGACAGCATATATAGATATACACTGTTAGTCCAGAACACACTGCTGAAGCAGTGATGATGCCCGCCTACCGCCGTAACAACCACCAGCAGCGGATATGACGTAGAGCCAGCGCTGGTCACCCACCTTCCACGAAGGATCCCGGAGTCGCCCAAAGGCCTGATAGACCTTGTTCTGGAACTCGAGCTTCTCATACCGCTCCGCGCCATAGTCGCTGCGCTGAGCTGCCTCGGCCGGAGGAATATCTAGAAAGATGATCTGGTCGGGGCGCAGGAGACCTACGTCTGGATTCTTGCACCACTGCAGGTCAAGGCCCTGGGACATGCAAAACACCGTAGCGAGAAAAATAGCGGGGGGGGGGCAATCTGGAGAGTGAGCCAACGTTATCGCAGCGGTGTCGATAGCATTCGAAGGTGTGCACAGCCGATCAGCACAAGCCTTACCTTGGCAGAAGAGTAGGCTACTCCTGAGAAGGCGTATCTGTCGACAATCAGAGTGATGCCTTGTTGCAGCTTGCGTCTCATAGACGACCTGGACGACACAGGCACCAAGTCAGGTGGCGGAGAGGAGCAAATCGAATCGAATTAAATTCAAATGAAATCAAATTTCGGCCGGACGGTTGCGGAGCGGCGATGAGCTTCCGTGGGGCTACAGGACGGTCTCGACGTACATGCACTCCCATCGGTTGGCAGAGAACATCAAGTGGACGACTCGATCGTCGATCTCTTGCATTCCCTTGAGGTAGCGGTCGATGGATTGTCCAATTGGCGTCGTGCGATCTTGCAGTATAGCAGATTGCAGCGATCAGTGAGATCAATGCGGCGTAGTATCGACAGTGGAGGAGGGCAGAGTCCGAGGGTCCAAAACGACCCTGGATTCTCAAAGCAAACAAGTGCCCTGGTACCTGGAAACTTGATGAGCTCCACAGCCAACCCCCGGGACTCCAAGAGCTCGACGAGATGCGAGCATTGCGTCGATTTGCCCGAGCGATCGGTCCCTTCTATGACAATCAGCGCACCGCGCCTGGCGGAGGACTGTTCAGATGCAGAGCTGGCGGTCATGATGCTGTCGGATGGCTACTGGTCTGCCGGCGAGGCTGCAGGAAGGCCGCCCATCAACGCCAAGACGGCCGATCTGCATGAACGCACGCGATTTCATTTCGACAAAATTGGCAACCAGTGGCGGTGTGTGGCGGTGTGTGGCGCTGATTCCAAACCAGCATCCACAAAGCACACCGAAGGTTCCCTCAGGTGTATTGATAGTTTGTGCGGAACAGGGGGCATCCGGTCCTGGGGAGACCAAAGGTGTGTCCTTCAGCAACAGCAGTAAGCCCATTCGCTGCAAAGGGCCATCGCATGTAATGGATCTGTTTCTTCTGAATTAACAGCACAAGAACGAATAGCTCGGTTGGCTGCCAGGCTTGACTCCTCGGCACCACCACCAAGCTGTACATCTGCTTCAATCCGCTCGGCTGTCAAGGAGCCTAGCAGTCGTAGTCGTCTTCGACAATCTTGGAGCGGATGATGCTCTCCAGATACATATCGAGGACCTGCTCCTGCAGCTCGCCTTCGAGGTCCTTCACATGGATGAATTCGGAGGTCACTGGATCGATGATGCCGACGGAAAGCTCGGGCTGGATCTCGTGATCCGGAGTGAATTCTGAGAAGACAGAAGAGGAGGATACCGACAGGAATACAGTCAGAGTCAGGAATATAGTGAGAGACGGCAGCTGCGGCAATGGGGGATGATGGTGGTGATGGTGGCGGCGATAGACAGACAGCAGAGCCGGAGAGTTGACGGAAAGGAGCCCGAGCAGAGCGACGGAGCTGTCCGGCAGCCAGCCGGCGGACGCGCTGGGCGGCCGGCTCCGACCTTGCGGAACTTACGTCTGAGATACTCGACCAACTCCCCCAGCTCCTCATGGTCGGCCTTGTCGATCGCCAGATGACCCTTATCGTTAGGGATGGTAGGGTCGGCTCCGTTTTCAATCAGGATCTTGGCAACCTCGACGGTCTCGGTGTAGTGCAGCGGGGTATCGCCTTCCCGATCGCAGACGTTGACTTCGGCGCCGTACTTTTTGATCAGCAGATTGAGCAGCTCGATCTGTGCATATGAAGCGGCGGCATGGCTGACCGGGCCGCAGAAAAGGAAGCCAATATCAGCAAGGCCATCGACTAGCCGAGGAAAGGGCTAGGTCTGCCTGCCGGCCGAGGAACCTATGCACCACACTTTGCAAAGTATGTGCACCGCATCTGACAAAACATCAAATTTCGAGTGCCCAAGCAGTAGCTTACACCATCGTGTATCCAAATTGGTCGCCGACGTTGACATCAATGCCGGTGGCGAGCTCTTTCTGTGGGGAGAAAGAACACAGGGATCAGCTCCGCGGCTATGCCTCTTGCAGACTGAACGCATGATCTGCTCGCAAGCACACAGCGCCAGCAGCACAGGTAGACAGCACAGACGCTGGCTGTGGCCGGAGACGGCGGAAACAGACGACACAAGCCGACACAGCTCGGTCTGCAGCTGGACTCGTTACCTCGATGGCCTCGATGTTGCCGTCGCTGGCATGGGTCCAGATGTTCTCATATTTTCCGTCGACGATCTTGGGCTGATACTCCCGGAACGAGGACATGGCGTGCTGCTTTCGAAGGAGGCGGGTCGAGGCAGGTCGAAGAAGATCGAGGCGGGTCGAGGCAGGTCGAAGGCGATCGAGGCAAGAGATGGGCAAACGGGAAGTTGGCGGAAGGTGTCTGGCCCTTCTGCCGCTCCTGGCTGTGGTACAGACCTATTTTTCGCCTGCTGCGCACGGCCCGTTGGTTTGCTGCGACACTTGGCCATGTCCAAGCCAGGTCCAAGCGAGCGCAATGGACTGAGACGAGCTTGGATTGCATGCATGTGTATTGGGGTGGATTGAAGGGGGGGAGATGATGGTTTGCATGTCTGATGCGCTTGCCGATACCCACCAGAGTCGCCAACCATCGCCAAAGCAGCACGCTCGATCGACCGCTGCATCGCTCGCATACTCCGTCACGCACTCTCACATTCTCTCAGCTCTCAGCCTGGATCGCTCGCCGGTAGCGGGATCACGAGCCATGATCCTGGTCCCGGTCGCTGGAATAGAACTCGCGCTCATCGTACTCAGCGAGCTCCCGGTCTCGCTTGCGCTTGTGGCCCTCCGAGTCGTATTGTTGCTCTGTTCGCTGGTCTGGATTGTGATCCTCGGCCATGTCCACCTAACACATGGGCCGCCGAACAGAAGGCGTCAGCGAGGAAAGTGGGTGGTGTCATCGTTCGGCTGCCCCTGCCCATGCATGCTGCTGCACAGCATCGGCAAGCGAGCGGGTGGGGCGGAGCCAACTGAACCACCACAAGGACAGGCCGGCGTGCCACCTACCTCCCAGTTACCGCGTTCCATGAAACCCTGGATATCGGGCGGGATTTCTTGCATCTGCACACTTGGAGCGCCGTTCAGATACCGGAGATACTCGGCAATCTTGATGCGGATGCTGTCGAGGCTTTGGCGGGTGTTGGCATTTTCACGGTTCGGATCAACGATGGGCGGATGCAGCTTGTAGTCCGGCCCAAAGTGCTGGTAGTATTCGTTGTCGGGCAGGTTGTTTGGCAGCATGGTCTCGGTCAAGATCGAGGTCTCGTACGTCCAACACCGTGCAACGTTGCGGATGGTGTATCCGCCTCCGCCAACAACAAGCATTGGGATCTTGAAGGACTTGATGAACTTGACACACTCGCCGTGACCCTTGATGGACAGATTGAAGCAGCCCAACCGGTCGCCAGCGAGGGAGTCGGCACCGCACTGCAGCACAATTGCCGAGGGCCGGAACATCTCGATGACGTTGCTCATGACCGACTTGAATATGTATGCGTATGAGCTGTCGTCGATGTATTCGTTGAGCGGAACGTTGATCGAATAGTACTTGCCGGCCCGGGCGCCGATCTCGTCGAGAGAGCCTGTGCCCGGGAAGAATGAGCCGCCGTCGTACCGGTGGAAGGAGCACGTCATGACCCGGTTGGAGAGATAGAAGGCCTCCTGGACGCCGTCGCCGTGGTGGACGTCGATGTCGATGTAGAGGACTCGAGGATAGTGCCTTGAACAGTAGAGTCAAGGACGGGGCGATCGTAGCAAACGGTCAGGATGGGCGGTCAACAAGATCGGTGACATTGCTGTGCCAGACAGCACGGTTGCTCGAGGGCCGCATACGAGTCGCTGCCGCTGAAAGTGCGAGGACCTACGGCGGTCCCGTTGTGCATCATCCCGTCACCATAGCGTCCCATCCACATCCCGTGTCGACCTGACATCGTCCCATCGTGCCGTCGCATCTTGCAGCTAGCGGCCATCAAGGGCACGCTCGGCCAAATACAGCAACAAAACCAGGCGGCCGCTGTTCCCGTATCCGTACCGAAGGAGCTCCAAGATAGCCAGGACAATATCGTTGACGTAGCAGAACCCCGAGGCCTCAAACTTCTTGGCATGGTGCAGTCCGCCGGACCAATTGATCGCAATATCACTATATCCAGATGCCAGTTTTCGGGCGCCCTCGAGCGAGCCACCGGTATAGGTCTTGCAGAACTCAAACATGCCCTCGAATACCGGGCAGTCCTCGACACCCATGTTGAACTTTTGGCCAAAGTTGAGAAAGGAGATGGGGCTCTCGGGTCGTATCCTGGCGATCGAGAAAGGTGCGTGGATCAAACGATCAGTCAGACGGACGAATGGGCAGACCAGTAGACAAACACATAGACAGGCGGGCATACAGTGATGGCGAAGGGTGAGTTAGCGTACAGCCCGACAAAGGAGCCGCGAGGAAAGCAGGCAGCGCCCAAGCCAGGACCCAAGGCAGCCCGACAGATCGGCACGATCATACAGGGCACCGATAACAGGACGATCGCTCGATGGCCAGGCACAACAAGCCTTCGATCGGCGATGCGACATCACTCGAGATGATACCACACGATGCGATAAAATGCGATGGGATAGATCGAGAGCCAGACCGGCGCACAGCAAGGGCCAGACCGGCGCACAGCAAGGGCCAGAGACACACCGCTTTAGAAAGTCAATGTAGTCGGCCCGGTGGAACTCGTGGATCTCTTCCTCCGTGGCCTTGCGTGGCCGATAGACCTCCATCTTGTTGTGCAGTCCGTAGCCGATGATGAGATTGTGTGTCAGGGCCAATCTCGGCGGCTTCATGGGGTGACCTTCGCCATAGTGGTAGCCGGCAACCTCCTGGTTGTGAAAGTAGGCGATGTGGTCTTTGGAGTGCGCCTGAGCGAGGTTGAGGTTGAGCGACGATGATTCGTCGTGTGAGCCTGCTGGCGGAACCTGGCTGTTGCCCCTACCGTTGGGCATCTCTGGGCAGCGATTGGGGGGGGGTGCGCGGATGGCCGGTTCAGATGTGGTGCCGGCGGACAGATGAGGTTTTCGCTGAAGCGGCGGACCGATGCGGTGTTTGCTTTGGCCGATCCAGCCATCCAGCCATCCAGCCAATCCAGCCAGTCGAACCAAACGGCTTGGTTTTGGCGCCCACAAACGAAGATCGACACCGACATCGACATCGACACCGACACCGACACCGACACCGACATCGGCACCGACATCTCAAGTAAGCAACCAAGGATGTCCCGTTTCATAATGGGACGCAGCATGGACGCAGGATTGGTTCGCTATTTTTTCATTGTTGGCGGAAGGTGCGAACGTCCAGGGGAGAAAGATAGAAAGATTGGAGAGAACATTCAAGAAAAAGGAGACATTCGGTATGGATTGAGGGAGACCACAGAAAAAAAGGATGTGTATGTTTGATCCCACAGATAAGATACTTCACAATCACAGCCACAGCGACAGTGACAGTGAGAGTGTAATCACAATCGCAGTCTCAATCGCAACTGCAAACACATTCAGTCCTAGCTGCTTTTTGTGGCTGTGGTGAGATAAAATCGACAAGAAGGAAACGCCCCGTGCGGAGGGAAATATATCAGGACAAAAACAGTGATTAGCGATTGAGGGACACGGTTCCTGATTATGAAATAGATCTTTTGGCGGAATGGCATTCTGGCTTCCTTGATGCTGTAGTAGCCAAGGGACACAGGAGCGAGGTCCGAAGACGATCGCCGTCTCAAACAGAAAGTGGAGACGGCTGGTGGGCGGGGGGAAATGGCGGATGGGTGGGGATGGAAGGAGCTGGTCGGTGTGCCAGCGATGGAGGATACAAAACCGTCTTCGGGCAACGGAATAACATCGGGGCCTTGTGTGGTCCTTGAGGGGCCGGCATGACTGCAGAGTCGGTTCGAGGCTTAGGCAGAGGGAGCGGCGGCGGACTCCTCGGCGGCAGCCCGGTCAGCGCTGGCCTGGGTCTGCTCCTGTTCGATGACGATCTCCTGCACAGTCTCCTGCTCCGTCTCGATCTTGAGAGACTCCAGGCTAATGGCCTCGGCCTCGACGTCCTCGAGAGCAACAAACTCTGTGGGGATGTCGTCGTCGTCGTCGCTGTCGTCGGTGTCGATGACGAGGGCGTGGTCGAGCTGATCCTGGGTCAGAGGCTCCTGCAGCTTCTCCTGCGAGGCATCGAGAGCGTCGTCCTCGTCATCGCCAGCCTCCTCGTCTTCGTCTTCGTCCTTCTCGTCGTCCTTGGGCTCGTCCTCCTTGGGGCTCTCGGGCTGGTCAGCCCCAGTGCCGTCGGTGCCCTTCTCGCCTTCCTTGTCGTCGGCCTTCTTGAGCAGCGCATATTCGGCCCGAATCTTCTTCTGGGTAAAGGGCAGGCGCACATTCAGAGCGCGGACAAGAGCCTGTGCAGCTCCGTCAGCCAGAGCAAACTCGATTTGGCCGGAGGTGGTTTCCTCGGGAGCCTCTTGGCTCTCGGCAGCAGACTCGAGCTTGGTGATCTCGACCGTCTTGACCTCGCCGGATTCACGGAACCAGAAGCGAATGTCCTCCTCGGTCGTGGCCAGAGGCAAGTCATACACCTGCACCTTGCGCTGGCGAGCAAAGAGACCACCAAAGAGGCGAGCAGCAGCAGCCTTGGTAGCGTCCTCGGGCCTGTCAAAGATAATCAGGCCATAGGGAGCCGTGCCCTGGACTCGCTGGACAATGTGCACCGTCTTGACGACGCCAAACTCGGCAAACTTGGTCTTGAGATCGTCCTCGGCGATCTCGGCAGGGACTTCCTTGATGTAGAGAATGGTGCGGTTGTTGACCCGCTGGGTTTTTTCCTTGCGCGACTTTTTGTCAGTCGCCTTGGCATCCGATGGAGACACTGCAGTCTTGGAGGTGGCCTTGTCGACCTTGGCTGCAGCACCAGCATCGGTGGATTTCTTCTTTTCCTGCTTGGAAAAGTCGAGCTTGAGGCTCTCGGTCATGCCAAAGAGAGTCTTGCCCTTGGTAGCCTTGATGGCGGCCGCAGCATGCTCGACGGTCTTGAAGGAAATGAAGGCGAGCGCGCGCTTCTCCTTTGGTCGCTGGACGAGCTGGAGGCGACGGATCTCGCCGTGCACCGAGAATGCCTTCTCAAGATCAGCCTGTTAAAGAGAGGGGTACACACAATGCATTAGTGCGTATTTGAGTGTGTCGGTGGGAACTGGCGATAGCTGGCATCGACAACAGAATGGCCCAGTATCGCTGTGCCATCGACAACAGAATGGTCCAGCATCGCTACGCCATCGGCAGATCCCGCAGCCGATAGGCGCTGCAGTAGCAGAGCCGTGTAGTTCTTGGAGCTCAGGTACCCGTCGATTGCGGCCCGGCCTACCTTTTCGACAGTAAGGGGAAGGTTGCCAATGTGGAGGGTCTTGAAGTCAAAGACCACGTCGCTCTGGCTCTGTGCCGAGGCAGCGGGCTTGGGGCCCTTGGAGAGATCCTTGGGTGTCTCCTTGGCCTCTTTGCTGTCGAGTCGGGGCTCCTTAAGGCTGGGCTTGGTCGCGGCCTTGGGAGTCTCGCGGAGACGGAGCTCCAGCGGCTCACTCATTCCAAAGAGATTCTTGGACTTGAGGCCTGCGACAGCCCTGCTTGCGCTCTCAGTCGTCTCAAAGTCGATAAAGGCATACGCACGCTCTTGGCGTTTGGGCTTGCCGACAATGCCAACTGAAGCATAGGACAGCCAGTGTCGTGTCAGTGAGCAGGCTGTGCAATGCTGCTGTCCAGTAGGACTCTCTGTCGGGCCAGTGCCAAAGCGAGCGCGATGGCCAAGAACATGCTGCTGATCCAGCCATGCTCACCGTTGATGATGGGACCGTAGACACTGAAAACCTCAATGAGCTCGCGGACAGTGACGCCCACAGGGAGGCCGTAGATGTAAAGGCCATGCTCCTTGGCCTCGAGGCTCTTCTCGTGGGGACGACCCTGCTTTTTCTGCTCACCCGAGCAAGAAGACGTGAATTTGCGCGTCATTGATCAGTCGAGAGAGAGGAGCCATGCGACTAAGGCTGCATGCAGGGAATGCCAGTGGCGACGTGACCTACCAGGACATCAGCGCCCTTGGAGTCCAGGCCGGTGTTGACGACCAGAGCATCTGGAGAGCTCGGCGAACCCGAGAGGGCCTTGTTGACTTCCTCGAGCTGGCGGTTGAGGAGCTTGCCGTTGGCCTGGGCGCTCTTGGGGTCCTTGCCGCGGACATCGCGAGGAGGGCCAGCATCCTTGCCTAGTCGTTTGTTGGTATATTGGCAAAGCACCAGGGCGAGGGAGACGACGGGTTAGCTGTGAGTGGAGACCCGTGGCGCAGAGCCCGAAGGCTGCAGTGGCGGCAGGATCCGCCACCGATTGTGGCGAAATGGAGTCCGATCTTGGCTCGAACAGAGCCGGATCCGAGTCATCCAACAAGCAACTCAGAGAGCGTACGGAGCTGCTCGTACCTTTCAGACCGGGAGTGGAGCCGGCAATAGCACCAGCGCCTGTGCTGGCACCGGTGGCAGCACGATTGCCCTGGCGACCGGGTTGCTGAGCCTCGCGGTTCAGGCCAGAGGCCGACTTTGCCTTTCTCAGACGGCCCTCGGCATCGTCATCAGCGGGGCGTGGGAGGCTGTTGCTGCCGCTTCTCCAGGAGCCGTTGGCCTTGCGCTCCTCGGGTGTGGGCGCCAGGGCCATGGCGGGATGGTTGGGATAGGAGCCGGGGGCACCGGCATCGAGGCGAGCAGTGGCAGCAGCAGGAGCGGGGTCTTTGACGTCCCACTTTTGGTTGAGCTGCTGGAGAGTAATGGTGTTTGGATCGCTGATCCAGGTGTCGGCGGCCGAGTCGACGGGCGGAACCCATCCCTTGGGGGCAGAGATGGGCTGGGAGGAAGGAGCGCCGTTCCAGCTGGCCGAGGCCTGGGGATGGGAGGCAGGCGGGCTCCAGTTGGCCGCAGAGGCGTTCCAGTTGGAGGGAGCAGCGGCGGGAGTGCTGTTCCAGCTCGACTGGAGCGGGGTCGGTGGGCCCGAGGCCGCGGGCGGGTTCCAGGACGACACAGGCAGCGGCTGCTGGGCTGCCGGAGGGCCGTTCCAGGACGCATGCTGCGGGGTTACGGGGGAGTTGTTCCAGTTGGCCTGCTGGGGGCTCGCAGCGGTGGGCGAGCCCCAGCCCGAGGGAATAGTGGCCTGGGGCGATTGGCCCCAGTTGGCCTGGGCGGGCTTGGCGATGGTAGGCTTGTTCCAGGAGGCCTCGGCAGGGGCGTTCCAGTCTGCCTGGCGCACGACCTGAGCCGAGTCCCAGGACTCGGAGTTGGACTTTGAGCGGCTATGGGGGGGTGCACCTGCAGCCGAGACAACACCACTGGTGGCGGAGGCCGTCGACGACAGGATGGTGGGGGTGCTGTTCCAGGGATCGAGGGGGTTCTGCTGCGGGGCCGGCGCAGACGGGTTCCAGGCACCGCTGGGCAGGCCGAGGTTGGCCGGCGAGGCAGAGGGCGGAGCCCCCCAGGCATGCTGCTGCTGCTGCTGCTGCTGCTGCTGCTGCTGCTGCTGGGGGTTGCTTGTGCTGGAAGGGCGCTGCTGCTGGGAAGCAGGAAGCGGGGTGTTCCAGGCGTGGAGAGGCGAGTCAGGGGGGGTTGGGTTGGCGCCGCCGGCCGAGTTCCAAGAGGACTTGTTGGGGCGCTGCTGCCAGTTGGAGGAAGCCTGATCCATGATGAAGCCGTGCAGAGGAGACGATTGCGCGAAGAAGGGGAGGGGTAAGCAGCGGGAGTGCTGGACGCAAAGAGCAGGGAGGATGGAGAGCAAACGCACAGGAATGCGAGCAGGGGGGAGCGAGGCCGGAAAAAGGTCTTTCGGGGGCCTTGGGGGCTGCCAAAGTCGGGAGGAAAGACGGGCGAGCCAAAGACGGGCAAGTCAGCGACAGGTGAGTCAGCGACAGGTGAGTCAACGACAGACGAGCCAAAGACAGACGAGCCAAAGACAGACGGAGAACAACCGCGGCGATGGTCGGTCGACTGCCCTCGTCCAAAAGAAAACCACGACGAGCCGAGCCAGAGAGGAGCGCGAAGGGCCTGAAGGCAGATGCGCTGCGCACACACTCGCTGCGCCGGCGCCAGCTGGCGTGCCGGTCTGCATTTGCGCTGGCGCCGACCACTGTCCATATGCGCCCATGTGTGTCACTCTGTGTCCGTGTGCCACCATCCGTGTCGCCGTGTGCGACGCCGTGTCACGCACAGGAGCCATGCGCGTCGCGCACGCGTGATCTGTGCCGCGTCGCGGTTTCCTCAGCACGCGCGCTCGCCAAGTCACTCCCGCCTCTCGCTCGCATGAATCCCAGAGGCATGCTTGCAAGACTCCGAAGAGTGTGGGCTGTATTGAAGCTTCCCTGGCCATGCCCGTCTCACCCGGGCAGCCACTGCGACAGACCCGCCTCGCTTCGATCAGGAACACAGCCGCGGCTCAAACGGCTTCTCGATCGGCAGCACCAATCTCAGATCCCCATCGACTGGCTTGAGGGCCTCGTCGACCCAGTCCATCGTGACAAGATGCGGTCGACCTTGCAGCCGGTTGTTGCAAACGGCAAGGCCCTCCAGCACCATCCTCAGTCGCTCGTTCCACTGCCGCCGTGTCTCAAAACTCGCCCGGGGCTCATCGAGGGCCCGTTCAAACAAAATGTGGGTCACGTCCCTGGTCAGGACGCCGACTGTCAGGCCGCCATTGGCCGTCACCAAGATCTCGCCAAAGCGCAGAATCGAATCCTCGTTGTGCACCAGCGCATCCGCGTCGGTGTCAGCGCCATCGGGAATGAGCGTCAAGTGCGATGGCGTCCGACTTTCAAGAGCACGATCGTCGACAAGCGATCGGGCGATCCGCAGAGTCGTGAATTTGTGGATGTACACCACGGCTGTGGCAAAGAGGCGATGCCCTGGGGCACTCAGAGGAAAGTAGTAGGACTCGACATGGCTGACCAGATGGGAGCGCTCCGCAGAACTCAAAGTGCTGTTATCGAGCGCCCGCATGCCGCCAAAGATCTGCATGTCGCCACAGAGAGGTAGACACATGACAATTAGTACGCCATAGAAGGCCAAAGCAACAAGCACTTTGAGGCTTTGAGTCATCAGTCAACGAACACATGTCTCACTTCATTCCAATGCCCATGCACTTGCATACACTGCGCATGGCAAACATGGCAAACGTGGCAAACATGGCAAACGTGGCAAACATGGCAAACGTGGCAAACACAGGCTTACCGCTTGAAGGGTCTCGCTGTCCACATCATCCGTATAGCTGTCTCCGTACTGGTCGCTAGACTGCTTGAGCTCCCTCAGCTTCTGCGGGGTCGCATGAAGCAAGTATCTGGACAACCCCGAGTCAATTCACAAATACAAAAAGTCAGCACTGTCATGCCCGATGCGCCTTGGTCACAGAGCAACCTGTGCCCACAGGCAGCGCATTGCTTGCAGCCAGGGCTGCCGGATGCAAAACAAAACCCTCCGCACTGGCGTATCGTACTTGTGACCAACAAGCAACCGCTCCTTGGCTTCAATGCAGTCCAGGATCCACTTGGCCTTGATAATGTTGAATCGGTTTGACTGCCGAATGTTGTTTGCCTTGAGCCCTGATCAGTGTGATCGTGTACTTAGACCGCGCCGCTGATCCCTTTCGATATCGCGGACATGATGCTCGAGGCATTTTGATACATCTCGACTGCTGCTGGCCGAGAGCACAGACCAGCCAAGCTGCAAGAGCGTCTTACCAAAATGGTCCGAAATCACGTAGTTGGTTTCGTACATGGGATTCTGCACTACGGTGCCGCCGTGCTCAGCGACCACAAGCTCGATCTCGGCCTTGCCGCCTTTGAGATCCAGACTCGGAAGCACACAAAACTCCATGCCCTCGAATATGGGCTCCTTGACGGCGACTTGGCTGGTGTCGATGCCGAGATACTGCGCCGCGACCTTGTAATGCGTGGCCATGCTCCGTCGCAGCCGCTTCGAGCGCTCCAAGGATGCGTCATCGTCGCTCGACTGCAGCATTCGCCGCCGAGTCTGCAGTCGCCCCAGATTGGCCTGCATCAGCTGGTGCAAGTCTGCGAGAGACATCAAGTCGCCAACGCTCTTGTCGTGGCGTATGCTCACGAACCGTGGAAACCGCAGCGTCCAGCCCGTGGCGTACACATCCGTCTTGACAATCTCGGAGGCCTTGACTTGGACGATCCGGGAATGCTGCGGATCGATCACCATGTCGGGCTGCTCCTTGCTCTTGAAAGGATGGATGAGCCACGCAGGTGGTCGGGTTCGATCGTACGGCCGCCAGTGGCCCAGGGCCTCCTGTGCAATCTCCTCCTGCTTGCTGTACTCGTATCCGGATCCGAACCGGCAAAACGTCAAGAACCGCCGCTGACTCGTGGGTGTTCCTGGTGCTGCATCCTCGCGGATGGCGCAGAAGAAGCTCGACAGCTTTTTGGATCGCTTGCCGCTCCCAAACTTGGCTGCCACGATCAGCAAGTCCAGATCATCTGACAGCTGGTCCATATACTCGGGCTTCAGCTTGATGCATCCTTCTGTCCGCTGAGACGGGGTGTAGACAGAGTCTTCTCGCTTGATAATCAGGCCCTCCTCCTGGCACATCATCCGCAGATCCAGCTGTTCGATGACCTCCTCGGCTGAGGCCACTGGGGTGTGGGGCAGGACCTCTATCCAGCTCTCGCGAGGACGAATGATTTTCTGGATAAAGCCACGCCGCTGAGAGAGAGGCTGGTCGACGATGGAGGTGCCATTGAGATAGACGAGATCAAAGACGAAGAAGCAGGGATGTTTGCGCGCCTGGAATCCTGAAGATAGTGGTGGTGTCAAACGCTGCAGTTGGTCGACTGTCGCCTCGTAGCGAACGACATCAAGTGTTCCTGCAAAAGCCTCTATAAAGACTTCATCGGGGCCAACCTACCGTTTCGCAAAGCATCTGTGGATACATTTGCAAAACAAAGGAAGGGAACAAAAAGCCGACATGGTTGAGCCACAAGTCAGAATCCAGTCAGAATTGCGACTGCCTAGAGCGCCTGCCGTCCGCCGTAGCTGCCTAATTCGCCTCTTGAGCCTCAAGCACGGGTAATTACGTTGCGTGGTTTATACCCTAGTCGTGCGGAAGACAAGTGGTACGAGGCGCATGCGATTGGGGAACCATGCGCCGCAAGCAGAAATCTCACCGAGCGCTGCTGTCTTGAGTGACCCAAAGCTTTCAAACCGCTCCAGCTCAGAGTCATAGGCCATCATCTCTCCATCGAATATGGCACTGTGAACAAGGGCAGGGTGTCAGCTGCACCAACTTCGGGCAGATAAAACGACTGCTTCTGCTGCACACAGAATCAAGCAGAAGCAAATATCGACTGCACCACATACTCTCGAACACGGGAAGAAAACGAAGCATAGATGTGACATGCCAAGGAGCCCTCCAAGGATGTAGAACCTGCAAAGAGCAAGAGCACACATGGATAAATGGAGGGGATTCGACTGGCTGGGATGGACTGTGCATGGCGTTGCTACCCTTCAACTATGACGCCTCACCATAGAGCTTGGTGTAGTCCGTGGCATTTCTGGGGAAGACAACGATTCAGAATGACCAGGATGAGCGTCAGCGGTCCGCTTCCCTCCAGCAAGCCTCGAAGAATGGCCTTCATGTCAGATAGAGAGCCACACGAAATAATTGAACCAGCCGCGAAGCAATACTGCTACGGAGCACATGGACCGACTCGCCAGCCGATCTCCCTCGATCAAGTCACCGGCAACTGCGCAACCGATAGCCCACCTTGAGAACCACTTGAACTCGATGCCGTTCTGAACCCTCTTCATGTGACAGAGCATCCGCTCGCCGTCAAGTTTGGTCTCGATTGTGTAGGAATGCTTGCTGGCAGCGCTCCCGTTGAACATCTTCTTGATCGAGTCGAGGGTCGATGGCAGCGACAACATCGGCTTGAACGGCTGGAATAGCTCGATTTTCTGTACCGCGGGCCGCGTGTTAGTTGATATCGGCAACATCACCATGCCGGAGAAGAGAGGAGGAGGAAGGACGCAAGCGCATCGAATGTGCCCCGGTGGTCATGGGATAGCTACCGCTTCGAACGCCTGACGCTCGGTCGGGTCGGTGAGTTCAGCCGCAATCTTTTCGAGATTACTGCACACGTTGAAGAGGTCGGGTGCATCGGGGTGCCATGTCCGAAGGACGATGGTCTCGGAAATGCCCACTTTCAGCTCTGCATGGCCCGGCGTTGCCCACCACACGAAGTTGCAAGCGAGAGGAAGCGCATAGAGACATTCAAGATTGCGATGCCCGCTTGTTAGGTTGCGAGCTGTGGAAGAATGCAAGCACTGTAGCCTCAGCTGCCGACTGACCTTTGAGAATGATCCGGATCAGCCACTTGTGCTCTCTTGGCGAATAGCTCTCTATCATTTCAGCAATGATCTGCCTTTGCTCATTCCTGGCAACGCCAAGTCATGCTGTGGGTTAGATGAGCACCGATGATTGCCTGCCGGGGCTCGGGGCTCTGACCTGTCGGCGGCTTGGCACAGACGATTCAGGCTTGTGTTGGCATCCTCGATCGATTGTCGGCTTGGAGCGTGCACCGAGCTGCGAGGAGCGAGAATGTCTTCCGCCATTTGGGCAAAGTCGCCGACTGCGGCCTGCAAAAGGTTACGCACGCAGCAGGAAAGCAAGATAAACAACAAGAGCGTCAAGGAAGGCAAAGGACGGCTACATTCGGTCGCACTGTCGAGACAAGAGCGCTTCCCGTCCCGGCCATGACGTACAGCCTGCGAGCCCTTCAGCGGACTCTTCCAGTTGATCCAGGATTGCGCTTCGGGCGAGGCCTTGGCGATGCCCAGGGCCTCGATATAGACCAGAGCCAAGGTGGCATGCTTCATGCCGTAGGCATTTCGCTCTCGATCCGCCTGAAGAGCGCGGGTTGGCACAACCGGTGATAGGTCATCGGAATCGGCATCGGCATCGGTATCGGAATCGGAATCGGAATCGACATCAACATCGACATCAACATCGACATCGTCAGTGTCGCTGCCAGATTTGGACGACGGGGGTGCAAACGAGGACATATAAGGGTGGCAGATGCTGCGGGGGGGGGCCGAACCGGATGGCGGACGGGTTGCCAAAGACTCACTTGTGGCAGCAGGAGACGCAGCGCCGGATAGAAGCCTCCCTTGGTTGCCCGCCACTCGCCCATGTACTGGTCAAGCTTGAGCCGCTTGGCCTTGGGGGGCACGCGGGAGATCTTCTCCAGCAGGACACAAAAGTCCCAGAACCGAGCGGTTGCGGCTGTGGAAGGGGCCTGCATGCTGTTCCAAGGGTGAACTTGCTTGCTGCACTTGGCTCTGGCGGCCAGATCCGAGCTGAGAGCCAAGTCGAGCCGAGTCGAGCCAAGAGAAGCGGCCCGGCAAAGCACATGCCAAAAGCCAGGCTGGCTGGGACGGGCTGCGCACGGCTGTCGCTCCAGCCGACAAGGGCAGGTGCGCGGCGATTGGGCATGCGACATGTCTTTGTTGCCCCCGTCTCTCGCCTGTCTTCTCGCCGCGCTCTCGCCGCGCTCTCGGCTCGTTCCGCCGGCAAGGCTGGGCCTCGCTCCTGCAGACCCACCACTCTCCGGCTCTGTCGCTCACAATCGCTGTCTCACTGCTACTCTTCCTTCCCGCAGCCATCCGCACCAGCATATCCATCGGCCTGCCATCTCCTGTCCTGCGCCGCCCTGTCCGGTCCCGAACAGCAATTCCATCCGCACCCGATTCTGAAACCAGCCTCCAGCCCGTGCTCCACTCGATTCCAGCCACCTCTCCACACTCTAAGATGCCTCCTCAGACCACCCACACCCACTATCCAACAACCCTGAGTGCCCCGGCTCGAGCACTGATCCTCTTCGTCATTGGATTCGTGATTTCCATCATCATCGATCACCTCCAGAAGGAGCACAATATCACCCGGTATCCCGCCTCGGCGACACTATTCGACTCTGCCTCGTGGCTGCCGATTTCCTGGGGCTTCTCGGCAATGCTGGTCGGAACCGTCTATCCCGCCCTGGACTCGTATTTCCTCAAGCAAAAGTCCTCCCCACAGAGCCGACCGTCGCGGCAGGAGTGGTCGAGTGTATTGCGGTAGGCCCTGCGTTTATTTATTCCCCTTCCTGCGCCCATCCCCACTCTGGATATCCGCTTCTCCGACTGCAGCGAGAAAGACCCAGACCAGGCCAGATTCACCCCTACTAGGCCGGACCAGCATTTCATAGCTCCCGCATCAAGCATCGTAGCCCCGCTTGTCCACTCTGCCGTGTTGTCTAACTCTGCCTCCTCCATCAACCTCGCTAGATGCTGCGGCGGCTTTATCGGAGTCAACTACGCGACGTCGGTATGCCAGCGACAGTCATCCGCATCATTATGCATTTGTTTGTGCATGGGGAAGTTGTCGCTGCTCAAGGGTGGCTCTTGGAAAAGACGAAAGTTTATCCATGGCTGACAAACTTGAGGATTCCCTTTGCCCCTCAGAAACTCCCGTGGACCAGCAGCATCCAAGTCTCGATCACACTCGCCTTCCTGGCGATCGGCCTTTGGTTCCTGTTTGACCGAACACTGCACGGATTCATTGTTTCCGCCGTGTTTGCCATCATCGGAACGATGGTAGTCTTCTTCCTCGTCAGCCGTGGCTTCTATAGGTACACATCCAGCCCCTCTCCGGCATCCTTTGGCGGGGCTGTCCGGTCGTCGCTTCACCGAGGAAAAATGGCACCCGTGCGCGAATGCCGATTCCCGGCGTCGCCTGCCTTGCGAGTATTGAAAATCCATGCCGTGCCCGAGCTGATTTTGTTTGCTTCCGTTCCCATCCTCCCGTTAGCTTCACCAAGGCCGACTTTTTCGGAGTGCGCTCTTGGCTGCCGTGCATTCTCCACTCATCATCCATATGTTTTGGATCGATTGGCCGGCAGCTCGCACATCCGCTGGACACCGACGGCTGTGTCGACACCGACAAGAAGAACAGTTGATGTGCCGCCCTTCCCTTCTTCTCACATATTCATGTGTGAAGCCCTGTCCGTGTCGAGCATTGATGTGGAGCAGAGATGACGGCCAACGCATCCACCAAGGATGCCTGCAATACAACTCCGTGACCTCTCACTGCTCATCTCGCAGGCCCGCTAACTGTCGTCACGGCCTCGGTCCCGGCCTCGGTCCCGGATCGCCTGTCGTGCCCAGTCGCTGCATACCTGCTTCTCGTCGCGCTGGTCTCGTATCAAGAAAAAAAAAAGGGGCGATCTTGCTGGCCTCCATCGCAGAGATGGTCGCATGTTCCACAAACCAGCCGATTTTTGATTTGCCAGCTTGAGCCGCGCCACCGATCTGGCTGTCGGGCAAAGGCACGATTTCTGGATCGCGGATCGCTGCCCTCGTCCTCGCCCCGTTTGGAGTCATCATGAGGGTCGTTCTGCAGCGAGTCAGCTCAGCCAGTGTCCAAGGTCGGACCCAGTCAAATGGCATTCGGCTGCCAGACCGTGCCAGACCGTCGAGGCGAGCCACCACCAGCGCCCCTGCCGCATGATACTCACTCCCCACACGACACTGCTCCTTGCTGGTCCCTGTAGTCGACGGGCAAGTCGTGAGCGAGATTGGCCGAGGCATCTGTGCCCTCGTCGGCATTACGGTAAGCCTTGTGTCGATCGCCGATGCTCCAGCTCGCTGCAGATTCTTTGCCACACCCGGCAACAAACATATTCGCTCATTCTCTTCCGACCTCTGGCCTGTCCCAGGTCGATGACCAGGTGGGTGGGTGCCGACCGGCGCGGCAGGAAGAGTGCAGCCGAGCAAGAGTCGGTCCGAGATTCAAAACCGACCGGCCCCAGATCGGCCACAGACGGCATGCTGACGACTAGGTTCGTACTTGCCGGCATCGCAGGAAGCCGATCTTGACTACTGGTAAGTTCAGCCCGCCTGTAGGTACTTTGCCTGCGGTCGAAATACCAGAGCTTGGCTCGGCCAGCATTTTTGGGATCTGGAAAGTGTTCGGTTGCCAGAGAATCGATCTGGTCATCGTGAAGATCTTTCCCTCATCCTCCTGCGGCATCACCTCGACCAGCGCCAGGAAACTCTCCAACATCCGCGTCTTTGAAGACCAAGATGGAGCTTTCTGGAAAAAGTCGGTCATGGATCTCGACCTTGAGATCCTCTGCGGTGCGTGGCTCCATGCCCACATGATGCGCTGTCTCTATACCCACATCATTGGCTGTCTCCAGCCCCACGAGTCGCCGGTTCCGGCCAGCCAGTTGGCAGTTCGGAAGTCCGCATGATGGCGGACGATGTGATAACCATGCATGTTCCCTTGAACCCACCCTGGACAAACGATTCCGCCGCCGGACTACAGTGAGCCAGTTTACGCTCTACGCCAACACATTTAAAGGTTAATATGGCGGGCATAATCACTGCAGGGCTGGGCCTGAGTCGGGATCCTGCATACGGCGAGCTGCTCCCGGCATGGCCAGACAGCTTTGTGAACGCCGAGATATGATATCGACTGCACGCTCACTCGGCATCAGGATCCAAGCCCGACTTTCACCTAGGTATGACCCAGATTGCTCCAGCCCGTTAAGCGCTCAAAGCTAGCAGCTGCAGCAAGCAGATTGATGACCGACGACACCGCGCCCAGCCATGAAGAGCACAGAGAGCCGAGACATGTACGAGCTGTTCTTGAACAAATTGCGAGCGAGCTACAACCCTGAGCGAATCAAGGGTAGGTCGAGACCTGGACGCAGAGGCGAAGACCCTTGCTGAAATTGCGGCTCAAAGCCATTGACAACTCTCGCTGTCTTGACGCGACGGGATGTGTGCGTCTGGTAACGGCCCTGATCCTGATCCTGATCCTGATCCTGATCCTGCATCTGCAAACAGATGGAGTCTTCGGGGCCATGATGCAAGTCTCCATCGTGAACGAAGGGCCAGTGACCCTGACCATCGACAGCCGCATCAGGGGCTGAACTACTGTCACTCCAGAAGCGGAACAGTCACTTTCTGGCATCGGCGGCACAAGCCTGCTGATCCGTAGGCCTCATGCGATTGTTTCCCGTCCTGGTTGGCAATCTCTTTGATTTCGTTGGTTTGGGGAGCATGGTCTTGAATACACTTGGTCGATCTCCCGTGATCGATTGGTGCATCCACTCGATGTGGGAGTGTGGTGCATCCACTTGACCCTCTGGGCAGTTCCATGGTATATCGATATCGATATCGATATGCTCGGTCTTGTCAAGTCGCTTGGCTTCCCGGACCTGCGCCATGGCCGATCAATTTGACCCCGAAATGGAAACTGTCTGAGCTTGCCTCTGATCGCGCGTCGCCCCAGATCCCCGCGGGACGGCCAAAAAGACAAGCCGTTCCCAGCCCCCGGAGGCCTCTCCCTCTCTTACCAACTCGCAGTCTACTCTTGGCTGCTGGAGCGTCGTGCCTACCGAGCAGGCAGATCCCATCGCGGCAACCCTGAGGTCCTCCGGAAACCAAGAGCCAATATGTTGTCCAACACAGCCTCAGCAAGCAGCGCCGGCACCGAAGCAGGCGGCGGAACGTCCGTCCATCACTCGATCACTGTCGCAGTCCGAGTGCGTCCTCTGCTGCCAAAAGAGCGAATGGAAATGAACGACCCAACATTCTCGTACTCCTCCGGAGGAACCGACAATAACACAGCTTTCAAACGGCTTGTTCAAGTGCTTGACTCCCGGGTCCTGATATTTGGTATGGATTAGAGCCGGCATCGATGCAGCTCGTGCGCGAAGGATGAGGACAAGCATTCTATGGCCGCTTGACCTGTCGTTGGAGCCCTGTGCCTGGAATTCGGCGGCGAGACCCGGGCAGTCAACACGTTGGGAGATGGATGATCTGAGTGCAAACGTGATCGCAGAGTCGATGAACCGACCGCTGTGTGCTATTGCCGCATTTGACCAAACGCCGCCTTTGGCGATCGTAACCGTCGACGATCAGATCCCAAAGATCCCACAGCAAGGTCAATCCGGACGTATGATCACCGTAGTCGCAGAAACAAAGAAATCCGCTATTCCTTTGACCGAGTCTTCTCCGAGGAGGCAAGCCAACAGGAGGTCTATGAAGGAACAGTCCAGCCGCTCATCGACAGCGTCCTGCAGGGCTACAATGCCACCGTCTTCGCCTATGGAGCCACAGGTTGCGGAAAGACACACACTATTACAGGTATGTACTATCTTTGCTCCGGTCTGAGAAATGCGACCACGACGAGACGGAGTATGTTGACGCAAGCTGCACCAAACACGGGCATGGGGACATTGGTCCGATTGCGACGGCTATTTGGGCGACGGTTTGTGGGTTTGAGCACTAACCGATCCTTCGATCACATTCCCTCGGGTACCTGCAGGAACGCCGTCGGACCCTGGCGTCATTTCCCGCACGATGGAGGAGCTATTTCGATGCATCGAGCAGCGCTCAAAGACCCACATCATCGAGTCGACTGTGTCATATCTCGAGGTCTACAACGAAACCATCCGCGATCTACTGATTCCCGAAGGCCCGCCGCTGCATCTTCGCGAAGATGAGAGCGAAAACCACGTCCTCGTTTCAGGGCTCTCGGAACACCACCCAAAGAACGTAAACGACGTGATGAAAATGCTGATCCTGGGCAATGAAAACAGAACACGCGCCCCGACCGAGGCCAACGCTGTGAGCTCACGATCCCACGCCGTTCTTCAAATCCGGATTCGGACACGCGAAAAGGTCACCGGCGTGACGGCGGTGTGGAAGAGTGCTACGCTGTCGATCATCGATCTTGCCGGAAGCGAGGTATGCTGCCACCGATGGACCTGATGCAGCTCCTGATGGCTTCCCAAGCAATACTGGTTGATTATTATTATTACTTTGAGAAGAGCACACATCAGTTGCACAGAGAATGAAACGAAAATGAACGAGACCGATCATTGCTGACCTTGCCTCGACTCTATCTGCTGGACTCCAATCTCCAGCGAGCTTCGGCGACAAAGAACAAAGGAGATCGGCAACTTGAGGGCGCCAACATTAACAGGTACGCGACTCAAGAGGGCTCAGCGAACATGAAAATGCCGAACCCTCTAGGCCGAGGCGTCTTGCGCGTCGAGTTCGACGTGCGCATTACATTTACACTTATGCGACTCGATCGAGTATAGCCTCTGACTTGTGCCCTCGCTTGGCTTCACCCCATCTCCTACAGATCGCTGCTTGCCCTTGGAAACTGTATCAATGCGCTCTGCAGCAACAAGCCCAATCACATTCCCTATCGCGACTCGAAACTGACTCGGTTACTCAAGTACTCACTCGGCGGAAACTGCAAGGTTGGCGCATATTCGCTTGCTGTGGGATAAACTAATCCTGGCAGCGTTGATCGGCGGTGTTGATCGACGGCTTGGGGGGGGGGAATCCGAAGCAGCACCGCAGGGTCCATTCCCATGTGTTCTGGCTGATGCTCCCCTGGTGAGCACGCCACAAGTGGACCCGCAAGAGTAACACCCAGTGCGACCGTCTCTGCCCAGGTTGTCATGATTGCCAACATCAGCCCCGCCGTCGTCCACTACGATGAGACCCAGAACACTCTCAAGTACGCAAACAGGGCCAAGAATATTACTACAGTTGTTGCGCAAAACAACATTGATGTCGAGTACCACATATCCGAATATCCAAAAATTATCCGTGATCTGAATCTACAAATTCTGGAGCTGAAAGAAGAAATCGCCCACCGCGATCGTCAGGTATCAGCCAAAGCCAGCGCCGGGAAGGCCGCAGAAGGCAATCGCTCAACTCGCTCTCGATCGCTGCCCAACGAGAGCAGCGAGGAGAGCTCCGCGTTCGGGCACGATCTCATTCGACAAGTACACCAGCTCTTTTACAAACTGGACGAAAAACGTCTCGAGCTCACGGCTGCAATGGTCTCGATCGAGCGAAATGAGCACCGTCTCAAGTCGCTCCAGATACTGGCGGACAAGCTCTCGTCAATGTGCACCAATAGCGAGTCTGTCGGCCTTGCCGAGGAGCTCCTGTCTCGGCTGCAGCTTTCACTATTAAGTGTATGCGAAGAGCTTCACCTTAACAGCGCCAACCTGCGGCAGTACACGATTCAAGCCGAGGAAGCAATCAAAGCCGGTCGAAACGAGCTGAGCAACCTTCAAAATGGAGCCATCTGGCAGAAACTCAGTCAAGTGGATCGCGAAAATGTCAAGAAGGAAATCATGTTGATGGAGGTCATGTCGGAAAACTCGCAACTGACATTGAAGCTAGAAGTTCTCCGTGGCATCGCGACCGAGCGGACAACTGCAGTTGACAAGCTCTCTGCGAGTCAGCTTGCCGCGATCCAAGGACTAGAGGAGATGGCGCAGATCGCTCACAGCCACAACGACGAAATGCTCATGGCAATGCCCGAGGACATGATGGCTAATGTAAGTACCACGGAATGGTTGGGACTTGATATCGATATGTCAGAGTCGCAGTAGAACTGCAGCCGCAGCCTGGATGCAAAATATGGTAGGAGATCATGGCTACACATTTCTGTCGATTGACATGCACTCGATGCTTACAACAACAATCACGGTGAACCACCATCACTATCATTACCGGGAATATCATCCATCAGGTAGCGGGCGTCATTGCTGAGGTTGTAAGCCTCCAGGACGACCAGGAAACGTCGCTGCTGATCGACGAGGTGCTCGATCGACAGAACAAACGAATCGAGCATGCCAAAGCTCCGGCAAAGAAACATCGACGGTCGACCATGCTCGAGTCGCGACTCCGAGCACTGATGGTGAGCGACCTTCAAGACCCAGAACCCAAGCCGGACTCGGCTGGCGGCGACGCAACCGCTGCCATCAAAAGCAGCATCGAGAATCACTTCAGCTCTTATTCCTCATCTGCGGACGAGCATGCCTCATTCAAACGATCGGCGAGCGACCAGATGGAGTGCGACAACGACGAGACGCCGACAGCACCAAAGAAGCGCCGCATTGCCGCTCATGAGCCCGACGGCATGGCGGATGCCGATAGCGACGCTACTCCAGTGGCAAGCCACAGACGCGATGCCCCAGCAAATCCACCTGCGACTAAGACACCGACAAATGCCGGGCATCGGGTTGCTGCGCTGGCTGCTGCCTCTGCTAGCTCCGGCGGAGGGCCGATCCGTTCAAGCCCGATGAGAAGAACCACTCGAAATCGGGCACGGGAGTCCCTGATTCCCGTTATGGTGGCACCAGGGAGCGCAAAGAGAAAGCCCAAGGCCCCAGGTCCGGCGGCTTGGTCGACCCAGCTTGGACCGCAGCCAATCGGCACCGCAGCTCTGGCCACACAGATGCCAGCGCCAAGTGCGACAATGTTTACTTTCGAAGCCAAGGCATCTGCTCCGCCTCCCAGCTCCATCCCGTTCGGAGCTGCCCAGCTTGGAGCCGGATCCATGTCCAATATCGGGGCCCAGCTCTCGATTCGTCCAGCCGACAGTACTTTCGACCCTCGAAGCACTATGATGCCGCCTCCTTGGGGAGGAGCACCAATGACACTGACGACTTCCGACTCGGCAGCGACTCAAAGACGCCCCCTGCGCCGCAAAACCAATGCTGGATTGGACCCCAAAATCGAGGCGGCTGTGGACTGCATCCAGACACGAACACGATCCAAGGGGACAGCGGGAGCCGGAATGGAGGGCATTTCGGAGCCAGAATCGGGGCTAGGCGGCAAGATCGGCGGACATGTCGCCCGTCGATCGCTGCTCCCGGCGCCCCGAGATATGGGCAGGGTTGGTACCCGCTCATCAGCTCGGCTCCGGGCAAACAATCGTCTTTAGTCGATCGCAAATGAGGCGGCATATTGTGTTGTTATGGCCCTTTTACACTATATTCAGAAAAAAACGGGACACCACAGCCGTTTCCATGAACATGTAGTATGTGATGGCATGCGTCAAGCAAAGCCACAATAAATAGATCAGATCACTTTGGCAGCCTCCGAGTGAAGACCGCCGGTCGCTCTCCGATCTCCACAATCGACTTGCATACTGTGATCATGTTGCGCGCCGCATTGACGTCGCGATTCCACACTGTCCGGCAGCTGGGATTCTTGCAGCTCCTGACAAAGTGGGAATTCGCAACACTGGGCGCATCGAGTCCTTCCAACCGAACTGGCTCCAGGCACTTGGAGCACAATTGCGAGGTGTTGAACTCATTCGTCGAGACTACCTTGACGCTTCCATGATGGTGATTGGGACGGCGTCGGTGGTGCTCGAACTGCTCAAAGTACCGAGCGAACCGCTGCCTCCGAGGGCTGGGTGCATAGCCCTTGCCTTGACGCCATGACGCATTGCCAAAGGCGATCACCACATCGGTCCGTATCGGGGCGTGCTTCAGGACGGCCTTGCACATCCTGTCGACGGCCACTTGGCGCCTCTTGTGGCCCGTGAAGCGATGGTGACGGGCCTTCTTGCCAAGGTGGAAGTCGAGCTGCACTCGAAGTTCCGGTCGCAGGACATGGGTGAGATGGACCTTGAAAGCTTCCGAGGACGACACCTTGGGCGAGGGGGTGGTCGACATCCAGGTCTCGATGCTGAGTCGATACTTCATGGTGTTGTGCCACTTGGTGTTGGACGTATGGCCACACATGTGCTGGTAGTGGCCATTGGAGAACGAGACCACCTCGTCTTGGTGGCTCGGTGCTTGGATGACCGCCGTGAAGATGGAGCCGACTCCAGGATCGATGCCAATCCAAGTGGTGCGATCGGGGTCTGGGTCGCCGATGTGGGCCTGGATACGCTGCTCGGCAGTCGGAGGAGGCTCGATGGTCTCGAAGCGATCGGTTCGAGGCAGAAACTTGACGAGGCCGATGGTGCATCCAATGCCATCGGTGCTGATCTCGTAGTTGAACAGCTTCTTGTTCACGTCCCGCTCTTGGAAGAGGGAACTACGCAGCTTGAAGCAACTGCGCCAGAGACGATCCTGGTTGTTGACACCGTCCTCACCTTCATCCTTGAGCTTGTCCCTGGTGAGTCCAAGACGATGTTCGGTGTCAAGGAGTTGCCAGAGAGTGACCGTGTCAATCTTGACATACTTGGCCCTTGCAGTGCACAGAGGGACCATCGTGCACACGGCCGGAGGAGTGTCCAGAGCGAGCTGCTTGAGTGCCCAGTTGATCCTGGCGGCCAGCTTGTTGATCTTGGACTTGGTGGTGCCGAGCTCAGACTTGGCCTTGGTGAACCTCTTGTCGTCGGAGGGAATGCCTTGGGTAGTGAGCTCGTCCAGCTTGGCCTGGCGCTGCAGCTCGGTGACTCGGAGAGCGGGCATGTCACAGTCGATCCACTTGTGGACATTGTCGACCATCTTGTCTCGGGCGAGGATTCTCACATGGTGTGAGAGGAGATGGAGGGCCCGGAAGCGGTCCTGGTCGCTGCTGTACCGAAACTCGTCCAGGACGTGGCCAAAGTCTGGATAGAGGAACTCGAGATCGGCCTTGGGTGGAGTCTGCCCTGGTTTCTCGAAGAGCTCGAGACAAGCCTCGATGGCTTCGTGCTTGTGCTTGTTGGCTGGGAAGACGGCAGCGCAGAAGCGGCGAAGGAGTCGCCAGTAGGCCAGATCGAGGTGGGTGGTGCAGTTGGTGGCATAGGCATTGACAGCCAGTGTGAGAAGCTGACTGTGAGCACCATCAGGCAGACGAGGGGCCGGAGGCAGGTCTGCGTGCCGAGTGGTCTGATAGTCGCGAAAGGAAGCAACCAGATGCTCGTTGTATTTCTTGGTGTCCCTGGCCGTCGAGAGGGCATCGGCCTCGACAATCGTGAAGCATTGGCGGATGAAAGCAGGGGTGGCCCTGGAGATGACGGGGACGGGAATATCCTGCTCGATGCACCGGAGGATGTGCAGGTTGAGCAGCCTGGATGCCTCGAACTGGATCTGGGTCATGGCCTCGACGGTGGCCTGGATCTTGTCGCGGAGAGCGGGATTGAGACAACAGCCATCCATCGTCTGCTTGAAGCAGCTGAACTGAGGGGCGGATGACCTTCCATCCACGAGAGGGACGACAGAACTCTTGAGGGGCCGGTATTTGGGACATTTGCTGGTGTTGCAACGTTCGTGATCGGTGCCATCGCACTGGCGACATCGCTTGCCGGTACTCGAGGAAGTAGATGGACCAGGCTCGGTGGGATCGACATCCATTGGATCTGCAGAAGCAGTGGTGGTGAGCGACGGAGCAACAGACGACCAAGCATGCGTGGGGTCAGAATACGAACCAGAGACAGGTTCCGACTGTGACTTGGCTTTCTTGGGCCTGGGTGGCCGAGGCTGGCCATCACCGGTACCCTTACGCTTCGGAGGCATGGGGGCAGAGGGTGCTGGGTGCCTGCCAGTGGTACTGGTCAGAGCAGAGACTTTTTTTATCGTACAATAGCGCGATGATCCGATCAAGGCGAGATGAGGGAAGAAAGCAGCAGGACGAAGGTGTGGCATTTATACCCGAGAGCAGGAGCCCGTCTTTGCGGGCTGGTTGGGGAAGTGACCCTGTTCAAAAATCGCCGAGAGGTTCAAGCCAGGGATGTGAGCGTGAGAAATGGCGGCTTGATTGGAGGGAACTCAACCCCAGAAGCGCATCGCTCGCTCAATCCAGCCGTGGGAAGACATCTGGAAGCACCCTCCGAACGGCAGGACTCAAACAGGGTCACCATCCCGATCCTTGAATCCCCTCGGATGCATTCAGCGCTGCTGCCTTCCTGTACTGATGCTTCACAATCCCAAAGAAGTTCTCGATGGGATTGAAGTCGGGTGAAGCAGGATGGGGTGAAGATCACTGACCATCCTCGGCGCTCGATGCAGTCCAGGACAGCCCTTGTCTTGTGCATGCTGACATTGTCCATCACAATCACAGTGTCGTCTGGGAAGCTCGCTCGCTCAAAGAACTCGACCATCGAGTGTGTCTTGAATGATGTGGGGATGTACATGCGATGCAGCACACCAGAGTGGTTGATGGCAAATGCAGCCGAGACGGACTTGTGCTTCATGTGATTGCGCTGGCGAAGCGGAGCACCCTTCGGTGAGTATCCGTAGAGAGGGAAAATGGATCTCCTGATCCCTGTCTCATCGACAAAGACGAATCGTCGTGGGTCGATGGAGCGGACCTGGTCCCTGAACTGTGCCACTCGCTCATCCAGTCGCTTGGACTTGTAGAGGTGTGTGGCTCTCTTGTGTGAGAGACCTGCTCGGTGGATGGCAGTGTGGCAGAGTGAGAGTGATACTTTCCTCTGGAGGATGGACTCGAGCTTGCATCGCAACACAGGACCAGTCTGGAACGGGTCCTGTTCAATCAGGGTGCGAATGACTGGACATGCCTGCTCGAAGAAAGTGGATCTGCGAGCTGGGACCCGGGATGGGTCATCCAGCTTGCATCCTCGGTGCCATCGATGGATGGTGCTCTTGGATACACTGAATATGGAGGCGACCTTACGCAGGCTATGGATGAGGGCGTAGCATCGCAATGCGGCGGTGCGAAAGTCGGATGTGTGGCGAATGGTCATGGCCAGCGCGCGATAACATTGGGTAACAAAATATTCGATCAATGGTCAAAAACCCGGGTGTCCCGTTTTTTATTGGATTGCCTGTAATGAACTGGGGCGGACACACATCCACCACCCACAATAAACACCCGTCTGGTGTACAAAGGGATTGATTGGCCATCCTATTGACACAGCCATGATGCTGCAGGTGCCCAATGAACTTTTGGGAGGGCTTTGATTGGTCGATTTGCTGCCGCTATCAGATGTCTGTGCTCGAAGTGACGTTGTCAGCAGTCGACTGGCTGATATTCGGCGGCCGGAGTGGGAGGATGCAAATGTTGAGAAGCGCAAGGATGTAGGAAGACGAAAGTCTCTCCTGGGAGTGGGTCGTCGTATCCTCAATGAAACGCCCAAGCTCGAAAGCAGCATCTCAGACTATCGAAATCTGCAACCTCGGAACGAAGACCGCGGGTCTTCACAATCGCCCTGCACACGGCGATCATGCTGCGTCGCCTATTCTCCAGTGGGTGTGGGTGCTCTTGGACACTCCGAAGATGGTCTTGGTCAGCAGACCATGTTACGAGACCACAGATCATTTGGTTGTCGATCCGAAAACTAGACATCCCAGTAACTGTAAGGCAGCTGGGGCATCCACTCCTAACAGCAATCGTGTTGAATTCCCGAGAAACATCCCTCGAGCAGACATCGCAGACTCGATTCAGAGCATGAAGCCACGACAGCATTATCAACAGCTACCAGCCAAATGAGCCACACATTGCCGGGGCCGGCAACGCCCTCGGGGCAACAAGCTTGATGATTTCTCGGATCTTGGCTAATGAGCCCGCTCGGCCCTACTTGACCAAGGGACGCACACCACTGCCGCTGCCGACAGTGAGGCGATCCGAGTACGACTGCATCTCCTGGAGGTAGGCGTTTGCCTCCTTGGAATCGAGATCCTGGGTCTTTGACTTTTTCGCCACCGAGTCGACGCTGACGACGACCTTTTTGCGCTTGCCCCGAGATTTCTAAAATGCCCAAAAGCCGCCGATGTCATGAGCCACGAGCAAAGGAGTCAGACCAGAGCTCGGATACGGCAGTCGAGCCTCGGGTCCGTTTGACTTCAGATCACTCGGATTCCACATCCTTTAAGCCTCCTCAGCTGCAGGGGCATCCAGCAGTTTACCGCGCCGGACGAATCAGGCCGCTTTTCACCCATGCAAGAGAATACGGAATAACTTACGAATGCAGAATCGAAACTCTTTTTCCTGGGTACACGACATCGTGCGGTGCAGGTGGTAGCGTAGTCGATCAGGATCGATGGAGGACATAGTATGGCAGCAGATCATGTGGGTTAGTCCTCGAAGGGCTCAAGTCTTCAAACACGGGGAGCCAACAGCAAACGACTCCGGCTCATTAGTAATCAGGTATCCCGCTGGAAGGGTGATCTTGGGATCTACGCAATCCAAAGGAAGGGCTCATAGCAGGGATCAGAGATACCGACGCTTGAAGCTCCTCCTTCTTCTTGGTTTCCTCGTCCTTTTCAACGAGCTGGCTTCGCTTGAACTGCCGCAGGAATGATCCGTCGTTGCTGAGTAATATATAATTGTGTTAATCGACACCAGCAACTTGGCCATCGGAGGCCGTGTGAGGCGGACTTGTCCCCGAAGCGGAAAGCGACAGGCCGACCATGAGAGCGCAAGCATGGAAAGCGACGGACGGGGCCAGGCTAGAAAGCTCACCTGAACTTGTTTACCGGCCCAGCCAAAGGCGATAATGCAGTCGGCGCCGCCGCTGATGAAGACTCGCTGCGTTCAGCCATGAGAGGCAATGGACGATCACCACGAAGCCGGTTGGGCTGTAAGATGTTGGCGAGCGAACGACTGCCCTCGAGCCCACGAGGAGGGAGCGGCAAAAAAATGGGCGGGGCCGGGAATGGATGCCCTCGGCCTGTGGCCTCGTCGCGAAACCCGCCCTGCTTTCGAAGCCCTCGGTGTTGGGGACGGGCTTACGGCTCTCTCATGGCTCTCGGCTGCATGGAGCATCTCGCTGTTGAGAAACTATTGATTCTGAGTGTGGGTACACATTTGTTTGGCAGTTGCCCAAAGACAAGTCTCTGTGGCTTGAGGCTCTCCAGCAGTTTCAAGCAGTTTCACCACCACCACCACCACCACCACCACCACCATCGTCAGAGGGAAGGTGATCTGTATGGGTTAATCAAAAAATGTGTGCGATCAGCGAGCTCCAGTACCCCGTGCGTGCTCATGCCATAGTTTATGGAGTCGGTGCAAATCGATCAATAGATTGTCACATCGATGCAGCCAAAGGACAGGCACGCAATGTGCAAGTCGATCTCGCCCATGGAGATCCACCGCAGGATCGATTAAATACGATATCGCAGGCAGACAGAATGAGGGGAGGGGCAGTGCTCCCGAGCTGATAATGGGCAGCATTCCACGGGATCGAGTTGGAACGCCGCAGTGCAGCACTACGGAATCGAAGGATTGTGAGTGGCCCGTGAGCGATGTAAATGCATTTGACGGACGTGTGTGTGTATTCAAGATCCAGGATGCTGTTGCCGCTGGCTATCAACACAGGATGCCGCGGTGCATTTCGTGAAGATTGAAGCTTATGATCGCGGGGGAGGGGGACCCGGTCTAAAGCCAGGAGGAGGACCGGGAGGGAATCTGAACGGAGGGCAAAGCATCAGATTAGATCAGTCAGATCGAATCCACAAGAGTCCAAAGATAGACCGCAGAACGACGATGTCTCCAAACACAACGATCCGAAAAGCAGACAGATAACTTACCCCGGTCGTGGAGGCACACCGCCCATTGGGAATCCAGGAGGAGGCCCACCCATGGGCATACCCTATAAATGGAGCAAGTAGTGGAATGCAGGGTTGGTCACACTCTCGGAAGCCAGATCAGCATAGGGACCGACAAGACACAACGGGACTTACGGGCGGAGGACGGAAGCCTGGTGGAGGCCCACCACGACCAAAGGGCGGCATGGGAGGGGCACCGCCCATCATAGGAGGACCAGGGCGCGGCGCAAGACCTCCAGGGCCGGGAGGGCCAGGCATGGGGGGACGTCCGTATGCGACGGGAGGGGCCACAAAGTTTCCTCGGCCAGCAGGTTGCATCTGCTGGATACCAGGGCCGCCAACACCGCGAACAGGGCCGGCAAGTGCTGTCGACATGGAGGGGAAGGTGCGATGGTGTTTGAGATGACAAGCGCTGGAGGTGGTGATAACAACGAACATTGGCGCGACGGCTTCGTGAGCGTCGAACACAATCTGTCGACAAGAGACTTACCGGCGGGAATACCAGCCGGGGCAGCAGCGATGGCCACGCCTCGCCCAGCGGAACGGGCCAGACCAGGGCCGCTGCTGGCTGCTTTTGACTTGCTTTCGTCTGCCGAGGGGAGACGGGCTTCGATACTTATGCTGACGATCGTTTCTCCACGCAGGACAACCAGTCCTAGAGTTCTTCTTTCTTCACGATCGGGCTGACCAGCCGGGACGGGTCCCTTTGGCTTGATCTTTCGAAACTCCTCGCAGTCCGAAAGCACCAGATTCATATGCTTGTCGAAGGCGAGCATTTGTCCGATCAAAGTCCTTCCATCCAAAATTGTGATTCTTAGCCGACAGTTGAGAAACTGCAGCATCTTTGATGTCTTTGAAATCGACTGGATGATCGATGCAAGCGGAACGGAGTGAGTTGAGACATGCGGGCAGGGACGCCAGTGGGGATGGATAACCGGAGTGCAGCGACCGCGCGGGGCGATATGACAGATGCTGGCGGATGACGCCAAGGCCGACCAATATAGGATCGGAGAATGGTTGAAGAGATCAACGACGGCACGCACCATGGCTGAGGCTGCTGGTCCACGGCACCACGGTGAACAGGAAGGTCGACGAGCGGCGGGCGTCGGGAGCAAACAGAGCCCGATCAGCGAAACTGCCGAGATCTCGTTGCGCCGCGGCACGGCCGTCCCAGCAAGAAAAGCGGCGAGGCAGGAGCTGGCTGGAGTGGGCTCGAGGGCGGCTGGAGCCAGCAACGTGACCACAGAACACGCAGCCACGAAGAAAAAAAGACGAAGGGCGACAGCAGCACGATCGGCCCAGATCAAGCACCGCGAGCCGCCTCGACAGACGAACACGCAAGCAGACGCACTCGACTCATTTGCATCGGAAGAGGTAGGCGACGGCAGCAGCTTTGAATCAGTGTGACGCACAGAGTGAGACGAGCTCAGGGTGAGATGCAGGACTGGAGCCTGGCCACAGGACGACACCAAGGCTGCCAGGACCGTTGCTCGTCATGCCCTGGAGAGGGAAATACGGCCACATGGGCATACATAACGGGAACAGCCAGGAAGCGGATATTTGGGGGACAAACTCGCGGCCGAAACCCAGCGAAGGGGGGGGGTGGAGAGCAACTTTTGAAACGAGGAGCATCTGTGCGAGATCACTGCCGAGATCCGGAGCCCAAATGAAAGAGGGCCATGAGAAACGAATAAGCTGCGGATGGATGCTGAAAGCGATCAAACAGCGATAGGACAAGTTCAAATGAGTGCCGAGCAATGATGCCAGCACCGGTATCGCAAGCGAAACTCGGTTCACTGCGCTGATCTCGGCGGTTTCCTTGGATTCGGAGCGAGCCGGCATTTCCGCGGACGGAAAATACCGACAGAAAACATAGCATCGCAGAACGGCACTAACGATCGAAACCTCCGACTCGGACCAACAGATCAGATCCACTACCATCAAACTCAGCAGCCGGACGCCGAACTTTCAAACCCAGAATGAGCGCCAACGTTGCCAATCTCTGTTCCCAGATTCAAAACAGCTTTCGTTGGCGATTTCGACGGATTGCCGTCCCTTACACCAATGTGAACCGATCGATTGCCCATATTCTGTACGATGAAGGGTTTATCTCATCCTACATGAGCGGTGACGACAAAGGGCCTTACCACACCGGTTCAGTAGTACCGGTGACACCAGACAACATCGCTCGTCGAAAAATCTGGATGGACCTCAAGTATCACGAGGGAGAGCCCGTCCTAAAGAAGATGTCAACGATTTCAAAGCCATCGCGCAAAGTATTTGCTTCGGTCCTTGAGCTCAAGGCGATCGCCTCTGCTCGACGAGCGTCGCCTCTGCTCCGTCCACAAGGAGTCGGCCACATTACGATACTGAAAACGAAGTATGGAATTCTGGAATTGAAAGACGCTCTGAGCAAGGAAGTCGGTGGTGAGGTTCTGTGTATGGCGGCTTGATGAAAAGCTGGTTGAGAAGCCGACCAAGGCAGGGGCGAATAATGCCAAATACATGGATCCTGAAAAACATACAACACAAATATGGAATCGCTGCCTCATGCCTGGAAGGTTCACAGCGGAAGCGTAGCGGCAAAGAGAGCCACTCTTGGAGACGAGGATGCAGCCAGCCGCATGACGCAACCAATTGCAGGGCGACTGGTAGGGTGACCGACGACGAACGGGCCGGTCCCAGATGTTGTTGGCCCGGATGTTGTTGGCCCAGATGTTGTTGGCCCAGAGCCAAATCGGCGTTGATGCTAAATCGCTTGGCTGTGATCCTCGGACGCGACGACCGACTTTGATCAACCCGGCCCCTATCGGACCACTCACCGGCCACAGGGCCACCAAGACCAAGCTTGTGGCAAACGATCGGACTCCGCACCGAAATATATAGACGGCGGAAACCAACACGGCATCGATCTCGGCACAGCGCCCAAAAACGAAGTGCGGGAATGTTAGGGTAGAGGTGTATCTAATAATCGGAGGGTGTATGTAGGCCAGGGCACTTTCAAATACGGGGAGCCGGAAGGCAGAAGCAAGAGCAGCTACATACACCAAGAATCGACAGCAAGTCCTTGAGAACAAAGCAACCGCCGGCAATCCACGATACCAAAACACGTACTCGCAGGCGAGATCAAAGTAGCAAGCGAACAAGCGAGCATCTCAAAAATCAAAATGCCTTTGGCAAGCAAGATCGAAACCGGCAGGCCAGCGGAAAGAAAAGGCAAAATATGATCGTCGTTGCGACAACTGCAGGGTTCGAACCTGCGCGGGCAAAGCCCATTGGATTTCAAGTCCAACGCCGTAACCACTTGGCTAAGCTGTCGTTAAAGATTATCTTTGCTCCCACCCAGGATCGAACTGGGGACCTTATCCGTGTGAAGGACACGTCATACCACTAGACCATAAGAGCTTGTCCGGAAATCGCGATTTCCATATATGACCCCTGGATAATCGCCACAGAATATTGCCTCTTGCTCCCAAATTCGTGTGGGTCGTTGCGTCTGGCGACCCCTACCTCCACCCGCCGCCTGTTGGCTCAGCCGTTCGGCCAGCCAACTATGGCGTAATGAGCATGTCTCCTGCTGTCTATTTTGTCCTGTCCTGTAACCTATCCATAGGTCGGTCAATGGGTGGGTCTTTATTAAGACTTTGCCTTAGCGTCCCTGGCGGGCTCTGGCACTGGGTGTGGGCTTTGCCAACCAGGACATTTTACAATCGTCACTGCGGCGATGTCAAGTTTCGCCGAACTCATCTATTCAGTGACAGTTTGGAATCTGCAGCTCCGACTTCCATGTCCAGACTTGTGCTGATGTATGCCTGTGGCATTACTTCCTCAGGCTCCTACTGTCGTGCGTGGCGTATCCGAGGGATTGGCGTCCACGACAGACATTCAGTTGCGATGTCATCCAACACCGCCACGACATCCAGCCAGATCGCTGGTCTGTTGTTGAGGATTCGTTCGCGTTTGGCTCGCCATTTGCTCAGTTTTTCCTGGTCGATGGTGGCTGGTCTTGCGGGCACTCGAGCCAGTTTGGGGAGTGCGTCGATTGCAAGGTCGATGTACGTGATGCCTTCGGGGATCCTCGCAGGATGTACATACTGCTCGAGACGGTTCTTGGCTCGGACACATTCCGACGCATGTTTCCTGTTCACGGGAACTTTGGGACCATTGGGTCCGGGCTTCCTGCACGCTCCATCAGGTTTGGGAGGGAAGCCTCCGACCCGCCAGAGAAACATTCTTCGGGCTTGAGCGACTGATATCACTGGCATCCGTGCGGTCAGGATAGGGTCTCCATCCCATTTGTAGGTGCCTGCGATCGACATCACCTTGCTTGGGGTTTCTTTCCTTTTCGTAGAAGCGCATAATCATTGCCTTCTTGATGGGAACGCCTGTTCCTGTCCCCTTCTCGAATAGGGCCGGTCTTGAATGCTCTGGGAAGGTTCTGTGCTGCTGTTCCAGCTCTTTCCAGGTGGCGTTTCCGGTCAGCTTGGAGAGGATCCTTTTGTTTGCATCCCTTGCTGGGAGCTCCGCAATGTGTCTGAGCACCTGCGACGTGAGGAAGCCTGGGTCGCCCTCTGCGATCGTACCAGCGGCCGAAGCACTTGATCGTCAGTACTTGTTTCCGAGTTGACATAGAGTATATCCCCGTGACCGCCTGTATCGCCGGCCCGGATATGTTGTGGCGGATGTTGAGGGCGGATCGAAGTGTCTCCATCATGCATCGTTGCAGATCGTTCATCGTGGGTCCGCTCAGATTGATGATGGCAAGGCCGTATTCCAGACGCGGTCGGACAAAGGTCTTGTATATCTTGACTATCAGTCCGGGGTAGATGGATTTGCTGAATATCCCGTGCTTTCTGAGCTCCTTGGTTTGAAGCTGGGCCTTGTGTTTGAGCTTGCTTGCATGGGCTTCCACGTCAATGCCTTCGGGGCCGAATTGCACCCCAAGATATTTGAAGGTGGAGCGGACAAACTCGAGCGGTGTGTTGTTGAGGATGACAGGTGCCGGGTTGGCCTCTGCCGTTGTGACTTCGCATTTGGCTGGCGCGAACATGTAATGATGCTCCGCCGCATGCGCTTCGGATATCCTGATGAGGCTCTGCAGGTCTGCGTGATCTTTTGCAATCAACGCCATATCATCGGCGTACATGACGTTGTTGATGATAAGATCTCCTATTCGTGGCGAGGCGATCGCCCGGAGACGTTGTGAGAGGTCGTCCATGAAGAGGCTGTAAAGGGTGGGAGAGAGGACCGATCCTTGCAGCAGCCCCGTCTCAAGCCAGTATGGCTTGGAGCTGGTGCCGCTCACCAGGACGGTGGTGCTCACGTCGTCAAAGAGAGCACGGAGGATGCGGACCGTGTGCGCGGGAACGTTCCGGTTCTCGAGCTTGGGCCAGAGCAGCTGACGATCGACCGAGTCGTAAGCGGCCTTGATGTCCATAAAGGCAATCCACGGAGTGTGTCCGTCGTTCATCATCATTTTAACAATGGTGTCGAGTGCAAAGACCTGGTCCTAGGGTCCCTCTGTTGTTGCGGAAGCCTCCTTGGGAGATGTCGATGGCGCCCATCTCCTGCTGCAGTCGGCTGTGAATGATTCGTTCAAAGACCTTTCGGACGACCTGCAGAAGCGATATTGGCCTGTAGGTCTTGATGTCGGCTTCTTCGCCCTTCTTCTTCCAGATCGGGTGGTTGGTGGCGACATTCCACTCTCGAGGAACGACGCCGGTCCATAGGCACCAGCTGAAAAGCTGACACAGCCATTCGGAGACGTGATCTGTGACCGGGTGCAGGAGCACGGCGCTGATCCCGTCCGAGCCGGGTGCCTTGCGCTTGCCCGTGTGCTTTATGGCAGACCGTACTTCATTTGCGGTGATTTCGTGGGCACTGGTTCGGCTGAGCAACACCTCTCGTGGTAACGGGGTGTTGTTTTTCTCTTGGACACGGTGGCGACTGGAGACATTACCAAAGTGCGTTCGGTATCGCTCCATGCTCTCCTGATCGTTTGGGAGGATCGACTGGTTGAAATAGCCACTCCTGATCTTGTTCCTCTTGCTGATTTCTTTGAGCAGATCGGTGTCTGATTTGGTCGAGAGGGACTGCGCCCAGGAGTTGTAAAAGTCTTGCTTTTGTATCCGGATCCGTTGTTTCAGGACGCTGTTCCAGTGCCTGTAGTCGGCCATGGCCCGCAGCTGCAGCCTTGAGCCTTGCGGCAGCTGGTTGATCAGTCGATATGCCGCGTTCCGTCTTCTCTTGGCATCCACCATTTCCGGGGTCCAGAAGCCGTTTGCGGGGAGCCGGGCCGTTTTTCTTGCGCTTGCCAATCACGATGCTGGCAACCGTTGTGATGTGGTTTTGGATGATATTCCACCCTGACTCGACGAGGGCCACGGCTGCTTCGTACGCCATTGGTCCATCTTCTTGCGGCAGCCGGTTTCCCAGCCGAGTGATCTGTTCGACGACTGTCGGGTGGTGTTCTTGTATGGCCTCCGTGTACTGCTCGAGCACTTCCGGGTCCTCGAGCTTTTTTGTCCGCCACACGAGGATTGGTGGCCGTTTGGGCTGCTTCGCAACATCCCACTCGAGCTCCATTGCAACCACACGGTGGTCGGAGTTGCACGTATCGTTGAAGTGGACCAATGCCGACTTGATCTGGTTGATAAGGGCCGTGGACGCAAAGAACAAGTCGAGGACCGAGTTTTGCGTGTTTCGTCCCCTTGCGACGTGGGTCCAGTGTTGGCCATAGGGATTGGATGAGTCGACAAACTTCAAATGGCCTTCGTTGATGGCGCTCAAGAGTGGTCTGAGTCGGCCGTTGTATATTTCTGTATCCCTGGTCATTCTTCCCATGCGGGTGTTAAAGTCGCCCATGATCACCGAAGGGATGGGAGCGTCCGTCTTGGTGGTGTTGTTTTTGATCACCGAGACTGCTTCTCTGAACTTTCGCAGTTCAGTGGCGTCGGCCGAGAGTGCAGGTCTGAGGTAGAAGGAGCCAAAGACGATGCCTCGGAACTTGAACCAGATGCTCGTGTGATGAGGTCCAACGCGGAAGTTGCTAAAGTCTTCGAGGTTGGTGGTTTTCGGGTTCCGAATGAGGGCGATTCAGCCTTTGCCTCTTGCGAGGCCGTCAGCAGAGGTGTCCTCTTCCCGGGTTTCGAAAACTATGAGGTTCTTGTAAGGTCCGATGGATTGCTGTGGTTTGAGCCACGTTTCCTGCACCGTTATAAAGTCGAGGTCTTTTGCTTTTACCATTTCGATAACCTCGTGTATAGAGGTTTCAAGTCCGCAGACATTCAGGGTCGCGAACCTAATAGTGGGCGTAGGTTGGGGCTGCATCATTTGCGGGGAGGAGTGGTTCCTTCGCGTCCGCCTTTTTCTTGGCGGCCTGGTTTGTTGCGAGCCAGTTCCTTCGCCTTAGCAGTGATCTGCTCGGCGACGGCTGGGTTGTTCATCTTCCGTTGGTACAAGGTCGCCGTGAGGAGGTCATTGGATTCCGCACATATCCTGACAGCGCGTTCAATGAAGCTCTTGATTTGGAGCTTCTTGGACTCCTTCTCGGCCTCGGTGATCTTCGACACGTCCATGTGTGCGACTTCAGTGAATTTCATGTCCGTAATGTGCTTCAAGAATTCTTCTCTCGAGCTCTTGTCTCTGAGAACAAACTCACAGACGCTGTTGTTGACAAAGCTGATATTGAGAATCTGGTTGGTGGCAAAGCCCTTCTCCTTGAAAGCTTGTCTGATCGTGCGGTAGCTACCCCGAGGGATACCCTTGACGTAAACCCAAGCGGCGTTGTCCATCCTATCCTTTAAGGGTCCTTCCTCGACAGGGACCGAGGATCTGATCATCCTGAATGGCGTGGCAGTCTTGGGCACCAGCCACTTGCCGTCGGTGGGGTCACGGCCGCGGAGGATGGCGCCGATGGCCTCGTTCTTCTTGCCGGCATCGGCCTCCTGGTGGACTTTTTCGAGGGCCGCCAGCTTGCGCGCGTCGATTGTCTTGTTGTCTGGCTGCTTCTTGGCACCCCGCTGGGCGGCTGCTGCGTAGGATGTCGGAGCTGGGCGTTCCGAGATGGCCCGGGACGCATGCTCCAGCTCGGAGGCGAGCGTCTGCATGCACTCGGTGGCGCTCTGGGTCAGGGCCTTGATTCTAGCAGCTTCCTCGGGCTTGCTGAGGTCCAGCTTGGCGAGTTCTTCGTTAATCTTCTGAGCTTTCTTGAGAAGCTCACTCTGGATGTGCTGAAGCTGCTGTTGGGGACTCTGCTTCTTGCGCATGTCGGTGGCGCAGACGCGCTTCCCGACAGCCCCGGCACCGGCGAGGGAGGCCCGTTGTTCGAAAAGCTTCCATCCGGCTTCGTCATGGCGGGTCATCAGGCCCCAGAATACGAGGATGGAAAAATGCTTCCCGCATTCTTCCACCTTGGTGGCGGCGTCCGGGCTCATCAGCATGTTCTTGCAGACGACCGAGTGCTGGGCGTCGTCGATACGCCAGGCGGGGGGTTTGCTCCCTCTGCAACGGGAGCATTGCACTTGGTCTGCCTTCAGAGCGAAGACAAACCTGAATCTACGGTATGTAATGTCTTTGAAATCGACCGGGATGAAGTCCTGGTCGCTGAGAGTGTTGTTCTTGGCCTTCTCGATTCTCGAGAGGGCCCACATCTTTTCCTCAACCACGTCGGGCGGAGAAGCACTGGGCCCTCTCGATCCTCAAGAAGGCCAAGAGCAACACTCTCAACGACCAGGACTTCATCCCGGTCGATTTCAAAGACATTACATACCGTAGATTCAGGTTTGTCTTCGCCCTCAAGGCAGACCAAGTTCAATGCTCCCGTTGCAGAGGGAGCAAACCCCTCGCCTGGCGTATCGACGACGCCCAGCACTCGGTCGTCTGCAAGAACATGCTGATGAGCCAATGCCTCTGTGCTTGCCTCTTCCCCCGTTCCTTCGCTTCATCACCCCGTTCCGTCGCCCTGTTCCGTCAGCCTGTTCCGTCGCCCCTCCCACGCTGTCCCCATCGCAACCATGTCCGCCAATGCCCACCCCTCCATCGGTCCAACTCAGCCATCTCCCAGACCGTGCCCAGACATCTTCACCATAATCTGCTGCAACGACAGCTTCCAGCTCGCCCTCAGCCTCGCCGACATCGAGACCCTGCTCCTCGTCTGCAAGCGGGCCCAGCCACTCCTGGACTCCAAAGTGAATCGGCTTCGACACTGGTGCAAGGAGAACCGGCTGCACTCTCCAGACAGGCCGCTGCCGGATCTCATCTCTGCCAACGACTTGATTGCCATCTCGCTGCACTATGGCGGCCAAGAGACTGCCGACCGATCCTGGCTCGTTGCCTTGGCTGACCAGGGAAACCCTGCTGCGTCATATCTGCTGGCACGAATCCTGCAAGCCAATCTCGCTCACCGGCAGCCAGTGACTCGGTCCAAGCGGCGAGAAACACAACAAGAAATCGCCCAGCACCTGGAAACGGCTGCCAACGCAAAGCATCCAATGGCACAATTCCACCTGGCCCACTCCTACCGCAACGGACTCGGAGTCTTCCAAGACTACACCAAGGCCGTCGAGCTGTACCGCACACTTGCAGATCGTGGGATGCCTCAGGCTCAAATCGCCCTTGGCTGCTGCTATGAAGGCGGCGAGAGTGTCGACCAAGACTTTGACACAGCCATTGAGTGGCATTCCAAGGCCGCAGATCAAGGCAGTGAAGACGGTCGACTCCATATCGTGTTCTTCCGTGGCTGGCTCTCGTTCATCGGCCATGGTGTCAAACAGAGCGACGCCGATGCCTTCAACCGCTGGCAGGAGGTCAGCACTCAATCCACCGACCCGGTCATCAAGCCCATCGCCACGCACATGGTTGGGTGGATGCACTATCTCGGCCGGGGTACTGTGCGTGACGAGCAGAAGGGAGTCAAGATCATCCGGGAGAACAGATCGGATGAGTTTCCCTTGGGAGAAGAGGAGTGTCTCGCTGGTGAAAGTACGAACGTACGTCCCGACTCCAGCATCCTCGCATCTCGAAAATTCGTCGAGCTGTGCCAGCTGGGATCAGAGCAAGACTGGCTGTGTCGCCACCTCACTGCCGTGTGTCTGGTTCACGGAGTCGGAGTTCCGGAGGACCAAGTGACGGCCGCAGGCATCTTTGAGCAGCTCGCAAACGACGGTCATAATGACAGCCAGGTGCAGTTGAGAACAATGTATTTCTATGGTCGAGGAGTGGAGCCAAACCTCACAAAAGCATTCCAGTGGTGCCAACAAGCTGCAGACCAAAACAACTCCTTTGGACAGTGGATGCTGGGTACCTGTTATCGCCGGGATGACCCAATCTTCAAAGACTTGATCAAGGCCGCCCAGTGGTTCCACAAGTCGGCCGAACAGTGCAATCGGTATGGACAAGACTCTCTTGGCTACTGTTACCGATCTGGTGAGGGTGTGGCCAGAAATCTCCATACCTCCCGCTTCTGGTTCAATAAGGCCGAAGATCAAGGTATCCACCACGCTTGGCACAGAGTCAAAGTCGTTCATCGAGATTCCAACACCCGAAACAAACGAGTATGTCGGATTCAGTGATGACTGTACCCCCAATCAAATTTAACTGCACAGAGCAACCATTCAAGTTGCTTCATCTTGGTCTAGTCAACCTAAGTGCTGTGAAGATGCAAGGCTTGTTACAACCCTAAACGACACCTGCCTGGAACCTGGGTCATGTGTTCTCCCTGCTTGCCTCTCATATATAGCCTTCGACCCTCCAAGCCCCTGGTCTCCCCTGTCCTTCGTTATCTTGTTATGGTCGCCAATATATGTGTTTTCACGGTGACTACAGGCCTTAGATCACCCCCTCCGCCAGAGCCCTCGTAACAAGGCTGTTCCGATGATATAACACTGACTGAATATCGTTGTTGCGGGCGAACAATATATCCGAATCGCATAATAGCGGTATCTCAAAACATACCCATATACTGATAACTAAGTAACTAGGCTGCAGCTCGAGCGTAATTTTGTCAGAGCCAGAGGTTTCCCTCGGAAGGGTCGTCGTGACGACCCTCTTTGTGGTTCTGGATCCGATCATTGGGACTTTACTCCCCAGACTGCAGATGTCTTGCTTGGCTTGAGGTTCAAGTTGCCTGATTGGGTTCAATGCCCTCCTTTTGTCGTCAAAGCCCGCTGGCAAGATACCAAAATAGCGCACCAGCCGATCCGGTGCTTGAGCATCCCAGCGTGGTTCATGCAGCCGATCATATCCAAAAGCATCGTGCTGCCCATGCAGTCACAATGGCAGACGGCTCGACAGAGATCTTGTCGGGCGACACGGAGCTATTCCTGAACTTTGACAATGATGATCTCAGTGGCCGTGTTGGTGGCTAATGACGTTATATCAGCTATCGCTTACTGGCTATTGACTCGGCCGATTGGTGCTTTGATGCCTCTACCGATTGGTGCTTTGATGCCTCTACCGATTGTACTCACGACGGGTAAGATGTTGTGATGTACTTGTTGACTCGCCTGCTTTGGTGTCTTTCTCTTCCGACTTTGTGTCGGAGAATTCCGCAGGCTTTCTCTTTTCCATTTCCAAGTATCAAACATTGAATACAATCTGGATCCGAGTCGGAGAGCCATCGGGTCAGATAGTAGTGCGTCAGAAGGCGAAGGTCTCCCAGTTGACTTTTGTGGCTCTGTCGTCGATTTATCTCTCTCGGACGCACGTATATGTCGGTGGTGGACTAGGTCTTCCTTTGAACCTGGTTTGGGCGGTCGAATTTGTGTTGGAAGGGCGAGAGCATTTCCGGACGATCTCGGGATGGCGTGCATATTTGCAACAAGGCTGAGCAGACCTGTGGTAAAATGAGTGAAAAAGAATACGGTTTGTACAATCCGATCAAGTGAATATGCCCCCAAGTGTTAGCATCTGGCCTTAACTGGCGCTATACCTATCAAGAATGGATAGACTGTCAGCAAGAAGTCGGCCGATTCACACGGCAGATTCAATAGCATCGGATTCGCGATCGTGGCGCATATAGTGGCGTTTGATAAAATCAAGTGCGAGGAGGATAGACTGATGTAACACCTCGTGGCAAAGCAACTGACCTATCGATAGGTTACAGGACAGGACAAAATAGACAGCAGGAGACATGCTCATTACGCCATAGTTGGCTGGCCGAACGGCTGAGCCAACAGGCGGCGGGTGGAGGTAGGGGTCGCCAGACGCAACGACCCACACGAATTTGGGAGCAAGAGGCAATATTCTGTGGCGATTATCCAGGGGTCATATATGGAAATCGCGATTTCCGGACAAGCTCTTATGGTCTAGTGGTATGACGTGTCCTTCACACGGATAAGGTCCCCAGTTCGATCCTGGGTGGGAGCAAAGATAATCTTTAACGACAGCTTAGCCAAGTGGTTACGGCGTTGGACTTGAAATCCAATGGGCTTTGCCCGCGCAGGTTCGAACCCTGCAGTTGTCGCAACGACGATCATATTTTGCCTTTTCTTTCCGCTGGCCTGCCGGTTTCGATCTTGCTTGCCAAAGGCATTTTGATTTTTGAGATGCTCGCTTGTTCGCTTGCTACTTTGATCTCGCCTGCGAGTACGTGTTTTGGTATCGTGGATTGCCGGCGGTTGCTTTGTTCTCAAGGACTTGCTGTCGATTCTTGGTGTATGTAGCTGCTCTTGCTTCTGCCTTCCGGCTCCCCGTATTTGAAAGTGCCCTGGCCTACATACACCCTCCGATTATTAGATACACCTCTACCCTAACATTCCCGCACTTCGTTTTTGGGCGCTGTGCCGAGATCGATGCCGTGTTGGTTTCCGCCGTCTATATATTTCGGTGCGGAGTCCGATCGTTTGCCACAAGCTTGGTCTTGGTGGCCCTGTGGCCGGTGAGTGGTCCGATAGGGGCCGGGTTGATCAAAGTCGGTCGTCGCGTCCGAGGATCACAGCCAAGCGATTTAGCATCAACGCCGATTTGGCTCTGGGCCAACAACATCTGGGCCAACAACATCCGGGCCAACAACATCTGGGCCAACAACATCCGGGCCAACAACATCTGGGACCGGCCCGTTCGTCGTCGGTCACCCTACCAGTCGCCCTGCAATTGGTTGCGTCATGCGGCTGGCTGCATCCTCGTCTCCAAGAGTGGCTCTCTTTGCCGCTACGCTTCCGCTGTGAACCTTCCAGGCATGAGGCAGCGATTCCGAATGGGTCGTCCACGCTCCGAGGCAACAATGCAAAGGCTCGCAACTCAAAGCTATAGAGAGTGATCGGTAGTAGCGTCTATTTTACTTCCAATCGTCAAGTGGCTCATGAGCATCTTTGGCTGCTTCCTTCCAGCGTCGTATCATTGTCAAAGCAGAACACCCAGGGCATCATGTATAGCACAGTTGTCCAATATCAGGATCCTTGGTTCAGGTTTGCTATGAGAGGAACAAGCGATGGTATCCGTTCTTGCCGAGTTTCTTTCGGCAAATCGGGCATGATTTCTGCCTCATTGATGCACCGCGAATGCAGTCTTCGCAGAAAATATGTCCGCAGACCGTGCTGCAGAGATTGGTCGTCTCTGAAGCTTTCTCCAGACATACTGAGCACTTGAATACCGCCGGGTTTTCCGGTGACGGTGTGCGAATTACGGGTGCCGTTGTTGATAGAGAATGCGGCAGTTTGGGAATCTGGAGTGACGGCTGCGGTGGTATCTGCCATTGATTATAGCTGAGCTGGCTGGAGCTTGGGAGGGGCGCTGATAGGACACCAAGAGAAAATGGTGGATTTCGGATATCCGAAACTGTTGCAAACAGGACACAAGTCGATTCGTATTTCGCAGCAGAGGCAGAGGGGAGGATGTGTGCCACCGGTGGAGTGTGTTAGTTTCATCGGAAGCTACCCGCTGGCTCCATGCTGTGCGTTTATGAGCGGTACCAAAGACACTCGCAAATGCGATGTTGCATCGACGATTCCCCAGCTCCCAAACTTGCGCATCCAAACGAACGGGGGCTCTGCCTCTACACTTACACTGCATGATATTTGAGTGCGGATGAAGGGTGAAGCTGGATGTCCCAGCCATCAAGCTGCTCAGTTGCTGACGCTCGCTCGGCTTACTGAAGAACCTTATGGATACTATCTCAAGATCGTCATCGCGGTGACTTGAGCTGCGAGAGAGCCGAGGCTCCTCTTGGACATCCTCCCGGGATCTGGGCAATGCCACTGGATCGATCGGGGTCGCTGCCGTTTCGCTCGAGTCGGTGTCGTCGTCGAGTGTCAGGTCGATAAATGTCGGGTTATACTGTGGGATGTTTGAGGATACTACGGTGAGTTCGTCGTCGTCTTCTCCGCTGGCTTGGTTGGTTTCCCCTGGGCTGTTGATGATTTGAACTGCTGGGGTATCCAGCATCGATTGCTGGGACAGCCAGTTAGTCCCGCGGCCATTTGACGCTGCATCGACAGGCGGATCAGCGGCCAACATTGGAAGGGAGAAGTCTGTGGATAGTAGCATGCTCTCATCGATGAACTCGCAAAAGAGATTTCGGCTCTCAGTGTCGGTCGGCCCCATGCTGTTGCTCGGCCCTCGGCTGCTGGAGCGCTGCACAGCTGGACGGGCGGCAGAGCGTCGCCGGTGGAAAGTCGTCGATGCTGGCGCTGTCCACGTCACACGTGACCTGCAACGCACCACGTGATCATTCGACTATTTTTGGCGACTGCTCTTGCAAATCGCCAGGGGTGGATATGACGAAGTGACTTGGACAAGCTATTGCCCATTGTTTCACGGAGAAGGCAGGGTCAACAACGGTCATGATATTGCATGTTAGTAGTTTCTGTCGATCCGCGGACCATGGATGCGCCCAGCTCCGGTGCTGCGACATTGACACAACGAAGAGTATGGCAACGGGATGTCGCTTGGTCATCCGAGTGATCCCAAACACTTGAACCCAAGTTGTTGCTCCGTAAGGCGCGCTTGCTGAAGATGGTTGACAACGACACAACGTATTGGCCTTTTAAAATCCACGGTTTCCCCAATGGCGGTGCTCACGAATCAAGGTGTATTTACGGATTTGCCTACAGCGATGTCATGGCAAATCTGCCACCCAAATGTTCTGTTTAGAAACTAGGAAAAGTTTGGCCCAGGCCAGCATAGGCAGCGGGCTGGGGGGTTCCGTAGCCAGAGGGGACACCCACACCGTAGCCGGTGGCCTGTTGGGGCACGCCAGCCATAGGTAAGCATGAGCGGCTGGCCAAGACCCATGATAGGCTGCTCAGCTTGCTTCTCGGCTTGTTCGTCCTTGGTTGTGCGCTCGCTGTTGGCCTTTTCCAGGGCGTCAACCTGGGTAGAGAGCACGAGGCAAGGACGGGTAAGAGGCAGAGGTCTGACGAGTGCACGTCTCCATTTACATACGTATCGGTTACAAACGAATAGCCGGCCCGTACCTTGTTCATGTACTCCCGAGTGATCTGGATGATGTATGGCATGGCAAAATCGTTCAACTTGTTACGCCAAGGACAGCTCGAGAACAACATCCGGGCGGATGAGGTCGTAGCAGGTCACCAGCATAGCTGCGAAGCAATCGTTCTTCTGGTTCTCAACAAAGTAGCGGAGAAGGTCTTCGGCCAGTTCCGAGTCCTTGGACTCGGCTGCTGTTTCCATGGCATCCTTGAAGAGACTGTCCTTTTTGGAGAGCTTGATGGAGTGTGTCCAGCGTTTGTTTTTCTATTGGATGCGGAATTAAAGCATTGAGGTCAGCGAGATGGTGTCATGGAGAGTGGGTATGTGTATCCGTTGGAATACTTGGGGCGAGAGCGATCGGCCACTATCAGGATTGCAAGTGCAAATTCGAGCAGCTCTGAATAGAAATTGTCGCTCCTGCTTTGCCAGGCTCTATCCCTTACCTTGTAGAGATGGGCCGCGATGCGTCTGAACTCCAAAAGCTCATGCTTCTCCAGGCGCTGGGCGAGGGCAATGTTGTCAAAGTTGTCGCAGCTATCAATCGAATCACGGAGAGATCGATAGTCTTCCTCTTCAATCAAGAGCTCGTTGTAAGCAGTGTTGACGGCTTGGTTATTGGCCTACTCGCGGAAAGGTAACCGAGAGATTGCGGAGGTAAATAGAGAATCGATAGCGGGAAGAAAGTGCCAGTTCGATCTGGGATACATCGGCCATGGCAACCATGGCATTGGGAGAACATACCGACTGCACCGCAATCAGGTATTGCTTGATCAAGGGAAGGTTGTTGGTTTTGGTGAACATCGAAACCACTCTCGAGTGGTCGATGCGGGGGGTCAGCACAACGAGCAAATCGTTGATGAGAAGAGGCTCTTCCTCCAAGTAAAAACGAAGCGCCTATGATGTGAATGCCCCAAACGACAGGATGTTAGCGACAGCGATCGCAGACTACTGGGCCGCTGAGGATATCGGGGCAAAAGTGCTTGCGATGGATGCACCAAGGACCAAAGCCATGATTGAATGTAAACACACCTTGTAGTAAATTTCCAGGTTGCTGACTTTGACAACAGTGTCCTTGAAGGCAGCATGATCCCAGGCTTCGGTTGAGTGGGCCATAACGGTCAAGGCGGCATTGTCGTACTCGTCATAGTGCGTGTACAGGAACACCAGCTCGGACCACAGATGGGCAGCCTCTGTGGATCGAATGACCTTGGGGATGTTGATTCTCTGCCAGAAAATGCGCAGGTGCTCCATCAGGCGCTCAGGTTTATACTTGGTGTACAGGATGGCGAGCTCCGTGAACATGCCCATGTGGGCACGCTCAAGGCCGAGGCCAGCTTCAAGCAGAGTCATGAGCTCTTCAAAGTGACCTTGGTACTCATAAAGCTTGATGATTTCCTGTTGCCGCGAATGAGGAGACGGTTGAGAGCGATGTGACGGATAGAGCGCGGAGCACTCGCAGACATTGTGAGATGATGTGATGCCCTGGGCCAGCCGCCCCCAGACCGCTTACTTCAAGCTCCTCGGCATGGATGATGAGCTGGAGACCGCAGATTTGAGCCAGTCGGAACTCGTGATATTCAACGCAGGCGGCATTGACCTCCTTCCAAACTCTGGCAGGACGATTGATGCGCTGGTTAGCAGATGCAAGCGAGGTGCCCGAGGTAGGACATTGGTCGAGGGAGATTGGGCAGTATGTACGTACTTTGTGGTGTTGGCCTTGCGTGCGCAATCAACAGCCGCCTGGTAGTCTTTGAGATGGACAAGAATGACAGCTAGGCGAGCCCAGTTGGACACGTTGGTGAAGAGGATCTTGGCGGCTTCATACATTTGCTGGTTGAAGCATCGCTCTCCAACAACGGCAATCTAGGGCGAGAATACGACAGCGACCGATATGAATGGTCAGACAGTTATGTGAGTATGGAGCGCGCGGCTCATGGCTCGGGATGCTGGTAAGTTCAATCTGTGGATCCTCAGAAAGATGATCTGTTGTTGCCTCGGGTCATCGAGTGCCAATGTTACCTGAGCAATGTTTGAAGTTGCGATAAAGTCTTCCATATCGGAGAGACGGTTGGTTTTGGCGTAGGCAAAGACCAGCTCGCTTTCGATCATTGGATCGCGGACCTGCTTCCGAGCCATCTGGAGATAGCGGGCGAGATCGTCGTATTTGTCCACTTTGCCGGCCTGGAAGATGACCTCAGAGAAGCTGGAGCCGTCGTTGGCCTTGATGTAGGAGTCTAAGATGCCCAGTCGAAGGTTAGCGTGGCACTGGGCCGGTCATCCGCAAGGAGGAGTATCACTACGGACTCACCGATCGCTTCCTTGAGGTGGCCATTGTCGAGCTGGGCCTTGGCGAGCTTGGACCATACTTGAGGCTGATCGACCCGATCGGCGTACTCATAGGCACGATCAAGGTTGCGGACGTTGCTAATCAAAACGTCAATGGCGTTGGTGTGCTGCTCGTACTTCTTGTAGATGAAGAAGGCTTCTTCAAACAAGTCGGCACCAATGGCGATGTTGGCAATGTCGGGAGCATCGAAATTTTCGAGACGGGTGATAAAGTCCATCACCTTGCCCTTGTCGGCCTGAAATATTGCATGCGGGTGCTTGTCAGCAAACTACACCAGGACGATATCGCGGGCCGCAAAGACTGGGCAACACAAGGCTGAGCCGGCAAAGATGGGCCCAATATCACGTAATCACAAACCTTGATGGCAGTGAGAATCAGGAGGTTTTGCAGGTTGCGATTGTCGCTGAACGCGGAGCCCTCCAGAATAAGCTTCTCGAGAAGTTCAATGAGCTCGTTTGGAAGGTCGGCAGCCATAAAGGCCTTGACAGTGACAGAGACATCCTCAGGATCTTGTGTCTCGGGAAGAGCCGAGGCGACAACCTATCCCAAGCAGTAACGTTAGGCAGGGGCGGGACAAGTGTGTGGGTGAAAGCGTCGAACGACCAGGACCACCGCGAATGCATATGATGTCACCGACCTGATCAATCAACTGGCGCTGATGAGTGTTTTCAGCAGTCAAAACCTTTGCCCAGAGCTCCAGGTCGCGTCTGCGGACGAGATAGCGAGCTTGGTGCTTGAACATGGAGTTGTCGTTGGTGAGCTGAATCAGCTCGAGATCGCAAAGGCCCCGTTCGTACGCAATGTAGGCCAGGTAGGGATCGCGTCTTTCACAGTACTTTCCAACAACGACAGGGTTGTAGAACTAAACAGGGTCGGAGAACATGCGGTTTAGTTGATAAAGCAGGAACGCGGAGGAATAAGTTATAGAGATGAGGTGAATGGATAACGACAAGCACGCAACATCGAGCAAATGTAACGACAGGAAAGACACTCATTGGGCGCAGCTTTCTCAAAGAGACACAGTTCACGTGGTATCTGGAGAGGAGCGAGACTGAGATGCACTTTGGTATCGCGAGACGCCGCCCAAACCTACTGTGTTGTTTTGCAAGAAGTACTCGGCGTTGTTGTTGGTGTCGATGTAGATCTTGGCAATGGCGTTGTAAACATGGACATCGGTCGAGCCTTCCTTGGCCTTCATCTCGAGCCACTGCAGCATCAGCTTCAAGCGGTTGCGCTTTTCACACTCGGCAACCAGCTCATCGACCGGGAAAACACCAGTGACGGAGAGCAGCAAGTTCTTGATGACAAGTTCGTCACAATCGACATCCAGGAGAGCGCCGACGACTTGGGGAGTGCGCGCGGGGTTAACTTTCTGAACGTAGATTTCAATGTACTTCTGGAGGGTGCTCTGATACAAAAAGAGGACGAGGTCATGGACAAAGTCAAAGCGGTCGCAGACGATGATGAGAGGCAGTTGGTCCGACAGCTTGGCTTCCTGTTCGATCAAGGCCCAGACAAAATTGATCAGTATCCAATCACCACGAACGGGCTTGATCGTGGCAACGGCTCAAACAAGGCGGGCATCCCACAACAATCTAGATGCCATGCCATGTCGTCTTCACCCAGATCTTTTGCTGTGGGCCAGAAATACCTTCAAAAAGTTCTTGACACGTTCTGGATCGTAGACGTTGGACTCTCGACAGATACGCTCAACTTCTTTGAGCTGCCCGGTGCGACAGGCAGCCTGAATGTACTTGAAGTGAACTTCGGGATCTTGGCTGAAGTTGACAATGGAGCCAAGATAGTAATAGAGACCTATCGGTAAAAATGAAAATCAGATCAAGAACAGAGTCGTTGGAAAGTGAAGTTGATGAAGGGAAGGCTAAGCAGCAGCTCGACGTGGTCGCACCAAAGGGAGAAATGGGTCATTGGAGCGAAGCGCGTGTGGGATGCGATCGACCAGTCTCCTCGACCAGGGGACCAAAGTGCAGCAGAATATAGTGAAGGGTTGAGCCAATGCGCTGCTTACCCTCGAAACTCTTGTGATTCTCAAACAGAGCGATCAAATTGGTGGCTCCGAGCTGCTCAGAGTACTTGGTCGAGACTTGAACAACAATCTGGAGGTTCTGGCGGAGATTGTTCTGGAGCATCTCCTTGAGGCATTCGAGCGATTGCTCAACCGAGAGTTTGCCAAAGAAGTTCACAACCCACTGAGAGAGCGACAGTTGCAGAATCAGCAATTGTGTTCATGTGACCGGCAGCACAGAAACGATCAGGCAGAGCGCACAGAGTCAGGTGGCTCACCTCAGGGTTCAGTAGGTGAGTGTGGATGATGGTCCGCTTGATGTCGAAGATATCGGTGTAGTGCTCCAAGGCCTGAAGGGGTCAGGGGGAGTCGTTTCCCGGCGTAAGTGGGGGACTATGATAATGTCTCCGAATAGTGGAGTCTTTCCGATCCCCCACACGACCATGGAAATGTAGGCACTGCTTGCCATGATGGCTCCAAGCAACAGTCGAGAGTCGCAACAACGGAAGCACCTATCTCAGGATCAAAACTGCCGAAAAACAATGTGAAGCGACGCCATGCACTCACTCGTTGATATAGGCCGGCCTTCTCACAGAGGGACGCAATGTAAGGGCGGTCATAGTGGCTGAACATTTCGTTGCCAAGGATGGCATCCGCCACTTGGGGAGCGTGGAGCAGGTTCATTTCCAACAACTTGGTCTGAAGAGCAGCATGTTCGGGCAGATTGGCCTTGAGGGCGTCGAGGAGGAAGGCAGTTGCCTGCTGAATCATGTTGAGCGAAGCAAACACATCGACGATTTGCTCCAGGCTCACGAGCGGGCCGTTCTCGGAGGTGATCAGCAACGTGGCAAACTGACTGCCCTTCTCGGGATCCATGCGCATGATGGACTGCAACAAGTAGATATAGTCCGGCTGGAAGCCGACTTTGTTGGCGTACAAGATGATCTTGTTGTACTGGCCCGTTTCAGCAAAGCAGTTGATGACCTATATATCGGGGGAGGGAGCGTTAGCTGCCGAATCGCCACTAAAACGCCTCAAGACCCCGCAGATCTGGATCTAAATCATACCTTGTTGGGGACGTTGGCACGGAGATAGACGGAGAGAGCGAGAGTCGAGTCGACCTGCTTCACAAGATCGCCGAGCTCCTCGGAGCACTCCAGCTACGATTGAAAAAGTCATACGAAACAATAAGCAACGCCAGATCAGGCAAAGATCAATGTAGAAGCCGCAGGGAAGAGGAGCATCATCGCAGACACGCGCAGTAGCTCGGCTTGCCTTGTCTTCCTTGAGCCACTTCTCCAGGAGCTGCTTTCGGCCCTGGGCCAAAACAGGACGGGCGAGTTCAAGCGATTCGATCTTGTTGAGCTCACCCTTCTCCAGGAGTACACCAAAGTATGCCAGGATGGGTGAAGGCTGGCCAGGAGCTGCGCTAGCAGTCTGTTTCAGGCGCTCGATCGTGGCAGGGGTGCGGAGGATGCCCTGAGAATGAATCAACCAAGAAACGTGGATGAGGATGCGTTTGCAAGGCGAAGCGGCCCATCGATGAGGCCTATCGATGAGGCAGGCGATGAGACAAGGCGTGCGGCAGTGCGCCATCGAGGAATCCTTACCCTAGGCGACTGGGCGGCGACCTTGGCGGCATCGCTGTAGTTACCAGAGGACATGAAGTACTCGAATCGCTGGAGGACTAAATTGTCGGCACCGGGCAAACTGTTGCGAATGGCAAGCCGGTAGGCAAGCTCCTGGTTGCCAAGGGTGGTCATGATGTAGTTGATGATATTGTCTTCATCAACGCTGACAGAGAGAACCTGAGGCCAGGGGTAGAGTTGCGTTCAGAGGGTCGCATGCACGAAGCTGTAAGTACTGATGATATGGAATCGACGCAGGAGCCGCCATCACGCTGGCAACTTTGAAAAAGTAAGCCAGCCGCCTAGGCACGATTCGGTGGAGGAGAATCGGCATGCAATTCTCACCTGACCCTTGCGGTTAACACCAATGAGACCGCTGGTAGCGGCCAAGTCGGCGGTGACAAAAATAGTGTCGCCACTGATGCGGTTCATGTACAGGCAAGTGCCGGTCTCGAGATCATACAGGTGAATGTAGCCGAATTTGGTCACAAGGAAGATGATGTCGTGCTTCTTGCTGACTTGCATCGCGACAGGGAAATCGGCGACGGCCTCAGGAGGGAAGAACACGTCGACAGCGCGCTTCTGGAAGACGGGAGTGCCATCTTTGTGGTCAATCTCGACAATGTGAAGCTTGGCTCCAACAGGCGTGCGAACCGAGAACGTGAAGAGCTTGGAGGGGCTGCTGGCGCCCTCCAGGGTGATTTCGGCGAAGGAACAGGCATGACCCTCGAGGGGTTGGCTGACGCCTCGATCGCGCGAGTACAGCTGCATGTTACCAGCCACACGACCATCCTAGAAATCAGAGATCGAAAGGAGTTAATACAGCGAGGGAGAGGATATTGCATGAGAGGCAGGGCGGGGGTTATAACCAATACGGGCGCGACACGGCATTCGTTGATCAATTTCAAGAAGTCGTGGTATGCATGTTGGAGGATGTGGTGGTGGTGATCAAAAATGCAGAAAAGCCTCCGGATACACCCAAAAAGTGTGCAGTGCCAGTCTAAGGGAGGACTGCTCAACATGAAATACAATCTCAGGAATGACGGCAGTCTTGGTCGAGGGTACGGCGTTTCCTCGCCCTTGATTTGGATCCGGCCCTACCTTGGCAGAAATACCAACGAGGGCGCACCACTTTTCGTCCGAGTTGATGCGATAGTTGATGATTTGGGTGCCGACCAAGCTGGGATGACGATCGAAAACCTTCGATGGAGCAGAATCTCCCTCAAGCGACCAATGGTACACGGAGGTCTCTGTGACCAAGCCCAGGGTGTTGGGGGTGATCCATTTCCAAAAGACCACGTCATCGTTCATGACATGCGCCTTGATCTTGGATTTGAGCTCAAGATTGAAGATCTGCAGCTGTCGCTGGGCTGTATAGCAAGGAGGGCAGATGAGGGGGGGGGAGTTGAGTCGCGCAGGACCAACGAGAGGGGCCTGACCAAGGGATGATCGAGGACAGGCGTGGACGGGATACATAAAGCGACAAGAAGGCAAATACAAGTAGCACAACTAGCAGGCCCGCTCGCTCCCTCAATAGGACCCGCCTCTGCCAAGCCCGGAGACGGCATCGCCGCCGCGGCTGGACCGGCAAATCTCGGCGCGTCCAACTGCAGCTATACCGACGGTGAAGCCGAGCTGCGGAGTTTGTCCAGCCAGCGAGTCGCATCATAACAGAGACAGTGCAAAGGTTGCATGGGGTTTGATACTCTACCCTTGAGGGCAAGGATTTGAGCCACAGGGTTCATGATGGCGGAATCCGCAGTGATGTTTCTCCTCACGAGGTTCTGCGGGTCATTCATATCCACGATAACAATCTGGTCGGTGTTGCCAGACTTTTCACGGATACAGATGAACTTGTCCGACTCCATGGTCAGCGTGTTGAAGCCTATGCTCGCCTGGTTAACACCCAGGGCTTGGAGCTTCGATAACGAAACACCCAAGCAAGGGGGTCGAGGTCGGGACGTGATGACAGGGGTAAGCCGAGGTTGTGCCGGATAGGAAGCAATGATGCCATGCGGCGCCCGATACCACGCGGTTCAGCGAAAATCGGAGCGGCAATAGTCCAGGGAATCGGTGGCGAGCCCATGTCCGTCCGGGGGACGGGTCGGAGAAGATGGGCGCGATGAGGGCACGAGCAACCAGGGTCGCTGGGGGAGGCGACCTGCGGCTCTGCGGCTCTGCGGTCGAGACCGACCAGCGAGCGCGATACGAGGTGATGAGCGAGGCCTGCGGAGCAAGACTATACCTGGAGATGCTCCTGAAATCGAATCGGAAGAAGGTCGGCCATGACGTTTGCGGGAAAGGGGGGGGGCGTGAGGGACAGAGGGGAAAGCCGGTCGAAATCTCGGCCTTTTGCTTTTTGGGAATCTGCAGGCCCGGGACCAGCCCGTTCGCCAGGGCGGCGACGGCGGCGGCGCAGCGTGATTCGCATTCGAACCGACGGGGATGGATGCACACGGCCGGTCACCTCAGGACCACGTGGGCGACACGGGGCTTGCGCCACAGTGTGTCCAGCACGCCGAGTCTCGGATGTGGGGCGACACCAAGGGTTCGCACCACCGACGGTGTGGGCCAGGGGCGGGCAGTAAGCGAAGAGCCTGCAGCAGAGTGCGATGCCGTTGGACAGGGACAGGTGGGTTCGGATGAGGACAGCAGAGGCCACCAGAGTCTTGTGCACAAATGTATTGGAATTGATCTGAAAATGGCACCAGGCATGCACTGATATTACACATGCAGGAACCTAAAAAAACTGTACAACCATCCGGAATTCTAAGCGAAAACTCTGAAGGGCCTGGAATTATTAGGTTTAAGCGAGACTCTTGGCGATTTCCTCAGCCTTGCGACCAACTTCGTCGATGTCACCAACCTGAGGCAGGAAGCGAGGAAATGGGGTGAGAATGTGCGAGCGACAGAGCTTGTGCGAAGGGGCGACGTCGCTCAGAGGCAAGCCGAGGCACAGGAACAGCCAGGGCAGCGGCGCAACTCACCATGAAGAAGGCAGCCTCGGGAATGGCATCGTGCTTGCCCTCGAGGATCTCCTTGAAGGAGCGGATGGTGTCCTGCGCAGAGAAAAAAAAAAGGTGAGCTCAGGGAAGCTGCAGAGGCTATCGTGGATGCGCGGGAAAGGTAACTTACAATGAGCTTGACGTAGCGACCCTCGTAGCCAGTGAAGACTTGGGCAGTGGTGAAGGGCTGGGACATGAACTTCTGGATCTTACGGGCACGCTCGACAATGAGCTTGTCCTCCTCGGAAAGCTCATCCATACCAAGAATGGCAATGATATCCTGGAGCGACTTGTAGTTCTGGAGGATCTTCTGGACACCAGTGGCGACCTCGTAGTGCTCGTTGCCGACAATACGGGGGTCGAGGATACGGGACTTGGAGTCCAAGGGATCGACGGCGGGGTAGATACCGAGCTCAGCAATGGAACGGGACAAGACAGTGGTGGCGTCCAAGTGGGCAAAGGTAGTGGCGGGGGCGGGATCGGTCAAATCATCGGCAGGGACGTAGATAGCCTGTACCGAGGTGATGGAGCCCTTCTTGGTGGTGGTGATACGCTCCTGCATGACACCCATATCGGTGGCAAGGGTGGGCTGGTAACCGACAGCGGAGGGGATACGACCGAGCAGGGCAGACACTTCGGAACCGGCCTGGGTGAAGCGGAAAATGTTGTCGATGAAGAGCAGCACATCCTGGCCCTCGTGGTCACGGAAGTACTCGGCAATGGTGAGGCCGGTGAGGGCAACACGGGCACGAGCTCCAGGGGGCTCGTTCATCTGGCCGTATACGAGAGCGGCCTTGGAGCCACCCTGGAGGTTGATGACACCGGAGGTGATCATTTCGTGGTACAGATCGTTGCCCTCACGGGTACGCTCACCGACACCGCAGAAGACGGAGAAACCACCGTGGCCCTTGGCGACGTTGTTGATGAGCTCAGTGATGAGCACAGTCTTGCCGACACCGGCACCACCGAAGAGACCAATCTTTCCACCACGGGCGTAGGGAGCAAGGAGATCGACGACCTTGATGCCGGTCTCGAGAAGCTCGGGGACGGTGGACTGGTCAGTGAACTCCGGGGGGTCAGCGTGGATGGGCAGGCGCTGCTTGGTGTTGATGGGGCCGCGCTCATCGATGGGCTCGCCGATGACGTTGATGATACGGCCGAGGCACTCGGGACCAGCAGGGACACGGATGGGGAAGCCAGTGTCGAGGACCTTCTGGCCACGGATCAGACCCTCAGTACCATCCATGGCAATGGTGCGGACAGTGTTCTCGCTGCGAGGGAAACCGAGAGGTCAGCGCGACTTTGGCTGTTTGCTGATTGGCACCAATACTGGAGGGGTACGCCGATCGAGACTCACCCGAGATGCTGAGCGACTTCGAGGACGAGACGGATGTCATGGTCCTGAACCTCGAGGGCGTTCAGGATGGGAGGAAGGTTGCCCGACTCGAACTGGACGTCAACAACGGCACCGATGACGGAGCGGACCTTGCCGACGGCGAAAGCCTGGGAGGCATAGGTGCGAGCTGCAGCAGAAGAGGGGATACACAGTGTGCCAGATTAGTGCCGCGTCCCAGTCCCAGTCTCAGTCTCAGTCTCAGTCTCAGCCCGGCCGGCAACGAGCTGAGGGCACCAGGTTGAACTCTCCCGGTGAGCTGTAGTCGTGGCTCCTCCGTCAGACCAATCCCGTTCACTCCCACAGAAAAGAGAACCGCGCCCTCTCTGCCCAGGTCGTCCTTGGCAGGGCCAGCAGCAGCTCGTCTGTTGGTCACAGTTGGTGCTTGCAGAGTGCCACGCGAACAAACAGCCCGGGCAGGAGGCCAGTGCCCATCCGGTCGGCAGACAAGTGTGCAGAGATCGCACCATCTGGGACGGCCCGGCAGCGTTGGCACTGCAAGGCCACACCATCGCCACAGCGAACGCCCGCAAAGCAACGGAGCGATCTCTGTCCCGCGGGTCTGCCGACGAGCCGCGGTCTTCGAAGGCCCCCCGAGTCACTGCATCCTCGCCGCCAGCAGCGACCATGCTGCCAAAGTGCGCGCGCACAGCCGCAGCTCTCGGTCCTTACCGTTGAAGAAGGCAGCCTTCTGGCTGACGCGAGCGATTCCTCTGGAGAAGAGCATCCTTTCACTGGCAAGAGATGGACCCGGCAGAAAAAGCGAAGAAGGTGGAGTCGACGAAAAAACTCGCTTGCCCTTTTAAAAAAAAACGCAAATGACCGCAAACGCAGAGCCGGGGCGAGAGGGCCTCTGTGGCTTAGCATCTCGGTCCGCGCGCGAGCGAGGACGAGAGGCGATCGGCACCGCCAATTATGAAATTAATACGCTGTCGCGAGAGCGCGCTGCCGTCCTCGCTGCGCCGAGAGCCACTGCCTGTCGGGCTCGGTGCGTCTCGCCTGTGCGCGGAGACGTCGCGGGCGCGTGTTCTCGCTGGCGCTCTCGCTGGTTGTCTCGGCGTCCGCTCGCTGCCCCTGCCCCGAACGCGCACTCGATCCGGCTGGATCCGCCGCTGCCGCCTGCGCAACCACGTGTCCGGCAGTGTGTGCGGCGGTGTCTGCATATTAAATTCATTAGCGCGCGCAGCCACCGCGCAAGCCACACACGCGAATGAACTTCATAGCGGCGTTCGCCAAATGAATGAACTCATTCCGCCCGCCCGCCTGGCCGCCGCGCGCCCGTCCAACCAGCTCGCGGCTCGGGCCGCCTCAAAACCAGCGAAAAAAAGACAAGCCCGGCCGTCGCCCATCGGCAGGACGCTCGGCCATCGACACGATCCCCGTTCCCTCTTCCCGCTCCACGCCATCATGTTCTTCCGTGCCCTCGCTCGCAGCGCCCGCCCCCTGGCCGCCCGTGTCGCCCCCTTCGGTGAGCGTCGCATCCTGCTCATCGAGATGCAGCTATGTTCGGCAACCAGCGTTCCGGTCGCTGGTTGCTCGTGCTCCTGCCGGCGCTTGCTCTGCCAAGGCATCCAGCATTCCGCTCACTCCGACATATGTGTCTTCTCTCATGTCAGCTCGTGGATATGCCAGCGATGCCACCCCTGCTGCTGGCAAGCTTCTGGTCAACTTTGTTGTGCCCCACCAGGTACATTTCTATCATCGATATCGTTGTCTCTGTATACCCCAAAGGAGCGGGCTCTCGCCACTGTCATCATACAGGGCATCCTCGACTCCGCTTCCCGAGAGGCGGCCACCCGCCATCCGGCCACACACACGCCATCGAGTGGATCTGAAAATCCGGCGCAAGTGCGTTATCCATCTCGGATCCCGATCACAGTGGGCTATCGAACTGGACTGGACTTGGACTGGACTCGGCTGGATTGGACTAAACATGGGATTCGGTGTACATGGAGCCTCAGCGACGACATCTCACCTTCAAAGGCTTTGTCGGATCGGAACCTGTCCAGCCTTATCGCAATGCGAGACGGATATCACACCACTTTGATCCAGGATTTCCTGTTCGCTGGGCATCTTTGTAGTCCTGTTGGTGCCGGCGTCGCTGTCATTCGGCCATCGATCACATCCATCAACACTGATTCAGTAGCGCAAGCTTCTCGGACATCAGCTCTGTCTGTCCTATTGAGCGAAAGATCCGAGTACTAATCGTTCGTCGCTCAATCCCAATATGAATATCACCTCTCCTCCAGTCTATCCTGAAGAACTTCACCGCCACCCAGGTCAACTTGGTGTCGGCCGATGGTGATATGGGTATCCTGGCCGATCACGTCCCCACCATCGCTCAGCTTGCCCCTGGTGTCATCGAGGTCTTTGGCGCCGACAAGCCGCAAAAGTTCTTTGGTATGTATCGTCCTGGCTCACCAAGCCCCTTCCCCGTTGGCAACTCAACTCTGTTGACTGACCTCTGTTCCCTCTAACAGTCAGCGGAGGATTTGCCATCATCAACCCCGACTCCACCCTGAACATTAACGCCGTCGAGGCCTACACTCTGGAGGATGTTGATTTTGAGGTACGACTCGACTCCCCCCTGTGGCCGTATCTCTGGCCCTCCGCGAGTCAAAGCGGATCAGCCGCGACTGCTAAGCTCTCAGACCCGCATTTTCACGACTGGTGCCGTCGATGTTGATCCTCATTGGTGGTCTACCCTCTGCCCCTTTCGTCAGTCCGCCCGCCGTGCTCTCGATGAGTCCAACCGCAAGGCTAGCTCCACCACCCTGTCCGAGACTGACAAGGCCGAGGCCAAGATCGAGATTGAGGTTCTGGAGGCCCTTGTTGCTGCTGCCCAGCACAAGTAAATGTGATATGGATAATGCTTCATCAATAGGCGGTCACCCGATGCTTCCTCGCCAACAGGAGACGATCGATTCCCCACTTGCGTAATATACAGCTCATTATTGAAAATACCACTGCGACGCTCACCAGCTTTGTGGTGTGCGTGTTCGGCAGTCGCTGTGTACTGGTGCTCGTCGAACAGTACCATTTCGCTTGTGCATTGAATCGCGCATCCAACTCGTATTGGACTCGGCGGTGCAATCCAAGTGCACGCTGCGTGGGTTGTGTGAGTCCGACCCCTGTATCATCCGCTCGCTGAGGTCTTGCAGCAACTTGCTCTTTGCTCCACGTCTTCCTCCCGCATCCCAGGTATGTCTTCTTGCTTTGACTTGCAGTGACTGGATCTGCAGCGAATCGCTGGTCCCCGTCGTGCCCGCTCACTCCGTGCATCTCCCTCACACAGGGAAATGATTTGACCCACTCGACCGGGTATGTGATATGATTCGGCTACGCCGAGTTGTCCGAATGAGACAATGTGCCGATTCGTTATTCAACATGCTGTCTGCGTATGCTCGCTAGTTCTCTTTTGTCCATCGCCAGACTTCCTCGCCATTTTTCTTGATCAGCACCATCTCCCCGAGTTCCACTTGTGCACATCCGTATTTGCACTTGCCCTTCAGCCGTAGTGTGGCCACGGGCTTTTTTCGGATGCCAGCTGTTCCAAGTTTGGCTTCCTCGATTTGATTCAGCCGTTCGAATACCGGGATCTCGACCACGGCTTCCGTTGGCCAATAGAATGATAGAGCGCCGTCCTCCGAATACGAGAACTCGGGGTGGTTCATCGAAAATATGGCAGACATTTCCAGGCCCGGGAACTGTGCGTCAAAGATGGCCTGGCACTGATGCAACAGAAACGTCGCAGCAACGGGTACGCCGTTGTAGGTGGGAGAGCACTCGATCTGCAGCCGCGTTCGCTGTTGCTGCGAGAGCAGTGCTGCCGCTCCAGCTGTTGCCATAAATCCAGCTGCGCTGGCGATGATTCGGCCCATCGATGTCGTTGATGCCGTCGATGCCGTCGATGCCGTCGATGCTGGCAGGCGGAGTGTTGGGCTCCACAGTAGACGGAGCTGCTGCTTGGGTGCCTGTGCGCCCCGTTGGCGAGCGATGTACCAGAGGGCACGCAAACAGGAATTCATAGTAAAGGAGCTAGGATTTGGCTGGGTCGTTCGGTTGGGGCAGACGAGATTCGGGTCCGGGATGCGGGTGGTAGAGCGATGCCGCTCGGGGCAAGGTTGCGGCAGTCCGGGGAGCAGATGCCCAAGGCTCGGGCAGGACGATGGATTGCGGTGCGGAGAGGGAGGAAAAAAAAGAGCGAGAGAGCGAAAACAGCCGCTTGGGAGTTGCCAGCCGCGTCCAGATCGGTCTGGTTCCACAGAACGGGCTCCTGTGTCATGGACCTGGGCTGTGAGGCATTTCGCCCAGGATGCCGATGCAATCCGATGCCGCACCCTCATCGGGCTTTTGCTCACCAACGCCCTGATGGCTCGTCTCAACCACACTTCCCGATGGCGGTGGAGCCGGTCAAAGTGCCTGAAGAGCCCGAGTCGCCGTGGGCTCGATGCATATCCCTTTCCCTCTGCTTGCTTCCACGATGCATTCCCAAGGGCAGCCACAAAGCCTGTCCTTTGGACACTCTGTCTGGCCAGGGTGAGTGGGCGTAGCATTCGGGGCCTGGAGAAGGCGACAGCCAGCCATGTGGCTAAACCCTGGGCAGCGAAACAGAGCCCAGGGCATCAGAGATCTCCCTTGCGCTTTGACGGCTGGGCAACAGCGCCAGCCCCGAACTCCACGCCGTTCCCGCCTTTGCTCGGCCACATGCCAAATCGGGCGAGATGGATGCTGTCTCGTGCTGGCCTGGTCTGCATCGGCCTGCCTGACCCGCTTGATCCGAGCCTTTGCGCCTGATCGCCATCAAGCCCAGAATGCATGTCGAGACTGTCCCCAGGAGCAGCGACAGCACCGACGACCGGGCCCGCATCGCAAACCCACCCCGCTCACCAACGCCCTCGGCCATATGCTGTTCCAGGTCGCTCGCGATCTCACCCAGCCTGAATCTGGAGCCAGGGCCGCTGGACGATGAGATCGCGATAGCGCATCATCCTTCTAGACATGCATCTCAGCCAGGCGGCGCAAGTGCACCTGTCTCCCTACATGAATCTCTGCGTCCAGCTGTTCTGGTCCCGGCCTCCTCGATAACTTTGGACTCGGATTACGAAGTTATTGATTCCGACTCGGAGCACACGGCTGCATCGGATTCGCTGGTGAGCCTCGACCTGTCTTTGCCCGAAATCGGCTTGTCGGCAGACCAGCCATTGATCTCGGAGCCGTCTTCCCAAGGTAATGTCCATCATTCAGCGGCTGGCTTATACACTTCATACCGAAGCTGATATGCATATCTCACGCCAGCCACACGATCGTCGGTGCCCAAGATGTCGCGGTCCAGAAAGCCTGGCAAGATCGAGCGACCTGCAAGCACACGGCAACCCAAAGCATCGCCAGAGCGAAACACGCCATACCCCGGCCGCCACAGGTGTGCATCGCAGCAATGGCGCTCCGTGTTCTCTCTCGAGCCGGTATTGTGCGCGATTCGATGTTGCCGAGTCTCATTCACCATGTTCGCCAGCGATCCCCCCAAGACGCTGTCCTGGATCACCCACTTTGATGAATTTGGCGATAGCGACGACGAGCTCTGCGACGAAGGGTGAGTGAGAATTGGGAACGAGGCGAGAGCCGGCATCACTGCAAGCGTTGGCGATCATGGCAGGCTGAATGATGAGCGTATGGTCGCAACGACCCTGCTCGGAATCTGCGGACGGCAATCCAGCAGCCGACTCGTCGCAACATGGTTTGAGGAAGAGAACCACCCATCAACGCCGTGCTTCCTGAAAGTCAAACACTTTGATTTGTGCTGAGCTTGCGACTCTATTCTCTCGGACAGACATATCCTCAAAGATCAAGGCGTGCTGGCTCTGCAGAAGGGCAACAAAACTGCCCATGTTCCTGCTCTTGTTACAGAATATCACCCGGCCACCAAGAGGTATTCGTTGCTCTTTCCCTCTGGCCATTCTCAAACTGTGTCTCGCGGCGATTTTTATACACGAAAGCAACCTGAATTCTTCACGGTTCGGGTAGGTGACCCAGGCCTCTGTAGAGCATCGCCTGCAGATAATTGGTCTGATCAAGCATCGTTAAAGATGCTCGCGCCTATGAGACTGCTGATATCCCTGGCGGCTTTGACTTGAGCTATATCTCCGGCTCCGCTGTTTTACATGGCTTGATAACACATATAGATTGAAGATAGCGAACGATTCGATCCATCGAGTCCGAATCCCGACTACCGAGATCCCCAGCTCGAGGCAGATCTCGAACTGGTTTCCTCGTCCGTCCAAAGTATTTTCGAATCGCCCGAGGGCCGTGCGCACTCGAGAGCGTACGACGAATTCGCCGTCGCCTTTCAGGATCCACACAGAACCTACCCGACCCAGCTCGTCTCGGGCCCGTTTGATGTCCATCAAATCGGTCTTATCACAGCCTTCATCAAGGCCCGTCTATTCTCACACGTTCCCGAGTTCACAGAGCCCAAGGCAAAAAGCAAAGACAACTCAGCAAAGTCAATCGGCATGTCGCCCTCAGTTGCTTATGGTGCTCGAGTTACGCGCAGCGGCAAGCGAATCGGCGGTGCGGTCAGCTCGGCCGGGGCCATTGCCAAGAAGCGAAGAACAAATATCCAGCATACCAACGAATCCGGTAATCAACTTCTCCACCTCGATGACTCTGCATATCTCGAATCATTACCAAAGAGCAATGTGCCGAGGAGGGAGTATATCACCGAATGTGATCCGTCCAAAGCAGCTCCTCTTTCAAACGCCGTGCTTGTCCCAAATGGCTCGCCAGTGGCATCGCCTGGCTGTCCTGACTCGTACGGGCACCAAGAGACCCGCGTTTCACCGCCATCAAGTACAGAGGAGAGAGGCCCTTCGTTGCTTGCATCCGACTGTGCCCACCCTAGAGTTGGCGAGACCAAGGCCGAGCCTCTTGAGCCTTCCCAGCTTGACCCGCCATCGCAGAATGTATCACAGCTGCTATCTCATCCGCCTGGACTGTCCTCGCTCTCAATTGCCGACGTCCAGCAGCCGAAGCGGACGCGAACTCGCAAAAAGCCTCAGGATCCGTTTAACTACAAAGCTCATCTGACCTCCATCGTCGATATCGAGCTTTTTATCCGCTTTGTGGTTCAGCCAGAGTTTGTCTATGCCCTAATTCAACAGAGGGAAAGTGTCGATCGCGAAGAAGCAATTGCACGCGCGGCTGGGGATTTCTACAAGCCCAAGTGGTTTATTCAGGTCCTTCGACAGAGGAACCTGTTCAAGCCCACGGTGTAAGAGCTTTCGCCAAGCAGCGTCTCGTCGCCAACTCTCTGTCGGAGCGAATCATGATATCCAAGATGCCGACCGGTTGATGCGACCGACCCCGCTGCCGTGCGCCGAGTTCCTATTCCACGCGGCATCGCTCTTGTTTGCCTCTGCGGCCCTCGCGCTCCGATGCTTCACCCTATTTAAGCTCTGACCACTCTATTCATGATGCTCGTCAACGCACCGGATTGGGGGTTTCGCTGATTCCGAGTCATGCGCTATTTGCAGTGTCAAATGCAGACCGGTATGTTGCTCACAACCGGGGCAAGTGACAGTCGCGAATGTACACATTCGGGGTCACGATTCGCGTATGTGCTGGCCAACAACCTAGCTGGCGCTCGGCTGTGAAACATGACGGCTAATCAAAGGCCAGGGTGTTACCGTGGTAGTTGAGATAGACACATGTATATTTGTTCAATGGTTCGCATCTTTGAATCCAAGATGTGCTTCGTATAGACAGATTTGGCCATCTGATCGGATACCCCCCCTTCAAGTCTATCGTCGTGGCCGTCATGGAGACCCAACTCACAATCCGACCGATGTATAGCCCGTTTCCTATCGAATGGTTTGAGCGCCATGGCCCAGGTACTGCTGAAGGAGCGTCACTGCGTCAGGCGAGAGGCCGCTCTGGATGACAGTGGCAACCTAGAATATAAAAGTGCGTTAGACAATCAATATGGGCTGTTTGACCGGTCTCCCGACGATTGAGCTGCTCGGCTACACCGCCAGAGGTCTCTGATGCACCTACCGGTCCGGGCTGGGCACTAAGGCTGCTCAGTGCCTGGGCAAGGTACAACTTGGGGTCGCCAAGGTGGGCGGTGGGATCGCGTTTCTGAGTCGGGACGACGTTGAGGCGAGTGAAGGTGTTCTGGTAGCCCATGTCCTCGGCGTCAATGTAAGAGTCCTCCTCTTCCTGAGGCTTGTTGTCAAAGATGGCTGTCTCCAGCATCTTGAGCAGGTCTTGCACAGTTCGCGGCCTAATGGCCGTTGGGTTGACAAAGGAAACAAGGGTGCGCCGGGTTAGAGAGGCACGAGGAGAGTGAGTTCGGCCTCAGCGCGCCTCAGCGACAGGATTCCACCAGGTCGGCCTACTCACCAGAGCGGCAGGTACGGCTCCGTGGAGAAAATCTTGCTGTTGACAAGGAGCGTCGTCATGCCAACGGCGATCAGGCGCTTGTCAGCCGGGAGCATATCGAGAGTGAACTCCGGAATGACTATGTTCTCGAAGAGGCTGCGGAAGAGTCTGTATCGACAAAATCATCGTCAGGCACATGAAGCGGCCAGAGTGAGACAAGCTATGTTGCGATCCACACACTGTTACGGAAACACCGAGCTTACCCTGGTTGGATGGATTCAAAGACCGAGATGACCTTGTCGGCACCCAGGTCAGGCTTGTTCAAAGCAAACAGCAGCGACAGGAACTTGGTAAATTCCTTGGTAAACTTGGCCGTTTTGGCAGTGCTGAGGCGTTTGGGCAGGAGGAAGAAAGTGCTCTTGGCAAAGCCTTGGCTCTCAAAGTATGTGCTGCAGAGCGAGTGCAATTGTCAGCAGAGGCGGAGGAGGCCAACCAGCTACCCGTTTCAAGGGGCAAAGAGAGAAGGCAGCACTGGTTTCACTTACAATGGGACGTTCTCCAGAAGCGACGAGAGAAGTTCAAAGCCATATTGGTCGTTCAGCTTGGAGACGATGAGCTTGTTGTACACGCCCAGGAAGTGAGGAAGCATGCCGTTCTCGGCAATGAGGACCGGAGCGATGCCCAGGTAGGAGCGCAAAAGCGAAACGAGGGCTGGAACATTGCCTAAAGGTCAGGAGGATCGGCCAAGATAGCGTTAGTGCCAGGGAAATCAGAGTCATGGCCCATAAACACCGACAAACTGCACCACTGCCGCCGTTTTGGGGGGGGGGTATGGATTGCTCTTCATATGTAACAATGCCACGACGACCATAGTGTGGGTGTCGGTGCGATGCTGGTGCACGATTGAGCCTTACCCTGAGACTCCCAAAGCGAGTGCTGCAGGAGCGGTGGCAGCATGCTCTTGTACGATTCGGGAAGCACGCTGCCACGATGCAGATCCAGAAGCTGCGAAAGAATCTGGAAAACATACGGCATAAACTCTGAAGAGGGAGAGGTGCGGTTGTGGGTGTAAGCCGAGGACGCATCGACGGTGGCCAGCCCGCAGGCACCGACATGAAGCTCTATCTCCAAGACTGAGTCATACCGGCAACATCCTGCTGGAGAATCGCCTGGAAGGGGCCGAAGAGGTTGGCCTCAAGCTGCTGGACCAAGGCAGCGCTGCCTCTGCTTGCGTGCCTATGATTCCTCGGACAGTTAGTTTGTTTCGACAAACATATAATACCGGATGTTCAAGCGAGCCAGACGGCCGAGCGAGGCATCGAGAAGCTTACTTGACCAATGCAGCAACCGTCTCGAAGACATAGTGGTTGAACTTGGGGTTACTTGGGTTCTGGCTGATAACGGCAAGAATGCTGCTCAGCTGGGCCAGGATATCAGCGGCATAGGGAAGGATCTCCTTGCTCCCGATCACGGTGATACGCATGATCGCTGGGGTATATTTGGACGGCAAATCAGTCGGAGGGACCATGCGTCGAGCAAACCGATGAAGCACTCCAATGGCTTAACCTCAGCGAGGACAATCGCTCACCTCGCATGATATAGTCGTTTTCGGCGATCTTTTCGGGGCTCGTCCCGGCGCGGCTCAGGAGGCCAAACAACGCCATCAACAGATCCTTGACATATGGACTGATATCTTCGGGACGGAAGAGGCTGCGGTTGCCAGCCACACGCATTCCAAGAATACGGTCGATGCACACTGCGCTGTAAGTATAGACTACATAGCTGGGTTGTGACAAGTTGGTAAGCAGGATGGGGATTACAGCTTGCAGGTGGGTCTTTGAAATCTGTTGAAAAGTAGGGGGGGGGTATTAGAGTCGTGTCTCATTATAGCATACACGTCGCCAGGACTCACCTGGCTTCGGAAATCCATTAGGTACTTGATAGCATCGACGCGGATGATGGGATGCACTGAAGTTGGGCTCTGCAGCTCCGGGAGAACCTGCGACTCAAAGACAGGCAACATAGGCATGTATTCGTTGACGGAAGTGACGCCGGTCTGAGCCGAGGAGGTCTTGGCTGAGATGGCCATCGTGAGATAAAGGGCCGAGTCGTATGATTTCCAGTTCTGCTGTCGGTTTTGGTTGTATTTCTGGAAGAGACAGCCAAAGGAGTCGATGTGTCAAGGGTTGACCTTAGCCTGTATATCTCGAGGATATCTTTGGCCTCCTTGGGAAACATTGACAGATGGTGCAAGGCACAAATAGCACAAGGGGAGGCACAACAAAATCGGTAGAGACAGCAGAGAGCAGGCCGCTCTGACATACCTGGATCTGAACATCAATATACTGCGTAAACAGTTTGGTGACGGGCTGGGCAAAGTGCTCCAAGAGGCCTCGGATCAGGTCGACGGCAGCACGACGACGGGTATGGCTGTCTGTAATGGCACAAGGACAAGCATGCATGTCAGAGGGGAGAGGAAGGACCGGCGCGTTTCTTCGTTGACAGAGGCGCGAGGTACCCGACTGCGACTCAACCCGGCTTACCAGAGCCCTCGAGGTCTTGACGAATATAGTCAATCGGGTCATCTTCGAACAGTTCCTCATCGGAGTCTGTCAGCGACGCATGATATGTAAGACCAAGGCAGGTAGTCATACAGTGACAAGTACCAGATGGATCGCCGTCCTCACTACACATACCTCGAAGCTCGATATTTGGGAGGATGACCTTTTCACAGATTGTTTGCAACACAGCAACGTTTTGGAAAAGCGTGCGGCTCTCGGTAGCCTTGACAACTGTGGTCAGGAAAAACAGACCATGCGAGACAAGCTGGAGAGACCGGTTCAAGGCGTTAGCGCCTGGCTGTAGAGACCGTGCGCACCAAGACATGTAGCATGCCTCACAAAGGAGCCAAGAGTCGTGGGCGGCATACCGAATCATATTTAGCCTCACTGCTGGTCGCAGCAAGCAGACCGCAGACTGTTTCGGTAAAGTTAGGCAGAGTCTTGAAGTCATCGGCGTATCGATCGGCATAGAGCTGGATGATCTCGCAGATCGAAGTTTTGACTTTTTCCAAATGGCCGGCCTCGTCATCCTGAATAAAGTTATACCACGTAAGGCCCGCGGGGAAATAAACAGTCATCGCAACCAAACCACTCGCACAGTTCGGACCACTCATCTAAATAAGAGTGATGGGAATGGGTCGGTGCACCTACCGAGGAAGCGAGCAAAGGGTTCTGATAGACAAGATACTTGTGCAGAAGCCGCATGAACTCGGCGTGGTTGTCCTCAAAGAATTCGGGCAGATCCTGGCAGTTGAGATCGTAAAAGATCTCGGTGATCAGGTAGAGGACCTCAAACAGCACTCGCAGGTTCTTCTCGTCGGCCTTGCTGCTATCGATCAGGCTGTCGACAGCCTAGAAAGAAAGGCGACAAAGATTTGGGTTGATATCCTAAGCCTGTATGAATCCGCCGAGAGTGTATCCAAATTCGTTGGCTGGGCCGACAAAGCCACAGCGATGAGGGGCGCACATCCTACCTGGAACAGCTGGAGGAATGGCGCAGCAAACCTCTCCAAGACAAACTTGATATCTGCAAAGAGGGCGTTCGAGCGAAACTGCGAGCGCCATCTGTCGATGACGACCACATGGGTATGAGAATAAAGCATAGTGCAGACTCACTCGGATTTGAGGGTATGAGGGTGTGAGGGTATGAGGGTGTAAGGGCCGTCGGCAGTGCCAATATCCACATCTTACAATGGGATGTTGGGAACGCAACTCACCTCTTGAAGATGGAATGGGCGGTTTGGAGAACGCCAATGTTGACATTGAAGTCCACCATGTTCAATTTAGAGACCAAGATCTATACGGACAGCGAGCCGTGTGTTACTTAATCCGCCACAGAGCTCATCAGTTGTGGCAGCAGCCTGTGGATTAGTTCAGAGGGAGCTCAGACTCGGAGCCCTCGCAATACCCACGTCGACCAGATCAAGCCACTTGTCCGGAAAGTCGCAATCAGCGATCAGGGCAATAGCCTCGCTGATCTGAATCTGCAGCTTCTGAGGTAGAGCAATCATAAGATCGACGCAAATGCGCTTGATGTTGGTACGGTCATCCTGATGGATTTTGTCGTCCGGAGCGCCGTCCTGTATCGTTGAAATGGGAATGGTATAGAGGTTACCAAGACGAACCTCTGCGAAGCCGAGGGTGGCGCTCGAAACATGGCTCGGAACAGGGAAGCATTATTGTCCAACAACCATGTCGCCGAGATGGAAAGTGCAGACATACGTTGGGCCAGTGCTTCTTGACGTAGTTCTTGAAGTAGACGGCGGACGAGAACTTTGTGGTTTCGGCGACACTGGGAACCGTGAGGAGTCTGAGCAACAGGATCGGAAAGCCTTGATTGGCCTCTGCTCCGGCGAGGAACTGCTCGGCTGGAGTCGGGATGTGGAAAGGGAAGGAGAAACTAAGTCAAACTGCAGATATCTGCGGCACCATCCGGTCCGGACTTGGAGGGCGACATAGCGAGCAGCCACACAACAAGAAGGGAAGGGGGCTCGCAAGCGCTCCATGGGTTGGGGCCACGACGTACCTTCTTTGCGAGATGCGGGATTGAGTGTGTTTTCGAGATAGTGGGCCAGGGCAGCCAGGTTCTGTTCGTTGGCCTCCATGTTTGCTCGGGCAGATGCAGATGCAGATGCAGATTGCTATAGCCGTGTGATCGCGAGAGAGATGCAGCGCAAGCCGGGCCAAAGGCGGATGAACGAAGCAGGGCAGACGAAAAAATGCGACGCTGCCACTTCCATATGCCCAAATTCGGCCAATCACGTGGATCCAATCAACGACGCGTGCCGCCCTGGCTCTGGCTTTGGTGCGAAAACGAAACGGGGTGCGTCTGTGGGCAGCGTTGGTCCGTTGGCGGCTGCATTGAGGAAGACGGTGGAATATGCAGGAGGTCTCACACGTCCAAAGCGAGACGGGCACCCTGTGTTTGTGCCAGGGTTGTCGCTCTTCTCCGGGTACCGAACACACACCAATCCACCATAGCCAACGGGTGTGTCCAATGAGCCTGGCACTGCGACTGCATTCGAGAATGGATCATGGACACAGGGGAAGGAATGCACATCGAGCCCATGGAGACCCAGATTTGTCAAGTTCTTTGGGCGGTTCCGCCGTCAGAGGAGTCTCCCAAGGCCCAGAACACTGGCGAGTGTCACGCTCGACCCGACCGTCTTGGCGCCGAGTACCACACTTGGTGCGGAGCCGTCTGAATGATCGAATGGATAGCGTCTCGAGACAATGATCCCAAATCAACATGTAATGCAAATGAATCCGAATGGGTACTGTCCGCTTTTGTTCTGAACATGCTGCCACGGTTGGTGTGCATGAGCTGCGAATCCAGGATTGGACGCGTACATCACTCATAGTCGTCGTCGTCGTCGTCGTCGTCCTGGCGATTCATCGATGGTCAGCGAGTACAAGGCCGGCGGAACCAATCATCCAACGCTCTGGTGGGTCTTGTCTAAGAACACCAAGACCTGCTTCTGCGCGCTCGATTGCAATAAATGTACTCACCAGCACTCTCACGAGCCGAGATACTCGCCCTGCACCTTGGCTGGGATCAAAAGAGATTCATGTAAGCCGGTGCAAAGCGAGAGAGACTGCCCTCTCGGCTGCCCTGGCCAGTCCAACTCAGTTGGCTACCCTCCCCCTCCAGTTGCACTCGGCGGCATTTGCACATCGACCTCACACACCTGTTTGGGCGAGAAGGAGAGAGCAATGTGCGCCGTTGGCTGGGATGCGCGACGTCGTCCATGTCTTCGTCGCTGTCGTTGATCATCAGCAGAGGTCGCTTCAGCGGTCTTTCGTCGTCAGAGCGCTGGTTATCACCCGGGCTGACGGGGAGCGCGCTCTTCTCGCCAGACAAATCGCCATCGGCAGCATGCGGTATAACGGCATCGGGCTTGATCGTATAGGTCCGGCGTCTCAGAATTTTGCGGGAATTGAACAAATCTTCGTCATCGTCGTTCTCCTTCTCGTTGAGAATATCGCTAAAGTCCGCCAAGGCATTCGATTTGTCGAGTGGCGCTGATATTGCGCCAGCAGGTCCGCGCGAACTCTCTGATACAGCGATTGCATGGACACTGCTGGTGTTGCTGGTGTTGTTGATGTTGCTGGTGTTGCTGCGATCCCTTGCTCGAGGCGTTCCGCGAGGAACTGCATTGCGGCGAAGAGCAGCACGGCCACGGGCCAGCAGTTGGTTGAACTCTTGTTCATCGTCATCGTCATCATCATCATCACTTTCGACCATCATCGAGTTCTTTGTCTGAGAACCACCATTGTCCGGGCGGCTGGAGGCGCTGCCACGTTTGCTGGCGGACGTCGGCAGCTGGTTCTCATCCGAGGAGCTGTCGGAGCTGAAGATCGATGAAGAGCTTGCCGACGCATTCGACTCGCGTCGTACGGCTTGCGGCTGCTCTTCGACGACTGGCTCAGCGGCTCTCTTGTTGGTATGGAGCTTGCTCATGATAAGCGACTCGTCATCGCGGGGACGAGAGAGGCGCTCATGTTCTTGGGCTGTCTGCTGTCGGAGTATCTCCTCCCGCTCAAAGAAGACCGTGTCCTGCTCTTCATCTTCGTCCGAGTCCACAATGAACTGTGCGCATTGAGCACAGGAGCGTTCGTCAGAAGCCGTGTTGAGCCACACTGGAGTCGTAAGTGAGCGCCGGCGGTCGATCGAGCTGCTCGCATCACGAGAATCGCGTCTCACCTGATCCGATAATTTGGGTTTGTCGGCCTCGAGGTCCTTGTGGGATCGCTTCCGCTCCGATGGTGCGCGGATCTTGCGCTTCTTGGACTTCACCTTCCGCACCAACTCGGAGAGTGGCCGGCCATCCTCATCCAGTGGATCGTCAATAAACTGTTGGATAAGCCGACGGTCGGATTCAATTGTGCTTGTTTCAAGGGATGCTGGGATAATCCATTGCTGGCGTTCTCCTTCAGCTGTGAAAGTAAACGGCATGTGTCAGCATCTTCAGGCCTTGCCCCCTTGCGGAGAAGCATATGTAACATCCGAGATTGATAGCGTAGAGCCAGAGTAGCTGGGAGCGCTTACTGATTCGAAGCTCGAACTTCAGCAGGCGGAGAAGCATACGGAAGACTTGGTTACAGAGCAGGAGATTTTCCTTGGCCTCGTTCGGAGCATCAATTTCTGTGTGTGAATCGCCGTGTTCAGCTGCAGCCGCCTAAACGATTGATCAATTCCTTTACCGTATAGCCGTCGATGTCGCACGTACCAAAGTCAACAGGGATCTCCTGTACCGCTTCAAGGCCCTGCATGAGCTCCAGATACCGTTGGTCGATATCTTCGTGCTGTTCCTGATCTTCGATTACGCGATTAATTGCGCTTTCTCTCCGCAACGACACCGAGACCTTCATGACCTGATCAGAGCACGGCGGAGCGATGCTTAAAACAACTGCGCGAAGCTATGATGCAGTAATACTGTCGCGATCCGACCCAGGCGATCGGAACACCTTGCCCGGAAGCGGAAAACATGTATGTATTGTCTTCACGCCGCGAATAACCATCGAGTGCCTCTCGCCTGGATCAACGATTCCATCAGAACAAAAGTGCTCACCTCCATCAGCCACTGCAGATCCGCCAGATGCTTCTCAGCCAATAGGCCCACAGCAACGCCGATTTGTTGGCTGGGCGTCAGACTACATATTATCGTGTATTGAGAAGTAGGGATACGTTAGCATAGGACACACCCATTTTATAGGCGTGCGTAACTGAAAACGTGGTCCAACTTACCCCGGAAGAACTTCGATCTCGTCGTTGCCGCTGTGCCAGCGATATCGTTAGTACGGAATCAAAGCAGAGATTCACTCGCACAGACTGACGAGGCTTGCTGCACAAGGCCATGTCAAGATCAACCTACTTGATGACATCTGCGCTGTTCACCGTAATCTTGACAGACAGAGTCGCAACGTAAGTTCCAAATGTGCACTCCGACAGGGTCAAAGTCATTCAGCATTTCCATACCGTGTCTTCGTCATATTCGCCGTACTCGATCCGCCGGCAGTCCGTCTTGTTCTTACTGAAGAGCATCTATGCGATTTACGAGAGAACGGGCGGGTCAATGGTGATTTCATGAGTCGCCGCCAATGGTGAAGGGCTGCCGCTTACTGACCTCGACACAAAGCATAGGATATTCTCGGAATCGCTTCATGAAGCGACCGATACAATATTGGATGAACTGGAGCAGCTCACGATGAAATTTGGTGTTGGGAAGGCTGGCGCGCTCGTTCATAATATGGTAGAAAAGATTCATCCTCGAAAGCTACAGGGCCCATGGATTAGCGTACTTTGTGGGCGGTGGGACAGCAAAGAGCCGAACCAATGCAATGATACAGGAAGGTTGGTGACGACAGAGCAGAGGGGCACGACCACTTGGCAAAGCGCGGGAGATAAAGCTATCAAGCAAAGACCAATGCCCAAGCGTTGATGCTCTCACGAAGGACATTGCTTGTGCTCCGCCCAAACCAGACGTACCTTGTAAAAGATGGCCTCTGCCTTGCACTTGACGAAAATACGATGGAACATCGATGTCAACATGTGGATGTACTTGGAATCAAGGTCTTCGTAGTGAGAGAGCAGGTCAAAGTATGTAAAGAGCACATTTTCGTTCGCGAAAGCCTGGTAGCCGGGAGATAGAGTGCAATTAGTCTCTGGGTGGGGGTAGTTATCGTAGTTGGACTGGTGTCGCGGATACTTGCCATCTCGATCTTGTCAAACTGCTGAAGATGTTCTCGAGTAACCGTTTCATCAGAACGGGGTCGGTCTTCGTTCTCTGAGCCGTCTTCGCCTGAGCCCGAGTCGTCTGTGATTGTTGAGGAGCAAAATCGTCAGAATGAAATGCCGTTGGATACTCGCCGACCAACTCACTGATGTCCATGCCTGCGAGTTGGCGGGTTGATTGGATCTCACGAGCTCGCACCCCACATATTCGCCATACCACGCCGCTCCGGGGGCGGATTTTCGGTTGGCTTCTTTTGCCGACGCTTCTTTTTCATCAGAAGGATGTTTGACTTTGAATAGCGCTCCATCAGCTTTAGCAACATGTGAACCGTTTCGATAAGATTCTGCAAGAATCTAGGGTCGTCGTCCCGAATTAGTCATCGTGCAGGTACAGCGCCGAATGGATGCGGGAGGGCTTTGATATTCCTGCACACCTACCCAACGTTCTGAACCTTGTAGGTTTTCACCATCGCGATGATCAGGTCGATTGTCGATTCTTCGTAGTAAAGGTTGTTTTGGATCACTTCGGATGCTTCCCGATACTCGCTGTTCTCGCTGTTTGCCATAAGATCGAGCACTTGGAACTGTCCGCGAGCCGTCAGTTCCACGAGATTGCCCAGTTGATCAATTGCTGCAACCCGGTTCTGCGTCCATCAAACACATACCATACTCCGGAGACAGCCCAAGCATACACTAACTTCGGTCCATTTCTGAACAGACAAAAGCGTGTCCATTAGTGACGGTCGAGTCGTTTGCTCGACTGCAGCTGGAACTACACTGTGGGTTCGATGGTATACCTTGTCTTCTTGATACTGATTGATATATCGAAAAAGAAACATCAGCCCACGCACGTTGACCATGGACGAGACCATGTCAAAATCGATGGTGAGCGAGCCGTTATCGCCGGGCCGTTCTTTTTGCTACAGTTGTGGTTGCAGTGCGTTAATATCGCACTCAGAAGCACACTTGAGGCTAGCTACCAAACATCACCGTCGTCCAAGGATGAGCGACAGATAAGGTGGCAATGCAGCAGAATACCCACCTGCATCAGGCCGCTGATCGTGCGTAGAAAGAAGGAGCAGATCCAAATCAAGCGTGGGTAATCTTCCGTCTGGATCTTCTTTCGCTCCATGTCCATTTCTCTCTTGACCGACATGACGAGAACTGCATATATGACAAGATGAGGATCGATCTGCGTTCATCACAGGATCTGCAGCGGCTTTGAGGGCGTCACAGCACTTTGCGACAAAGTCTTACAGTTGAATCCGCTCTCGAGGAATGCTTGAGCGAGATCTCGATAGATTGTTCGCGCTTCCTGACTGTGAATCGGCCGAATTCGGTTGTACTCATCCTGTTGCGAGGACAATTGTGAGCATATATTGGTGCCCGTTGGGCAGACAGCACAATACGATGACAGACCACCAAGTTTGATCGGAAGCCCCTTCGTCGCGGCAATGATAATGGGCTCTGGCTCGGCCATCTTACCTGCGGTACTTGGTACCTGCGTTTGGACACCCTTCTCTTTTCCTTCTTTCCAGCATCGAGTGCATCGCCGATCGACGTGATGGCTTGAGAGACGTTGTGAATATTGATACGCTTTCCATCCTACCTCATCAGGCGAGAAGGAGGTGAGTGCGTTGGCGCGGCGGTGGTCAAAACAGCGCCTCAAAAGTGTGCTCGACTGTTCAATACACAGCCGTGAGCCATCAGCCAACGACCACTCGCCCTGTCGATTAAATGAGATGCGACGCCATTGCGATCATGCGAATCGATGCATACCGATGAGTTGATTGTGACTGTTCCGGCAAAGCGGGAACGGAATCCCGAGGCCTTGAGCTGCCGCTCTTGCAGCTTTCGCTCTTCGTCCTCCTTCCTGGCCAAATCCGCAAGGATGCTCGGTGGTTTGGGGGCTGGCAACGCCTGTTGGCTTGCCATTCCACCTTGGGGGGCATCTGCGGCCTGAAACAACAGTACAATACGGACCTGGGTCAGATTAACTGCAGATGATGCAGGTGTCCCGAGGACAACATGGTCCATGGTCACTGATTGCTACCTCGGGAAGGTCGCTTGAGCGAAGAATGTCGTCGGGACTGCGCTCGAGAAAGATATGGAAAAAAATTTCGAGCAGGAGTGTATTCCATTGAACAAACTCGGGCTCGTTCGAAGATCCGGCCATCGAGACCAGAAAGTCCATGATGCGACTTTCGCGGAGGGCCATGAGCATGCGTTCCTGTGTCATATAGAGCACCGCGAGAGTGTGAATGTCCGGCCGGATACCAAAGCGTCTTGTAGCCTATCGACTGCGGAGTAGGCAGCAGCAGGTTCGCTACCGCCCAGTCAATACCAGTACCTGGACATTGGATCTTAGATGGATTTCCGTTGAGGCGGTGATGCCCACATGGTAGTCCTTGATAGCGACGATGTTCCGGATCAGGAGCAGCACAAGGCGGATCTTGGCCTGATCTCGCTCGCTACGTTCTCTGGAAAACCCAAGTCCGAAGATAAATATCAGGCCCAGGAAGCGTCCTTCTGGGCAGTGACAGGCCGTGTGCTTACCGCACATTCGTGCTGAGCAGCATCACCAACTCGCTCAGGATCTTCGAAAGTACAGATACATCAGCGAGTGCCTCCTTGTAGGTTTTCAGAATGCTGACTTGCAGCGGAGCGTCGGCGATATCTTCAGATTCCAAGGGCCAGGTGATGGGTACCAATATTTCGACTGGGCCGAGCCACGTAATTGACCATTCGGTCATCAACCATCAACCATCAACCATCAACCATCAACTATCAACCATCAACCATCAACCATCAACCATCAACCATCAACCATCAACCATCAACCATCAACCATCGACTTCATAGGGAATGTGCAAGTTTAATCCATTTCCGATGTAAACTCACCAATCGCCATGTTGACCTTGCTTTCATTCGGCTTGTCGATCAGCAGGAGCGGTATCAAGTCTGTCTTGAGAATCTGCCAGCGCCCGAGTGCCGTTGCAACCACTCGCCGCTTCGCCAATTCGTCTCGTCGCAGGTATCGCTTGAGATCTCGAAGGCACTCTTTCAACGACACAGCAGAGCTTTGTCAGCAAGCGACGCCGGTGCTGGCTCGGCTGCGTGAAGCTGCTCCTTCATCGACTTTGCAGACCGGGAGATGCCAGCGCTTACCCAAGGCCTCATCTCCGGGTCGGTAGACCTTTCCGGCGTCGGTGTCTTCAAAGCCGCCAAGAGCCGAGCATACCGATAGCACTCTGTTCTCGAGCAGCGGATCTTCGGGCAGGTAGTCCTCCGGAAACAGATCGGACAGGTCCATTGTCGGTGCGGTGCCGGGGAGACGAGCAGCCGCAGGAAGCAGCCAGATCGAACGCAGGCTGGGTCTGGGTCCGGGCCTGTCCTTGGCGGCCATTTCCTATTGCATCCCGCCATTTCGCCCGAAATGGCAGGCCGAGAGCCGGCTGCTTGCCCTCCTCCACAATGGCTGTCTTGGGCACCATAAACCAGGCTTTCCGCTTGGCGTGGCGGGTATGCGGGACCTGGATGCATATCCACAGGCTCGGCAATATCGCTTGGCGGTGTGTGTTGGATATCGCCGGGGCCGAGTCAGTGCTTGGGATTTCTTGGCGCTGGACCGGGCCTCTCTGTGTGAGCCACAGCCTCGGCGAGAAGGAACACCGCCCTGTCCATCGCCAAGGCGCAGCCAGCACCTCGCCCAGGCTCCGTCTGCTTGGACTCGGTCCAGCCCAAGCATCGCCATCGCTGCACCGGCCCCGTCCTCATCACGAGCGACATACTCGTCCGTACCATCCCTCGTCTTTGCTCTTCTACGCATTCGTCCTCCATTGTGGGTCCATGAACGACGACAGAAAGCCCCCGAGACGCCAGCAAACCCCACACCGGCTCAACCTCCATCCGTCGCAGAAGCCCAGATTCGATTCCCAGCGCCAAGACCGAAGCTACTCGGAGCACCTCGATCGGCTGCTTTCCATCCTCCTGGGCTTTCAGAATGTCAACTGCACCACCCTGTCGTACCGCTACACCCCTGCAGCCATCGCAGCCACTCGAGCCAAAAGGCTGCATAATCCGGCAACATCAGCCGTCCCCAATGCCGAGCTGCTTCTGGAGGTAGCCGGTGCTGTGGATCCGGAAGCTAAACCAAAAGCCTCGAATCTATGGAGAGTATGGGTCAGCACGAGTGTGATGGCCAAGCTGATGTTCCTGAAAACCCGCTGCATCAATCGCAGCGAGCTATTTGTCACCAACTCGGAGTTTGTGGAGCTGGTCCTTGACCTGCACGAGCGTTTGATAGACGACGCTGGAATAGAGGATTTGCTGGAGCCGTTCGAGGCCCCCGATTCCCTGTGTCTGCTCGGAGACAACGACCATTTCGAATCCGATGTCTCGTCAGTCGCGGCGCACTCCGACTCGTCGTCAACACTTTCGGCTTCAAGCGAGACGACGTCTTCAAGCATGTCCCCGCTTGTTGCGTACGATGGCCTGTTGTGCCCATCCAGCCTGCTGGTCGGATCCAATGCAATTGTCAGCACCCGCATACCCCTCAACAACACCTGGTCGCTCTGGCTGCCGGGCAACAACCAGCATGTCATCCCTATTGACGTAGCTCAAGAAGCAGTGCATCTGTTCTTTGATGTATGTCCTTGCGCCTTTAGCTGCTACCCTGGGTTTGCATTCTCCGACCGGTGCATTCCACGGCGACAGCGCCTCGTTTCCCGCGCAAATTTCGCTGACGGGCTCGTCGGCCTTGCATCGGCTCTCCCCGATTCCAGAATGTCACTGGATACTACCTCCCCTCAGGTCTTCTGTACAAGCCACAAGTTCTTAGGATGTGGGACCAACTTCCAGACTTTCTGCGCTTTTCAATAGTCGTTCTTGGACTGGCGCCCGTCGCCCCGGATCCTGTGAAGCTTCAGATCATCAAGCCGTATTACTTTCACGCCAGAGACCTGACCTACAAAGCCTTGGACAGTCCGAGCATCGAGTTGGTGCAGAGCTTGATACTGCTGAGCCGATATGCCAAACGTAAGTATGAGCCATTGGGGCATCGGTGCGTAGGCTTAAAGTGCCACTGTATTATCGACAGCCCATCCCTGATCGATTCCACATCAACTGACTACATCAATGCCTTTGCCTGGCGAACCCACAAACTCGGCGTCGGCGTGCACTTCGCAGAGTTCGAGGATCGTAAGTATCCTGCACTTCCTGGAGCCGAGGGTCTGAGCCGAGGGTCTGAGCCTGGTTGCTGACACGCCCCTTCTCGACCTGGCACGAACGTGCCGCGGTCAAAGTGGATTCCCAGTTTCAGATCGTCGACCTGGCTGTTCGCGCCGCCAAGTACATCGGCCTCGACCGTCCATCCTCGTACCGGTACCAGCACTGGATAATGGCCGAGCTCGCCCGCCGAGCATGGTACCAGTGCTCCTACTTTACCCTCTTCAACGGATTCAGACATCAGCGGCAGCTCTCAATCGAGGACCCAAATCTGCTCAAGCCCGAGATTCCCAAGCATGACATGATCTGGTACAACGATAGTATTGATCTCAGCTTGCTTGAAATCATTCCCGCCAGCGCCAGCACCTCGCTGCCAAACTTTGCCGCCGATGTGCTAAGATTTCTCCAGATTGAACGAAAGGGGCTCGAGTTCCTGTCGCTCTTTAACGGTGGGCCTATTACTCCCGAGCTCTATGGCGACCAATATGAAGCACAGCTTGCGTTGCTCGCCGAGTACAGAATCTGGCAACAGGAGCAGACCCAGCAGCTATGGGACTGGTATGGCAAGCAGCCAGAGTGGATGCGCGACATGGCGAACTCATTCAAGCTCACCGGCCGTGAGATTGGCATCGGTGCCATCGAAATACTGCATTGGAATCTCCTCTTTCACGGCATTATTGTGCTTGTGAACTACCCAGCCATGATCGAAGGTAAATCCATGCGGCTGTCTTTCTCGGACACTCTGTGCCCGGCAATTCACAGTCACGGATGTAGCCCGGATGTAGCCCGGATGTGCGTGGTAAAGCGTCGCAAGTGCGAGTGTTTCGATAGCACTGAAGAAACTCACGGACTTACTTGAACGCTTTGGATCGATTCCGATGTCTGCTATTGTACTGGCAGAACTTTGGCTCTATCCTGATGCCACTGTAGATACGCTGCCGTCGCTCAGACGGTGTCTTGAAGCCTCCAAGAGCGCGAGAACACTGATGATGATTTTGAGTGCCCTGGAGCCAACATCAAAGGTGTATGTTTGCCTCCCAAACAAGCATGTCGCGGTTGTAGTTATGGTAAGAGCGCTAGATGTGCCTTTGTCGACAACACAGCCATGCAGAGAAGGGAGGGGGAGATCAAGGGAGGCATCGACAGAGCGCAATCCGCACATGGTGGATGTGATGAATACCCATGTCGAAATGATGGAGCGAGCGTAGTGGTCATCTGGGCTTTACTCATCTCTGGCTCCTCGACAGGTCTTGACCCTTACTCTGCTGTTTGAGCCGCCAAGAGAGCATCCAGAGAGCTACTTTTATGCGTGGCCGCTCGTCTGCATCGACAAGCATCTGCTCCAGTTTCCAGTGATCCATCAACTGATCAAGCAGTTTGAAACGTACGCGATCGATTTTTGCACTCGTCCAATGACCCGTCTGCGACTGGACGACTCGATCGACCCAAAGCTCAAGGTCGGCCGATTGCTGGAGTACCGCACGCCAATCGGCTACTTTGCGAGTATAGCGCTTGGTCCATGGGTCCCGCGACATCCTCTCGATAAGATCCCAGGGCCAATGCCCATTTAGAGACACGCCGCTCTTGCCCTGCCAGTCACCTGTGGCTGGATATGCATCCTGCATCGAGCCGCGCATTGCCGCTGTCCTCGTCACCATCACTGCCCATATTGTCACTGCCCAAGGGCTCTACCCTGGCTTCTATCATATACATTCGTTGCAATCGACGGATTTCCAACCCAGAGCGGCGCCGCGGACGTAGCCGGCAGCATGATTGCGATGCGCATGTTGATCATCGTTCACGGATGCTGAGCGGTTGTATTCGCTATCATGCCATCGGGGAGTGCCGTCGATAGCGAATTGAGGTCACAGCATCCCAGGTAGCGTTCGAGTTCACTCGGCTGGGACAGCCATCAATCTCCATCGAACAGCATCCAACGGTCCGTCTGCTTATTTCTTGCCGGAGGGCTTGGAGACCTTGGGCTTGGTCTTGGCAGGGGCCTTGCGCATATCAATCTTGGTATGGCCGCCGTGGTTCCAGGACAACAGACCCATGTACGGATTCACATTCCAGTGCAGCGACAGACTTGCGTTTGCGTTTCTGTTTGGCGGGAACGGCGGCAAGATCGTCAGCCCAGACGTTGCCCGCGGTGCTTGAGAATGAATCCGCCCTGCAGTTGATGGCAACGCACAGAGAGCATCAACTCACTCGATGCGATCGTTCAGGGCAATCAGATTGTACTTCTGTCTCTTGTCTTTGAGCTTGATGTAGGCATCCTCCTTGCTTGTGATGATATCGTCCCAGATCGTCACCTGGTTGGGGGACTACGGAGAGGACCTCGTTCAGCACATTTTCTGGCCACCGGAGGACTCCCGGTCAAAGATCACTGATGCACGGGCCTACATAATCCTTGGTGTCAAACTCCGCGACCAGATAGGCAAAGACTTGCTTGGTGTTCCAGTTGAAGAGCGGGGTGAGATCTGAAATGCCACACACCGACAAAACAGCGACGCAGCGGCTTGTTAAAAATACAATCCTGGTCTGAGCATGTCTGGCTCGAAGCCAATGCGTCCATTCCAGAGTGATCCTGCACACCCATGATGGAAGAGCCGGGACTGATGCGACTCTGGATGTCGGCAGCACCATGGCAGCACCATGGCAGCGGACATTGCGCTACATGCGAAAGAGCATCGAAGAGGACAGGATCGATGTGTTTTTATCAACAGCCTTTGCCCGGACGCTTACCGGCCTCAAGGTTGAAGGAAAGGGTGGCCAGCTGCTCGCTCTTTGGCGAGTAATAGCTGTCCCGACCGATTTTGCTGTGCACCAGGCCGTGCGGCGCCAGGTCCAAGAGCGGGAGTGAGCGTTGGGGACATATGCGCCGATGAGGCAGACCCGTCGATGAAGCTGGACAGAAAAAAAAAGGCGGCCAGCCAAGAGGATTGCTGCCTGCCGATTGCAGCCGGACGCATCTGAAGAGACCATCCTCTGGAGAAACACAGGGCGACTCACAGCTGCACATGGTTGACGCTGACGTTGATCTCGGGGGCTGGGGTCCATCGCAGCATCAGCTCGGACGTTGCCGCGACGATGGCAACCACCGCAAAGGCCACCGACAGGAAGGTGGCAAATACATTGTTGGCTCGCTGCTGGATTCCGTACATGGCCGTCGGTGCTGGCTGGAGGAGATGGCGGATCAGGGCCGGGCTGGGAGGGCGCTGTAGCTGCCTCCTTGGGTCGGGTCGATGACGAGGAAGGCGCCGAACCCCGAGGCTGGATCCGGCTCGGCCCGCCTTCGATCCAGCCGCATCCCGCGAAACGCCTTGCACCCAGGGCCGCCTCGGTTGCTGTTCGCCAGCCGACCCACATCCAACCTGCACCAGCATACACCGCACCGCACCGAACAGATACGCCGGCCGCCGTCGAGCACAGACCCCACGTCGCATCAACTCAAGACCCACCAAATATCTAGCCTTCCTCCCGCCGCCGCGGTTCTCAGAAAGCACCATCCATGTCTGGATCACTCCCAACCGACTATTGCCCTGCATTCGCTCCATTCTTTGGATTCGCCGGAGCCGGCTTGGCCATGATCCTCTCGGCCGTCGGCGCGGCCTATGGCACCGCAAAAGCCGGAGTCGGCATCGCTGGAATAGGCACCTTCCGGCCTGATCTGTAAGTCCTGTTTCTCGGCCGTGCAATGGGGTCGGCGTTACCGCGGAAGATGCTTCAGTGGGCGTGGTGTTTGGTCGACTGGGCAACCGGCCCGGGTGGACGGGCGGTGGTGATGGCTGCGGTGAGGAGCCGCATAGACCAGCCGATAAAAATGCCCTCGCTCGGCAAAGGTCGTAGTCACATATCGCTTGGAGTATCGCGGTTTTGATAGCGCGACTCGCATCGGCAGCCCCGCCTCGTCCTTGCACACAGTTCCTTGCCCCCCCCCCAGATATCCACCAGATATGGGTGGGTATCTTTGACGCCAGGCTTTTGGGTTGACTGACTTTGTCTCGAATGCAGAGTTATGAAGTGTCTGATCCCCGTCGTCATGGCCGGTAAGCAAGCGATTTCGTTGGTCGCGGGAGGGAGCGACCCGTTCGCCCGCTCCTGCTCCTGTCGACCCGCTCTGGTCGCCAGAGGCGGGCGCTTTGCTGGCTTTTGGGAGTCCAACTCGCACTGAACTGGAGAGAAATAGTGTGCTCAGCTAGCATCCCCATCGCAAGTACAGCCAGCATCGGGTTGGACACTCTTGGATGCGCGACCGCCTCTGGGGAGTTTGCTTCGATTCACGCAGCATCTCTGGTTGGATGAACTGGCTCGCTCACAGATACTCCCCCACGATTATACGCCGAAACACAGGTATCATTGCCGTCTACGGTCTCGTTGTCTCGGTCTTGGTGGCCAGCTCACTCAGTCCCACGGAGCCCTACTCGCTCTTTGCATCGGCGGTGCACTTGGCATCGGGCCTGTCGACCGGCTTTGCCGGCATCGCTGCGGGCTACGCCATCGGTGTCGTTGGAGACGCGTGTGTCCGAGCGTACATGTATCAGCAACGTATCTTTGTGGCGATGGTGTTGATCCTTATCTTCGCCGAAGTCCTGGGTCTGTACGGGCTGATTGTTGCGCTGATTCTGAACACCAAGGCCAAGAGCAACTGCTAAAGAGAGCGCGATTTGTCAAGCTGCGCAAGCAGACAGTCGGGCCGCCGGAACGGCAGGCATTGAGACGGCATCACCATCGGGATTCGGCAGTGGATTTTCAACTGATGTTACAGAGACGGCACCCGGCACCCGGCTTAGCGACCGAGTAAAAGCCACGGCTCGCAAGTAACGAGCGGCTTGCAGCGGTTGTGGGCTGCTTCCCCTCCCCCCGTCCGTGGTTGTGGCATAACTTTCATCAAATACATTAGCCCGCTTGGGCACGTTATCGATTCGCGGGGGTCATACGACAATGCCGACATGGGGACCAAGAGACATTGCTCTTGGAGATTTTGAGGACGAGGCCGCTCTTAGGGAGACTGTAGATCCCCTCGCTGCCCGAGAAATCACTGCGGTAGAGCCAATTGTGATCGGGCTGAGGAGCATGTATATTCAGAGCTAGGGACGAACGGGCGAGCGACTGGCGTGCTTTACGGAGAGAGTGCTCCGTTCTAACACTTGAGAATGCCAGAAAGACAACTACGATTGCTGCGACGAATACGCGTATCGCGGCTCATAGTCCGCCAAAGATGTCATCAATCTCATCACGTTTTGATGCGGAGCCCTTCTTCTTCTTGGCAGTGGTATGATCGGCTGTGGTTTTGGCGGACTTGGTACCAGCTCCTGCCGGCTTGTGGGCCGCGACAGTCGATGCAAGGGTGTGGCCGCCCGACTTTGACTTGGATAGCGGGTGTTTTGCAATCGGAGTAGTAGTTGCAATAGTCGCAGCAGCAGCAGCAGTCGTCGTCTTCAGTGCAGTGCCTATGGATTTAGATGGTTTGGCAGATCCACTTGTTGCAGTCGGTTTCGCTGCGTGAGTAGATTCCGTCGCCACCACAGCGTGCTTGATCTTCTTGGCGGTCGTCAGCCGCGGCAGTGCCTGTTCACCTGAGACAGCATCAGTCGATTTCCGCTTGGTGCCGACAGCCCCCGGGACTGAGTCTGGGTCGACTTGAGTTGCTGGTGTCTCGGATCCCGGGCCAACGGGAGCGATGGAAGTCTCGATTGGCGACAGGCTGGTCGAGAGACTTCCCCAAAATGCATCCGATATGGTCGCTGTGGCCAGCATTTCGACTTTTGGGTGTTCATGAGCGGTGTCGTTGCCCAAGCGATCTGCATCATCTGCATCGCTCCGGTCAGCTCCGTTACTGAGAAGGTCGAGATCCTGGCTGGTGTGGGTGGCCGAGGCTGACAACTCAATGCCCGACGACTCCCCGATCGTTTTCAGAAGCGTGGGCTTGAGATGCGCCTCGTAATTCATATCTTTGGACTGGCTGGGCAGTTTCTGAAGGGTCAAAGGACGAAAGAAAGTTTTGGCTGGACTGAGTTGGCGCATCCTCCACAGCAAACGATAAGCGAGTGCTAGCACACTGGAACGAATGGGCAGATATGATGGACCAGTCGGCGTGAGAGGAGCTAAAAGAAAACAGGCACAGCAAGGGACAATGTGGACAAGCAATGGCGAAAAGGAGGAGGGCCCTGCATCGCGAACTTACGGGAAGATACTGGATCCAAGAATAGACGAGGTCATAGCAATTTCGCAGTTCGCACAAGAGATGGCGGCCGAGGATGTGGAGACGAGCCAGCGAACTCATCGCAATAAGACACAAGGGCATAAAGTACGTCTGTCGAAGCACCGCTTGGAAGTGACTGCCAAAGGCGGCAGTGGATTTCCGGGTGAGCAAGGGTCGCGGGTTAACAATGTCGGTTTGAGCGGCTCGAGTAGCGTGAGGCAGAAACAGGACAAGCCACGATCGATAGGGTGATTAGCTCAATGAGGCACTTGCAGAGCCAGACGACTTACAGATAGGTATCCTCGGAGCACTCCAAGAGCTAGGTATTTTCCAGCAAGGTCGAGCAGCGGAGTGCGCCAAGGTTAGAAGTGCATGCGCGGCGTCAGCAATTCAACAAGAGTACAGGCCCAGGAAGATTCGACGATCGAACAGCGAGAGACGGAGAAGGAGAAACCACCATGATGGGGACAGGCGGGAGAGTATTTGGCTTGCCATGGACGACATCATCAGCGACATCATCAGCGACATCATCAGCGACATCATCAGCGACAGGCCTCAAACCTTTTGAATCAGCTTGTAGGATCCGACCATCCGGAACAACGTAAAGGCCAAATACCGGCGCGAGGGGAAAGCTTCCCAGCTCTGTGTCTTTTTGCTTCCAGGGCGGATTGCAAATGGCAGCACCATTTGTTAGCTGCATCGCCGGCAGCAGCTGCTGGCGATGGCCGAGGAGACGCTTGTGCCTTGCCCTCGTGGCAAAGATCGCAGTCAGAGAGGGAGAGGGAGAGAGAGAGAGGAGGAAGGGGGGGGGCCTTACTTGTTCGGCTGCATCACATCCAGAGCGTCAGCCAGCAGTTTCTCGAGTCCCATTGCCTGGAGCCTCCTCAGATATTTTTGAACCTGCGAGGAGAGTGATAGTGGCGATGGTAAGGAGGCAAGTTGCATTAGGGGTGGCCCTCTGAGCCGCGCTGGCAATCCGAACCAGGATATCCGGGCTCGGGTTCAAGTCCAGGTTCAAGTCCAGACGACTATGGGTCACTTGACGGGCTGGGAAAGGGACGCTGGCCACGGCAAGTGCACACCTACCTCCAGGAACTTTGCCAGGTATGTCGTCCCTCGATGTTGCTGGCGGTTCTTGTAGATCATTCGATCGATGATGATATGCTCCTGCCGCAGGTCCTTGCGTCCGAGGGTCCGTCGAAAATAGCTCAGTTGATAGACCAAATCGTTTTCAAGGACAGGCGGGAGAAAAGTCTGGACGGAGGAGCGGGCCACTGTGGGCACCAGAGGCGGTGCAGGCTCGCAAGCCGGATGCAGGTTCCAAAAGTCTTGGCCTTCGAGACAGTTGGTGGGCAACTTGGGCGGTCGTGGTTGGCGCTTTGGACGCATGATTTCACGGGACGGAGATGGAGAGATAGAGGTAGAGATGGATTTGGCGACGGGGTGCAAAGAGAAGTTGAGGAGTCACTGTCTGCGAGACGGTGTGCGCGGGAAGCAGCGATCGATTGGGACGACCGAGGATACAAGATCGAGGTAACAATCGAGCGGAAGGACAGTCCTGGGACGTGTCCAAAAAAAAAAGATTCGGTCCTGTTTTGGGACGGGGCTGTCACTTACTCTGGATGGATGCACGCCCATCGATCGTTCACTATGACCTGCGAGCGTGTCCAAGGAGAATGGAACTGTGATTGCATTTGGGAATGCATCGTGGAAGCAAGGAAAGGGATATGCACCAAGCACACGGCGATTCAGATCCGTCAAGTCCTTTCAGAAGTTTCCCCCCCCCATCGCCAGAGACACCCACCAGACACATCCATTTTCAAGATCCATGTGCCCTCAGTGAACCAGTTCACCGACGACCAAGCAGGTCAAATCGTCTGTCATAGAGTCAGTCCGCTCCATACAGTCAGTCTGCTTCAATGCGGAGAGAGTGTGATTCACACACACATACACTCAGAGGGCTAATTTTGCGGGTCATTTTCGTGCCCGAACTGAGATCGCAATGATGGACATGTATTTAGGGAGTCCAGGTACCAACAATGGTGGACATGATAAATAAGAGAGGAACTGGGGAGAGGGAAGGAGGGAAGAGGTGGGGATCGAGAATTGGGGGGGGGGATCGGGAGTGGATGTGATGAGTGCAAGCAGAACAGCACAGGGCACAGGGGGGGGGAAATGCAGCCGGCGAGCGGTAGTCATAGTAGTGAGTGAACTGAAACAGCAAACTACTTTGGAATCGGGTCAAAGGAATCAAGCAGGAGAAGGAGAAGAGCACAAATAAAAGTACACAAAGAAAGCAAATCGATGCGCAAAGCAGGCATCAGACTGGTCTACGCAAAAAAAATAAAAATAACAGGGCAAGCCGACTCAGGCAGATCGCATGAGTCTTTGCTGCTGTTGCATCAATCGAGGGCAGGGGACAGCCAGCAACGAAGGCATGTAATGTAGCGCGGCGTCCAGGAGCAGTGTGATGGTTGACCGGCAGATTTGGCCAGTATAGATAGATGGCAGAGAGGGCGATGGCAGACAGAAAGAGTGAAGTTCTATGCAGGAAAGCAGAAATGGTTTGTGGCAATGGAAGGCGTCAAGAATGAAAAGGAAGAAAGCGAAGAAAGGATAAAGAAGGGAAGGACAGATATATGTAGGCGGTCTAGAGGGTGTCGGGCCAGTGCGAGCGTGAAGCGAGGCGGGAGAGCGGGCGAGCGGGCGAGCGGCCACAGGCTCTATTTCTTCTTGGCTTCGACTTCGACAGCGGCGACGGCGGCAGCGGCAGCGGCGGCTTTGGCGGGCGAGCCCCAGATATTTCTATTGCGTTCCAGGCCTTCCTGAACCTCGGGCATCGGCTGCCACTCGCAGAGGGCTTCAAACAGAGGGGCAACGATGAACTCGATGAAGGACTTTTGGCTGGAGGCTGGGTTTGTTGCAGATGGTGCGTCTCGGTTGCAGAAGGGGGAGATCGGGAGACCGTGTTGCTTCTCCTGGTCGCCTTGGCTGAAGAATTCTTCGGTTATGCGCTTGATCCACTCGCAGTAGATCGGCCAGGACTTTGTCGGATTCGAGACATCGGCACATTTCATCAGCCTGGAAGACACGCGGAGCGCAAGAAGGCAAGGAGAGGAGAGGAGAGGACAGGAGTCAGAGCACGTATCGCATACGCAGCCGCACAGACAACGACATCGGGCTCGATGGATGGTCCATGTATGGCAAGAAGGGACACTGTCGTTAGGCAGGGAAGAACAAGCAGCCCAGAGGGCGAAGGCACTTACATCTGCATCAGGAGCGACTTGTCTTCGCCCGAGGACAGCGGATCAAAGCCACCGCCATTGACGACCTTTTTTTTGAACATTGTCAGTAGCGAGAAGTGTTGGCTGAGGTCGGTTGCCAGAACCATGGCAACGATGTGATCGCGGACACCCTTGAAGACCTTGCGGTCGAGTTTGCCCAAAAAGTTGCATTCCTTGCGCATCAGGACCTCGAAGGCCGACGCACAGTGGTGGTTTTCCAGGACAGAGCGGTCGTTGTAGAGCAGCGCTCGTCGGTCGTTTGTTGAAATCAGGAAGTTGTTGTTGACTCCGGGGTGGTCATAGTCGTGGACAGCTGCGGCAACAAAGAGTGCCAAGATCTCGAGATCGGTGAAGAGCTTTGTGATATTGGGCAAGCTGATGATGTAGTTGATGCAGTGGAGCACATCGGTAGCGTGAATCGAGTTGTGGTCTGTGGAGCGATACGATACGATTAGGATGCGATTGGGGGGGGGCAGGGACCGAGGCAGCAATGTAGGCAACGATGTGCGCAGAAATGTAGGCGACAATATAGGTAGTAGTGTATACAATGACGTAGCCACAGTGGTTGTCGCAAGGCTGGCGGGTGGCGAATGACTCACATGTCAGATCGGCATGATAGCCCTCCTCGATCGTGGAGATAAAGCGCAGGAACTTGTCCATCGGGAGCGCAAGCCGGTTCATAATGCCTGTCTTGGTAACCAGGTGGTGGGTCATCACCATCAGGGGTCGATCCATCGTGGCATTGGCAAAGTCAAAGATCGGGAAGTTGAACTCGCCGATGCGAGAAAGCAGCGGGAGAGTCTGGGCGGTAAAGTACATCGTGATGTCGATCTTGGCGAGGCTGCGGGGCGATGTTGTGACGGGCGAGTCCGTGGCACTGCAGGTTTCATCGGACGACGAGTCGGATCGGCTGCGGCGTTGGAGCGAGGAGGCGCTGGTGCGATCAAAGCCGCCGTCGGACTTGCCACGGGTGGCGATTTCGTTGAAAAGCCATTTCTGCCAAGAAGCGGACGCATCAGTACACGAGCATCAGGCGATGGATGGTAGGGAGGAGCAGGCGAAGGACGATGAGGCGAGCAACAAGTATGCGACAGAGCTGCGGGCAACAGAGCCGGTACGGCGCAATTCAAGGGGCAGCGGATGTCCAAAAAATAAGAAAAATGGGCCGAGCCATACACACCTCTTGCTCGGGATCGACCTGGACGTGGCCCTGCTTGACTTGCTGGTCCAGATCCGGGGTCAACAGATGCTGCGAGTTCAGGCAGCTCATGATCATGTCCAGGATCTTGATGTGCTCGCCGGGGATCATGGGGCTAGCCATCAGGTACTTGAGGCCATAGATGGCCTTCTCGAGGGGCGAGTCGAGGTCGGCAAGGCGGGACGAGTACTTTTTCTGGAGACCCTTGAGCTGGTTTTGGAGCTTGATGTTGATCTTCAGGAAACGCTGGTCGCTGAGGAACTGCAGGCGCATGCCGCGCTCGACATCGTACGAGACAAAGCCAACAACAACACAGGCGAGGGCGAGGGCGATGCTCGAGGAGATGTACTGGTGCGACGGGTCAGTGGTGTTGAGCGGCGCAGTCAGGGACAGGCCAAAGACGCTGTACCAAAATGGCGCAACGACCATGAGCGACAGGAGGGTGTACACGAAGCGCAGGCGGAAGAAAAAGGTGCCCGAGAGGATGGCGACGATGTAGAGCGGCGAGGTGAAGGACGCAGGGTAAGGGTAGTCGCTGGGCGAGATCAGGGTGCGGCCGCAGATGATCAGCGGGCCCATGAGCCAGATAAAGGCCACGGACATGACATGGATAAAGCGCGAGAGCGTGCGCTTGGGCAGCTGAAAGGAGAGCAGGAGCAGAGTGGCCATGGGAACGACGCCCGAGAGCAGGACAATGATATCGAGTTTGTTGACATCCCAGAAGCTCTTGGACTGGTTCGCAGGCGAGATCGAGACCTTCCACATGAAGATGGACTGGATGAGCAGCGCAAAGACGATGGCGACGGCAGCAAAGCGGCGCCAGATCTTGAGCATGCGGTCCAGAAAGTAGAGCCGATATTGGTGCTCAGTGCTCTTGTCGATGAAGCTGAGGGTCATGCGGCTGAAGGAGCTGCGTTCCTGGGCGGCCAGGAGATGTGCGTCGAGAGCCTTTCCAAAGGGATCGGAGCGGCTTGTGGCATCGCCATACATGATGGCCTCCCCGGCCAGCTCAATGTCGGTCGAGAGGGCTGAGCCGGAGCGGGTTTGGCGGCCTTGAATGGGAGGGGTATATGGCGAAATGACGTCGCCGCTGGGCAGCTGGTATGCATCGAGGTTGTAGAAGGAAGGGTTGGTCCGCTGGGTAAGCGACGCCCACCAAGTGGGCATCCTTTCGAACATGGCATCGAGGCCGCGCGGGGTCTGCTCCTTCACGGCTTGCAGAGGGTGGATGGATGGGTTCTGCTTGGACGGGACAAAGGTCGGCAGCGAGTCGTGGTGTAGGGCGGCCGGAGGGGCGAGAGAGTTGGCATGCTGAAAGGGCGACAGATAGCGGACGGTCGAGGCCGAGTTGGTAAAGGCGGGTGCCTGGCTTGTTCGAGAGGGGTCGAGGATGACCTGCTGGGTCAGCGAAAAGATATCGCCGACGCTGGTGTTGCGCTTGGAGCGGTGGTTTTCGCTGGCTGAGCGCGGGCGCTGCTGGACGTTGAGGCTGTCGACATGACGGCTGGCGGTATGGAGGGGAGGGGGATGGGACAGAGGCTTTACGGTCGAAGCATCGTCTTGATGATCCATTCTATCGAGGGCGAGGCGGTCGAGTGATGAGGTCGGGTGATGTGGTGGAGCCATGATGCCGAGCCGTGCGGTTGAAGATATATATTAGGGACGGACTCCAGACCAAGGACGGGATATATGCGGAGAGGTCTGGGTATCTGCAGCAGTAGCAGCAGTAGCAGCAGTAGCAGTAGAGCAGCAGTAGAGCAGCAGTCGCAGACGCACCTATTGAGACGACACAGAACAGGGCGGGGAGGCGGGTGAGTGGGGAGCCAAGCAAAGCGCCCGAGACCGGATTCAGATGACGGGGAAGACGACTTTTGGCAGCAGACTGGTGGGCAGGGCTGGAGTCGAGGGCAGAAGGCCAAAGGACGGGAGGGGATTGACGAGGGCGAAGGAGCGAGAGCGAAGGGGAAAGCGCTGGGAAGGGCAAAGGAGCAGCGCGGGATGCATGGCCGTGTGTGTGTGCAGGCCAGCGGAACAGCGACCGCACCAGTCGAGGGCGCGGGGCGCTGTACAGTGGGCGGCGGCAAAGAGAGACTGGCAGTTCGCAGTGAGCGGGGCTGTGGCGTGCCGCGGCCATATCGGGGCACTGCGTGGGGGCACGGGCTTGTCGACGACGACGCGGCGCCCGGCCCATGGCTTTGGAGAGACACAGCCCAGTTGTTTTTGCTTTGCTTTGTTTTGCTTTGCTATGTTTTTGTTTGTTTACTTGGTGCTGGCATTGCTCCTGCATCTCGGTGTTCAGTGTCAGCGTGCGTGTCGACCACTGTCGCTGCTGGCTGTCCACTGTCTCCCTGTGTCGCCTTGCTGGACCCGCGCGGCCTTGTGCAATGTGCATTCTGTGCCAGTCGCTGCTGGCCCCCGATGCAGGCTCCCCCACCCGGCTCCCCCGCAACGCGCTGTCGGCTCGCACACACTCCGCGACCCGCTGTCCCTTGCCGCTGGCTGGCGTTTTGTTTGGCAGAGAACAAGGCCGCGGGGCTGCGCGTGTGACCGCCATTGTGACGCTGATGTGTGTGTGTTCAGCGGGCAGGGCTGATCCAGCAGCAGGCACACGTTGTCGCTCGATGGTGTGATCAGCCTGCCCGTCAGCGGATGGAATGCGATGGAATGCGATGGATGCGATGGACGCGGCGAGACGGGAGAGGGCATCAGCAGACCATGGCCGATCGGATGCTAGGTTGCTGGGCTGCGAGCGGGCATCGGGCACCGTCGCAACGCAATATCCAGCGCGACCACCTGTCCTCGCCAGCCCGGCTCGGCCGATGACGCGCGCGGCTCCGCCACCACCTGCCCGTGAGCCACGCCGCGCCCGCAGCGCCCGTGTGACGCAGCCGCGCCGACGGGCGCGCACGCTGCAACCGCGTGCGCCGGCCCTTGCTGGCCCTTGCCCGCCAACCGTCTGTCTCTGGGCGACCCTGGTCTCCATCGCCGTTGATCATTCCCGTTGATCATTCCCGTTGATCGTCGCCGTTGATTGTCTTTGCCATCGCCATCGCATTCTCCATGTCTCTGTCGCCCTCCGTGCCCCGCCGATGCGCTTCGGGGCCCAGCCTCGGGCCGCAGCCGCAGCCTCCCGTCTCCGCAACGAGTCTTGCGCGTGCGGCGGTCGTCGCAAGCACGTTTTTGGGCAAGGCGTCCCTGGCAGCCCCCGCGTCGACCCGCATCACCCGCCTGTCCTTTGCCTGGCCGCCTCTTCCGCTCTCATCGGTCGTCATGGCGGCCTCGTCGATCGTCACGGCTGCTCCGATCGCATCCCAGGTTGCATCCCAGGCTGCATCCCTGGCCAAAGAACACACATCCCAGTCGGCGTCTCCGGCGCCTTCCTCTGGTGGAAACAGACAGAGGCCCAGAGAGCACCAAGAGTCCACTGGCGTGCTCCTCCCAGGTCCTTTGCGGCCTCGGGAGCTTGGGCCCTACTTTCTCCACCTACAGCGAACCCCCAGCGGGCCAATGCCAAGGACGGCGGGCTGCGCCTTGCAGCATTTAGACCGCAAGCGTCGTCTTTGCCTGAGTCCCCCGCACATCATATAGCCGTCTTCAGCGTTACTGGCGACAGCGACTCTTGTTGCTTCGCTCCCGCTGCCCGAACGACCCACCCCACAGATTCTCTTGGAAAACTGTGTATTCATCGAGCCCAGCAGCAGCCAACAACACACGGCGATCAGTCCGGATCGCTCGAAGCACCGCCCAGTTCACTCTGATTTTCGTCTGTCCCCGTCATCGATGCCCTCCCGCAAGAGAGCCAATCGAGCGGGGCGTCCTGCATCTCCGTCCCTGGCTTGGCTCTGTCTTGGCTCTCTGTCTTGGCTTTCTGTCTTGGCTCTAGACCGAGCCAGCCTCGCCTTGTATGGGCTCTTCGGCGGGCTGGGGTCGTTCGATGGACAGCAATTCGACCTGGAGGCAGTTTGGGCAGGGTGGATCAGCACCGCGCGGGCTGCTTTCGGTCCCCGGCTCAATCGGCCCAATTCCTGCTATTCCCGAGCACGGCATCGCAGCCTCCCCTGCATTCCTGCCATAGACAGCATCAGAGTGTACCGTACCTCAAAGTAGAGAGTGGCCTTGGGCGGGATGGTGTTGGCAACACCGGCCTCGCCGTAGCCATACTCGGGCGGGATCATCAGAGTCGCTCGCTCGCCGACGCTCATCTCAAGCAGGGCCTCGTCCATTCCTGTTCAGCCAGATGCCACAAAGTCAGGACCATCAGCCAGCCAGCCAGCCGCTGAATGGCATTCCCTCTGCTCGGCCCCTGGGTCCAGTGCCCAGGAGAATCGTCGGCTCGAAGGGTGGCCCTTACCACGGATGACCTTGCCAACGCCGATCTCGAAACGAATAGGATCGTGTGCCGAGGCATCAAACAGCGTGCCGTCCTCGAGCTGCAGTGTGCGAATGCGTTAGAAGGCGGTAGGCCGAAACCATCCTCATGCCCACCGAACGCAGCCCTCCGACCATCTCCAATCCCAAAAATCGGGCCTCTCAGTCGAGAGAGGGGAAGGAGGCTTACCAATCCGCGGTCTGCCATGAGTTCCGATCGGCAAGCCATCAAACGATAGGATCAGCAATCGCAGCTTTGCTCAAGCCATTATACCGAATGACGGGACCAAGCGCCAGACCATTGGCCGCTTGCTCGCCATGCCATTCGACACCACATGCGGCGATCCGCATGGCCCGCATCCAGACCGATCACAGCTATGATGCGGTCAGACATCCTACTCACATCGGACGGCGACCAAATCACCCCTCTTGGGGAACGTAGCGCCGTCGCCTGGGTGGATTGAGTTGGCCAGATAAGAATGACATGGGTTAGTACGCCAGCAGATGATGATCGGAGCCAAGACCGGCCGAAATGCGCATTGATCCAGACGCCGCTGCTGTTGTTTCCGGCAGCTTGCACGGTTTGGGCAGGCGCGGCGACAGCCATGATACTCGACGATCTTGCTTCTCTCGTCTGGTTCATCTGTCGGCAGTCTCATGAATCATCGTCAGGCGACCTACCGATTCTCGACACCGTTCGGGTCCACACGGGCGTTGGGTCGGAGCTCTTGCTCTTGGGGGCCTTCAGCTTCTCGCCCTTGACCGTATCGTCCTTGACCTTTCGATCAGTAAAGGCCGTTTTCTTCTTGAAGTTGAGGGGAACAGATCCGGATCCAGAGCCGCCGCCGCCCCCACTGGGACCCATCGAGCTCTTGAGACGCACATAGTCACGGTAGGTAACGTAGGAGTACAGAGCGAGCATGCCGACGATGACCACCACGACGGCATAGAGCGCATAGCGGATCTGGCGAGCCTTGGCCGAGACCTTCTGGTGCTTGGACTTTTTCATGGCCGCTGCGGGCCGCTTGAGGGGCAGCTTGGCGGCTTTGGGTTTGGCTTCCATGCTATATATAATATGCAAAATCTGTAGGGAGACGGGTCGGCGAGTACACAGCAGGCCCAAGTCAGAACTCGATCTGAGCGATTGTATTTGTATTTTGCAACGGGAGGAGGAGGTGGTGGTGATATCGTTACTCCCCCTAGGAGATGGATGAGAGAGATTGGGCTGCAAACGCACAGGGTTCCAAGATCAAGGACGGGAAGCGAGTGCGGCCGGAAACAAAGCACAAAGCCAGAGCAGAGCAGAGTGGATCAGAAACAGAAAGAGTAGAGCAAACAAGAGCCAAAGAGCTCCGAGGCACCGAAAGCCAGTGGGCGGAGGGGCTGATGGCTTTTCGGCGGGAAGCACGCGAGAATTCCACGTCAGGGAGACTTTTTGGTCTCAGGCTCGGCGGCTGGCTCGTTGCCAACGACAAGGATCTCCAGACAGGCCTGTGGGATGCTGGGCTCGGACTTGTAGATAGGCAGGGCGGCCGGGAGCCTGCATGGAGGCACAGTCGGTGTTATTGCATCCAAACCGGCAATGTCTCAAGAACTCGAGCCGTCCACAGATCCACCTCCCGCTGGTGCCTTATCTCCAGTCCACTCATGTTGAGTACAGAGCAACCCGCACCAAACAGTCCACTCGCAAGCTCCCCAGCACCCTGCTCTCAGGACAGAACAATACGTACTTTGCTATGCCCAAGGACGAGTACTGAATGATCCCGAGGATGCTCAGGGTGTACCCGAGGATGGTGAGCGACCCCCATTGTGTCGACGGGAAGAGCAAGAACCCTTCGATGAAAAATATCAGGGTGGTTTGCAAGTGCTCGACGACTTGGTATCTGGGGCCGTGGTATTCCATCGGGCATACAGGGTCACAAGGCAGTTAGTCTCGATGCCGATGCGAACGCACGGCGCTCGTTGCCCAAGCCTCGCACCGGCCACAGTTTTTGGGCTCGATGAACACCGTCCTCAGTTGTCGCTCATCGCCCGAGCTCACAGAGCGCCGTGTTGCTTGCTTGCATCTCAGCGTGCAGTGTAAAGCACTACACTATTCGGTCGCATACACACAGCCGCCGATGCGAGCGAATCTGGCCGCTCGCCAGGGCAGACGCACACGCACATGCACACGCACATGCACACCATCGGCTCCGCGCTACTTACGCAATTGGTCCAGAGTATCGGATCAGTCCAAAGGAAGCCAGGTTCGCAAACGGAGCCAATGCGCACGACAGAAACAGCATCGAGCGCGAGGCGTGGTTAAACTCGTCGAGAAAGTTTGGGTTGTGGATGCCCGGGACGGTGTTGGTCGAGTGTGGGTAAATGTCCATCCAGAGCGAGACCAGAAGGGCCACCACAAAGGCTGGCGGCGACACTACCGCCAGCGCCTCGGTTGCGCTCAGCTTCTTCATCGAGGGCAAGCGGTACAGAAGGACCTGGGCGGTAGCCGTCAAACACAGGGCAGCGACACCATAGTTCACGCCGTTGCCTTCGCTCGTGGTGTCGTCGACCGTGATCATGGCCACGCCGGCAGTAACGGCCACCAGCGGCACCAGCGCCTTGGTGCTGACCGAGACTCCAAAGAAGCCGTACTGGAGCAGAATCACAACTCCGAGGATGGCGAGCTTGAAGATCTGATAGATGCCGTCGGCGACCATTGGCCGCGCCTTGTTCATCAGGAGCACTCCAAGAACGTGGGTGGAGCCAATCAAGAGCGAGTCCACCCAGGGCACACTGGGGATGGGCTTGCGCTTGCATACGAGCAGCGCCAGCGCCAGAACCCAGCCAAAGAACTGCAACAGGGCCAAGGGGAGGGAGCGGGGGCCGAGTGAGCATCAGTCTGTCTGGACTACCCGCTCACGGCGACCGCTTCGTGCAGGACGGGCACTTCTCATGCTCCGGCTCGCGATTGCCACTTCTGACGATCGGAGTTGCGAAAGCAACTGCCACCGGCCAATGCCGCGGACGATCTGGGTTACCTGATTTGTGGCGATGAGTAAGGGAAAGTGATTGATTTCTCTGGTGATATTGCCATTGATCTAGCACGCCATGGGGGTGCGCCGTGGATGGATGTTAGCTCGGAGGCCACGACGCTTGGTAATGGCCACGGCTAGCAGCACCAGCAGCGATGCTACATAGTCGATCCGTACCAGGCTCAGCGGAATGGAGCTCGCCACACAGAGCAGTATCAGCACAACAATGCGCACGGTGTGGGAAAGCATGGCTCGCGGCGTCGGGACTCGACTCGGAATTGCCGTGCTTGAATCGGAGGCTTGCTTGAACTAGGCACAAAGTGGTGCTCAAGGATTCGCAGGACCTCGACGCCGATTTAGGATGCGGAGGTGGACTAATGTGGGCAGTTGGCCTTGCAGATGGCAGCGGCAGTCTGTGCCAGAGGTGCCTGGGGTCGTTGCTGGAAGAAGGCTCGAATGTCCAAGAAGGATCGCGACCAGAGGCCATATCGTCGCCGTGCATCACCCCGCCCCCTCATTTCATACCTCCTCCCGTGCGTCCCGCTGAGTCGCCCACAGTCCCACAGTCCCACGGTCCCACGGTGCTGCCGGCTCCTCCTGTCGTCGCTGACACGGAAGCTTTTGGGCGGTCCAAGGCGGGCAGCGGAGCCTCGGCGATGGTGGGGGTCTCCCCTGGCCAGCGCGGAGTTGGAGGCCAGCGCCGCGCGTGCGCAGCCTATTGACTTCATTTGGCGCATTTTTGTTTTTTCATTTGTCGGTTTTTTTTCTGGGAAGGGCAGGCGAGCCGGCGATCGCACCAGCATCCATCGCAGGGCACATCCTCCGACCCGGTTCCAGCACCAGCATCGACACCTGCACTCTGGGGGATACTGCGAGCACGCCGTCCAGAGTACCCTGCCCACCACACAAACCACCGAGGCCGACACTGCATACACATGCCTCCTAAGAGGAAAGCCATCGAGCGCGAGGAGGTCTGTGTTGTCTGGCTGTCTCTGTCTGTCGAGCTGTGTTTGGGCATCGGCCCGCCAACCACTCATCGCCCGATTCACGAATCGCTTCGTATGTTATGTCACGCTGTACTCATGTTGTATTGACGCTGTCAATGAATGTGGAACACTCAGAGCCACAGCGTGGCCAAGCGCCCCATCGTTGCCGCACCGGTCGCAAGCGATTCGGATGAGCCCGAGGCTGTGCTCGACGAGGCCGACTATATCGAGCAGCCCGATGAGGACAACGAGGACGAGGATGAAGACGGAGGCGATAACATGGATGAGGACGATGAGGATGTTGATGGTGATGGCATGAACAGTGAGCCCGACGACGATGACGACGGCGGCGAGATATCCCAGGGCAAGAGGCTGCCCAAGTCTGCTCAGGAGAAACGACTCTATCGGGCCCCTACCAACGATGAGCTGCATCAGCTCAAGGAGACTGTCGATCTGTTCAAATCCAACCTCTTCAAGATGCAGGTAAGGTCGCACTCTGTCCACGGCGCAGCGCATGGCCATATTTCGTATGTCTTGGATGCCATCGCTACTGTGGATATGCCGAGACTCTCGGCTCTCGGCTCTCAGCTCTCGGCTCTCAGCCCCCGAATCGACTCTGGCCGCATCTTGAATATACGTCTGACTGCCACCTACGATTTCTGGCTCCATGGTGATGCTACGGTTGCCCCATGCCATCAGGTCCAAGAACTCCTGGCCGAGATCACGATCGACAAGAAGAAGCTGGCGCCGATCGACAAAGCGCTGCATCGGATCAAGGAAATTCTGGATTCAATGGCTGATATTGAAGAGCTGAAGGTGCGTCCAATTGGCATGACGACGTTTCGTCGACCTCGGTCCGGCAAAGGCTTTGAGTCGCATCATCAGCATCCGACCGACCGACCGACCGACCGGCCGGCCGGCCGATCGTGCCCGCGGTGCATGGGTCGCAGCCGCATGCCCTCTCCACTCAATAGACGCTCTCACTGGCAACAGCGGTATCTGACTTGGGTCTTGCCGATAAACAGGTCGCCGATGCCATCCAGCACGCCAAGAAACAAGGCGTCGCCATCCCGTTTCCCTCCACCGAGCCTCCCGCGGATGCTCAGTACAAGCTGGGTTTCAAGAAGCCGTCCAAGCTGTTCATCGTCGGCAGCTACTTGCTCAAGTCATATGCCAAAAACCCAGATGGATGCAACGTCGATATTGCTGTGCAAATGCCGAGCGTACGCATCCTGTCTGTTCTGTAGCGTGTACCACCCGGCATGCGATGAGAAGCAGCGCCGGCTTGCATGATTCCAGAACAAGCACGAGAGCGCTGCTGTGGATGGTTGCGCATCGCTGGATCCCGGCCTCGCCTAACTCTACGCCTTTGTCATCCAGTCATTGTTCCAGGACAAGGATCATCTGAACTATCGCTACACTTACAAGCGCGCGTTTTACTTGGCCGTGCTTGCGGCCGAGCTTGGCAAGTCCAAGCATGGCTTCTCGGCGAGCTTCCAGGCCTTCCACGACAACCGAAACCGGCCCGTTCTTGTTCTCAAGTCGTCTGGAGGTATGCCTCAAACTCGCCTGCGTCTCACCGCACTGCTTGTACTGCATACGCACGGAGTCGCCGTGTGGATGCTGGATCGCGCTGGTATCTCGTTCGCCGTTTGCCAGTGCTCGCTCACCCACCTGCCGCATCTGTTCCGCCTATAGTCGTATCGGACACTGACTTTTCGAAGAGTGGCTTCCAAATCCGGATATTTCCCATCATCCCCGAGAACACCTTTGGCGCCAGCCGTCTGGCCCCTGGCCGAAATAACGTGCGCCCACCCGGCAACCAGGGCGATACTAGTCTGCCCCCAACGCCCCGATACAACGCATCATTGCTGATGGACTCGGTGATGGTCAACAACCTTAATCAGCTACACTCACACGCCTCTGCCTGCGCGGCGTTCCGTGATGCCAGCGTCTTGGCCAAAGTCTGGCTTCAGCAACGAGGCTTCAACGGACACCACGGTACCTTCAACGGGTTCTTGTGGGAGATGCTCATGGGATACCTGCTGCGGACCGATGACCGTCGCGGCAACCGGACGCTCGGAAACAGCTTCAGTTCATACCAGCTGCTCAAGGTTACCATGGGCTTCTTGGGTACGGATCGGGTTGTTTGATGTGCTGCACGAGATTCAGCAGGCGTGGAGCGATCCGTCGTCTCAATGCAACGAGAGCGCCTGAAACGATGCCTGCCTATCGGGCTCTTCTTGTGCTTGAGAGCTTCTCGCATTATGCATGATCGACTGGATTTGCAGACCACTCAACGGCTTGCCTTGCTCGTATATTTCTGTCTGTCCGTCCCAAAGCCAACCACGACTTTGATGCCGAGCCCATCTTCATGACCCCGAATGGCAAGCCCTTGGAAGATCCCGAGGTAGGTTCCGGACACTACGGAGATTGACGATACTCCACACACACTCACGCCTCGCATGTCCCACCCGCCTTACCATCGAAACTGGTCGTGTGGTCGGCGCTACTATCGCGTGCCATCGCATGCGCTTCTGCTAACCGTGCTTGCGATTGATTCTTCGTTGAACAGTTCTCTCTCGAGGCTTTCAAGCGGCACTTTGATGTCGTCATTGTCGACCCCTCCGGCAAGCTGAACCTCGCCAGTGCAATCAGCAAGTGCCAGCTCGAGGATGTAAGCAGTCCCACGATGTTGTGGCCATGAGCATATCAAAGGCTGTCGCACCTGTCCCTCTGGTCGGAATCGTCCGTCTAACTTGCACTTGCCCCGTCCGCGCCGGATGTAGCTCCAAGTCCAGGCCCGTATCAGCTTTGGTCACTTCAACGATGTCGCCGTCGATCGATTCGATTCGCTCTTCCTGAGCAAGGTTTCCGAAGTTCGGCTGCAGTTTGACAATGTGCTCAGGTAATATCGGAGCACTCTTCATGCAGACCGATCCTTAGATGCCGCCTAGCTTTTGCCCTGACGCCCGCCGCCGTCCACAGGATCCCGCATGTGACAACTCCTCCTCCGTCCTACAAGGCCTCAAATGCCCTGGATTTCCCAAGCCTGCACTATTTCATCCTGTATCTGCTCCCCAAGCTTCTGAAAAGAGGTCTCACCGATCGTGTCCAAACCATAGCCGTGATCTCGGACCCACTGCCATTGTGGCCATGCTCCGAGGCGCCGCCGAGCCACGAGACCCTCAAGACCCCGATCGTGATGGGTCTGGTGATGAACTCGGAGGCAGCCATTCGGGTCGTCGACCATGGTCCCTCGGCCGAGGACGAGGCGGCCTCGAAAGAGTTTCGGCAGCTTTGGGGCGCAAAGTCAGAGCTGCGTCGGTTCAAAGACGGCAGCATCCTTGAAAGTGTTGTCTGGGAAGAATCTGGCGGAACGCTTGAAGATCGTTCCCTCATCGTGTCCAAGATTGTGGCCCATCTTGTGGAGCGGCACATTGGGCTGCAGTCCGGCAAGGCGCTGCGAACCTTCGCTGGTCAACTGTATCCGTTCGTCAAGTACTCGGGCGCCACCGTCTCGGTTTTCCAGAGAGTGATCGAGGGCTTCCAAAAGTTCTCGAAGCAGCTGCGCGAGCTCGAGGGCCTTCCGCTGCACATAGCCAACATCAGCCCTATCTCCTCGGGTCTCCGCTACGCCTCAGTCTTTGTGCCCCAGCCCTTCAAGAAGGGATCGTCCTTCCGAACATCCATGTACGATCCCCTTGAGTGCACAATCGAGTTTGAATCGTCCGGTCGATGGCCCGAGGACCTGCATGCCATCCAGCAGATGAAGTTGGCCTTTGCCATCAAGATTGCCGAGATCTTCAAGGCCCGCAACCCTGCCTCGGACTGCCGCGTCACCCGCGGCAGCTTCCGCAATCACTTTGACGCCGGCTACCTCGAGATCAAAACCGACGCCGGATGGACGTTCCGCTGCCACATCTACGCCGACAACGAGGTCGAGGTCATCGAACGTGCCCTCAAGAACACCAGCCTCGGTCCCGAGCAGATCGACGCGTACACACAGGCCAAGAACGAGCACGAGCTGTGCTATATCAAGCGGAAATACCACACAAGCCGCATAGCGCAGCTGTCGCTCAGACACCCCTTCCTACCGCTGACGATGAGGCTGGTGAAGCGATGGGTCTCGGCTCATCTCCTCTCGTATTCGATCCCAGAGGAGGTCTTGGAGCTGATTACAGCCTCGGTGTTTGTGGACTCGGGCCGATGGCCGGAGCCCGGCGGACCGTTCTCGGGCTTCTTCCGGGTCCTCGACCTGCTCCGAACTTTCAACTGGAAGAAAGAGATCCTCGTCGTCGAGTTGGAGAAGGGCATGCTCTCGCCAGAGATCCGTCGGGAAATCGCCGAGAAGTTCAACAGTCGACTTTCGGACGGCGACGCTGGCCAAACAGCAGGCGCCTTTGTGGCCACCGAGCGAGACACGGAAGGCATCTGGTGGGGCGTCTGCCCGCAAATGTACTTTCACCGCCTGCGTGTATTGGCAACCGCATCGCTGGAGCAGTATCGGCTCCTGATTTCCAACGGCGACGAAGCTGGTGTGCAGGTATGACACGAAGGCAGTTGATTGTTGGGTGGTGATTTCTGCCGAGCCTTCTGTTTGGCGACGGTGCCCGGCCTTGGGATCCAGGTGTCAACACCAGCAGCACTGTCGAGCTGGTGTGGTCCTGGACATTGGACATTGGACATTGGGCGCTGGACATTGGGCGCTGGGCACTGGGACGCTTAGTTCAGCCGTGGGTTTGCCACTCCTTGGCATTTTTATCGAGGCTCCACTGTGACTGGCCATGTCTCCACTCTTCGCAGCAGCTGGAGTTGTTGGCGGACCGCTCAGTGTCGCTCCCGACTGCTGGACGTATTGCTAATTCACATCGCTTATTTGGACACTGGCTCGCATCGGTGGCGTCAATGTCGGCTGGCCCTTGGCAACCTCGATCACGGCTGCGCTATCACAGAAACTGTTCCTGACACCCAAGACAGGCTACAACGCAATCATCCACCTCGACCCACACTATGTGCCGTCCTACCCACTCAACGTCACCTTTGATCCCGAAGCCGACCCATCGATCAAGAACGCAAAGTTCAAGAATCTGTCCATCAGCCGCTCCGAAACCGATCTCGCTCTGGACACCCTCAATCCGATTCCACAATACCTTGCCGAGTTGCGCGACTCCTTTGGGGACGTCGCTATGTTCTTTGCCGACCGATACGGAGGCGATAAGATTGCGGTTGCGTGGAAGGGGCTGCCCAAGACCGAGCTGGCCTTCAAGGTCAATCTTGGTTGGAATATCGAGCCGGCGACACTCGGCCAGGTGGGTTGGGGGCCATGGGACCGATGGACCGATGGGCCAATGGGGCCTGAGTGCGTGGTCATGGTAGTGACTTGATGCGACTGATCCGTTGTTGGCTTGTCCATACCATCCTCTCGTGTACCGTCGCTGATCGATCTGCTGCACTTGCCATCCGATCATTCCTTCGACCCACAGTCCCCACAGCCTGCGCAAAAGGACAAGAAAAAGTCCAAGACTGTCGCGCCTGACACCGTCAAGGTCAACCTCGATGCCATGATCTCGGAAATGTATCGTCTTGGCGACACACTCGTTCAGTCGATCGAAGTGATCTCGTAGTGGGGTCGGCGGCTCAAGGTGTCGCCTCGGAAGCATCGTCTGTGTTGATTTGCGGCAGTGCTTGGAGGGCACATCCTCCTCACGCGAAGCCGGGGTGTGGCTTTGAGGCAATGCAAACTATATTGAGTCAGATGGAACAATAATACAGCAGATATGTTTCGGTCTTTCCGTTCATGGTTCTTGACTGTCCGTGTACGAGTCAATGATGTCTCACACATTCTGCTCATGCGCGGCTTCGGCATCACCGAGGTCGGCGCTTAGCAGCCAGAGCGCCCAAGCACCGACCCAGAACCCCAGATCGACGCTGCCGACCAGGACAATGTTCCATCCCCAGAACCCACCGCCAATGCCGATGGCACTGGAGTCGATGCTAGTGCCTGCACTAACATCGGACGCCCCAGCCAGGCCAGACTCCTTCAGCGTCTCGATCGCCATGAAGGTGATGTAGCTTCCAAAGCAAAAGTACACAAAGCACAGGATGGCAGACGCAAACACACAGTACGACGACCTCCGGACTTGCAATGCTCGTCGCTGATCGGCAGTTCGCCGAAGCTTGGCATCGGACACGATACCGCCATGACCCAGTCCAGTGCCTGGCCCATAACTTTCCTCGGAGAGTGTTCGATGCGAGTTGTGGAGTTCAAATGCTTCGTCAAAGTCGCTGAGAGAGCGCCGCCGCCACGGCCGTTGGGGACGAGCTTGTGTCGCTGTTCGAGCACTCGACCGTTGAGGTGGGAGTGCTGCTGCGACAAGCACCAGCAATGCGCCCAATGTCGCCAGAACAACCAGGATAGCCAGTACTCCGAGGATGATCCGAGCCCAGAACGGAACTAGCGAAAAGCCCGATTGAGCAAGGCTCGGAGCGCTGTCGAGACGCGAGGGCTGGAATTCGATGTGCATCCGAATCACTGACGATATGCTTAGACCCCATCCCAGCAAGCCAGCGATCTGAGGAGGAATCCCTGGTGGTGTCGAGGTTGTAGAGCTAGCCGGAGCAGTGGAGGCGACAGATGGAGACGGGAGGGTTTTGGGTGGCGGTTGCGATGGTGGCTGTGATGGCGGTGTACTTGGTGGCATTGATGCTTGAGTGGTTCGCAGAGGCTGCGACGTCGGTGATGCACTTGTGGGCTGTATGGGAACAGAGTTGGCTGTGGGTGTCAGTGAGGTGGGCTTGGGGATCGACAAAGTCAAGACGCTCTCTGCCGACTGAGAAGATAGGGATGATGCTTGGGGCGGGTTCGAGATCAGTGCGGTTGATGAGGATGCCAGGTTAGATCGCGAGAGAGTTGTGGATGGCACTGCTGCTGAGACCGGTGCAGTGGAAACAGAGGAAGTCGATGTTTGAGGCTGGGCGATCGTGGGCGGCCAGGGCAGCTGGCTCGGGATAAACTGTGGTACCGGGGAGGATGAAGTTGTTGCAGAGGCCGCTGAAGGGGCAGCCGGCGATGATGGTCCCGCCGAGATGGATGCAAACTGGCCATTGGACGAGGTAGACGAGGTGATCGGCGGCCCTAGCCACGGAGTTGCCGATAGCGAGGACGTCTGGGATTGTTGAAACAGAGGGCTGGTCCACGAAGCTGAGGACTGTTGCTGCGAAAGAGCGGCACCGGACGGGGCAGCAGATGGCAAGCCCACGCTCGAATGAACGAGACCCGGCGATGCTGACACTCCATTTGATCCAGCAGTATTGTTGGGTCCTGAAGCTGGGCTGCTTGATCCGAAGTTGCCCTGGAATATGGTCCAGCAGTCGGCAATTGATCCCGCATCGAATGGACAAAAGCACCACAGCGAATCTCTTCCTAGCGACGACACGATCCATGGGATTTTGGCCAGCTCGAGGGCAAAGACGGACGGCGCGGCATTCGATAGAGTGGCTCCTGACGATGCCGAAACGGTGCCGCCAAAGACCGAGATCACAAAGACGGTCGTGGAGGCCAGAAGGAGCAACACAACGAGAATGAGCTTCAGCGCCAAGAGAAAGGACATTTCGAGAGCCCGGAGAGTCCTGGAGAGAGTGGTGCGTATGCAGCCAGTGGCAGGTCGTCGTGGCAAGGGATCGGCGCCGGTGCTTGAGGGCGGGCAGAATGCTATCCAAAAGCCGGAATGCAGGGCGATGGCCGAAAGAAGGATGCTGAAGGCCAGCGCCGACTCACCGCCCGGCCGACACCCGATCGTACGCTGATGTCTCCCAGTACCAGTGCTTCTCAGAAGCCAAGCGACCAGCCGGAGGATGCCCACAGGGTGCAAGCGACGGGGCCGCCCTTTTTTCTTCCCTGGCTGCCAGGGACGCTCTCCGATACAGCAACAGCCAGCCACTTGGCGGGCAAGCAAGGCGGCTTCCGGTGCAAGCTGCCAGTGCAAGCTGCCAGCTGCGAGCGCTCTTTGGCGGGTCTCTTCTCCGATGGCTTCTTTGGGGTGTGCAAAGGGGAAAAAAGGGATCGATGCGGCCGATGGGGTTGGGCGGTGGAGAGCGGGGCCTGGGAGGAGATTAGCGAGACGTGCCCACAAGTGGCAGCGCAGACATGCCACGACATATACGGGCGCAGCTCGATCGCAGCCCAGGACGCATATCTGTGAACCACCTCCGAGCGGCCGAGCTGAGGAAGCAGGTCGCCGCCGGATGCTTCGTCGCGGTCGAAACTCGTGGCCCGCATGGATCGACATGGTCGTCGCTCGGTCATGGTGCTGCGCTCCAGGACGCGGTGCTGCGCTCTGTGGCGCCACTCCGCCACTGCTGCCACAGAACAGACACGTGTCAGTGCCTGTGGCGCAGGTGATACCCTGTTCTGGCTGGCGCGTCGGTCGCCATTGCTGCCATCTTGCTGCCATCTTGCCTGCCATCTTGCCTGCCATCTTGCTGCCATCTTGCCTGCCATCTTGCCTGCCATCTTGCATGCCACTTGCCTCGCTTCAGATTCGCCCATCACTGTTCCAAGCACACTCTCCACAATGTCCGGCAGCTCCGCCACGGCCTGTGCCGACCCGCCCGCCAACAAACCGTCCTGGTACATTTCCCCCAGCGACATCACCGACCGCTCCGCCGTTCCCATCGGCCGTGGCGGCTTTGGCGAAGTGTACAGCGGCCGCTACTACGGCTCCAAAGTTGCCATCAAGCAGCTCCTCGGCACCTGCAACAAGCGGGAGCTCGTCGATTACCGCCGAGAAATTGATATCTGGAAGGAGCTCAGCCACCCCCACATCCTGCGTCTTCTCGGCGCCTGCGACAAAAGCGACGATGGTACTCCGATTGTTCCCTTCATGGTTTCGCCGTTCATGCCTAACGGTACTCTCCGCGACTATGTTTCGGACCCAGACAGCCCTCGGCCCTTGGAGGAGAAGCTCCACCTCTTGTTCCAGGTCGCCTCTGGCATGTCGTACCTCCATGGCAAACACGTTGTGCACGGCGACCTCAAAGCCGCCAATGTCCTCCTCGACGAGGCCCGTAGCGCCGTGGTCTCGGACTTTGGCCTCTCTCGCACCAAGCACACCTCGGCCTCGATGGACCGCAATAGGACGTACAACACCATCGTTGGAACAGAGGGATACATGGCCCCGGAGCTGCTCGACGACGAAAACCCCAGTGGCACCACGATGAAGACCGACGTCTATGCCTTTGCCATCACCATGTACGAAGCCTTGAACGACGCTCAGCCAATTTGGGTGACGGACAATGGCCAGCCGATGCTGAGCCAAGTCATCGAGAAGCAAGTGCGCAAGGGAAAGCGTCCTAAGCAAATCGATGGCATCCCAGACGACGTCTGGACAGTCATCGAGAGTTGCTGGAGCCAAGCTCCAAACGAGCGGCCAAGCTTCCCTGCCATCCTCGAAACCCTGAACCGGTACGACACAGTGGATCTGCCGCCCCCACCAGGTCCAGCACCAGTTCCAGTACCAGTTCCAGTACCAGTTCCAGCACCAAGATGGGAGCCAGAGCCCAAGCAAGAGCCCGAGCCGATCCAGACTCCAATCTCACCGCCCGTGACCCCATCGCCCACCCCGTCGGCAGAATCTGGGTCTTATCCCGGCGTTCCTCGTCTGATCCTGCAGAAGGCTCGAAGAGGCGATGCCAATGCCTGTGTTCAAGTAGCCAAAATGCTCTCGCACCACAAGTTTGTCACCGATCCGGTTTGGACGCAAGCAGCCTCGTTCTTCCAAGTTGCCGCCGAACAACAGCAAAGCGAAGCCTACTTTTACCTCGGCTGGATGCACCTTCTTGGTGTCGGTGTCGAGCAGAGCGACCTTGATGCGCTCACCTACTTGCAAGAGGTCTGTAGCCAGCCTGGTGACCATGCCCTCCGGTCGATTGCCACTCATTTGCTCGGCTGGATGCACTACCTCGGCCGAGGTACAAACCGGGATCAGCAAACAGGAGTCCAGCTCGTTCGAGACAGTCAAACGGAGGAGTTCCCCTTGGGAGAGCACGAGTGCCTGGCAGCATTCGGCCTGGCGCCCTCCGAGTCTCCCGCAGCCATCCGGTTTTTTGAGCTGCTGCAGCTCGGGGCCGAGCGCGACTGGGTTTGCAAGCACCTTTTGGCGGTGTGCATCATCTGCGAATTTGGAAACTCGATTGGCGAAGAGCAAGTAGCGGTGGCCATATTTGAGCAGCTTGCCCAGCAAGGACATAGCGACAGCCAGTTCTGGCTGGGGCGCTGCTATTTCTGGGGCTGGGGCGTCGCAAGCGACAGGAAGACGGCGCTCCGATGGTTCATCGAATCTGCCGACCGGGGCAATCCGTACGGAGAGTATATGGCCGGCTGGTGCTACGAGTACGGACATGGAACAGCCAAAGACGGTGCCAAGGCCGCCGAGTACTTCCGCAAGTCAGCCGACCAAGGCAATCGCTATGGTCAGTACGGCCTCGGAGACTGCTTCTCGCATGGAGACGGTGTTGCCAAGGATGCCGATGTGGCCGACCGCTGGTACCGCAAGGCAGCAGACCAGGGCTGGTCGCCGATCACGAACTTTGACTGATGTTCTGGGCATGAGTATGTTGGTGGCGAATTCAGCGAATGCGATGAAAACGACCAGATATTTTGTTGCATCAGAGCATCGCGCGCCGGTCATGGCCAAGGCCTGGCTGGGCGGCCACGATGCCATCCTCCATTCTCTGGATCTCGAATACACACCGCATTGTCCATGCTGACCCAGGCTCGCCAAGTGCCTCGAGTAACTCCATCGCCAGCGACTCTCTGTCAGACGATTGAGCACCAATGCCATGGGATTGATCCGGCGTATCCAACTATTCCCAGGCTCTCCGTGTGGAGGTGTTCCATTCCGATCTGAGTTGGCTGTATGTCCGCATGGCTGGTGGCGGTGCGGGCGAGGAGGCTCTCGGCCCCCTCTCGGCCCCTCTCGGCCCGCTCCGTGCTCTCGCCATCCCAATCCCAGAGCGCGTCTTGCCGATCGGGTGTTTGCTCTCTCGCTCCTCATCACCAGAAGCGGCCTTCCCTTCCTCGCCCTTCCCTCATCAAAATGTCCGCAGCTCAGTCGCTCGTCAACTCTGTGGTGCTCGGCACTCGGCTGGGTGACTGGAACATCGCCACTCTCTCTGCTGTTGTCGGCGGGCTGTATCTGGCCCGTCTGGCCTTCAGCTTCCTCCAGGTCATCTACGACTCGTATCTGGCCATCGGCTCCAACATCCATGCCTGGGGCGGCGGCAAGGGCGGCTGGGTTGTCGTCACCGGTGCATCCGACGGCATCGGCAAGGAATTCGCCCTCCAACTCGCCAAGGCCAAGTACAACGTCTTCCTGCTGGCCCGTAGCCAGGACAAGCTCGAGGCCGTCGCCGAGGAAGCCCGCAAGTCCGGTGTCCAGGCGATCGCCTATCCCTTTGACTTTTCGACGGCCATCCGCCCAGACTATGTCGGCCTGGCAACCCGTCTCGAGAGCCTGCCCGTCGGCATCCTCATCAACAATGTCGCCATGAACCACGAGGGCCCCACTCCCTTCCTGGACGAGAGCGACGAGCTTATCCAGAACATTGTCAACGTCAACATCCTCGCCCAGCTCAAGATCACCAAGATTGTGCTCCCCCAGATGGTGACCCGCAAGAAGGGCCTCATCCTGAACGTGGGCTCGGTCAGCGGACAGGTGCCCTCGGCCTACATTGCCGACTACAGCGGCTCCAAGGCCTTTGTGCGCTCGTGGTCGCAGGCTCTGGCTATGGAGCTCAAGAACACTGGCATCCACGTCGAGCACCTCAACGCCTATTTCGTCGTCTCGAACATGTCCAAGATCCGCAAGCCCTCTTGGACGACGCCCCTGGCCCGGGACTGGGTGCGATCGGTCCTGGCCGGCGTCGGCACGTCTATCAACCGCACCCCATATCCCTCCCACGCCTTGATCTCGTGGGCCCTCACCACCTTTTTCTCGGAGCAGGCCGCCATCTCCCAGAGTGCCAAGATCCATCTGTCGATCCGAAAGCGCTATCTCAAGAAGCAGCAGCGTCTTGCCAGCGAGGCCAAGCGCAGCGAGTGAGAGCCCTTCTCGGCCGTGCTCTCGGTAGGGGGAATACGCACCACGTCTCGCATGCAACTCGACTTTGCCAATACATTCGCTCGTGGATCCGAGCCGGCCTTATATCTTGATGTCTACACGACCTCTTGCCATCTCGATTGCCACTTTGGCAAAGAGCAAGAGGATACACCCGCTCTTCGTACGCCCCCAACCCTCCGAGCCCAGCGGGCTACTACTGCACAGTTGTCTGTATTGGCGGCGCGTGCCGACAAATGCAATCAGAGGGTGTGAGCCAGCTCGACAAAGAGCGAGACACCAAAGCCAGTTCCGCGCTCGTTGCTGACAGACGGAGCAGCAATGTCGATCTGCGGTGATGCCGAGGCACCGAGGCGCAGAGGCGTAGAAGCGAGAGGGAGCAAATAAAGTGTGAGCAGATCGGCAAAGACATGCGGGAATAGCACGAAATAGAGAGCCTCGTCAGCCAGAGTCGTGTTGTTCAACCTCGAATGAGACGGCTGGCTGATATACACCGATACAACAGCCCTCCCTTTCTTTCCACCCTCGTTTCCGCAAAAGCATTTGGTACGCTTGGGCCAAATGACGAGGCAATACTTACGTGAGCCCACCGTCCGCGAGCACCTTCCTTCCAGTGGTCACCCACCAGGTGCTGCTCGACAAAGTGACCAGCGGCACTGCACTGGGCATTCATGCGGTCCTTGACCGAGTTCTTCATATCGGCAACCTCACTGGGGTACATCTTGGCGACCGACAAGAGCTCCGGGGCATACAGGATAGGAAAGCCCAAATCGCCAGATCTGATCGAAGAGACGCCGCCGATTCACCGGGTCAGAAAATCCGAGCCCAGACACTAATTCGACGCTACACGCCCCTGGCAGAGGTACCATGCAGGGACCACCGGCCATCTATCTGCATCGCCCGTACTGCGACATATGGAGGCGGCAAACGCACCTCTTGCCAGCGGCGATAATAGTACGCTCGAGCTCCTCGTTGTTGGAGAGAACGCCGCAGTGAGCCTTGCCCGTGGTAATGAACTGAGCACCTGTACTCGGATCGCAACCATGTCAGCATCGTTGACCATCAGCGGCGGTATCAAGTCAAATGCAAACAGAGATCGTGGGAGCCCATGAGCAAGCGAGAGCCGCGAGCAGCCAGAGGCACGCCAGTCGCGAGGGAATCATGGACTTACCGGTCAGAGTGGCAATGTCGATGACAATGTCGGGGTTCAGATGCTTGGTGGCATAGGCAACGCCGTCACCGAGAACGAGACGACCCTCTGTTCACACAAGTACAATCGTAATTTGAGTCAGCAAGCTGCTCCTCCTGCTCCAGAAGCCAACGGACGATCGAGCAGAGATGCGGAGCAGCCAGGATCAGTCGCGTACTGACCAGCATCAGTGTTGTTGATCTCCACGGTCTTGCCAGAGTAGATGGTCCTGAAGCCAGATGCAATCGGGTTAGACCGAAGACGTGGCTGGGTGGGTGGCGATAGAGACAACTGCACTGTCCGAGTTCCGCAGAGAGATGCAAGGACAACTTGACGAGGCCGCAGGATACTAACAGGATGTCGTCGTTCTTGAAGGATCGCGAGTCCACGGCATTCTCGGCCAGACACAGGAGTCCATACAGGTTGTGCTTGCAGCCCGAGAGGATGGCAGCCTCAAAACCAGCCAGGACAGCAGCAGAGCCGCCCATATCGGTTTTCATCTGGAATGCGAGATGGCGAGAGCCACTATTCAGTACTTTCATCTGCAGTAGAGGCAGTGGACCGACTTGCTCCACAAAAGTGGCCCTCCACCGGCACAGATGTGTAATCGGCTTACCCCAGGCATACCGTCCTTGCCCTTGATGGTCAGGCCGCCGGTATCGTAAATGATGCCCTTTCCGACCCAGGCCTGATATGAGAGCGCGAGGAAGGCCAAATGTTGCAGTATGAGTATTAGTTCGACACGAACTCGGCTGGAACGGCATGTGCTGCGATTTACAGCAGAGATCCGATGGACGATTGATTAAGCCAACACCAGCACTTCACGAGCAACGCCGCTCACCATAGTAAGCTTGGCATCGGCGGGCTTGTAGCTGAGGATGGCAAGGGCAGGGGGATGATCGGCGCCCTTTCCGACGCCCCAGAGGCCACCAAATCTGCAAACAACGGCAATCAAAGTGTCATGGTAAGATCCCTGGCGCTATAGCAAACAGAATCATGATCGAGTACTGTGGTCCGGGAACAATGTCCAGTCGAGCGGCAGTGGCAAAACAGGAAACGGATTGCCAAAATGCATCGCCAAGCCGTGGAAGTCTCCAGCAAGATGAACCAATTGCAGCGCAGCTTCTCAGCAACCCCTTGCCTTTTACCAAACTGTTGCTGCTGCACTACACTCCACTGCTCTGAGATCCGATCGACTCACCCGCCCTGTTCCAGCTCTCGGTCGCGAATGATGGTCAGCTCGACACCATGGCTGGCCAAGCGAGCATGGACGGCCTTGACCTCTTCCAGATAAGTGTCTGTGTTGAGCTCAAAGGGAGTGGTGTCGACCAAACGGGAAGCGAAGCGAACACCGTTGGAGATGATTTGGATGCGAGCGTTGTCAACCGAGGATCCGTCGACGGTTCTCAGTTCAACGTGGATCTTGCGGTCCGAAGACTTGGCGGTCTTGCGGGTATAGAGCGGGAAGGCTCTCGAGACGCCGACAGCCTAGGATCGGAGAATAGCAGGAGGCAGACCCGAGAGAGAGAGAGAAGCAGAGGCCAAGCCATGCACAGCGACGAGATGAGATCGTGGCAGAAGTGCAAAGAATGGCCGGATGAGGACAGATAATGAGGCGCTAGATCAAGGCGAGCAACCCAGAGCAATCCAGAGCAACCCAGAGCAACCCAGAGCAACCCAGAGCAACCCAGAGCAACCCAGATCTCGGCGTACACGCATCCTAAAAGCGCATGGTTTTGTCGCCGTGAATCAGCCAGGTGGCGAGAGATGCATACCGCCGTGACGGCCTGGTTGGCCGACTTGAGCAAGACGATGATGCGAACATCGCCAGACTTGGGCACGGTCTTCTGGAGGGTCGAGGTGACCAGATCGCCTCGGATGGGGGCGTTGTTGCGAGAGAGCTCCGAGCCGAACGTCGAGACAAAGAGCGAGGTGCGGGAGCCACTGGGAAGCTTGTAGTGGTGGGCAAGCGACTCGGTGGTGCCGTCAAAGATGGCCGAGAGCAGCTCGTGGACGACATCCTGCTTGAGCGAGCTGAGGTGGGGCAGGGCCTCGGCATGGCTCTCGACGGTGGTCTTCTCGCCGATCACGACGGTGGCTGGGAGTTGGTCGAGGGCCGCGACGCTGCCAAAGAGGAGGGTCGAGGTCATGGCGGAGAGGGACGATGTGGTTCGGGTGGGCGGCTGGCGAACCTGGGGGTCGGTCCTGGAGGACGGGCGGCGACGGTCAATATATATGTGTGCAGCCAACCCGAGCGGACCGGCACCCGACCCGGCGGCAGGGGTGCTCGTTGGCAATGGAAGGGGCGCCGGCGCGGCTCCACGGCATTCGAGCGGTGGGAGGACGCGCTGATGGGGCTGGTGAGCGGACCAGCGAGACAAGCAGGCGTTGAGCCATGGGCGACGGTGCTGCCGTGGGGCCAGTGGGTGGAGGGCGTGATGCTGGGGTTCTGGGGCGCCGATGGGGCCGATGGTGTGCAGCACATCGACGGCGACTTTGGTGGTGGGAGCGCATCCAAAGCGCAGATGCGGCAGAAGACTGACTATCGATGGCGTCGACAGCATGCTCTGGTTCATTTTTTCGCAGACGCTATATTCACAACCGCTCATGACATTGCCGTCATTTAGGTAACATGGTGACGCTATACAATCGGTATAGGGAAGCAGCACGACTCGCCTGCACGCAAAGAAGGGCGAGCGTTGCCGACCAACCGGTTTTGGAGGGAGAGGGCGGTGTTGCCCGTGAACTTGATGGAGGGGGGAGTGCGACATATCGCCCGGCACAAAACGGCTCTTGCTTCGAAAGCTGGCCTGCCGGGCTGGTGCCGGCCCCGGACTACCGAGCCGACGACGAGGACTGCTGCGTCGAGCTCGAGTTGGAGTCTGGCGCTGACGCTGTGCCCGAGATCTTGTAGTATTGCTTCAGAAGCGACTCGGTCTGCTGTAGCGCAGCCGATGCTTCGCCAGTACCCTCGTTGGTGGAGGCAGAGGAGCTCCCGCTCGGGGGAGCAGGAGCCGTGCTCGACCCGGCCAGAGGTGGTTTGGTCTTTGCGGCGTTGCTCGCTAACAGCTCCGGGACGAGCTCGTCCAGTCTCTTGATCATGATGCGAGCAATGTCGGTCTCGCCCTGGCGGGCCTTGCTCAGAGCCATTTTGGCCAACTTGCGGGCAGCTTCATGAACACGAGGGTCGCGGTCCTGGAGCCGGAGTGCCTGCTGCTTGCACATCGGACAGGTGCGATGTCCGGCCTTGCCCTCGGACGAGCTTGTGTTTGAGGTGGATGTCGAGGGCTCACGGCCGTTGGAGGCTTGCGAGGGCGAAGCTAACGATGGGCCCGAAGCATTTGAGGCATCTCCGGTGGCTGATTTGGCATCGTCAGGGCCGACGAGCCACTCGTCGATGCATTGGCGGTGGAAGCGGTGGCCGCAGGCCAGTACTCGCAGTTTTTCGCCCTGGTCATAGTCATCCAGGCAGATGCTGCAGCACTCATCGCTTGAAAACTGGGAGGGCGATATGGTGATGGCGACTGAGCCGCTAGGTACCGGCTCGGACGTGGAGGCACCGCTTCCAGATTCCTTGGCGTCCTTGGCATCCTTGGCATCCTTGACATCCTTGGTGCCCTGAGAATCCGAGAGTAACTCGTTCTCGGAAGGCTCGCCACCGAAGGTGAAAGTCGGCAGCCGAGAAAGTTCCAGTGTGGTCAGCCCCTTGAAGGCCTCGGACCATTTGCGCTCTTCTCGGGAGAGCCAGAGATACCCATGGACGCGACGAATGAGGTAGATAACGCAGTAAACCCTGGGACCGGGACGCAGCGACAGGAGCGGCGAGATAATGGACAGATGCATTGGGTGCATGGTGGAAGCATGGTGATTGGAGTAGGAGGGGCGAGACGCAGCCGAGCACAGCCAAGCCGGACGGGGGGAGTTGAGTATTTGCGAGCCAACCGAGCAGAGAGCGGGCCGGAGAAAAAAAATGGGAAATGCCAGTGAGCTGGTGATCCAAGACTGAAAGTCCCCAAAGCTGCCCATCCACCTCCTTCCGGACGACCTCTACGGACAGACGCAGCAACGCAGAGTGGGCAGACGCAATGGCCAGCCGGCTTTTGACAAACGATGGCTGAGCCGAGTTCATCAGCGAAACAGAGGCAGCGCTGCCACGGCCACTGACACCACCAGCCCGATCCGGAAGCGAACCGCAGACAGTACTCACCAGAATATGTACTTGATGACGATCAGGTACAGAGCCCACTTCCACAGGATGTCGTCGCAGAAGCTGCCGGAGAAGGTGGCTATCTGGCCAGAGATGAAGTTGGAGAGCTCGGCAGTGGCATGGAAAAAGCTAATGACCGATACCCAGTTGGCGATGAGGGGATTCTGGTAGAACGACTCGTTGATGAAGGTGGTGAGGCGGTACAGAAAAACGACGATATCGAGCGAGGCCTTGACCTTCAGGAAGGTCGGAATGAAGGTTGTGCACGAAGTGGTGTCTCTCGTAGTCAACAGGAAAATCGTGACGATGATGTTGACGACATAGAGCGCGTGGAAGCCGATAAAGGTCAAGAGCGAGGGCTTTGCCATCGGTGCAGTGGGTTCCGGCGGGAGTTCCGGCGGCGGATGAGGAGTTGCTGGGCGAGCGATGGAGACGGGCGATGAGATGACGGTGCAGGGGACGAGGTCGGGAGGCCAGCAGCAACGAGAGACCACGCAATATATGGGTGGCGATGTGGCGGGCGGTGGCGAGGATGGCGAGAGGCGAGGCGAGGCGAGGCGAGAGCCAGCACGAGAAGGACGGACGGGTGGTCCTCGGCGTCGGTATGCACTTGCCAGCAGCAGAAAGTTGGGTGTGGGCTGGTGGTGGTCAACGGTGCTCTGCTGGTATCGAGTTAACAATGCTCGATGACCATGGGCGAGGGGTATCCGACAGCGACAAGCAGAAGGCAGGCCATGCACCGACGACCATCGGGACGAGAAGAGCAGCCGGACGAGAGCGTGGTGTTTGAAATCGGATCTGTGGGACAGCGGACGTGGCCAAACCAGGGTGTCGCCGTGCGGATGTGGTCATTGGATGTGGTCGCTGGATGTGGTCGCTGGATGTGGTCGCTGGATGTGGTCATTGGATGTGGTCGCTGGATGTGGTCGCTGGATGTGGTCGCTGGATGTGATCGCTGGATGTGGTCGTTGGATGTGGTCGCTGGATGTGGTCGCTGAATGGATGATGCAATTGCTGGATGGTTGCCATTGTGCATTGCACTGCGGGACGCCGAGACGCTCTCGCCCGGGTTCTCAGCCATGGTTTCGCTTCCCCGCGATCCGACCTGCACCGCCGATCCTGGCTCGCATCTCGCTCGCTCTTCTGGCGCAAATCTTATCCCCGCAAGCTGTGCCCTTCCCGTCGAGCCATGGCAACCGTCTTGGAAAAGCTGCCGCCCCTCTATCCGCCGTTCCGGTTCAGCTCCGCCGAGGAGGACCTTCATCGCGGCGCATACCCCAAGCCCAGAAACTACCGCTTCCTCAAGCGTCTCGGTCTCAAAACCATCCTCTCGCTGGTGCCAGATCCGCCCGATCTGGGCGACTTTATTACCGACAACCCGCACGTCAATGTCATCCATATCCGCGTCGACAAACCCAAGGACAACGTCCCCCTCTCCTTCCAGAAGGCCGCCACCATTCTCTCCGTCATCATCGACCCGGTCAATCTGCCCATGTACGTCCACTGCCTCGACGGCACCATCGTGGTCGGGACAGTCATCATGTGTCTGCGCAAGCTGCAGGGCTGGCCACTTTCAAGCTCGATCCTCGAGTATACCCGCTCGCTGCGCGACGGTGTCATCGGCTCCGAAGAGTCCGAGTTTGTCGAAAAGTTCAACGGCGAGGTCGAGCTGAAGGAAAGGCTGCCCAGGTGGCTCTGGAACGGCGTCACCATTCGCAAGCATCCCACCCTCAAGCTCAAGTTTTCGTCGCCTCTCCAGGTCCCTGCCCAGGCACCAGCAGCCGGCGGACCGGCACAATCCTCGCCACCGCTCTCTCAGAGCACCCCTTCCAATCCACCTTTTCACCAGCAGCTCCAGCAGCCGGCCACACAGGGCTCGATACCCAGCCTCAACCGCACGTCTTCACATGCGTTGACATTCGACGTCGGGACAATCCCTACCAACGGCTCCGTTTCTGCGCTGGCGCTTGCCCAAGGCTCTACCCAGCCTATGAATCCGACACACTCGAACGACTACTTTGGCAAATACTCGATCCCGGTCGTGGACTCGCCCTTCCAGAGGGACCCCAGGGCCACGGCAGCGCTACCCAGTCCGGAGCAGGAGGCGCGCCAGCCACTCGCAGTCGACGACGACGATGACGACGATGCCGAGGTCTCGATGATGGTGCAGGCTCTGGCCCTGGAGGCATACACCCCGCGGACGGCGAGCAAGTAGAATCTGGCCCGCGCTCGATGGCGAATATAGATCGGCAGTGCCATCGCAAGTGCATCGAGCTCCACCAACGATCCGCGCTCTCGATATACGTCTATCACGCTCCCTCGATACGCCCATCAGACTCCCTCGATATACGTCCATCACAGCGCCTGTTCGGCCGCCCTTGTCGACATGCAAATCCCTCTGATACTCGTGCTCACTGGCCTAGCAACCTTGCCGTTGGAATCCACGGGTGGATCATCTGTGTCATATATATGTTGACACTGGCGTGCCCGGATATCCCGCCATTGATGGTGTGCTCGAGTCGCAGCCAGGCTCACCAATACATGTGTACGTACTCACGCTTGGCGTAGAGTCAAGTAGGCCACCATATGTAACTCGCTTGATACCGGTGGTTCGTTGGATCGATCAATTTTGGTCTCACGACGATTCCCAGCCATAGGCTTCGTTTAGAACGAAACAAGGTGTATATTGAACATCGGAAATGGGTGTGTCCGCGACGTGCTTTCTCGCTGGCTCGGCGCGGCTGATGCTTGGGATTGTCTTGATCGGACTCCCTCAGGACACAACGAAGAATTGCCAGTCCGTTGGTGCGGCGAGCTATTCAGTAGTGATCGTGCTCAACCGTATCGACACTAAATCCCTTCTCTTCATGCAGCACTTTGTTCTTGGAGTGATCCAGCTTCTTCTTTCTATCCAGCTCCTGCTTCTGATAGTAGATGGCTTCGGGACCCGATACTTGGCGCAAACTGGAGTGTGACAGGGCCTCCTTTTCCGGATCCTGATCAAGGACCATTGCGGCATCAAGGCATCGGTTAGCAAGGCAGCCCTGAGTTTATCGTCCACCACAAAATGCCCATCGTTTGTCGTTTGTCGCCCATGCTCCATTTGCTTAATTGAATATCGTCGACCTCTCGCACGTCTCGGCGGCGAATGCGATCCCAGGAGTGCAGCCATCATTATACAATCGCTATGCCGGCCCTGAAGGACAAAGCTCGGCTTCGGGGCCACTTACGATTTCTCCAAGCAGCACAACGTTTTCGCCTCGGATCACAAAGATGCCATGCGGGGTGTCTCCAAACGAGTCGCCGTTGTAGGTCCGCTCGACAGTGTCTTGCAGCACCAGGTTCGCTGTTGGTCAGCATTTGCAGAGTAAACGCAGGTCCATGTTGTTTGGCATCAGTTTGTCGTATCCGTCGCATCCGCCGCAGATGGGCGGGGCTCCGTCGATCGGTCGTCGCCACAATCGGAATCCATCGATGACCGCCGTCCTCTGCAGCCGAATTGATCCAGCTCCAGAGACTCGACCACACGACTAAATCCTCTTGCCAGAGCCGCCCAGGTGGTCTTACCGAACTGATCGTACGATCGGAGATATCCAATGAGCTTTCGTCCATCTCGCAGTATCACAAGCAGCCGCTCTGGCGAGGAGAATGAAGATCCATGAGACATCAGTCAATGGCCGATATCCTCGATAGAAAACAGATGGCCAGTGACCTCCAAAATGTCATCCTGCTCGGCAAGCGAGAGGCTCGGGGGACAACTCGGATCTGCTGACTTGCGCTGCACCGTTGGCTCGGAGGGGTTGATGCAGAGACATCGTCGTATGCGGCATTGTTGAGCCCGAAGGGTCCAGATCGCACTTGATGGCACTGCGGTTCGCGACCCGTTGTGGCAGTCCACTCGGCCGGCTCAAAGTGGGCATCGGTGCCCAGGAGCATCTGCATCGTCCGGCCCGGACCGCCCGCTCCTTGATCCAAACCAAGACGGCATTCCTTCCTTTGATGCCAGCCCATCCACCGAGCCAAGCCTTGATTCCGGCCTGCCCCCTCCACTCGCATGCCAAGCGGTCTGCACGATACATACTGTCGACGCAGTCTACCAAGCTGGCCGAGCCAGGCAAGAAGTTATCCATGTCGCCGTGATCGAATGCGAGGAGCCGTTCGTGTGCATCGGCCCGTTGCGAGAAATCAGGACGGCGGCGTGCGGTTCGAGCGATGCTGCGCCTTACTTCGTCACGTGTCATGGACCTGGGCCGCGACCGCCTCCGAACCAAGTCGGTGTCGCTGCGGCCCTGCATCGCTTGTCGGCATCGGCGCAACGGGTGCTCATGCAGCTGTCTCTCGACGAGCCTGGGCTAGGTATTCCGGTGGACGGTACCGATTCTGTCAGAGCGGCAGCCGCAAAGTTGGCGCCGCGCTGTGAAAGCCAAGGTGGGACTTCTGGGCCGAAAGTCTGCGCACCCTCTCGCTCTGCTCGCCCGCAATATACGCACGGTGATCGAGCAGGGTCATCAGCAGGATCCAGCAAATACATCCATCGGCTGGATCCGTCAACCAGATGTGTGGAGAAAATTGCGTGTATTGAGATGCGCGCCGTCCTACGACTTGGGTTCTGTCGAGAAACCCGCCGCCATCGACAGCTACTTCTCAATCGCCACCAGAGTCGCATCCCAGATCCCCCAGAGTAAGCTGATCCCACCAAGGATATGCCAGATGGCGTGTGTCCCAACGATTCCTTTCCGATCCAGAATAAAGCATAGTAGGCCAGTGATGCCGCTGACCATTCCGATGTAGCTTTCGATCGACCAGAACCCAAAGAGTGCTAGTGGGAGACATACCAGGATCAGATGTACGCTGATCCGATGTGTCTTTTCCCAGTTGAGCACAAACAGCACGGCGATGGATACAAAGGTCGCTACCCATGTCAGCTCGCTTAACCAGAGCGGGTGAGGATTGGGCGAATGTCGGTTCAAGCTGATCACATTCTGGAAGGTTGGCGTTGACACAATCGATGGTTGAGGCGTTGACGATCCACAGAGGGAACGGGAGCGGGGCAAAGCCATGGACAGACACAGGCATACCGTTCGGCGTGATTGGCATGAGTGGACCAGAGAAAGAGCGGTTGATGGGGCCAGCCACGGCAGCAAATATGAATTGGGTGTGGAGCACAGAGCGGGTGACATGAGTATGGTATAGCGAGAATGATCGGTGGCAAGATAGCCAATTGAACAGGGGTGCCCTATGTGCCGCTACCCTATCTGGACACGAAAAACTGCTCCCGAGTGCCTGGAGATGAGTTCTCTCACCAGATAGAAGGTGATTGTAGCAATGGCGGCATCGGCTGTTGACCATAACCGGTAGAGTGTCCAATGGTAGAGCAGCGAAACCAAGGCCGAGAGACAGGCACCAGCTATGCAGGCATGTTGCAGATTCGGGATGTCGTTGAAGGGAACGTGCAAGTAAATCAGCAGCGGCAGAGCAAAGAACGGCGATGTGAGTGTGCACCAGAACTCGGCTGTTGAGATCGGATTGGGCCAGTGCGCACGAAACACGGATGAAGCACCGGCCAGACGCCGATATAATTTTCGAGTGTGTCGGATGTCGTGGGACCAAAGAGTCGTTGCAGCGCCGTGATATCGGCCACGGGCAAGTGTGGATTGTCGACAAAGACGAGGCAGCGGAGAGCGTCGGGTGGGAGATGGCTTTAGGATCGCGCATTCATATCCAGCCAGCCAGCCAGCTAGCTAGCCAGCCAGCCGAGCGCAACAGAATTCCAGAAACAAGCTCCACAGGCCGTCCGCTGCCAGTTCGGGCCAGCCGCCGCATTGCAAGTCCGTACCGATGTGTGAGACGACACTGTATTTCGACTCCATGGAGGTTACTGTGGCCGGGATGAAGAGCCTCTCTTGCCATGTCAGGGTGGTGTCGATCAGGACCGAGCTGGACGACCGCGAGATTTTGAGCCCGGCTTTGTAGTGGATTCCTGCAGTGTAGCGCTTGTCGTCAGGGAGGCTGCATTGATTATTGTCGTCGGGGATCTGATCATCGTCGCCTTGAGCCTCTGCCGGTTGTCGCTGACGATGGCAGCTGCAAGACTCGTCCCTCTCGAACAGGCGGGAGCTCCATTTGGGCGACTGGAGAGATAGGGAATCAGGTGTGTCAGAACTGTCCCTGCAGATAATCGGCACTTTGCATCGGCCGAGGCCGAGGCGGTACACCGAGGCCCGCCGGTGCCGTTATCGTCTCACGGCGGCAAGATTAACCAAAGGCAGGTGGACGCCATGACGACTGTAGCGATCCCTGGGATGGCGCAGAGTGCCTATGATAAGCATTAGGTTGTTCCCGCGACGACCTACTTTGCTGGACATTTTCTTTTGCTTCGTGGCTGGTGCGAACTGCAGTGGAAACGGGTCAAGTTGGAGAACGAGGGCCAAGAAAGCGACAGAGCCGGTGGTATGGGGCTTGTTGGGTGATGTCGCGGGCCAGTCGCTCAGCGCGAGGACAGTCTGGTGCAAACTCGACGGAACAGGCTGCACTGCAGCAACAGGTGATCAAGGGAGGAATGCCGAGAGCGAGGCAGACGGCGGCAGCGTCGAAGTGCAGCGCGATCGCCCGAAATGACGGATGGCGGCAGATGCGACAGACAACAGCCGCAAAAGGATTGCTGTTCTGTGCCCGAGCTCTGTGTTGGGGCTTGTGAAGGCGCGTTGGCGATTGCAAAACCCAAGTCGGTGCGGGCCTGGTCGCTGCCGATCCAGTGCACCCATTCTGTGGATTGAATGGTGTCGATCGATCTGGCGCAATGGCATCGATCTGCACTCTCGCCTCGATAGAGCCCTAGATATGCACTCTTGCCTGACTTGCATCCAGAGCGATGGCTTGGCCTACTTGGTCGTTGTTGGCTGAGTGTGGTATGATCTGGCTACGGTGTGCTTTTGTCCAAACGAGACAATGTGTCCCACTGTTTATTCAGCACCTCGCATTGAATACAGAGCTCGATGCGCCACAGACGCAAAAACAGAGTCGGTAGTGCCACCAAAGTACCCAACCCAAGCACGCAGGGGCTGATGGCTGGCTCAGGCCGTCTTGTCCGCCTCCTCCTCCGCGACTTGCTGCAATTCGGGCTGGCCAGCACCGACGCTCTCCGTTGTGAACGAGGAGAAATCATCGAAATCGATGTCGCCCTGTGAGAAACACATGTATGGTCAGCCTGGACCAAGAATGCCTCCAATTGCAACGACCGGCTTGCAACGACTGGTTTGCAACGACTGGTTTGCGACAAGCGCCAGGCGGCTATATCGGCAAGGAACTCACTCGGACTGATCCGGTTCCGGTTGTGTTGACTTCCAAGCTCAGATGGCTGAACTGGTCACCAATATCGGTGGCCGCTCGCCCCTCTGGCTCAGCCGACTCAGGCTCGCCGTCGATGTCGGGAGTCTGGAAGGTACGAGGAATAGTCGCCATTAGTACGCCAAGTAGTAAATGTGCAGCGAGCAGCGGCCTCGGTACAAGACATGCCCCGCGGCTCTTTGCAGCCAGCGTTCCCGGCGTGTGGCCGCCCAGTGTTGCTTACATCGTCAAAGGTGACTCTAGGTCCGCCGTTAGAGGCCGGAGACGAGCCAGGGATGCCGTCCGGGAATCGTGTCTTCAGTTCTGACGAGGCAGCCCACCGATAAGATCCGTGGTGAGTTAGCACAGAGGCATCCAGGCATTCGCAACATGATCGTCGAGCGGCTGTCATCACTTGCCCATCATACCTCCGACAACATCCCAGTCCAAGCTGTCCTTCCAATCGTTGTACTCGGTAGCGCTGGGGCGGCCGCGCTCTCGCCGACGCATAAAGGCGTCCTCGGCAACAAGAGCGTATTGGATATCGGGGAAGAGATTCGGGTAGTCCTTGGGATCGGCGAGGGACTCGGCAGTCTTGGTCTTGCCCTCCTGAACAAGGGAGGCCTTCCAGGCACTGAGCATGGGCGAGATCAATGACGGAGTGAAGGTGCGAGCCATGAGGGCAGCCTCGGGAATGCGGTGGGTGGCCTTGAGGATCTGGGCACACTCCTCGACCTCGGAAAGCAGGAGATGGCAGAGGAACGAGATGTTGTTTCGGCCCTTGGAGGCTGTAGCGCGAACCAGAGAGCCAGCACCAGACAAGAAACCAGATCGGAGCTGGTCAGAACGCTTTCGATCTCACAGAGGCGAGCGGCGAGATTGCGGGCTCGCTTGGTCGCAGTAAGAGCGTCCGTGGTCACTCACCAGCAAGCTCAGCCAGGTACTTGAGGCCACTGGCGTTACCGCTGGCTTGATAGAACATCAACAGGCCATCGATGTCCTTGGCTCTGCGCAGGCATTCTTCAGCCAGCTTGAACTGAGGGCCAGACGCAGCACAGTGTCAGCAAACAAACTCGCAATGTCGAGGCAGCCAACCCAGCTCTTCGCAACCCCTATCGTCAAAAACACCTTTGACATACACGCGGCACACAACCCACCTGCCAGGCAGCCAAGGCGCAGTCGCCGACCGTCTTCCATTTGTCCTCTTGGTCGACCTCGAGGGCGATCTCGTAGGCAACGTTCAGATGGTTCAGCTGGATGGCAAGATCGAACTTGTGTTCCGGATCGATAGACACCACGAGGGCCTGCTCCTTCAAATCTGTAACAACGGCAGCGGCAAGGATGACGACGACGCCAGATCAGTGCAAAGTCACGGGCTTCGTTGCTTCACATGGCTGCATGAAGCTGCTATGCCATCTGCTCGATCAGACAGCCGATACGCACTCTGGCCTTCCAAGAAACGGGCGATTCTGTTGCGTTGGTCGGCCGGCACGTTGGGCAAAACGCTCTCGGCGTGCTCGTAGTCGCCGCGCAGAATGGCAGTCTGATACTCGATCAGACTCAACGGAAGGGCGTAGCTGATGACAGTCTGGTCCTTGTCGGTCAAGTAGACACGGTTGTCGCGAGGGATGTATCCGAGAATGTACATGGTGCTGTGGTCATCGAGAGATGTCAGCGACAGCATCCCCCAAGCTGGTAGCATGGGTTGATGCGCACAGGATCAAAGTCAAGCCACGTACCTGTCGAAGTGGCTGAGAGTCGAGGTCTGGCCGCCAACGAGGTAGTTGAGGCGATTGACGCTGTTGGTGTAGATGAAGCAGTCGCCAACCCAGCAGCCAGTCTTGATGCTGCGGTAAAGGAAGCGGCAGCCCAGTCACGGAGACGGCCCAGCAGCAGTGTACCGTTAGAAAAATAGGAGGGGAGGGGGCCGATGCATGGCCATGGCCAAAGTGCGCGAGCAAGGATGTCGTCAAAACAGCCATGCCAGCCGCAAGGTAGCCATACAGAGCAGCCAAAGACAGCGCCGCCGTACCATTCTGAAATCTCGGTGATGAGTTCGAGAGCGTCCTCGATACCCTCTTCCGTCAGATCGGCGGCCGACATTTGGTCCAGACGCTGCTGGTAGGCAACACGGTTGAACTTGAGAATGTAGGTGGTGTCCTCGCAGGCGATCGCAACCAGATCAGACTCGGACCAGAACACGCTCTTGGCCACAATGTCGACCCGTCGGACACAGACGCCGGTCTCCCAGTCATAGAAGCTCAGGAAGGTGCTGCTGCGGATTCCGAGCAGAACGCCACCAAAGATGCCCTCGGCGCTGTACGACAGCTTGATTTGCACGTTCTTCTCCTTGAAGTTCTTGAACAGCTTGACCTTGGACGAGGTCTCGCGGACTGCGTACTCGTTGGAGTCGAGGGCCCACACAAACTCGAGGGCACTTCCAAAGCTCTTGTTGCGCCAGGCCAGGGCAGTGTAGATGATGTACTCGCCATCGCCACACACGACGACGAATCTTTGGCGAGAAGTAATGTCCACAGTCAGATTTCGGCTTCCTTGCTAGCGGAGCTTGTTATGGCTCACTGAATTGCGAGCGATTCGCTTTCCGATGCAGCCGCTTACCGGCCATTCGGGCTGTGCTGGAGGGTCTGAGGGTAGACTTCACAGCTGCCGAGGTCCTTGCTGCTGAGAACAATGCGATCGCCGTCCTTGGTGCCTTCCTCGGCGACGCTCTTGACATTAGCGGTCTGAATCTCGCTGTGCTTGGCCCAGATGATTTTGCCGCTGGAATCCATGCTGATGACGGGCTCCTCGCGACCAAGCTGCCGTGGGGTAGAGTTGTGAGTCGCACGTTGTTAGTCACTATCCCGTTTCTCTATCCCTGGCAGGTCCGCCGGTCTCGCAAAGTGCCGCAGAGTTCGCCGTCCGTATCGAGGCCAGCTATTTAATCGAACTAGGCCGGCTCGTAACAAAGTCTCGCAAGTGAATCCGTCTTCACCTTGATTGCGATCGTTCCCTCATCGTAGCCAAAGGCGACATCGTTGCTCTGCTTGGTGTACGCAATCGCCCAGACACGCTCCATTGTGTAGTTTAGAGTGTTCTCGAGGCGGTATGTGTTGGCGTGCCAAATACGCACGGTCCCTGGAAAGGGGATAGAGAGTCGAATGAGCCACGTTGGAGGGCGGCCAGAGATATAATTGGGCCAGAGGTATAGTGGGGCCAGAGGTATAGTGGGGCCAGAGTCACTCACCGTCTTCGCTGCCACTGAGGATGATGGGCAGGTTGGGGTGGAAACCGACGGCAATGACGTTCTGGGTGTGGCCCTCCAGTGTCTGAACACAGGTCTTGTTCTGGTAGTCCCAGATCTTGACGAGCCTGGGTGATATTCACGCAGAGCCGTCAGCTATGGATGCTGGCACAAGCCTGTCTGCTCGACGTTTTGTTGGTGCCTGTACGTCGCTCTCAGGGACTGCGACAGAGGCATCTGACTGTGTCCTGGCGACCATGCACTGTTCGCCGCGGATCTATGATTGCCCGCTGGTCAGCCGTGCTGGTTGCAAACTCACTTGTCGTCGGCACCAGAGACAAGATACGGCTTGTCGCCACCGTGGTAGTAGTCGACGCAGTTGACACCCTGGGAGTGGCCCTTGAGTGTGTAGTTGGCAACGTTGGATCCGAGCGACCACACTTTGATGGTCGAATCCAGACAGGCGCTGGCGAAGGTGTTGCCATCTTTCGGGTTGAAGACAACGTGCATGACAAAATGGGTATGTCCCTCGAAAACCTAGACAGCGAGCTTGCGCACATGAGACACCATACCGGCTGAAGTGTACCGTCGAGGGCTATGTTGCTCGCCCCGTGTGGAGTCGGCACCAGAGACAGCCTCAAAGCACAATCGATAGCACAGAGTCCCGCGGCCTCGGCCAGAAACGGCCCCGCTCAACCCAGCGAGAGCGCAAGAACGCATGCTCGTCAGCAGACCCACCATGAGGTTCTTCCATCCCTTATCCCAGTCCCACAGCTTGATCGACATATCATCGGAGCTCGTCAAGATATAGGGCTGAGTCGGGTGGACGGCGATGCTGCGAATATAGTCCGAGTGGGCCTCGAAGGTGGTCACTTTTTCGTGCGTGTTGTAGTTGAACACACGGATCTGCATGTCGTCGGATCCAGTCACCAGCCAGGACTTGCGGGGAATAAACTTTGCCGCACGAACTGTCGCAGATCACGGGCACAGCAAAGAAGAGGCCCGGTACGGCGTGCCATTGGAGGCCAGGCAGGGTCAGCGACAAGATCGTGTATGATCGAGAAGGCCGACCAGATCGGTGGAAGACCTGGCTGGTCAGTGTCACACGCCCCGAGCGAGCGAGCTGCGTGTATAGACGGCAAACCTGGCAGGTCCGTGGTCTCAAAGGTCTTGACGATGGTTTGAGTCTCATGGTTCCAGATATAGACGTTTCCGTTGTATAGAGCCGTCAGCAGCCAAGGCTCGGTCGGGTGGTAGTCGAGTGCCTTGACTCTCTCAGATCGGTTTGAGAGCTTTCTCTGCGTATCCCGGAACGAGGCATGTCAGCACGGCCAGCCGCGGCCAAGACAGCGCATGGATGCAGAGCATCAGCACGTACCTTGATCTCCAGACGCAGGGGCTAGTGCGTCGAGCGGCAGAGCGCACGAGGTTGGTCGCCAGAGAACGAGGTCAGGGAAAGAAGACGGGCTTGATGTCAGCGTTTGAGTGTGTCAGCCAGCAGCCGGATCTCCGGCAGAGGCACAAGACAATCGCCAGCCTCAAACGCCTCACCATTTTCGGCGGTTCGGTCGGTCGCTGTGGAAGGTGAGATCAGCCAGGCCAGGGGTCGGATATGCTCGGGAGCCGGGGCTTGGTGCAATCTCAAGATGGCCTGAATCCCAGACAGGCGCCAGCACGAAAAAAGAGATGCCGAGTTCCACGTCTCGTCACGTGGGCAGGCAGTGGTGTGGCCTGAAAGCACAGCGGCGGTGGGAACTCGCCTGGAACTGGAGGCTCGGGGCAAGGGCAAATTCATGGCATGGATGTGGACCGAGGACGGCCGCTGGGAATGGCCGGCGAGGACTAATGTGCGCCATGCGATGGTGGCTGGCTGAATATGATGAGGCACGACATGTCTCGTTCTCCAGCACACTTGGAAACTGAGTGCTGCTGCTTGAGGAGCAGCGTCAGTCTGCAGAGACCACTTTATTATCAGTGCAAGGGCATCTCGATATACGAAGCGTGTAGTGCCGCTGTGGACGACAGAGTGGTATTCACTACATTCCGCGCTCGGCCGGAGGCGGAACAACCCGACGACCAAGACCACCAGCGAAGCGCTTGGGGGGAGGTGGAGCATAACCGTGTGGGTGCTCCTCTGCTACAATCTCTGAGAGGTGGTGCTGTATCGCTGCCATCCACGCCTCCATGCGCTCCTTGGAGTCGGCAGAAGCATAGACGACGTCGGTTCCCCTGTGCTGGCGACGGTCGGTCGGCGGGATCTGGTCCACCACAGAGCTGCGCCAGCACGCCGTCGTCTCCTCGGCATTTGCCCCGGAGCGCTGGAACTCGGCATCAACTTCAAGCTGGAAGCTGTATGGGGCATACATCAGCTCTGGATCTGCGAGCTTGACGTTGCAGACATTGCTCAAGGGAACAGTTGCACACACAGGCTTGTTCTGTGGCAGGGAAAGGCAGCATGTTACCAAGTCTGCTGGAGGCTCAAGTCCAGAACTCTGGAGCTTTGAGATACAGGTCTGTACCATTTCAACTGCGAGTGACTATCGCGTTGCTGCACAATGCCGAGGACAGTGTGTTTCAAGCTCACCTCGCCATATTCAAAGTCAAAGAGCTGGATTTCTCGCTGTCTGACAATGCCCCAATACTTTCTCCAGGTCTAGCAAGCAATACATGCATGAGTATCGACTCGTATCGCTGCACAGCACAATCTCTGGCACTCACCCCAGCTCCGCGGTGGCGAATCAGTATGTTGATGTAGTCAGCAAAGTCCTCCACAGGAGTCTGTTGGTTGTGGTTTCGGAAGTATGATGCACAGCGACGATCAACACGATCGCAGCGGACTCATTGTAAGAAATTTGGCGGGTATGACTCGAGTACGAGTGACAACATTGCTTCCGGCAACGTGCGCATTGACGAGCTGCGATGAATGCACAGTGATGCCACAGAAAGGTAGGAATGGTCATTCATCCCTGACTCGCCTACCTGCTCGCCTGGAGGTTCGTGGAACTGTTCGTCCATAAAAATGCCGACTTGAACAAGCACTTGGACATAATCGCGCCTGTTCCCAGCAGCAGTGGGAACATACAATCCGGTGGTCTTGCGTGGGAGGGCATCGCTTCGATCGTAGACGATTGGCACGATGATCTCGCCAAGGTACATGGGCTCGTCGTCCATGCCGTCTTCAAGCGTATGTCCATGCAGCGAGGCCGTGGTTGGACTCTTGCGCATATTGTTGAACAGGCTGAAGGGCGATCCAGCATGGGCGGCATGGGCCCCGCCAAACCGCTGGCCAAGCATCAAGGAGAGTGCGTCGGACGCTCTTTTGCCCTTGCCCCCAGGCTGGCGTCCGGTAACCGTGGCAGAGCTTGCAAAAGAGTCCATCGACGGGGAGGCCGAGAGACCCAGGTCTGGCGAGAACGCGGCAACTCGGTCGGCAGATCCAGTGAACACTTCCAATCGTACGGCATGGACGGCCTCGTCGTAGTCCCTAGATTCAATCCCGAAGGGCATCATCCAGAGTAAATGCCCGCTCACATTCAGTCCCGGTGAAGCAGAACTTGCAAAGCCTACATGATGAATGCTTCGCGTGGCTGAGACACAAAGGTCTTGGTGATTTGGTCGCGATGCAGAAGGATCTGCTCGGTCTTGGCAATCCTGTCGCCGTATTTGATCTGCGCAAAGACCTTCTTGTCTGCAGTGATGAACCAACTCAATTAAATGCGGCTCGCAGTCGACAGGATTTATACGGAGGTTTAGAGAGCAACTTACTCTGGAAGCCGCCGCTTTTGATCTGGAGCTCCGAGACTGGCAGGTGCAATTATCGCGCAAGCTGTCGTGAGAACGATGCGCACAACGATTGCCAGGACCAGGCCGGAGTTGCAGCCCCCGCACTCACGCCTTGGAACAACACCCACCGTGCACGAACAGACGGGGGACCAGCTTGTCGCGAGACATCTCTGCTGGCTGGGCGACCGGACGATTCGGGTCTCTGGAACAAGACGGGGGTAAGTGATCCGGTGTGGGTCGCGTGGCTGTTGCAGCATTCTCATGCATCCTGGGACAAACCACCTACCTCTCAAGTCGGGCCTTGAGCTCGTTGGCAACAGCCTCGATGGCTCCGGGAGCCACAGATGTACCCTTGTAGCCGCCAACGGGACGGCGGGGCTTGACTTCGACGTGGCCGAGGTCCTTGAGTGCCTGGGGCGTTGGGACATAGGTGCCGTCATGGGTGATGATGCGCGTCTCGCAGGCAGCACGACGCAGACACTCTGCATTCTCGACTTCACGCAGATGACGATCAAGGCCGTCGTGCGGGCCCATGTCTGTGATGTGGGCCCAGGTCCACAGACCCGGAGACACGTTCGAGGCGGCCGGAATGGACTCGGGGAGGTGAACGATGGCCAGAGGGAGGTGGTTGGGCTTGGCGGTCAAGTTTGCCTCGCGAGACAGTCCCTCGGACTCGCCGCGGTCCTCGGAGGTGCGTTCGGGATGCTCGAATAGCGGCCCCATCAGCGAGCGGACGGACTTTGTCCTGGTCTTTCCGTTGCGCGACAAGGACGAAGTAAGCATGGTGGCTGGGCGGTAAGGGGCCAAAGTGCTAGGTGGCCGAAGGAGGTGGAAGCAAGAGGGGTGAACGCCGAGCGTACGCTTTTACAAAGAGCGAAACCGCCCAAGACGATGCTTGTCGCCGATGTGGCTGGTGGGAACATCCCGCCCGCGCCCAGGGAAGTGGTCGAACGGGCCGTGCACGGATGTGTTCCGGCTGCGTCGGCGCCATTGCGGACAGATGCCAATCACAACCCAATGAGCCATCGTTGCAGCTCTTGTGATATCGCGACGGCGGTATTCAATTTCGGTCATCGCAGTATATCCACTCATATTCAGCGCCTTCATTGGCGATATATCCGGACGTCTCTGAGATAGGAGAGGCACTCTGCTCACAGCCAGAGAAATCGACACAAACTCTCAACCGCGGACTGCCACGATGGCGACAAGAGCCAAGATCATTGGCATCCGATGCCGCGCAAGATGTGAGGGTATCGCCACACACGATGACAAGATGGGGGGGGTGGCTATACCGGAAACGAAGATATCATGGTGGGACAGACTCCCATCGGCCTGTGGGCTGATACGGAGCAGATCATCCAAGCTGTGATGTGGAGCCTTGCTGGATACCCAAGCTCGGCGACATCCCGAGCGGGACTTTTGAAACTCAAGGCACCCCATGAAACTCAAAGCAACGGAGGCGGCCACATGCCGCGGATGGCAAGTGCACCGCCACACAAAAATGAAACAAAGAAATATACCGATCGACCGTCGGTCGTCGTTGGGTGCTGTGGCATAAAAGGCCCGAGGCCAAGCGCAAGCAAGTTGGTCTCCACCTGTAGTGTCCTTTCGATAAGCCTCGGCCTCGCCCTCAGACTCGACTTCCTTGGAATCGTCATTCTGTTGTTTTTTTTCGTCGCCTTTGGCCTCCCTCCCACCACCACATCCACCTCGTAGCTTGGCCTTCCGCAAGTCCTTCACTCCATCGCCTGCAATGCCCGTCGCCCCTCTCACGAGTGTCATCGTCCCAGCCGTCGCCAACCACTCGGCCACGGTCGTCTTCCTGCACGGCCTCGGCGACAGCGGATGCGGCTGGTAAGCACCTGGGCAGATCTGCCGCCGGATCCATGCTCGAGCGGGGGGCCGAGGACGCTGCAACGGATCAACGCCTAACTCTCCACTGCGGTGTTTTCGGTCACGATTCTTACTCTCCTCTTGGCTCTGGCTTCAACAGGGAGCCTATTATCCAGGATCTGGCTCGTCAATTCCCCCATGTCAAATGGGTCCTGCCGAATGCGTAAGAAAGGCTACTGCAAGTCGCTCGGCAACATGGCCCCATAGCGCCAGTGTTTAGGAGGGAGGAGTGCCCATCACCGTGCTGATCCTGTTTCGTCTGCTTGATGAACTCTCCTTGTGCAGCCCCAAACGGCCGATCACATACAACATGGGCATGATCACGCGCGGATGGTGAGTCTCCGAGCAGTCTTCGATCCTCGCCTGTGAATGAGCCCGTCTCTCATCCTGCTCTTGCTCTTGCTCTTGCTGCTGTCCAGGTACGATAAATTTCGTGTTCCCAACAAAGAAGATGGCCCGGGCATCAAGCAGAGCGCTGCTGCAAGTATGTAGAGCATCCCGACCCGATTGCTGCTCTCTCTCGCATTATATGCCTCTCTCACACTCTTACACCTCTGCTCTTTGTGACTCAACCGACCCAGTTCGCCAGCTGATCCAGGACGAAATCGACAGCGGCATCCCAGCCTCGCGCATCGTCCTCGGCGGGTTCTCCCAGGGATCGGCCATGAGTCTGTACACGGCCCTCACCACCGACAAGAAGTTTGCGGGTGTGATTGCCCTCAGCGGATACCTGCCGCTCTCGAAGCAGATCCTGGAGGTGAGGGGCAATGGGATGTGTCTCGGTCACTGTCGTTGCTATCGCCACTGGTGTAGCCGCTCGCTCGATCAGCTGCAAAGCATCCAGCCTCGACCTCTGTGGCTCACCCAACCCGATCGGCTGTTTCGTCGACGTCAATTTCTCCAGTCTCATAAGGACACCAACAAGGAAACGCCCTTCCTGCTGGGCCATGGTGACGCCGACGACATCATTTCCCTCAACCAGGCCAAGATATCGGCTGCGGCCCTCAGAAGCCTGGGCCTCAAGATTGACTTCAAACTCTATCTAGGCATGGGTCACTCGACATGCGATGAAGAGATCCAAGACATTGCTCAGTTCCTGAAGAGCGAGTGCAAGTTCTGAGCGCTGAGGAGGAGGGGGCAAAGCGGTTGCGATTTAGTCACCTTCCACTCGGCACAGCAACAAATCCCTGATACACACCACGCCCCGAGCAAATACCCATTAAAACATAGCCAGAGACTCCAGAACCGGTCACCCCACGATACAAATACAATGTGCTTGCGAACGCTGCTGTATATGCTTCTTGTGCCATTGTTGTTCATGCACGGATGTATTCAGGGTTTGGTCTCCAAACCCACTGGAGTGCATGGACTGCCCGCCAAGGCGGCCAACAGATCATCAGGCCTCATCCTGCGATCCTTATCTCTGGTCCGACGATCATCCCAGCTTCCCTGGGAACCCTCGCTCTCCCAGATACGCAACCACTCCGCCATCGTTCCGCCTCCATCAGGCTTCCGTGACAGCCCCAGCCCCAGCCCCAGCCCCAGCCCCAGCCCCAGCCCCAGCCCCAGCGATCCTTGCCACCCCCGAAAAGAATGGCCGCCGAGCACCAGATCGCCCTGCTGCTTCTTGTTGCCTGTCCATAACCCCCAGTGCACTTGCAGGTATGTTCCCCTCTGCGCTCTGGCTGACGGCCGTGAGCTCCTGGAGGATGACTTGTTAGTAAAAGGTTTGATCGCAGCCTGAGAGAGAGCGGCGATACGCTCGCAGTGCAACGAGTCTGCGAGCCCAGACAGCCCGCACGGGCTGATCTCGGTGCCGAGATTGCTGGAGGCCATACCCTCGATACACCGTTTGAATTTTTAGAGACATGCGCTCAGTCATAGCATGTCTCTGTAAGGCCAAACGAAGATCAATCCAGTGTCGACAGATTCAATCAGTCTCGGGACGACTGAGTGCCGGGTCCGAGAAAAGGCAGACACCACATTTACATAGAATGAAGATCTGCTGGGACTGCCGTCACTCAGACTCTTCTGGGCACCGCGGGCTCTGCGATGCTTGATTCTACTTTGGTTCTTCCTGATGCGGCCCCAGCTGCTCAGGCAGACCAGGCGTGCTCTTCGCTGAGCCCCGTCGACTCGGAGTGTTCGTCGATGCATCGGTGCAACAGACAGCCTCTGCTGCACCGGAGGGCGGATTACAGGAGCAAGATCAGCCCAGCGAAGCTGGACATGCTCAATATTACTGCCACCCAGAACCGATAATGTGTCTGGGCGGCGAGGAGTCGGGCGGACAGCATGAGAGAAATGGCCTCCAGATCACCGGCCCGGGCTGGACTCGACAAGCTCGTCTGCAACATGCATTCGTTCGCATCACTCTCTCTGGGCTGCGCAAAGATAGCACTCTTTAGACTGACCGGAACCGCGGCTGCATCTTGTTATGAGGCGGGATGTCGGATGGATCTGCTGCCATGTGCGTCGTACTCACTCGATTGTCGTCCCGCACAGATCAAGACGCCAAGAACAGATGGAGGGACGAATTTGGCCTCTGCAGCGACCCGAGAATCGATGCTGCTGGAAATGTTTGTTCAATGAGCTCGATATGCATTCAGCGACCAGAGAAAAGAGATATTTCTAGCCTCCGAAACCCCGACCAGCGCACAGTCTCTGATTCGTGAGCAACGGTGACTTGCGCAATGTAGCTGCATTGCCTGCTGCATTGATATCAATGTCTGTATTCAGGATAACCAGCATCATCCTCAGAACCAAGGTGCTGGTTTCACTTTACGCAGCGCCGTTTGCCTTGATCGTCGTGCCAGAAGAATCAGAATTGCACTTCCGGGCAGGCCTGACAGCGCCCCTCATATATATGGGCCCGGGAGACCAAGCGAGGCACCCAACCGCTTCCTGCCGCCCCAGCAGGCCGAGAGTGCCGCAATGAGCAGCAGCAGCAGCTCCAGCAGCGTCAACCAGAAGGCGTAGCCAAAGGTAGCGCTGCTATCGCCTGCAAGAGCCAAGTCGGAGACATCGGCACCAAAGGCGAGATACGACACGATAAAAGTCGCAATAGTCGCGAGGAGCGTGATCCATATCCACATATTGCGAGACGGCCCGCCCTGGAAAAAAGTGATGACAAACATGAAGAAGACCGCGATATTGAGCGACGAGAGAATGATATGATCACGGGCAGTGACTTGCGGATGCCAAGGGGTGTTGAATCGTGGTTGGCGAGTTGCGAGCACAGTCGGGCGAACACGCAGACGGATGGGCCAGAGGATATTGGGTCAGAACGAGCAGGCGCACAAATAGGCCAGCAACCAGCAACCAGCAACCAGCAACCAGTTGGCGATTTCACTCGTGGACCCAGCCCACAGCTGAGAAGAGAGCATGCAAGTCGTCGAATACCCACGCGTTCCAGAAATGCCGGCACGGGCAAAGAAGGCCTGGCTGTCATCAATGTTCCCGCGGGTGATGTAGAGGATCTGGGCCACATCGATGCATCGGGTTTGCAGAACGGTCCATTGCGGGTTCAGTGTGAAGAATCCACCGCCCAGGGGCTCGGGAAGAGGTTGCTGCGGAAAGTTCACGGGGACGAACTGCCATTCGTATGGCCCGTTGGCTGGGCCGGCCTGGGACGGGGTTGCGCCGCTGCTGGGGCATCCGCCATAGACGCCGATGCTGGAAGACGATGTCGTGACCCAGGCGATGGCCTGGAATGGGGGGATGTAGAGTCCTCCGCCAAACATGCACAGGACCTGAAGGATAAAGGCAAAGACCACCAAGATGATTGAGAATCCCCAACAGCATGGATGGCGCGTCGAGTACTTGGACATGGTGGGGGCGGCTGGACAGCGAGCAAAAGACAGGGGGCACTGGGTCGACAACGGGCGATAGGTCGGATAGATGCGGCTTTCGGCAAGGGACTCGGCGGGAGAGGATGGCAGCCGAATGCGTGCTCGAGGCGGACTGGATATCCTTCAGCTACCACGATGCACCGGAGAGCGCCCCTGGCTGGATCGAGCAGCAATCAAACTGCCTCGGCCAGCCGTGAGAAACCTTGGGCGCCCCGCCATGGAGAGGCGGGGTCGACTCCCTTGGCGGGAAAGACCTCGAGCGGCGAGAGTACACCGCCAGGCACGACCAGGGCCAAAAAGCGCACATGGGACCATGTCAAGTGAGCAGATGCTGTATTCATGATATCTCGGCCAGTGTCCCAGGCGGGCCAAAAAGACCCTCCCCGCTCGATTCTAATGAGGGCTGAGGATTTACTTGCGGTAGAGCGAGCGGCGGACGGTGTCGGCAATGCCGCCAACACGGGGCAGCGAGAGCTCCTCGAGGTTCTTGGCGTAGGGCATAGGAATGTCGGCACCAGTGACACGGAGGAGAGGGGCGTCAAGGTGATCGAAGGCTTCGCCTAGAGGAAGAGCGGCCGGGGAACGAGTGTGAATTACGTGCCTGGATGGAAGCGGCGCAGGCGACAGTGCAGTACAAGCTGTCTCGTATCCCCGCGGGTGTGCCCAGTCGCCAGAGCCCAGTCGCCAGAACACAGCCTCTCCTTCGCCATCCACGGTCCTCTGCTTGCGAGATTCACTTACTCTCCATGATCTGGGCGGCAATCTCCGATCCCACGCCGAACATGGGCCATCCGCCCTCGACCGTGACGATGCGGTTGGTCTTCTTGACAGACTTGACGATGGTATCGATATCAAGAGGTCGGATCGAGCGGAGGTTGATGACCTCGGCCTTGATACCCTCCTTGGCGAGCTCGGCAGCGGCCTCCAGACTCTGGCCAACGGCTCGGGAGTGGGCGACAATGGTGACATCGGAGCCTTACAGACAGCGAGTTTGGTGGGCACAGTGTCAGGTGCGCGGGATCCAGACAAGATGCGCAGATAGTGATGTGCGTGTATGCGTCATTCACACCCCTCGAGAGACCGATGCGGGATCGCTGGGATAGAGAACGCCGCAATCTCCACGTTCGCCCCATAAACCAGCTGCAGTGTCCAAAAAATCGCGGAGCTGAAGCTGGGCGCCAGACGGATTCGCTAGACGGATTCGCTAGACGGATTCGCCAGACGGATTCGCTAGACGGATTCGCCAGACGGATTCGCCAGCGGGTCGCGATGCGGATCCACCGGATGGATTCGCCGGCGCACATTGGCTTTCCATTCACTTGTGCCGGCGGAGAAGCCGGGTCGAGCAGCCAAACACCCTTACCTTCAAGCTCGATCTTGGCCTTGCCAATGGGGAGGACGAACTCGTTGCTCAGGACCTCGGGGGTCACCTCGAAGCTTTGGCCGTACATGATTTCGTTCTCGAGCACGCAGACGGGGTTGGGGTCGCGGATGGCGGCCTTGAGAAGACCCTTGGCGTCCTCGGCGCTCCAGGGAGAAACGACCTTGAGACCGGGGACGGAGCCGTACCAGGCAGCAAAGCACTGGGAGTGCTGGGCGGCGACACCAGCGGCGGCACCGTTGGGACCACGGAAGACGATCGGGCAGGTAACATCGCCACCGGACATGTAACGAGTCTTGGCGGCCGAGTTGACGATTTGGTCGATGGCCTAGGGGGAGGGGCAGCGAGCGACCTCCAAAATGTCAGCAAACCGGAGCAGGAATGCTTTGACCGACTTTTACACGGCACCAGACGGATCCTGCGGGGTGTGCTGCAGGGTCGATCGAACATGGTACCTGCATGGAAAAGTTCCAGGTCATGAACTCGCAAACAGGCTTGAGACCGGCCAGGGCAGCGCCGACGGCAATGCCGGCAAAGCCCATCTCGGTGATGGGGGTGTCGATGACTCGCTTCTCGCCAAACTTCTCCAAGAGGCCTTTCGAAACCTGCGGTGAGAGAAGCGGGTCTGTTGGCATCTTGGATATCGCTGCGACGGCCAAGTGTCTCCGTTGTGCCTTAGTTGTGGATCCAGTGATGCGAGGCGCCCACACCGACCTTGTAAGCGCCGTTGTACTGGGCGACTTCTTCACCAAGCAGGAAGACGGCGGGGTCGCGGATCATCTCCTCCTCCATGGCCTGGTTCAAGGCCTCACGGACGGTCAGCTGCGTTGGACAGAGGGTGGTGGTCAGTTCCGAGTCGCTGCAACTGTCATGGATTGAGGCCAGCCGCCGCACCAGCAGGTGCCGCCAAGCGTCTCCTCGGCTGCGCGTGGTTGACAGATCCTGTGGGCCGTTTGTCCACCAGATGGGTGTGGCGGACCGATCCAAGTCTCATCTGTTCCAGGCGTCCATCCAACAGCAGTTCCGCCACTTGGATATCCCATCAAATCTCCTCTGCAACTTTGGCAGCGTTTCGTCCAGGTTCGTAGCTCCATCCAGTCGGACGCAGCGGGCTGGCTGTTGAGTGTGCCGAACAATAGACGGCAGCGCCGCCTCTCAGGACCCGGGCCGGCGTCAGGCAGATATGTGCTGCCGAGCTGATGGATCCAACATGGTTGTTTCTGGATAGCAGCAGCCCCACGTAGGACGCATCCGGCGCTGGTTGTCCTGTGGTCCATTCATTCACTCATCATGCCTGCCCATCCGGCATCGGGGACAACAGGAGACCAGTGCAACTCACCGTGGCAGGGGTGGTGGCCGACGACAGCAGACGGCGCGAGGCCAGGCGGGAAGCCATGGGCACGGCTCTTGCTAGTGAAGTCTTGGCGAATGCAGACATGTGCGAATATGGGTCGACAAATGAATCAAAAACGAGAGCAGAGAGGCCCGATGAGGAGGCGGCGAGCTGAACACGGCCAAGGTCGTCTGCACAGGCCGCCGCGCAGGTTTTGATGGCGACGCAGAGCACCCTCGGCGCAAATTTTTTTTGGAAGGAGCCGCTGACGTAAGCGTGCCCCAAACGCCAGCGAGCCGCCGAGAACGCTGCGAGAGCGCCGCGAGGGCTCGGCGAGAGCGACGCGCCTCGCTGGCGGCACACACACACACGCGCGCAGACGTTTGGGGCGGCTCGCAGGCGGGGGAGATGGAATGTGCCTTGGCGCAGCCGCTGTGGGGCCGGATGCATGGATGGGTTCATGATGGAGGGGGAGGGATGCACAGACGGTGCCTGGCGATGGGCAGCGGACAGAAAAATGCACCGGGTATGCACATAGGATGCACAGAGACGTTCGTGTTGAGAATGCACAGGGACTCGTCGGGTCTCTGGGAGGGAGACCGCATCCATCCGGGCTCGGACTCAGGCCACGATGCGCAGATCGCGAGTGCGGTCTGCAGCGAACTGATCCTTGAACTCGTCGTAGAGGCGCTGGAGGCCCTCAAGGTACTTTCCATGCACTTGGGCAATGTACTCGCGGGAGGGATTCTCCTGCTTCTCGACCTCGATCGGGGCACCCACTGGATGAAGACAGAAAGGTCAGCAAGGTATGCCACTGCCATTGCCATTGCCATTGCCATTGCCATTGCCATTGCCATCTCCATTGCCACCGGCATTCGCTGCCCTGAGCCCTTGATGCCTCCCTCTCGCGCACTGAAGCTCGTACCAACAGATACCAGCTTGCGGCGATTCGGAAAGAAAAAGAACGGTCGGTTGGTCACGATCGGCAGCGAGAATCCCAGGGCTTTCATGAACTGGTTCTGGTACCCTCGTAGCTTGGGATTGCTCTCGGCCGTGACCTGGTAGAACAGATCGTTCTCGCCAAAAGTGAAGGTCGGCACCAGGTGGGCACCGGTTTGGATGGCGATTTTGGCAAAGCCCTTGCGCTTGTCGAGTACGAGGTCGTTTGTGCCGGGATAGGCTTGCAAGCTAGCCAGGAGGCAAAAGCAAGCTGTTACTCTTGTAGATCGGCTGTCTGCGACTGGTTGCTCAGAGATCACGGCGATCCAACCAGAACAGGCGCCGCTGCGTCACTCCCAACCCCGCAGCATGTCTCTGGGACCAACTTACGCTTCGTCGGCTCCGCCAATGACAATCATGACGCTCGATCCTGGGCCCATGCGGGTCAAGGCGTATTTGATGGATCGGGCGGAAACCGAGATTAGCCCATAAGACATATGCAACTCGCGCCAGAGCGGGATCCTCCAGTTCATGTCCAGAGTGGTTCCGCGCAGGCGGATGCCGGGAAACAGGCCCGAGAAGTTGTTGAGGTCGGTCAAGAAGCTTGGCCTGTGAGTTCAAGGACGGCGGTCGGGAAGCAACAAGTCAGCGGGGCACTCAGAGTATCGTCCGAGATGGCTCTGCGATCGAGCGGCCAGTTCCCGATGATCTTGTCAGGCCCTGCTTGTTCAGATCGCACATATCCTGAACAGCCAGACAATTCAGACACCAGCGCTGGTGCTGACATGCTCCTGACATACCAGATGCCGAAGCAGTAAATTCCTGTCGAACAGATATCGGGTCAGCAACTTGCCACGGCCACAACAACCCTCATGCTCTCAGCGCTGCAAAACGAGGGCCGGCTCACCATGAGGATGGTACCTATTCGCAGCGACCACGGCAAGGAAATTAGAGCGTTGGACTGGCGGCAGCACGGCATGCCCGGGGGCCGCAGCTGTCCGCTGCAACTGCTGCCCTCATTGCCCCGCTTCCTGCTGGCTGGCATTTGCAGGTCGTCCGGCAGCGCCATCCCAATATGCAACACTGGCCCGCACACAGCTCGTCCGCGCCTACCCAAAAATATAGTTCTGGGAGGGGTCGAGGTCGCAGGTCTTGATCAGCTCGGCGTCAAAGTACGCCTTGAAATGTCGCCAGAAAGACCAGTCGCGGATGAACCGCAGGGCATCAGTACCGCCTCGGTAGGGTGTCTCGCTGTCGATCAGGAATGCCCATGTCCAGTAGATGACGGCAAAGGGCCACAGCCTGCAGGCGTGCGTCAAGAGTTGCGAGCAGGACGCTCTGTAAGCATTATACAAGCCTTCCGTGGAAGTCGGCAACTGCATCGGGGCTGTCTTGGTCCTCACCAGCGGATAAAGTAGAAGAACACAATGTGGATGATGAGGTCGATTTCCATGGTGGTGCACCACAGCAGCACAGCGAGATGCTGGTACAGATTGTCCCATCCGGAGACGGGCTGGGCCTTCTCATGGTTGGCCGAGCCTGGGACTTTATCGGCGGCATCGGACATTGTGGGCAGGCTGGGTGCAGATGCAGGGGCGGAGCGATGCTGGGGAGAACCAAGATGGGCTGGATGGCCAGGGGGCGGGTCTTGGCCTGTCGTCGCGCTTGCGCCCACACTCCGGCCTGCTCGCTGGGGCTGGGAAATCGCCCAGCCAGCGTTTCATGCCGAACAATGTCGTCCAAGTGCTCAAACAGCCCGGCCGTGATTGGGCTCAACGACGTCAGCCGCTGCCCGGCCTGTCCCTGCGGCAGCCACAGCGCTGCCCTCTCTCTTGACTTTTTTTTTTCTCCGAGTCCTATAAACGACCGCTACCTCCATCGCTTGCTGAGCTCTCGAGGTCCAATACCGAGACTTGTTCAGGGCCCTTCCATCCAGTTGCCCTCGAAGACTGCCTTCTTGCTTCATCAACGAATAGAACACCTCTCCACAAACTGTCTTGCAAAGCGGCTGGGACAGAACGCCCAACAACTCTCGCAACAGCTGTACCCCCCCCCGGAAATCAGGCGCCTCCCTCTGCCAAGTACTGCTGAGGATGTCGAACAACCCACTCCTCGTCAAAGGTGTCGTTGGCAAAACCAGGCCAACCGTCTATGACCTTCCTGGTAGTGATCATGTATACGGCAAGCTCATAGACAGGAACCCTGATGAAACAGCGGCCACAGGTGCGGTCTCGTTGCATGTTTCCCATAGCCCGCTGGGTACTGCCGTTCAATCGATCCGGGTAGCTCGAGTTTACATACTGGCTCTCTGTTCAGTGAGCTGACTCTGGCTGGTTCGGGCCTCTGACCCACTGTCTCACGTCGATGCCCCGTCCCAATAGTTCTACAGCACTGGCATGTCAAAGCCACATCCAAGCACCAGATTCCGTCATTGGACTACATCACCATGAACCGCAACACCGCCAAACGTGGCATCATTTCTCCCTCAGCCATCCGTGAATACAGAAAACTCCATCCCGTTCGTGTCAAGATTGGTGACCACTCGCTGGTGGCCGACGGCAAGAGCGGCAACACCCTGCTGGGTGTGGGTGTAGCGAACAATTACGGCTACGCGGCAGCACTGAGAAAGAAGCGTGGAAGCGGGCCGCTTCCCAGCGATGCCAATCCCAACTTTATATACGGCAAGCCCACAAGGTATGCTGGCTGCGGGTACTCGTTGACGAACGAAACTTGCCTGGCTTGAGACAGAATCAGTCTGGCTTTCGTTATCCTCCCACCACTTGCCAGTCCTGGATACCTGTGAAGGCGTTTCGATTGTCAACGTAGCGGCGAACGCTCACCTCCGGATGTATGCTCCTAAAGCTCACCCTCGATTGTCCTTCCCTTCAGACCGTCAACGCCTGTGGCCTGTCTCATGACGGACATTTACCAACGGGAGTGGGTCATGGAGCAAGAAAAGCGACAGGGCGAGAAGACCAAGGCGGACAAAGTGAGGCCTGAGCAGCGAAATACCCCGCCAAATAGAGCACCATGTTTCCTACATCACCTGCATCACCTGCATCACCTGCATCACCTGCATCACCTGCATCACCGCATCGCCTGCATCGCCTGCATCACAATTATGCTATATTCCGTGACTGCAGCTGGAGGCTCGTGGTTCTGACCATGCTAGATTCAGAGATCGGTAGATATCAGGGGTGGTCCGTGCTGACGGCCGTGTGCGATATTGACACTTCCAGGAAAAGTCCAAGCGAAAGCACACCAAGAATATTGAGCCGCGCAAAGTGGTACCCAAGAAGAAGCTGTCCCCGTTCGAGCGCGATGTGTCTACCTTGTTCAAGATGTCAAAGTTCCAGAAGGCTGGGGCTAAGATCACTTGCTGGCGAGAGACCGATGATCCACACATGGACTACTATCCACAGCCAAAGGGCGTCTCCAAATCCCCGGTCCAGACCGAGGCCGGTAGTGGTGCTTCCGAGGAGCGCAATCGACCTGCAGTGCTCAAGCCTGGGCCGGCCCAAGACGGACGCAAAGCCGGGGCTGGTTCTGGCCCAACAAGCGATGCCGATGTTCTGGCAGGAAAGCTGGTCACCCTTGGGCTGGGCGAGAACCAGGGTAGCTCCAAAATCGTCACCTCCTCCACCACCGGGGCAGAGGTGAAGAAATCGGTCACTCCCAAGAACGCCTTCATACAGCAACGAGGAGCTAGCCCGAAAGGCGTCGCCTTGGCTGCCGAGCCGGCGTCGAGTGCATCCGACGAGGCCTCCAGGCGAGGAGTCAAGTTCTCAGAACCCGAGGTGACCCGCATGCAGTCGGTTTCGCCCGAATACTAGCGTATGTTCAACCCAGATGCAGTTACAGACGCGGATGCAGATACGGATACAGGTGAGCGCCAGCGGATGTGATATCTCTCCCATGTATACGACCGAGGACCAAATGGAGGGGAGAGATGGTCTGATTCATCACAGTGCAAGCCAGACGCTCTCCCGTTTACCAACACCGAGATGCCCGTTTCTCATCACACACAGGTTTTGCAGCAATTGGCCGGCTGAACGAAATCTCTGCCCAGCGGTCACTGCTGCGTGACGATATCCTCTGCACCTGCAGCGTCGGGCTGTATACTCACACCCTTGAATACCAATCATCTATCCTCTGCGAATACACCAGCAAGCTATGACAGCGAGTGCGCACTACTTGTTGAGGTTGAGCGAGTAGCCCCCGGTCTGATCTGCTTGCGTGACTTTGAAGCTGTCCGTCGACAGGCCGAACCGGCCCAGGAACTGATTGCCGATATCCTTGAGCTTCCCTGTTTTGAATCCGGCGGGACACCCATGGGTCGACGTTAGCTGGTGTGCAGGCGCATCGGAGGCAGGGGACAGCAGTATGGGCTTGAGGCGGGTGGCATCATCGACCGAGACAGGCACCTAGCATTTCGTCTCGCTCAACCTGAGCCTGCTGCTTGATCTTCTCTGGCAAAGATTTCAGTGCTGCTGCTGCCTCTTTGTGTCCAGGATCCATTTCAAGTACTTTTTGGTAATCTGAGGGCCGGGAGTGGAGAGCCATTCTGATCAGACGGCGAACGGGGCGGCTCACTCGGGCTGCAATCAAGCCGCAGTTGAGCGGCATCCGAACTGACCTTCCAAGGCAGACTCCAGTGATGACCATTTGCCAATGGCGACGTTCGAAGAGGCTCTGCGGCTCAAGGCTTTGAGATACTCGGGGTTGAGCCGGAGTGCTGATGATACACAGGAGGACCGAATGGGAGTTTCGATCAGATCGGCGTGCATGACGGATGTCGTGGAGTCGCCCTGTCACCCAGAGACATTTCTTCAAACCTTGATTGCAACACTCAACCGCAGCCTTATGGTCGTCCTGGTTTGGCGGGTGGGTCGGAGCGAAGCATGAGTCGCAATCGGATGCATGGAAGCGGCGTCACGGTCGTCGGCACAGGCCCAGGTATGGACAACCAGCAACGGCATGCTCCAAAAGCTCATCGGAGATACCCACCTGTCGAACACGACAGGCAGCGATGTTGCCATAGAGTACAGAGCGATCGTTGGAGCAGTCATCCGGAAGAGCCTGGAGGGCGGCTTCGTATCTACCGGGTAGATCGTTCGGGTGAGCATAACCGACGACAGAGACAGGAGTCAGCCGAGACGGCGCTGGTCACCTCAAGACAGCTTCATCGAATTCAGATGCACGAAATAAGACGTTTCCCTCTTCCTTGAGTTGCCGTGCTTCCAGAACAAGATCCTGGCCAATGCAAGACGGTGCTGGTGAGCAGAAATGCAAGCAATGGGATGCAAGTAGCAGGATGGTGGCCGGATGCAGCTCGCACGGACGGCAGCGGCACCTCTCTGGGACGGCCGGGAGTGAGATGCGGATGGAAGGGCGAGTCGGCCTCGTCTTGGGTCTGGTCTTTGCGGGGTGATGGGGCGGCCATGGACGTCGAGCTCGGCGGTATGCGGATGCAGATGCAGATGCAGATGCAGGACGACAGGCGCGGACCAGGACCAGCAAGCGCCGTTCTGCGTTCCGGTGGCAGTGCAGCACCTCCCGCCCCTTTCCCACGGCTTGGCTGGTGCTTACCGGTTCTCGGTTGATTCCGCAAGGCCAGGGATCGCACAGATCCTCAGCTCGCGCACTCGATCTTCGGCAGGAGCCCGGCCTCTACCCGTCCAGCTTGTCTTGGGCCGGACTATCCCGTCGACCCCTGTGCCTGTGCTCTTCCCGTACCTGAGCGACCTCGATCACTGCCATGTCCCCAGAGAAGGCAAGATGCTCCATTCCGCTTGATCTGCATATGCAGCCTGGACTTGGGCTGACAGCCTCTGCAACAGCCGCGAGCAACGTGGAAGAGACTGCAGAAACAGAATATGGACATTGCCCGGTATGATCTCTGGCATGGTTGGCTCGGCCGTGGCCCATCTCGGCCATCTCTGCTGTGTCTCCTCCTGACAGCAGCCGTCGGTCCAGCAGCATGAATGCCTCGATCGCTATGCAACTCCGAAAGACACAGGATGATCGACTGGAAATTCAGGTTGGAGTCCCTTTGGGCTCTGTCGGCCCTCTGGGCTTTGTATACTCCTGGACCGGCTAGACTCATCGCTGCTCCTCAGACCCAGCTGCTGGGCTGCCAGGGCCGACTGATCGCCACCGAGTCAGAGAACAGCGAGCTGCAGCTCGAGATCATGGAGCTCAAGGCATCTATGACTCATCTGAGAAAGACCTATGCGGTACGATATCGTTGACTCGCCTTTGAGAATCCCCCACCACAGCAAACTCACGCATGCGAGCTGGCCCAGTCATCAAGAGCACGCGTCGTCGAGATGAGCCGGGCGTTCGCTGCGTCGGTCACAGACCAGCTCGATCAGTTCTCTCTCGGATTGGGGCTTTCATTTCCAAGCATGGAGGAGGAGGGTGTTGCTTCAGGTGAGACGCAGCAGTGGACACTAAACAGTAGCTGATCCTCGCCAGCGGCATATCTGTGGCGGACCATTTACTCCGGCACTTCTCTGTGGCTGCGCTAGATCCGGCCAAGCCAGCATGCGAGCCTTCCCTCTCGCCCCCGCCCAGCCCGGATATCAGAACCTCCAGTCCCCAGCGACGCATGCCCTCTGGCCCGGTCACTCCGTGGTCGTCTCGCCACCAACGCTCTCGACGCTCCTCTGCTGCAAGAGTCAACTACGCCGTGCCGTCTCTCAAAAGGTACTGTCCTTCTGGATGTGTTTGATGGCTACTGCTTTCATGATCGCGCAGCGTCGGGTGGTGACTGCACGGCCACGGGCTATCCGATTCAAGCAGCTCGCTCATCCACTTTGGCGCCTCGCCAGCAAGCTTCGGAGATGATGTCGGGCAATCTCCGCGCTTTTGCCATGCCGTCGGCGGCCTCCGGGCTGTCGCTCCCTCGATAGCCGACAGGGACATGTGATTGATTGCTTGCCAAATGTCGCTGCACAAGCAGACAGGATCATGCCAGCACACACATGCATTGCGTTGATCTGCAAATACACTGCGATACGGCTGCTCCGCTGCGTTGTGGTTGTCGGTTCGTTGCTGTCTCAGTCACGCCGGCCAGCCTGCTGCGCACATCCGCCTGACTCACACTATCAATTTTTCCGGCCCCCTCGTGGCTGCTCATCTCGGTCACCTGAAAGTCACGTTGTATGTGGCGCAGCAAAAGTTGGAATCCGGCCATGGTCGGTTGACGGCATTTGGTATCACCTTGAGCCGATTGACGGTGGTGGTGGGCAATTGGTGTGGAGGAATGACCAATTGTATCATTGTTGGAAGCTCCACTCCGATTGCGGACAAGAACCACCACCATCTGAATCTCTCTGGTTGGAAACCTAGTCAAGCGTGGCTGTGTGTCAGCGAGATGACATGATCGTTTGGCTATCAGGCAAGACTCACCTTGACAAGATGTCTTCCCACGACTGATTGAGCGAGCGATGCGTTTCTGGATCTGAATCAAGGACGCCACTGCGCAGTATCTCTGCCAGCCCAAAATGCGCTGGTTTTGAGGAGAATTTTTCTTCCCCAAGGGCAGAACTGTCATGAACCGCGTTCCCACGCCCGGTGGATGGTTTCATGGGCGCCCCAACCCGTGTCCTGTTTCCTTGATGTGCAATGTTGGGTAAGGCACTGACATGAAACTTCCCGGCGGGCGAGGGAAACGTTCGGATCTAATCTCCCCCCGTCGCAGATAACCAATCTCCTTTGTAGTGGAAGAAAAATCTGCGGCGAACAAGGACGGCGTTTAGAGATATAAACGAGGTGCTGTGGCCTCAGAACCAGCACCTCACCTTGCCTCTTGTATCCTGCCCTTAGCCTATTGAATACACTCCCCTTCGTCCTACGACCGTCCGTTCGACTACCATCAGCTGTCTGGTGCCAAAGTCCAGCTCCGTTCCTGACAAGAACCAGCCATCGCTGCTATTTTCTCGCCAGATGGCTCCCAAGAGAAAGACACCCCCCGATCCCGACCCGGGATCACCCAATGATTCTCCTGTGGCCAAGAAACCCGTCATCAAATCGTTTCGTGCCTGTGGCCTGACCAACCATGTCAAACCCTTCACCAAGAAGTGCACAGCCAGAATCGACAGCAGCCCTGCCTCGGTCGCTGAAATGGTCAGCCAAGCACCCAAGGTCCCTGTATGTGCCACGTGCAAGCAAGTGGGTCATGCCAGAAGCAACACCCCAAAGTGCCGTTTCTATAACCCACTCTGGAGCTCTACCTTGCCTGACTGTGGCCCAAACGAGCAAGTCAAGGCCGACTACTCCACCGTCAAGTGCACTCTCGATGCCATCATCAAGAACGACACCTTGCACGACAAGATCGAGGATACTGTCCGAGCCATGACACACGTGCAGTACGAAGCATCTCGTCTCCTGGAGCTGCATCTCAGGCGGTGCTTGGACGAGGGCATCACCCTCCCCACTGTGTCGTCGAGTGAACCCGCGTTCGTTCGAAAATGCTTCAATATGGTGCAAACAGGAACAGTGGGTGCCAAGACGAACACCCCAGAAGATGACAGGCACCTCCTCGACACATATGAGCTGTATCGACGTGCATGGAGTGAGACGTGTATCCTGCCTCCAGTGTCCCTTCCAAAGGGTACTGGTTCACAGGTCCTTGGTTTGGCTGTCAAGACCTATGCTGTCAACTGCGAGACCCATATTCTCGATCGGTATTGGTCCCTTCTACGCCGATACTGCAATTTGGTCCTGGTTGCTCCCAAGGATGTGAAACGTCATACACACGTCGATGAGTGTATGAAGCTGATGGAGAATCCCCTCTCCAAGACACTCCTCGGTGATCTGAGGAAATCCTTCGCCCACCATGCCGACCAGTTGTATGAGTTTCGGTACGAAAGCCACCAGGACCTGTACAAAGTCGTATCAATTCTGGCCAGTGAGGTCTCTCGCCTGACCCACCTGAAGGAGGCCCTCTTCATGGTGGTCTTTCAGAAGATGATCATTCCCAGGCTCGTGAGGGATACCGATGTTCTGAAAGGAGAGCGTGGACGACTGAACGAGGAGATGTGTCAACCCATCGAACGTAGGCAGTCGGATCAATACAACGCACTCCAGACCCAGCACGAGGAGGTGTGCAAGCAGATCGCTGTCAACACGAAGCGGATCAAGCGACTGACCGACCGGCTTGCCCAGACCAAGAAGCGCCTCAACACCCCTCGAGCACAGTGCACCTTGGTCCCGCTCTGCGATGCCAGAGCTAAGTATGTCAAGCTCGACACCAAAGCACTGTGGGAAATCCTTGGATACCAGACTGGCACTGGTCTCAAGTGGGACGACCTGAAGACCAAGGTCAATGGCACCACAAAGCAAGAGATCTTCTGGCAGACCAACTTCAAGCTGGATCCGAGACTCTTTGGTGCCAGGGAGGAGGGGAAGCAGCTCTTTGGTTGCGAGATCACCACCGATGGGGTCGGGTGTTCAATCACCACGCTCAGATACAAGATCCTGGAGAAGAAGGACCCTGATGCCAAGCCAGAAACCGTGGACAAGGACGACAAGACACTCAAGCTCACTCCCGAGAAGAAGATCCAGACCAGGGTCGGTCCCATTGACGACTCTCGGACCACATGGATTGGGATCGACCCTGGTGTGGGATCGATCTTCACCGCTGTCATTCGAGCACCCAGTCAACCATCCATCCAGGAGCAAGACGGTGTCAAGGTGACCAAGGCACAGCGCGCCAACGAGAAGATCGTGTCGTTCTCCAACAAGGAGTACCAGCATCGATGTGGCACCACCCAGGCGACCAAGTGGATACAGAGCACCCACAAGATCCTTGGTCTGCAGAAATGGATGAGCACCACACCAAGTCCCAAGATCCCTGGGTTGGCTCCCTTCTTGCGATACATTCGCCATGTGTTCGATGGAGACATGCTGGACAAGCAGCTGTACTTCAGCCTGACCCGGCGACGGCGATTCAAGCGACTCGATCTCCACAGCAAGAGACAGCGCACCGTCCATGAAATGTGCAAGCAGGTCATTGACCAGGCACCAAGGGAGACCGAAGTGGTGATTGCCTTTGGGAATGCATCCTGGAAACAGGGGAAGGGATATGCTTCCAGCCCACGGAGACTCAGGTTTGCCAAGTACTTCGAGCAGTTCACCCACCACCAGAGACGCCCACCAGACCCATCCGTCTCCAAGATCCATGTGTGCTCGGTGAACGAGTTCAACACATCCCAGGTGTGCTCACATTGCCGGGAAGCCAAGCGACTCGAGTCACCCGAGCATCTTGATATCGAGAAACCACACTTTGTCCGGAGCTGTGCAAGCTGCCATACGCTGTGGGATCGAGACATCAATGCAGCCAGGAACATGATCTCGGTATGCCAGTCGATCATCGCCACAGGAGATCGACCGGGTCTATTCAAGACTGTGCTCCCGAAACCAACCAAAACAAAGAGATTGCCAACCAGGACGGGAAACAATCTCACGGCCTGCCCGCTGGGCCTACAAGTCAGTCAGCGGGCTTCAGAAGCCAGAAAGTGACTGTCCCGTTTCTTTCTGGATAGACTGTAAGCATCTTGTTCCTTGTGCATTTCGACAGTGGATGCCGGGTCGCCCATATTCTGGGCAGTCCACTTCGGGGTTGCCATCCCTCGGGATGGTCGATGGGAGGTGTTTGACTCCCTTGTGCAAAGTGTGTGTGCGTGTGACGGCGAGAGGCTTCTCGCCAGAGACTGCTCTTCTCGCCGACCGAGGTGGCTCCGAGAGCGCGTTTTTTCGTTCTCGCTCATTTTTTTAACAAGAAATTTTTTCATAGTGTCACTCGAACCGGGCTTGTGACGAGACAGCCGACCCTCAAAAAGAGCGGCAGCCCCCCAGCAGATCGAACATACCCATCCGATCGCATTGCATCGCACCGCATCGCATCGCATCGCACCGTATCGCACCGTCCCGCCTCGCCCCCGAGCCCCTGCACAATATCCTGCAATTCATCTGAAGCCATGTCCGACGACGCTGTTGCGCTTTTTCAGGCCATCGGTCTCTCTGAGCAGAAGGCAAAGGAGACGGCTGCCAACAAGAAGCTCTCTCCGAACCTGGTTCTGGTCATCAAGGAGGTGAGCCGTCGCAAGAGCGATCGAGGCGGGTGGACACGCCGGCGGACTGCAAGGGTGCCCTTTGTCAATTTCCACTTCGAGGCACCTTCCGTCTCGGTCTGCTGACGCATGTCCTGTTGCCCCAACTCCAGGGCGGCGCAGAGACTGGAGTCGAAAAGTCGGTTGGAGCTCTCTACTACAACCTCGCATCGACGGTCACCAAAAATGCCGTTGCCCATCTCCCGTACCTTGCCCGAGCCGTGCGGGACGCTCGTCTGACCACCAACGATCAGGTCTCAGGCAAGTTGCTGCTCCTGGCCCAGATCTGTACAGGCAGATCTCCGCGGTGCATGTCGATCTCGGCTCTTGCCACTCGCCACCACCGATCCGCGTGTCCTCCATCGATGGAAGCCATGGTCAACTGTGCTGGTGTCGATGGGATTGATGTTCGACGATGGGTCCAGTTAGATCCCATCCTGATCGGTCCTGTCCAATGGAGGGTCCTCAAGAACGTATTCAATCTATGTTCTCTCGTTCTAACCTCTGCTGATCTTGTCCCTCCAGCGGCCATCAAGTTTGCCGAAGCCGCCAAGGGAGATATCGACGACGGCGAGTTCGATGCCGCCTGTGGCGTGGGTATGTGCCTGCGTTCCGAGCCACTCCTGGGGCGTCGCGACCAGTGCATAGGTTGTTCGGACTCGGCATGCTGACGCCTTCATGTGCTCCTTGTCGGCCAGGTATCGTCGTTACCCAGCAGGAGATTGTTGAGACCGTCACCAAGTTTATTGAAGAGCGACGAGAAGAGCTCGAGCAGAAGCGGTACCAGATGCTCGGCTCTCTGATCAGCGGTCTGCGTCAGACGCCCGAACTCCGATGGGCCAGCTCGGTTGCCGTGAAGGAGGAGATTGACAAGCAAGTGCTCCAGATTCTGGGTCCGAAGGACGAGCGCGACGACCCCAAGGCCAAGGTTAGTGTACTCTCGAGTGCCGAGAGGGGCAGCACAGAGCACTTTATGCGAGTCAGGACGATGATCAGCGAATGGGGTATGGCGAGCAGACACGCTCGCCCCTGGCACGATCAGCGACCTTCCGCTGGCTTGATGGGGAGGCTCCGGACGCATGTTTGTGTTGATGTGTTCTGCGTAGATCAATAATCCATTGACATCCTTTCCAACCCATGGCCATCCACCATATCTTTCCAACACGCGGCTGCGTCCTCCTCCGGAACCGAACAATAACGGCAAACGATTCTGCATGTGGGGGTTGTCCGGACAACAGAAAAAGGCCGAGAAGAAAGACGTCAAAGCCCCTGCTGCGGCAACCAAAGAGAAGCAGGCCAAGACCGAGACCGCCGCCGCCGCGTCCAAGGAAGGCCGGGTTGCCGAGGCGGCCAAGAGCCTCAAGTACGTCTTCGAGGGCGAGCTTGCGCGCCTGCACAAGCCCGGAGGCAATCCCCAGATCCATCCCAAGCTGATGGAGGAGCATCTCAAGCGCACGGGCGGCAAGGTTGTGACCCGATTCCCTCCCGAGCCCAACGGATTCCTGCACATTGGTCACGCCAAGGCCATCAACATCAACTTTGGGTATGCCCTTGCCCACGAAGGCATCACCAACCTTCGCTACGACGACACCAATCCCGAGGCCGAGGAGGAGAAATACTTTGTGTCGATCCTGGAGACCATCAAGTGGCTTGGCTTTGAGCCCAGTGCGATCACATATTCGTCCGACCACTTCCAGCGGCTGTACGATCTGGCTGTCGAGCTGATTAAGCGCGACAAGGCTTACGTCTGCCACTGCACTGGCGAAGAGATCCACGCGATGCGCGAGGCCAATCCCCGCATCGAATGCGCGCATCGCAGCCGCCCCGTTGACGAGTCGGTCCGCGAGTTTGTCAAGATGAAGGAGGGCCGCTATGGCGAGGGCGAGGCGATCTTGCGCATGAAGATGGACATGCAGAACCCTAACCCCCAGTTCTGGGACCTGGTCGCTTACCGTGTGATGTTCACCCCGCACCACCGCACCGGCAACGCGTGGTGCGTCTATCCGACCTACGACTACACACACTGTCTGTGCGACTCGTTTGAGGATATCACCCATTCGCTCTGCACGGTCGAGTTCCAGCTGTCGCGCGAGTCATACTACTGGCTCGTTGACGCCCTGGAGCTGTACAAGCCCGTGCAGTGGGAGTACGGTCGACTCAACATCACCAACACGGTGCTGTCCAAGCGCAAGATCACCAAGCTTGTGGACGAAGGCATCGTCGGCGGCTGGGACGACCCGCGCCTGTACACACTCCCTGGTCTGCGCCGCCGAGGCTTCCCGGCCACAGCCATCAACGCCTTTGTGCGCGAGCTGGGCGTGACGACTTCAAACACAGTCATCCCTGTCGAGCGCCTCGAGAACTATGTGCGCGATCACCTCAACGATGTGGCCCCGCGTCTCATGGTGTTGCTGGAGCCCCTCAAGATCACGCTGACCAACCTGAGCGACGACTACCTTGAGGAAGTGACCGTGGCCAACAAGCCCCGCGACGAGTCCATGGGCTCGCACACCGTCCCATTCTCCAAGACAGTTTACATTGACGCCTCGGATTTCCGCGAGCAAGACGATCCCAACTTTTACCGCCTGGCGCCGGGCAAGTCCGTGGGCCTGCTGAACGTGCCCTTCCCGATCACGGCCAACAAGGTGGTCAAGGACTCGAGTGGCCGGATCGTGGAGATTCTCGCAACATACGAGAACAGCAAGGCCGACTTCAAGAAGCCCAAGACCTACATCCACTGGGTGGGCGAGTCCAAGAAGCACAACAGTCCCGTCAAGGTCCAGGTGAACCTGTACAGCAACCTGTTCAAGCACTCGAACCCCGCCGACAACCCCGACGGCTGGCTGGCCGACATCAACCCAGACTCGCTCAGCGTCATCCCCGAGGCATACGCCGAGATCGGCATCCGCGGCGCCCGCATTGAGGACTCGTTCCAGTTTGTGCGTGTGGGCTACTTTAGCGTCGACCCCGATTCGGACGTGAAGAAGGGGCGATATGTTGTCAACCGAACGGTTGGCCTGAAGGAAGATGCCAAGAAGAACTAGTGATGCTGCACTTGAGTGTAGACTATGGCGGCTCTGACTGGAATTTGAATATGATTGTCGGGACGCGGTTTTACAGAACCCATGATCGGCAGCACATTTGCCACGGGGGTGTAGATAGGGCGTTTGAGGGATGAGATCGGGGCCGTGTAGCCTTGGGTGCGATGTGCACTGATGGAAATGGCGGGCTTTGTGGACGAGCACTGCGACTCTGGGGACTGGCCGCTGCGAACGATGGCAGAAACTGAATGTATTCACGATCGATCCAGACAGAGGCTCATCCAGCATAGACTCAAGTTGCCTGTCTCACTGAGCGGGGCGCGGCCATGGCCGACAATGGCCGGCAGCGATGGCGATGCTCGAGAGCGGCGCGGCGGAAACTGCGTTGGGGCTCAGGCACATGGATGGTATCACCGGCGAGATGTGGGATCCGCTGGCGAGATGTGGGATTCACTGGCGAGATGTGGGATTCACTGGCGAAGTTTGGCCATGGCTTCCGACACGATGGCGTTGCACCTGGCAGCGATTGTGGAGTAAAGACGGTGCATGTATCGGCAGGCGCCGTTAGTCCCAGCCCAGGCTAGGCGACTGGTACACCACGCTGGATGAGCCTCTGTTCGAACAAGGCCGCACTTACATCTTGGCATAGGGGTTGGATTGGACCGCTTGCTTGGCGACCTCGTTGCCATGCCGGGCGCCCTGCGGACAGTGAATGTTAAGATTGACCATCGACAGGCTGGGACTGTCCTTGGATCCGTCGGCGGACCAGGCTAACTAACCTCGGCAAAGTCGGCCTCCGCGCCGGCCTCGTCGCCGCGCTGCTTCTTGATGATGGCTCGCTGAGTGTAGGCCTGTCGGCGGGGAGGCAATTGATCCAAGGGCCAGGATCAGAAGATGTTTGCGAGAGAGGAAGACGCTACGACAGACGAGGCATCCAGGGCGGCCGATGGCCTTGGTTGTCTAGCACTGCGACGACATTTGCCGACGCTGCGACATCCAACAGTGTCGGCGCACTTGCCTGTTTCAGGATGGCAACCTGACCCTGACCATGCTCGATGGCCTTGTCCAGATCTTCGAGGGCTCGCTCGCTGTCGCCCTTGATCCGCAGGGCCTGAGCACTGTTTGGATTGCCATGTTGGGTCGAGCGGGGTCAGCGAGCTGGGTCAGGAGCCTTGAGCTGAGGGATCACCATCTGCGAACGAGAAACCAAAAGCTACGCACCGGTTGTTGTAGGCTGAGGCGTAGTGCGGACACAGCTCGATGGCCTCAGAGAACTTTCCGATTGCACCGTCGATATTGTTCTTCTCGGCGAGCCCGACGGCGGCTCTCTCGAGCTCCTTGAGACGAACCATCAGATCAGGTTGAATGACTGGGGCTGCGCGTTGAGAGATTGGCTGCAGTGAGTTTGGATGCGATGCCACGATCCATGGACCGCTGACTCGGATCACCAGCGTCGACTAGCTAGTTAGTTGGCCGGCTGGCGGGTTTGCTGGCGGGTTTGTGGCTGGGGCCATCGACACGAGCAGAGCAGATACGGACCGGTAATTGTGGAGGGGTCGAGGTTGATGCCGTCCAAGGGCGCAAACTCCATGTTCTTGCTGAAGATGACATCGAGGATGTTCTGCGACAGGAAGGGCGTGAGTGTCTTGGACAAGAGCGGCCACAGCGGAGACAAATGGTGGCCATGGCGACAGGATGCTACCTGGTCTCGCTGGGACGTGGTCGGATCCATGGTCGATGAATGCTGATGTGTGTTGATGTGTGTTGATGTGTGTTGATGTGTGTTGATGTGTGTTGATGTGTGTTGATGTGTGCTGCGGCGGATGGGCGATGAGCAGATGCGGGCCGAGGGAGAATATCGAGGCGATGGGTTTTGGGATGCGCTGGGGCTGGCGGCTGGGATGCGCAACGGGGCTCGGAAGCGGCACCGCGCCACCGCTCGGCGATCTGGGATGACACAGAGCAGCCCCAGATTTTCCGGGCAGCCGGAGGGAAGCCGGAATGCTGCGCGCACGTGGTGGCCACAGGTGCGCGTGACCGACACGCACCCGCGAGTGGGGCGAGGAGCGAGAGCGCGGGCGAGAAGCGCCGAGAGCAGCGGCGTCGCACAGGCAGGACGCCCTTGCTCCGCGGGTACAGCCTTGTGCGAGGCGTGGCGCCCGCGCACCAGCGCCCCTTGCCTGCAACACACCAGCGACTGTGTGCAGGCGTGGCTGGGGTGTGTGGGCCGGCAATGTAAGGCCAATGTTGTCCGGTCGGTTGCACGGGGCCCTTGTCGCAGCAAGCCCCGGTACGGATGCTCGGCAGATGACGGGTCAAGCGATGACACGTGGGGCAGCAACAACGCGCACATGATGCGGCGCAGCGTCTCGGTCACACGAATGTCGTGCCGTGGCAGCAGTGGGACTGTGGCAGCAGCATCCGCAGTGCCTGTGTGTCTGTGTCGGTGTTTGTGCTTGTGGCTGTCCGACTATTTGTGTGAACATGTGCCGGTGTCAGGACAGCGTCGCACACACGGCTCAGCAGGGCAACACAGAGGACAGTGTCGCACCGAGCGCGAAGCCACGCAGGCAGCACACACGCATCGGGCTGGGTCCATTTGGGGCATCGCGCTGTTTGTGTGGGAGCGTGACCGCAGCCCCATGGCGCCTGGTGGCCTCTGTTGGGGTCAAACACGGCGGCTGCCGTTGCCGTTGCCGTTGCCGTTGCCGCAGTGGCAGCGGCAGTGGTTGTTGCTTTGGAAGCAGCGCTGAGGGCTCGCACAGCTCACATTTGTAGAGCTCACACTCACACTCGCACTCGCACTCGCACTCGCACAGCTCACAGCTCACAGCTCACACTCACACTCACAGCCCACACAGCCAACGCCAAGCCCCACTCCCCCGCACCGTCGCACACGCCCGCGGTCCGCGCACCCGCCCCGCTCCAAACACGGCTCAGTTCCGCTGTGGCTGGACCACCCACCTCGTCTCGCCTCTCGCCCGCCTCCTCCTGCGCTTTTTTTCGCTGTGGCCTCGCCCGTTTATAAGCCACCTGGGCCGGCCTTGGCCGGATTGCTCCTTCTTGCCCTTGAATGCATTGTCACCGTCCTCCTCCCAGGTTCGTCTCAAGGCCCCCCCCCTTCTTTGTTGCCTTCCCCGCCCAGCAAGCGCTGTCCTCTTCTCGTCCTGCTCTCTGCTGCTCACCCGCCTCTGTTCCTGGCCCCCTCCCCGCCCTTTTCTCGGCCCTCCCGTACCGTCGCCGGCCTTTCTCTCTTTCATCCTTGCTCAGCTCGTCGTTTCGCTGCCCATTGCTCCCTCCCATCCCCCTTTTCTTTCATTTCTCTCGACAAGAACTAAAGGACCTCCTCCCTTTGCCACCCATCCTCATCCCATCACTAATCGCTGCAGTTCCTCGTCGCCCTCAAGGTCGTCACCAACCCCCATCTCCAGAGCATCCCTGTCCTCCTATCCGTCCCCTCCAGCCGGTGCCCTCGGCCGCCTTCCCTCGGAATCTCATCGCCTTCTTTTCGCCTTACAAGGAGCCTTCGTCTCTGCCTACTCTCTGGTTGCCTCAAGTTCTGCCGTTGTGCCCTGGTCCTGAGCGTGCCCACAGTCTCCTCCCGATCACCACCCGCCTGTGCTTTGTCGCTGTCTCCCTCGTCTCTTCCTCTGCCTTCATTCGAGCCCCAGGCGCTGTATCCATCCAGTCTCTGTGTCCTCCTCCTTCATTCCGATCGCATCCACCCCCGTCTCTATCCCTTCAACTTTTCCGTTCATCATCTGTCATGTACTCGGCCACAGCCTCCTCGCAGGACTGGCGATCGTCTGATCTTGGCGCTGTCAATCCCCATATGCTCGCCTCGTCGCCCTCCTCGTCCACTCCCTCGCACTACTTTGCCCAGTCACCCGCCGGCAGTTCCGCTCCCACCACAACGGCCGCCCCGGCTCTCGATGGCTCCAAAGGACCTCATTCCGTCTCCTCGGCCGGCGCATCCTCGGCTGGCAAGCCCCCGGCAAAGCCTGCCGACAAGTCTGCCGCTGCTGCCGCCCAGAAGCCCAAGCGCATTCCTCGCCCGGCCAACAGCTTCATGACCTACCGTGCCGACAAGCTGCAGAGCACCCTCGCCGACAACCCCGGCGCCAGCAGCAAGGATGCCTGCAAGATCATTGCCAAGCAGTGGCATTCCGAGCCCCCCGAGATCAAGGAATTCTACAAGAACAAGGCCAACCAGGGTCGGCTCGAGCACCAGAAAAAGTACCCTGGCTATCGATACACCCCCACCAAGAAGAAGGCTCCCGAGCCTGCCCCCAACACGGCCGTGCGCACGCCTTCCACCCCCGGCAAGCACCCCATCAACGGCGGCCCATCACGGCCCCTGGATTCGAATCAGTCGCAGATGGCCGGCATGCCCATGATGCACCCGTATGCCCACTATCCCTCGCCGCTCATGAGCAACATTGAGCCGCACTTCTCCCCTCAGCCCCAGCACGTCTACCCCTCTGCTGCCCAGGGCGACATCCAGCGCGGCTCGCCCATCAGCACCGCCCATCGCAAGCCTGCCGATCCAGGCTTTGTCGGCCAGGCTCAGGCCTCTGGTGCCGGCTACTACCGATCCGATCACCACCCTGCCGCCCAGCGCTTCCAGCAGCAGCGCACCCGGTCCAGCCCCTATTCTGTACCCTATGCCACCCCCAGCGGCCCCTACGACGGCGCCATGGCCTATCCGCCCCAGGCCGCTGAGACCGGCAATCTTTCCGGCCAGATCGCCTCGCAGTATCCGCCTCAGTACATGGCTCCCTATCCTGGCCAGCAGGATTCGTATGCCTCCGCACTCGGCACCTACTCCTCGTACCCGGGCTACCGTCCCTCGGTCGCCCAGCCCCAGAGCGGCCTGGTCCAGCCCTCGAGCATCTACTCGTCCGATCAGCAGCAGCAGCAGCAACAACAGCAACAGCAGCAATCGCAGCAGCAATCACAGCAGCAGCAACATGCCTCATCTCTCTCCCAAACTCTGTATCCATATCCCGCAAGCCAATACGACGACGCCTACGGCACCTACAAGGGCAGCGCTACCCAAGCCTCGACCCAGGGCTCCTACCGCGCCGAGGTCTCCAACGGCTACTCCGCCAAGACGTCGGGCTACACCAGCCAGGTGTACAACGCCCAGTCTTCCTCTGGCAGCGCCCTGTATGGCCAGCCCGGCATCTCGATGGTGTCCAGTACTTCGGTGCCATCGTCGCTCGTCCCTGCCGTCGCGGACGGATTCTCTGTCCCCAACTCGACAAACCCGGTAAGCATGTCTTCCGCACTCCCCAGACAGTGCGCCCCACATTAGCGTTCTCTCGTGTGCCATCCCGTCTGCTCCTGCGCGGTTGTGATTGGTACCGCGTTTCCCTCCATGGGCCGCCGACCTCACGGGTGTCTGTCTGCACCGGCTGCATCCTGCCTTTGCTCTCACCTTGTTGCTCACGCAGTATGTCGCTAACTTTTCCTCTATCGCGCCCTCTTGCAGTGCTGGAGTTTCAACTCGCAGCAGTAAGCCGCGACACCGGACGGCTCTGTCATTGCATATCTGGGCCGTAATGCCTGGTCGGGCCCCGGAGAGCGCCTCCTGGTCCGGCCACAAGGCACATGGGCTTCAATTCGTGCAGACACTTTGCCGTCGTTGTGCTGCCCGAGGGATGGTCTTACTTTAATTGCGACCATCCTCGTCACTGCCCGTTTCCACTTTCATTTCCATTTCCCTTTTTACTTCCTCCCTCCCTTAATCTCGCGCTACAGCTAGCTATCGTCACTATTCTCACCGCACCCATTTCTTGCAAGCTTTACCCTGAACAAGTTCGCGCTTGCACCCTGTTCTATGTTGGTTTCACCGCTCTCATGGCCATGCGCCCGCCCCTCCGATGTTTCTTTCCTCTTGTGTTCGTAGGATTCCGATCGCCGAGGCATCATCGCCACACCCCCCTCCTCTCTCCCCTCCCCAATTCATATAGAGCATGTGTATCCATAGCATTTCTATCTTCATCCCACGCCCCTTCCATGGTCTAGACTTCATGTCACTTTGCGTCATTTCCATCCCGCAGTTGTGTTCTCTCGTATCCGGCTCGAACCTGTCGAATCCTCGCTCGTGTTCTGCTCATCCGAAGGAGGAAAAAATAACATCAAAGGGACCGCAAAATGAACTGAACCTGCGCTGCATCCTGGGGAGGGGCCGGTGTCATGGGGGGCCCTGATACACAGCGCATTTCTGTGCATTTCCGTGCATTTCCGTGCGTCTTTGGTGTATCACGTGCCTCGCTTACCTAACGGCCTGCGCGCGTGTGGTTGGTCGGCGTGGTCCTGAAGAAAAAGTCGGCCTTGCGTTTTTCATTTTCGCACTGTCACGAAACCGATCCGATCCGATCCGGCTGGTCCTGCGAAAGCAATCAAGGCAGCCGCCCGTTGGCCTTCTCCTCCTCTTCCTCCTGGCCTTTGCTTCGCTCAAGCAGCCCTGCTCTGCCTACCGTTCCATCGATTGACAATCGACGTTTGCCGTGTCTGTGCGCCTGTCTCTCGCTCGATCTGGACTTGTCGAGGCTTACCAGCATCCCAACCACACCAGCCTTTCCGGCACTCAGAACAGCATCTGTCCCCTCCACTCAAGCTCCCCAAAGCGTATCCTTCGAGACCGTCGGAATCCCCGCTTCACTTGACTCCTCACCCTCCTCGCCAACACACACGCCCTTCACAATCGATACAAGCGACACAGCCATGAACGCCTCAATGATCAAGCGCTTCATTCCCTCCCGGGCCATGGGCAGCTGCTCGTCACTGCTGCCATCAGCATGCGTCGCTCGAGTCCAGATCCGCCATTACGCCGAGGCCAAAACGGGCCAGAAAAAGAAGCAAGCTGAAGGTATGGATCATGGTCGATAGACGTTGCCGATATCGAGCCATGGAAGCTGGATCCGAGACTCGCACTGATCGGCACGGCCCTGTCCGACTGTCCCTGCCGCCCTTCGCTGTCGCATCGGCTGGTGTGGCCGAGGCAGACCTCCGGTATCCGCGCTCACTCGCTAATACTCATTCCCAATACCTGCGACACGGACAACGGACATCCGATCTGGAACGACTGCCTTCGAACAACTGACGCTGTCGAATACGGACGCTCTCTGTTCATCACGATCTCACGATGCGGACGCTCTCTGTTCATCACACAACTGTGATGCGGCCATCGGATAAACACTGCGCTGTCACAACGTCACTATCTTACACCGTCCACGCAATCACCACGGGGCACTGTCGAACGTGACGGATGGATCGTGCACCTTGTGGTCGGCGGATGATTTCGTGGCGACCCGAACAAATCGACTCTGCCATATATGCAAAATGCTGCGGCGGTTTTAGACGATCCCGACGTCGGAACCTCACTCGGCCCGTTTGTATCAAAACCCGCCGCTGCCCCTCTGGCAAACCTTCGCGACAGCGGCAAGACCTTGGCCGAGCTTGGGCTGCACAAGAACCCACGAGGCGAGACGGACCGGGTCTGGTTGATGCGGTCGATCGAGCACGAAAACCGAGACCGATACGACCTTGACGGACGCGGCGAGCTTTTCGACCGCAACTCGCCGCACTCGGTCGAGCCCGGCTCCGTCCTGCTGGTCGAGCAAGTGACCTCGCGATCGCGACCCAAGACCCAGGTCTTTGCCGGCATCCTGATTGCCATCCGCCGAAAGGGGATCCGCACCACTTTTGTGCTCCGAAACTATGTCTTGGGCACGGGCGTCGAGATGACCTTTCCGCTGTACTCGCCCATGGTCAAGCGCATCAAGGTCCTGAAGGGCGTCCGGGGTGCTGTCGACGGCGACGACATGCTGTACATTCGCGACGAGCCTGCCAAGGCGCCGTTCTCGTTCTCGATGATCGACGAGATGCTGATCCGCCACCGCGAATACGAGCGCAAGCTGAGCGACAAATAAACCCACACACCCGCATACATGTATACATGAGCAAGGAGCTGCAATCCATCGTTAGAGTGGACGCAACCGCAAAGCGATGCGGTGCGATACCGCGCAATGCGATGCCAGCCGACCGAGCCAGGGCCGTCGACAGAGCGCACGCCCCCCGATCGATCGAAAGCAGGCGCGCCCCTTGCATCAGCGCATCAGCGCATCGGCTGGCTGGCTGGCTGGCTGGCTTTGTCGATCGTCTGGGGCGTGGCATCCAGCGACCCCTCCCTCTCCCAAGCCGAGTCCCAGGCCGTGGCCGTCACACATCAAGTGCCCGGTCGCCAGAGCGCACTGGCCCCGCCCAGAGCTTGTGCGCCGACACCGAGGCCCAAACGAGCAACAGACGCGGCGTGCGTGTGTGCGCGGGACGACCGCCTCGCTGCCGCTCTCGCCAGATGCGCCGCCGCAGTCCGCACTGTGCGCAGCAGCACGTTGCTTCTCGGCCCCGAATCTCTCGCTGCCTCTCGCTGCTTCTCGCCGGCCCTCGCCCTTTGTGCCTTGTCGCCTCGGATGCTCTTCGCCAGGGTTTTCGACGCCGTTTCCATAGCGTCCTCGGCCCGCCATCGTCCTGCGTTTTCTCTTTCGCCACTTCGTCACCTCCCCCCCAGGCAGCCTGCTCGCACACCCTCCCCGTCTCGCCCTCGTCGTCGCTGCTCTCCCCCGCCCCTCATGGCTCCCTCCGTCTTGGTTCTGGGCGGTGTCGGCTTCATCGGCCGCCACTTTGTCGCCTATCTCATCGAAAACAACCTGGCCTCCAGAGTACGCGTCGCCGACAAAGTTCTCCCGGCGACGGCCTACCTCTCCGAGAAGCATAGGGTCGTCTTTGCCGATCCCAGGGTCGAGTTCAAGCAGTCCAACCTTGGCAACGCCGGTGGGTCTTCGTCATTGCTCTTTTTTTTTGTCCATCCGCTGCCCTGCTTCCTCCTCCACCAGTGCCGCCAGCCAGTCAGCCAGCCGACCAGCCAGTTATCGGCCTCTGGCGACGAGGATGGCTGGGGGTCCGTCGATCCCCGGACGGCATCCTCAGATGTCTCGGTACAGACGCATCTCAACGACTTTCGGCCTACTCGCTGAGACTCTGGCATGCGGTCGAGGGCTATGGCTCAATCCGGCAGAATGCTCATCGTCCGGGCCGGACTGTGAGTTCATGCCAACGGCGCTTGCTGTGCTCTGAGCCTCTTGGGCACTCACGGCCTGATGCCGGTGGCTGCCTCTTTTGGTTGGCATCGAGTCCAGGGCGGCCGGGCCATGCCATATCCGCCGCTCGCTGCCTTCGATGCCGCGACCCTGTCGCTCCCAAAAATGCCCCGAGAACCACTGCTCCAGAGCCAGCATCGGTCGTGGTCGGCCTCCACTCGTCAGCATCCGGCGTTCGGAAGCCACCAAGCACATCATTCGCTGGACAAGAGGCCGCGCCCGACGTCGGCCCTTGGTTCCGTTTACGCAGACCCCACCCACTTTGTCGCCACCGACCTGCACCCATACCCCCTTATTTCGCGACCCTCCCTCCGTTGCTCGACTCTGTCTTGTTGTTGCGCTGACGATATATCCTGCAATCACCCCAGCTTCTGCTGAGCGAGCCTTTGCCCTGGATGACGGCTCCGAATTCGATTACGTCTTCAACCTGGCTGCCGAGACCAAATACGGCCAGACCGAGGAGGTAATGGCATCAGCGTGGGCGGTGCACGTCCTGGTTTGCGGTGGGATGTGCCCCTATGTGTTTACCACCGAGTCCCTCTTGCGACCACCGCTACCCTTTCGCCACCCACCGCATGGCAATCGCACATGCACAAGTGCTGCGCCGTGCAGTGTTGGCTTCGAGGTACGGTGATGTGGTCAGGCAGTGTTGGCTTCGTCCACACTAATCCCGCTCTCGCTCTGTACAACCTGGCCGACCCATGGGTCCATCGAAATGGCTCCCCTATTCCCACCTCGTCGAACGCGACTCCCTCCCCAATGGCCTGAATCCGATCCAACGTGCCCGGCTCTACTTTCTTTGCCGGCTATGCAAACTCGAATTGAATCGAATCGAACTGAATCGAACTGAATCGCAACCCCTCGCCACCTATCGTTGTTCCCAAACATGATCACGCTTGCACAATGCGACGCTGCACTGTCTCCAAACTATGCGCGCATCTCTGCAGGTCTATCACGATAAGGTTTACCAGGTCGCCATGGTGGTTGGCAACGAGGCCGCCAAGCGAAAGGTCAAGGCCTTTGTTGAAGTCAGCACTGCTCAGGTTTATGAGTCCGATAAGGTCAGCGACAAATGCCTCTTCACAAGCCACCCTCTCCTCCCCAAGCTCACTGGTCGGCGCGGTGGATCTGATTACTGATGCGTCTCGATCTTGAGCTTGCTGCGAACCACTTGCTCATTGCAATCTTCCATTTCATCCACGCGTGGCTTTGATTGCATGCTATTTATTGGTGCACCGGCTTTGGTCTCGGATGTGCGCCGGTTGCATCTCAATCCAACTCCATTCAATTGGACTGGATTCAATCTGGCAGAGACCCTCTACCGAGGAGTCTAAGCTGAAGCCCTGGACTCAGCTTGCGAAAATGAAGCTGAAGGCTGAGGAGGACCTGCGAAAGATTCCCGGGTAAGCCGGTCGATCTCGAGTGCCGCTTCTATCTCGGCTGCCAGTTCTGTTTCCGTAGCCGGCTCGGACGGTGTGTCGGTCCCGCATATGCCCAGCTCGCTTCGCTTGGTCGTGCGTTTTGGAGCACCGCGTGCATCCCACGTTCGTGCCGGTACCGACCATGTTCATTCTCCGCTGACATGCCGCCGATGCTGCTGCCGCTGCGCGACTCGACTAAAATCGATTTGCATCTCTCTGTTTGGTATGCAATACCAGTCTCAACCTTATCATTCTGAGACCAGCTGTCGTCTACGGCCCTAACGACATCCTCGGCATCAGTGAGTGGCGATTCTGCTCCGGAAGCGTTTTCTGGATCACCACCACCGATGCAATGCCGCAATCGTACGCCGGCTGGGATTGCAACTGACCGCCCTCGTCGCTTTTGCCCCATCAGCTCCCCGCCTGATCATCGGTGCTGTCTATCGCCAGCTGCAAGAAGAGATGAAGCTGCTGTGGACCAAGGATCTGAAGATCAACACCGTCCATGTTTACGATGTGGTTCGTGTTTGTCGTGGGTGTGCTGCACGTACGTCATCCACAGCCGCCTCGAGCACGTCTCTAACGTCAATCTTCCCTCTCCTCGTGCCAAAATCTTCTGCTACTCCCAGGCCACCGCCCTCTGGGCTGTCACTGCGTCTCCTGCCGAGAAGGGTGGCCGCACCACCCCTCTTGCTCCTGGAACTGCCGAGATTTACAACTTGGCTGACAAGTCGGACACAGGTCGGGAATTGAGTTAGTCGTGGCCCTCGCGGGGGTAGCAATGGCGGAGCGACGCCTGCCCCGCTCCTCTTTGGTCGTGGATTCCATGTGCGCGGAATGACCGGCCGTCACTAATGGCCTTGCTTGACCAAACAGACCAGGGCTCGATCAACGAGCACATCCAAGCCATCTTTGGTATCCAGACTGGATATCAGGGTACTGTCATCAGCCAGTTTGCCAAGGTATGCAAGATCGCAGCGAGGTTGGCCCGCGGCAGGAGCTCTTGCTGGCTGGCGTCCGAGGATATTTCAACGTTCTTGAGCCTCCGAAACACACTGTTTCTGCCTGCCGCATGCATCCATCGACGATATCTGCGAGAGATTCGTTGCTCAACGAGCCATAATAGCACCGGCACATGTCTGGACCAACCCTCGTTTCTGACATCACACTTGTGCTGCTACAGCTGAACCTTGACTCGGTCACTGAGGACGTCAACGATAAGCATCTCCAGCCCTGGTCGGATCTGTGCAAAAACGGCGGTGTTGCCAATACCCCTCTGACTCCTTACCTCGACAAGGAGCTGCTCAAGGACAACGCCACCAGCATCGACGGCTCCAAGGTAAAGATCCGTTGTCTGCCCTGCATTGGCAATGTCCACTCTCGCGTGCATGGTCTGCCTGCACCGAGGACTGCTGCGTCTCTGCTGTGGCGCATCAGACGCCCTATGGCGCATCAAAGCCTACATCAATACTCACGCGCGACTGATCTTCCTTTGGCCATCCATGTCTATCCAGATCGAGAAGGTCTTTGGATTCACCTACAAGCACCCCGTATTGACGGAAGAGAGTCTGCGCGCCGTTGTCACTGATTTCGAGGCCATCGGCATCTGGCCCAAGGGCACCACAAAATAGAGCAAACAGAGCCTTGACACATACCTTCTCTGTCTGCTTTTTGGCTGCCTACCCCCCCCTCCTCGCCCTTCCGAAAGAAAGAGACTAACGCCTACCTCCCACCGCTTTACTGCTCAGCCGACGAACATGTCTGGCCTGCAATCGCTCTCACCCTGTCGTTCGACTTTGATTGTTTTTCTTCTACCCTCTCTTCTCACCATTCGCCCCCTTCTTTTTTTTTTTTTGCCTCGTGCGCTCCACTGCTTATCGGTTCTCTTTTCCTCTCCGATCGAACTCGTGCCTTTCTTGAGCTCTTTTCCTCCCTTCCCTTCACTTCGCTTAACTTCTTTTCTTCCCTCCCGCCTCTCGGCCTGCCCTCCCAACAACCGCCTTTGTCAGATACTTGAGCTGAGACGAGATTGAACAAACAAATAAATCCTCCAAAGTCTTCGAACTCCCATCTGTTCCCCTCCCTCGGAAGCCATTCTGTTCCGGGCTTGCCTCTCTGTGTTCTCTGGATCCGCCTCCTCCTCGATTCCCAGTTGTTGACTGCCGCTGCTCCTACCGGTCTCGAAATCTTGGCTTGTGACCGAATGGATCGTGCGCTGGCTACGACTGGATTTGCGCACCGGCAGGGATCACCCAAGAAGAAAGCTCACTCCAGCTGACAGGTGGGGTGGTATTTTGTTCGGCCGATTGCCAACGCAAATGTACAAAACCAAAGTCGAGCGAGCAAGGTGGGAGAAGCACGGTCAATCGCAGCCAAAGAAGGTCGGGGACAGGATGAGGGGGAGGAGGAGGGAGGAGGGTGGAGGGAGAAGCGGTACCACCAACACAAACAATTAGAAAATCCGGTTTCGAACGCACAAAACCCCAGCCGGAAGGGCTCTGGGAGGTTTGCGGGATCCATGGCACGCGCTCGTCAGCGAAACCCGAGTAGTGGGAGGCCGCAGCAAAGATGAATCTGCCCATCTCGTGTGGATTATGCCGAGACGGGCGACTGTGCGCCGGTCAAAGCCCTTGCCATTCCATCAAGCAAGCCCATCCAGCTTGACCTGCAGGGCATCAAGCCGTTTCTGGAACTGTTTCGGAGCCACCGAGGCCATCCACCAAGCCGGGACGGTCGGCCCGTAGATCTGCAGAGAAGCGTCGACGATGACAAACTCGGTATCGACCTCGGCGCTGTCCTCCTCGATCAGCCTGAGCTCGTCCGAGATGACGTACTGGGCGACGAGCGTGGACTGCAGCATCGTGAACTTGTCCTGAATGACATAGACCGTCTGCAGATTGACGGACAGGGGTCAGCTTGTGCTCGGTGGAGCAGCAGCAGCAGCAGCAGCAGCAGCAGCAGCAGCAGCAGCAGCAGCAGCAGCAGCAGCAACGGCAGTAATATCGGTGGCGGCAGCAAGTGAGGAGCAGGACGCTCCTCGCTTTCAGCCCATGAAACGCTTCCACGTGCGAGAGACATTCCCATGAAGTGCACGCAAGCCACATGGACCGCACCCATGCATGATCAGCCCCAGGCCTCTGAGTCACCGCAGCCATGCAGCGCCGCCGAGTCACACATGTCCTAGTTCGCCATCGCAGCGGGCGCTCGCGCCAAGACTCGCTGGACCCGCTCGGACAAGCGCTCGGAATCACAGGCGGACGCAGGCAGCGAGCGGCAGCCACCAGCACGCTGTTCCCGACAGCGACCGATAGCGACCGATAGCAACCGATAGCGACAGCGCTCTTTCCGATAGCTTCCGAGGGAGGGACCGCACCGCTTGTCTGGGCTTACCTTGGCATCGCGAGTCTCCTCGTAAAAGGTTCGAAGAACCAGGGTTCCGACAGCAGAGTGCCGGGCGTTGGAGTCGGGCTTGAGAGGGCGGTGGTGGACGAGGGTGTAGTAGATTTCGTTCTTGCCACCCTCCATAAACTTGACATCGGAGCCGACCTGGTACTCATCCGGCGGTGCCGCGACCTCGTGAGCGACGTAGTCCACGACCGAGGTGAGGAATGAGGCATAGGACTTTTCGATCACGGCCCCTTCCGGGCTGAGCTTGAGTGAATAAAAGGTCACTGGATCGAGCAGGTACTCAAAGACTCGGTGGGCTGGCGACCCTGCGGCTGGGTCGAAGGAGCTCGGGATGGTGGCGGGAATCAAGGGATCGGCCGAGTCCTCGTCGGGCGAGAGCTGGCCGGACGAGACCTGGAATTCGTGGGGGGATGACGACTCGGGGGCGTCAATCGAGATTTGCGGCGGCAGCTGGAATGGATGCTCGCCGGTCGGCCCCATCGGCGGCGAGACGACAATTGACTGATTGACGACAAAGTTCCAGGAGCTCGTCAGCAGGACCGAGTTGGTGATGTTGTAGATAGACGCAGACAGGTCGGCGACGTTGCCGGGCGAGTTCAGCGGCTGGGGACGGGGCGATGACGAGGCCGAGGGGCCCGAGACCTCCGAGGGCAGCGAGATGAGGTCGTTGGGATGGTCCGAGTCTGAGGGAACGGCGGACTGGGCCCGGAAGAGCGACGAATGCAGGGAGGCTGAGGCTTTGGGCGACGCTGCCAGGCGACGGGTGCCGAGATGCAGCTTGCGGGTGACGGGCGACCCAAAGAACTTGACATTGGTGGTGAATACGACCACGAGGATGAGGGTTGATCAGGGCGATGACAATGCCGGGGCGGTATGTGGTCGTGCGGTGTTGTATCAGGAGGTGTCGATGTTCGAGGCGGAGCACGCACAGAGTTGGTGTGGGATCAAGGAGTAATGTTATCATGGGGAGAATCGAATTCGCATGGACAAGTCGATGTGGGAAGGACGAGATGATGGGATCAAAGTTAGTGTCGGATGCTGCAGCAACGCCGTGGCAGAGCTGGGAGAGGGGTGAAAATGCGACGGCAGTACCAGCGGCAATGCGACTTACGAGATAGTATGTGGCCAGGGCCGAGCAGCCCAAGGCGGCGACACCCAGCGAGATGCTGGAGGACGAAGGGAGACTCATGGAGCAGGAGAGCGGATGGGTTGATGGGATGAGGGAGATGAGGTGGGATGAATTGGGGCTGGGCGAGCAAAAGTCGAATGAATGGGCAGACAACGAATGGGACGATTGCACAGCAGAATGCAAAGCCAAGGCGGCGAGACGAACCGGAAAGGTCGGCGGGAGGATCAGAGGAGAGTCCAGCAGGACCAGAAAAGAGTCCAGCAGGGCAAAGAGTCCAACGGGCACACCGGCAGGGCAAACCAGCAGGCAAACCAGCACGCAAACCAGCAGCCAGGCGATGGCACCCCTCGCCTCACAGGACAGACCCGCGAGCCAATCTCCGACCGCGCAGCCCAGCACGGGGTCACGCCGGATTTGGCAAGGTCTGTCGGCGACGGCGAGGCCACACCGAGGCCGCTCTCGCCGGCCTTCTCGCCCCGAAGCAATGTCCGCCCGCCACGTTACAACTCACGTGGCTCCTGGACACGCACGTGCGCGGCGCGTCGGGCTCCGCCGCTCCATACAGCGCCAGCCAACCAGCGCGCGTGCCGCCATACACACACACTCTGCGGCTCGATCCGCGCGGGCAGCTGCGCGGCGCCACAGAGGCTGCTGGCTGCAGCCAGCTGCAGCCGGATGCATCCGGCCGGGCCAAGCGGCAACGGCGGCACAAACGACATTGGGCGGCAATGGCGGCCGCATTGCCTCGCATTGCCTCGAACTGCCTCGCATTGCCTCGCATTGCCTCGAACTGCCTCGCATTGCCTCGCATTGCTTGTGCTGTCTGCCTCGCATCGCCCTCAAGACCAAGTCCATCGCCCTCGAGACTCGTCCATCGCTCTTTGGTCTTGATCTTGCCGAGGTTTGTCTCGGCCATCGGCCTACCGCTCCGTCGCCACTGCCCTTCGCTGCCCTTCGCTGCCCTCCGCCTTGCCAAGCTGTCCACGCTTCCCACAAACCCATCATCAGGTGAGCTCCCCCGGTCCCATCGCTGCCACTTGTCATGTCCGGTCTGCTTGTCTATTCCGCCACCACCTCGCGGCTTGCATCATCACCGGTCGCTGCGTCATTCGCGCCGTGGCCTCTTTCCCACCACCCTGGCCACCCCGGCCACCCCGGCCACCCCGGCCACCCATCTGTCGTCGAACGCCGCCCCTCCTTCCCACCCGCCAAGGACCATCGCCCTCTGTCCTCCTGCTGGGGTTTTCGGTCCATCTTCGTGTCCCCGCATTGATCTTCTATCGGCACTTTGAACTCCCCCCCCCGCATTGTCCGGGCGGTCCCAGACGCATCCATCACCAGCATCCCACCACCACCACCACCACCATTCGCCAGCCATGGACCACGACCATCCCGATAGCCTTCCCGGGTCATCAAACTCTTCAAATGGCCCCCCTCCGTCCAACAGCGATGCCAAAGAGTCGATCTCTGAAGAGCAGGCTTCGCCGCGGATAGCCTACCGCCCACCAACACCGCCACGACACAAGCCCGGCCCCGATGCCCCCGATACCCTTCCGCCTCTGCCTCCAAATGCCTATTCGAATCAGCATCCCAGGGCCGCAGAGCCCCTGCATACCCGTCACGAGCCATATCCGGCTCTGCCAGCACCAGCGCCTGCCCCTGCGCCTGCCCCTGCTCATCTGGGCTCCTACGGACACTACAACTTCAACTCAGAGATATATCCAAGCAGCATCGGCTCAGCACCGACTACCCCCGTTGGCCTGTATTCGTCCTCTGGCGGCAGCGGCCCGGAGCTGCTGGCGACTCCGCCTTCCTCTCCCACCGCACGCTCCCCCGTACTGCGCTCCAGTCGGACCCAGTTTCGTCTGGAGCTGCAGCGACAGCAATTCCTGACCGAAGAGCGAGACCTGGCCAAGCAGCATCAAGTCGAGCGCATCCGCCGCGAGTCTGAGCGCCTGGGGCTGGAGTACCAGTCCCTCGTCACCAGGACCGGCGTCAATCCCATCGCCGAAAGCATCCACCGCATAAGCAAGCTCCCAGAGACCTATTCGAACTTTACTCTCTTTCCTTCGGACGAATCCCCCCTCGGCTCGGCGCTGCATGTCCTTTCCTCCACCTTTGGCCTGGGAGACCACGGGACCTCCTCGCTCCGCCACGATCTGCTTCACGAGCCCAAGCCCCGCCGCGATGCCTTGGGGCTCAAGAGCATCCCGTGGTCCTCGGGCTTTGCAAGCCAAGGTCCCTCGCGCAATGCCTCGCCTATTCCGGAGCATCCTCCTGCTCTGGGCCAGCGCAGCCCGCTTCCGAACGTCCCGCCTGCGGCTCCGGGCCATGCAACGGGATCGACTCGACATCCTTCGCAACGGAAGCGCTCCACGGGATCCGACCACGGCGATAGGGCTGCCCTCGACAAGCCTGCGCCCGCCGCCCGCCAACCCCAAGACGGCCACATCCCACGCATCCACTCGGGCACACAGCAGTATCTGGATCAAGAGCGGCCCGCTCGACGCTCGGGCTCATCAGGGAGACGAGGAACCCCACCCGCCCGCCGAGACTTGTCGTCAAGTTAAGGGTGGTGTCGGGCTGAAACCTTGATCACTTGACTATCCTCGAACTATCTTTGTTTTGCTCATGTGTCTGTCCAATATGGCCAGCCTGCTCCCTATCTCCGCTGCGGCCCACAGTACTCCGAACAAAGAACAGTCTATTAATTCGGCAACTTTCTCCAAACGATGCTCCAAATCGTCTGTTGCCCATCCTCTCTATGGCTTGGCCCTCAGCCAAGCACCAGGCCCTATGCCAAAATACGCTTGACCTCGGCTACCTGCTGGCCCCAGGCTCGATGATATCCGCAGGCATCACTACGGAGGGTGTCTTGCTTTCGGCTGAACTCTGCCGCTCCTCTTTCCTCCGCAAGTATCGTGTGTGGGAAGCAACCGGCCGAGCCGAAGCGCCGCTGTGGGCACACGACCGTCCGGAGCGGAGCCGAGCGCACTTCCACCCCGCCCCGAATCCACACAGAGTCGAGAATGGACCCTTGTCTGTGCACCGGGATCGTATCGGCCGATACCCGCTCGTGCTGCTCTCTCCGCCGCCGCCTGGGCGGCTTTGGGCGATGAATGTTGTACCATAGTCGAATATACTCCGCTCCTGCCTGTTTCTTCCGAGGGTTTCTGGATGCACATCGTGCGAGATGACTAGACGGACATGTATTCAGGATCCCAAAGGCCTGGCCCACCCGCTTGCCCAAACAGGACGTCCCTGCCGAGCACCACAAGAGTTACAGCCAATGGATCCAGAGTCACTCAGACGATGAATTGCTTGCTGTTTCTCTGACAATCCCGCGATTCACCGCAAGGCCAAAACGAGACAAAATGCCTTTGCGAGAAAAGTCTGCTGCACTGTAGCTCGAACGGCAACATGGCTGGCAAAACCAAAGCCAAGAAAGAATGGATGAAAGGAGAGGAAGATCGAGTCGACGAATCTAAGGGTGGGGGAGTGCGTGACCCTCTCCCCGATGTTCTCAGAGTAGAACAGCACGCTGGTGTGAGTTGGGAGGCTGGATGACAGGATGTCATGCTGGTATGTGAGTATGCTTGCCGGATGAATGCTATTGGCTACTTTTTCTTGGAGACGAAGCTGATGCCGCGATTGATGCGGTACTGCACCAAAATGCCAATGATCCACAAGATAATCACAGCCACGAGCATTCCGTAGACGTTGTTGTTGACCCTGGTTGGGAACGATATTACAAGAAAAAAACATGCAGAAGGACCGAGAGAGAGAGAGAGAGAGAGAGAGAGAGAGAGAGAGAGAGGAGTAAACCATCCCAGAGTTAGTTCCTGTGCGGGGCTGATTTCCTTCGCTAAAGTGGGCAGGCGTCATCAGTACACTCAAAGTGCCCTTCTCCCTTCCTTCCTTCCTTCCTTCCTTCCTCGGAGAGTCCCGGATACTCACACAAACGTCCCGACGCTCTTCATGGCATTTGTGGCGAAAAACACCCGCGAGGCTTGGTAAAATCCAGTGTTGAGGAAAAAATCAAAGCCCTCGACGATGGCGAATGCGCCAACCAGCGATGTCCCGAGGATGATGACGTGCTTTTCAAAGTAGAACGACACAACAACTCCGATAATAACCTGGCAGGAGCCGATGTTGGAGAGACAAAAACTCAATATTTCTGTTATGACGAGCCAATGTCCGCCGATATCGCTGCAGGGTCATCGGCTTTGCAAAGAATGGAGCCTGATCGACACCCCCCCCGGCTCCGGCACCCAGTCGGCTGTTGCCTCTCCATAATAAGGCCTGCAGCCTTGTCAAAGACGCCAACTTACGAAAATGACCATGATGATATATCGGGCTGCCAGTGAGTCGACCAGTCCTCCGGTCCTCCACGACAGCAGAAACAGAGCAAAGGACAGGCCGGTCAGGGCACCGATGCCGACCAAGCCAAGCTTCCACTGCCAGGCGTAGAGCCCTCCGCCGACGGCGCCAGCCAGGACACATCCGCCGAGGTAGATCCATTCTCGGTTCGGCCAGCCCTCTGGGGGTTCGATATGCGATATGACAACGTAGGCAAGGACACCTGCAGCAATCGACAGGGGGGGGGACGAGTTCCCACGTCACGTTAATACAAGCACACACATTCCCCACTGGCCTTCTTGACGGACAGCGACGCATCATACTTGTAGATCCTTGAGCGGAGCAGCAAGGCACGCTCGGCACCTACCCCACGATACGAATCCGGCCAGGAATAGCGTGAACCGGAAGAGGCGGTGTCCCATGAAGAGCAAGACGCCCCCAATCACGATGAGCAAAACGCCCAAGATCACTGTGGCGGCGTTGACAGGACCCATGCCTGGGTGTGATGCAGAGGATGGGCAGCCCCAGCGAACAACCGCAGTGAGCATCGCCAATCAACCGCCATCGGGCTGGAGCAATCGACATACACGTGTGCTCCTTGATTCCTTACCGAAGGAGATGTCGCCGCTGAAGATGACCGGAACGACTGTCGGTACAGCGGACGGCACCAGCGTCACCGTCGTGACGCCGTTGACGGTAGTTGTTGCGACGATCGTTGTCCAGTAGTAGCTGGTGAGGTACGTTGTGCTGGCCGATGCGATCGCGGGAACAGTGGTGGTCGGCAATGGTGTGGGGATGGTCGCCGAGGAGCAGTCGTCTCGTTTGTGGTGGGCGACAGTTGGGGCTGGCGACTGCTGCGGGAACGCAAAGGTTCCGATCGGGAGACAGCTGATGCACAGGGCGGCCAGCAAAATCGCCCACAGCCTCGGTAGCGACTTTGGCATCGGCTGCACGATCATGGCGACTGGGATGAACTATGGAAATGCGGGCCTGGGAGACTGGTTCTGGGGCGGCACGGATATGGGCTCGGGCGGCTGAGAGTCGGCAGGAGGCGGCGAGTGCGATGTATCTGCATGCGACGAAACGAGCAGGCCAGCGAGGGCAGCGTCCCAGCCCACATATATATGCGTTTGCGCTGGCGATGGGCAGAGACGATCGCGAACGACGCAAACAGTACCTACGATTCCCCCCGCCTCTCGGGCTCAGCCATCCCCATCTGCAGAGACCTTCTGGACAAGCCGATGGGAGCACTCGGCGGCAGCTGTCGCTGGCGGATGTGAGGAGCAGCGACTCGATCCTGCCATCGCCCCTGCCGGGGGGCTGCCGAGGTGCGTGCGCTTTGGATGTGTCGGGATCATGAGAGGCTGCCGCGCTGGTCTGAAGCAAGAGGGAGGGATCGCGCAAGAGGACCGCGGCTGTCGTCGGCTGGCGGAGATTGGACAGCTGCACCCTCAGCCCAAACGCCTCTCGGCGCAGGTTTCGGACATGCTGGAGCAGCACCGCCGCGAGGAGGAAGGGCGATCTGCGCGAGTGAGCGAGCAGGACTATGGGGCGAGACAGCGCGATGGATTTAGAGCAGAGGCCGCGGTGGGCGAGCAGGCAGCAGCGGGATCGGGTTGGCACAGTGGTCGTGACGCCGCAGCCAAAGGGCCACCAGGACCCATCGGGATCAGCGTTTGTAGTTGAAGCGCACACGCAGCAGGTACTTGATCTTGATCTGGCTGACATCGTAGACGATGTACTGGGTTGTGGGAGAGGAGAGAGTGATGCCGGATGCGGTCAGAGCCCGAATGATTGCACTGTCACGCCACAGCAGCGCAGACCGGGCCAGATCAAAGCGCTCTCGTGTCTCCATCGGCGCTCACCTCGTTGTAGAGCAGCGCGCCGGACTTTGTCGTTGTCTTGGCTGGGCCCAGCGGAACCATCAAGTCTGGGTCGGCCGGATGGGGCACTTCCTTGGACGGAATCGTGCGGCCACAGCCCTTGGTGCTGTGCAGGCCATTGGGCAGAGTCGTGACATATGTTGCATAGTCTCGCTCGTACATATCGCCAAGAGCCACCTCGCAGAGGAGCAGCACGCCCGTGTTGTTGCCGGGCGAAGTGAAGCAGTAGTTTGCTGACTTTGACACCATATCTGGGCGGCATTCCAGAGGAAAGTGCAGATGCGAGTCAGATAGGCCACCGGTGACCACCCACACAACAACCCCGGGGACCAGCATCCAGCAGGTCCTCGGCACCGACACCGACCTGCAAAGTAGACACCCTTGCCGAACATGTAGCCCGTTGCCGGTGCCTCGGGAGGGGCGATTCGCAGGCCTTGGCTGTAAAACGAAACGAAACGAAACGAAACGACACAGTGAGTCACTTGGCACAGGCGCCAATCAACCACATGTGGAAAGGCTGCTTCCAGGAGCAGTCCGCTCGCTCCATTGTTCCATTGTTCCCTTGTCGTGCAGGTGAAGATGCAAATGCAGTCGCTCTTCCCGTACCTCAGAATGCCAACAAAGTTGGTCAGACGACTGCCGTGCCACAACAGCTTTTTGTTGTGCAGATCCTTGAACGATTCGTAGCGCTCCAGTTCTCCTTCGCGCTTGACGCGGAAGGCGCTCTCGATGGTCAAGCCGTACGACGAGTGTGTCGCAGCATGCGTTGAGGAAGTGTACTCATCAATGAGCTTGAACTCTTCCGAGTCGTGCGGCAGGACTTCCATGTCGGTGTGGAGCTTTCGGTAGTTGATGTCGACAGGATCTTCGAACTCATCAGAGTCTTGGCGGTCGCCAATGATCGTGGTTGCAATCTCGATCTCCAGAAGGGTGTTGAGCAGCTCCAGCTTGGATTGGATGATCTGCATGGTTGAAGCAGTTGGTGTCAAGATAGGGCATCACAGCGCTTGCATCTGCTTTCGCCCTAAAGCGCAGACAAACAAGTCGCCGGACACACTCAAGCCTGCCAATCAAACGAGACTTACTTCGTCGGTGTTGAGCAGCGGCGGCGACTTGGTGCCAAAGTCGTGTGGAATCCTGTGCAAGGCGGCAACATGAGCAGGCTGTTTCCGGCGATAAGAGCGTGGAGCAAGAGCCCAGCGCAGGGCACCGAGCGAGTACACTGGCAGGCTGCTTACAGGGTGAAAAACTTGTTTGAAAGCTGGATCCACTTGGTCTGCGTTACAGCACGACCTGTGCTTTTTTCCTCGTTAAAGAGGGCGAGCGCCTCCGAAAGCACCGAATACGCCTCTTTGATCTGCTTCTTGGTCATTTTGCCTGGTGGGAGCGGCTCGGTCAGCTGACAGTGTCCCCAAACCTGCTCGACTGTTGCTGTGCTCGTAGGCCATGTAAAGCACGAGCGCTACGCTCCGACCGCTTCCACAAGCCGACTCTATCCTTACCGAGAGGCATCTTGTTCAGATCGATTTCCAACTCAAGCAGCGTCTGTGTGGGACGGGCGGATGTCAGCATCGCATCTCGGGGGCGTCGACAGGCTCGCTACAGTGTGCCCTTGGATCGGCCGATGACCGGTATCCAGCCAAATCGTGTCACTGACCTGCCGCATCTGCTTGATATCGAACAATATCTTCATAAGATCGACAACTGGGCGTGCAAGTTTGGTCTTACTTCCGGCGGAGATCTTGGACTCTGCCGCTTTCTCGGTCTCTCCATAGTCGACCTCGAGAGGATACATCATTCGAGGGAGCTAAAGGTGCCGGTAGATGAGACAACACATCCGTTACTATCCGTTTGAGCAGGTATGTGGTATCCGTCCGCTTTCGCCGCAAGGAACGCTCGACGACTTCAGCGCGCGAGTCGCAGCCCCGATTTTCAGAGCCCTGGCAACTCGCGATATTCAAATGGCAGTCATCAGCGTAGCCGCCCCTTCCGAATCGGCCATACCTTTTGGAAGTTGTGGGTCCCGAATTCGTTCCCGGTTTTGTCCAAGTAGAGCCGTCGGAACTCGGTGCAGGCGCTTTGCAGACTCATGGATTCGCACTTGTTGCCGCCGATACTGGTTCCGACTCGACCCCAGCTGCGGAACAGCGACGCCGAGGCAGTTTTGTCGCACACCAATATTTGGAGCTTGTAAAACGAGTTCTGGTTGGTCTGGACATCGGTTTTGGCGAGGATCACCGACCACAGCGTGCCGGCATGCTGGTGCACATGGTGGGACTTGTCCAGGCCAGAATCAGGGTCGACCACAGCGCCACCCTTGAGCGTGAACTTGGCGCGCTTGACCTCGCGCTCTTCGCTTGGTTTCTGTGGAGCGAGTCGAGGTCAGATCCAAACGGAGCGGCCCGCCATTGGGACGCAATTTGGGCTCAAGTCGATGCTGCATGCGACGTGGGCTAAACATGCAGCCTTGTGCTGCCCCTCCCTTATCTGTTGATACTGACCTCCTCGAGCTCGCGCTTGGCAATCTTCTTGGGTCTGCCGTCCTGTAGCAGATACTTTGAATCGCGCCAGTCAAGGATCTTCTTCTGCTCGATGCAGTCTGTGACATAGGACTCGTCCACAACGTCGATGTTGAGGCGGAGGGCCTCCACCACCTTTCCAGAGGCCTTGGAGACCTCAGCCTTGTTGGCGACCACCAAGTTCACGGTGTCGTCGAGGGCCTTGGCGGCAGATCCTCCGGCAATGGTAATCGATCTAGCGGGGCACTCCGGAGCGGAGCACAGTCAGTCTCCGGTCGAGTTGGCTGCACAGGACAGAGGCCCGCAGGACGCTCGCAAATGGATCATACGGACTCGGCAGCAGCTCCTTACTTTTGATATTCTGCCTGGGTTTTACTGAGCTTTCCAGCAAAGCAGATGGTTTTGCCTTTGAAGGGCGTCTCAGAATCCACGACGACAAACGGCTTCTCCTGCTCTGTCGGCTCGGACGACTTGCTCTCCAGAGACGCAGAGGCAGAAGCAGATGCAGACACTTCAGACGCCACAGGACGGGCCGCCTTTGAGAAGGGGAAGGAATAAGTGCATGAAGGTGTGCACAGGCGGCAGATAGCAACACCGCTCGATATCAACAGCAAGCCCGAAGCGCCAGCCGGCCGCCTTACCCTCGTGATCAAAATGCGTGGGTGGGCTTTGAACTGAAACTTTTTGAACCAGTCGATCTCGATGCCCTTGGGGCTCTTGAACTGAGCGTGTTGGTCGGTGGAGATTAGTCATCGAATGTCGAGAAGCCCTCCAACGGTGCCAAGGCCGGTCGATGGCTCTATGGTGTCAAGGCTATGTCTCACGACCGCACACGCGAGGCAGTGGTCCCAGACAACGCAGCTTACCGCAAGGAAATGGGGCGAATTGGTTGTGTATGCACAGCGGCCCCATCTGGTCATGAAATGTGCAGATACTGGGTCAGGGCTAGACGCATATTTCGAGTCGGAGCATAGCCAGGCCAGCGGTCGGCAGTATCGGTACTTACTCGGTTCGGTGGATACATCGGTAGACCTCCTCGGAAGGCACCAGTCGAGTGACCTGGCACTCAGGGCACTGGCCACAGGGAGAGAGAGAGAGAGAGCAGATCGGTCATCGATCTCGCCGAACAGATATCGGTCTGGCTCTGCATCAAAGTCACGCTCGGGCCAAAAGTTTACCTTTTGAGCCACACCAAATGTCATGGCGTCGATCAAGAAATCCAGCATGACATCCTCCTTTGCGCCAGCATCGACATTGATGTCATTGTGGACGAGGAGGCGATAATACAAGTTCTTGCGGTCGGCAGCCTTCAGCCCATCCACCGCTGTTGCAGGAGCCAGCACGCGTTAGATAACTGACGGATCACGGCAGGTCAGAAGTAACGAGGTGGATGATGGTGTGGAGAGAGGGGACAACTGAAAAACAAAACCGGATCGAGGTGGGGTCGACACGTGGCCGTGGTCGCGCTTCGGCACACATTGACAAAACTCGCCTCGGGTGATGTTTTCACGCATGGCCCACATGGCCTTGCTCTGCTCGCGCAGCTGAGCCTTCTGGTCGGTGGGTTGGCTGGGAGTCTCGGTGGTCGCATTAGTAGCGTTGTCACTTTCGGACTTGGTCGTGACAGGCGCTGCAGTGGGCGCCGCCTCGCCCTCGTCGTCAGAGCGCTTGGTGACTTTGTGCTTTCGCTTGGGCGCTTTCTTGCGTTTGCCGTACTCATCACCACTTGCGTCGGATTGGTCAGAGTTTGACCAGCCGGACCGGTGCTTTGGAGAGGCTGCTCTCTTGGGCGCCCTCTTGGCTGCAGGCTTGGGCTTTACTGCACCAGTAGCAGCGCTGGGTGCAGCAGCGGCATCAGACTTGTCATCAGGCTTGTCATCAGGCTTGGCATCGGTGCTTGGTGTGGAGTCTTTCGTGTTTGATGTTGGGAGCAAAAAGTGCAGTGTGTCGGCATTCGATGCGCAGAAGGAGGAGCATCAGTGCGACAGTCAGCGGTGGTTTCGATTGGTGCATGATGCACTGATGGATTGAGCAGATGTTGCTGTTGCTGCCTTCGATGCTCACCTGCTCCACCGATCATTGACTTGAGGAGTTTTTGGTCGGCCTCGGAGAGCGCCGCGTATCCCATAAAGTCGGTAATGGACGAAACCGTGCCCGGATTCTTTTCAAAGAAGCACTTGGGCTGTATCGAAGGCACCATGACAATTGCGATGCAGCATTTGTCGCAGGGCAAGCATAATCGGCGGAGGCTCAGATACAAGCATGCGTTTCAATGTCATTCTTCCAGCCCACTCGGGAGACGCCTGCGGGCTGTTTGGGCACAACGTACGTGGTGCCATCCTGGAACCGTCTGCTTGAACTTGCCGTTGTCGGTCTCGACAGGCAGGGCCAGGCGCATTTCCTTGGCCTCGATTTTGCCATCACATCCTGACGAAGCACAGTCGTGCCCGAAGCAAGGGGTCAACGAGTAGCGGTGAGAGATCAGACGGGGATCCAACGGTCACGTTGGGCAATGACGATCCCATCAGGCATGCTGCGACGTACCTCGGCACTTGCTGCGGCCGGTCTTTGCGTACTCGGATACAAACCCTTCTTTGGGCTCGGCTAAGAGCAAGTAATGAACAGCGTCCTGATTAGATTGTGCCCGAGCCAAGCGCACACCGGGGACATGTTGGACTGCACGCCAGACACGATACATGCCAATCCTACCGGTGCCGTCCGCGGCGGGTTCGTCCTTGGTGTCGTTGGTGTCCTTGGTGTCGTTGGCGTCGTTGGCGTCCTGGCTGGCCGACACAGCTGCCTTGCTGCCGATAGAGTCTCGGATGCGCTCCTGGTCGTCCCATTCTGTTGGTATGGGGAAGCATGGATTACTGGCACAGTTCTGGAACAAGCGACACCGTTCATGGCGCCTCACTGCACACCATCGGATGGCTCTTGGGCGACGCTTACTGAGTTTGGTGAGACCATGGACGCTTTCCTGTGTGCCAGCAAAACGGAGAGACAGAGTGAGATATCCAGCGAGACGAATGCCGAGGCGAGCCGCCGAAGCCGTCCGTGCGAGCCGATGCAGCGGTTGCCAGATACGGAGCTGCCCTTACCGCCTCAGCGAGCTCCTTGCCCTCCTTGCGCTTGAAGAAACATTTGAGATGGAACCAAGCCGGTTGCAGACCTGCACGAGCGGTCGGGAACAGCAAGATCGCTGGTTAAACACCCCGCGTTGAGCACCCGATAGCTCGCGAGCCGCGAGTCTGAGAACACATCGACGCTGGATACGCACCATCCCAACCCTGGGCTTGCTTGAGGACGCCCATGCGGAGGTCGTCCTTTGCAATTGTGGCGAAGCATTGCTTGCATCCGGATCTGTTGGACTGAGTCGCGCAGAGGATGCAAGCGTCATCGGAGTGAGCAGGGATCAGTGTGCTGGTTGATGCTGATCAACGAAACAGACGGCCGACAAGGGGTCGCAGCAGAGTCGCAGCAGAGTCGCAGCACTGTCGCAACAGGGTCGCAGCACGGTCGCAACAGGGCCGTAGACTCACTTTGGCGTATTCGGCCAAGATATCGCCTTCCTGGCGGGAGGACATGATGGACGGGATGGACGGGGCTGGAGCAATCGGGCGAGGGGAAAGAGGCCGGCAGCCGACGATCGTGGGCTGATATCTGTGGCGAACGCAAAGCACGACCTCGCGTGGCGCCTCATGTGATGGGACACGCAGCCAAGCCAGCAACGAACGAACACCTCCCTGCTCGAGGCCCATCGTTTTCCTCTCCGGAAAGACTGCAGCGACGTGGTGGAATACTGTATTAGATGCGAGGGGTGGGTCTTTGGCAGGTAAACAGCACGGGCAATCGGGGCCAGGATGGCGGTTCTATCCGTCCATCTCCTCGTCGTCGTCGTCGGCGTCGACCCATTCTTCGCCCTCGTCCGGGATATCGTTGCGGTTGTGCTGCACCAGGAACGGTACGATCGAATTCAGCAGCTCCCGAGAGTGGGCAACGGCGCCTTCATCGGCAGTGCCATATTTTTCGTCGAGCTGGTCGCAGAGGCCGAGACAGCGGCACATTAGTCGAGCAGACAAAGCAAAGCAAAGCAAAATCCCCAAAGACGGCCACAGCGCATTTGTTGGGCAGCCGGTAGAGCTGACCAGCACTGATACCGGGGGCGGAACATGACTCCCACTTACATTCAGGACGTTCTGCAAGCATTCTTGGGCATCGGCCCAGTGGTCCAGCTTCTCTTCGAGGGTAACGCCTGCTGCGGTGCCGGCCTCATCGTCGCCACCTCCACCAGATCGATAGTATGCCCAGCCAAACAGATACCAACACTCGGGATCCTCGTCGTTTTCGAGCTGACAGGTCTGCAGAACAGCCAGGGCCTGTTCGAGCAGATGAAGCTCGAGACAGAGCTTGGCGTGGGATATTCGCTGCGGGTATGTCGGCCAGACCGAGTCGCCGGGCTTGGCAGCTCCGCCCAACCACAGGGACAGAGATTGCTGGAGAGCCTGGGTTGCTTCGCCCTCCCGGCACTGTGATAGTCGCACCGACGCCATGGTCGAGTAGACTTCGGGGCTCAGCGGGTCGTACTCGATTGCCTTGGAGACGAAAGCCTCGCATGAAGATTCGGCCTCGGGCTCGTCACTGTCGAAGCGTCGTAGATGAGACAAGTACAAGGCATTGGGGAGGGTTGAGGGCAAGCCTAAAACCAATGCGGCAGCGCACTATGTGCCTGGCACAGGACCAAGGCCGAGTCGAAAGCGAGCAAGGAGGGCATACCAGCAGTCGGTCATGTAGATTTCTGTCATTGAACACAGCGCCGATGCGAGCTTGCGCTTCAGATTGGCGGCCTGCAGGAGACATAACAGAGTGAGTGAGGCACGTCCGAGAATGCGTACGGAAGACAGGAATGCATCATCGCATCATCGCATCATCCGCTGCATGGCGCAACAGGGCCGATTCGGACTTCAGATCGATGGCGATGGTGCTTGTTCGGGCCACGCACCTCTTCCGAGCTCTGGTCAGCAATCGCCTCGATTTCCTTGAAGAGCAGAGCAACGCCCTTCTGGTAAAAGTCGATCGACTCCTTTCCGCCAGAGAGCTGGCCGAGATACAGGAACTTGGCATGGCCTTTGTTGGGCTCCAGGGCAACGGCTCGCGAAAAGTAGTTGATCGAGTTTGTGGCTGCTGTCTGGATGTCGTCGAACGAGAGCGGGGTCTGTACCGAGTTCATGAGCTCGAGCTCGACGAGGCCCATGGTCTCGAGCGCCTCGATGTGGTTCGGGTTGGACTCGAGGATCCGAGCCAGGAACTTGCGCGCCAGATCGGGCTGGCAGTCCTCGATGGCCTTGAGGGCCTGCTGCAGCAGCAGCGAGGGATCGTATTCGGGCTTGCTCTTGGCTTCGGCGGTCTTGGCCGAGCCGATGACCTTCTTTTTGAGACCCATGGTGTGCAACTGCCAGACAAATTCGTCGGCGCGGTAAGGCAAACAAACGCTTTTTGGCGACTGTTGGCTCCAACGACAGGCGATCCTGGCTCTGTCTGGCTCGGTGGTCGGTGGTCGGTGGTCGGGTTCTGTTGGCGCTGGCTGTCCCAGTCGACCCAGCTCAGCGCTGCGTGGCTCGCGACCAAGTCGCCAAAAAAAAAAAAGCTGCTCACCTGACACGGCGCCGTTTGGCCGCGCCTTACGTCAGCAACAGAAGCTCCGACGGTCAGGGCAGACAGCCAGGGCGCCTCCGCGAAGGGCCTGACTTGCACTCACATCTCCCACACCATGGCTCGACTCAGCTCCGGCTACTTGATCCCAGAGATTGGCCTTGGCGTCTACCTGGCCAACGGCAACGAAGCATACCAGGCGGTCCTGACGGCCCTCAAGGTAAACCCACTGTTGCAGCTGGACTGCGGATGGGCTGTGGGCTCTGTGCTGCAGCTCGCATTCATCGCGGCCTCTTCGGCTGGCTGACCGTTCGGCTTGGCCTGCCTGCGCACCTCGTCTCTGGCTGATTTGCCATCCGCACGCTCTGGCGTGAACCCACAGCATGGATATCGCCACATCGACACCGCCTCGTTCTATCGCAACGAAGCCGAAGTCGGCAGGGCCATCCACGACTCTGGTCTGCCTCGCGAAGATGTCTTCATCACAACCAAGGTAGGGGCCGCCTCCGATGACAGTCCCCTCGGCCAAATGCATCCGGTTTTCGCTAACACATCTTGACGGGTCGCTCGTCTCTTCGTGTCTGTCCTGCCTCTGCACCGTAGGTCTGGAACAGCGATCAGGGCTACGAAAACACCCTCGCGGCATGCGAGTCGTCGCTCAACAAGCTCGGCACAACCTTTATCGATCTCTACCTGATGTAGGTGCAGACGGCATTCATTTCATCGATGCATGATAGTGAGTCTGTATTATGAATGCCGTGCAGCGAGTTGTCTCCGTGAGTGCCGTGTGTCGTGCGCCGTGTATCGATCGATATCTCTGCACCGGGCACTTGCACCACGCACTTGGACCTGCCGCCAGCATGGTCGTTTTAATGCTACATTCTTTCCCCAAAGCCATGCGCCGGTGCCAGAGACCCGCAAGGAGACCTATCGAGCCCTCGAAAAGCTGGTCGAGGAACGCAAGGTACGCTCGATCGGCATCTCCAACTACAACATCCACCACATCGAGGAGCTCAAGACCTACGCCAAGATCATGCCAGCCGTCAATCAGATCGAGCTATCGCCCTACCTCCAGCGCCGCAGTTTGGTGCAGTACTGTCAGGACAACGGAATCGTCCTCGAGGCGTACTCGCCCTTGACTCGTGGAGAGAAGGTGGGCAGCTGGGCAACAGCAGTGCCGCGGCGGTGATGCAGGAGAGCGACCAGTCGCCCCCCCCCAGACGGAGTACTCCGGGAGCACCATGCTCATGTTCTACATTTTCATCGGCTGCAGTTGAACGACCCTCCTCTGGTTCGCATCGCGCAGCAACACGGCAAGACGACCGCTCAGGTCCTGATCAAGTGGTGTCTCAAGAAGGGATATGTGACCCTGCCCAAGTCCGTCAACGAGTCGCGCATCATCCAGAATTTCACCGTAAACGATTTTGACTTGAGCGCAGAGGACATGAATGTCCTCGATGGTCTCGAGTGCGGACTGATGGTTGCATGGAATCCCCTCGAATGGGAGTGATTGCTGCGAGTGCTCTGGCCTGCTGTGCTCCGGGCAAGGTGACCATGCGGCACTTCGTGAAAGCTGCTTGTGCTTGGGAGCCGAATATATGGGGTGGTGTGGCCTACAGCGCATCCAAAATGAAATGCGGTATCCCGTTGGGTCAGTGCTGTCCTTTCTTTCTGGATCCTGAATACGCCCCTTCCACTATCCACCATGACCAAACAGCGTGTCCAAGGAGACTGGCGGTGCGGTTGCCTCTGGGGATGTCTCGTGGATACAAGGAAAGGAAGACGCATCCAGCCCATGGAGACTCGGACTTGCCAGGCATTTCGAGCATTTTCCACCATCACCAACGACACCCAAGGCCCAACGACAAACCATGAGCGACGAAGCGATGTGCGATGGGGAAACAAAATCTATGTGTATTATCGACAAGCTATGCATGGGGGAGGAGCAGTGACGATGACAGCATTCTGTCAATCGATTGCTAGCCCCGGACTGACTCGCAGACCGCGGATGGAGAATGGGTGGAGTGGAGTGGGATGGGATGGAATGGGGGAGGGGCAAGAGACCGGGGCCCGACCCGAAAGGACCGGAGCATGACAGACGCAACGAGAGATTAGAGATATCGCGACAGACTCGGCTCAGTCTGCTCTGAAAAGACAGACCGGGTGTCCCAGTTGCGAGACAGAGAGCCTGGATCGTCGCCGCGCTCAAGGTCGGGACGGGCCGGCGGGTAGAAGGTGGCTTCCTTGCGAAGTTCTTCCAAGCGATGGTGTGCAAGGGCCGATGGCGTGGGTACTCGGCTGATGCTGGGTGGAGTAGCGGAATGCAGGGCATATTTGTCGCTGAAGGGCGACAGCTCCATGGATGACTTGGGATCCTGAGGATGACCGTGCTCGTCAGCCAGGGTGGCGTCGGAGCTTGAAGTGGGAGACGGCTTGGCGACCGGCTGCATATCCAGGCCAGACTCCAGGGCGTCGATGTGATCGGACTGCATCGAGAAACGAAAGACGCTCTCGTGGCTGTACGAGAAGGGAGGGGTGTCGTCATCGTCATCGATGGGATCGTCAAAGTTGTCGAATACGTTGACGGTGGCGCCTGTTGCGTCGGGTGGCTGGCGATACAGCGGGCTGGATGCTACCGGCGAAACCGTGGATGGGTAATCCAACCGGGACGGCGACAAGGGCGAGACCGAGGCGGCCGTTGGTGGGACGGTGCCCAAGGGCGAGTGCGGCTTTGACTTCACCGACGACGAATGTCGGGTCACGGGCGAGGGGAAGCGCTCGGGGAACTGTCTCGAGACGGGCGAGGTGTGCTGCTGGACATCAGGGAACCGTTGCGGCGACAAGAGCGATGGGCGGACGGCCGACTTTGGTGGATACGCTACGGTGTCGGATGCAGAGCCTGGCTGGGAATCGAGAGAGGGTCTCCCTGGGATGGGCAAGGCAGGCGTGGAAACGCGAATGGTTCAGCACACACAGGGACAGGACGCAGGTGCGACGTGATCATGGCAGAGGTGGCACCCATGGCCTTCGAAAGCATCGACTCGGGCTGGGCCGAGTTGCCTTGGCGCTTACCTGACGACGAGTCGAACGATGGCCGGGAGCCTGGGATAACCACGTCGTACCCAATGATATCCGAGTCCGGAACAGGTTCGTCCGAGGAGGCGCCCGAGGCCATCGTGCCCGAGACAAAGGTGAGCTGCTGCTGCGGCGGGTCGTCGCTGTTCTTGCGGCGATGGGACGACTTTTTGGTCAATCGCTCGGTCGCGGCATTGGCGAGATTGACGACAGGCTTGACAAGGTCCTTGACCGGCTGTAGCAGCGACAGCGAGCCCGAGCCTGAGCCCGAGTGGACCGAGGAGATGGTCGACTTGACAGAGCCGAGCTGGATATGCTCGTTGAAGCCCGTGACGCTCTGGCTTGTTGGCGAGAAGGGGCGCGACGGATCGGTGCTGGGCCAATATGGTGCCGGAGTGGAGGCTGAGAAGGAGCTGGTGGTGACAACATGGTTCCAGGAGCCCTCGCCGTCAAAGAACAGCGGCGTCGATATGGGCAGACGGGTGGACGCCAGCGGAGGGGCCGACCGGGGACTGGGAAAGCCAAAGAAGCGCTTGGCTGTCAGACCAGAGGCCCCAGGCGGCGGTGTTGGGGGAAAGGTGATGGAAGGATGCGGCGACGAATCGACCTTGTAGCCAAAGTGCTTGGACGATAGGGCAGCCACTTTCCGAGATCGGTATATCAGACCCGCGACAACGATCAGGGTCATGGCACCCGTGACGACCAGCGAGGCGACGATGATTCGGGAGTCGAAGGGCGGCGGCGGCGGCAGGGGAGCCGCCCAGCTGGGGCTGCGGGTGTCTGTCGGGATAGGCGAGCGGGAGGCGGCGGCAATGCCGAAAGCCGAGGGGCTGGTCAGGGTCGCTGACAGCTGCGAGGGGTCGGCCGTGACGGTGTTCTGGAGCGACGATGTTGGCATCGGCATCAGATTTGCGGCCGAGACCGAGGTCTGCAGCCACGGCGAAGGACTGGACCCAGAGCTGGTGATGCTGGTCGAGGCTGCTAGCGACAGCGAGGCACTGGAGATAGTGGAGGAGAAGGCATCTTGGGTGGCAGGCTGGGACGACATCAAGACAAGACCACGGCAGGCGAGACAACGAGCGACGTTGACGGGCGGAAAGATATCGATGGTCTGCGGAGACTCGGGGCGGGAGGGGAGCGAATGCCAGGGAGCCGACCCAAGAGGCCGAGAGGGACAGGACCGGGCGAGAGAATAGAGCTTGGGGAGAGGAAGGGGCCGCTTGCCGGAGAGCAACGAGGGCGGCCGAGCGAAGGATTTGTGGACGGACGGATGAGCGGATGGATGAATGAATGGAATGGATGGGGGAGTGCCAGGACAGACGAGCGAAACGAAGAGCCAAAGCCGGCCGAGAACAGGCCGCCGGCGAGACCGTGGCGAGACCGTGGCGAGAACACAGCGGGAGTGCAGCGAGAACGGGGCCCCGGCACGCGGGGGGCGTGCTGGGATACAGCGAATGAGTGTGCGGGCCACAGCGACAGCGACAGCGGGCTTGTCGCCTCCATTTCCGGATGTGCTCCGCAAGCAGTTCCAGCGGCGCCCTGCCTGTACGACACAGCGCGTGCCAGCGCCGCCGCGCGGTGCGGCCCCGTGCCGGATCCGCGCAGCCTCTGTGGGCCTGAAATAGCTGCTCGGACAGCGGACCGGGCACCCGTGGACGCGCCACAGACAGGGCAGCGTCGCACAGGCGCTGCGTTGTGGATCGGATTGCGGCCACTCGCACACCGCGGCTGCGCGGGACCACAGGGCCTGTCTCCTGTGGCTGTCGTCGGTGGCTGGGGCAGTCGCTATCACTCGCGAGCACGCCCCTGCGGCTGTCTGCGCTGCCGTGAGTGCGAGTCCAAGTGCATATGAGTCCAAGTCCAAGCGCGAGTGCGAGTGCGAGTGCGAGTGCAGACCAACGAAGCAAGATGCGCGCTGGAGCGCCTGGGTCGTTTGGGTGCGGCCAGAGCGGGCTGGAAGCGCGGACACGTCTGTGCGGGCGCGCCGCCATCGGGGCCAATCGACGCGCGCGGGTCTGTGCTGCACAGGGACAGTGGCGCGATCGCGCTGTGGCTTTGCCTTTGCAGTGTCCGTTCGATGGCGCTGTACACCTCCGCAACAGTCACCTGCCGAGCACGCCGGCTGCTGCAATTTGGACAACGTGTTGAACAGACACCGTCCCAGTCGGACAAGAACCCGCCGTCGCTGCGAGTCAGAGCAAGTCAGAGCAAGAAACATGCCTCGCACTATCAATTTATTCCGGCCCCCTCGCGGCTGCTCATCTCGGCCACCTGAAAGTCACGTTGTATGTGACGCAGCAAAGTTGGAATCCGGCCATGGTCGACGGGAGGTGTTTGACTCCCTTGTGCAGAGTGTGTGTGTGCAAAGTGTGTGTGTGACGGCGAGAGGCTTCTCGCCTTCCCTCGGGGGTCTCTCGCCAGAGACTGCTCTTCTCGCCGACCGAGGTGGCTCCGAGAGCGCGCTTTTTCGTTCTCGCTCAATTTATTAACAAGATATTTTTTCATAGTGTCGGATGAGGAAGGAAGACGCAGGGCAAAGAGCAATATCGCTGGAGTGGATTTAATCGTGGTTCGAGCGTCGATCAAAGTCGTTCAGCCAGATCCGTCCGCATTACCCAATCTAACGTGGGATATTTGTATTTCGCGCTATGCACGATACCTCGCATGCCACATATCGCATATCGCATATTGCATGCCGTATAATCGCATCCTGTTACGCGTCACGGATCGTTCTCGTTCATGAAATGCTCGACCGGCCTATTTCTTGAAGGCAAATGAGAGCTTGCCTCGCTTGGTCCCGCTGCTGCTGCTGCTGCTGCCAAGGCCGAAGCTGACCTTGGGTGCCGCGGGTGCCGTCTGTCCGTCCGTCGGGGCCGGCGTCGGCGGCTCCTCGGGCTGTCCGGGTGCCGACTCCAGCGAGCTCCATCCCCGCTTGCTGGCGGTGCTGTTGTCGGTGTCTGGGACGGCCTGCTTCCAGCCGCCAGAGCCAGAGCCCGTCGCTGCTGCAGCCGGTGTCCGGTCCTCGTCCACTCTGTTGCTGCTGATGTCGGACACTTCTCTTGGCACCGCCGCAGGGTCGGCTTGGGCAGCAGAGGCAGCAGAGGCAGCAGCCGGCACGACGATACCTGCTGCTGCCATCTGCTTTCGGAGCTCCCGCTCCTCGCGGTTGCGCTCGCGCTCCCGTCTGCGATTGTCGGGATCGGCCAACGTTCCCGATGCTCCCAGGCCGCTCTTCTTGGTCATCTCGAGCATGTCCTTGAAGCGCTTCTTGTGGTTGTGGTCGTATGAGGACAGATGCGTCTCGTACTCGGAGATCTTGCTATACTGCTTGTCGCAGAGCTTGCAGTAAAACGACGCCATCGCCGCCTTGACGTCGCTCTTGATGGCTTCCTTGCGGGCAACTTCTTCCTGTCCTCGCCGGCCGCGGGGAACAAAAGCAAACACCAGAGGCGATAAAAACCAGATCCACACTTATCGTTGCCAGAATGTGAGCGTCGGATCTTTGGATCGGCGACCCAGCCAGCCAAACCGACACACCTCTGAATAAACCAGCAACGGCTATCTGCTGAGCCCCGGCGCTCGACAATCTCTGCAGAGTCCCGACACTTGATGCTCGACGCTCGACGCTCGACGAGCCCGGCTGAATCTCAACGCTGCCTTACCTCTCGCTTGACTCGCTGCTCGTCGGTTTCGTTGCCAATGACGATGCTCTCGAGCTCCTTCCGTCTCGCCGTGCTGGCCGCATGATAATAGTCGTACTCCTCCTGCTTGCCGACACCCCAGGTGTCATCTTTGAAGCTGATCAGAACAGGATCGACTCGGCCTGGGTTCACAGTAACGCCACCGTCCAGTCGTCAGCCAGCATGTTTCAGAATCGGGTCAGATCGATGGCCAGCGGAGGTAGCCACAAATGTCGTTTCCTCCGCGACACTTTGCGCCCGTCATCCTTCATCCAGACGTCTAACCTTGCTCATATTTGCCGAGCCCGGTGCCGGCCTTCCATCCCATCTTGCTCAGCATTCTAAATCCAAGGTTGGTGGCTTCGATCGGACGATCGATCGACGACCGCACAATGTCGGCGGCGTCCTCCTGAAGCTGCTCCACGACCCGATCCATAAGATCGGCATCGGCATTGACATTGGCACCGGCAGCGTCATCGACAGCTTCGCCGTCGACAGACTTGGCATCCATGGTTTTGCGCAGACTCGATTGGTTGCTGTGTGAGATCAACAGAAGAAAATCGGGAGGAGCGGTTTCCTGCCTGGGGGAGATCGGACCCAAACCTGGTGTCCGCGCTCGTGCTGGGGTCTCTGGCTCCACACCCCAACCGCTTTTTGCGCCAAACGAAACGACGAATCGCGCGCAACCAAGCGAGCTTCGCTATCGGCGACAAGCTCGGCCTGAGCAACATGGTTCCGGTTCCAGTCCCTACTGTTACAGCCAATCCAATAAAACACGGGACACTTTGATTTTTGATCGTTGACCGAATATTTTGTCGCCCAATACCATCGCGCGCTGGCCATGACTATTCTGCGTTGTGGTGCTGCTGCCATCCACAGCCCGAGAAACGTTGCCTCGATATTCAGTGTATCCAAGAGCATCGTTCACCGCTGGCACTGCATCACGACGTCAAGACAAGGGCTATGCATTCAGCCCTCGGAGGCAGCGGTTTGCTCGGTTCGTCCCTCGGAAACTGCCAAAGTGATCTGGTCTATTTCTCATAGCTTGGCTTGACGCTGACATATGGGATCGTGAGGGTGCTCATGTCTAAAGTGTACAGCGATATCAATGCAGCCTGGGCCCATGCTGCGACGCACCAAAAACCTTCATTGAGCACGGGCATTTGGCTGTTTCGGGGAGGGGGAGTAGCGGAGGGGAAGATTTGTATTCAAGATCGATGGGAACAAGCTGTTTATCGACCTCGAAATCACGGAGAAGGTGTACAAGAAAGGCATCCCGTTTTGGTTTGTGAACACATCTAAGGGATATCGATCGGCTCTATACTCTATCTATGACCAGGGAGAGAGCTTTCTTTCTCCATCCCTGTTAGTCTATCGTCTAGCTTTGCTTCGTATACACGCGACAGTCACTCTGTCGGCATTCGCTTGTGCTTGTATCCAGAACCGGCATCAGAACCGGCCCGGGTCTATCCAAACGTGCAAATCAACACCGGCAAGGGCCAACAACTCCCTTCGTACCGGAACAGTAGGTCACAAGCACCCCGAAACTAAAGACTGGACATTGGCATCACACCAGGGGAAGAGGTAGCAACCCTATCCCTCGCAGCAATTCCAATCCCAGGATCAACCAATCGAGCTCTCCAACAGAGCCACTTCTACGTTCGCACATGTCTAGAAACACTGCAACATCCTCCCTCTTGGATAGGATCTCAAGTAAAAACAAATTCTACGGCGGAGGAAGAAGAGGGGGTAGAAGAGGGGGTCAGAGGAGGAGGAGGAGGAGGAGGAGGAGGAGGAGGAGGCAGAAGAGGAGAGGAGGAGGGTATATCAAAGGAATTTGAAAACTTATGGCAATAGCGAAAGCGAAGCAATCTATACAGTGCCACCGCCGTCGCAGGGTCGGCACCTAAACCAAAGGCTGCGTGGTCGGCACGCTCTGGACAACAAAAGTGGTAATCTCGGTGAGGCTGCAAGGGCAAAGCACAGATGATACCCGTGGTGAGCAAAAATAATAATAGAGAGGGGCTAACCGGCGGCGTCGGCTTATTTCTCCATTGCGATGACCTGCCGTTGGCTTTGGGGTTGAGTGGGATATGGTTTTCCAACAGAGTCTCTTGAGACCAATCTGCAGTGGCGTTGGCTTTGAGGTTCTGGTGCCACCTGTCCCTCCCCCGGCTGGGAAGCATGGATGTCCAATCAGCCTCCTCGAGGAGGCGAGACCCAGCCAAAGGGGCCGGATCGTCTTTTGTCGGTCTGTCGCTCGGCCTCTCGGGCCACATTCACGGCCTTGCCGACCTTGGCGAGCTGGCGACAAGTGTCAAAAACACGACACACAATGATCTTGATGCGATTGTGCTTCTCGGCCGTGCGCGGCTTGACCTTGGTTTGGACGGCGCCCTGGAGGTATAGACCCACGAGGAAGCCGACGGTGCAAGTCCAGGAGCTGGCCCACATGAGTCTCTCGGCGCCGTTGGAGCCCGTGGGAAAGGCCCCGCCTCGGGTCGGATGGCGGATGAGGTACTCAAACTTCCAGGGCGCAACTCGCAGGGTCTCGATCGAAGCTGGTGCCGCCGGGCCCGATGTAAATCCCTGGTCGGACGTGGGGGCCAGACACTTGGGTCCGCACGTTTTGATGTCGAGGTAGTGCCACAGCAGCTCCTGATTGTCGACATTGACGAGGGTCGATGAGGTTGAGCCAAGCGAGCTGCAGGACGAAAAGGTCGAGCCTGACTGCGACTTCATGATCTCAAAGAGACCGCACTTGCGGCGCTGGCCATTGGAGGCCCGCAGTGGGTTCGAGCGGCACTTTTCAATGTACAGCTGCATATCTCGCCACTCCTCGAGCTCGGTCAAGAACGGGCACTCCGAGGCCGTGATACCATAGAGGACGGGGATGCACGTTGGCTCGTCGAGGACCCATCGGGCAACTTTCTTCTTGACCCTGAACTCACACGCACGCCAGTAGCGCGGGTCGTAGTGCGAAAGGACGAGGTCGACGGTGAACTGCCGGGCACCATCCGAGTCGGTAAAGTGCAGCGTGATGGTGACGGGAGAGGCCGGGCCTGGACAGCCCTTGGTATGGCTCTTGGTTGTGGCCGGCAAAGCGGTGCTGTCGCAGCCGGGGCCGGGCAAGGAACCGGGGTCGCAGCCGGGCCGCAAGTCTCGAAAGAACGGGGCAGGGAGGATTTGAAGCTTGCGCAGAATCAAAAACTCGCACAGGCGCAGAAACAGAACCGATGCCCGACGCAGGCGGAGCAGCTGGGCGGTGGGAAGCAGCGACAGAATCTGGATCAAGAGCTCGGACGGGAGCGCTCCAAAAGCTACAGGCATCGTGGGTGCGGGTTTGAGGTCGACAAGTCTTTTGGCGATTGAAAAGACCATCGCGGGGTGCGGGAGAGAAAGTCTAAGGATGAGGGCGGTGGGGAAGGGCACTGGATAAAGATATCGAACGGTTATATGGCGAGAAAGTCTGTGGAGACCACCGATATCGAGTCGGGGGCAGGGCGAGGTGTCGCAGATGTATGGGTGTGCGGCGGGCAGGAGCACAGGGAGGCGATATTTGTTGTGCCGATGTTGACGATTTGTTTGCGAGCAGTCGGTAACAATCTCAGTGCGTCTCGACGAGGATGCTCAGCCGCACGACGAAGGAGCAGAGAGTGTCGACTGAACCACACCGCCAGCACTGGTGTGTGTGGAGGGGGGGGAATGCAAACGAAAGTAACCCGGACGACACTTTCATCAACACAGGGCTCGCAGTGTTTGTATCGGTGGGCTGCGAGCTGTTCTAGCAAAATCGCCCCTCGTGATTGACCAGCGGGGCACGGGTGCTGGCAAAGATGTTTGTTGCATCGGGTTCTGGATCCGAGCGGTGCTCTGCGGGTGCCATGGCCAGTTGCCACTTGAGAGAAACGGGGCTCGAGGGGGAGGGCTCGCATTCCAAAAGTAGATGCGCTGGATACATTCGATCGCACAGCTCCTGCAAGATGGGCGAGGCCTCCTTGGGATCCTCGGGCTCCTCGGGCTGCCCCCAACATTGCATATACTGGAGCAAGGGACGTTCATTTGATTTATTCCGTCGGTCTTTGATAATCTGTCATGTCAGACATGTTCCTGGGCCTCACTGACCGATATCTGTTGTTGTCGTCGCCGGTCACGCCGTGGGAACGGATGATCGGTGAAGCTCTCGGGAGCGCTGAGGATGGAGGCATCTGTTTGCTAGTGGCGAATCGTTCCTCGGCACTACCAATTATTCAGGGGAGAAAGAGTAGACCGTCGTCTCGGTGCTCGGGATTCCTGGATGCGAAACGCTGTATGCTTGTGAACCCAGCAATACAGCATCGAGAGACAGCATCGAGAGACAGCGTCGAGAGACAGCGTCGAGAGACAGATGCAGCAACAGACATGTCGCAGGCGCCAATCCACTGAGCCAGCACAATGAGACATATGTCTGGACTGTCTCTGTCTCTGGCTCTGACTCTGCCTCTGCCTCGGTCTCTGTCAGCCTCTGTCTCTGGCTCTGCCTCTGCCCCGTCCTTTTGCTCTGCCACCCATTCTGCCTCGTCTGCGCGTCTGGACAACGCGGCCACTGCGGCAACGGCCGCTCTGGCATTTTCCGTCGCAACCAAATGCAGCTTCATTTGCCACGTGACCGGTGCGTCATTTGCTCTGCCACCGGCTGTGCGACGTGCTTTGGCGAGACGGGCGGTCTCTCGGCGGGCTCTCGGCGGTCTCTCGGTAGGCTCTCGCCCGCCCTGGCCCACGACAATGCCCGCAGCGAGACGGCGCTGGCCCAATCACCCGCTCTCGCCTCGCTCTCGCCCGGGTCTCGCTGATTGAGTCTGCTTTTTTTCGGTGCCGCGATCGCTCTTCTGCCCGGTCTGCTGCTGTTCCTCTCGAGTCTGTCGTCGTCGCTGCTCTTGCGTCGGTCTGTCCAGGCCTCTCCCCTTCCCTTCCCCTTTCACCTCCCCTCTCCGCCTCCCCCCAACCACTCGCCTGTCCTTCTGTTTGATCTCTGTTTGCTTCTGTATCCAAGCAGCTCATTAGAATCTGAGTTGGGATCAGACTGAGGTAATAGCCGTCGCCTGCGTCATCTGCGCTTTGGGGAATCGTTCTCACATCCGAGTAGTCTGCTGCCCTTCCCGCCCGTTGTTGTCTTCTTTGGGTCTCCTCTGGTCTCCTTTGGTCTCTCCTTTGGTCTCCTCTGGTCTCGTCCTTGCATCCCTGGCCCCTTTGTTGCCATCCACCCATTCCGCTTGGCTGTGATCTCTTGCTGTGCCTTCCCGCCCTCCATCCATCCATCCATCCATCCACCCGCCGGTAGTTCCCAGATCAGTCCCCCCCCCCTGTGTGAGCACTGCATCTGCACTTTTGCCGTCTCCCGTCCCTCCAAGGCATCCATTCGCCCGCTCTTGTTTGCGCCCAGCCCCACCTCCAGCTCATTCCTCTCGCTGCGCCGCCCGGCAAGCGTCACGTTCGATAGTTGATCCACGGTGCTGCGAGGGTATCCGCCTCTGTGACCCGGGTGATCTGCGCTGCCTTTCACACGTCATTTGTATCCGCTTGTCTCTGAACGGTGTTGGCCTCCGGCTGGATTAGAAATCATCGGCTGCTCTGCCTTTTCCTGGGGTTTTGGTTTTAACGCCCAGGCTTCTCTCCTTTGCTCCCTCGCTTCTTCCTCACACAATCTGGTGCTGCCGCCGCCTGAACGTCCTTCAAGGGGAGTGGAATAATCCTGTTCCATCCGTATTCTCTGCTACATCACATCGCACCGCACCGCACCGCATTGGATTGCATCGCATTGCCTTTCCTCCGCCCTCTCCCCCTGTTCCTCTTGACTCTCTCGTCACCATTGGCTTCAAGACTCGCCGTGCCGACATGCTCGATCAAACCGTTCCCACCGCTTCGCTTTCCCCGCCTCCCGAGCTGGATCCTCAAAGCAGCCACTCCCTGAATGCCGCATTTCAGGACCCCTCGATTGTCTCGATTGGACGATCCAAGCCTATCTTCCAGGCCCCCGACGACCACTCGGGCTCGTCGACCGTGACGCTGGGTGCTGGGATCTCTCCCTTCCCCATGCCCCAGTTCCATGCGCAACACTCGATGCCTCCCGGCTTCTTCCCGGGTTTCTCCCGCGACAACTTTTCGGGCGAGTTCCTCCCGCCCATCGCCGACCCCTCCATGCTCGGCCACGCCTTCCCGGTTTTCAGCTCGATTCCCATCGACAATCCCCGCGTCGCCGTCCTCGGGTCGCCCATAGGCAGCCCCCAGGCCGATCATGCTGCCACGCCGCCTTCGCCTCCGCGCTCGCCTGCTTCCCTTGCCGATGGCGCCGATAGCGACGTCTCCATCCAGACCCACCTTGGCTCCGAGACCGACGGCGGTCTGGTTGCAGTCTCTCAGCCCGGCAACCCCGGCTTTGTTGCTTGGTCGCCCTATCCGATGATGTCTGCCTGGCCTCACTTTGTGCCTGCTGCTGCTGCCTTCCCTCTGGCGCATCCCACTCACCCTCTCCCGGGGGCTCATCCCGACTATGTGGTTCCTGTTTCTTCCCAGCCTATCTTCCACTCGCCTGCAGGCACGCCTTTTGTCGGCCATATCCTTCCTCCCGTTATGGCTCCGGACAGCGCTCCGTTCCCCATCAACCCCCAGCTCGTGCCGACTCCCTTTGGTGGCTTCTACGAATCGATCCCCTATGTCAATGAGGAGCACAAGCATCCTCCTGCTCCCCGTACCTCTCGTCTTCCGGTCACCCTGAAGGATCCCAACACGGGCCGACTCGTTGCCGTCTTTGTCGGCGGCGCTGCGCTGGAGCCAGAGAACACCGATGTCATGGACGATGAGTAACGAGCCGTCGTCGTTGTCGTCGTTGTCGTCGTCGCCACTCCCTTGTCATCTCCGTTCCTCCTTCTCCTCCTTCTCCTCCTCCTCCTCCTCCTCCTCCTCCTCCTCCTCCTCCTCCCCGTGTTGGACTCCAAGTGAAAGTGAAGCTCCTCTAGACTCTCGCCACGCCTCCGTTGCGCCTCCTTTTGATATTTAATCCCGGCGTCTGCCCACGCTTCTTTGCTGTTCACTGCATTGCATTACTCCCGCTCGATCGATCCACCGCCTCACAAAGACACTCGAATATTGTATTTTTTCCTCCGCTCTCCTTCGCCATATCTGTTTGATGTTCTTCCTTTCGCTCACTCTTTCTTTCGCTTCTGCGTATTTACCCCACTCCCTTAACTTCCTCCCTCCCCCTCCCCCAGTCACCATATTCAGCCCAAGCCGGCGAATGAGTACTGTAGTAACACTGATTAGCGTGGTTTTTGCGAGCATTGCAGTTTGCTTTTCCCCTTGCACTCCCTTGATTCCGCCCTCACTTTGCCCTTGCCGTTTGTACAGTATGATTCCCCTTACGTTGCTCTTTTTTTTTTTTTCCAGGCTCACTCGCGCCGCACACGCTTCCCCTCCATTTCCACTCTTGTTAATTTATTCTAACCCAAAAAAATATTCATCATCAGCTTTACTTTTTTCTTTTTTTTTCTTTTTTTTTTTTTTTACTGGGATTTGCGACGTCTCTATTGCTTCTCAGACGAAGCCAATATAGCCCTTCGAACCGGGGAGACACCCCAATTACCAGTATTTATCGTATCGCAGGTCCGTTGTCGCGACCAAGTTGGGAAGCAAGAGCGATGCGTTTCGGGTGTGCTGGGCTCGGTGGCGATGAGAACAGACGTCTCCCAGCTCGTCGTTCCCATCCATCTGTGAGCAACGCCCCCGACTTGTTCCGGTTTGTGCTGGGATAGACCCTCGAACTGCGACCGTCTCCCCATGCCCTCTTCCCTGGCTGGACTGCACTGGCCCTCCGAGTGCATGTCCAATTCTGAGTGCATGTCCAATTCTTCGTCAGCTCCCCATCGATCCATGGATGGATACTGCCCTCACCGCGCCAAGAGACAGGTTGTGTTCGGTTCCTTGTCCCCCGCTCTCTCCAAACAATTCGCCTCAGGCCGTTCTTTCTCTCGGCCGCACCCTCCGGCGTTCTCTTTCCCTCTGTTTGCTTGCCTCTGGTCGCGGCAACTCTCGTCTCATCCAAGCGGGCAGGCTCCCTCGGACGCTCCAGTCATCGCGATTGCGGCCTCACACACCATCCCAAGCCATCCGTATATGGAGCTCTGCAAGCGAGACCACATCAAGCACCGGCACTGGCATCCGCTTCTGCAACCACACCACCTCTCTTGCGGCGACATCGAGTCCGTTGAATCCCGGTGTGCCCAACCCCGTCCCCCCCCCCAGCTTCGACCAAGATGCAGCGTCCTGCTTCGGCCACACACAGTGCATCGTACCTGGGTTCCCCGCCGAGCTCCTCTGTTGAGCTGCGATCCCTGTCGAACACACCTCGCCCCTCGACCGACCTCTCCATCATCAATAGACCGCTGTCGTTGTTTCCACTCGGATTCGGCTCCGGCCAGTCCGCTCAGTCCGCTCAGTCCGGCAGTCGCACCGCCCAGGCCCGTTTCGACCGCAACCACGGTCCTGCCAACGATTTCGAGCTTGCGTTTGCAGACGATACCCCTGGCACAGCGCCCGCTCCGCTGCCCAGGTCTCTGCATCCACCATATCAGAGCATTCGTACTCACGGCTACCAGTTTGTCTCTGACGACGATGAAGATCGTAACCGCAACCTCGGTCTCGACAACGACCACGACCACGATAACGACCACGACCACGACCACGATCATGAGCACGACCATTTCCCTGGCGGCATGGCTGGTGCGAGACGCTGGACGTCGTTTTCACATTCAACCATCAAGGGCAGCAACGACGGAGCCACCGTTGCGCTGATGGGCGATCGGGAGCAGCACAACCTCGACAAGCTGCCAGAGCTTGCCTTCCTGAAGCTATTGCTACACCAGAGCAATCTCGAGTCGATGCAGGAGATGGCCCGCAGTCGGCTAGACTATCTGACCGAGAACGACGATGCATCCAAGATGAACAGGTACGAGAGGAGCAAAAGCGTGCCACATCCCACAGCATCAAAGCACGATGGGTGTCTGTGTCTGGGTGGGGCTTCAAAGACATGCAGCAGCGACGACGACGAGACGATGACAGCGATGATGACGATGATGTAGAGAACGTCAATGGTGCTTGGAGCAATCACAGCCATGGGCATGCTGCTGAACATTGGCCTGGCCGTCCACCGGCTGTTGCTGCCCTCTGCCGTACCTAGTCGTGGATGTCGAGTTGTCGCCTGCCCGGCAGCTACCTTGCCAGGCAAATACCTGCGAGGATACATGCCTCGCATCTGTCGCTTTGATTGATGTATCGGCTGTCTCATCTTGCTCCTCCTGATTAATAGGATGTCGACCTGGCAATTGGCTGTTCTTCGGTTCCCGGCCATGCTCTTGACTCTTGTGCTCGAGATGATCGTTGGCTTCATTGTCTCGCGGTTTACTCCCACCCTGGAAAAGCACATTGCCATGACCTACTTCACCCCGGTCCTGTCGTCGATATCAGGTCAGCAGATACATACGCGTTGAGCCATGCCAGCGCCCTGATATTATTTGGCGGTCTCATTTGCATCGCTGTCGCGATGGCCTTGACGCCAGGCGCATCCTGTATTTCATTTGGTGAGACCTTCGGTGCACTTGGCTGACATTCGTTGCTGTGCCCAGGCACCATCGGATTACAAGCCTCGGCCGCCACATTGCGAGCCCTGGCAACTGGGCATGCAAGCAATGCCAATGCCGAGGGCGTGATCAAGGTGGTCTTGAAGGAGTTTTTTGCAGCCACAACCTCGGCTCTGGTCGTCGGTCTCTCGCTGGGACTCATCGGCGGGGTATGGACAGACAACCTCCGGTTCGGCATCGTCACAGGAGTTTCGTACGTACATGTTATATCTTGGCAGTATGGCTCTGGCTCTGGCTCTGGCTCTGGCTCTGGCTCTGGCTCTGGCTCTGGCTCTGCAACCTTGCACACATGAGTCGTCTGCATCACCGAGTCTCTTCTCACCTTGATACTCCGCACCGTTGAGCCCTCCGCATTTCTGCGATACTGTACTCATGCATCTCCTTTCGGGCTGTCCGCAGCCTGTTCGTTAGCTCCTCGTTCGGCGGTGCCCTGGCTTCCTGTGGACCGCTGCTCTTCAAGGCGCTGCATGTGGATCCCGCCCTGACGACGGGGCCCTTCGAGACGGCCCTCCAGGATATTCTCACGTACACGGCGTATCTCGCCCTGGCACTATGGTTGCTTTAGACCATAGCATCGCTTTCGCTCCTCCCCTACTCCACGTCCAATCGATCTTGTCACAGTCGCAAGAGTGCATCATAATTTGAGTCCGTCTGCGACCCCTCTTCTGGATCTCGAATGAACAAATGTCCACCCCCGCCATCTGGCCGTCGCCCGCAGAGATCAACGAGAGGTGCCCTGGCCGAGCTTTCCCGAGTATCGACCCAGACGTCTGTGATCCGGGTCCATGCGCAGCCGTGGCGCAGACAGGATATGCCGTGACATGCACGTGTGTGGCCGCCGCGCCCTTTTGGCTCAGATTGCCCAAGGGCCCGCTTCAAGGGAATCCGAGCCGCCTTCACCCTCCCCCCCTGCTGCATCACCGCTCCCACCGCTACTGCTGCCGTCATGGCCACCGGTGACATCAAAAATAACCTGCTAAAGCTGCAGACAGATCTGAGACACTGCCAGTATCCCGGACACCACGACTCCAATGGGTACGACCGGGGTCGACAGGATCAGCCCCGCACTCTGGGCTTGTGCTCTGTCCTCTCGCTGCAGCGGTTGTGCCCTCTCGCTCGTCTTGCTCCTTGATCATGCGTTTGGTTCATGTCGCGGTCAATCCTGCGGCTCACTCACCTCGTATCGGGCATATCCCGATCGCCGCTCTACACCGCTTGCTGAACTCGCCTGTGTGCACCTCTGATGCTTCCTTCTGCTCCGTCCATCATCATCCTCCTCCGCCGCCACCAGCATGGTCAAAGGCGATCCGGCATCGTATCTCCCCATCATCCATTTCATCCTGCTGGATGCCTCGCCGCTGTTGGCGCGCCATCTGGCCACAAAGGGATACGATCTCTACGGCAAGAAAGACATGCGGTTCCTCGAGTCGGTCTACCGGATCCTCCGAGACGAGTTCAACTACAAGCCTGCGCTCCGGAAGGATCAGTTCTTTTCGATGGGCTTTGCAGAGCACAAAATGATTTTTGTGATGGATCTGATACGGCTGTGCAAGCATCGCATCGGTGAGCTCGAGAGGCTAGACCCGAAGAAAGAGCGCCAGAGCGTCGAGTCTCTCATGAGCGTGGGCTCGGATCTGACCTCGCTGGCGAACCGAGTCAAGCGACTGCAGAGTATGCAGAGCATGCAGAATCAACACGGTCTGTCGAAAGGTATTGAAAACCGGAACTGCTCAGCATCTCGCCGACTGCGGGGCTAAACGGCGCAAACAAGCCCTTATGATGAGGCTCCCTCCTCTCGAGGAATCGGCTCATATCACTCGCTTTTGGATTCTTGTGAGGGGCGAACGGCACTGGCCTTGGATCCAAGCTGACACATCTGTTATTCCAACGAAGGCGGCATCGCCATGGCCCATCCTCCGATCTCTGCAACTTCGAATCAGGATGCCTTGAATGGCGGCGGTGAGTGTTCATTCCTTGGGTCCGACCCTTTTCGAGTGTTCCAGCTTGACCGACCATTTCACTGATTGCGGCCACTTTGACTGGTTCGCATAGTGTGTGTTGGACGACCCGCTCCAGAATTTGAGCAGCTGGGCCATGCGTCGATGCTGACCGTTCCTTCGAATCCCCGCTCTACCAGAGTTTCACGGCTCCGTCCACAGCGACCGAGTGGCTGCTGAGACAGAGCGGTTTGCCTTGGCACCAACAATCCTCCGTCGAGATCCAAGCGCAAGCCCTCCCCAGCAACCTCGTGGCGACAGCGATATCCAAAGAAACCCATCGACGTCTGAGCTCTCGCCCCTCTTTGCCCATAATCGACCACGGAATCGAGTCAAGCCTCCGAGTCCAGAGCCGCAGGTCGCCCGGGCGTTTCCTCGGGTCTCCCGAGAGCTCCTGGAGCGATACACTCGCAACATGGCGGTGTCGACCGAGGACGTGGACGAGACCTTCCACGAGCCCGCAACAGCGCCATCGCCGATGCCCCCGCCAGAACCACTTCCCCAGCGAGCTGCCTCCTCAGGTCCGCCATTTGCGTATGCAACCAAGAGTAGCAGCCAGTTCAACGGAACACACACCCACCGCCCGCTGCGGAGTCCGAGTCCAGCACCATCCTCTCCGCTGCTTGAGGAAGACCCTACAAGCGCCAAGGTCTATCGATACGGTCAGTCGTTTGAGTATGACCATAGACAACCCAGTGGTCCTTTCGAGTCACAGCAGCACCAGCCATACGGCTCGATGGACGTCCAGATCCTAATGGACCAAGTCGCGTCGCTGCTTCAGTCCAATTCCGAAGTCAAATCGGTGGGTTTCGAGCAGGCATCGACAGCAATTCATCCACCCACACACAGGCAGAGCCCGGGTAGTGAACAAACGTGCGGTCATGAGTTCATTTGGGGAGAGTGTGAATTTTTGCGCTGTCCCATCGTACTGATCCACGCCGCGGCTGTTGGATTTCCAGGAAATTCGGTATTTGCATGACCGTCTCGATGCCATGGAAAAAATGGTCTCCAAGATCGCACAGAATGTCGAGAGCGCCCTTGGCACCGATTCCCGGGTGCCCCAAATGGTCTCTCGCCCGATGACGACACAGACAGGGGTAAGCATGTTGATTGTGTTTCGCGGTCTTCCGAAGCCATTCGCGCCGCTATAACCCCGGATTTTCGCCTCTGGAAGCGTCAATCGCCGACGTTCCCTTGCTGATATTAATGCTTAGGCGCTGTATGCTCCACAGGCGCCGTCCCTTCCTGATGGGCAGACTAGCGGGCATGTCAAGACAACACTAAGCCCAAACAGACACCCGCGAACCACGGCGGGTGTGAGCTCGGTGGAGACGCAAGAGAATCTGGAGGAAAAGGTATGCCTGGCCGATGCACCATCAGATTCGACTATCAGATTTGACCACTGGAGTCGACCACTGGACGGCGTATACATCCGGAACTGATGTCATCCGCTTCGTCCCTCGGCAGCCTGTTCGCGGCAGCCCATCGCTGGTCGATCTTTCCTTGGTCAACTGCGACATCAGCCCACCGACAGAAAGGCAACCGCACGATTTCGGTCATGCTGCCGCAGTCGCCACCGACCGTCGTGCATCTGCCCCTGTGGTCGTTGCTTCGGTTGGCGATCGGATAGTGCCGCAGATGTCCGCGGCACCGACATTCCACCTATCGCAAGGGCCAAGCTATCATCCACAGAGCAATGGATGGTCGGCGCAGGTGCGCTTTGAATCGCCCGATGGCTCTGCAGTAAGTGCCATTCGAGTCGAGGACATGCTCCGAGGCTGTAGTATGACTGCTGCTGGCCGCCGACGCATCGCCCTCCGTACCGCTAACAGCGCATCCTGTGCATTCATGCCGCTTCATCCGACACAATCCCTGTGTCCTTCTTGGGCTGTTCTGTTCACCGGCTGACAACAGAAGGCGAAAGAATCGGAGGAATACGTCCGCCGCATCCAGGAGCGATTCAAACAAACGTCGCTGCTGCTGAAGGAGCGGGTTAAGACCTAGTAATCCCCTCCCCGCACACACCTACACCTTGTTGTTACAGCGATTCCAAAATGAAATGGGACACCCCGTTGAGCCATGACAGTAATTTTTTTCTGTGACCTGAATACACCCACCCGCTCATTGCAATCATGGCCAAACACAGCACCCTCGATTTCCGCATCGCTGCACTGCGACCGGTGGTCTTCACTCGGAGGGTGGTCTTCACTCAGAGGCTGCCAAAGTGATCTGTTCTATTTCTTATGGCATAGTCAGACGCATGCCATCGCATACTACGCTGACAAATGGGTTGTGGGCAGGTGTCCCATTTCCCCTTGAATACAGTGTAACTTCCTCCACCTCCGGGTTTCGCTCGGCCAGGGCTCTGTCGTTGGCGGTGCTGAGGAAAATACCCGACCGCGGCTGGACAGGACCCGGCAGAAGAGCAGAGCAGTCTTGGGTGGCTCGCGACACAATACAGTCTCTTTGGACAGTGACAAGACTCGGCTGCGAGCCAAGCCGATGAGCCGCAGGTCAGCCACGGAGGCGGCTGCGATTCATGGAATGGCGGTTGTGGTCGGGCATGAGCATCCACTGGCCAATGGGGTGCGCGAGATGCTGTCCAAAAAAGGGAAAATCCAACGCGCATTCCGATTGGTCGTCCGTGGTCTGTTTCGGGAACCGAGACGATCTCGCCGGGGCGGTTTGGACTGTCTGCTGAAGGGGAGAGCGAGGACAGACGGGCACTTGGCAGACGGGGGATCAGCATCAGCGGTGCTGGGACCACTTGCGGCATCGGTAACATCATCAGCAGCAACATCAGCAGCAGCAACACCAGCAACACCAGCAACACCAGCAACAGCCCAGGACTCGCGTCTCGGCCAACGCCCCTGTTTTGGGTTTTTGCTCTCGCTTTTTTCTGTTGGCTGGTCCTTGGTTGCGCCTGCCCGTCGCCCCGCCCGCCACCTCTTCCTCTCGTCGTATCGATATGCGATTGCCCCTTCCCCGGCGACTGATCCAACCCAGCTGCCGCCTTCCCAAGCCCCTGTCATCTCGCCCTCTGTCCAGCGCTGCTACCCCAGCCTCGTCGCCGCTTCGGATCTTCCGTCCCCGAGTCACCGCCAGCCCCCTCGACTTCTCCCGAACCTTTGCCGCAATGACCCAGCAAGCCGCCGATCCCAAGGTCCGCGCCGCCGAAGAAAAGGCCCATTTTGAACAGACCTTCGAGGTCATCCTCAAGGACATCCTGGACGAGCTCCCTAGCTACCGCCTTCCCGAGAACGGCCGGGAGTGGATTGAGAACATGCTCAAGTACACCGTCGTCGGGGGCAAGATGAACCGCGGCCTCACCGTACCTTCGGCCCTGCGATCGCTCAAGGGCCGCGAGCTCACTGCCGATGAGCTGCTCAAGGCCGAAGTCCTGGGCTGGTGCATCGAGCTGCTCCAAGGCTTCTTCCTGATTGCCGATGACATCATGGACTCGTCCGTCACCCGCCGCGGCCAGCCGTGCTGGTACCGTGTCAAGGAGGTCGGCATGATCGCCATCAACGACTCGTTCATTGTCGAGTCGGTCATCTACAGACTGCTCAAGAAGTACTTCCGTGCCGAGCCCTACTACGTCCACCTCATCGAGCTCTTCCACGAGACGACCTACCAGACCGAGCTGGGCCAGCTCATGGATCTGATCACCGCCCCTGAGGACAATGTCGATCTGAACCGCTTCTCGATCGACAAGCACGCCTACATTGTCGAGTTCAAGACGGCCTACTACTCGTTCTATCTGCCCATTGCTCTTTCCATGTACCAGGTAAGTTTGGCCGGCCATCCGAGATTGTTCTGTTGCCGCGGGGGGTCAGGAGATACCGAAGCTTGACTACGACGACGACAACGGTGGTCCTGAGCCATCCACACGATGTGAGCGATAGATGCTGACGCTGTACCTCTGCTACATCCACTACATCCGCTACATCCACTACATCCGCTACATCCACTACATTCGTCGCCCCTGTACAGCATGGCCTGACCAATGAGGCTGTTTTCCAGCAGGCCAAGAACGTTCTTCTGCCGCTCGGCGAGTATTTCCAGGTCCAGGATGACTTTTTGGACTGCTATGGCGACCCCAAGGTCATTGGCAAGATTGGCACCGACATTGAGGATAACAAGTGCTCGTGGCTCATCAACCAGGCCCTGGCCATCGCCAGCGCCGAACAGCGCCAGGTTCTCGACAACCACTATGGTCGTCGCGATGCCGAGTCGGTCAAGATCGTCAAAGGCATCTACACCGATCTCAGCATCAAGGAGATCTACGGCCGGTACGAGGAAGACAGCTACAAGCGCATCTCGGCGCTGATTGAGCAGATCGATGAGAGCCAGCTCCCTCGCGAGATGTTTGTCAACTTCATGAACCGCATCTACAAGCGCAAGTTGTAAAAGCCTGGCCGCTATGGCGTGACCACCGTGCGGAGCTCGTCCCTCGATTCGCCTGCCAATGGGTACCCCTCTCCGCTGCCTCAGGGATGGCCACAATTGCCACAATTGCCACAATTGATCTCTCTTTCAGTGTCTGCAACATGTCCTTGGCGGACAAGTACAATACAGCAACATCTCGACCCTGCTCTGCGTCCGCCTGCTCTGGTCCCATGGACATCGCTGCATCGAGGGATCATCAGCAAGCATCAATGATATGTGTGTCTATGGCCCTGCGTGAGCCGTACACAGCGGCGAGGATAACAAAGACAAGTCACGGAAAAGAGGCCAGCGATGCGCTGGGTGCTCGCCAAACATGCTTCCGCACAGAGAGCTTGCCAACTGCACACATGCAGCTGGACACTGCCGAGAGCGGCAATAAATAGAAGAGACAAATCAGCACAAGAGAGAGAAAGGGGGACACTATGAGGTCCAAGCCATGGCCAGCGCCAAACCGAAAAAGCGGAAACAAAGAAACCAGCACAGGACAGCCAAGGCAAAGGCAGAAACGGACGAGAGCCAGTCTAGTTCAAACAGACGAAGGATAAACGCGATGCTGCCAAGCAGGCAACATGCAGGCAACATGCAAGTAACGTGCAAGCAACGTGCGAGCAACGAACAGGGTGTACCTGGCCAACAGGATCAGGGCGCAGTTGAAAATGCAGAGCCACCACCACCAGCAAGCTGCTCGCCGCGATGAGAAAAAACAACCAAGCACGATAAATAGCAAGAGCGTGGAGGTGTGAACGGATCGAGAAGGATTGTCAAAGTATGCAAGCACAACAGCGCTAACAGCGAGCACGATCATCGGCACATCAGGAGAGGGGCTGGTATTCGGAGAAAAGAAGGGTAGGCAAACCAGTGTCTGTCACCAAGGGTGCATCGTCGAGTTAGCCCCGCGCAAAGCCAAACAGCAGCCCCGCGACCAGATGCAAACAGCGAGAACAGCGATCGCTTTTGAAACGGGAAAGTCGATACCGTAGCGGCAGCTTCGCCACCGACGATTTGGCATCATGGCTTGCGTCGAACGTCGGCAGGCATCATCCATACCATCGATTGCTGCCGGCTGCGGGATGCGGGATGCACAGGAACAAGCACACGTACCATGCACCAAGTGGCACAGATACCTTGCATACATGAGGCCCGTGAGGCGGACTCGCTTCCACTCGATCACTTGCGACCCTTCTTCTTGTCGAGCATACCCTCGACCTTGCGGGTGGTATTGGTGACGCGGTCGTTGAGCTGGTCGGTCTTGTCTTGAACACGCACGAGCTTGTCGGTTTGCGATGTGAGCTCGTCACCCATGGTAGTTGCCATCATACGAAGGCGAGCCAGGCCCGATGACATCTGATCCAAGTTGTCGTCGATCTCCTCCTCCTTCTCGTCGCGGTCCCAGCCACTCGGGGTCGAATAAGAGCGGTCCGAGTCTCCGCGCTGGTAGGTGCGCTCCATCTGTTCCCGACGCATGCGATCGCGATCCTGGCGGGCAGCATCGCGATCCTGGCGGCGGGACTCTTCCTGGGTGATGCGCTCTTCTTGCTCGCTCTTGAGCTGATCTTCTCTTTGTTTGGTTTTCTTGCCGAGGCCAAAGGTGGGGATCAGGAAGAAGCGGTTGAGGGCTTGCAGATGAGTGGCCTTGCTGTCCGCAATTTTGGCCACGTCGGCCGTTTCATCGAGTCGGCGCTCTATCCGGTCCAGTTGTTCTGGGTATGGGTGGAGAAACAACATCGTCAATGCCATGCCGGGCTGAGAGATATCCGAGTGATGCAGCCGCTGACTTGTCAGAGGGTACAGCAGCTCCAGGCGGAAGCGTGTGCCGAGCCCTGCGACTGCAGCGACGCAGTTCCGGTGGAGCAAAGACAGCTATCCTAACAGGCGATATCATCCGACTTGACAGCCGCCTCGGCAATGGGCCGACAGCATGGCCAATACACACCTCCTTGCATGTCGATGGTCGACAGGTTCTGCTCAGCAACTTGCTCGGCCTCGCGCAGACGCTGCAGAGCCCGACGCGACGACTGGAGGGAGTCGTCCTGGACCTTCTTGGTCTTGCGCGTGAGCCATTCAGATGAGTTGTAATCCTCGGGTTCGTCGTCGACGGTCTCCCAGTTGCGGTAGCCAGTGCTACCACTCTCGGCGGCCTGGGCAGCAGCAGCCCACTTGCCGCTGGCAGCGGCTGAGCGCTCGGAGTGGTCTCGACCACGGTCCCGATCCCGGTCGTCGTAGCGATCGCCTCGGGGGGCGTGGCGGTCGCCACGGCTGCGGTCGTCATAGCGATCGCCGCGGCTTCGGTCATCATATCGGTCACTGCGGTCAGCATAGCGGTCGCCGCGGCTTCGGTCATCATATCGGTCGCTGCGGTCGCCACGGCTTCGGTCGTCATAGCGGTCGCCTCTGTCCGGGTATCCGCCACGGTCAGCTCTGGCGCTGCGGTCGCTATATCCGCCACGGTCCTGACGGTCGTTGTAACGATCGCCTTGGTGACGACCACGACTCTGGCTTCTCGAGCGCGAAGGGGCTCTGTCTTGGTTGTAGCGACTGTGCGAGGACATGGCACCTGAGATTTGCTGATGTGTTGGACGGTCGTAGGAAGGCTGTGGAAGCGGGTGAGAGCGGCTGGAAGCGGCGAGGGAATGGCGCTGCTATTTACGAGGTTTTGTCGGTGGGTGAATGCAGTTGACGTGTGATGGCCTCAACGGACGAGGGAAGAAGTAAATGAAAGTCCAGATGTTTGCTGGCCGCAGTTGGAGACGGACAGGCGGACAGACGACCGAGTTGCGAAGGACGGATGAGAGGAGGCTGCGGCGCTTTTGAGGGCAGGCGGGTGGGGCGTGGTGCGCGCTCTCTGGGCGGCGGTGCGACACTGGTGTCGGAAATGGAAGCACCCGAAATACATCGAAACGGACGGCCTCGACATGAATCCTGCGTATCACTTGGTTCAGGATGTGAAGACACCGATCGATGATGACCAGCAGCGTGCCCAAAGAGGCTGGTATTGGGAATGTCTCGTGGACAGAAGGGACTGAGGCCATAGATACCCAGGCTCGCCAAGCTCCTTGGGCGTCCCTCGTGATGGTGAACTGCCCAAGGTCCATAACACACGACGAGCGGCTCGCTCAACCCGACGGCCTTGACACTGAGAGCGCTCTATCTGCAGGAGAGGATGCGGGATCCTTCAGCGTCCTGACTGAAATGAGCTCGCCGCCGATGTCTTGGGAAGAGCAAAGGAGCCGGCTTGGTGGCGTTGGAACGCGTTTCCGTCTTGGCTGGCAGGACACGCACAAGAGAGCATCGAGGCAGATTATCGAGACAGCCCAAGAGCGGCCCCCTCTTCCTTCCCCTCGCCGATACCGCCTCCCCTCGCTCCATCCGTCGATATCGCCGTCTTGGTGTTGTCAGGCCACAGGCGACAAATCCAGCCCCGTCAGCTGAACCAGATACCACACCGTCATGGCAAACGACCAAGATGTCTCTGAGGATATCGAGCCTCTTGTTCCCCAACAAGCCCAAACCCCTGTCTCCCAACAACCAACCTTCCCTTCTCAGCCCGATCCCTTTGGCCCCTGGCTCCATCCCGTCGAGTGTCTCATCAACATTGCCCGCGACGAGCCCGATGCCCTCTGCATCAACACCTACGAGAGCGGCGAGTCCGTGCGCTACTCATACCGCGATGTGTGGAAACATGCATACTCAATCGCCCAGGCTCTCAAGGCTCTCCCTGGCTGGAACGACGACGGCCACGATGCCATCGGCACCTTCTGCGAAGGCGAGGCGCACTGGGTGTTCTTCTCGCTCGCCGTGTGGATGCTGGGCAAGTGAGTATCGGCCCAGATGCTGTGGTTCGATCTGTTTGTTGCATGTTCCTGGCTGTGGATGTTGGAATGTGCTGTGAGCGAGTCCTCCCTCCAGGGATGACAGGCAACAGCCGTGGCTGACTCACCCACGTATCCACCGACAGGAAAACCCTCAACTTTGGTCTCAACTGGCCATCGGCTGTCCGCAAGGCCATCTGTGCGAGGTATAGCATCAGCAGCGATGAGTCAAGGAGGCAGTCCGATTGTGGATTGAGCCGACAGAGTGGGAGACTGACCCACGATCGACAAAGCCGGGGACTGACACACTCTCGATCACCATGGCACCCAACAGACACTCGGTCAAGTACATCCTTCACCACTACACCAAGCCTGGAAGGACGGAAGGAGTGACGTTGGTGGACGGCGGCACTTTCCCGATGCTCAGCGAGGTCCCTGCTCCATCGCTCGAACTCTGCGAGCCACTCGATGATATCGTGGCAATCCAGTGTACCTCGGGAACAACTGGTACGTGGAATAGTCAGGAAGAACGGCAGAGCATGATGCCGGATGGTGGACAGCTTGGGGCATGACATGAAGCAAGAGGTTGTGCTGACGATGCATGTACAATCCATAACTCTGCTTCCTGCATCCCCGTCGCTCACACAGGCATCCCCAAATCGTGAGTTATCCTGTGGATTCTGATGTTGTGGATTCTGTTTCTGTGTCTACCTGATGCTTGTTCACAGTCACAATTGACCGCATCAACACTCGTGGACTGAATCCTTCTGTGTTTGATGTTGATGGTTGCAGTTTCAAGTTTGCACACACTGGAATGATCACAGGTCGAGCCTCTATTGGAATGCTGAAGAGTAGCGTCGGACTAATGCAGGTAATTATGCTTAACATCGAATATCGCATTAATACGTGGGCAATGCTGGGTATACTGACATTGATGACTCTCAGCCTCCGTCATTTGTGGCGACATTGGGCCCTTTCTTCAGTTCTTTGAATCTTGGAGGATCGGTGTGGATTCCAAAGCCAACATTCCACGCAGTTGAGAAAGCAAAGAATGTCGCTCAAATATTGAATGACGGAGTTGCCTACCTATATTTGGTGAATAACATTCAATAGCATGTCCGAGCCCATTATATCGATATACTAATGACATCTATCTCCCCACAGACTCCCTCGTTCATGAAGCTGATCATCAGCAGCGCAGCTTCCTTCAACCCCAATGTCAAGTGGATGGAAACGAAACGCATTGTGCTGGGGTCAGAGCACATTCCCATGAGTGTCATGCACATGACGAGGGAGAGATTTCCAAATGCTGATATTCAGTCGGGCTATGGATCGAGTGAGGTAAATATCATGCTTATCCCCATTATGGTCCATACATGGGCGATCACTGATCATAGCATTGTTACTAGTCCGCGGTCATAGGAGCAGTTTCATATGTACATATTTCCGCCGATAGTCCCATCCCAGAGAAGTTGGTCTACAAGCTGGCCAAGCCTGGGGTGCGCTGTCTCCTCTTTGACGAGGAGGGCAATATCGTTGATCAAAACGTCTCCAAGAGCGGGATCCTGGTCTTTGCCGTCGACCCCGACCATCCCGTCCGCAACCACCCCGACTTTGTCAACGCCAATCCCAACGACAGACTGGCCTCCTTTGGCTTCCTCAGCGACGGTTCGCCCCGAGTCTGCACCATGGACTGGGTCGAGATGGTCAGCGAGAACGAGTTTACGGTCGTTGGAAGGTGAGTGCAATATCCCTGTGCCCACCGAGTGGTCTGTGCCCTCCTTCCACTGGTCCTCCGCCAATCCATCCCACACTCTGCTTCAACATGTCTCTCACACCTCCAGATTCGACCAGAAGATCAAGGTCAACGGTGTCTATGTCGACCTGAACCATCTCGAGGCCCTGGTCGTCCAGCACCTGAGCCACACCATCGCCGACTGTGCGTTTGTCCAGACCTCCGAGAAGAAGATCGTGATGCTGTATGTTCTCCAGGCCCGTCCCACGACCCGCACCGAGCCCAGCGACATCATCCGGATGACCCAGGATCTGCTTGCACTCGTCAACGTCTCCAAGGTGCCGATCCACAACTGCTTCCAGCTCGACGAGATCCCCATGATCGAGAATGGCAAGCGCGACCTCAAGAAGATCAAGTGGATCGCCGAGAACAACGATCTGCACCAAGGATCCGTTGTGTATCCCCGTCTCGCCCCCAGCGAGGCCCCGCTGTTTTGCATCGCGGCTGCAATCTCCAGCCTCGGCAGCCAGCTCCTCGGGATTCCCTCTCTCGACGGCCGCAACTACAGCATCAGCGGAGCTGGGTTTGACTCGCTGAGTGTTGGCCGCCTGGCCCTGGCCATCAAGGAAGAGTACGATGTCGAGATCTCGCCGATGATGCTGCTCTCGAACGGCCTGACGCCCCTCGATGTCGCCCAGCTGGTGATTGATCTCCAAGGCAACCACCCGCTGATGCCGCCGACAGTCGACCTCGACCAGGAGGCCGCCCGGCTCGACGATGCGAGTGTGACGGCCGAGGGTCTCCCTCCACTTGTCTTTCCCGAGTCGCCTCGCGGCATCGTCCTGACGGGGGCCACTGGCTTTCTCGGATCGTTCCTGCTGTACGAGCTGGCTGCCAAGTTCCCTGCTGCCAGGATCTACTGTCTGGTCCGAGCCGCGAGCGACCAGGCTGCCATCGACCGCATCTTTGAGACAGCCAGGAAGCTGATCCTCAACCCGCAGCAAACGCACTACCTCGTGAACAATGTCAGGCCGCGACTCGTTGGTGTCTGTGGCGATCTGTCGCTCGACCAGTGGGGACTGACCAACAAGCGATGGAAGAAGATCAGCAAGGAGACCGACATGGTTGTGCACTGCGGCGCCGAGGTGCACTGGCTCGACGACTATGAGGCGCTCAAGGGGCCGAATGTCCTGGGCACGGCGACGGCCCTGCGGCTGGCCACGACCCACCACCTGAAGCCGCTGCACTTCATCTCGGCGGTCGGGGCGATTCCCATGGCACGGGGCGCAAGGACGCCGCTCGAGGAGAGGGTGTATTCCAACTGGAACGTCTCTGGCGGGTATGCACAGACCAAGTGGGTCTCTGAGCAGCTGATCAACAAGGCACGATCGAGGGGAGTGCCTGCGACGATCATCCGACCATCGCTGATTGCAAGCGACAGTGTCTATGGAGGTGAGTCACTGGATGTGATATGGCAATGTGGTGGTGTGGTGGTGGTGTGGTGGTGGTGCAGCAGCTCATCTCAGCTCATCTCAGCTCACTCTCACTCTCGCTCTCACTCTCACTCTCACTCTCACTCTCACTCTCACTCTCACTCTCACTCTCACTCTCACTCTCACTCTCACTCTCACTCTCACTCTCACTCTCTCAGTGTGCCACTCGGACGACTACATCTGGCAGTACATCAAGGGGTGCATCCGCATCGGGATCGCTCCCTCCAATGCCACCCCCGTGACCATCACCATGAATCCAGTCGACCATGTCGCCAAGGTGGTCGCTGCGATCGCAGCCTCCGAGGCGGCCCTGCCCAAGTTTGTGTTCCACATCAGCGACCCAGAGCGCAGGTGAGATGAGCGAGCGAGCCGAGTGGCAAGCAGTCAGGGAGGGCAGGATGAGTGCCATTCCTCGGCAGTCACTCACTCACCCACACCACCATCCCACACATCCTGTCCCTCGGCCCACCTCGCAGCGTCGTCACCGAGACCAAACTGTTCGAGATCGTCAA